GCCCTGGGGTTTGGGGTGTTGTGGACGAAATTTTTTGGTTTTTATTTTACTTCTCCCGCTTGGTGTTTTTGCTGGTCGGCGACGATCTTGCAAAGTGGGGCCCCCCCCCCCCCCCCCCCCCCCAATATCCTTTCTTTCTTTCCTTTTTCGAGATTCTAGGTAGTGGATGGATGGGACGGTTGCATTATGTACCTTGTTTTTTTGGGGAAGCACGGCGTTTATGGATGATGAATGGATGATGAATGGATGGTATGCCAAGTGCTGAAGTACCGAAATCATTGCCTTTAGGTACTTACATGTAGGTATGTCATTATTATTATTAGGTATATCGTTTGTTTTTCTTAACAACTGATTATTTATTCAGAGGTTATTTATATTTACCTTATATAACTCCTACTACTTTCGTTTTCTTAACTGGCATCGCTTTATTTTTCTTTCTTTCGGTCTGGCGGTGTGTTGAGTTAACTAGATTTTCTTTTAAGTCGAGGTGTAGGTGTAAGGTTTATGCTGTGGGTTGGTATATAGAGATTATAAACTATTCTATTTACTTTTGTTTGATTAGCAAAATCGCAACCGTGACTCGAAATTCTCTGGACCTAGGGGGGATTTAGTAATGATAAATGTCGACGTCTCGATAAACTATAGTATACCTGCAGAGAATTGGATACTTCATGTATAACCTTTACCCTGATTTTTACCTGTTACCTAAATACATTAGTTACATGTAAACCATACTAGAATTCAGCATAACGTAAACCACAAGTCAGCGGTCCACACAAGTCAGCGGTCCACGGAAAATACATACAAAATACGTCTGTGCGTAACCGTGCACTTTAATAAGAAAAATTCCTATTAAAATTCGGTTTTCGAATTTAAATAATTGTTTATATTAATACAATGAAGATATTTTTTTAATTTTTTTATACTTTATAATTATAATTAAATATAACATATTTAAATTTGGGATTTTAATATGTAATATTCGTAAAGTTATAAATTTTTGAAAATTATTAGTTTTAAGTTATATATGGTGTTGGACCGCTGACTTGTGGTTGACGTTACTACGAATGAATAGTTGTTTTCTGTTAAAGCAAATATTTAAAAAAGATACAGAAAAAAAAGGTAAGAAACCATAATCATTAGCTTTAACTACGTCAATGGGGTAGAGCAACCCGGTATTTTCTTCACGGGGTGTAAGAACAATGAAAAACAAAAAAAGCTGACAGGCCATACGGAAAACACACTCGACCAAAGCAAATAATTAATCCATAATTAGTCCTACACCAGCCACCAATCCCCTTCCGTTTCGTCTCTAAACCCACGAAGAACCTAACCACATACACACGCACACACAGCCGATAAATCACTACAATAAACGCCTTGGGAGAGAGAGGGAGGATGGGAGGACGTATAGGTAGGTATTACATTAAATAATAATACGACGTGACGCCCATCACCACATCACGAACTTCGCTTGAAGCACTCCTCGATCTGCTTCTTGTAGGCATCCTTAAGCGCCCTCCGGTTCACCTTCTGCGTCGCTGTGACGAGGCCCTATTATATGTCTGTTAGTGCTGGTCATAGGTATCGAATAAAATAGTATGAGGGGAAGAGGGGGGGCGGAAGGAGTAAACTTACACTAGCCGGCGTCCATTCTTCATCAACTAATACGATGCCAACAATCATTTCTAGCCCGGTCAGGCTGGCCTTCTTACCCACCGCGATTAAGTCCTTGTGGACTGCATCGAGGACCTTGGGGTCGGTGTGGGCGTGTGCGTGGTCGACGCCTAGCTTCTTCGCTAAGTCGTTCAGGGGCTTCTCGTTGGGGCTGATTACGGCGATGGCCCGAGGGTTATCGCTATCACCGTATATCATGAGGTTGTGGACGTACTCGCTGCCGCGATAGACGGCCTCGAGCTTCTCGAGTGCGATATATTCACCACCCTGCAGCTTGACCAGGTTTTTGACGCGGTCGATGACCTTGATGTGGCCAACCGAGTCGATCTCGCCGATGTCTCCCGTTCTAAACCACCCATCCGGAGTGAAAGCCTTTGCGGTCTCCTCGGGGTTCTTGTAGTACTCCTTACAGACCGGAAGTCCTCGCAGAAGAATCTCACCCTGTGGCGGATTGCTCTTCGCGTCGTATCCTAGCTCAGATATGCTCACCAGCTTAATTTCGAGCGACGCAGGAACAGGGCCGATGGCGTCCCAAGTCCATTGTAACGGATTGCCCAGAGCACCATTAGCGGTAGTCTCTGTGAGGCCGTAACCTGTAATCATTGGCGCGAGTACCAAGCTTACGAATTGCCTCGTGCCAGCAGAAATACCACTGGCACCATTGAAGAGAAATCTTACTCTCCCACCCGTCATGTCGCGAACTTTCTTGAACACCACAGCATCAAGCAAGCCACTTCCAGGTAGGCCTGCTGATACAAGTAAGCTCTTCAGGTTGTACGCACCCCAGAAGAGGTTCTTCGTCAAGGCACCACCAGAGTTAACTTTGGCCTCGATACCTTTCCTGATGGTCTCCCAGATCTGGGGCACACCAACCATGACGGTAGGCGCAAGCTCTCGCATGTCGCCAGCACAGTTGCGCATCGAAGAGTCAGCCAACGTGCGCGGGGATCCGTAGCCTAGAGTACCACCAACAAACATTACCAAATTCTCTACAGCCACCTCCAAGATGTGTGCAAGGGGTAGATATGCCAGAATAGTGTCGCGATGCGAAACAGTCTCAGCAACAACAGTCCAGAGACCGGTGATACCTGCAACAACTCCTTCGTGGGTAAGAGGAACACCCTTGGGAGGGCCAGAAGAACCGGAAGTGTACATGATACAGCACAAATCGGTAGGTTTCGGCGGGATGGGGTCTATAGGGTTCTCCTCGCCAAGTTTGATTAGGTCGGAGTAGGAGATGATGGTGAGGTGAGAGTTTGAGGCCTTGAAGTCGGCCATCTCCTCGTCGGAGATAGGCACGTTTGTCGAGTCATTATAGATTAGGTACTTGACGTCTTTTGCATTCTTCAGAGGGCGGCTGGCAACCTTGAATAGATGAGGGTCTGTGTACATGGCCTTCGCATTCGTTTGCGTGAGGGAGTATTCGACGGCATCAGGGCCAAGAGTATCGTATGCGGTCGCGATTGTGATGGATTGCGAGGCACAGCCGTGAGCCGTGCATTGCCAGTTGGCGCTGGATTGGTAATTAGCCTTTTTTTAACGATTCTTTCACAATTTAAACGGGAATATTTCTTACCTCGTCGTCGCGAAGATGTGTAAGACATCGCCCGTCTCAAGACCTAGCTTCTTCAAGCCGGCGCCAACGTTCAGGGCTCGAGTCTTGTACTCATTGTAAGTAAGGAAGGTGTACGGCGTTAACTCGAAGTATGTCCATTCCTTTTCAACCTCGGTCTTGATCCCGTCGACAACTTTGATGATTTTCTTAGTCTCGGTATGCGTCTTAACGAGTTTGCGAGAGCCTATGGCGGCCTTATCGCCATACTTCTTCGCACTCTCTATTAATATGTCATAGGTTGTAGTGATGTGAGATTCGGGGCGTGTGATGAGACCGTCTTTGGCCTTGATATGTCTGAATGGCTTCGTTTCGCCTTCGACTTCTTCAGCGCCGGGAGATTCGACCATATAGGGTGGTTTTTGGACCCTGTAGAGAGGAAGTACGCCGTCGAATTGAGTTGGGAGGGACATGATTTTAGGTGGGTAGCAGAAAGATATAGGATGGATATTGGATAACAGCTACCTAGGTAATAAGGTGATGTCAAAAATGTCAAAATATTGTGTAGATGGCAGGGATGTGACGTCGACAAATAAACCCGGAAGAAAAGCAAAAAGTTAGAGATTAAAAAAATTGAATTTAGAGTTGAAGCTTTTGTAGGAGAAGCTGTAGGTACCATGTAACGGTAGGTAGGTAGATAAGTAAGGTAAGGCGACAAACGACAAAACGTCAGCGGGGCAGTCCACTAGGTTTTAGGTACTTGTGGAGCCCAAAACTGGCCAAGGAGCCCCATGGAGCTTGGGTATAAGTGAATATGCTAAGACTTTATCAGAAATGCCGAGGACATATTTTCTGATCTATGTGGGTCCATAAGAATCCGAAAAAAATAACGTTCCAGTTTTGCGGCGTATCTAGAATTAGAAGCTCAAAGTTGCGATATGTGATATTTTGTATGGATCTTGTTATTAATGAGAAGGGGGTCAATAGGCGGTCGGGTTATCCGTGCCTCGGCTCTTGGAATTGGAAAGTTATGCGCAATCACCTGTATCAAATGATTATGGTACTATGGGTTTCTGGGGGGGGGGGGGGGGTTTCTCTCTTTTCTCTGCTCTTAGGCGCCTGGTATATTACGGCCGAATATACCGAGTATAGGGGGCGCAGAGATATTAAATTTTTTTGTATAACCTCAAACTCTAGCTTCGCTCAGTTCGCGGTGGCTACTTACATATGTAATATGCAAGAATCGCCAATATGTTACCGCCATCGGTAATAACATCTGCACGTACGAGAAATTAGCAACGGCTACAAGTAGAGAGATAGAAAATTTTGTTGATTAGAATGTATGACGAAGGGTTAACTTCACTACTACGTATCATATCTTGTATGTATGTCAGCCAATAGGTACTTGCTGGCACGGGTACAGGTGGTTGAATAAGGGAAGAAGCTCAATTGCAAGGGTAAGATTTGCAATGATCGATAAGATAAAAGCTCTTGACGAGCACGAATTAGATTAGGTAGGTACGCATGCCGGTGTGACGTACTACTTATGTTAGGTAAGATGTAACTACTACCTAGGTGTGGTACCTACCTGTCCACCGCAGGAAGGTTCAGGTTTCAGGGGTGTCCAGGTGCAGGTGGCTCAGGGGCCTCGGGGTGGCACCTCGGCGCTGCGAATTTTCCGATCTGGAAAGAATGTGGGGCGGGATCTTTTAGAATTTCTGAATTTCCAAAGCTACGTACAAACCTTGTCCCACCAGACACCTGACAAGGCAGAACTCTACCAAGTGAAAACAGCTTCACACAACGGCATATCCTTTCAAAATTTAGTACACGAGCTGGATATTGCCTGGGTACCATTCGATACAGCATACAAAGCTCACGAGAGCTATAAGAACTGTCAAAAATGGCGTTAAGTATGAAATCAACAACCCCGCGCCGTGGCTATCGTCATTTACTAATCTTAGACTTTAGATCTCGACTTGCAAAATGGTATGCTCATGCTTATAGATATAATATATAACTACTATATTCTATATTTATACTAATCTATACTCTCTACAGCTGCTGTCATGAAAGATGAACAGGGGCGACCTTTTATCATTGTCAGAGAGTAAGCTTGATCATCTTAGATTACCCCCCCGTATAGTTGGACATACATACCTAGATAATGCATCATACCTAACCTCGTTTACTCTCAGTCAAGGCAAGAAGAAGCGCCAATATGGCAATGAAGCTGTTAAATCGCACATCCTCGCCGCTCGAACCGTTGCAAATATCGTCAAAACTTCCCTGGGTCCTCGCGGTCTCGATAAGATCCTAATTTCCCCCGATGGAGACATCACGGTAACCAACGATGGAGCTACCATCCTACAACAGATGGATATCTCCAATCACGTAGCGAAGCTTCTCGTCGAATTATCCAAGTCTCAAGACGACGAGATTGGTGACGGAACAACGGGTGTCGTTGTCCTAGCCGGTGCTCTCCTGGAACAGGCTGCCGAACTCATAGACAAGGGCATCCACCCTATCCGAATAGCAGATGGCTACGACCAAGCCTGTGATATTGCAGTGGCCGAGTTAGACCGTATATCAGATACCATTGAGTTTAGCCGGGAATCGACGGAGAACTTAGTCAAGGTAGCTCGGACGAGTTTAGGCAGCAAAATCGTGTCCAAGGCCCACGACCAGTTTGCCAACATTGCTGTGGATGCTGTCCTATCGGTCGCCGACCTTGAGCGGAAAGATGTTGATTTCGAGTTGATTAAGGTGGACGGCAAGGTTGGTGGTGCGTTGGAAGATACCATTCTGGTTAAGGGTGTGATCGTCGATAAAGACTTCTCACACCCCCAAATGCCCTCCGAAGTCAGAGACGCCAAGATCGCCATTCTCACATGCGCCTTCGAGCCGCCGAAGCCCAAGACTAAGCACAAGCTGGAGATTACGTCGGTCGAGGAATTTAAGAAGCTGCAAAACTACGAGCGGGAGAAGTTTGTGGAGATGATCCAGCAGATCAAGGATACCGGAGCTAATCTAGCTATCTGCCAGTGGGGTTTCGACGACGAGGCCAACCACTTATTATTACAAAACGAATTACCCGCCGTAAGATGGGTAGGCGGCCCAGAGATCGAACTTATTGCCATCGCCACGAATGGTAGGATAGTACCTCGATTTGAGGACCTGAAGCCGGAGAAGCTAGGTAAAGCTGGTGTTGTACGGGAAATGACATTCGGCACGACGAGAGAGAAGATGCTCGTTATCGAGGAGTGCGCCAACACAAGAGCCGTGACCGTGTTTGTTCGAGGAAGTAACAAGATGGTAAGTTTTATCTACCCAACACCTCCCCCCCTTTTTTTAAAAAAAAAAAATCACAAAAGCATCAACTTAACTTTTAATCACCTCTAGATCATCGACGAAGCTCGACGGTCCCTCCACGATGCTCTCTGCGTTGTACGAAACCTAGTCCGCGACAACCGCGTCGTGTACGGCGGTGGCGCCGCGGAAATCGCCTGCTCGCTAGCGGTCGAGGACGCGGCTGTCAAGACGCCCGGGCTGGAGCAGTACGCCATGCGGGCGTTCGCTGAGGCGCTCGACGCGGTGCCGATGGCGCTCGCGGAGAATAGCGGACTAAACCCGATCGCGACGCTCGCCGAGGTCAAGTCCCAGCAGGTTAAGGCTGGAGCCGAGGGCCGGGGCAAGCTAGGCGTCGACTGCATGAACCGCGGCAGCAACGACATGAAGCAGGCCTTCGTCATCGACCCCCTCATCGGCAAGCGCCAGCAGCTCATGCTCGCCACCCAACTGTGCCGCATGGTCCTCAAGGTTAACAACGTTATCGTTAGCGGATCTGGGGATCAGGACTATTAAATTTAATGCGGTAGTACCGGGAACTAGGGGTAGGATAAAATAAAAACTCGTCTGTCCCGTTCGCCTGTTGGCGTTGACCTAGATCTAGATTTCAACCTCGAGGTGCCAGTGCTTGATGTGGTTCTCGTAGAGGGGAGAAAGAAGAGAGCACGTTGTTTAGTGTTGTAGATATGAATAGTACCTGATACGTGCTTGTGGAATGGCGGTTAAAAAGGCTAACAATGTCAAAGATGAGATACTATACGATATACGTACCTCTCTATACCTTCCTACGTAGGAAGGTATCCTTCTCTTAGACAGCTGAGACCTACAAGAACAAGAAATAAACGAAACGGGAAAAAAAGAACTTACTGCCTCATATGAACTAATTTAGGTACCTGGTAGCTATTATCATTCTGTGTTCTTAGATACGTAGGTAGGAGGTAGGTACCTAACCTAATCTGTCTATTCTGGACACGGTATACAGAAAGATATATAATTCCAAAAGATTCTCCTATGCTAGGTAGTTAGGTACCTCTATATATGTACCATAGAGAGGTAGGTACGGATCCCCAAGAACAAGAAAAAAAAAAGACCGCTCCCGAACTTTTCTTCTTTTCAATTACACGCACGCTCAAATGACAGAGATATCCTATTTCAATAAAATAGTCCACGGGTAGTTGGGAGAAATACTGCCAGAGGTAGGCATATATAGGTACCTACCTAACCTATACAAGGGCGGGTAAGAGTTAGGATTGACTCTGACTCGACGAGTTAATCGAAACTACTCAAAAAAATAAATCCCCCCTTTTTCTCACCACCTCTCTCCTCTCTCTATAGTCCCCCCCAACTCGTAGTGCCTCGACCCCCAGGCAAACAATATAGTAAAATCGTGTGTGTAATCGTAATTGGTACTGGGCAATGGAAGCAGGTGATGGTGGATTCTGTCCTCTAAGGCCTTTTCAAAACCGGAGCCCCTTTTTTCCTTTCCTATATCCCATCCCCCCGCCCCCTTCACCTCGTATATATACCTCGACAGCGACAACGGGTTATTTACACCTTCTTTTGATTTATTTTTGTGATTTATTGGGCCCGGACCTAGAAGCTGACTTGTTGAGCATCTGCTTCCATCCTCTTGATTCCCAATCCGCTAGCTGCAAGTACGCAACTACCAATGCTGCCTTATTAAGTGTCTGTTTTTGGCCTAAAGCATAACAGTATCCTGTACCTTTCCATGGTGCAATTTATGCGAACCCGAATCCCTGAGCATTTTCAAGCGCCATGGTAAGTCGCTCTCGAAGGACCTCCTTATCACGGTACTCTGGGAGTAGAAGGGTGCCGTAGCACGTATACGCAGTAGGTAAGTGACCACCTTCGCCTTCCTCCTCGCCGTTCTTTTGTACAACGAATTGAATATTGGCCATGCCGCCAACGGGGACACGGTCGCTGGCGGTGACGAACTCAAGCAACTTCCTGCGCATACGGTCATCATATCTCTTAACAATAGACCAGAAGTCGCGCACGGTACGGTGCGACGCGTCCCAACCCACGTAACGTGTTGCACGACGGAGCTCTCCAACGTCAATTTCCTGCGTACCCTCTACTAGATTTTGTAATAATGAGGGTGTCAGAAGCTGCAGGGACTTTGGGTGCAGACAAGCTCGGAAACCACGGGCAAAAGCGTTAAATTGAGGAGCGACCGAGATATCTGTTAGGTATCGGATGTAGTCGCTCACATAAGCGTTGCGGTTGTCGCCTGTGACAAGTGGTGCGCTGCCTGGATTGGACGCCGAAAGGAGAGTAGGATCTGGATGGCTAGAGAATTGTGGCCAGGCTACCGGCTTTGATGACTCCATTTCTCGCGAAACTGGCTGGCCAAACATAGACGTGGAAAACTCGTAAGTAAGGACGAAAACATCCTCTACGGGGCCATCTTTTTCATTCCATTCGAGAACGCTGGTAAGCCCGTTAGCGAGGTCTGGCCACCCGTCAGCGATATGGTACAGCTCAGTGACAGGCTCGCCCAGAAGCTTGCGGTACAGCGCTTTTGGGAATGTGATCGGGAGTGTCAGTCCATTGTAAACGGCCAACGAGATAAGTAGTCCGATTAGTTCAAATTTCCATTCAGGCTGGACAGAACCGGGCTGAAACCACGTCATTCGTGTTCTATCATCAATGACGAAAGCACCGTAAGTAGGATTTAAAGCCTCAGCTATGGCAAGACGAAAGAATTCTTGCTGCACACCGCCGGAGTCGAACCCTTCTTCCCCGCTGTCTTCCCCAAGATGAACTTTCAACGGTCTCAACAGTTCGCGTTCTTGTCGTCTCCAGAGCTGGTCAAAGGCATCCCGAAGCACGTTTTTACGGCTGATATCAAGGATCAGGTATTTTGATGATGCAACTTTCAAGAGATCTTGAAGTACGTTTTTCTGGTGCGACTCCGTGACAAGGCTGTCAGGGGCAATAATAGCATTGATTCGACTTTGTAACGAGGTGGACTCTTCATAAGAACGGCTCATCCGCCAGAAGTTGATAGCTCTAAAGTACGAAACCAAAGAGGCAGGATTGAAAAGGTACGGATAATCCAATAAATGAACTTTTCGCCTAGTTGAGGTGAAGGATAACCAAGAAACTGGCATTTGAATGGGGTCGAGACGGTCACCAAAGTATTCGGCGCGAAAATGGACGTCACCAAGGAGGAGAGATTGACGCTTCTGATCTACTTGACGGTTAGTTTAGAATCTCTCATGATCATGCACAAACACTTACACATTGCCGTCATCAGAGAGATGGCACCACCGAAGGGACCGTCTCCAGAAACATCTGGCTGACCCTCCCATTCATGAAGCATTACAGCCCGTGCCCAATCCAAAAGTAAAACCGGAACCCTTTTCTCGTGCATACTTCGCTCGGCTTTTGAAAAATGTAATATCGGCGGTGTAGAGGACTCGAGATGCGATAGTAATAACTCAACAACGTCAGGTTCTTTAACTCCATCCTCTTTATCTAAGTCTAACTCAATCAGCTCATCGAAGTATCGCCGCGTTGGGATTACCCTAAGTAGCCTCCTTGCCAACCGGAGAGCCATGCTATCTGTGAAAGCATCTTCATATTGCAAACACAGGGAAGTTGGCTGTCTCGCGACCGTACCGCCACCGGCAAGCGATAGTCCGTGGGCCCTTATACGAGACATGTCATTTAATTGCCTTGGATCGCTTACTAACGGCGCCGCGGCAACTAAAGCGTGAAAACATACAGCCATGAGTGATGCAGCCTCTACATTGGTGAACGACTGTTTAGCATCAAGAAACATTTTTGAAGTCGGTGATCTCATAGATTGTAAGGTCTTCGGCGGCGCGAAAAGACCCGCCAAAGCAATCCAGAGGCTATCGAAGACGAGGTTGGGTGCTACTCTTGTTAAGCGTAACATGCAATACCATAGTGTCTGAGAGTCGACGATACCACTGGCGCTGGTAAAGGAGTCTAACACGGCTTGAGGGTCGCTTAGAACATGGAAGATACTTTGTTCGACAAATAGTTTCCACTGGAACTTTAGGTCTTGTGGATAAGGGGCGTGGGACTTTCTTTTTCTCTTCCACGACTTCAGCCGATTTGACGACCGTTTAATCGATTCATCAACGATTGGTGGCTCTAGCATATGCCTCTCGGAGGTAGCGTCTTCTTGTAAAACATCACATATGAAATTGATCGCTTGAACATTGAACCGTCCCAGCGATTGGGGCAAGTAGCTATCTAGCTCAGACGTTGTATCCGTCTTGTCGGTGGTTTCTAGGGCATCTTGAGTATCATCAAGTACGTCTGAGGACCGCGTAGTCTCTGCACTGCTTGATGTCTCTTCACCATTATTTCCATCCGACTGAGGATAGTGCTCATCTACACGGGAATGAGGACTAGGAAGATCTAAGGTTTCCCTCTCCGGTAGTGTATGAATATCGCTCTCCACAACCTGAGATGCTGGCCGGGCTATAGCTGGCGGAGGCCGAATTAGTCCTTTAGAAACCTTCTCCGGCTGGGTAGGAACGCTGGGTGATATGATCGGTGTTTCGTCTACGATAGAGTCGACTGAAGGCTCTGACGCAATCTTGGTCTGCGACTTGGAAACAGAGGACGGACGAATCCGGGCATTCGAAGTCCGTCTTTGATGTGGCGGTAAACCCTGAGGATTGGGGTTAGAAACAGCCGGGCGTTCAGAATGTACTCTCTGGTAAAATCCGGTAACATCGCCTTTAGGCGAGAGAGCTCGGGCAGCATATCGAGGCATGTCAGAGGCCTTTTTAAGGCCCACTTCGTTTTCTGGATCGGGTCTCGACGGAGTAGACGTTGGGCTAGTCCTCCCACTCTGGTCTCCTGATTGAGATGTGCTTTCTCGATAACGTTCAATGGACTCGAGTGTACTGTCTACGATTGAGATTTTGTTTGACAGAGTTTCGACATTATTTGGTGTTAACCACTCCAACATCTTGAACGCGACAGATCCAAACACGTTAGCAGCGAAGGAGCGGTAGTCCTTGCTAACCGACTTTTCAGTAATTTGTACTCCATCAAAGCCATCGGGCCGCAACGGTTGCCTTTTCTTGGTGGTGTCAACTTCGGGAGGCCTGCTCTGGCTCCGGCCTGTCGTCTTGCGATTCATCTGTGCGGATGACGAGGCATTCGATGCCGGTGTTTGTCCCCTTTTTAACGCTACCCGTCCTGGGGCCCCCTTGGGAGATTTGACTTTGGCAGCGCCCGCGTGAACCGGGCCAGCTGCATCGCTGGAAGGTGTCGTGTACTTTAAACCGAATATGAGGGGTTTTATAGCGTCGCTAGGACCGGCTGGAGGGTGTAGATGGGGACATAGTCGATCATCGGCATCGTCCTGGCTTGCGAGGAATATGGCTAGAGTCCTTGCACTGGTTGGGTTATATCGACGAATCGGGGCTTTACCAGCCAGTCGCTTTCGGCAACTAAAACAAGACGGGGTAGTACACGCGCTGAAGCCGCACCCGTACCGCAGTTGGGTGATGAACCTATAGCAAGTTAGCGAGTTAGCAAGTTGGTTGAGTTGGTTGAACGGAATGCGGACGAGAGGTGCGCGGTGCGCGGGGGTAAGACAATTTCAGAACTTACTTCTCGACTATCAACTGTAGATCGTGGCGGCGGCTGGCGCGGTGGATAGCGTAAACCCTCCTGGGATTCTCAACATCAATAACCAGTTCCTTCATCTCGGATGGCGCATCGGCGGGTAGCCTTGGGAATGGGACCTGTTCCCAGAGGGCATCTAAGATTTCGGCATCGAGAATATTGTTGCCAGGATCGTTGTCCACTGGCCGATTTACTTCCCGCGTCATCACATATGGTATGGGCTGGGCCGCCCCCTTTTATAGGAAGCCAACGTTGGATGGTATAGGCGCAAGTTTGAATACCAGGTAGGTAGTAAAAAGGTTCGATTGCGGGTGAAAGTTTATCGAAGAAGCTAAAACCCAGCAACGATAATTTTAATTAATGGAGGTGGTGAATGTTTGGCAGTAGAGCAGATAGATACAAGGAGGATGTCAGGAAGGATGTACCCAAATGGAACTTGGTGGCGCAATTCCCCGATTGTATATACGGTTAGGCTTAAGCTTAGGCTTAGGTCATCAAAATATGAAAGGAAGGAAGGATTAGTTATTGTTCAACTGCGAATGCTGAATGCTAGCACCTAGTGTGTAACATATAACTTATAGCGCGGCGGAATGTAAATGAGATAAATAATGTAGATACCTGATTTATGTAAGATTGGTTATGATAATGTAGCACTGATGGGTATCAGCTCGAGCGGCACTCCAACACCTGAACGAGGAACGAGGAACGAGGAACGTACGAAGTTTCCAAGGTTTCCAAGGCTGAATGCTGAATGCATCCCCGTCTCCCGTTTATTGGCTCTAGCGTCATGTACAATACACTGTGCTACTGTTAGGAGGTACCTACTGTACTTATACTACGGACATGCATGGAGCGCATCACTTATAACTTAAGGGTCCCCCCACAGCTGCATTCTACCTACCTCTTAATAACCGGAGATCTTAGGGGTAAGTACATGTATAGAGATCATGAGATATCTAGGTACCTACTACTACCTAGGTAGGTAGTTACATTGTATTTATAACAGGTAACTCGTGTAATACGTGTAACTTTTCAAATATCAACTTGGTCAAGTAAAGGCATTTATGTATAGAAAGTTATAGATTATTAGGTACCTGTTTAAAAAGTGTTTACTATTTGGGGCTTTATGTAAAGCATGAGTTGTAATGGTATACTTAGCAGGTAGTTATCCACCTAAGATAAAACTCTTGGTGTATTAGTTATAATATTGTATTAGGTTAGGTAGGTAGCTGTTATGTATGTCTATATTGTCCTGCATGTGTTCAATGTTCGACGGCGTATACTAGTAAACTATCTGTTAAACTTGTTCAAACTCAAAACTGTACTTAACATAATGAATCGAAATAGATTATTACAAGAAATTCATGGTAGGCTATTTTATGTAGTATGAATTAAGTAACTTGAATAAAAATTGGTAGTGAATGGAACAGCTACATTCAATGTTGCTTCGACAAATGATGACTTACAGAAACATGTCTAGTATCCGCATTTGCGCAAGTTTCGTCTGGTCTGCTTGTCAAAATATATATTCCAATTAGCTCATATTATGAATTATGATTGCTTAGGTACCTAAATATCAAAGGACTTTTATTTCTTTTAGTAGGTATAGGTAGGTAGTCACTTGGAAACAGTCCGGACAACCTTATGTGAGTGACAGGTATTTTAGCCTTTGGTGCATACCTGAATGGGTGCTTTAGGTACCTTGTATACCTAGGTAAGGGTTAGCCAAACCGTTCATCTGGATTCTGCAGTCATTTGTCAGATTACAGTGTATGTACCTTACTAATGCCTGTGGGATGGGTCTAGAACTGACGTATGAGTACAACAAAATAAATTTTTTTTTTTTCGGCAAAGAAGTTGGTAAGGCAGGAAAGAAGGGTAAAAATAGCCCCACCAACGCCACTCCGACTAAGCAGAATTTCAATGATTTAATTTTGTAACTTTGATCAATTCCCATTTCCACCTTCGTTTTGCGACTTTCGCAACCCGTCAATCCGGTTGTAAGGCCACAACCTTTTTTACAAACCAAAAGTCCTCGACGTCTGGTTTTGGTACCTAATCCTCTATCAGGATTTTGTCTTCATTATTTCCAATTGCGCTCCTAAAATCTGAGCGATTTTGGTACATACGGCATTTGCGACTCTGTGACCTACCTAGGTAGTCGCATAGAAGAATTAAAGCCTCACCAACCCCTCCCCCTCCATTAGGTATTTATTTTGAGCGCAACATAGAAAGTCGAACCGTCAGAATTGGAACTAATAAACTCTGTTCAGCCGTCGCTTCCGTTCTTAACATATCTTGTGCTCTGCAGAAGCATCAATCTTCCCCTCAATCTACTTCAACCTCCCGCCAACACTACTTGCGACCAATTCGCCAAATTCTCCCGTTTGTATTTCCATCCATAATGGCCACCATCACTGGGAGCAGACCCGCGGGTGCGGCTCTGCATAATCAGCAGGAACCCGCGCCGTCCTCCCATCAATACACTTGCAACACATGTCAAGTAGCCTTCCGTTTTGCCGACACCCAGAAAGGCCACATGAAGAGTGATTGGCAGTATGTTTTCCTTTTCCTTTGTCTTCTTTGATATGTCTGGAGTTATTAAGCTAACACGTGCCGTTTCCTTTTCTCCTATAGTCGATACAATCTTAAACGTCGCGTTGCATCGCTTCCTCCCATTTCGTCTGAAGTCTTCACCGAGAAGGTCCTTCAGGCTCGTGCTGCGACCAGCGCCGAGGCGGACCGTGCCGGCTTTCAGCAGATCTGCGAAGTCTGTCAGCGGACTTATTACAGCGAGAATTCTTTCCGAAACCATATTTCGAGTCAGAAACATAAGGCACGCGAAGCAGCTGTACACCATCGGGGACCTAGTCAAGATGATGCCAGTTCCGTTATGAGCTCTACCTTCTCTCTCGGTGATCCCATACATTCAAATAGCAGCGAAATTGACCCTATTGCCGACAATGAGTTCAATGAAGTGGTTGAAGGTATTCAAAAAACCAGCTTGACAGACCGTCCTTCCCCAGTTAAGCGGCCATCAAATCCCCATCCTTCTGCCGAGGCACAGCACAAGAGAGAACACCCCGTATCAGAAGATGCTAGTGAGGCAACCTCTAGCACTTCAACGCCTGTTCCGAACCTTACGTTGAAATCATGTCTATTCTGCAACTATGATTCGCCAACTGTGCCTCTCAACGTTGTTCACATGGAACGCATCCATAGTATGTTTATTCCCGAGAAACAATATTTGGTTGATCTCGATGGCCTTATTGGAGCATTACAACAACGGATTCAGGAGTTTCACGAATGCCTATATTGCGGAAAGGTCAAGAACAGCGCGCTTGCTGTACAAACGCATATGCGTGATAAAGGTCATTGCAAGATACCTTATACTTCAGAAGATGAGCAGGTTGAGATCGGCGACTATTATGACTTCAGAAGCACATACTCGGATGGCGAAGACTCGGAAGATGAGTCGGTTGAGGATGGTCAACAGAATGGAGGGGCTAAGCTTGGGGCTAGACGATCGGCTAAGGCAGTAGGCGAAGATGGAGACGAGGTCATGGATGATGAAGGTTGGGAAACCGATAGTTCTACTTCATCTTGCAAGTCTGAAGATCTAGGTCCTATTCCTGTCGATAATCACCTTCGGCAGTATGAGCGACTCGAGAAGCATCCCCACCACTCATCTCGCGATCCCCGACACCACCACCAAATGGATGGTTGGCACTCGCATGCTCACAGGCATCGTGCTATCTTTTATGATGATACCGAGTTACATCTGCCTTCAGGTCGTGCAGTCGGTCACCGGTCTCTGGCCAAGTATTATCGCCAGAACCTACACAATTATCCTACAGCGGAGGAGCGTGCTGAGAGACTTGCTATCGAAGCAGCTTCAGCCGAAGGTGATGATATGGATATTGACAACGATGAGAAGAAGGGCAACGGCCAGGTTATTCGACGCGAAGGTCGCGGACGTAAGGGTGCCGTCGTAAGCCGAGCGAACGGTGGAACTGGCATGTTAGGAGTAACAGATCAGAAGAAGAAAGAGGTGGTTCGTGCCGAGCAGAGAAGCCGTAAGCAAGAGCACAAGGCGGCGAGACAGAAGGAGTGGGCACTTAACAAGCAAGCCAACCACCAAAAGTATTATAACTACCAGATCTTGTAAAACTTTAGGCAAGATTTTGGAGTGTCTTGCAGCATGGCTCAGGAACCGGAAGTGTTACCTTACCGTCATGGACAAGTGCCTAGGTACAAGGGTATTCTATGGTATTCTATTCTAGTCGGACTGCAAATTTAACTTGGCAGACCGAACTATGTAGTCGGTATATAGAAGACGCAGTTGACAATAGTAAAACAACGTTGCGCTTATGAAGGCTTTTGTGCAATGGTAGTTACAGACTTACAGGCCGTTGATAGGTAACTCGGGATAGGCACGGGAATATGACGTCGGGCCAAGATAAGGTACCTTACCTTAGCACAATACAAGGTCGTGTGCTATGTCCAGGATAAGTCGGATAAGGCACTTAGGTTAACTCTATCTAGGTAGGTACCTAGGTATTCAAACCTGCATAGGTTAGGTTAGGTACTGACAGACACACCGCTGAGCCAAAAGTGTATTTCTTAATAGCACAAGTGCTATTACAGTCTATCTGACCATGAGTGGTATTACCACCTCATAGGTACCTACCTAGGTATGTAACTGGCAAATAGAAATTTAACTGGGTATCTTGCTTCGAATAGCTCAACTTGTATAATGGAACGCCGTCTGACAATTTAAGATTTAAGTGTTATAAAGACACTTCACAATGGCATTCATAACAGGTACTTAATAGTCGAAGAGCTTATGGAGAAAGGAAAAATCTACGATAGTTAAATTCCTCCAATAAATTCCTCGTATCTATAGAAAGGTTTTTAAACCGTGTAATTGAAATTATAACCCCCCTCCAGACTAACCAGCGCAAAATACAGTGGTCTCCCACTTATAACAGGTACACTATTCTTGAGCCACGGAAGGTAGGTATGAGGATGGCATCCTTAACCCCTACTCGGTGCGGGCGGCGGCGGCGGTTAGCTCCCTATGGTGGCGTGTAATGTCCTCGTCCATCTCCATCACCTGTGGTTTTATCCGAGGTTCAACATATAACCGTCTAGGCCTTAGTATCTCTTCATTATTCTCTTCAAAAAATTGCAGGAATTTACCGCCTCGGGGATCTTTTTGGTCTGCCTGCTCTTTATTGACCGGAGCCTTATTAAGGTTCAGCAAGTCTTGGATGAGTTCCTTTTCCACTCGGCTCATCGCGTCTTCAGCCAGCATGAGAAAGTCTTGCTCCTGGAAGGCTGATATATAATAAGATAGGAGGTCCCTTATCGGTACCCAAGAGGGTGTACGGATACCTCGAACCATGGTCCAGTCTTTTAAAGCTGGTGAATAGTGGCCTCCTCTGAGATGTAGGCGTGCACTCCAGTGTATCAACTGTCCGCAGCCAATCTCTTTTCCCGGTTTTCTTCGCCGGGTTCCCATGAGTCTGCGTAATAATTCCCAAGCAAATTTTCTCGGTGCTGTTGATCCAAAATTTTAGCGCCTGTCCACCATTGAGGTAGGTAGGTAGGCAGGTATTCAGTATTATAAACCGGCAGCCTTACCTCGTTGAAAACTTATCTTTGTCGAACTTTGGCTAGATAGCCCCCCACTTATCTTCTCCTTAGGAGCATTTGCTGATGTCCTTGTATGAGAGTGCCGGCGTAGTAGTCGGGGGGAATCTACCTCATAGTCATTTTGGTAAGTAGCAGTGGAGTTCGCGCTGCTGGGACTATCTTGGTCGGTAGTCTGGGCAGCATTCTCAAGTAAAAGCTTCTTAGGCTCAAGCAAATCATACAACGTCTGGTTGTCAAAATCTGCGCCTGCCGTAGTTAGATGAGCAATCATCCAAATCAGAGATGTGTCGCTAAGTAAGGCGCTGTCTATGTTCCCACCTCCAACATCTCCGTGCTCCCCCAAGAACCAGCACTGCTTCATAAGATATAGTGGCGGGTGAAATCCGCGGCTAGATTCCGTTGCACGTCCAGGTTCCCAGATAACTGGCTCAAAGTGCTTCCTGATTTCATCTAAAGCAAGAGCATGGTAGCAGTGGTCCACGTTGTCAGGTATGACTGCACGTATAGAACGAAACGCATTATCCGCTGGCTGGGGAAACTGTAAGGGGATTGGGATCCCAAGAGCACTTACAGAGTCCCAAATCCCAATGGATTTAATTCGGATACCCCTGGAAGTAAGCAGCGCCCTCTCAAGTTCCCCTACATACGAATGAAGGCTGTCCAACTCCTGAAACTTTTCTTTGGAATTTTTCTCGTGTACAACAGCTTTCCACCTTTTGAAAAGAACCGGAAAATAGGTTAAACCTGACTTGGTAAGGATACCGATATCTTTGATAAGCCTTGCTAAACAGCAGACTGTATAGGCGCCGCGAGAGAACCCGACAAGGTGAATTTCGTCCTTATCCTTGTTAAAGTTGTGGCATAAAAAGCTGTACGCATCTCTGATGTTGGTGGATATGCCTGTGAAAGTTGGTTCTTAGTCCATGCAACTACACAGTTTGATATATCTAAGTGATCTGGAGTTTACTAGACCGCATATAGTACCTCTACCAGTAGCGCCATCTATAACTCTCCCGATTGTGGATGATCCCCGGCCAATCCCTGTCTGATAATGCACAATTTGAAGGATCTGGGTACCATTTTTGAAGGAAACGGCCTTGACGCATCGAGCAAGTCGAGCAACATTTGTAAGGGGGGCGGCAGTGTTGACGGCGTCCTTCCACGTCCCATCGCAGCAAACAAATAAGCGCTTCTTGGGGCATTCGGTAACCGGTTGTGCAGCATCTGGTGATGACTGATTTGTAGCCATTGATAAGTAAAGCTGTGTCGAGGAAACGTTCAGAACCACATCAGGATTCAGATGAAGTGCCTCTAGGTAGGCACCGAAGAAATATCCAAGGATAGCTCGACGGATAACTGCCCAAATACTAAGGCGTCAGGCAAGCGGGTGACAAAACAACTTGCAGACAGACCGTGTTAAGGAGGCTCAAAATAAGCAAATTGTTTTGTCATCCACCTTGTCAGGCTACACAGCTTTATCAGGTTTGAAGTAAGCCACGTAAGAAATTTCACTATCAAGAATTGATGAGGTGGATAGTACACCTATCATAGAGTAGCATTTGCAAATTCGACGCGTGAATCGGCGAAGAAGAATAGTTTGATTGGAGTTTCTCCGTGGAACATATCTGCGAAGCAACCGCTCAACGGAGACCAAGTAGCACTTAAATATTGCATTATGCCCGAACCTCGAAGGGAGTTATTTATCAGAGCCTTATGCTTACCATGCCCAACTTTGAACAGAGTGTTGGGGTTGCATCCACTACAACACAAAGTGTAGGACAGCTCTTGGATATTGTCATAATAAGAGTCAAAGCGTGATAGCCCTGCGTTCGACATACTCCCTATTTGTCCAAAGACCAAGTAAGTAACGTAACATAAGAGGTAGATTAATGGATACCAAGAGCAGGAGAGCTCTACGCATATAGTAGGTGTCGCTCGCAATGTCTTAGATATTAGAGGTGGTTATCAATAAGCGAGTATAACTGGTCAATAAAGGTCCAGGTTCCGAAACAATGACCTTGAAGTGTAAATGCGGCTCTGCCGTATCTCGACTCATGGTTCATAATGCATTGGCCAAGTGCTGTTAACTTCGCGACGTTAAGATAGATCTTGAGGCTAACTCAGGTACTTATATCTGACTGCTCCAACCCTGAGAAGTGCCCTAATTCTAACGAGATATTGAGTGGCCAATGCGCGGTAGAGACAACCAAAGCTGTGATCAAAGCCACACAAGCCCCCAAGCCGTCTCAATAACCAAATGCGTACCTACCTACCTACCTCTAACCGAAGTCAATGTGACAGGTACCTAGGTAGTATGTATATCCACCCCCATGAGCCCGTGTAGAGAGATTGCAACTCCTTCCCGCGCCGTTTGTTTAGAAAGAGGCACGTCAAGCCATTATCTGATTTCCACTAATGCCTAGTCTCGTCTAAGCTAATATAATAAAAGTAGCCGGAGGATCGAATGGCTAGTTATATTGACTGTCGCGTAGGTAGTTCTCAATACCTTAGGAGGTAAGTCTACATATCTGGTAGTTAGACTAAAGGGTCATGAAGTACGGTACCTACGCCGCGATAGAACCTAATTAACGGCCTCTCTTACTTGGCCTTATCTCCAGCTAAGCACTACTCCCCGGAGGAAAATAAAATAAAATAAAAAGAACGCCATCTCCTTCTCGCTTAACCCCAGGTTCGCAAAAAAGATACCTAGGCAGCGAGCGCCGCCTGTATGTACGTATTCATTAGTGCGTTCCGACCGGACGGATCCGCCTTATCGCTACCCTAGGTAGGCATGTTTGTAGCGAGACCGCCACCAAGGGCAAGGCGTTCTGGGGCTGTCTAGATTCCTCCATCCCACAATGGAGAGTAGAAGGGGGCCCGAGGGTCTAGAACCGGGTTTGCGGATTGGTTAAGTTACGGGGCTGTGCCGCGTGGAGGGATCGGAGATAGTGCAAGTTAGGTTAGGTACGCTCAGACTTTATTTACACTACGGGTGTGTTAGCTAGGCGGGGAAGGGGGAGGGAAGAGGTGACATCTCCTAGGTTAGGTGCCTCATTAGACTTATTAGACTACCTAGATTAGGGTAGACTATTTAGTTAGACGCTTATTAGATTGAATGCCTTTTTTTCAGCTTGGTTATACATGGAACTGGAAGTTATGTTAGGTGAGAGTGAGTGAGCATGACTTTGAGCCGTCACGTAGGAATATTCAGGCGGATTGAACTACCTAGTAACTCATAAATCCATCTATGTAAACCGATGAGATGAGTCGGAATTATATCTACCCTTCATTTTGAATGAACGAATCAATCTTACTTCAGGTATACAGTTAGATTTTACCCCGTTAGCATGAGTCTAGCCTCAACTGAGGTTGTGTTTGAGTTAGGTACCTAAGGTAGTTGCACTTTTATATGGACGCGTCAACAGTAAGCTCCTATTTAGCCCCCAACGACTCTGGTTTCGAATGGGCGCATCGCTTGATAGTCTCGTGTACCGAAGACCCGGGACAGCTGAATAGGTAGGCATTGGTATTGTTTATTGGCTACCTGGTAACTATCACAATCTCATCACCAATCAACCTCGGCATCTTGTTTGTTTTTTGCCCATGTATGTAGTTTCCCGTCCACAACTCTTAAAACGCCCGTGAATCCATCCCATCCCATCCATTGCAAGCAAACACTGTTCGCGGCGGAGTACATAGGTACACTCATCATCATCCTAACGTGGCTGTGTCCCTCTTTGTGGATATGCGCAAGGGAAATAAAAATGAAGCATATTTGCCTTTCCCTAGTTATTTCCTTTTGAGTTCAGGTCCGGTGTCAGTATTATCATCCACTTATATTATATAATTAGGATATATGGAACTAATGGATGGATTGTAACAGGTAGGTCCAGTATAAAAATCCACCGATTCCCGTTGAACCAGACAATCATCCTACCCGAATAAATGAATTTATACTCGGCCGAGAAGGCAGATTTTCTCTTGTTTTGTATTTTTTGTGCGAATGGTGCCTCCCCAAACGGGCGAAATTCCGCTTCAACCCGAAACGCGGAAGGATTGCCCAGAGGCTTTTGGTCGTTTTCGAGAAGCTTCATGTTATTCACCTCGGTGATCCTCGCGGGACTTTCCCATGCCAGGGACTTGAGTTAGAAACTCATCTACCTGCCTTTCTGCTATAGAGTTGAGGTATATAACCCGTTAAGGGATGAATAGATGATGCACCGAGTTATTATTGTCATGATGCATACCTAGGTTACCTACATTAGGTAAACAACATGTAGCAATAGGCTATTTAATATCATCTATTTCTGGAACCAATTTGCCATCTGCAGCTGGCATAGGGAGGTAGTAGCATATGATGAAAAAATAAAATGAAGTAGTAGAAAGGTAAAAAACAAATACCGAGGGAGCACTGCATTACAACGGGTCGGTGCAACCGAACCAGAACTTTACCAAGCGGGCAGTTAGTTGGAGCTTATTAAGACGGGAACGATGCAAACTAAGATATGATCTCGCATATGGAAAAATTACCTACCTCTTACCTGGTACCTAACCTAACCTAACTAATATAATGTATGTAACACAGGTGGTGCCCAAATATAGGAATTTTAAAGTGTACCTTAGCTACCTGTGGTGTGCTGCGTACAATACATAATACCACCCTCTTGCTATTACTGAATTGGTAATTAATTAATTCGTTAGCGCTAAGATTAAAGCGACGTTTATTACGAGTTTAATTCACAAACAGAACCAAAAAAAAACAATAGTCTGCCTCTGCGCCGGTGGATCCTACACTTCTGTGCCACCGAATATCTTCTTCGCCGTTCGTGTTATACATAGTGTATATGCAGCTAAGGTAATAAATCATATTAATCACTCAAAAGCAAAAGGAAGAAGAGTCATCTTCTGTTACCGAATGTTGGATTTCCATTTCAGTAAATTAGCTAACTATTGGTTTATCTGTCGGTCACGCCGACAGGATCCCTCATCAATGCTCTCAACGTCATTAACAATCCAATACGAAGTTACCCAACCCACGATGAATTTCTTTTTTTTGGCTTCCCCTCAAGAACCCGGAACTCCAGTCATCTGTATATCCCCCCTTTATCATTATGTCCCTATAGGCAATCAATGCCAGAATGCATGCTATCCGCCGCTTTCCACAGCACCAATTATGCCAAAAACCCGCCATGTTCTGCACCTCTTGACCCCATCCCATTATTAAGAAATGCTGTGTGTGTAGGTATCATGACGGCAGTGTTACACCCAGTCTATGGGGAAAGCAGCAATGATGGAGGTGAGAATTATTCAACCTCTTTTTTAACGTCTTACACCGCTCGGTAACAATTTGCGCCTTTACCCCCCACCCAAAAATCCGTAACTCCTGGCTATAATGCATCAAACCAAAAGAAAAGAGAAAAGAAAAAAAAAAAAAAAAACAACAACAAATAAAATGTTTATCGTGAAGTGATGCTACTTCCGAACATACGGCCCCACATACCCCTTCCGGTTTTCGCACGCTTCGTTTTCGCACTTCCATCCTGGAGAGCTCGTAAATCATCGGCGCTAATCTCGTATGGAAGTAGCTGCTTGGCGTCCTTGCTGCGGTATACTCTGTTACGAGCAGCCGGCTGTGGCATGTCGATAACCACCTCAACCGGAGAATCGTAGAGTGAGCCATCCACGTAGGAGACGTAGCTGTCGCCCGGTTCTGATAGCGGTGTGGACGACCGAGAGTGATGCAGAGAGGTAACCGAGGAAGCATAAGAGCTGCCACTGCTGCTGCTTGCTGACGAGCTGTAAACCAATTCCGGTGGCGTGGACGCATCCTGCGCCATGCGAGCGGTTTCGTAAGGTGGCGTAACTTGCCTCGACCGCGAGCTGTCGCGCGAGCTCGGAGGCGACGGGAGCCGAGCTGCCCATTCTTCGGCCTCTTGCTGCTTCCTTAACTTTTCCTTGCGCTGCAAGCGACGGGCGTGAGCGGCCTCAATGTTGTCGCGGATAGGTGCCAAGAAGAGGTCCAACTCGCGGTAGAGGTCCTCTTCAGTAATGCGCAGCTCCCATTCTAGTAGGAAGAGCAATTGCTTCTCCATCAAGTTAACTTCTGTCCGGCTGAAACCGAAGCTGTATGCTTCGGTATTCATGTGACTATAGCCAGCCCAGTGCTTATTCTTAGGTGAGCTGTCGTTGAGATACTTCGCAGCGAGAATGAGCGCAGCCAAGAAAATCCGATGGGTCGTGCATCGCAGACCCTTGGCCATGGGCTGAAGTCGGGACTTTAACCGAGTCAAGTAGACCAGGGTAGACATCAGAGTCGGGACCTGCACGTTGGAAGAGCGAACCAGCTGAGTGATAAACTCTTCTAATGTCGGTAGACTGCTGTCGTCGCAACGGACCGCTTTCGGAGACGGCGTTCGGGGTGGTGTAGCGTACTGCGACTTGTTCTGAACCGGAGGAGGCATCATAGTCGGATCGCACTGGATGACATCGCGCGCTGCACGGGCCAGATATGCGATCATAGCCGGGCTTACTGGCTTATATACAAAGTGCTCAAGGGCGGCGGCGTTGAGCTCGCTCATAGGTATCCCGGATGTCGAAGACATTATGTATGATGGGGTGATGTGCGTTGCTAAGACGAGGTATCAAATGTTTATGATATCCGGCAACGACCTTGATTATATTCCCAAGTGCAACGACAACTTGGGAAAGAAAAGAAAAAATATAAAAATCCGGGGAAGCGAAGACGAATGGGATGGACAAGTTGGTAATATATTAAGCACCAACGGTGTGTGACCAGGGATGTTTAGCTTGTGTGAGTGTGGGAGTATGCGATAGGATGGAGGAACGTGGAAAGGTGTATCACGAGGCGGAGCCTGTGGTCATATCAGAACTGAGAATGACTTAGTAGGCGCAACTCTGAACGACCACTTAATTCCCACAAATTACTGTGAAAGGGTACTTTCAAAAGGTACCTTCCTCTGCGTTGTGTGACGTGAGGATGGCCGAGGATGGGATGGTCGAGGCTGAGCCAAAGTAACTCAAGTACTGGGATACCTGGCAAGATCGACTGCTGACGTGCCAAAGTCGCCTGGGCTTGGTGGGCTTTGGTGGGCTTGGTGGATTTGGGTGGGTTACTAGGTACTTGGCTGGGCTGGAACTCGGAAAAGAGAAAGTACCTTAGGTAGGTAGGTACCCAAATTGTGTCAGGGGTCCAAATTTATGAAGTTGCAGAGCCTACCAAAAAGGAGGTGGCAGCAGCTAGTGGCAGGTGCTTGGGATATGCAGCTGCTTGTGCCTAGTTGGTGCGGGTGCCCTAGGTACCTAGGTTAGGTAGGTTTAGGTATGCAGGGGTTAGAGAGGGAGGGGTCAGGCTCCCTATCTGGACTCCGGATTTGACCGGCAGGGAGTTTCCCAGTTGCCTAAGTTGAATTGAACTTCAAAAGCGGGCCTCCCGGATCTGATTCGGAGTGACGGGACTCGATTCGTTTATTAAAAAAGAAAGTTGTTAAAGCTTAATGAATTGTCTCGCTTCTCTCCGGACGGAGTCAAATCGTTGCAAAACTGAATTAACCTCACTATGCTGTTCTTTCCCTTTCCCTCTTATGGATTAGGAATAGGATGATGATGATGAATCAACTGTCGCTTGTACGCGTAGTTGATATGTGGCTTCACTATCAAAAAGTGGATTTCCTTTTTATTCCCTTTCGGGCTGTCGAAGGCGTAGCAGTGCAATGGGGCCGATTGCGTAGACTGGGGGTTTTATGAAATATTAATGCCTGCGGTGCTGACGTGGATGTAGCTACCAGAAGGCGAAAGGCTGCCGAATTGTTTATAGGCGATGGCTAAGTCAACTAAGCAACTAGGCTTAAAAAGAAAACTTGGTCCGCTCAGAAACGAGTGGCGACAATGTGAAAAAATGAAGGCGAGGTTCCCGAGCCGGCGGAAGACCTGGATAATACTAGATTGGTTGGGAATGATCGTAAAGATTCGAACAACTCGAACTGCAAATAACGATTGTGCCTTGGTCAGAAAATCCTGGCAATAAAATATCTCCGAATGAGAGAGATGGTACGTCGTCTTTCGTAGGCTGAATGGCCGGAATGGTCGCCAATGTGAAAAAGACTGACGAATCTGCAGCTGATTGCTGACGACTAAGTGAAAAAAGTGAGTGAAAAGGTGGCTCCCGATGGCTCCGAGCCTCGAGGCGCAGTTTATTCGGGGTCTGGCCGGGGGATCTTATAAAAGTTGGAATGAAAGAACCTCGAACCTCGGGTTGGATTTTGAGTCACGAGGCCGGACTAGGTACTAGTAAGACGACGCGCAAAAAGCTTCGTAACACTAAATTGATGAGCGAATGGAGTGAATTGTAATAAGTAATATTCAAATCAAACCAAAACACTACTACAACTATTTTGTTGTCAGGTAGCGGTGTGACTGTGACTAGTTGTGTCTCGTACTCATAACTCGACTGTGTCGTGTCTTGTGTCCCGAAAGATTAACTTGGGTTGAAGTGCAAGCAAAGCCTAATATATACCTATAGGTAATAAGATCTACCCAAGTATTTTTTATTAAGACCCGGGGGAGGGGGGGCAACTTTGTCGATCCTTGTCAAGGAGGATGTCGTGGAAAAGAGGGGCTTTCCAAATGGCAGATTGAAAGATATGCGATAGCAATTAATTGCCGAATAGTTCCGTTGGGAGGGAAAGTAAAGATGATGATAATGATAATGATGATGGATATGATTAAGACTAGCCGGAGTCTAGAAGAAGTGGGTTTCGTATCGTGAAAATCTCGTATCGATCGTTAACATCAACGTGTGTGTGTGGCTGTCTCTGCCGTAATGATAAATAATCGGTTCCCTTCAATACTATCAATACTGTCGAAACAAGACCAAACTCATTCCACACGGTGGATTACTTTTTTTTAAGGCTTATCGACTAGCGGTGCTCTCTATAATGATGAAAGGGAATACTGTGATAGAAGGGATCTGAAGGAGGGAGGAGTAAGAAAAAAGGAGTGTGCGTCTTCAGATCTATATCTATTTTTTTTTCCTAATAAGGTTCCATCTGTTGCGAATCGTAGGATATACAGTTAAAGATGCTACATAGTAAAGGGTGGTAAAGGTATGTCGCGTAAATGGCTACGAATGGCCACGAATAGACCAGGGACCCAGTCCAGCCCATCTTACCTATTTCACCTATTCGCTCGTTTCTATTCGCCCCTAAAGTTGGGAACGTTTGGGATGTTTACAAACGTTAGACCCCCCAAAAAGGCTGGAGCCGCCATGATGTGAATGGCTGGCGGCTTACAACTCATCCAGGCAGCCCAGGGACCCGCCCGCCTACAGTATGCGCCCGCATGATCCCTTTGATTGAGATGGGTTAAGAATGACGGGAATGATGAATGATACATACCTGGTAAGAAGCGGGTGAATGGTTCATTGGTGTAAGTGGTTCAGAGCTTAACGATATGAAACAAGCGGGAGAGGGGTCGGGACTAGGCTAAGAAAGCTCACTGGAACCATCCGGGGCCAACCTTTTTACAGGCCTACCTTTTACTGGTCTACCTTTTACACGTTGCTACACTAGCGTGCGAGGGGAAGTTGCTCTACACTACACTAGTCGCCCAGGGGACCTGCCACAAGAAACAATGTACATAGTAGCTGCGTAGACGTTGTACAATGCAATTAGAGGTACATACATTATAGCGCCTAGATGGCGCTACCCGCTACCCAGGCGCTAGAGCTACCTATCCACGTACATGAATAGCGATACATCTTACAAGTGCATACAGGCCAGTTGTAATGTGAGCCAATTATTCACTCCCTTTTAACCAATTGAACATAATGTAGCGAACCTTAACTTAGAATCGAAACATCTTTATACAACCCATCAGCGAATGAACGCTGGGAAACTGACCACTTCCGTCGCGATCTTCTTCATTATATAGCAAGCACATGGTAACCCACGGTACTTCATTATACGCGTCCTTGTCTCGACAGGTTGTACGCGTGCCTTATGTACCTATCCATGTTTTGTTGTTTGTATAGAAATATAAAATAAATAGAAATAAAAATAATGACCTACCAATGGACCTGTGTCGTCAACACATGGATCTGGGGAAACGGGTCGAAAATACAGTTACACCTGATCGAGACCAATCAATCTTGCATGACGAGAAATCAGATTACCGGACTGAAAAGAGAACTCGACCTTAGTTAGAATATTGATTCATTGTACACCAATTCATCTCGGGGATAGCATCGTTCGTCTAACGACATCTACATCCACCCTGCCAAGTAGCCATTATCTTATAGATTCAAGATGGATCTCGAAACGAAACGAAACAAGGGCTGTTTATCACCCCGGGGCTTTCCCCAGTTTTTCCCTTTCTTCAATGCCCAACTTACGTGGAGAGTGTTCCGCTGCTTGGAAGATCTTTGACCGACTCTTCCCACCTAGGTAAGACTTTTGCTAGTAGCCTTAGTATATCTTCAAGCAAGCCGCGGTGTGCATATCGATACGATATCGTCAATTATCGATAATTGGTGGAATGTGTCTTTCAGGATGAAAAACACGGTTACAGCCAATGGCGTGCTGTATAGGCTACTACCGTCGTGGCAAGGGCCCACGCAAGGGGGCAAAGGAACACATGCCAATGACTACCCAAGGTACTTACTTAAGGTAGGTACCTAATGTAGCGACAACATAGTGTATTATCACGAATGGTCTTCAAAAACGGGTCCTGATATTTGTTGCTTCCATCTATCGAAAAGTTCGTCACTTTGGTTGGCCCCTCCTATCGCCTTGCCCAAATACCTATGCACGCATGGTCCGGTTTTGATGACTTGAGTACTTGTAGTTGGCTTGTGGATGATGAAATAAAATAGTTATGACCCAATACGAACGTCTACGTGCGGTATCATTACAGGAAAACCAGATTGACCAATTTAGTCGTGTTCATACATTAGGATTTACACATCCGTGCTGACCCCCTCCAATATCATCAATATGTATTTCCTAATTTGGACGACAATGTCGCCGTTGTGGCGTTTCAAGATTTATCCGAAATCTCCCTCGCAACCCCTTGAATATGAGAAATCTACCTACATCGTCATCAGCAATTATCGCTGGAATGAGGTTCCCCTCTAGTTACCTAGTAGCTCCTTGGTTAGGGGAACTTTTGGCTTGGTATATTACATGGTATCTTCTTCCCCTCACTCAAAACTCAAAAGTCAATAACCCCCCTGAAGCCACGCATTCCATCACCTTGCGCTGAGAGTCCGTGCGATGCTAACCTACAACCTGGGCCCTGGGGAATGTCTTATCCAGCCCTAGCCAACGATCTTGGTCAGTGTCACGGGCCACAGACCCAGATTGCCAATCACGATTCTCATAAGCACCGTCATCATCCCTGATCTCTTGATAATTACCGCATCTATTACAATATCAGCTAAGGGCCATCGATAAACGAGCGTAAGTGTACACATTTAGAAACCGAAAAGCAACTCGCATCACCGTGATGACTTGGCAGGTCGCAAACAAGCCCCTCCGTATCCAACATCAGGTCATCCCGCATGGCACTTCGCAAGGTTTTCTAACCCAAATCAATTCGAGTATCCAGCAGCAAAAGGAAAAGGAATGATGCATCGCATTTGACCGACAACCTTCTCTTAGTGTAGGTAGGTACATGTAGTTCCATCTACATACCGCAACCCGGGCCGACCCCATCCCACAGTGAAAAAACCTTGCAACTAAGCAAGAAACCGTTCGGGCCAAGACTTCACCGCCGTTCGGCAACATCTGAGAAGCAATATATTCCCACTTCCAGCTATCCGTAGAAGGAAGCTGAATATTACTGTACTATGTACGTGGGGACCTACTATATATGCATGTATCTAGTATAGTCGTCCGTATTCCTGCCGGTATTCCTACCGGATAGCTGCCGGGCTGCTAAGAGAGGAAATGCAGGGACCAGGAGAAAATCGTGATCGGCTATTGGCTGCAGCCGCCTCGAATCGAAACAATCTATATGGGATCTAGTAACATTTCATGGCCGTGTGGCTGATGACCTAGACCTTTTTCTCTCCGGACCGGTAAGGATCAGTGCTCGGTAGACCAAATGGCAGGTGCAGATGGGGTCAGCCACGTATTCCGTATATTATGCCTCTGCCTCATGAGGCGATAGACAGCGCATTCGTACATTATATTTACGTACATGCCTAACCTATTGGAACTATACCTTAACATAGTATAGGTATACTATGTTAGGTATACATTAGGTTAGGTACACATATACACACACATACATATATATCCATATCGATCACATAGGTATTAGTAGTATATTATTTTAGTTACACATGAGCAAGTAGAGAAGTCAAAAAAGGTAATCTATTGTTTACACGTTGCACATACAGGAAGCTGTCGCCATTGCCTGCAGCCAACGGACGTTACGTTGCGACGAAGAGACAAGAAATATGCCTTGGGATTAGAATAACAAAGCGAAACCGTCGCCGTTATGGCCTGATGATCTCAGCCGCCCTCGCACACATTCGGCAGTATACTATCTATATTGGTATAAAAAAGAAGGGGTGGAAGAGCCTCGGTCGAAGGTTACGTCCAAAAGGGAAAATCGAAGGTGTGGCTCACGCTCCTCGCAGATCCAATCGGTTTCCCCTCAGTCCCCAGTGAGCTCATCAGCAGTTCTTGTTCAACCCTCCCCCCGCTAAAGAATGGCCGATCCCCTTCCCCAAGCGGGACGAGCGAGACGTGGTAAGGCAGTAAGCCACAGTCTTAGCTCCCGCTTGGGGAGGAGAGCCTACTAGACTCTAGGGCCGAAGAGCAAATCTTCACGCGGCAGTTAAGCCACCACTTGCATGTCGTATAATTCTCCGTTCTCCGAAATGATATGTATGTTAAAACTTTCTGCGTAGTAGATGGTGCGTTGGCGTCCCTCCTAAGTGGCTGTCAACAATTTTACGTAGAAGCCACACGCATAGGTAGAGCTGGGACATATACCCGATGCATGTTAACATGCCTTAGGTACATGTAGCCTAACCTAATGTTCCTCTCCGCCACTCTTCTTCTTTAAACCCGTGATTGCTGCCCCGCTCCACCTATCGGCCGACGTGCACACCGCCGACACGCTACCACCCTAAGGTTAGATCTCCGGGTGGGTGTGGATTACCTACCTACCTAAGGTACCTACATTCACAGCAGCAGCAGCAGCAGCAGCAACGGCCGAGGCCTAACAGCAATAAGCGAACGATAAATACGATTAATGTTATTACTGTCTCTTGCTCTGACAAATAGTTTACTTTTCCGCTCCACATCACAGGCTTCGATTCACACCGGCTGAGCTGCATGTCTCGACAGCATGGAAGGGCAGACCGGGTAGTAAACAGGTTTGAGCTCGCGTCTGTGCGTCCGAGTTTCGATCACAGCAGCACAGCTTTCAGACAATAACATTGACAGAAAAATAATAATAAAATGAAATAAAAATAAAAGATTAAGCATCGTGTTTTCTGAGACACACATTACGCATATACACACGACCTTGCTACCGATCTAGCTACTCCAGAAAGCAAGTGCTTCCGATGAAGCGGGAGGCCTAGGCCTGGCGGTATTTCGAGGCTGAGGCGGCTGCTGCTACCGGTTTCGACGACAACGACAGCGCGTCTACCGGCGTATAATAATATCACGGCATTCTCTACTCCGTACCTAATTAGCCCCTTAATTTCATTTATCCCTCCATCTTCACTCTTACCCTTCCGCCCCGCTCCGTTTCATCAGGCGCAGTAAATAGTATATGATACTCCCCCGAGTTATCTTGTTAAGCGCCGCGCTTCGGTTTTATTTCATTTTAGGTAGGTAAGTTAGGTACCTAAGCTATAGGTAGTGTATAGACGCCTACACTCTATATTAGCAGGTACAATCCATAAAGCTTGCCGCCGAACAACCCCAGATAACTCTAATTCCTATACCTAGCTGCACGCATCCGGCGGGCGGATCCGCCCCCGGTCTCCGCGCGCTTAAATCCTCCAACGGAGCCAATCAGACATTCTGCTCGGCCCAAAAATAGCAGCATCCCGCGCTTCCCCTTCGCAAACATACCGGGCGGTTCTATTAACTACCTTAATATACACTGTGGAAAATACACGCCATAGAAGAAAACTACCTACCTAGCATGAAATTGCTAAAGCCACGTCCATTCCTGTTTCGAATTTTGAAAGAACAGCGTTCTTCATGCAAACGCCCGGACCCTTCATATTCCTACGGACCATGTCGAATAATCAATTACCCGGGTGGCTTTCCGCCCCCTTGCGCTCGGCTATCTCGACTACCCGGCTGGAGGCAGATACGCCTCCCGCCAGGCGAAGCTTGATTGTAAAATTTCCCAATTCCTTGGGTATACCTGATAGGTCCTAGGAGACCCGCGAAATCTCTCACCTGTCCTTCCTTCTAATGGCAATCTATGACATACAAAGGGATTTTGTAGCCGTTGGGACATAAGCAAGATAATCACGGGAATACGGTCAATGCTCTAGGTTAGACCTCACAACCCGAGTCGAAAATAGAGGTAGGTATTTTGAAGAGCACTCGACCTCAACACAGCGACTGGCCCTTTTAAGGCCCATCAGATAGCAATGCTACCTCAAGTACTGCATAAATTCAAGATGCCAGAGAAACTGCATGCTAAGCCACAGTAACGATTTAGAATATAACTAGCTCTTTTAAAAGAAGATAGTTTCGTAAGTGTAAAAGTGTGTTGTTCTCTTTTATGCGAGCCATTAGTTTAGGTATTGTACGTACCAGACGAGTAGCCGTAACAATGATAAAGCTCGTATCATATGATATGAACTGCTTGGTGATATCATGTTTAACTGCAGCAAGTTGGGTGGAACGATTTGAAGTTAGCACCCACAAGCTGATAGGGGTAGGAGAGAGCAAAGTTCGCTTTTCTCTTCGAATTCCCCTATTACGATGTACCTAATTGTGGTCTCGCCCATACAAGCTGACAAACCTTCCGAGCAGTCTCATCGCTGTTTTATCACGGACAAAACATCGACAGAGCGAAGCCTTGCCACAAGAGGGAAGGGGTCATTCTCGCTCAAGTTACAACTTTCTAATCGAACCCATTTATCACTGTAAGAGGTAGGTAGTCGCAAAGTTTTATTTTCAATATTCTCAAGCCAGGTACCAATATATTTACAATACCAAACGTTAATATTATCTATCATCCACGCATAATAAAACCCATCGGTTTCAAAATGTTAGATACCTGGCTGTTGGAGGTAGGTAGGTTTAAAAAAAAAAAAAAAAACACCACTTACGCCCCAAAAAGTTTGAATCGCAAAAAAAAAAAAAACCCTAATGTGATGAAATGGAATCTTGGTATCTCAAGAGCGAGCCAGGTATCTCCTCCTCCTTCTCCTAAGCAAGCAATCTCACAACAGCTTTTCTTCCTCCTTTAACCTCGCGGGCCCTGGGTGCCTTATCCACGATCCGACTCCGAGTACGCTCGTCCATGCCCCGGTTTACCCCTGGGGAAGAAAGTAATCTCGGAAAGCTCGTATCGCTCTCTTTCTTATTCTCTCATTTTGACGTAATTGCTGGGAAACATACCATGTCTTGAGCCGATCATGCCAGTCCTAGGAGCGCTTATTAGTAACAAAATACCAATGAAATCGCATGAAGTGCATCATATCCTTACCACCAATCGTTATCACTGTCAGTCTTCTTTAGCACTGTGATAACATCGCCCTTTTTAAAGCCTAGGTCGCCTGGCTGGTCCGGGTCGAAGTTGTATAACGCAACGGCCTCGTTCTTCTTCATCAACGCTTGTTTGCTGGCAAAATTCGGTTTCGGTGCTGCGGGTCTACCAGGGCCAACCCGGCTTCCTTGCGAGTAGCCACCTACCGGCATTGAGGCTCGCGCTGCTACGGTACCGGACCTGTTAACACCAGCACTAGCAGCCGGCCGATCGTACACGTCGTCTTGCCATGTATTCGCTCGTCTTGGCGCGCCAAACTCCTCCTGACCGTTGTATTGAGGTTCGCTATGGGTACTTCCTCGTTGGCTATTCCGTACTACGTTATCATGGCTATCGTCATAAACCGGAACGTCATTATACATGGCATCGTCCACGGTACCTTGGCGCATACCCGCAAATACTCTGGAATTCAGGACGGACATTAACGGGGCGGCTTGCGGCGGTGGTGGTACGGCGCCCGTGAGGAGTTGTGCCGCTGTCAAGCGCTGGCCGTATAATTTTTCGTTCGCGTCTCTTCGTTCCACGATCGCCGAGCCCTCCAAAGACACTCCGGCGAACAGTCCCTTCGTCTTGCTGTAGCTAAAAATACCGGCTACGCTTCTGAGGGATGCTGCACCAGCGGCTTCCGCGTTTCGGCCTACTGGTCCCGCCGCTATAGAGACGTTTCCACCTAATGTGATAGAGCCTTGTTGGGAGAAGGTTTTAACGGCGTGGGAGTCGTTGAGGATGAAGACGAAGTCGGTCAGCTCGAATCCGATCTGACCACCAAAACCACCACCCGCAGTAACGATAGCCGAGGGTGCAGACCATGTTCCGTTGGGGAGACGGGCGACGACGAGCCCGGAGCCAAAACGCGCCGATCCGAGGAAGCCGGCTTTAATGACGGTGAGGATCGCCAGGCCCTAAATATGTAATCGTAAGCTACTGTTCTCTGAGTTGTACGAATTATAGATACAAATGATTCCGTAGGCGCATGACCGAAAATGCGACGGAAGGCCCACTTACTTTTGCGTTTGCTAGAACCGACGGAGGAATTATCTTGTCGGGACCAAACGCTTGGCGAGGATCGATGAAAGAGGTGAGAATTTTGCCGCACTTCTTGCATTCCGCTGTAGACAGAGTTAGTGTTTGCCTGTCATAAAGTTCCGTGGTAGGTACCGAATCGCAAGGGAGCGAAGGTTATTCGTAGTTGGGGGGTAGACTTACACGCCATAGACGACGGAAGAGGGTTGTTAATACCCATCTTGAGGGTACTATTGGTATCTCAAGATGAAAAAAAAGTCTAATCCGATATTTCCGAGCTTAAAAACCTTTAATGCGACGGCAAGGAATATTAAGCAGTTTAGCTATTGTAGAAAGTTGCAAACACCAACTGCAAAAGTTAAACTTGTCCAGTCAAAATGCAATTAGAGGAGAAGGCGAAAAAAAAGAATAAAGAAAATAAAAATAAAATTAGACGACACAATGTATGGTGTTGTCAGGGTATATGAGTTTGATATCGCGCAACTATTGCGATCGCTGTTTAACTTGAAGAGGTGAATAAGAGGTAGGTTAGTTGGTAGGTAGTAAGTTAGAAGAAGCTTTAACTAAAAGCTGGTAGTGGTATCAATGACACTGTAATTGTTTGCATGGAAGGTGTTTACGGTTTACTTTTACCAACCGGAAAGAACCAATACTGGTGTCGTCAGCTGTGGGAGTCCTGCCACCACGGCGGGGCAGGCGGCAACAACGGCAAAGCTTCAAAGCGCCAATGCACCAATGGCACCAATACACTAGAGAAGGCGAGGCTAGTACCTTATGCTAGATTAGGTACACAAACATTAACCAACTTGTATTTGAGGTAGCTTGACAAATTTGGGAAGGTACGGGTATATACTTTGCGAGTACAGCTGGGACTTGGGAAGATATGAGGTCACAACTAGTGAAAGGCCCCACTATGAGCCACGACTTCCGAGCTTTGTTGAAAGCTAAACCTGAAGCTGGGCTGGGGTATGGGTATGGATTAGATGCCCAGCCAATTCGAACGATAGGACGGTACAACCTTGGTACCGATACTTGCACATCTCCATGCAAGGATCCCCGGCGCTATCTTCTTTTTGTGTCTAGACGGGTTTAAAAGTCATCAGCCACAATTCTCTGCGTCATCTCACTCAACGTTTGTTGCTCGCCTCCTTTTTCTCGTAACAGGAACATTTACCAAAACCATGCTCCCGTCACAGCCGGCTTTTAGAGGAGTAAAAGAATAGCGATAATACCGAAAACAAGAGACAACAAATTAATCCTCGCCCACCGGAGGGGCTCTCGAAATATCCAACGAAAATTTACAAATATAATATCGATTCGCTCGTCGCCGATTTATCTCACGACCCTTCGACTGCGCATTTCCAAGATTGAGATAGAGTACCGACGCCCGATCCTATCTATCGTCGTGCACGACTGTAGTCGCATTGGAAGATACACCAAGATAAATAAATTATTAGCTACAGAGGTTAACAAAAATATGTCTGAGGCATACGAACGCGAGCGCCAGAACAACGCGCGTCTAGACGAGCTATCCGCGAAGGTCTCGTCACTGCGCGGCGTGACGGTGGACATCTACGACCACGCGAGAGCGCAGGACGTGATCGATAACACTGTACGGATTTTCACCCGCCTGCCATTTTATCTTCCTACTTTACCTGCTTGGTATATAAGACTTGACATTGCCACGCACTAACCAATCTTTCGTATTATTTTATATATAGTCCGATACCTTTTCCTCCATGTCCTCGCAGCTCAAGGGTTCCGCCGGCCGATTGGGTCGCATGGCGGCGTCGGGGAACAAAGTCGCCATCCTAAAACTCTCGGGGATCCTTATCGGCGCCTTTCTGATAATATACTACTTGCTCAAGTGGATTTTCTGAACAATTCGATTACATCCGCGATTCGGTATCTCGATACGTCAGTCTGCGGACTACGAGAACAGAAAGAAAAAAGAGCGACCAAACTCCATTGAAGGGAAAGTCTCATAAGACGCTATCGAACGATATACCATCATTCCACTGTGCGAGCCTCAAGGCTTTGGATCCATTGCTTAGGTTTATAGCCTTTTTGGATGGCGTAGGAGTTGACGAATTGAAGGGAGCGAGCGATTGCACTTTGCTAACACGGCATAAAGACACCTGGCTGAGGGGTGAAGTACGGAGCTGCAATGTTTGATGACATACCCAAATGGTATCGGCAGCAACGATGTAATAAGACGGGGAACACGAGTAAAATTATGGTTTATTTGATACGGACGACTTACCGTCCTTGCAAGTCGTCCTTGTAGCATAGCATAGGCGTTTATGGATTTGACCTCCTTGGCTACCTTAGGTATCCAGGTAAGGTTACTCAGGTATAGGTAACGAGAAGCCCAATAAATTTACCTTGATTGGTCTCATTTTATGTGCGGGTATGTATTTGACAATTAGCTTGGGTGTAGCCATGCATTAGGTAACGAGCAGCACAACTAGAGCCAACTCAGAATTAACAAGGCTCAGCCTTTATTCCGTCAAGTTCTGCAATATATCGGACGACCGACCTGATGCTTACTTCCAAACATTGGAGAACAAGTCATCATTTCCGAACCCGCCACCGGGTCTTGCTCCACCGTTGCTGCTGAAATTCCCGCCTGTGCTACTAGTCCAGCCTCCGAATTCCTCGTCCGCAGCTACCTTTGGAGCAGGTGTAAAACCCCCAGAGGCTCCTGGTACCAAACTCTGGGTAGCAAAAGACCCACCAGTACTGCTCCAGGCACCAAAGTCATTGCCGCCGCCAATAGGGCTCGTAGCAGCCACTGGACTCTTAGGAGCTGCGGCTGGACTAGGTTCAGGAGCGCCCCATGCATTCCCCCAAACGTCCGAGTTGCTAAATGCAGATGTGCTCAAAGCTGAAGTCGCACTTGCGACTGGTGCTGGTGCAGGCGCCGGCTTTGATTGATTCGCTGAAAGATTGAAGATGGAGTCGGCAGTTGACGAAGGGGCAGGCCTCGAGGGAGCTGGAGCCGCAACTGGTTGAGCAGGGGCGGACCAGTCGAAGAGGTCACCTAGGGCTGCTGAGGAAGACTGTGCTGGTTTTGACGTAGCAGCTGGTGTACCAAATGCACCGAAGCTGTCAGATGATGATAGCGAAGGTTTGGACTGCTGGTGTGATGCTAGCTGAGCAGGCTTAGAGTCAAAGAAACTACCCCCACTAAGACCAGAGAATGAAGAAGTCGAAGGCTGTGGGGTGGACCGGTTACTCGATATATTTGACAGACCAGCAAACGCATCCTTTTGCGGACTCTTCGGGGGCGGTACTTTTCCAAAACTCAACCCAGCAAAGGCATCTTCCAGCCCCCCACCTATCGATTTTTGCGATTGGTGTCCCATCGCCGGCATCGTTGGGGATTGCAACGGAGACTGCATTGCTCCAAAGCCTCCGAATGATCCGGAAGAGGAATGTGACGGTTGCTGTAGTGCTTGTTGAGGTCGTGGGGCCGACGCATAGAGAGATAGGATAGACTGTTTGAGGTCAGGCCTCGATTGACCGCCTATACCACCGGCATTATTCGTACTTGCTGGACGTGGAGGCGCAGCTGGTGCTTCGCCGAAAAAGTCCAATCCTAGGAGTGAGTCCTTAGTGTTGACTGCTTTGGGGGGAGCTGGTGCCGACTTGGGAGGGACTTGAGAAGAAGCCGGGCCAGCGGTACTCGCCCTCGGGGGGATATCGTCGCCGCCGATAAGATCTGCTTGAGGTGCTGGCGCGGGAGGTGCTATACCCCGCGGCGCAGCTTGTTTCCCAACAGAGCTCTTTCGGATTGACTCCTTTCTGTCTATACTTTGCTTCTCTTTTACGATGCTTAGTGGAACATCGTCGTCACCTTCCACATCTAGGCTCGCAGGATCCGGCATTGGCCCGTCCATCACCCATCTCTTAAGTTCATATTTGGTTCTGATAAAGTTCTCGATCTTTGCTTCGGAGGGAACATGGCCAGCAGCCAGCTTCGATTCCCAATATTTGTTGGCGCGCGCATTACCCCAGCTCAAGACGCTTTGTAATTGCTCGTCCGTCCACGAGTCTAGATCAACAGACTTGACTCTTGATATGTGGGTGCCCATCCCTCGGTGGATTCCCGAGCAGCGAATGCAGATAAAGACACCCAAGTTCCAGCTCGCCCATCGCGGATCTATACCACAGCGTGAGTTTACCGAAACGGAATTAGTAGATTATACTGAAGAGGACGTACGCTTATTTCGCTTGCAGTCGGCGCATATCTTGTTAGCTTCCAATTTCAGGAGGCTCTTAATGGTTTGTTGGTTTTGGGCTGCCCGTTCAGCAGCTGGGTTAGGAGGCCGTCTAGACATAGCGTGATGGCTACCAGCAACGAATAGGAGTAAGCGTGGGGTATTTGAGTTTTCCAGTCAACAATTTTACAGGGTGGGATGTAAAAAGGTTCGAAGTTAGGTGATTAGAAAAAGGGGTTGCCTAAACGCAGGAGTTGAAAGGGGAATAGTAGCTGATGGGTGTGGCAGCGATATGGGAAATCTAATTGTAAAGTTGTAAAAGATGAGGTGCAATGAATGAAACTGTGGCTTTCCTCAATTTAGACCTTGGTCTGAGCGTTCCAAGTACCTACGTAGATATTACATGAGCACCTAGGTACCTAGGTACTTACCTAAGCTGGAGCACACGATATCGGAAGGCGCGATTTCGAATTAATCCGTCATCTTCGCCAGCAGGTGTGGGGGTGCTTTATGCGCTCAAGTGCTGCACATGCAGACATATCCCAAGAGGCTTAGTTATGCAGCTAACATATGCAAATTGTGGCGAATGGTGTGGATCAATTTATAACGTCGCTGACGACATCTGCATTAATTCCATCCCTTGTCCTTTCGGTAGAGTGACTTTGAAGCATTTCGTGCATTACAACGTCTATTACATAGTAAATTAGTAAAACAGTAATTCCAAATCATCAAGTCGGATCCCCCCATATAAATAAACCTATTCAACTATTCAACAGACCGTAACAACTAATGCGATCGTTTCCATTCTCTAACTTATTCCGAACTTTCTTCACCTTTTCTACCTTGAGTAGAGCTAGAGTTCGTCCTTTGGTTCATCCGTCACTGCGCTATACCTCAACAACTTTAAGGTCTATGCCGACCATTCCATTCTTAGGAAGTCTGTTTGGCTCAAGCTCAAATACATCCAACAACATGTCGTATCCGGACCAGAGAACACCTGACGAGTGGCGCGCTGTTCTCAGCAAAGGTATGCATGCCCTAATATCCTCCTCCAGAATAGGCACGGACTTACGCTCCCTAGAACAATTCAGAATTCTCAGAGAAAAGGGCACCGAGCCACCGGGATCCGGGAAGTATGATAAGTTCTTCTCCGAATCTGGCGTGTATACATGTGCAGGCTGCAATTCCCCATTGTACAAGGCAAATCACAAGTTCCAGTCCGGCTGCGGCTGGCCGGCATATTTTGACAGCATTCCCGGCGCTGTCACAAGGCATACTGACAACTCGTGGGGCATGGAAAGGACGGAGATTTGCTGCGCCAACTGCGGTGGTCATCTTGGTCATGTCTTCAAGGGGGAAGGATACCCAACTCCAACCGATGAGAGACACTGCGTCAATAGTATCAGCCTAAATTTCTCTCCGGAAGACAAGCCAGTCCAAGGAAACGAGAAATAGAACAGGGTCGGCGACCAGGAAGCTGTATTAAGATTTCTGTTTTAAAGGGGGGAGCAGGGGCAAGGGGGGGTGGCAAAGGAAAAGTGAGAGAGGACTTAGTGAGGCATGTCTAGGTTAGGTACCTGTGGATGGGAAAAAGTATGTCGAGTAAGGTTGTTCTAAGCAGTTTTACTATTGATATAGTATCTATCTACATTTCCTTTTTTGTTTTTTTTTTCCACTGCCAAAGAGTCACTTTTTTTCTAGCCAAATGGAAGTGGGACAATGGTGCGTCGGTGTCTTCGTCTAACAATTTTTAGGGGTTCGTGCCTAACCAGTTGCTAATATTCGAGGCATCTTACACATTTCTGTCATTTACGAAATCTTCATGTTTAAAAAAATAGGGTGCTTACCGTCTTTGGTTGCCTTGGGGTGGGATCTCCTTTAGGCGTAGTAGTTAGAAGCCAGTCGAAACAAAACGTCGTCTAAATTTAATTTCTTCAGTGTATTCTCAACGCGCGGCTGCTCAAGTAGCAATGACCATCTTGAAGCAGCTGTCGTACCTTAGTACCTAACATAACTGTCATAATAGGTCATCCTTTCATCTAGTTTGAGGTCAAGGCACAAGACTCACGTGTCTGAGCCCATCTCTGAACTTTCTTTTCCTCAAACTACCAGAAAATATCATACCTTGAATACGTTACCTACCTACCTAGGTACCTATACCTAACCTTAACCTGATCCAACTTCCCCTTCGAATTCCCCTTCGAATTCCATCATTTCTTGATTCCCAAGACTTGGACATCGCACATCACTTTTCTAATTCTTTCCAATTCAACCCCAACTCAAGTTACTAAGCACTCATCATTTCCAACATGGATCGCCAAACCAGCATCGCCACTCCGAAGTCCAGTCCGGCGACATCTGGAGGAGATCAGACTCCCTCTCCGTCTCCCACTATCGGGCTTTTATCACCTACTCCGTGCCCATATCGAAAGGCGACTTTAGTGGAAGACGACGCTTCAAAGGCATCATCAACTGGGCAAACCCAAGTATCTCTCCAGATCCGTACAGTCACCCCCCACGTCGAGGTCACAACGCCTCCCCAATCGCTGCCGCAATCGCCGGAACCGCGTTCTCCAGCCTCGGGATTGCCAAGGGTCATCGTCGTTTACCAGAACGGCTACCCCTCGCGACTGCGCTCCGTGTACGACAAGAATGCCCGAAAATACATCTACCACCACACCAGAGACAGGCACAGGCAGATCCGAATGACCTTTGTACAGGGCAAGGTTGAGTCGATCGAGGACGTTGCCACTAAGGATCTCATCTACGTCCGAGGCGTCACCCATAAGCCCACCACTCGCCTTATTACATAACCCGGATAGGGACACCGCGCAGTGTGAATGAAGGTACTTACCTATTTAATTTTCCCTTTGACATGTGTAAAAAATATTAAGCAGGCGTATATTAATCATTTACTAATTGATATCTTAGCGGATATAGTCCTGGCAACATTTGGGAAAGATGTGTTTTGCAACAGTAGTTTGGATGGAAGCCATCATTTACAAGGATAACGACGACAGCATGTGATGCATCAAGGCTAGCGTATATCCCTCAAGTCCTATATAATGGACTACGTACCTGTTTTACAGCCATGGCATGGCGACAGTTACGTTTTGATATCGCATTTTGAATTAGGCTACAGCGTGTGTCAATATTGAAAAAGTAGAATGGACACTCATCATTGAATATGATCAACTGCATTATATAATATATTACCTTCGTTGGTGTTTTGAAGTATTTCTTTGCATGTGCTCTAATAAGCGTCGAATGTGATAAAACGCGGCCGCAGAAAGGCCAACATTCTAGAACACGCAGCGCGAGTTGAATTGCATTAAATGGTCAATAATGATTCGTTATTCTCATGAGAGATACAAGCCATTATTCTTGTGCAATACGACAATATTGAACTGTTCGTAACGTTGCAAATATTCGTATTTAGCCATAATTCTCAGGTAATCGCGTCGCCCATCGCCCAACAACAATGCCTATACTTATAGCACCATGTTACGAGCTGAAAAGTAATTTTAAGCTTGCGAAATCGTATAAAAACCTAGATCAATCTTCCAGGTATCCATATACTTAGTCTAAATACTTCGTGCAAGTTAATGTCATGCATTCGTCTCATCTCATAAAACTAAATACACCAGCAAAACTCACATCTACCAAGGCATCTATCAAGATGCTCACTAAGATCCTTACCCTCGCGACAGCTGCCGCAGCACGATGGTTTCTTCACCCGCGGATTATATCTGGGATATTCTTAAGTGGCAAGCAGGAGAATCTCACAGAGCCCCGACTGCACCGACAACAGGATGGTACGGTAAGTAATACCTAAACCAACTCAACCTAAACCTAAACTTCCATTACCTTAGGTAGCCTCGGGCCCCTTAATCTCTTCTCCTCGCGAGACGTCTTGCAGGTTTCAAATTTCAATTCATATGTTGAAATGTCAATCCGCCTACCTGTCTACCTAGACTTCAACGTATCCGCGCCCGAATACGGGGACGACCAGGCGCGCGTCCCGGCGTTCTTCGCGCACTGTGCCGGGTTTGCGAACGGGAATCCCCTGGGCTCGGAGTACTCGAACTGCGACCTGGAAATGGGGGACGAGGCTGCCGGGGCTGCCGTGCTGGCGCGTGTCCTTCCTGTCCCGGTTTATAGCCAGGTTCACATTGCCGTTAGCTACCTGTTCAATGCTGAGGGGTATGTTAAGTTCCCTACATTGTTGATGGTGCTGCGTCGTATAGGTTGGGTATCTATGTATATATAAATGCACCAGACTAATAAGATAATGAATGTAGCGAGTCGGAGGTGAAGCGGAACTTTACTGCTGTTATCGTGGAAGATTGGGCAAGAGAGAGACCCCCTCATGACTTTACTGCGGAACCGACTGAGGCCGCATGAGCTCAGGCCGAATCAAACAGTTAGGTACCAATGTAAATTAAAGCCAAGAAATATAGTCGACCATTATCCTATTATAAAGCCTAAGGAGAGCCTCGTACTCTTGCTGCTTGCATATCTTGTTCAGCTCTGCTGCATCATCTTCCGCGATCGTCTAGTCTGCAAAATTTTACTGGCCAATACCTACTACGGTACCGCTATCTTGCTATTTTGTGGCGGCCTGGAGTATTCGATTTCTTTCTAAAACGTTATGTTAACTATCACATCTCATTTTCTTTGAACCCTTGGTGCCAAGTTAAAAAGGATAAGATGCTTCAATGGTTAAAACTCCTAGCATTCCCAGTTCGTTATGGCCTTAAAAGTTGCGTGTGCCTAGTAAATCCAGTTTACCTACCTCCTATCTATTACCTGAGCATTCTCCTCCATACACTTGTTATTTGGACGACGGGTAATTTAAGAGGAGTTTCTTTTTTGCCAGGTCAAGGGTCCAGCTTCCGTGGTCCAGCTTCCGTGGCTGTAAACTACATTTTACTATTGTTCTTCTGATAGCTGGTCAATTAACCACCACAATGGTTGACCGAACCTTTTACCCCGAAGGGGAAAAACCCCCTAATATACAAAACGCTACAACAATTCCCTGCCAACATATCGGTATGGGTGATATCTTAATCCTTCAGGGACGCCCTTGTCAGGTCATCCGTATCTCGATCTCGTCGGTTACCGGCCAGCACCGCTATCTTGGCGTCGACCCCTTTACAAAACAGCTCCATGAAGGATTTTCTTTCATCGTGAACCCTACTCCTGATATTGCAGTCCACTCTATGCACTATCCCGTTTTGAAACAGTACCGTGTTCTCGACATACAGGAAAACTCTATCGTAGCTATGACTGAGACGGGCGACGTTAAGAACGGCGTCCCCGTCATTGACCAGTCCAACCTATGGAACCGTCTACAGGTGGCGTTCAATGGTGGACGTGGAATTTCCAGCGTTCTTGTTCTTATTGACGGCGATAAAGAGCTTGTTATTGATATGAAAATCTTCAATCCTTCAACTCTGGGGGGACCGTCGACAATACACGAGGCGGTAATGACTGGCAACAAATTAGCATTGCAAGCGATCTTATCGAAGCACGAGAACATTAATGAATTGGACACTGAGGGGACAGAGCTTTTTGCTGCTGTGGAGAGCGGCCGCAGGGACATTGTTGAACTACTAATTCAATATGGAGCCGATATAAATGCCATAGATAAGCAGGGCAGGACGGTATTGGACATTGCTATTTTTGTTTTGGAAGATCCCTCTATGGCCTCTAAACTTCTCAGTCATAGGGCATCGCCTACAGCGGGAATCGCCGGAGATGTGTTGGGTTTATTACAAGCCTCCGCGGAAGGCTACCAAGGCATAGTAGAGAGTCTATTGAAAGATGGTGTTGATGTTAACGGACATGACAGACTGGGATATACGGCGCTTCATGAAGCAGCCATCTTCGGCCATCATGATATTGCCAGTCAGCTTATCCGTCATGGCGCAGATATCAACGCCAGGGTAGCATTGGGAAAGGATACAGTACTACATACAGTAGTCTGTGGGGACAGAAGTCACCGAGTCTTTCTCGGGCTAGGTAGTCGAGGGAGAAACCCAGTGCTTGGCAGCGGCCATGTTGAAATCGTGAAGACTTTATTGCAAAATGGGGCTACTGCCAGTCAGAAGCGACATGACGGACGTACTATGGAGGACTTACTGAAAGCAAAGCTTTTAGACTTGGGCTTATCCGAACCTGAGCAACGTGTTCTCCAGCAAATACAGGAGATTTTGAAGAATCATCCCAAGGTACAGGCAAAAGAGATCCGAGGCGAGTCTAATACAAAAGTAGCAAAGTTCGACAACGAGAAAGCACGCGTGTGTGACTTATTCAACGCTCGAATCCAATACCATACTTCTGGGTTTTATTTACCGCGAGAAGTATCGATCAGAAAATTCATATACCATCAATGGGAGCATGCGACCGACCAAGACGAGAGCATTCAGCCTATAACATTGGCGAAAGAAATGGAAGGGAAGCAATATTGGAGATGGATACATCTTCCCGCAAACAATGTATGTCATAGATATGACCTTTCCCCTAAGCGCATTGAGAATTCTCTGGATGCTAACCCAATGCAGAAAATTTGGGTTAAGGTGAGACTTTCAGCTTTGATCAACGGTGTAGAAAAGGAAATACTTACAACAAGCACGAAATCAGGATACGATTCGTAATTTATACGAAAGCTCTGAGATTAGCCTAACATTGGATAACTTCAAAGAGGTTATCCGCTTCATAGACAGTTCATACAATGAGTACAAAGGTTCAATATCTGATATACGCTTACGAAGACCATCCTTCAAACGATGCCCTAAGTCTGACCACCTCTTTTCAATGGTTGTAAGTCCAATAGCCACTTAGAACAAGACGTGCAGTTTAAAAACTGAATTCCTCATCTATTTCTAGGTACCATACTTCGATGTAGAAGCTCTTGAAAACTATATAAGTCGCAGAGAAAATGAACAGTCTCCATTCCGCAAGAGACAGGATCTGGAGAGGGTGTACCGCAAATTCGGCGACGAACCCGAAGATTTACATATTCCATACTCCCTAGACCAGTTCTACTACTCGTTCCTTAACGACTCTACCGATAGAGATAAGACCCAGGTTGTCGTCAAATACGCGGAGCTACGGAAGAAGAGAACCAAATCCAAATCGCCTTACAAGTTGGCTACGTACCAACCCGAAGAAACCGAGGAGAGCGAAACCTCCTCTAACAAGTCGAAAGCCCCTCAAAATCCCAAGAAACTTCTTATGGTGAACCAAATGTGGCTCTGGAAAATCAGCTCAGGTAAGACACCCGCGACTAATACCTAGTGGTGTTATTGTCTAACCTACCCTACATTCTAATCTTTAACTTGCAGACACTTTCATTACGGCATTCCCGGATCGTTCGTACAGCAGCTCCGAGGTCGAGCTCTTGACTCAAATCTCCCAGGGCATGGCAGAGGATCTGCCGGCAACCATAGATTCAACCATCATGAAAGTTTTAGACAGCGTTGTTGGGTTCGTTGATGCACCAAGCAACGCCGGGTTGGATGAAAATGTCTTTGATATTTTCGAGCAGAGCATTGCGTATGAAGTACGTCATTCTCTAGCTCATAATACATATGCTATACTGGGTATTGACCCTTTGTTTTACAGGCTCAAGCGGAAACGGAGTGTTTTAGGGAATTCACCAAGTGGCAAAAGATTTCATGGATACGAGACAGTGATGCATCCCAAGCAGAAGCGAATGATACCAGCTTCGCGAGAAAAGTGAAAATGCAAGAAGAAAGCGCGGAGTATCAGGAGAAGGAGAAGAAGCTGTGCGACATAACGAAGGAGGTCGAACATCTCAGCGAGATCAAAGATATCCGGGACGAGCTCAGGATGATCGAACGAGTTCTCGTGGACCAGAAAGTGCTTATTAACCAGTACCGAAGCATGCTCAAGGAAGAAGACGCGGAGGACCATCTCTACCCTACGAGCCAGGATCTCGACGGACGTGTTTCCAAAGTAGAGAGACTCGAAAAGGACGCGCTGTGGGTTGAAAACTCGGTGAGTTTATACCAGACCCCTACTATTCGGTGCGTGTACCTTAGGCAACTACCTAAGGTAGCTATTAGGTCTACCGACGCCTGGAGAGTGTTTAATTACTCCGCCTAACGTCTTGATGCTGATACTCCCCAGATAAAGAGTCTCCTAGACCTTAAGCAAAAGCAGGGAAACCTAAACGACGCAATAGATACGCACTGGCTAGCCAACGACGGGCACAAGAGACAAAAAGCCGGCGAGAGACAGAATCAGTTGCTCTTTGTGTTCACTATGATAACCGTGGTGTTCGTACGTACCCATTTCCGTTTCTTTACCCATATAATATCCAACCCTCGGTACCTAGCCCACCTTAGGTACAACACATATGCTTTGCTTTGCTTTGCTCTACTAACTTCCCATCAGACTCCCATGTCGTTCGTAACAAGTTTCCTCGCCATTCCTAGTCGCGACTTTCCCCAGAACGATGCAGGCGACTCTATTGGCTGGCGATGGTGGCAAGTCCTTATCTCGATACGTAAGTTATTACCTACCTGCCTACCTATTCGTTATTCCAAAAATAACTATATCTTCATCAGCTGACATAATTTCGACAAAAGTGGTCTTAGAGGCCGTCACATCATTTTGGATTCTAGGGTACTGGTTCGACAAGAAATGGTATAAGAGTGTATACGAAAGGGTCCTTTGGGATATTGAACGAACCCGGATTCGAATCTCGGGTCCGGATTTAACGATTGCGGATCCCTTTTTGCGATAGAAACAGTTTGAAGTCAAGGTAAGCCGAATACTAGTGGAAGTAATATCGTAAAGATTTATCATTATCATGATGAATATCTAGGTGAATAAGAGCTCATAATGCGTGAAGGGTTCTTTTTGACATAACCCTAGAAGGCCAAAAACGAGTCATCTTAGGTTAGGTACTTATTCGTGTATGTAATTACCATCGTCAACGCAGACCTCATCTCAAAACCACTTCCCCGACTACCATCGAAAAAAGAACACGATGATAGTTCCCAAGACCAGAAAAATCTTGACCATAGCGGTGACCACTCCGTTCTGCAGGCTGCCGGGCGCCTGCGACCTGTCATCCTAGCTGCTCTTCGGCGCTCTGCCGTTGTAGTCGACACCGGCCTCGGCTTTGTAGTCGCCGAAGCAGTCGTAGTCGAAGTCGATCTCGTCGATGCGGTCCTTGAGCACCGAGACGACATTATCGAACGCACAGAGCCCGTGGGGGTCGGCCGGGCAGCCGGGGTAAGATTCCGCGACCGGGATAACGGCGTCGTTCCTGGGGTTTCATGAGCACAATCCGTTATATATAACGATATGCATACAAGTGGAAGGCGGGAGGAAACTTACAGAATGAACCTGATCTGCTTGGTGGGCTGGTAGGTTGAGCATTCGAGAACCTGGGCAGTAAAGTGGGTCGCGAACGGCACAGTCTTACTAGATGAAAAGCTATTCTCTCTTCGGTTCTCTTTGGGGTTTAGAGGTGGTCCCTTGAACAAGGCCGTTAGGTTGAAGGCGGTAAGGGTGTCGAGCACAACAACCTCGTGAGTGGCATCGGCGTAAATGGACTGATTGAGGGGAAAATAGGTAGACGAATTGTCGAATGTCTGGTTCAGAGCAGACCAAGCTTCGGGATATTCTCCCGTGAACCGCGCGACGAATTCTTGTAGGTAACCCTTGCCCTGGGCAGCAGAGACAGGAGATCCTGGTCCATTGTCGTAATAGAAGGACTTGGATGGGTTAGTACGCTTAATTGGTAGAATGATGGGAGAACGATAGAGAAAAGACGTGGCTATACGGCATGACGTACAATATCATAGAAGTATTCATAGTTCATGAAATCTTCCTGGCTAAATAGTCCACAGAACGCGGAGTATCCGAGCGCGTTGGTCTCGTAAGAGCAAAGTTGGAGCATCGAAATGATATCTGTAGGAGTGAACTCGATACCAGAGACCTTGAACACGTCATTAGCTTATTCCTTCCTCCGGCCCTTGAGCTTAGGTATTTGATAGGCTTACTTGTGAGTTTAGCCGAGCGAGGGTGGCGTTAAAAGCATCCTTAGCGAACTCTGCGGCTAGAGAGCTGCCAATGTATCCTCGACTGGAGACATCGGCATTGTCACAAACATAGTAGGGGGCACCCGAGTTGTTTACTCCAGGTGCCTCGACAAGAATCTCAATGCTCACTTGATCCAAATACTCGGGTACGCCGAAGAAGCCGGCCGCGAAGTTTTCGGTAGTCTTGACCATGCGATCCTGAGATTCGGTACGGAAGACGGGAATAGTACCGGCCTCGGTGAAGTTATTGAGCAGGTGGCCGTAGAGCTGGCGGTGCTGGATACCAAGGAGAAACTCCTGGCTCCTGCCGAATGGCGATAGTAGCTCACCGCCCAGCTTATATGTCCAGTCGGACAAGAAAGTCAGATCATCCTTCACCTTGAGTCCCTTCTTAGTGGCATTTGCGATCTTCTCCGCGAATTGAGCCGGTGCAGCCCCGGAAGTGGGATACCTGGCGCCATGGCGGTATAGGAGATGAACCTGGGTCACACTGCAGCCCGGTGGTGCGAGGGGGCTAGTATCTGGCAAACCATAGTCGGCAGAAGAGAGGGAATACCAAGGTGACAGGTTACCCCAATATTTAGTGATATCAAATTTGTCTGATGTCTCACTCTGGCCATAAGGCTGAGGTGCAACTAACGGGAACTGATTCGTTGGCCCTCGATTATACGGGTATGCTGCTGCGGTTTGAATTGCTGCAGGCTCAACACCAGTTGGAGTTGGCCCAGGGAAACCGACTTCATCCTCGGGCGGGAAAAGCGCTGAATCGACCGCGGCTTATTATATTGTTTTTCTTGTTAGTATATAAGGTGCCATGTTAATTACTGACATAAGGTATACTACGGTAGATAAAACGGGTGATGTAGTAAGATTAACACTACGTACTGCTCCGTGGAGGGAAAAGGTCTGAGGTGGCCGAACCGGCGTGAGGCGAGGCGGTGATAAAGGCGGTATCGTCAGCCGCGGTACTGGACTGAACTAGTAGGGCTGACAAGACAGCGGCGGTAGTAATAAGCTGCTGCATTCTTCTCCTTCTTCTTGCTCTAGCCCTGGCTTACTATAGAACACCGAGTTGAAACGCCAAGTAACGGGTATTTTTAAGAACTTGGGGTAGAACTACCGAAGAGGTGGATTCTTATAGGTGTTTGCGGGAAACGGCAACGCGTTGTTGGTACGGGTAAATACATGTGCCTTGGTGCCTTGGCAAGCCTCTCGGATGCTGATCCTGTTCAAGACTCCAGAATCGTAAAAAGGTCGAGCGTTGTTGGTCCAATAAGAAGCACAGCATTGTTCCCCAATGGGTAGCGTGGGAATGGAGCCCAGCTGAAAAGCGACCCTCGCTCCATATATTATGTACCTACTATTATGTACTATTATGTAACATTGCTTCCATTGAATCGATAATGATTTATTGTTAGCTATGACACCTTGATCTTTGGTGGAATGTTTCATTCGTCTGTAAATAAACAAGTTTGTGTAAAGAAGAGAATTATTGCTGTGTATCTACATTAGGTACCTATTAATTATCTAAATGCTACAGGTAGGGTAATAGCATCGGTACCTACCTACCTATCAAACAAGGTAGGTAGATATTTACACGATATACCCGTATTTGGTCATAAAGTAGGGAAAGGAGTCTCACTGGCCTGCAATTTCCCTCACCAAACCTGATTTAACCCAACCTCTTGCAAAGTTCCTCCCTGAACCTAACAGAACCGCAAGCCACCATACCCGCCCAATCAAGCCATCGTACCACATGGCCTCCCCCTTAAAGCCTCTTTCCTTCCTTGCTCTTCTCACTGCTCTCGAAACCGCACCCTCAACCACAACAGCGAAGCCGTTTAATGCAAAGAACTTAGCTTCCCCCGCGGCACTGTTCCAATCCCCACCTAACACGCCCCTTACGGAGAAGGAATGGACAAACGCACTACAAAGAAACCCGCCCAAAACTTTACCCACATCCGCCGGTTCGTCGTCGCGTTTCCCTAATAGCTTTCTCTCAACCCACTCCCCGGGCCAGACGCCGTACACGAGAAACAACCGCGCAAACAACCGGTGCCACCCGTAAGACCAAAACCCACGCACCGACGTGACGTCCCAGATCCTGGTGCTGTACAGCGGCGGGAAGAAAGCCAAGGGGCTAGGCGCCAGCGGACTAAGCGCGATCGCGAACAGCGAATGGCCCAACGAGAAGGCCGTCATGAGGAACGCCCCCAAAGCGCCCGTAAGCAGAACCTGGACCGGCAGCGGCAGCGCCTCGTCGAAAAGTTCGCGGGGACGTCCCCCCTCCTCCTCGCCTCTGGACCCCGCCAAGTCCCCGCACGCGCCGAGGTAGCGCAGGTATACGCCCCTGACGACGCACCAGCTCGCCAGCAAGACGGGCGCGGTGCGCGCGAGGATGCTGTGCGCGCGGTTCCCGACCGTGGGCAGCCAGGTCCTGCGCGTGTGCCGCACGTCCGCCGTCGTCCACGTGAAGCCCGCCCCGCGCATGCTCAGCGCGAGCTCCAGGGCCCAAGACGCGCGGTCCCGCAGGGACTGCGGCCAGCCGGACTCGGTCGTCGCCGTCTCGAGGACCGCCTGCGGGCCCGGCCCGTGCAGCGTTCGCCGCACCGCGTGGTAGTACGAGTCGCAGGCCGCGCCCGGGATCGAATTCGACATCCGCCGCGCTGCGTCGCTGATGCCGATATGAAAGCTTGATCGCGTGCGTCGGCTAGCTTGTGCGGAATCGGCATTGGAGACAGCTTCGACCTGGGCCGATTTACTACCGGCTGAAGTTTCCTCGCCAGCTGTGGTGGCTTTCTCCCTGTGAGAATTTGGCTGCTCAACACCTCCATCGGACCATGCTTTCACTACGGCTGACTCCTCGGGCGCATCTGTTACGACGCTCAGCTTGTGCACATATTTGACCCGCCGCGGGATGTGCTTGAAGAAATAGGGGCTGATGAAGAAGGCGTCTACCACCCTGCACCCGCCGTAAAGGCCGACGAGGCCAAGCTGGTAAGTAAGCCCGATGCTCTGCGGAACATGGTAGGCAAGCGGTAAGCGGAAGAAGAGGACTGCAGAAACCAGAGCAAGTATGTTCCGAATCGTGTTGACGTAGATCGAATCGACAGCCGGAGGAGGCGGCGGGGCGAGCAGAAGGAGAGCAACGTAATAAATCAGCGGCGGCGTCACGGCTGCGCCGAAGGTGAGAGGTTGACTTCCGGGAATGGGGTGAAGGCCTGGTCGTGGCGTGGGGTTGGAAACTAAATCGTGAAGCCGGGTAATGAACTCATATATAGAAACCATCATGCCGCTGCAATGAATACCTAGAATATGTAATATACAATGAGAAGGAAATATCATACGTATATGTATATATAAATAAATAACAGTAAATAAATATGGTGAGAACCCGATTAACCTGGCAACTGGAATCTTCAAGTAGGGCATTCTTGATTTGGTGATGAAGGTCAACGCCCGACCGGCCCGAATATGCGATGACGTGTGAATTAGTTGACATATGACAATAAGCTCGAGAGCTTAACCAACTAGGTTATTCGATTAGCGTTGAGGTTATATAGGAGCAATTAATAAGAATACAGGATGAATCGGAGAAGGGCATATCCCATTGGGCTTATGAGACGATGGGGTTTGTCACCATCGGCACTAAAAACATTGAAGTGTATAATATCTAGAAAACAGGTACCTAGCTTAATTGGTTGTGGTAAAGAATAAATATGTTAGGTATGTCATTCAGTGACTAGTTTCTAGTTGCTAAGATGATATTTCTACAAATAAATGTAGCATGATGGGTCAAAAAACACCGAAATTATGTATGTACATAAGGATGGATGGACAACATGTTAAGCCGTCATGTTATCCTCTTCCTGAACCTACCAATATAATATGTACCTAACCTAACGAGTCATGACTACAACTTATAGAGAATGGATAGTGAGGTTTCAAACTTGGAGTAACTTGCGAGGTATTATCACAATTCTATAAACATGCTTTCTTAGCGGGTAATAAAGGATAATAGGTAACACGATACGTAACCCATAGAATACCTATCATAGGCAGATATTAACGAGGATCGTTTTGAAAGAGGAAAGAGTCGAATATACATACGTCTTTCTTTTTCACTTGACTGCTTTGTGCTTACCCTGACAAGCCAAGCCCCCTTTGTCAAGATATGCATTTATTATACTTATATCATATCGAACAACACTAGACGCATTATCTATTACCTCCTATGAAACCATACACAAGCTCCACAGGTAGTCTATAAACACCAAGCGAAAGAAAAAAAAAGAAAAAAAAATCAGTTATGCGACCTCTAACAACAGCCATCTCGTTGCTAGCCTCGGCGTCCGCGTGCACCGCGTGGAGGAACTTGTTGGCGCTCGAGTTCGAGCCCGCCGACTGCACGGGTTGGGCCAAGCACGCGAGCATAGGGTTTAACCCGGACCACTGGCAAATCAAGAGTATGTCCTACCACTCACTACCTCAGGTACCTACCTACCTACATGTATCTTATCTCCTATGCCGACGAGATATGTCAGGTAGGTAGGTACCTAACAGAGCGTACCTAACCTATATCGCTAACCAGCGGCTCAGTGCAAAACGAGACCAACACGATATACACATCCACCACAAACGACGGTATCTATCGATGGTATGGATTCTCCGGCACGGCCGAGCTAGGATGCGGCGGTGAGGTATTAGGCCGTCTCCCGAGTGGATGCTCGAATTTGGGCTAATATGCAGGAGAAAGAATACAGTGCATCCGGTGGTGTAGCATCTGGATGCACGATGAGCATTCGTGTGAGGCGATAGGACAAGATTGATGATACGGTAGATGATACGGTAGATGATAACCCGAGGGATACCTTATATTGTACCTAGAAGTTGATGATAGGTACCTAGGAGGTAGGTTAGGTATCTACCATCAACACCCTAATGGTCCCAATAAAAGATGAATATCTGTCCCGCCTTCAAATTGTTGTGTTGTATCTAGTACTAGGTATTCCTGACGTCCTCCATGGTTTATCGGTGGGTGGTTTCGGTAGCAGGAAGAGACTAAGATCTTAGGATCAATAGATAAGCATCATCCTCTCCACGACCCGGCATAAAGCCAAGTTCGCGGTGAGAAAATGAGGGAAGTTGACATGCTATAAGCAATATCAACCCCCTTGCTGCAGTTATTACATCTCGGTTGAATGAGAAATGTGTGTTTTTAATAAAGCTCATGATCTGTGAATCGTTAGTAAGACGAAGCCTCGACTGTCGAGAGCATGAATATGCTCCAACGTAGAAATGCATTAATACTATTCCTAGTCAGCAAGTAGAAAAGAAAAAAAAAGAGGCTATCTGGGCCAGTCACATTAAAGTTCTCCACTAGAGATAGAATCAGGTAGACAAAGAGTAAAAACTGAGAATATGAATTTTTCCCTTGCCACTTGGCTGAAGGCTGCCTAAGGTAGCCGGCATGATGGAGCAAGGGGAATACGGCAAAACCGTAGAGCGAGGCTCAGCAACGACATGGGTATGCGTCGGCCGAGTCTCCGGCTCCTAAAATACATTGTGCCATCCTCGGTGGAATGGATGACTCCTGTCGAACATCTATGTCGTGAAACACGGCGAGGTAAACGAAACAAACGGTATCATCTATGCACTTGGTCGTCTTCCGGAACGCCGCGAATCCATGGGCCTCAAAAATACCTAGGGAAGACTCCGGTGTCGGTCCACTCTCTAATATCACTAACCGCCTCGAACCAAACGCAAGTAATAGGTATCTCATAACCACATCATTCTCATCAAGGACTGTTCCGAGCATCTACTACTGTGAGTAGCATCGTACGACTTCATAATAGAGCTCTGGGGCACTAGTAAGGCTGTCGTCGTACCGCCAGATTACCAGACAACGTCGCGAGAGTTGTAATCCTTGGGTTGGTAATTAGGAATCCCTTGTGCTGCTAGGCGTTCAAGATAGTCCCTTTGAACCTGGAATATGGAGTAGTTGCCCGCAAACAATGGTCCGAGGATTGTGTTACCAAAGCTTACATTCTTGGTTCCCTTTGCAAGTTCAGCCATACGCCCTCGAAGTATCGAATGAGCTTTGGCAAACTGAGCCAGGATAGTCGGGGTATTTTTAGATCCGCCTGCAATGTCGTTGTCGGGATTATTGGGGTCCAGGATGGACAACCTATCCAAGTTGCGATAGATGAAGTTGCTAACTTCGTTCTGATGTAGAGAATTAGCATGTACTCAGAGGATGACTAGGTAAAAAACTTACCTTAGGAACAAGACCGGGAGGATTCATGCGGATTGCGACTGTGTTGTACTGGAAGTGATTACCGTAGTAATCGAAAAATTCCATCAGAAGCTCTCCCAGATGATGCTCGGGCTTCATGGAACGGCTCTGAACTTGCGGCATCTGGTTGAGTAAGTTGACAACCATGCAGATAACAGAGAAGCCACCAATGCCGCCGTTGACAGGCTCGTTGAGACCTCTCATGAGCAGAAAATGCTTGATGATGGCAACGAGGATTGGCATTACCGGGTATTTCTCTTTCCAGTCTAAAAATGTCTTGATGGCTCGGTAGCCATCTATCTTCTCAAACGAGATGTCAACCTTTAAACCGGTTTCGCGGTCGGCAAATTTGACGAGTGGGACTTTGGCCTTTGCGATCACTTCAACCTCGTTCTGATAGGGAACCCCGTGGTGTATAAGATGGGCTTTGAAGTTATACAAGTCCCTTTTCTTGTCATATCGCGGGATATTACGATTAATGAAGCTGTTGGAACAAATTGCGACATCCATATCCGCGGTAGGGAGATAGAGACCAGACATGAAGGAACCAAACGGATAGACCTCAGCATCGGCCCATCTCTTCTTAACAATCGTCCGTAGCTTGTTGAGCAGCTCATTGCGCACGCGCTCTTCGAAGTTGCGAGGGCGAACATACAAGTAGAAATCGACGATCTCCTTATGCAGTCTAAAGCAAATAAGTATAGGTCCTCAAATAGGGAAAGAAGAGCTTACCGCGTAGCCATAGAAGGCGTTGACGAATGATCCGCCACGACCCAAGGACATGGGTTGTCATCCTTCGGTTGCCATGCTGGCAAGACATTTCCACCGCCGTTAAACTTCATTTGCACCTTCACGGTCGAATGCGGTAACTTGATTGTGTCATCAAAGGTGCGCTTGCGATTACCAAGCGATGTAGAAGCAGTTAGATCAATAGGGTTACTGCTGGTGCCTTGGGTGGTGCCTTGGTTGCCTTGGTTGCCTCGGTTGCCAGGTTGTAAGGTAGGCTGGGTGCCTGTGCGTTGACCCCGAATCTCTTCGGTAGGCGGGTTGTGCGATTGGGTTGCCGGGAGTGTCGATGTTATCTCACGGCCGTTAGCGCCTGATTTATTGACTAGTGATTGCAACTTTCCATCCGTACTATCCTCCTTGTTCGCGGTTGCCTTAGTTTCACCTTCGTTATCGCTAAAATCGCAAGAGATAAAATCCAAGCCCTCTACAGGCGCTGTCGGTTTCTTCGCCTCCGCTTCTACGCGTGCCTTGCGAATCAGATGGACCATATCCTTCTTTTTGCGTGTACTCTCATCAGGAGGAGGTAGTGCGGTATATGGATCAGGGTTCGACCATCTAGGCACGTCCTGTTCTGGCTTCGTAGCAGCTGTCTCGGAAGTTCGCATGCGCTTAGCTGCAGGCTCGGCTATCTCCGAATCGGAGTTATCTGATATGTCCATCTCTGCCTCATCACTATCGGACAGTTCCTCGATGGGCTTGTAAGTAACTCGACCGGCTGTATCGCCCAACATTAATTCCGGGTTGTCATCATGCTTCTTAAGTAAAAGTAAACGAGTGGCCGGGATGGAGGGTTTGTAGAAACCATGTTGCCTAGTCTGGGTGCGATTTCGCGCGTCTCTATAAGGTTGATGACGTCTACGATCGTCGTTGCGGTGTGAGCGGCCGTCGCGACCATCACGACGAGATTGATGGGGCGCGTTTCGTCTATCTTCGTAGCTGTTGTCATGGTGAGTACTGTGTGCCCATTGTTGGGAGCGGTATGAACCATACTCTCTGGGATTCCGTTGCTCTCGATCGGATGGTACGTATGAGTCGATACCAGCGGGACGTTCTACGCGAAAGGTGAAGTCACCTTGAGGAGGGCGGTAGTTATCACTGTCGCGATAGCGGTCGCGATATTCTCCATCATTTCGGCGGTTATCATCGGGGCGATTGCGACGAAGGTCAGAATATGGACCTCGGAATTGATAATCATCGCGACGGTCTTGGGGAGGATAGCCATTCCATGATCGAGGCTGCTCATCACCACGCGAATACGGAGACTGCGGCGGTCGATTGTAATTATCATAACCGGGGGGAGGCGGCGGGTTAGACGATGCTGACTGGTTATAAGAGTTTGTATACATTTTTGGGAAAATGAATGTTCTCCAACTTCAGCCTCGAGTCTCAAGAAATGAAATGAAATGATAGCGAGGGGAAGGGATTAAAGAGAGAAAGAAGTTGGGACGGTCGCGGTTTTGAGATGAAATGCGATAAAATTCAATTAACTCGATTTAGGTACTACCTAATGTAACTTGTGGCACCCGGGCTATTATTACATAATTTACATAATTCTGCAACCGCGTTTGGAGCTAAACTTTGATTGGCTAAACTTTATATTTCGGGATAACTTCGGTGCAAGGTAGAGGTACCTTTTGCGGAACAGCCCTTTGTCTTTGTCAAGCAGCTAGGCAGCCAGGTTTTGTCAATTCTACATGGTACAATATTTCGGTGTTCACGTGGTATATAATTGTAGTATATTCTCGCACCTCTTCTTGATCCTCCATTTAGAAAGCACGAGAAATGCTATACCTACCTGATTATCACTTACTAACCTTATAATAAATAAAAGACGGCTTTATATCATTTAACATATATGATATTAGCAGAGCACCTTACTTAACATATATTACCCCAAAATCTGCAAGTAGGCCTTACGTATACTACTACGTAATTACCTCTATAATTTACCACTGTAATCTATTCGCATATAACACGCAGCATCAATCAGGCCTTTGTTTGGTACCTGGTATTAGGCAGATTTATGGCGGGACACTATTTAACTAGCATGAAAGCAGCATGAATTTGAAAGTCTTCTACCTAATAAGATGGCAGAGTATCGCGATACGTACCTAACCTAGTCTCTCCCTTAACAAGGATGAAATACAATAAATACTCTTAAGAAATTGGAACAATACCGGTCGCATCTGATAATTCTAAAATAGATTCTTACTCTAAAGTTATTACCGCGTTCATCGGACATCCAATCGGATCGACAACAGAACCTAGGGGTCCCCAGTGATTCGGTCGATCACTTATATCTTCCTCCCCGAGAATTGTTCAGCTCAGTCTATCTTAGTTGTAACGGCCTAGAAACTGAACAGACAATATAATATACTTACCTACCTGATTTCAAGTAATGTAGCAACAATATGAATGGCTGAAACTCTTTAAACAAAGAGTAAACCTAAGCTGAAGTTAGAGCTTACTATTAAGTCTACAATGCGCCTCGATTCAGCAGGTAGCTTCGGGGCATCGAAACCGTTATACAGCGACGACTAACAAAAATAGAATATTTACCCGTCAGCTGTGGTAGCTCACGCATAAGATGATTGCTTTTACGCCTGACATCTGATCCCTGCATCTCGGTTTTCCTGCAAGGTACCTACCTAATTATGGTGAAGCACGCTTATGACGTAAAAGCATTTATTCTGCAAGAATAAAGTCATGTACTTCGTGTGATGGCGACCCCTTCATTTGCGATTCAGGGGCTTGGCTGATATGGCTGATGTCAGCGTGCGGAATAGATCTGGGAACGATGTGATCTCCGATTGTAGAACGTCACGCTACAAATATGCTAGGCACCTCTTAATATACGCCTGTATTTCATTTATAAACCTGCTGAATGATCGACGTCAAGGCTAATTCGCGAACTTGAGAGACATCTGCAGCAAAGACTGGCCTTGTCATTTTCTTCTCCTTATACATCACTTCAAGGCAGGCCTATCTATCTCTCGTTGTTTCAATATTTAGTTACGTATTCATTAACATGCTGTTAAAATCAGTCTTATCAACTATCCTAGCTTTAGCTACCTGTGCTAGGGTTACCAGCGCTATACGTAAGAAAAAGTTCACTCATAACACGTGGGAAAGTTTCTAATATGAAGATAGCACTTGAATCTTCAGGAGAGTCTACGCGACTTAACAGGCGATGGCTCTCGGGTGGAGATAAAATCCGCGGTGTCAACCTCGGATCGCAATTCATTATCGAGCCCTGGATGGCCCATGACGAATGGTCTAGTAGTAAGTAAACCTGGTCGACACTTAGATAGATCCCTCTTAGTTGTTCATAGCTGACATATAACAACTCTAGTGGGATGTGGAAATGCCAACGACGAATGGCAATGCGTAGAAGCACTGGGGCAAGATGCAGCTGATGCGGCTTTCAAGAAGCACTGGGATACGTGGACAACCCAGGACGATATCACGCAAATAAAGAGCCTAGGTCTAAACACCGTTCGCATACCAGTCGGCTTCTGGCTCCGCGAAGACCTCGTTAACGAAGGGGAACATTACCCGCGCGGCGGCATCGAATATCTCGACCGCCTCGTTGGCTGGTGCGCCGACGCCGGGATCTACGTGATCATGGATCTGCACGGGGGGCCCGGAGCCCAGTTCCCCAACCAGCAGTACACCGGTCACGGCGTAGACTATCCCGGATTCTATAACCAGGCCAATTACGAGCGCGCAATCAAGTTCCTCGAATGGATGACCGAAAAGATCCATACAAATAACGGTTACCGCACCGTCGGCACCCTCGAGGTTATGAACGAGCCGGTCCACGCCGGGGACTACGGCTCCGAGGCCGCGGACATGATTGCGAATTACTACCCTAAGGCGTGGGACCGCATCCGCAGCCGCGAAGACCAGTTGGGAGTTGGGACGAATGATCGTCTGCACATTCAGATGATGGTACAGTTCCGACGAACGTCTGATGGTACTTCGTGCATGCTAACGTCAACTACAGGGTAAAGCATGGGGCTCAGGTGATCCTACCAGCAACATCTCCGACCCCACCTTCGCGCTGTTCGACGACCACAGGTACTACAAATGGGACGGCTCGGTGGAGACGACCAAAGCCGGTTACATCTCCGCGGCGTGCAACGACAACCGAGGCGGGAGCGACGTTATCGTGGGCGAGTGGTCCATCTCGGTCGCCGACTCGGTGCAGTTCAACGACGAGTTCCAGATCGACAACAGGCCCTACCAGGTGGACTGGTACAGGCAGTTCTGGGCCGCGCAGGCGCAGACGTTCGAGAAGTCCGGCGGCTGGGTGTTCTGGACGTGGAAGTGCAACTGGATCGGCGGCATGGACGAGTGGCGGTGGTGCTACCAGTCTGCAGTTGCTGCCGGCGCTATTCCGAAGGATGCTGCGAGCGCTGCGAGCATCAGCCCTTGTTAAGTTAGACAAATCTAGGATTGGTAGTGATTGTGTAGTATTGACTGAGTATTCTTGTGTTTATTTCTTTGTGTTAAGAGAACACCTGTACCTATTAATAATTATAAATTTGTAACTTTTACCTTTATGCTTTATCCGTCCTTTATGCATGATTATCTTCCATCATAACAAGTCATAGATGGATGCGTATCTAATGCTTGTAAATGTTTTAACGAGTAACGACCTCTAGAAGTGCCCAGGTTCTATTGTCTTTATTATTACCCGGCAAGCTGAATGGTCCTATTATAACCTAGCGTTCTCCTGTTGCTAAAATAGTGAAATGACACCGAAGATGTGTCAATAATATCCGACTAGTTGTGCTATTGGCGACCAGGTAGTACCTGATCGTAGGCCGGCTTTCAGAACCCCTCTTCAAGATCAACAAGGGCTCTAAGCAGACAATCCCTTGTGTATGAATTAATAAAAATTAAAAAAGCATAATCAACAAAGCATTTGTTGTAATGTGAAAATTCGCAAAGACGGCCGTTGTGACTGGACTATGAGTCTCAATCCCATTATTGCACAACCCTGGGTTAAAATCGAATGGGTTCGCGGTTAGGATAGGGGGTGTTTCGTTTACTCCCATCTTCACTCTGCGAATACCAGGTAGGTAGCCCTTGCGAACTTTCCACTCTATAGAGATAATTACCTAGGTACCTAACCCATATACACGTATAGGAGGTAACTTAGGTGAGGAAAGTTGAAATTGGATATTTACCTACCTACGAGTATTTGCACAGCGTGGCATCTTCTACTAACATCAAGCTGGTCTTGATATAATCGCTGAAAAAAGAGCGTAGATAACTGATATATGTTGAGGCCACACGTGTCTCGAATACGCTCAAACAGCCAAGATGTGCCGGAGGACCTTTACCCACCACATGCATCATGATGTGCGACAACTCATGATAACCAGCCTCGACCATGAAAACCACACCGTTTACGCTAACCCTCTCCGTACAGTCTTCCACCGATGCGAGATAGACGTTCCGATCCCACAGCATTGGCTCCTCAACAACCCCTATCCACCGTGCGCATACCACAGCTGCTGCCACCTTTCCAACGAGGTCGAGTTCTGCTCCGAATTCATTGATGAGCTATTAGACGCTTATTCTTCCGACGAGGAACTAGAACCCGAAATGTGTCCGTATTTCGTACGACAGCACCGACACAGACGTCTGGAGTACCTGGGCCAGCCCGAGTCTTACGCCCAGGAATGTCCGGCCACTTGGCAAGAGGGCGTAGAGGAGATCTCGGAGATCTCGTTCCCTTATTTCGAGCAGGACCAGGAGCAGCTGTTCAGGTACGCGGTCCAGCTGTTTCGCTTGTGCGAGGAATACTATCAACTAGAGCAGGACGCCGAGACGCTGTTCCTGGTTTACCGCGACCTCGCTACGGGCTTGCCGCGAGGCGATCCCCGGATATCCGTCGTGGAAGAGCAAGTGGTAAACATCCAGGCCAGGCTCACTCAGAAGAAGCAGGAGCTGTTCTCGAAGATGGTCTGGGCGAAGGGTCTGAGCCCCGAGAAGTACTCGAAGGGCTTTATACCCGTATGGTGGTTGCGGATGTGGGCGCTGAAGCAGCAAGCAGAAGAGGAAGAATCAGAGTACTATTCCTCGAGCGGATATAGTTCGTGAACTAATACTAGGTACTCTTTCAAAAGCAAATTAGGTTGTGGTTATACCTCAGGTACATGAATAGGGGACTGACGCAAGCAAGTATGGCATTTCGAATAGTCTTCTTGCATAGGTAACTAACCTTTAGGTACCTCCTAACCTTGGGTAGCACGTATGTAAGGAGCGAACATTGGGCTCTAATAGCTATTATTATAAGGAGGGTTACATTTTTAGGAAGCAGCATCAGCTACTAACTTGTTTACCTCGCCAAGATGAGGATATATAACGGCCTTGATCGGATTAGGCCCAAAGGACATTTAGAAGACAAAGAAAGAATGAAGGCGTTGTTTATCATATGCATTTCAGAGGTAGTTAGGCATGCATAGGAGGTACTTAGCTAGCATAACAGGTAGTTTAGTTGGAAGTGTTTAAAAAAAGGAAGAAAATTAAATGATATACTATGAATAAGGACAGGCTTCTAATCATGTGTACAATCGGATATCAGGTTCTCTTACTATTGTAGCAAAAACTAGGGGGTTACACGTCGTATTGGATAAAGCGAGGTATGTTACCCACTACTTTCCATACAATTATCAAGGAGAGGCTGGAGTCTACTAATATATAAATTCCAAGAACACATATAAGAAGTTACCAAGCTTATTATCAATACATAACTTCTGTTCCACTTGTAAGCCTTTTAACCCAAGTGCAGCCCTGTCACGTCGCAGAGCATGCAGTAGGTAAAACAACTTCGTTGTTCCGCAAGGAACTCTAACTACAGTTGTTTTGAAGCCAAAGCTATATACAGAATAACTCCTTTGTTCCAAGGAGTCTCAAGTGAGACTCCTGACAAGCCCATCAGCTTAGGAGGTGACAGCATCAACACTATCCTCACTGGCATCATTTCCATTAGAATCACTCTTAGAGGCATCTTCGTTGGCATTTAACTCGGTCGGTTCCGCCTCCACTGGCATTAAGTTCAGGTCTGCTCTATTTTCGATATCACTCGCAACCTCGTTGAATATTTGATCATTCAAGCTTTGAAGTACCGAGAAAGTGAAAACAGCCATACACTTGGGAACATAGGACCCGTCGCCACACACTTCTTCGAAAGGGTGACCGTTGTAATTACGCTCGCTGCTTCCGAAGACGGTTAGTTCTTCGTCATCCAAGTCGACAATATATGCCCTATAATAGGTAAGTAAGAATATGGAGGGAAATTTGCCAAGCGGGTGGAAGACGTACCATTCGCAGAAGAGGCCTGTGTCGCCAGATAGTTAGCACGGATACCCGGGATACATCGAAATAAGGCAAGGAAGTATTTGGAACATACTATCAGCTCAGATACGATCGGCAATTTGTGGTCGGCAGTGGCATTAGCGATTAACTCGAGAATTCCACCGCCCGTATCCCTGGACAGGGAGAGCAACCACGGCGAAGATTCGTCAGCTGTCTCTTCAGCGTCGTAATATTTCTGAAATTCGTCTTCAGTCGGCTTGTAGATATGGGCTAGGCCCGCTCGCAGACGTGCAATGTTCTCTTCAACGTGGAGGAACTTGAACAATTTCATACCTTGGCCTGACGGATAGCCATCCCACTGGCAATACTTGGCAACAACCCTGGGAAGAAGAATAAAAAAAGGACCATTAGCACTTGGGTAGCTACGAATTCAAACTGTGAGGAAGGAATATAATACATACCATTGCCGATTTTTTCGGATGCAAATGAGATTCCGAGTTCCCATCTTGAACGCAGGATTCAGGTTTGATGTCTATGGTCTGGTTTGATTTAGGAGGAGGTTTTAGCGAACTTTTAAGTCCTCTGTAGTTTGTAGAGATATGCTGGGAAAAGGGCAAAGAGGAGAGCTAGGAGTGAATACTGTGTGTGTGTCTGTGCGTTGCTGCCTATTGGAAGTGCATTTTTGTGAAACCAGAATCTGGATTGTTGACTCATTACAGTGTTGCAACAAGGTAAAAGCCAATAAAAGACCACGCAAAGTTCCTGGTTTAACTTTAGATAGGTCGGATAGGTACCTAGGTATCTACAGATGCCTAAGCTATTTGCTTTTACGTCTTGCAGGTTCTGTCAGTATTGTAGCTTCATATTGTGAAATTCGTGTGTTGGGGTCGAGGATGCCAATCTCTGATTGGTCACAGGAATTCCCGTAGAACTGCTGTCCGTTTGGCTTCAAGACTAGCAGGTACAGGCACTTGTAAGGCTCGAAGGATACTGGTTGCTTCGGCTGCGGTTAATCTGTGTATTTGGGCAGATGTGGTAGGACAGTTTGGTATGATATTTCCAGCAACGGAATCTCGAAGTGGGAGAAGGATATTGTTACGATCAGATTGATTGTTTTGTTTGTTTTTGGATTGAATTATGGTGTTTTCTATAGTGATGAAGCGGCGGTTGAAGGGTTTTCTGCATTCCTTGGATAAGGCCAACAAGTTCTTGATGTTGGTTCTGCTCCATAGCGTTGATGTTTGTTGTGATGATTTAGGAAGAAAGTACTGTAGATTGTTGCACCGGGGGTGTCTTAGGTTCTAGAAATGGTGTGAGTGTGCCACTCATGAGCCACGGACGTGGCTCCTTCTGCTCTTCTTCAGTGTTGAGTGATTGTTTGAAAAAAAAAAAATCTTTTCTTTTACATAGACAATATACACACACTTGTCAGAACCTTTGTCAGCTGGGTGTTGTTTGCTTGACTTCCCCTCACTTAACCCCCAGCAAAGGTTATATTTTTACTCTGCTTTCTCTAAATGTTATTTCTATAATCCGATATAGCAGATGAAATCAAGGCCATCTCCCCTTGTATAATCCATCATTTCCATGGTTCGGTAGGAGAGATAGTTGTTAGCACTAAAAAGCAAGCGGAAACGACACCTTATACCTAGTACACGAGAGGAGGCTCGATAGGGGCCTACAAGATCGTACCTACTGTGACGACCATATGATTAACATAACATATCATATGGGGTTACTATATATTTTAAATAACCAAGACAATTATATCGGAATGGTTCTGGTCATATACCAACTAACAGACCTCTAACGCCAAGGCTAAAGATTTGTAGTTTTCTTCCCAACGCTTTCGCATGTGTGAGAAATTGCCCGGAGCCATAGAAAATTACGAAAGGAAGAAGGAGTCGAGAAAGTGAGCATCGAAGATAACAATGCTCAATCCTCAAGAATAAATCGAAAATAGACCACGAAAATATGTAGTTTAGGCAGAATTTATACATACAGTGATCACAACTGCTTTAGCAACATTGAAAAGGCGGTTAAACTTGGTAGGGATTCAGTTACCCATGCCTTTTCGCAGGAGCCACTCGACGAAAATAGTATAAATATGATGCTATTTTCTCCTTTTCCATGAAAGATCATTCCGCATTGATAACTGGCAGGTAGATTAGGTACACGAAGTCATCTTGCAGTGGCATGGTTTTTCTTGCTCGATTTTATCCGGACAAAAACATAGACGTAAAAAAATCCTGTTTTTGTTTCCATTCCCAACTAATGCGAGCGTCTGAAAGGTGAGTCAAACTAGATACCTTAGGCACTTACCAGGTGTTAGGTATGCGCCACTTCTTCATAAATTAAGAGATGCCGCTTTACCATGCAGACGAGTTGTATAAATCTTTATTTAGCATCATCTACTGGTGGAATTCACGAAGCCGGAAATAGCAACTTATTCATCGTCTTACAAAGTACAGGGGCCCATATGAATTAACCTTGTACGTACGCGTCGTGCTAATGACTGATGACACGATCGTCGATATAAATCTTGTCGATCAATTGAGTTGCCCAGGGTGATCGTACTGGCCGATCTGTTGGATATTAGCCGCAGTTTACTTACCTCTTGGCTTTACCTATACATAATATCACACTCCATCGAAAATATCAGAGGGGTTAAATAGTTGAATTCAAAGTATAATAGAATTTGGATTGACACGATATTCGGAAGATTTACCACCTTGTAATCTCACAAGGTGCTTCGCAGGTGGGTAGTTGCAATGTTCACGACCGTGCAATACCCGTTTCGCCATCTTTATTTTAGCTGACGTGTATCGTATGAAAAGCTGTAGTTGAATTGATGTAATGCCGCTGAAGCAAGACGTGCTTGGAATTGGTACTCAATCAATTATGGTACGGTAAAGAATCTGCCTAACCTGGCCTGTGTAGTACCGAATATGCTGTTGTAATATGCTGGTGTAATATGCTGGTGTAACTGGTTTTGACGTTGCTTTTACCTTCAGGTGTGACGCACCCCGCATGAGTTCCAACTCTGAAGGGCTGGATAAATTAACCAACGTGCAGAGATCCAATATGCGGCTCCTAGGCATCGTATATGTATCTTGATCTCATTACGTACTGGCTTCATGGGTCTTGTGCTTTCATTCGACACGGCAGCACGGCAGCTAGATGTGCGTGGTTATGATGGCTAGTTCGTGCCGATGATTTATTAAATAAGGGGTAAAAGGATTAGCTGCATTTTAGTATTCCGAGTTGATTGTTGGCAGCCCAAAGATGCCCGCTTTAAATGGCGATATTAAGGTGTTAGATACCCAACCCAGAATATTCTACAAGTGATCATTGTGACGTTTTCCTATGCTTGAAAGATAGGTGTAGTGAAAGATATAGAGATATAGGTTAGGTACCCAGATCTTCAACCCACATAGGTACCTAACCTAAGATCAATAAGCGAATTTGATCTGCAAATGATGGGACCGCCCGTTGGAGACTAAAAGAAGCTTAAATTTGACAGCTTTGATCGTCAGGTCCCAATATCATATTATCCAAGCCGAAAGTAGTGAGAAGGTGATAACACTCTCCCAAGTCCTACAAGGAATCCTGACATCATAGACCATTTAATAAATGCAGTAGATGCCACGTAAATTTCCCATTACTACTGAAATAGGCTTGTTGCGAGGTCAGCTCCTAGGGAATTATATTCCCGACTAAGACGTTGCCCAAATTGCGTAGTAGCACGCAAAGTCAGGGGTAAGTGGATAAGAACCAATAAGGTTACAAACCACACCCCCTTCACTGTGACGGGCACAAAACGTCTCTCAGCATATTCTCTCACGTATATGCCATGGGGCTTATTCCGATATTATGGGAATATTGTCCAAGTTCCGGACACAGTATCCGTCAATGAGAAGCAGAGATCACTTACTAAGCCAATGGGAAAGTAGAGCCATACGTCGTTCACGAAAGGTTGTATTTCGGTAGTTCGAATTCGTTTATCTATAGTGAGCTTCACTAAATGATCTGGTAATTTGAGATGGATGAGCCGGCTTGCTCGGGGAGACCAACGTCATCCCGCAGGACTTTACATCCCCATGCGCTGTGAGAAGCGCTATGAAGACTGCCTCGGGGAGAAGGAGGAGGCGAAAATTATATGGCAGTTGAAATTTCGACGAAGCACGCCATCTGGATCAACCACCAAAAAGAAGGCATGATATGGGACCTCAAGAAAATATAAATAGAGCATGTTGATCCCATGGAAGATGCTCTCGTTCTCATCTTCACCAGCCGCAGCGACACAGCATTCAGCATAACCTGTCTTCTCAACGTTTTTTTCCCCAGCCTTAGCACTTGAGTTTCAACACATCTTCAACATGAAGGCCACATTCTTCACTCTCTTTGCTGTTGGTGGCTTTATTGCCACTAGCATTGCCAACCCTATCAATGTCGAAACAAGTGTAGAGAAGCGCCAGGATATTGACGGTATCGAGACGAGTCTAGAGGCTCTCCTTACCCAGATCCAGGAGCAGACTGCCAAGATCAGTAAGTGATCACGACAAAGAAAGAGAGGTAACAGTGACCTAACAATATGCTAGATGAGACGTTGATACCTGTTCCTGACGGCGCTCCCGAAGCTGACGCGACGGCTGCCGCTGACTCCATTGCTCCTCAACTTGACGCTATCGCGGACCTTCTCGACAAGTCTGCTACCATCGCTAAGCGTGCCATTGTCGAGGCACGATTTGTCAAAGAGGATATCTTCAAGACTGTTTCTCTCATCTTATATGAGCTTCTCGGCACCGTGAAGTTCATCCTCATCAAGCTCGGTCTCGGTAAGAAAATGCCTACTTCGTACTGGTACTAGTTTTCGCGTGTGAAGCTGACAATGATATGTAATATCAAGGCCCTGTCTTGATCCACCTCGTTCCTCTCATTCTCGCTCTGGTCAAGCTCGTCAAGGCTCTCGACAAGGTGGTCGATGGACTACTGTTTGCGGTGAAGTTTATCGTCGATGACCTTCTGAAGGCTGTTGGCCTGGGCCTTCTAGGTCTCCTCCCCTAGACGATCTTACGCATAGTTCTTGACGAGGTAACATTCACTCGGCTAACATAAGAAAAGAGAGCATCTGTTTCGCAATTGTTGCCACCGCAGGAGTCGATACATATGTGTGGCATTTGGGCTATTGTGATCTTTTTGTTGTATTTACATTCTCTCAATGAAGAAATAACACAGCACAGACAAGAGGTACTTAATGAGCAATAAATGATAAAAATGTGGCCTTAGTTAACTGGCGTTAAACTGATTTGAGTGAATCTGGTTTCAAATCTCCGGTGCCTCCTGCGACAGGTAGCATTGGCAATGTTGAGATGTTATTAATTACAAGAACGAGTTTTGAGTTTGCGAAATGAGGTCGAACACTGAATTATTAGTGTATTATAATTAGTGCATTATAGGGGTTATCGTAGTGGGGTGGGTTATGGAGGTTATGGAGGTAACGGTAAGACGGCAAGACCTACAGGGGATATAAACTTATTAGGTACCTCGTTAACTGACACTCTGACACAAGCGTACTATCTTCTAATTGGTTCCAGTTCCTAGTGAAACTCAACCTCCCCTGCTAAAGGAGAACCAGGAGATCTATAATCGCTAACGATTAACCAATCAGAAAAGAGATTCGGTCGGATCCGTGGAAATCAACAATCAACAACCCCCCCGTCCTACTTATAGGACCGGGACTCTCAAACCAACGTAACCCGAAGCATCTCGGACATGAGACGAAAAGATGGCTTCACTCGGCCTTGGTATTCACCTTGATGATTCGAGGTTCCGCATAACCCCTATAACCCCTACACCCCTCATAGCCCACCATAACTTCCCGTGTTGATCAGCGGGTAAAAGGTTGATGATAAAAAGCGTCGAAGATCTCTCTGAATATGTACGGTCCACATTCTTCTAAATCATCACCTATCGCTTCTTTTGATTCTGTCATCCTTCCGTGAAGGTCATCTTTCTTCATTCCTTATCCTGTTCTATTCATTCGTTCGTTCTTGGCCGGCATCAAGCATTTTTCTCACTTGCATATAATAATATATCAATTACCGTTAATAATACCACTACCCTATCAATACCCATCCCGCCGTCATAATGCGTACCTCATTCTCTATCGCAGCTCTCCTCGTCGGAACTGCAGTCGCAGCACCTATCATCCCTTTCGTCACCACGACCGCAGTAATACCCCTGCAGGAAGATGGTGGTGTCGGCGCATTAAGCGCGGCGACGGAGATCAGCCGACGACAAAGCTCTAAAAAGGCCTGCTTCATCATCGGCAGCAAGACGCTACCCAAAGAAGTCGCCGACATCGCCACCAGCCTAGCCTCGACCGTTTCGTGCGACAGCTCCGCTAAGACCATCTCCGGCGTCCCGGATGTCAAGTCCGGATCGACAACCTTTTCTTCCATCGACTTCAGCAAGTCCAAGCAGACCGGCCTCCAGTTCGCGCTGTCGAAGTTCGCGACGGCCGAACCCCTCGCCAGCACGGACCTAAAGAAGTTCCAGGACATGCTGAACGTGTACCAGGCCACCGAGGCCGGTATCCGCAGCGTCGGCGGCTCCTTAGCCATCAAGGTGCCCAAGTTCTTCCTTGAGATGCAAGTGAGGTAGGTCATACGCGTTTTTTATTCCGCTTCGTAAATCATTGTCTTACTAATTCCCTGATTAGCCGCATCCAAACTGCCCAAGGAAACCCCCCCTCCGCCCCTGGGCTGCAGGTTGACCACCTCCGTGACAAGGTCCTGAAAAACGCACCTAAGGAGTCCTCGGCCCTGCTAAACCAGGTTAAGCAACTTGCCACTCAGCTGAAATAGATGACTCTGGGAGGGGATTCAATAGATAGGTAGACATGATAGCCAAAATATTTGCATATGACTTGAGCATTATTCGCGAGACGTTGAATCTGGCTGATCTAGCTGGGAAACGTTTATAATGAAATATAATATTTTAGGGAGATTTGTATTGTTCATGTGCCCCGTGCCTAATTGCGTCTATCGGTGCCTGTGTATGCTGCTCCATATCTATGCGTAGCCTTGTACATAGATTAAATATTCGGTGATAGTAAATCGTATTTGACACATCTTTCGACCTGCGTATGAATAGGTTAGTATTGTGACAATAATAGAAATAGGAGTTATCAGACTTACATCTTCGATGCTAGCTTGCATGAACCTCCTTGCCTCCAATCCTGCCCAGACGAAGAACATGGAGAAATCGCCGCCCTTTATCATCTCGGCTCCACCTTGCGTACCGAGTTGTCTGAGGATTGGTAACGAACTGCTCAATAAATCGACGTTGGGGTCAAGGCTACGGCCGATACCTTCAAGAAGCAGGATACTAATTACAACATTTACGAAATCGCCTTCTAGCCTCACATGGTGCTCCCTAACCATGTCTAGGACCTGTTTCAGGATGTCCCCAATCTTGACGTTACCCAAAGCGAGAGTCGAGCTCTTGACGTTTAACACAAGGTGTTGCATTTTCAGGGCGAAAACCTCCTTGTCAATAACCGCATCAGGCTGACGGCAACGTTCACACATTAAATGACCTGCCTTGTATCCGTCAAACTCGGCAATGGCGCGGAAGAGGTCTAGGAGGTTTCGGCGATTTTTCTCGTTGAGCTCTGTCACAAGCCCAGTGTCAATGAATATAAGCTGCGGCCTGAATCCTTCCTCGTCGATCTTTTTCAGCTCCGCTTCCCATGCCGCGAGATTTCTTCGCTTGCGATACGGGCGGAGTCTCTCCAGGACCTGCTCGGTTACGTCGGGCTGCTCTTGGGGTTTTTGGCCGTTTCCAGACCCGCGTAAACTAAGATCGGGCGTACACGCCTGATAGAAGCGAACCATAATATTACCGGGGTGTAAGTCCGCGTGAACGAAATTATCGATTAATAGCATACGTAAAAAGGCGTCGAGGCCTTCTTGCGCAATGTCCCGTTGGAAAACTCCTCCGCCGTTCTCTAGAAAATCCGAAAGGGGTATCCCCTGTGCGAATTCCTCAATAAGGACCTCGCGCGTCGTGAACTCTAGGTATGGGAACGGGAACCAGGCTGTCGTCCGGTCTTTAAAATTCTTTCGGAACCTAGCAAGATTGGCAGCTTCTATCCGTAAGTCTAGTTGTAACTTCATCATTTCGCCAAATTGCGTGACCTCGTCAGGTAGGGATAACCATTCGATAGTAGGTATAAGATTAAGTACCGAAGCGAAAAAGCCCATAATACGGAGATCACGCCTTACAATTCGTTCCACGCGCGGATGTAAAATTTTGACGGCGACATAAGAGGAGGGGACGCGCTTCGGTACACTCTTCAGAACGGTGTCTACGTTACGTCGAACTTGTCGTCGAAGATTGCGGCTAGTCTCGGCGATATCAACGTCACCTGGCGCGGTGAGGTCCGGCTTCAATTTCGCTTTGTATACCTGAGCAATAGCACCGACACCAAGAGGCGACTGGTCGAATTCTTCAAAAATATCCACGAATTTTCTACCATCAAATGCTTTTTCAACTATGCGCATCGTCGCTTCTAGGGAATGCGCGGGGGCGTGGGAATGGAGTTTAGCCATAATATCGCACATCTCGGTTGGGAAGATATCGGACCTTGAGGCGGCCCATTGACCGAGCTATAGAATTCATATGTCAGCTTCAGTACGATGATGACTATGACGACCATTATGATCATATGAGTGCACCTTTATAAAAGCTGGCCCAGCCCTCTCCATTGCTTTAACAAGAAAGTTATACCACCATAATGTGCCGGATCTCTCGTTATCTCGGTTCGGTTGGCGACTCCCAATCCATACAGCTGGCACGGCCAATATTACGGGTATGAATATGAAGACCAATTCGATGAATCTTACGCCAGTACATAGAGGCTCCCAGAAATAAGAGTCCAGGAATAAAACCAACCTGTGACCTAAGCGATAGACTCCTCTCTCATCGTCACCAACTGTCTTCCTCAACTCTTCTTGGGATACTTCGAGCATACGCTTCTCCCTTGTCTTTTCCGACTCTCCATTGTCATCTTGGGATAACTTGACGAAAAGAGCAGTTCCAAGAGCAGCATTTGTTGTGGCTTTGAGTACCCGACTACCAAATTTAGCCTGTGTATTTCGCAACGGCGGAACGCGCTGGGTTCGGAAGCGTAATGTCGAATGCCATCGGACAATATTCGCAGAAGAAGTCTTGGGAGTTTGGGAAGCTCGACGAGCGCAAAACCGACCAAGTAAAATGGCCGATCGCATATCTAATAAAAGGAAAAAGATGTTTATCTATAAAGGGGGAAATGAGCTGATTGGCATGGTGGGCGATGCCAATAAAGGTATTGACCAATTTGGATACTGCTGCTTGGTGAATGAGGAACTTCGTATTATTGACGGATGTGCATGTGAGAGATGGATAACGAGGATAGCTCCATACAAAATCGCGTGGTTCGGAAAGCTAACAACTGCAAACAACCGGGTGCGACGGGGTGTGACGTAGTAGATCTAGGTACGGGGTTCAACAATAACATGTCCAATAGTGAGGTACCTAGGTACCTAGCGCCTAATGCATGCCACTGGCTATTACATAATACTTCTAGAATTTCTCCAATTTCTCCCTTTGCCCCGGTCATCCGCGAACTTACTCAGCCTTATACATACATAATTGCAAGGCCGACGCGGCAAATAAAAAAAAAGTTACAAAGTTAAAGAAGATACGGATAAGCCCCTCAGCGCAAACAATTTCGATTTAATTTTTAGCATTCAATTTTTCGATCGCATACAGTTTCACCTCCCCTTTACAATATCCTATAACATCATCCTCTTTTCTACTAACTACCTTTGTTATATATATATTAGGTACCTATGTTATATATTTTTAATTAATTAACTATTAGAAAACTAAACCACAAGTATGGGTTGGTTTTGGGCAGACGGTCCTGAGGCCAAAGCCCAATCGCGGTCTTTATCGCATCGCTCCTTTGGACCTCAAGATGGAGGACGAACGCCTCCTGTAGGTCATTTTTACATCTCTAACTAAATGCTAGGTATATAAAATTCGAATTCTAATTGTACTGTCTAGCCGGGTTGTCCGATGCATAAACACCAGAAGTCAGCCGATGCATTAACTCCTCCCCCAGCTGCTTGCCCAGTAAAGCATACACCCAATGCTACACCCAATGCTGTCGAACCTCCCTCGGCATGTCCTATACCCCACGATGCCAGGAAAAACTGGCAAGAACAGCGCGACTCACAATCGACGTTTTCGAAGTTAAATCCCCTTAACTACATGTTCCGCGACCTCTCGCAAGCACCTGCGCCCAACCAAACGCAAGCTCTCCCTACTTCTCGCGAGCCTTCGACGATTCCCAGAGGCGATGGGGATGGCAATTGGGAATACCCGTCTCCTCAGCAGATGTATAACGCTCTTCTGCGCAAGGGATACACAGACACCGATGTTACCGCCGTGGAAAGCATGGTGAGCGTGCACAATTTCTTGAACGAGGGTGCGTGGGCCGAAATTATGGACTGGGAGAAGCGATTCGCGGGTGGTTTATATAAGGGATGGCGCCTGTGTAGTCGTGGCGAGCACAACTTTGAAAACATGGCCAAGAAGTACGGATACGAAAAGGAAATCGAGAATCTGAGCCCGAGCCTTGTCCGATTCCAAGGGCGACCAAAGGACATGACACCAAAGGCTACCATGTTCCAGGTCATGGGCTGGATTTACCCTGCAGCGTTTGGGTAAGATCATAATATTTCCCCTTAGCTTTGCTTCGAACTAACTCACTAACTCACCAACTCACCTCATAGTACCGAACCACCCTTCGATCGACACGACTGGTACGTATCCCGAGATGTGGACGGTCAGCGGAAAGAAGTCCGTTACGTTATCGACTACTACTCCGGGCCACCCGAGCCTACGGGAGAACCGGTCTTCTTCCTCGACGTTCGACCTGCTATGACACCGACCGGAGCAGCTGAGAGGGCATTGAGATGGGGTTGCGACGTATGGTGGAAGGCGATAGGAGGCGACACTCGCGAGGAAGAAAAGTTGAAGAAGATGAGAGGATGACGTGGCTGCATTCAGTTAGGTACTTGACCTAAGTGAAGACTACGACTATAATTGATGTCGATTTGGGCACGGAGTTTTTTTTGGGTTTACCTTTCGGGATGTACTATAAGGGGAACTGAAGGCTCGACGATTCTTACGGCACCTGGCGAGGCATCATGATTCCACAGATTCACGAAGTATTTTGTTTTTCTTCTGTATTACCATAGTTCGTAACCTCTACCATCCCCCTCTTCGGCTAACGAACGGTAGAAGTAATAGATTATGCGTCTACCTCAGGCGATAGACAAACTCCACCAAATGAATTAGTTGACTGTATACCCGTTTTCGATTGATATAGCTGGAAGTTTATAGAATTAAAAGTAGCCCGGAAAATGGCAAAATCTCCTGACTATTCTCTTTTAGTAATGCCGTCATGTTGCCAAAACGTCGCCGGTGGATATTAACGACCCGGATAAATTATTGTGATCTATTAGCCTTTTGATCACGTTAATCAAGTGCAGCTTACGGCCCTGCTTCTCGACACGTGGTTGGCACAAGGCATTTTCATGGAGCTATTCATAACAGCTATCTAAACTAATTGTTACTATTAATGTCGTACCGTGGCATGGTGAGATCCTACCAAGATCCTTCAACGTGTCCAATTCCGAAATATGGTCACAAACCACGCGAACTCGTACATATTTAAACATCGCCTTTGGCCCATTGGCTCCTTTTATGTGTTGACCGTAGAGGATCATAGCATATCATATCAAGCTGTAGCTTACCTATCTCAGCCTATCTTGCAGAGCATCAGCGCCTCCGTTTAAGTAGACATATACTTAATTTTCCACGGACGGGTTAATTGCCCTCTTGATTAGATGTAGAGCTTGATGTAAGTATTCCTTCCCTTCCTTCTACCCTTATTGAACCTGAATTCACATGGTAAGACTCTTCACGTATGCCTGTGATATTAACCAACCAGACCAAACCGGTACCACATCGCATCCTAACGAGTCGAATACGTACCTAACCTAGCCTAAATTAACCTTATAAAACACCCTTCACCAATGCTACAGCCATCATTAACATACCGCAATCTTCTCAGGTGGAACGTTCAAAGCTGGTTAGGAAACTACAAGGCGACGACTCTCGACGAGCTCTGGATAGGGCTCTTAGCGCTAGAAGCTCTCTTGATAGTGGGTGTCTTTAGCTTACGGGCCTTGGAAACAGTAGGTTGGAGGACGCAGAAGTCGCGGTTCATGAGATCTTATACTATACCGCCTTCATCAGGTTAGGTTAGGTTAGGCAGATAAATAATACAAATGAATTACAATAAGACGATCCGAACTGCTTGCACCAGAGAAGACACACATACATAAGAAAGGCCTCCCGCCTTACTCATATAGCTAGGATACTAAGTTGGTTTAAGTAAAACTTATATAGGTACCTTATCTTTTCGCTACTTGGGAATAAGATTTAGTGAATGAAGGTAACGCTTTCAAGGTATTGGGCATATAACTACGTGGAGTTTATCCTCACTTCGTCTGCAGACGCCATAATTCGTTAGGTCACTAGAGGTACCTAGGTAGGTAGGTGGGCATATACATATCTCCTAAAGGTGAGTATTCTCTTCAACGCCTTTCGCATATGACATGGTTTCATCTTACTAGAAGAATTTTATGTTAAAAAACATTGAAGAAGTCGTGAATTGAAGTGAGCCAGGGAGAGAGAACATTGAAAACGGTAGGGTCTCCTATTCTCTTACCGCGCAGTATGCATCCTTGAAGTTTCTCTTTCTATATTTCATATTTCATATGAGTGTGATCTAATACTTGAGCCTCTTTCACATACGAATATACACTCATCGTCTTCGGCATTTGGCATTTACACCCAGCATCATAGAATTGAATTTATGTAAGATAATCCTTCTCGTGTCTCGGTCAAAGGATTGTAGCCCGAAGCGATCTGGATCTATGGTGGGGAAAGTATGTACCAACTAAAAGCCCGAGAGGACGCGAGGGGCGGTCGATGCGGTTTGTCAAGAATTATTATGTCGTGCTGATGATATCAAACTAGCTATCGGGTCGCGATTAATCGCGACGTCACAATCTTACACTTGATACCATATACATACCTAATGTACTTAATACCATTATTACAACCCGCAGAGAGTCGGGCCAGAGATACTCAATATAAACTAGGTACCTTACCTTAGTATTGTCTAAGTTCCAGAAGATAGCAGGAGTTCGCGTCCTAGTTAATACTCGTTATTGTGATAAGAAAAAAAAAAAAAATATTATCTTACATCGAGGTACACCGTTGCCATCATGTCTACGTCACCTACAAGCTCGATCCTCCTTTCCGGTGGAACAATCATAGCATTCAATGAAGAGGATGAGAGCATTGAGGTAGTTAGGGACGGTTCCTTGCTGATAACTGGGGACCGCATTGCAGGAATTTACGACATTGCTCACCCGGATGATCTGCCTTCGGATACAGAAATCGTCGACTGCACAGACAAGATTATTTCTCCCGGCTTCATTGATACGCACCGACATGGCTGGCAAACGGCCCTGAAGACTTTGATACCCAACACTACACTACCAGCTTATTTATACCAATTTGCTGGAGTTGCGTCGTCGCACATCTACTCGGCCGATGACGTATACCTTGGGCAGCTCACAGGGCTGCTCGAGGCCCTCAACGCGGGCGTGACAACGTCGCTCGATCATGCCCACCACATTTGGTCGAAAGAGACAGCCGATGCTGGGTTTCAAGCCTCTGTCGACAGCGGTGCCAGGGTATACTGGTGTCACGGATTCATTACTCACGGTGATTATTCGCTCACGGACCAAATCGCCAATTTCAGAAAGCTGGCTAAGTCAAGTCAGACGTCTGGCTTAGTGACCGTAGGCGCTGCATTTGATGGCTGGACGGTATCTCCACCTGAGGACGTCAATGCTGTGGTTTCTGTTATTAAGTATGGGAGAGAGCCATTGCGTAGTTGACTCGTTGCTGTGTGACTAACGAAGCATAGGGAGACAAAGATTCCGGTGTTGACAACGCACTACTTAGGGGGACCGTGGATGGGTATGTTCCTCAACTATAGAAAATTCAAGAAAAAAAAGGGGGGGACTTAACTTACTTCACTAAAGGATGGCTATACTGACGAATCATTAAAACTTACCTCTATAGTCAACAACTCACCCGAGCTTTTCCAACGTCTCGGACTCCTGGACACCAGGATGGCCGTCGTCTTCTCGCACGCGACGGACATAACGGCGACCGAAGCCAAGCTCCTCCGGTCCGCGAGCCAGTTCATCTCCATCACGCCGGAGTCGGAAATGCACTACGGCCACGGCCACGCGACCGCGCACCTGGTGCAGGAGCAGGCCTCGCTGGGCGTCGACACCTTCAGCACCTTCTCGACGGACCTCCTGACCCAGGCCCGCCTCTGGCTCCAGCGCACCCGCTCCCGGCTCTTCGACCACGTCCTCGCCGGCTGGAAGCTGCCCGCCAACAACCCGATGTCCGCCAACCAGGCCTTCCTGCTGGCCACGCGCCAGGGCGCGCGCGCGCTGCGCCGCCCGGACCTCGGCGTCCTCCGCCCCGGCGCGAAGGCCGACCTCGTCGTGTTCGACGGCCGGTCCCCGGGCATGCTCGGGTGGCGGGACCCCGTCGCCGCCGTGGTCCTGCACGCGGGCGTCGGCGACATCGAGCACGTGCTGGTCGACGGGAAGTTCCGCAAGCGCGACGGGAAGCTGACGTACGAGAACTACGACGAGCTCGCGGGGCGCTTCCTCGCGAGCGCGGAGCGGCTGCAGAAGAAGGCGGTCGAAAGCCCCGCGCCGGTGCTCGAGGGCCGGTTTTGGGGCGGTTGCGAATTGTAAGTTTTGCCGGCCCTTCGTCTTGAGCGGTCTCCCCGTGTTTTTTTTTTTTCGAACTTTGTAAACAAAACGGTGGTTTGCTGATCTGATCTTGTGTCTCTTCTAGTGGTTATGCTCCGGAGGTAAATATCTCTCGGGGATCCGGCACGGGATACGGGAAGCAGTTTCTCGAGAAGTAGATTGCGGTTGATGGGTATCTATGTATTAGTATGTCTAGCAGATATCGACACATGGCGTATCTGTTACGATGGTCCGTTTGCATAACACGTGGGCCTTGGTGCTAACGGGACCTTCAACGTCGATCTTCAACGTCGGCGAAGAGAGTTACTGGCTAACTATTGCAGATAATAAATGTCTTACGATTATGACATAGCTAACGTTATATGATAATACATATAGGGCAGAAATGGATCGCTCCTTAAAATCCTGTTATGGTAGTTTCAGCTCGTCCTAGTGTTCCAAAGAATTATTATCCTTCCTGTTCGGTGAAAATAAAAACTGTGGACTTGGAACAAGTGGGCATAGATGCAACCCTATCTCTGTCTCCATATATGTTTCCCCATCTGAGCGTAATGTGTGAACAAGGTTGAGCCCCCTTGGCTGGCAAGGCTGGTTGAATCTGGTTAGCTGACTTAGGTTACGAATATTGATTACCAGTTTGATGACTGGCACATTTTGGAAGTGCAGTACCTGCATAGATTATGCATATGGATTTACCGGTACAATTTCGAAGGCATTTATTCGATTCTTCATTGCAACGTCTTGTCACATTTTGGGGTAGAGATATCAATAAGTGAGTTTGGGGGGGGGGGAGGGGGTTTCTCTGCAGGATGTAACATTTCGGCGGTGAGAAGTTTTGTTACGAAAACAAGGTCTACTGTTAGGTAGAAACCAGGCCCATCTGAAATTTGTTTTTTTCTTTTTCTCTTACAAAAGGACAAGTTGAATTATCGACAAGGTTAGTGTTAGGTACCTTACCTACCTAAGGTTAGGTACTTATTTGGTCTATGCTACTTGCTTTTGCCATTAATATTTTGGAATTGTGTTAGGTACCTATCAGATAAGATTACTATAGTAAAACGGTGTACGGAATATTTAAATTTCAATACGAGGATTGACAAGTGTTGCTTCACGATAGACTCTCTAATTCGTGCTCTACCTAGTGCTGATACGTGACAAGGGTAGAACCCCCTGGTACCTTGTCTACTATAGTTAAGGGTTCAAATCCCATAGGTTGTGTCTTTACGTAAAAATACCTAAGGTTGCTACATAAAGCCTTGGTAAGATGATGTTCTTCATGGGTTTAAAAGCCGATATCGATATCGTAATTTCATCTCCAAGTTTTGATTAAGACCACGTGCCGCTGGGGATTCTTAAGGTCTAGGATGTCTGCATAACTTGTCACACGCTAATGTCTCTAATGTCTTGTGGATTCGCTTATGAAAAATGTACAGTACTACTTTAGGTACCTAGATACCTAAGGTAAACAAATAATGAATGAATGGAACTAAGGCATGGAGATTCAGGAACGCGTGCCCTTTGACGTCCATTTGGTGTTACCAATGCACTGGGTGCATCCGTTTGTTCACCCCACGCTACACTAAACTCGGCCAGTGCCAATACATAGACACTCTTTAGTCTTTTATTTGTTTACAACAACATCTTTTTGCCTTCTTGTTGAAGACGTTTATTTTTGCAAACTGGGGGGATAACGGTCTGACCAGAGTTAGAGTTATATCGTACCTTAAGAGGTACCTAAGGTAGGTACCTAACATATACAATGTGGGATGGAAATCCAGTTGACTTATATCTAAGATGATCCAATCGGGATGAGGCCTTTTTGGCCTTTGCAAACCTGGATATCGGAGTCTAACTAAGCAAGGTACACTAGACCGTAGAGTACCTGACATCTATCCACCGGTCCTACACTACATATGGTATGGTAAGGGGTTGGCCGGGTACTTGAAATTAATACTAATACCCACCATGTACCTCTAACCTAACTTAGATACTGAAAGACCACATACACACCACCTAAGGAGGTAGCCTGGGCAGGTTAGTCTGGGCTGTCAGCCGATTCCTTGGACATCCGGTACTATGAAAGAGACTTACTTAGATACCTAGACCAGGGACACTTGTCAAACTGAAAGATAGCGCGAAAGAAACCCAGAACCAGAAATAGGGGAGATAGGTAAATCTAAAACTTACATCAGAAAAAGGGTCACCCGCTTACGAACCTTCATCAACCGAGTTCCGTTCAATTGGGATCGCATGAGGCTACCTAGCTTATGAAGATATTGTGGGCCGACGAACCATAGACTCTATCTTAAATCGTCATGATCCCGCTCAATACCACGTTGGCTTGGTATTACTAGCTAAATTAGATTTTTAGATTTCTTGTCGTTGTGGTATTCCGCGGTTGTGGTACTCTGTAGGTAGCTAACTGCTGGCCTAATACCTAATATCTACCGAGTGTATGGCGACGCATTTCTTCGTCGCTTTCTCTCGTGATAGAGTCATTCCCTAAATATCGATCATCACTGATTGGAACTTAGAGAGCACCGAGCTTAGCAGTAGAACTGCTACTCAGTGGATTGAGTCTCTATCAACATGATCGAGCTTGGGCGAGATGATTACGATGTTTTTGCCAACCGGGTCCTATGGTCTTTATTCGCAATCTCAGCAGGTACGTTCAACAAATCTCACTCTGTCAGCGCGCGATTCTTACTGCCTTTCTACAAAATAGTTGTTGTCGGACTAAGGGTCTTCTGTCGCTTGCGTTACGGTACACAGCTGCGGGCGGGATTGGGCTTAGACGACCACATAACCGTATTATGTCTCTTGATTAGCCTTGTCGTATGCATTCTTGTCACGATAGCAACAGATTATGGTCTTGGAAGACATGCGGCCGATTTAACCGACGACAACAAAAAGAACGCCCTTAAATATAATGCTATTATCAATGCCGTCTTAATATGGCAGTTTTCCTTACCGAAGTTCGCCATTATCGCCATCTTGAAACGAATTCTCAATTACGGCACTAAGACGGCAATTTTATTTTGGGGACTGGGCATCACTTCTCAAGCATGCGTATTAGCGGTGTCGGTGCTATGGTTCAAGCAATGCCATCCTGTGGAATATGGATGGGATAAAAGCATCCCCGGAGGAACTTGCCAGGATATCAAAGTTATATCAAACCTGGCGTATTTTACATCAGCCTATTCCGCTTTCCTCGATATCTTCTTCGCATTCTATCCGATCCCTTTCATCATGCGCCTGAACATGCCACTTCGAGCTCGCGTCGCCGTGGCCTCGGCTTTAAGCCTCAGCGCGCTCGCATTTGTCGTTTCCGTTATCAAACTATCTATTCTTGGAGACGCCTTTGCTTTGTTAGCGACAGATCCCACTTGTGAGTAGTTCAGCTGTACGACGTTGCTCTCGACCGGTAAAAACTAACAGCTACATTTAGTCGCCGTACCTTATCTTGACATATTGGGAATGGCAGAAGGTTATATTTTAATAATTTGCTCCTCCCTGCCAACTCTTGGACCCCTCTTCAGGAAGATGAAAGGGAAGATAACCAGCCGCGGCACCAGCGGAATCAAATCTGGTGCGAATGTCGGCTCCAGTCTACATAGCTTAAACAAAAGTTTTGGTCGTTCGAAAGACCAAAGGTCCACGGACGAGATGGAACGGTCGATTGGGGGGAACTCATCCAGTGTCGATGAAATACCACTGGTAACTTCGCCTCTGCCGCCACCATCCGGCTCGATAACAAAAACTGTAAATATTATGATGACTACAGAAGAGATTAACCCTAAGTTTAACTCTCGCCCACGTGGCGATAAATTATAATAATAGATGATATCCTGGAAGCAAAATAGTGTCCTAGTCTGCATCGTTGCCTGAGTCAATGGACCCTTTGAACGCGTCCTGCAAGAGCTGTAAATCGTGATCATCTAGACCTTTCGACTACACTTGCGTACTTCGTACCCGTGCACAAATTACTGTCTTAGGTAGGAGCATTTAGGATAATAATTATTTATGCTGCTCTGCTTCATTCGTATTCCCCTCGGCTTAAGCAAATATTTGTGCCGTACTACCTAATTACTGCGTTCCAAGGAAACAGCTTCATTCTCTGTCAATCTTGGCGAGTGGGCCCTCATCCGAAGTGCCTTTTTCTTGTATGAAAGCTCAGAATACTGTACAGAACGGGGCGCAGTTTGAACAAAGGGGGGATTTTGTTTAGCGCGAAGCGGCCGCCTTATTATGATCATAACTGTACCAGGTAAGTTGCCCTCAGCTTGCCATGCATACAGCCAAGAGCCAAAACGAAACATTCTTCTCGAATTTCCGGACAAAGCTTTTTCTTACCAACCCCTACCTATGCCTCGCGTAATAACACATGAGAAGCATGCGGAAACCCACCTCAATTACCAGATATAGATCATGTAGACCATAAACCACGTGGTATTAGGACGGATCTTCGCGAAACCAATACGCCCTAAATGTACGATGACTCCCGTTCCCGAGCGGCACTGGGCCATATGTAATACAAGCACCTACTGCCAAGAGTACCTACAATGGCGGACTTGACGGTGCTGGTTTAAAAGGGGCTGTCAATGACAATGTTGTCACCACCTTGGGTTAATACTCCTACACGGCAGGGTTCAAGCTATATCAACTATCTTAACGACCTCGCCGATGGACAGACTCCACTTAGTTCGTTGTTTGGTATAGTTACCATCCAAATAGATTCTACGTCTCAGGGGTTGCGAAAAAGTTGCTGTTGTAGAAACCTAACCCGACTGCCTTTTGATTGGTACCAGGTTGGCGGTATGCAGGGGCCTAAGTTAAATATACCGCGAAGGTGAATTTCGCCTAATAGAGACATTCCTGTATCTAATTGATATTGTCAGAAAGCTTTTATTTAAGTTCGTGATTTCTATAGGGTACCTTAGGTGTAGGTACTTCACGTAGGTACCTAATGATCATGTTGCGATGTAGGAAGCCTTCCACAATGATAGATAGGTACGTTTATCCCCTTCATTTCAGCTACAATACTAACTTGACTCAACTTCTTTGTCGATTAACTTTGCATAAAGATAGACGGATTCTTTGAATCAAGTAAGCCCATAAAGGACTCCTTGGATCAAATGAAAGCAGGTCCTCATATTAAAGCGTTTAGCCAATATAGTCATAAGAGAGTTCAGTTCATAATATTTAAAACAACAACTAATGTACAATGGGAAGCCACAATGGAATTGTCCAAATATTTAAATTGTATATTACCTTCGCTCAAAAAGCGACAGCACATCGAACGCCCCCGAATTCACGATAATACTGCCCGTGTCACTCACCATTTGTTCACATAACCAATGTCTGATTCCGCCGGCGCTCGGCAAGACGCCGAGAGGCTTGCAAGGTACTTTTCGGATGACAAAAGATTCGATTTCCTAGGTCTAATCGCCCACGGAAATTATGGTTCTGCGAGTCGCGTTCAGTACCGAGACACCACAACAAAAATGTCGATAGATTTTATCGTGAAAAGGGCGTTTTCGTCGCAGATGGCGGAAGACGCGATGAGGAGAGAAAGGGATTATCTTAGGGTATGAACACTGAGAGAAGAAAAACAACCGTGAGCCCGTAAACAAAACTAGGTCAGTACATTTGAGCTAACCCGTACAAAATGGTATAGAGATTTCGCGGTGCTCTACATATCGTTCAGATGATAGAGGTTGAAAACAATCCTCTAAACAGACAACCCTCGATCGCCGGGCAATGGATTACAATGGAATGGTTGTCATGTGGCTCATTATCGAACTTCATCGCTAAAGCAAAGACGAAAGTAAACCGATTGCCGAATCGTTTACTGTGGAGATTCTTCTTATGTCGTAAGTTATTATGGTGGTAATTGAGTTACCTACCCCTTATATTGTTACTTTGTCATCAACTTGTGTTTTCATCGTATACTCCCTACTAATCATACAAATTTGGAAGCGTTCACTAGGCTGATAAGCATACAGTTGTAAGAGCTTGTATAGCTATGGCGGTAAGTAATATTCTTGGTCATATTGCATAGGCAACTCCAAAGCGCCGGTTTCGTGTGCTAAGCAGTAAGTCTTGCAATCTGATACGTTCGTACCTAAAATAATCCAGCCAACACGTCTCTATCAACTTCGCAACCCACACACGGTTGACACTAACTTATTTCCTTCGTAGAACCCCCCAAACCGCGATGATGGTATAGTAGAAAGAGAAGTGGTAAGAGATGTGCTTCCAAAAACGGCTGTAGCACATGGAGACTTTCATGCGGCGAATGGTAAGTGAACTAACACCGATAATCTATGTATATTTCATTGAAGTATTTTGACGCTAACATCCACAAGTCGTTCTCGGAGAGCCGCCTTCTGATTCTGAACATACGATTACACCCATTCTAAAGGTCATCGACTTCGGTAATGCGTCAGAATGGTCCTGGATCGATGGTATGGGCACGACTGCAAACAATAATCTCTGGGAAGTGGGAAAGGTAGGTTTCTTTTCTACTTAGAGCATTGACTCAAATATTTTCAAGTATTAAAACTAACATCGCTGCTAACGCGTACAATAGTTCATGATAGGCTTGATTACACTAAGCGAGCGCGAGTTTATCCCGAGGTCAGGCAGGGGCAAGGTCATGATGCCCAACCAAGGGAAAGTATTAACCACGGACGCCGTCGCAATCCTCCCGCTTGACCCCCCCAATGCGAAGTTCCCTCTCCTGGATCCGGACTTGGGAAGGCTCGTCTGTTGGTGCCTAGCGACGGACATAGAGGACGGTCCTAGCCTGTGGGATATAGACAATCGAGTAGGGTTTTTTGCAGGTAGTAAGCGACCAATGGATTATCCAAATCGTCCAGAGGAGACTGATGACCACATATCCCGACTCTGGCGACAAATAGTATATAACGCGGATACCTAGCCAGGCTTTATTGAACGAATCTTAAGGTTTGTGTATGTCTTTTACTCCACGATCGGGCGTTTGATATGATATACGGTTAAGGCCAGGCAGAAAAGAGGTCTCTGTTTCTCCACCAAGCTTTATGTTTTTATAACGCGTTAGCCGTATAATACGAGTCCTACCTTAGGTAGATTTTGACAATCTAATATATTTATGTCAATTTCAGTTTTCAAACTGGAGCATTGTCATGTCAGCCACATATTTCCGGCTATGGATGAAGTGTTTGGGTGACTATAATCAACTACTCAGTTTAAGAAGCTTTATTGCTTCTAATTTTAAACCCATGTTAGAATGCAAGTCAATCTCCCCTTGCCTCGTTCGGTAAATGTGAAATAGTCTTGGGGCAGCGATTACAATGAGAGATAGGTAGGTAATCAAAAAGACATTAGAGTGTTATGGGGAACTAACAATCGCTTACCTACCTCTTAAGGTAGTTGGGAATTACGAGAAGTTAGTTCTGGTGGATATGGGGAGAAACGAGGTTCATGTACCCCAAGTAATATGTATGGGAATACTTGAATACCAGGTAGGTACCTACACTAGAATTAAACGTAACTACCCAAACAGGAGTAGAGAATATACCAAGCCTCCCTTGCATATGGGGAGGCGTATATTATCACTAGCGGTAAGGTTGGCATCTTTATTTTGTCTTCAGCATAGCCACGTATGGGAGCCTGTTCAAGGAAATTCAATATAAGGTACCTCGGTAACGCCATAAAAAGAACAAAGCACGTGGATTCCACGTATTTCATACATCCACACTAAAATGCCTTGAAAAAGCAATATGATATGTGTAGCACTCCTTGAAAAGGGGTTGCGGACATAGCCATTGCACTAAACAACGCCTTTTTGACTACACCATAAAGCTATCTCCGGTAACCCGAACGTATTATAGATACCTACCTAATAAGTACCTACGTAACCTAAGGTATAGCCGTTTAAAAGTGGCAGGTACTCGCGTGCGACTTGAAATTGGTCTAATTGTCCGTAGGTTGCCTATGACCTTTGTATCCATTTTCGTGCAACGGAAAAAGAAGGATTCGAACGACTTGCTGTTACCTGGTACTTTGTATAAGAGGTAGTCAACGTAAAGTAACTTGTGGTAGTTGTGATAGTGCTTACGCACCTACCTAAGGTACCTAATGTTAGGACTATTAATAAGATAAGTCGCTCGTGAGTGATGTAAGGCGAAGCCAACATTCTGATTTACGAAGAAATATGTTATCAAGTAGTTGGGAGACACTCACTATACCTTACATGCGCACATATTGAAGCACGTAACTCGTGGCATTTTATTCTTAGCGACACTGTCACTGTCAGCTGGTAAACCCTTCTGGGATGTCCCTTCCATTTATCGTGCTGGTGTTTCCGTAAATATCAGCATTGCTTAAGTGCCTGCCGCGTAATATACAAACCAAAAAAAAAAATCAAAAATCGGGTTTCTACCTAAGGAATCATTTATATAGCAAGAGCAGGAGCAGGAGCTACCAACATAAAACAGACTTTTCATAATTTCGACTTCCTCTTTTAATTCAAGACAAACCTCTAGATACCCAGATATCTTCTTGCAAACTTCGCTATGAATATTCCCCAGGAATGTACTATTCTTGTCGTCGGCGGCGGCCCTTCGGGATCATACACTGCTGCGGCTTTGGCGCGTGAAGGTCTTGACGTTGTGCTCCTCGAGGCCGAAACTTTTCCAAGGTAAACATACTCACTCCTCTGGGTCCCTGGGAACCCGGTCCTTCCTGGCATGAATTTAACAGTCACTGAACAAAATCCAGATATCATGTCGGTGAAAGCATGCTCCCATCCGTACGGCCTTTCCTAAAGTTCATCGACGGCTATGAAAAGTGGGCTGCGCATGGATTCCGAGTCAAGGTAATTGAATAATAATAGGAATAGGGGAATGTCATGTCTCGCTAACTCCTCGCTCAAGAATGGTGGCGCCTTCAAACTTGATCATTCCCACCCGGACACATGTTCGTTGATCAAGACCCCTATGTCATGATACCCTACTAACAATACCCTGCAAAAGACACCGATTTCATTGCGTCTGGAGGACCCGACGGGTACGCATGGAACGTAATTCGTTCCGAGAGCGACGAGCTGCTCTTCAAACATGCTAGCAGTTGTGGTGTGAAAACCTTCGATTCTACCAAGGTTAACGATATCCAGTTCGAGCCTTCTAACGCGCCGTCGAATTTTGACGGGCAAAACCCGGGGCGTCCGGTTTCCGCAACCTGGGCACGGAAGGACGGGAGCTCGGGAATAATACGTTTCGAATATCTAGTCGACGCTAGCGGAAGACATGGGATCCTAAGTACTAGATATCTGAAGAACCGCAAGTTTAACCAAGGTCTGAAGAATATCGCCAACTGGGGATACTGGAAGGGTGCCGGAGTATATGCCCCTGGCACTTATAAAGAAGGCTCGCCATATTTTGAGGCCTTGACTGGTAGGTCAATCTAGTCACTATATAATCTTCGTTATGAGGCCTCCCTAATTGACGGTTTTAGATGCTAGCGGATGGTGTTGGTTTATCCCTTTACACGATGGAACTCACTCCGTGGGCATCGTACGAAACCAAGAAATAGCCACAGCCAAGAAACGGGAAGCGGGTTTATCATCTACTAAGGAGCTTTACATACAATCACTTAACCTCCTACCTGGAACGAAAGAGCTTTTGTCCAAGGGTGAACTGATCTCCAACATCAGGTCAGCGTCTGATTGGTCATACAGTGCTTCCAGCTATGCTTTCCCCTATGCGCGCATCGCAGGAGATGCAGGTAGCTTCATCGACCCGTTCTTCTCTTCAGGTGTGCATTTGGCCTTGAATGGTGGTCTGTCTGCCGCCGTTACCATTGCCGCTTCTATACGAGGAGACTGCGACGAAGCGACCGCTGCCTCGTGGCACAGTAAGAAAATTTCGGACAGCTACAATCGCTTCTTACTGGTTGTGCTTAGCACTACTAAGCAAATCAGGCATCAAAACCGACCTGTCATCCACGATTTTGATGAGGATAGTTTCGAGAGAGCTTTCCAACTCTTCCGGCCCGGTAATTATACCTAGAATTGAACCTTTTCGCATAGCATCTACTAATGGTGTTGGCTTTTAGTTATCCAGGGGGCCGTTGACGCCAATGCCGCCGTAAAGCCTACACAAGAAGAAATATCCAAAACTGTGGAGTTTTGTTTCCGGTCTCTTTCTGATATCCCGCCTGAACACAAGGACGCTCTCATCGAGAAACTGAAGAGTCTTGGCGTGGAGGGCGAAGCTAACGACGAGAAAGCTCCACGCGCGATCGAGGACATCGAGAAGAATCTCAGGCCGGAGGAATCGCAGATTTTGAATATTCTGCGTGGTCGTCGGATGCTGAGGAATGAAGACTCGATCAGTCTTGTGAACTTTACTCTTGACTCGATTGACGGGCTGGCTCCCAGGCTGGAGCGGGGGAAACTGGGCCTTGTTGAGGCAGCACCAGCGAAGGCAAGTAAAGTACAATTATACTCGGCCTCGTTTCTTAGAGGCGGCCGGCCTGATATTCGGACCCAGAGAGGCGACAAGGTTTCGCAGGCATTGGGCAACGAGAATGGTGCCAGCAAATACAGGCTATCTCGCAAGATCTTGCTATCATAACGGCCATTCGAGGCTGATGGTTTAGGATATTGCCTTTTAGCAATATTTTTGACTTTGTTAAGCAGCCCTCTATCATCTTCGATGAATTGTCCGTACCGTCAGTATACTGCTTGACAGAGGTACTTAAAGGGGTAGGAACTTGTACGTACCTAGGTACCTAACCTATAGTAGGGATAGATAGAGGTCCTTCTATAAATCTGATTGGAGAGGTATATTCCAACTAAAGTTAGCTGTGCAGTTGCCAATTTTAGAAATTTACCTGGTATATGAGGCGAATTGATAATCGAGGGAGCATAATGGATATCTCTATTATGTCCTCGAGTCCTCAAGTGTGAGAAGAGCACAAATGGGAGGTATCTAATGTACTCTCCACTTATACCCGTACTATCCCAGGAAGAGTAAAACAAAGTTTAGCCAATCAAGTGTAAGCAAACAAATATAACTCATCCCTTTCTCACACTGAGAACAATACACTCACTTATCATGTAAAAGCGAAATACAGGCAACGGGATTGGGTCACATGTTTACGGCCAACGGATGTTAGGGAGTCCTACGGCTTGGCATGTACCTCCCCGCTCTTAGTTTTGGGAAAAGGGAACTAATTAGGTACATACCTGTTTGAAGGATTCATCAGCCCTTCTTCCTTCTACTTCTCGTTAAGGCTTGCTTACCAATACCGTATCATCTTCCCGCCTGAGTCCCTTTATGAACCTTCTTCCATTACAACAAATACCCTGTGCGTCGTGTTAGTAAAAAAAGATAAAAATAAATAAAAAAGAAAGAAAGAAGGAAAGAAGGAAAGAAACATGGCTCCCGCTGATCGCCCCGCCGTCGTTGTGGAGCGTCCCACGACCTCGGACGTCCCGGAGCTGGTGGCGATCTGGTGGGACGCCTTCGGCGCCGAAGCCCTGCAGCGCATCTTCCCGCAGACCCCCGACGGCAGGCGCTTCATCGAGCGCTCCTTCGAGAAGTTCCTCGGCCCCGCCCCGGGGCCCGGCGAGATCAGGACGGAGTGTCTCGTCGTGCGCAGCCCGGATACTGGTACGGCGTTCTATCTACCTTATCTTACCTAGCTGACCAACCCCATTACTTGTTTTTTTTTTTCTCTTTCTCTTTCCTTTTTTTTTTATCTCGGAGAAACGGGACTTTCCCTCTGCTAAACAATTTTTCTTTTAGGCGTCCCCGCTTCCATGGCTATATACCACATCGTCCCGGAGGGTTGTAGCGCGGCTAAGCGGGCGTGGCGCGCGAGGTGGCCCGCGTTTGATGACCTGTCGGACTTAAGCGATGCCGTCCTGAACGGTTTCTTCAGCCCTATGGAGAAGGCGCATGAGCATGTTGTAGGCGACCGCGGTCATGTCTGTAAGTATACCTACCTGGTATTTTACCTAACGTGTGCTGTTGAATACATGAGCTAAGTAATATGCCTTCAAATGTACCTAGTTTTGGAGGTACTTGCGACGAAGAAGCAATTTCAGAAGAAAGGTTACGGCACCGCGCTGCTTAGACGGGGAAATGATTTGGCTGACCAGCTGGGTGTCGAGTGCTATCTGGATGCCAGTGTTGTCGGGAAGCCACTGTATGAGGCCAACGGTTATGTAGAGCGAGACGTGTCTGCCGTTGTAGAGAAGCAGGTGTCCGCATCAATGTTGCGTCCCAAGAAGATTCAAGGTTGATACATATGAAACTATGGCGATGCCTAATGGACATAGGTTGATACTGGAACTTAGATAAACAACCGGTACCTCTATCATAGAAATAACATAACAGGAACCGTAATAGATAGGCATCTTCCTCATAGATAACCAGAATTACACAGTTCCCCCTTAAAAGAACGATTGACCATAATGAAATTTGAAAGTGAACTCGACCAACTAGTTGTCACCAACACTCAACCCAGCTTTCTCAGCGATCAAATCTCGGCATGCCATGTGCCCGTTCTCCTCAGCAAGTTCCATCGCTCTGCGGCAATACTTCTCTTCAAACCCACTGTCGCAGTTCTCGGGAAACGCCGTGTTCTCCTTCGCTATCCAGAGATACTCGATCATGTGCAGACGGCCGTGTTCCGCAGCTCCCTCGATTGGCCATCGTCCACTAGTTATTCCTGGTCGCGTATGCAAAAGGGCGCCACGACTTAGCAGTTCGGCTGCTATGTTGCAATTGCCACTGATTGCAGCGTATTGGAGAGCTGTGCCGCCAGTACGTGCTGATGGGCGGGCATTCACGTCGACGTTATGCTCCAGAAGCAGCCGCACAATAGCCAAGTTACCGACCTCTGCCGCCTTTTGCAACGGTGTTTGCTTTATCGTCATATACACAGGTGCATTGGCGTTGGCACCTCGATCAATCAGTAGTCGGACCAGCCTCTCGTTTCCATGGTCGATAGCTTCCAATAACGCAGTTTGTGAAATATATCTTTTATCAAATTTTGAATAGCTTGTGATGCCATTTACATCACTTCCGGCGTCCAGAAGCCTTTTTACGACGTCATGGGCAATATCGGGTTCATTCTCTACCATGGAAATAGCTCTGCTGAGCGGAGTTCCACCTGGATGAAGTCCAAGATGAAATATAGGTGACGAAAGGAGGATATCCAAGCATTCAAAACTTATTCGGCCGTCATCACTGATCGCCTCAGTGAGTGGAAAAGGTATCGAAGCTGACATAGCTTGGCGTTCGGCTTCTTGTAGAAGCAGTCGGAGTATAGTGGTGTTGCCTATTTTAGCCACACGTCCTAGTGTAGATTCGTCTAGCTTTATCATCCGACGGGAAAGTAGAAATTCTACCAAAGTAATATCATCAGATTCGATCGCAGAGAAGCACCAACTCCATACTATAGCCGACATAGTTGGTTGTGATACAAAGACGTCTAATATATCATACCGTTTGGCTTTATATAGACTAGATAAAAGTCTGCAACCTTCCCGAAATTCGGATGCGGGTTGAATGGTAGACATAATATTGGGTATGAACCTTAGGATTTCGGTAAACATCGACATATCGCCCGAGTCTAAAATTGCTTGGAAAGTGTCGAAATTTATTGCTCCGGTCTCAATGTCTGTATCGAGTAGAATAGCATACGCGAGTTGAAAGTTTTTGCGCCTGAGAGCTGCATTTAACGGTAGTCCACAGTACGTGACATTGGCATTAATAGATTTCTCAACTCTTGTGGAAGTTGCACCGAGTCCTAACAGTTTGTAGCTAATATCATCAAACCCCTTTTGTATAGCTATGAAGAGTGCAATTGCTAAACTGGAGCCGTCTGTTGTAGGATAATTGTCGAGTAGCCTTTGAACATAATCAATACAGTTCATTTCAATGGCCGCAGCCAGCACATCTTCGAACCCGGTTTTTGATAATGACCAAAATGCGCCTGCTGTTTCAAGACTGCTCACTAGCAAGGTGTCATTTGACAGGAGAGCCTCGGCCAAGGGATGCAGAAGATCGTCCAGCATCAACTGACAATCCTCCGGAAAATAGGTGAGACGATGAGTTATATTCGACCATCCTTTATCATCAAATTTATGGTCGATTTCATATCCGAAGTCTTTCATTTTGTCCAGGATAATGGTTATCAGATCCTTGTGTCGTAATCTAATGGAGATGCTTAGAGCTGCTAGGACACATTCTCCACTACATAACGGGAGGAGAAACTTGGCAAGCTCACAACGGCCATGTATAATACTGACGATAAAAGTATTGTGTAGCAGATTCCGCTGGTTGAAGCAGCGCCCGCACCCTGTTTGCTGACATATTTGGTGGAATTGGCGTACAATACTTAATGCCTCGGGATCTTCCATTTCCCTTGCTATGCTACACATAATGCCTAACCCAACAACCTTTGAGTGATCTAAAGGTGAAAATAGAGTAGGTGACAATCGAATTGCATCGATGGTCCAGGGGACAGGCTCATTCATCATGTTCAAGCGGGTATTAGTCTTTCTGACTTCCCATTCACGAATAGCTTCAGGGTTATGTTGTCGTATTAAGCTATAAAAGCTTAGCCACGTTTCGTCGATACAATCCGTTTTGAAATAGTAGACAGCAATGTCATAGGGATGCAGTATTCGAGTAAGGTCTGCCTTTGCGTTGAGTATTATTTTCATGCCGGTTAAATTGTGCAGGCTCCATACGCGCTCGATTGCTGTGTATTTTTCCCCATTGTTGAAAATTACAACTCGATTGACATCAACCAACTCTGTATCCACTATTTCACGCAAGACACTGTTATTTCCGTTTTCTATTGCAGCTCGAAAAAGAGATTCTGCAATAGCCTTCGTAAGGTGGCAGGGTCTTGACCCAAGAAACCGAATCAACAATGTGCTGCTTGTCGGAGAAAGTGCGAGGAGTACTGATCCTATAGGGATCTTCGTTAACCCGGCCCAAGCATTTGCAATCGAGAACATAAGCCCTTGTATCACACTTTTCTCGGTAGCATTCTCCCCGGAGTCAATTGCGACCATGCCGTTTCCCAGATTTGGAGGCAAAGCGCCCGGTACTAATGCTCTAAGACTCTGTAGATAGTACTCAGCCCTCGCATATTCCTGGTATCCTGGCTCATAATTATTATCGGAAGTTCGAGCGTGTTCTAATTGCTTCATGAATCCATTCTGGACTGCAAAGGGGTGAATTCTCCAAGATGCGAGCTGGCCGTCAATTTCACGAGAAGACAGGTCCCACAGCCACATATAGGGTCCCCCAAAATAGGGGTTGATTAATAGAGGCTCTGAAGGGCCAAGTTCAGGAGTTGGGAGTGCTGGGTTGGTAAATTTTGAAGGTGACCATATTAGGCTGGTGTTATCCATTGAGCATTGATGGAAATTATTATCAAGAAGGTCATTCTCAATGTCGTCCGGGGCTGAAAAAGTCCCTACAAGTGTATGGAGAGGTAAAATTTGTGTTGGACTATCGTGAAATCCGATCATTTGATCTGATGCAACTTCCGGTAAGGCAAGGATGCGATCGGCTAGGAGCTCTTCTGGGAATTGACGCCAAGTGCCGTCTGGCTTTTGGATTTCAATAGACGCGCCTGAGGTCGGGTTGTCGAAGAGGGGATCATCGATGTTGGCATCCTCTTCAACGGTCGTGGGTTTGCTATTGCAATTTCTCCTGGCGCGATGGATAGTTTTTTCGTCGACCACCCTACCACACAGAATAACTCGCTTTTTGGTCTCTGGCGGTAAGCCATCTATTACGCCAAATATTCGACGCCATTCGGGAAGTTTCAAATTCCTTCGAATCTTCCAGTGTCTGAATTGTGCCTCGTACTGCGAAACGCTGCTCACAAATGGATTAGCCGACGAAGGGGTAAATATGAATCAGATCGTGCTCACGTTGCTTCAAGCCCATGTTCAACCTTCATGATATTAGCGACTTCCTTTAACTGGCGGCGATTGTCCAAATAGAGTTTTATGATAGTATCTCTATGAAGACTCCAGGTGGCATTCGGAATGTTCATCGTTCGAACTGTTTGAGGCATTGTGACGAGATTTTACCAGACTTGGGGAATAGAAGATGAGATGAGTTTCGCGAAGACAATATTATGTGCTTATTCGTCACTCTCATTATTTCCAATTACTTATGATGATAAGTAACAAGAAGTAATACAGGGTTGGAGAACAAACCGCAGGGAGGAGAGAGATAGAGATACACAGAGAGAAATAATACAGAGAGAGCAGTGGAACTTGGTCAAGCTGCGGGCAGCTTTTTAACTACCTAGCATTCAGCCCCAGCTTAAGCAGGGCCATGCCCCTCCAAGCATCGAGCCTACCTCTAGGTTAGGTAGCTACCTACGTTGCATATGAATTATTTGGAGGGTGGCTACCTCCCATATCATATCTTTCTTGCCCATGCCGTGAAAAGCCACAGAGCAGAACCTGCATAATAGAGCCTGCATAACAGAACATGCTCACCGAAACCTGCTTGCCATAATCTGAACGCTAGCATCACTTACATATTATACACGAGGTGTGGGCCTAAATTATGCACATTGCTTCCCGTCGCACTGATTGGTACCCCTATGGAGCAGGTTTTGGCACGAACAGTCGAATCCTACAGTAGCACCATAACGCACGGCTGCGCCCATAACAAATAATACCACCAAGAGGTGCATTAAGTACATGATATGGACATAATGTGTGCAACAGTTTCTGGCACCCATTTCATATTACACCCATCAATCAAAAGCCCACCTTGGCCAGGTTATGGCCAAATCTTTTAAGGGCCATTGCCAAATCATAGAGATTACATAATACTATCCACGCAAGGCCAGCTTAAAATATACCAATGCAGTTGATATCGCAACAAATATGAAATCAGCCGCACAGGTTAAGGCAAAACTGAGAACTAGATATACTACTTACCTGGGTACATTAGGTAGGTTTGAGTGCAGGACATGGAACGTATCGGTAGATAATCCGTATGACTCTTCAACAAGAATCACTTCACCAAGAATAGAGTAACTAACCTAATATAAATACTACAAATATTTCTACCGACAGAGGAGCTAAGTGAAATCTGTTCCTCACGCTACTTGTAGCTTTTATATGATACCAGATAAAGAACTCCTATGAAAATATTCAAATCCTTACCTCGTTGAAACACATAACGGAACTTACACGACCGCTTCACTAAACCATGTCTCCATCTTCGAGCAACAATGATAGTCAGCTATCAGGGGGAAACACGACGTAAGTGTTAGGTGCATTCCCTACCTACAGTTATGTGTACATCTAATATACCTACTCTCAGCCACCAAGAAATGAAAACTCCTTACTCAGTACAGAGATACCTGAGCGTGGACTCAACTGTTCACGAACGTGTGTCTGGCGTGGTTGGGATTGAGGAAGGAGAGCATAGTAGGAAGGAATATTATACACAAAGAGCGAAGAAGGCATTGGATGGTTTTGAAAAAGCTTGGAAGGACGCGAAGTAGAACTTCCTTCGGAGTCTCTTTTTTATAGGCATTGTTGGACTACCTATTTACCAGGGTCCTTACACACTCATTTAAGGTCCAGCAGTAAAATTCGGAATAAAGGCAAAGGAGTTCGTTAGTTTTGCAGGACAATGGGATAGGAAGTGATAGAATCACCAATTCATAACATATTGAGTTACATTGGTACGCTGCTTTAGGTTGTCTTGCGAAGGAAACTCCTATGCTTGGCTCAGATCATATTTATTTACAATTCCGATTAACTTGAAAGCAGCGCGGTGATCCTATTCTGAAGTGGATCCATGTACATGGCGCTCTTATTCTTTGCCTATATTTCCACTAGGTACCGTGCTACCGAGTCAGCGACAGTCGCCAATACCAAGCAAGTATTCCATCCCATTCAAACGTTATTCTTGACCCCAGTTCCTTGAGACCAGTTAAAAGCCGACAGAGACAGGAAGTCAGTAGAATATGTCAGAGTTCTGTAGGACGGGAACCCAAAAATTGACACCAGCGGCATCGTGTTAGAAGGACGGTACTCGTACGCCTCGGCCGGATCATAGCCGTAGAAGTCGGGTTTTGTGCTGATATCAGCGGGTACGAGATCAATCTGATAGCCATGAGTAAACTGGAGGATCCATAATATTTGATGCATGTTTATGAAACTGAGCATGCTGGTCTAAATTTCTTGGGTGAATATCGCCTTCGACCAAATCATCCATCAAAGATGCACACTAGGTCTATTACCTTGGGGGCTCTAGACGCAAAACCCGACACAAAGAACAGGAATAAGAAGCTCGACGCCATCTTTGAGCCAATATTCACGTTACAATACTTTGAAGCTGCATAGTAAGTTCCGAAGCAATGGCACAAATTTATGGATACATAGTTATGATACCACTTTAGCCTATACTATGTGTTATATCCAACTACAGGTCCCCCAATCTCCCAGACTCAGATTCCGAAGGGGAGTTTCGAATGCAACTTAGAATATACCAGTAATGGCAAAGTGATTTAAACTCCAAGAGGGCCGTAAGAGTCCGAGTGAGAAATTGAATTCGCAAACGAGTCTGATAATAGTCTTCGTAGTTTCGCATACAGATATCTATCGTTAGTAGGAAATAGACGAAATTACATACTAAAATAACGTCTACAAGCATGATTCTAAATATTACTCTTACACTGTGAGATTTCGCATCTTAGTTGAGGATCTAGGAGAGAATAATATAATCCTCTCATTTGAAGGCAATTGTTAAATGTGTTACGTAAGCATGAGCCCCTATATTGAGCCCTTTTATTGAGCCCTTTTAGATTTACTAGGTACCTGGTTATTGAATGCAACAAGCAGTTTTATCCTCTCGACCTAGCATACGAGTTCATCGTATAAAGGACCTATGGTTTTACTGTGATTGAGGGATCTACTTCTGTTCCTGAATAGCACCATCTATCCCTTAACATATAACAAAACTTTTATTCATACAGTTCCACCCATGTGTCTCTTAGGTATAACATCACGGAAATACTTTGTTCATTCTAAGTTGTTCTTTGGATCGTAGCCTAATATAACAAAGATGAACATCCCACAGAACAACAAAGGAACTATTAGTTAACATCTCGCTCCTTCAAAGATATTTTCTAACAATTCCGTTGTATTCAGACGGTGATGAATCGGAAAGTGCAGGAGTGTGCTTAACAGTCTTCTCCAAGCTGCGCGTTTTGAAACAGAGATGTTGAATCGATACAACTAACATCGAGCTATGATCTATAAGAATGGTATGGAATCCCCTAAGGAGCTGAATCTTTTCTTTACTCATCCTCCACTCTTTACCCTGCCTGGCCATTTCATAAACTCAGCTCATCTACATTATTACCTAACAACCTATTCTCGCATCAAACATGGCTCACAGTACCAGCCGACCAACTAGTGCCAAACCAACTGGTGCCAAACCAGGAGCTGGCACAAGGCCCCCGCAGAATAAGAACCGAGGGACTTCTGTAAATATCCCGTTCATTGACCGAGCTAACTATAGGGACGCGGCTGTGTCGGCCCAGGAGTTTTCGGTCAACATCCAAACCATCCACCAGGTCAACTTCAATTACGGAGTGCCCGCTTCTGAGGCGGAGAATGTCCCCTACGCTGACCCAGCGGCACGGCCTGGCCAAAGTCAACAGGCAGGACCGCCAGTGGCTCCTCATAGGACACTCCCAGTGACTCCGCAGAATACGGTGGTTCCCAAGCCCGGACCGGCTTCGCAAACCGGGCTACCCCCTCCAGCAACAGTGCCTCCTCAATCGGGGACAATAGGTACTCAGACTCCCGCGACTCCCAGCACCAGCGTGATCCCTCCGACGTCGAAACCTCCCCAGACCCCGGTGAAACCGCCTAGCAGGCAGGGAGAGCGCAAGGTGGAAGACGCGCCATCGCCCACGCCCGCCCGCCTTCCAAACCCGCTCTTCCCCCGCGTTTTCCCCCCTCCCCCCTCCACCGCTATCCCCGGAGCCCCTCGCAACACCTTCCCCGTAGACTCGGGCGGATGGTCTTGGAGCCGAGGCGGGACCACGGTACCCCCCGCGAACACGCCCTCGCAAACCCCTACCGGGGATCGTAGCCGCTCTCCGGTATGGCGGAACCCACGGTCGCAATAGGGGACTGAGTAAAGTTCCCGCCTAGAGCCAGGTTTTACCTGCTTATCTACTTACCTACCGTGCCTACCTAGGTAGGTACCTTAGTACCTAAGGCAGATAGATATCCCGTGGCAAGAATACGCTGATGGCATCATCGCTACGGAACGAAGTCTACTCTGTTTGTCATTGAAGCTTCCCGAATGTAGAAGGTACCTAGGTAGGTAGAACATTTTTACAGTCCATCGGACAAGAAATAGCTAGGCAAACAAAGCAATAAAAAAAAGGACATAGCTATATGTTTAACATGTAGATCTCCCCCCATGATGTGAAGTTATCCTCACCTACCAGTTAAGTCCATATAGTCCCGGAGCTAGTAGGATTTTGTCGGATCGCAAGCAGTAAGTATTTCCGCTTTTAGTATCGCATTATGTAGATGCGGACGAATAATTCACCCGCGCGGATGGAAGTAGACTATTATGTAAATCATTCCCAGTGGCCAGTACTCTCTGAATTCCTACTCAGTCGTTTTATCTCCGGTAATCTCCATTTTGACACGCAAAGCCAGTCCACTCTTGGCACCCCTGAAACGAAGAGTGACATGTTTACACGATGATTATGTGAGGTTAGCTGTGATGTACTTATATAGGAGAGTAAACAAGTGAAGCTAGTAACGCCTTCTTATGGCTCTAATAGTCCTGAGTTGAATATATTATTTCCTCTCGTAGAACTAAGGGTTGTTATCACTCTATCACTCTATCACTATTGTTTCTTGACTTGCTCAGCTCTTACGAAGTACCTTAGGAGGTAGTTAACATAGTTATTCCCTCAAAATAACTACTAAGTAAACCCACTGGATTCAAGATATCTCGGTATACCGCTTACTCAAACGAATGATTGATATCACCAAGTCTCAGAAGCCAGATATTAAGCGAAGGAGTACTACAAGAAGCGAAGCCGCCAACACACCAATCGACAACAGACCACCACATATACATCATGTTATATCTCTCGAATTTCATTACTATGGTCTGGTATCAGCTGACATTCAAGCCACAGCCACTCCCTGACGATATTCGGCTGGATGGTCTAACAGCGATCGTGACGGGCGCGAATGTCGGTCTGGGCTTCGAAGCTGCCAAAGAGCTAGCATCACATGGGCTATCGAGGCTGATTTTAGCTGTGCGCGATCTGTCCAAAGGAGAGGCAGCAAAGGCTGAGGTCTCTCGGGAGGCGCCTGAATGCGACATTCTTATATGGCAACTTGACCAGGAGTCATGGGAGAGCATGGTGGCGTTCGCTAAACGGGCCAGCGCCGAGCTTGACCGCCTTGATATCGTGCTGCTAAATGCAGGGCTGAAACGACTCGAGTTTACTCGTTCGCCAACGGGTCATGAGGCACATGTCCAAATCAACTATCTCGGCACAGCACTACTGTCCCTGCTACTCGTCGAACCACTACGACGTACATCACAGCAGAAGGGAAAGCCTAGTCGAATGACGATTACAGGATCTAGCGTTGCCTTTTCTGCCCCCGTGCAGGATATCCTAGAACCGAAAGGGGGAAAGGGTATCATTTCCTGGCTCGATGATCCGGCTTCATTCGTTCCTGGTATAAGTCGATACAAGCCCTCAAAGTTGCTAGGTGTGCTATGGACGCGTGCCCTTGCTGCCCGCCTCGACTCTGCCAATATAATTCTCAATACCCTTAACCCCGGATGGTGCAACAGCTCGTTCCACCGTGTAGACGCATCCGCCGAATGGATGTCAAAATTTCTTGCATGGAGTAGCGCCGAGGGAGGCTATCATTTAACAGATGCTGCTGTGCGACACCCGGATAGCCACGGCGAATACCTAAGTGAGCAAAGAATTAGACCGTAAGTCACCGTGTTTCTACTTTCCTTGTATCTCCAACTAATAGATCTCTCCAGCGTCCCCAATCTTGTGTCATCGGCCAAGGGAAAAGAAGTTCAAAATAAGTTATGGGATGAGACAACATCGCTAATTAGAGCCGAGTGCCCCGATGCGAACATCGAGGAGTTTACAAGAGTTGAATAGGGTCTAACTGACAAGTAGCGGGAGTTTGAAATACCGCCGACACCCTAAATAACTGGAGAAAAGGGGGTGGGGCATTTTCAGCTCATCTGACGATGCCTAACGAAGGATTGTTGAGCTCTTGTATTGATATCAACTTGGGTATTTCAAATATGATTGCAAATTGAAATATTCCATTTCATAGGTATGCAGCAGTTGTAAGAGAAAACTCCGGTTTCATAAGACTGCAAATAAATTTGTGATGCATTTAGGGTGAGATGTGGTATGTGTGATAACAGGTATTACCGAGCAAAGAAACCAGATGGAGATAAACCTAAGTCGCATATATTCGAAAATGACAAACTCCATAGTGGATGACATGATACAAATACATGAAACCAAATACCGTCTGAAGCAGTCTGTTGCAATAAGAAGAGACCTGAGATACCAACAGTTAATGCACTTGGATTCCGGATTTTGGTTTTCAGTGTTATTTGCTCAACAGTTGTAGTGATAGAAACGTCAAATGTAGAATCATGTTAAGTAATCTGAGTAAAGATGTCGCAAAATAGCTGAGACATGATGTGACTACATCAATTGCGACGAGAGGCGTTTGCGATGTAGAACATGAGTCAGGATGGAGTAAGGAAGAATCCAGATAATGTAAAACGAATAAACATCGGATCAGTGATTGATCGCATTTGAATGGTCTACCTACTGGGGATGGCCTATCAATTGAGAGGAGCTATGTTAAGACGCAAAAAAACCAGCAGGGGATGAATGGTGGAGGGGAGGGTAAGTGAGGAGATCCAAGAGGTAGCACGACCTTACCAGTCGTTCCGTTTCCGCCCGGGTCTGGGGCTGGGGCTGGGTGTTAATCCTAGGACGATAGAAGAATGATTGATTATATGGTAGATAGGGTAGGCAGATAAATTGCTATGGAGGATATTACCATATATCAGTTTGTTGTCTCACCAATTGATTTGTCGCATGGCTTTACATCGTACTAGGCTGATCTTCAGGCGCGCGGCAGCGGTCACGCACCAGTGAAATAATCAAACGTGGTCGTGTGAGAGTTAGGGGACTTAAGGAGAAGTGTTCGCGTGCACTGACGATGAAGGGCTTGTCAATTTAGAAAATAACGAAGAAAGGAGAAAAATGGGAAGAAAAAAAAAAGACGGAAAATTGGTGAATTAGTTTCATGATTAAAAGGAAAGAAATATCAAAGTCGGAAAGAACAAGAATTCGGGAAGGAAGAGGGCAGTAAAAGGTAAAAAAAGTGTGGTTTCCAAGCAATCACAAATATTTGTACTATCAAACTTATGCGTTCCCAACCTTTTTTTTCTTTCGTTACCCCCCTCCCCCCAATTTGATCAATTCTAGACCTGATTAGCCGGGTTTGTTTATGCGACATGCTGTCACTCTGGTTTTTAATTACCTACCATGTAGGAGGTAGGTAGGCAAGCAGGTAAGAGGTAGGTAAGAGGTAGATATTACTTTTGCTCTAATGTATTATTATTCGAGGTATTATTTCGACTAGGTTAGGTTGGGGTGGTGTCGCGAAAGGAGCAGCTATTGAATTTGTCGAATCGGGCAGTGTTCAAGCAGCATATCAGGTATCTAAGGCAAGTACATAGTAGCGTCTAAGTAGCGTCCAAGTAACGTCCAAGCACGGCAAGAACGACAACACAGCTCATGTAGGATGTAGGATGTAGGTACCTGCCCTAATCACCTTGTTGCCCTTTTGGCTCTTTTTGGTTCTCGTTGCTATTAATCCTCCTCCTTCTCCCTCTACCTCTCCCCATTCCCCCATCAATTTTATTTTCTCCTCTTCTACCACTTTCATTTTTTCTATTCTTTATTATAACCTGTGTCTTTTTTTTTAAAAAAAAAAGTCCCGTGAACAATTTATAAAATTAACCCCATCCATTTAATTACCCAATTTTCCAAATTTCGTTCACTCACCGCTCTGAAAACAAGAAGTCCTTGTAAGCTGCCCAACCCACATTCCTCCTCTTCCTCCTCCTCCTCTTCTCTCCGTGACTATTTCTAATTCCCGGTCGCATTGCATTTCACATCCGCATCCTTTGTCGCTTTGTTGATTTTACACTTTGATCAATCACACTATCTTCCGTGCTAAGATTTGGTATAGAATTCATTCAACTTTTCTGTCAATCAAATAACCAAAGATGCCCCGCGAAGGAACGCGATCTGCCACAGGCAACTCAAAGCCGCGTGTCTTCCAAACTGTTGACACTGCGCCCGCTATTAAGCGCACCACTAAGCCCAGGGTGAAGAAGTCGCCTACCACCGGCACCAAGCCTGGCCCAAAAGTGAAGGCAGCAAAGCCAACTGGTATAACCAAGAAGAAATCTGCAGCACCAAAGAAAGATGGCGTCGCAACCAAAGTAAGTTTTCTACTATTTTCAAATTTCATCTTGCTGCATCATATCACCTATATTTGACCGAACTAGATACGATTCAGTATTATTTGAGTCTTACTACTTTTCTTATTTGTCTTTCTGTAGACCGTTTTGAGATTCACACCTGCTCGTCTGGGTGTTGGATAAATCGCACATTGCTATATTACTACGCTAGATATGAACTGCTGTCTAACCCTCATTCTAGGTTAAAGCTGCTGTCAAGAAAGCAGAAGAAAAGGTCAAGAAAGTAGAAGAGAAAGCTGAGAAGGCCGAAAAAGCCGAAAAGGCTGAGAAGGTGGAAAAGTCGGAGGACAAGGTCAAGAAGGTGATTATATCCTAAGCCAATAATACACTTGCGAGCATTCCATTTAATTCATTTCGCAGACCGCAGCGAAGCCCAAGACAGCTGCCAAATAGATCTGATGCCGTCCACTATCACCACCAGTTTCCATTTCATAAAGAGTTCAGGTCATAAACTCGATAGTGGGGCATTTACTCCAGGATCTGTCACCCACCATCTGCCAGCTTGAGTTACTAAGTTCCTCCCATGAGGATTGTAAGCCAGGATCTGTTCTGTTCCTAGCTCTTGCGGCGCAAACCCAGGTGGAAAAGCTATATGCCCCAGCTTCTCTGGGATGTAGGGATTACCAACGGTCTAGTCTATACCTCTGCCCTAGATATTTTCTATCCCTGTTCTACCAATGTCACTCACCATGGCACTTCCAATATAACCACGTCGGGGGCAAATCAAGAAGACCAGCATTCCTAGGCAAATCTTTTACAGAGCTGAGAACCAGTGTAGGAACAAGACATCAGTCCATCGTTCGATGAATTCGCAAACTCATGTAATAAAATCAACGGAGAACCCTCAATGTTACCAAGCTATTGAACATCTTGGCGCTATAACAGGTGTTGCGGTATGCGGTGCGCAGTTTGGACGGACACAATGCTAATATATTGTTACGTTGTCCTCATAGGATCTCGTTTGGTTCCTAAATTTTAATCAATTCAGTTCTGTCCATTCAAGGCTACCTCAATTCCCATGTCTTCTGCATAAATTATATTGATTTCTAGTTGACTTTGACCCTTATTATAGGTGTGCGGTCATCTTTCACGGAGATTTTTGGGCACTTCAGTGGAAAAGGGGTCTTGTATATTGTTTACTTAGATAAGTTAGGTACCTAAGGTATGATGCCTTCCATTAGGTACATATACAGAGTCAATATCAAGGTCGTACATGGAGTATATTGTGGTGATTGAATAATGCCTGGCCTTCTAACCTCTTATGAGGGAGCTAGCTAGCTTTTATACAGTATAGACGGTAGGTAGACTCTTGCTACACTCGAATATCTTTCGTACTCTTGACATCTATCGAGTTAGTAGGTATCTATCATGTCTTTTTTCTATTTAGTATTTATTTACCGTGTAGGTAGGTAGGCGCCTGAGGTGAGTCAAGGGAAGTTTCCTAATTGCCTACGGTAATCAAGGACTAACTACTCTTTTCAATCTTGGACAACATACTACCTATCATTAGACAAAAGAAGATTTGCACCTAATATTGAATAAAGTTTTACTCTACCTTCTCGTCAAGCTCTTAATAAGGGTGACGCACGCTTGTTCGTCGATTTAATGCATTCATACAGGTGGAAATGGATAGGGTGAGAAAAAAAGGGGCAAATGAGCCTTAGTAATCACCCCTGAATTCTTATCAAGTTGATGTAGTTTCAAGGACCAACGAAAGTTTGCCAACTTCTGGAAGCTAGAGAAAACCTCATCCTGGTCTTTTATTGTGACTGCAGATAATCAACTTATTCACAATGAATGGTATTTTTACTTCCTATCTACATTTTTAGCCCTCATTATAACCGATGGTCCACTCTGAATAGAGTATACAGCATTTCCACAGTTGTTATGACTAGAAAGTGTACAGCTTTCCAACTGTTCCCGATGCTTTTTCCTTACAAGTAGGTAGAAAAGTCATTTCCCTCACCTAGACATTTAATGTATTCCCTTTATCGGGGAATCCAGTGAAACTGGTATCAATATCCGTGCCAAGTAATCCAAGCTATCTCTCTATTACAGTGGTCAACTTTACCCCAGATAGCCTGCTTCTTTCTCGACAATATCATCTTTTATATGACCCAGGAGCCGACATTGTTAAGTGTTGTGACTCCAAGCATTAGGTAAAACCAATAGCTTCCGCCGTAGGGTTATGCCTGATCCGATTCAATTCATCAATACACTCTGCGGTGCAACAGTAGCTGGCGGGATTTCAAAGAAAGTGCCTTGCTCTCACCAAGGGTGACTTTCAATGACTTTTCGATGTGTTGCAAGACTTAAGAAGATTTGAGTTGCTGCTTCTTGCGAGCTTTCTCGGCCTCTTCCCTTATTCTCCAACTCACCATAGGATCCCACTTCTCACCTAACCGTTGCACCTCTCCATGCTATGTGGGAAAGTGCATTATCTGGCCCGCAGGGATTTTAATATTTTCCCAGTTTTTGTCTTCATCACGTTCGTCTGTGCTCTGAATTAGTGTAATCAATTAGTAGGGTTCAGCTAGAAACTTACCAAGCTTTATGGCCTGCATTTCCCTTACACCGCAAAACATCCCATTTCGTCCCTCGCGCTGTGCAAGTTGCCAATGACCTGCATTGCCTTCTCCAACCCATATTTCCTCAGTGAAAACATCCCCTTCTTGGACTGTGCGATATGGGTTATGAGCTGGCAAGGATAGCATGTGCGACAATAACGCGTGTGGAATGCTAAATAACCGCTCAAACCTCCGAACAAAAGGCAGCCATGAGAGAGTGTTTTCCGTATAAGCAACTCGAACGTAAGGATTCATATATATCCCCATCTCCTTCTCTCCAGCTTTCCTTGCTACCTGGGCCACATCGGCATGAAATAAGCAGCATTCGCAGGCATCGAAGAAAAGTTCGGGTTCATAACGGAACCGAACTGGAGCCGTGACGTTATGCGGCTTTGCGGGATCGATAACATAGCTACCGATATCCTGAAAGTGAGTATTCGGCAAGGTCTTATTCATGTTCTGAACATATTTTGCCTGCATCGCCACCATTCCGCTCCAACAAGCCTGAACGGGTATAGCATCTTCTTGATTCAGTATGGCTGTCCTCGATACGCCTTCGCCAGCATTGAGGAAAACTGGAAAGAAGGGTAAACCGGCCGAGTAACCTTCATAATCGCGAGTGACATAGAGATCGTAAAATTTCAACGGAGTCCAGAAATCCAAAGCACACGCCGACAAATAATGCGAGCGGCCGTCAGACTCAACGTTAGTATTAAAAAGAAGATGCGCCGCCTCCATCGCATAAAATACAACGTCGTTCAGGAAAAGTATCTTGTCATACTGAATTGTCCCAATACTTGGATCAAATCGATCAAGTGGTCGCAAAGCCCGGTTCCGCATTTCGGACAAGTAGGCCAGACGCTTCACTCTCTTGGTTTCGTCCGGCAGTGTGACGGTTGGGAAATCGGACAAGGGCACATGGGGGTCGTTGACGATGTAATTTTTACACCTAAGTTGCCGTTTTAAGCTTTCAAGTGCCGCCGCACCTTGGGGGCCACTGTCATTCTCGTAGATACTCAGAAAGACATTGTCGTGTCCGAGTAAATGTATTAACTCCAACAAACTCTTCCCCCAGAAACCATTCGCCAAATGGCCTTCTTTATCATATAAAGAAACAGAAATAAAAATTTTCTCATTATTAATATTAGCACATCCCGCTTGTCGAATAGGTCCTTGGCATCGAGACTCTAAGTCTCGGTAATGCTGAGGCAGTCTCGTGTACGACGGAGCGAAGATTGGTGTTCCGGTTAAAAGTATGCACAGAGTTATAACGATGTATTTAAGAAATGCGAGAGCTAGACCCCCAGGGCCTCTCCGCAGTTTTCGTCGAAGGCCCCGGGGCCGAGCCAGACACCAGGTGAAGAGTCGCTTGTCCCATCTCTGATCCGACCCAACTGGTTCCTCTGACGAAGCCTCTATGTCTTTTTGCGCATCATTTCCGAGAAGAGAAGATAAAGATGACGAGGCTTGGGTCTCGTCATCGTCTAGGAGGCCGATCCATTTCTCTGAGGATATGGAGTTAGGCATTGATGGGGTGGTACATCAAGGCAAACAGACGACGATATATTGGCCGACTTCAAGCCGGCCCGAGTGTGCTAGCACAAATAAGGCTGCTGTCTTGATGCCAGCTTGACTTGTGAGTTGTGACACCCGCCAGATATGCCGAAGTACAACGATTCCCAAGACAACGAGGCCCAAGATCGGCTATAGAATAACCTTGTAGGAATGTACCATCAAGTACCAAAAACCATGCTACTTTGTCCTCATCAAGCGGGCTGTTGTTGTACAAGGCCCTCTTTTTTCTGTATGCAATTCAAGTGGCTTGCAGCACTACCAGCTATAGAAGGTATGACGAGGTCGTACAAACGATTAAAGTCGAATCGGGACCAATGCGATCGGAGACTAAGCTGTATTTGGCAGATTCCGCTGCAGGTACGCGTAGGATTCGATGTAGGATTGGAATTGGAATTGGGAAGGCTAAGTGTTCTACTGTTGGCAGTTGCTTGAAATCACAGGATTGAGAAGTAGGAAACGAAGGACAGAAAAAAAGGCGTGAATTTCCGTACGAGCGTAGAAGCTTCTTTACTTTGGAAGTAAAAGGAGGTGGAGAATTATTATTAAAGACGTGGTGGGAGCATTATATTGTTGCCTGTAGCCCGTAACCTGTAGGTACTTTGTAAAGAATACGGATATGTTAAAGATACGCAACAGCCATGCAACGGCCATGCAGGAGCCATGCAGCCGTCACGCAACCATAGCACTGGAATACTTAGAACTGCTATGTAAATCACTGCCACGGAAAGCAAGTATGCCCCATTACATAGCGGGGAACAGGCCTTGACGTCCTTTGCAAACAAGGAAATTGCTGCCATTTAAAACTTAGCTAAAACAGAATTTACATAAAATGTTTGTAGGGAGGCAGTGCCTTCCTGAAGCTTGGGTGCCGAATGCCGGACTAAGTGCTGATACCAGGTATCAAATAATCAACTAGTGACGTATGCAGAAGCATACCTCTTACGAAGCACAGAGACCTAAGGTAGAATCAAATATATGGATGCCTAAACTACGCAGGTCATGAGGTTCCTAACTTGAATTGGGTAATTTGTGACGCTGTTCCAATCATATTATCAAGTACCTAATATAATATGCACATATTCTAGGCAGTAGCTAAGTGAAATTTGTCAGTCCCGGTACACGATCGAGACGCAGGTAGGTGGTACCTAGTGTAGGCCACTTATACATTTTGGTCTAAGAGTATATCAAGTCTAAAAAGTCTAAAAGGTGATACAGGTCACATCTGCATTATTTATATTGTACAGTAATGAGAAAAGAATATAAAAAAATAAAAGAAAACCAATCCATCATTACTCATGAAGAGTTCTATGTTGATATTATACGACTGCGTCCTCAATGAACGGCAGATACGGCGCACGGATTCCGCGGAACGAACTCCACTTAGCTTCCATCAACACAGCACAGCCTACAAATAATGAATTCGTTTCTGCATCCAACTCAACTTGCAGTGATCCGAATAGGCTTCATCTTGTTTGGCATGTAAACCTTGAATGGTGATCACCAATTAATACATTTTCTTTGCTGTTATCTACGAGCTAAGACAGCTATCATTCAAAAAGTCCAACATACAGTACATACTCACCTCCCTTAAGGTAGGTAGATATGATTTGCCAAAGAAAAATTCATATCTGACATGCGTCAACATGGAAAGTGGCTAAAAAGGCTGAGGTTTGCATATCGGATAGGCGTTTATGCCTTTTCTTTTAGCGACCAAAAATTGGGAATTCTCTAACGAAAAGGGGTATTGTACTTCCTCAATCGAGTGTTTTGTCGCGATGTCTTCTCTATGGATTGAACGTGATTTCGTGATTACCTAGAGGTAGGTACTCCTTCTATATACAAAAGCCTACCCAAGTTTTTTGTACACCGCGCTTTCTATCCCTTTTGGTAAATTATTTGGACATCGATTGACGCCTTTCAAAAATGGTGGGCGTGCCTAGATCTAAACGATGCGAGCGTTGTAAACGCATCAAAATCAAGGTAAAAATATTCTCCCAGTTACCCTAAAGAGCTAGGCTAATTATAATCATCCGTCTCATATATAGTGCGATGAGAACTGGCCGACATGTACCCCGTGTTTACGTGCTGGGGTCACTTGTTCTGGTCCTCCAAATCTGATCAAATTTATCCATACCAGCTCGTACACCTCGACCACTGGCGAAGCGAGGCATGATGACGGGGTCGCGACCCAACTCATCGCGCGTGGGAGGTCGGCTGCCAGCCTAGAGAGCATCCGTCAGCGAGGATTACCGGGCGGGGCTTCCTTTGGCCATTTCCGTCTTGCTCCCGGCGGTCCACGGAACAACCCCACGACTGTGGCGGACCGGGTGGCTGCTCGTCTGGTTGGATATCTCACCCACGAAAACGCCACGTGGGACATCCTATCATCGTTTGGTTATGTAAAGCACCTCCCAGTACGGCTAAACGAAAGTCCCGCATTGCGAGACTGCGTCGCTTTAATGTGTTCTACCTGGGTCAATGCCCGACGAGACTTTTCGTCGGCTCAGCTCATTGATTCAAGCCTCTATGGTAAAGCACTGAGAACTCTCCAGCGCGCTATAAACGACCATGAACAGCAACTTAGCAATGAGACGCTAGCTGCTGCGACCATCCTAGAACGACTAGAACTTGTGTTTGACAGCCAGCGTCCCTACCATCGATCCCGCCATTGGGAAGGGATTCAAACTCTCATGATAAGGCGGGGTCCACCAAATCCTCAGGATAACTTCGCTGTCCACTTGGCGTTCGAGAATCATGCAGCCCTCGTAAGCATGCTTCACAAGATATTTATTAACAGAAAAAGGATGACTAATTTAATTTATTAGATCTCGCACTGGGTCGTAGAGGGTGGCGAAAATTTCTATTTGAGCTCACCGTGGAAGGAGGCAATGGAAGAGTCCTTCCTAGCTATGGATGCCTCTGTTTCAAGCGAGCAAGCTGATTACTATGGCGTAGGTCACTACTATGGCCATTGGCCTAGCCTCGTGCAAGGCTTTCAACTCGTTCTTAGTGACGCGGATGCGAACTCGCAACAAGTACAAGCACTAGCTCTTTATGATAAAACCGCACGCCTCGACGCAGACATCGCATGTATCGGCGAGCCAGCTATGCTGAAGTTCCGTAGGTCGGGCCGTATTCTCGAAGAATCAGATCGCGACTCACCAATTGGCGTCAAATTTCACTTTGGAAACTTACAGACGATGTCCGTTTTGATATCCTACGTCATGATACGGACTGTTTTTAATCGGATATTATACCACTTAACAGTTATGCTAAATCAACCAGACATGTCTTTAGAGGTCGAGCACAGAGAACTATGTAGGAAAATGTGGATGTGCATCCCATTCTTTAGAAGTTTAGGGGCAGTAACAACTGTCATATTTGCCCCTCAACTCTATTTGTCGTATGAAGGGGCGAGCGAAAATGAGAAGGAGTATTTGCTAGACTTCATTATGGAATTAGTATCATATAGAGGGAGCGCGAGATATCCCAGAGATCGACGGACTGTGGAACGGTTTGTCCTCGATGCTGCACAAGCTATGGTAGGCCGGCGTCCCTTTGTTACGAGTATTTCTTCATCGCAAAGGGAGGCCGCTCAAGTGGAGACAACGGGGAGTTAGTTGCCTCGAGTAAATATGCTTTTTATTTTCTACCCATTGTTTATAGATTTGCTTTCATCGTTAACTACCTGAATATATCTTCTATAACTACGTAGCCGACGAATCTTTATGCTTAAAGCTGTCTCAATCTTCGAAATAGGGGAAAGTATAAAATGTTCTGGTGGAACTACCGTTGGATGTGATTATGCAAATCTAAGGCATTTATGTACCTAAATATTAACCGAAGAAAAGCGAATGACTTCTTCAAGAAACCTTTATGGATGGATGGACCGTCATGAAGTTGTAAAGAAATTGAGAGCTACGAAAACAATTGAAAAGTCGGTAAAATGCACCAGGGAGAGTGGTCAGGGCGGTAGCCAAAGCAATTATTGCTGTCTTTCTCTTAACACTAACAGCTCCAGAGTTCGAGGAAGACGGGGATGAAGAGTCAGAAGAGCCTGAAAGTGGGTTAGAGCTAGCAGAACCGAGGGCAGAAGAGGCCGTGGCTATAACACCAGCCGATGGAGTGGCCTTTGAACCAAATGGAGAAGCTGTCGCACCGGAAAGTGCACCTTAGACCTTCTAGTCGTAGTGCCTAATGCATAATATGACTCAGAACTCCTTACCCCGCGAGGTGAGAGATGTAAGGGGTCAGGCATGGAGCTTGGGCTCGAGATTAGGAGGTATGTACGGGATCATATATGGGTATTTTAGTCTTGCAAGCGCGAATGGAATTCCCGCAGAGTCCAACACTCTGGCAACCGTCGTCGTTGCCCTTCCAGTGATACAGCAATCGGCTTGGTTTTCGTCGCTGACTATGGCATACCCTAGACAGCACCTGTTATTGGTGCCAGTGTCTGTTCTGAAGGGCGAAATCCCCAGAAATATGATTTCATAGTTAGACTTTTAATTGAGTGTGTTCGATGCTAGTTATCGTTGATATCCTGTATGACTACTTCCTGCAATCTTCGCAGCACTGGATACGCCTAAGACGGTAAATAAAATACTAGTATCCACGACCATCTTCGCAGAGAAGGGTTATATGGATGTATTGTAAGGTAGAGTTAAAGAAAAAAAAATCCAGCCTTAAGGATCTCTGTCGTTTCACGACGTGGTAGATAATCGAGTTGTTGTAGTATCTTAGTGCAACATAGTAAAGCTAAAGCTATGTGTGTCTAGTTCAAAGTCAATATGATGGGACAAAGAAAGATTGTATATTGATTTTGATCAGAAATGATGTGTTTATCACGGAGGTAGCTAACCGCTGAATACTACCTCTTGAAGTCTACAAAGCTACAGGGGCAAGAGGAGATCCGTTGTTTCCATGCCAATATCTAAAAATAGGTACTTATGATAGGTAGTCGTTGCTGAAGAAAATCTTTATGACTAAGAGATCGGCCAATGATATCAAAGATTAGTCTCATGGGCTGTTGTTGGCTTCCTAAAAGGGGTAGATCTTCAACATCGGCATGAGGACCCACTATCTTGAGTAACGCTACAGCTGAACCGCAATCCATATAACACGACTGCCATCTTTAAGGTTTAATGAGATGAGATCTGGCTCTTTCACTATGCCATGTATGAATATCATGTAATCGTTATAAATGACATAGGCTAATACTAACAAGATGATGCAACCGTAAGTTTGTAGGTGTGACTTCATCTGCTGATCTCAACGATACTTTGAAGCGAGCGAAAACTAATTATATTGCCATAAAACTTTTTCCATATTACCCCTTTCCTAAGAAGAAAAAGGGAAAACAGTTGTTTTTCGGGGTCTAGTGCATACCTCTTAGTACAGAAAATGTGCTACTAACCCTTGTTGGATCTCTGCAACCGTTTCCAGAAAGTTATTAGACCTATAAAAAAGTTCTTTGAGCATTAAAAGCGATAAAGGTATAGCAATGGTTTGAATATATACTATTCAGATCAATTCATACCAGAGAATCTCCTCAAAACAACAAACTAAACACTCAATCAACTATAACTACCTCTCGCAAATTTTACCTAGGATATGATGTCATATAATACGAAAATAATTTGAAACTAATAGTATAGCTATGACTCTAAGTTGTTTTTCCTATCACTAACGGAGTGAAACAGTTCCTGTTTAGAGCTGCCGCAACTATACTTCCAAGGTTAGGTACGTACCAGGTATGAAATATACAACTTTAACTAGACATAATCATCTTATTTGAGCGAAGATCTTGTCTTTAGGATGAACTGTTGGAGTACGACCTGTTGGTTTGCATTTGCTGAGCCACGACCGTACATGTGAGCGTATAAAAAAAGCTTTGTACAAATGAAGAGACAAGGTTGATGATACTTGCCCCTTAACAAGAAGGACATTCAATACTGTTCTTGAGTATTTTTTATCTCTTTAGTTCTGGTTTAGAGGTAGACGGTAAGCTTATATAGGTAATTCTATCATGATAACATGGACGCTCGTTACCCTGAATAATTAACATGTCCCCGAGTGAAGACAACTGGGTGTGTTATTCGGCAAGCTTGGATAAATTGTTCGCATTACCGGTATTACCTAATCACACTCCACCCCTGGTTGGAAAGTAACAAATATTAAAAGGAGGAGTCTTCGAACCAACATGCTTTACAGCATTGGTTGATCAACACTTGATAGTGGACCATTGACGCGTTGTGCATTATTGAAATCTTGCGATGGTTTTTTTTTTTTTTTTTTGCTATGTGTCCTGGAGTTTATTATAATCTTGAACCCTTGTTTTGGTTAACAAGGGTCGTGTCTGCCTTGAGACTATGCCAGTTGCTGCCTATTATCATGTCGAAGAACGACCCGTGCACCACGAGTTTATAATGTCGGTCATACCTGGCGAGAATTAACTACCATAAACCAAAGATAATAATATCTGCACCAATGTCACAGGCTTCGGATAGTGCTGATTTTCGTGGTCGCCGCTCCGGCAAACCTCCCGGGGAGAGTATTCCGCAGCTGAGCTGTGAGTTATGCCGGTATGATTGAATAATTTGCTAGTTCGCGAGTCATGAATTGCTAATTAATTCTATAATAGAAAACGAAAGGTCAAATGCGACAAGCTGAACCCATGTTCCAATTGCGTAAAGGCGGACGTTGTGTGTGTACCTATTCATCGTAAGCGCTTACCTCGTGGTCGCCACACCCATCCTCGATCGTTCCCGACCTGCAATACCGGCGATGAATTGATGTCTCGCATACGGAACCTGGAGACTCTAGCTTCAAATATAAACGACTTAAAAGTCTCGTCACCGAATCCCGGACCGTCAACCTCGACTAACTCAAACGTGGGTGTAGATGCAGAGAATAACGTTGGGTGGAAAGTGTGGGCGCAAATCGTGGACGAGGTAAGTAACTTATATCATATCAAAATACTTTCGCGGTAATTGATGTTATAAAGGTAGAGGGTCTTCGTAATATTGTTGGAGATGCTTCGGACGACGAGGATAGCGTGCGGTCAATCCCTAATTCCACTTTTGGTGCTAATTTGAGGGCAATTGGCATCGGCTCCTCCTCTTATAGCAGCCTTCCAACGACTAATGATCGTTTGAAAGACCCCATCGTAACGGCTCAATTATGCGACATCTACCTCCATCAGGTGGACCCCATCATCAAAATTCTGCATCGGCCCTCTCTAAGCAAGTTCATGCAACATGGCCAGCGCTATTTGGGGTATGACACTAACCACTTATCTACGGTGTGCCTAAAGTCGGCTGTCTGCTATTCTGCCGCAGCAAGCATGACGGAAGAACGATGTCAACAACTGTTCAATATTAGGAAATCTACACTGATAGAAGAATGTAGAGCAGCTTGCGAAGCGACTTTAGAAAGCTCGGAACTCCTTACAACGAATGATATCACTGTCCTGCAAGCCTTCGTATTATACCTCATTGCTAGGCGGACGGAGGATTCGAGCCGTGCTGTATGGACTATGACCGCGTTAGCTGTTCGGATAGCAAAAGCGCTCTCTCTTCACCAAGTGAGGGGGGAATCTTTCTTTAACCGGCAGATGAGACTGCGGCTATGGTTCACGATCTGTCTGTTAGATCTTCAGGGGTCGATCGACCAAGCAACCCAACCTCTCATAGGTGTCGATGAAATACCGCCGGATTTCCCCCTCAATGTCAATGATTCCGAGTTTGACATTGACACGCCAGGAGAACTTCAGAGCAGAAGTGGCCTGACTGATATCACATATGCTCTCGTCACATATTACGCACAGCCAAGCGCGCGACTCCTGAATTTTCACGGTAAAGAGGCGGACAGACTAAACTGGGAAGAACGAGAGAGGCATTCATTTCTTGTCCAACAGAAAATCCAGAGCCTTTTGAAATTCTGCGATCCTGAGTCAAGCCCCTACGCGTGGTTCACTTTCCACGGGGGACAATCGCTAGTGGCATGCATGCGACTTGCAGCTCTGCGGCCTTTACACCGTGTCAATACCAATCAGCCCGCTCCCCGCGGAAAACTCACTGAAATCCTGAATAACTCCCTGGTAACCCTGGAGAAGGTGCACCTAATTCAAACTGGCCCAAGAGGAGAGGGGTTCAGATGGTATATGACGGTTCACTGGCACGCGCTTGCGAGCGCTATCGCTGAATGTTATGTCGGCTCTGATATCTCAGCAATCCAAAACGCCTGGCCAATCATTGAATGGGCTTTCGAGTACCATAGACAAGCTATTGAAAGTTGCCGTCGAGGAATGCTCAAAAGGCCGTTAGAAAGGCTGATGATGCAGGCCAGGAAGAGGATCAGCGTCCTTTTAGGACATCCGACTTCCCTTCAGCAGTCCCAACAGGCTTTGTTCAGCCCCAACCAAGCGGGTTATTCCGAATATGGACTGTCAAATTCTACCGCGACCAACATAGACCCAAACTCCGCCGGCTTTTCCTTGAACCAAGTTGACCCTCAGGTTACTATGGGTTACGACTTCAGCAGCGGGGCAGACATGTTCCCATATTTTGACAATTCTACTATGGCGAACCCATCGATGCTATCATGGTCTGCGCCGCATGACCCTGGCGCTCAAGTCCCAGGAACTCTGAACGTCTCCGAGGGGGATAATGGCTCGTTTGAAGATGTATCCTGGAAAACATGGGAAGAGTTCGTCTCCGAGCTTTCTTTCAACGACCTTAACTAGGCAGGTAGGTAGCGTCCTACATAGTGGAAATTTAAAATTGAACCCAGATATGAATTTGTTTCTTGATATGTTACCCACTGTCTTTGCCGGATTTAACGCGAACCAAGTCGTAGGACTACAACAGGGCTTCCCAATGAGACACCCTATTCAATTGGCTCTAAGCCCCTTTCGCGCGTCGTGGAACAGGTGAAGCACACATCTGGTTTTCGACTTAAGGCGTAGTATCTATGGGGAGCTCTTGAGAAAGCAAGAGTATCGTCACTAGATAGCCTCGCAAATAGGTAGAACGAAGGAATATCCATGTATAAGCATTTGCCTCTTGATCGGCGCCTAGATCAATGTCCTAGTCAATTGTAAGGTTACGTCTGGCTTAAGAAGTAGAGAATTATAACGAGAGATGAACCTACTTCCGCCGTTGTGCAGCGTACCAGGTAGTCAAAGGGGAACTGCTCTTCTGGATTTTATTAGCATTACTATACTTAGGTGTTCTAGCACCGTTCACCTTCGATTTCGATAGTGGCGAGTTTTGCCTTATGTCTAAGTATGCGATGGGCTAGGCAGACCATAAGTGCGTCGTACCGCTTCAGCTAAATTGGTGTTTGACGTTCTGAAATATTTTGTTGTAATGAGTGTTGTGCGTGATTCACTTCGGATTCATTCCAAAACGGACCGAAAAATTGTTCGACTCAGGTACCTCACTAAACATGACGATTGGTATTTTTCCTGCTGCCTATCGGTTTTCAGCATGCGGGTAAAATATTCAAGTAGGATGTTGTATCGTAATAGCGTATTATGCCTAATGGGTAGACGGGTTGGATCGTAGAGTCGAGTGTCGCGAAGATACACAGAAGAAAGGTTTTACGCATCGGATAAAACTTTTGATTTATTAGGTTAAAAATATTATTAACTGCTGCCTAGGAGAATTAAGCAAAGAAAAAAAAAAGAAAAAAAAAGTCGGCTGAGCCTTGTGACCCCGGCCGGTGACCCCGGCCGTCGACCCCTCCGCGAAAAAGCGCCACTTGTAAGAAGAAGGGATTGCCCGGTGCCTCCCAACTATACCAGACCGTTTTTACTCCCAGGACTCCGGGGCCGGTCTCGATTAATTGCTGCATTGTTATCGGACGATATAACCTAAACCCTAGTTCCATTGCACTGCCTTAGGTAGGCACCTACTTAGACGCCTTAATGCAAACACCTGCAATATGATATTTTCCCTTGACGTTATCGGAAATAAAATAGAAACGTAAACGGATCGGCCCGGATGGTGTTCGAACCCATGGTTTTCTAACCTCGACATCTCATCTAAGCATTATATTCAGAAACGCATCACGATAGAATGCGATTCCACTACTCTACCGTTCTACGTCGTCTTCCTACCTCAGGTACATTCAAACGCCACCAAGAAAATCATACTACGACGAATGGGATAACCTTCAAAGGTTCCACAATGACGGCTTAGAACTTCTATTTACTTGTCTTTGTGTAATAGTCCTCCAAAGTCGGTGTATTCGTGCACCGTGTCAATGAGGCTTAAGGCAAGCTGCCGAAGATTGACATGCATTAGCGCTGTAAGACCACCCAGCGTGGCCGGGTAGATCAAGCGTTTGTTTCGAAGATATTAGCAGTTTACGCGTCTTACAAGATCCCGCCTAGGAAAATTCGCATGCGCAATTGCAGATATTGCAATAATGTATGCAAAACTTACCTACGGCACCATAAGACTGTGGTACAGCAGTGCCGATCAAGAACACGTCTAAATTGTTACCGGAAACAGTTCCTTACAGGAACCTTGCTTTTATTGTACAACTTGATACGGTGAATATCAACAGATAGGCAACGAGGCATCGCGGGGAAAGGCGACTTCGGATGCAGTGTTGTCAAGTTGTAGACAAGTTGTTCTAGGCACCTAATATGAGAAATTCGAAGGATAATAAGAATTATTGTTGGATTAGATTCCTTGCGTCAAGTATATGAACATCTATGGCGATTTAAAGGACGTTCACTATGTTGGTGTTAAATATTGTGTCCGCAGCGTGGAGGTTTTCTTTTAGAAAGAAGAAGAGTCGAAGTGGTAAAAATATGTTCTTCAGGGAAAATAAGGTTTAGCGGAGAAATAACTAAAAAAAGGCACCTAAACTGACATTAGCAACTTCATGCTCCTTACGGTAGCTCCAAGTGCCAGGTGTTAGTTACTCCAGCAGTCCAGTCGCGGTTGGTCCGAGCCCGGTAAAGAAAAAGGGGTATCCACCTTCCTAGACGGGAATAAAATTGCCGATCTGGATCTAGGCGCTAAAATCTATCCGTCAATTTGGCTTGATTATGGATCTTTATGGATCCGTACTTCCACGAGATGCATCCCAGATTCATCCCCTTTCCAGTACTACGCCAAATGCTGATCGCAGCTCGTATTATGCCAGGCACCGCCAACACATGCATCTTGTTTCGAAAAAGAGCCTCATCTTCTCAAGGTTTATCTGGTTCTTGGGTTGATCGCTACTACATTACAGATCCTAAATATATGTTATACTTCCACGACCCAGCAATCTGGATTCCATCGCTGATCTAAGCCTGAGGATAGAATGGACCAGCCTTTTCAACTGAACATATCTCTATCTGGTCCTATCAAGGTAGTTTGGGCCACCTAGAGGAATGGCAGGTATCCGGTAACGTTTCCCGGATAAAAGCCTCGGTATGGAATAAACACCACCGTGAGCGTACCTAACCAGGAAACTCGGAATTGAACTTGGTGCATAGGTACCTAAGGTAGGTTAGTAGGTATTGTACATAGTACTATGTACATACCTACCTACAAGACATGAAGCCATAAAGACAATTAGTAGTATGATTTAAATGCAATACCATGGCATGGCCGACTTTCACCTGCCACGCAGACTGCCGATAATTTAAATTTAGTAGGGTACCTCGGTCGACGAATTAGCTGCCAACTGTTTCTAGATGTCTTGCTTCAGGAGGGTCGGTGTTCGGTCCGATGACCTCGACATGCTCCTAGGATATGCTCTCCTTCGACTCAAGGGGTAGAAGTGTCGCGCGACCACATGGATTCTATGCAGGTCTTCGTTCGGTTACCAGAAATTCTGCATTCAATATCGAATATCGCTCCAAAGGATAAACCACCTCATACATGCAAAGCACTTCTGGCCTTTACAGAGGTAGCTATAGCCGCCATGGTTACAGGTACCTAATTTATGTGGCGTTCCAAATGCAACTGTCGAGGCGCGATCGCGGAATACCTGCTCCTCAATTCCAAACCACGCCTCTGATGCATAGACCCCCTCTACGCTATCATTAGGTTCAACACTTGATATCTCTTACTGCGACGGCGTTGAGGGTTGAGGACTATCGGATGCATCGCAAGACGACTACTATGGTGACTACCTACTCTTAAACCCAGTAACGTTGCAAATATAATCGATTCTATCAATGCAACCAAAGCTATAGCGGGTGCGGGGTGTGCGGGCGGGCCAAGCTTGTCAGCCTAAGGTCTCATCGTCATCAACCTGACCTCGTCGAGGCAAGGATAACGGGCAGTTGGAGGCGCCGCGACAGAAGAACAAGCCCAATTTGGGAATGCCTTATCTCCCCGCGCCCAGAGAGTGGCCGTGGCCTCGGAAGCTAATGATCCAAACTCGACATCTCGGCGGGGTTCAGACGGACGCATTATATCCTCCGTTCTGTGTGAGACATACTTTCTATATGTCTAACTAAACCTGCCACATTGCCCTTACGTCCGTTAATATGCACGCCATTTTGAAATCATTTGATCTTCTGCTGGAAAGGCAGCTTCCAAACAGCTTACATACCTCCGATATGACAATTGTCCCAAGATCTAAGTTGGTCAAGTGATAGTGGGGTATGAGCTACGACTTGATGGGCGCGTACAACCCTGTGATAAGCTATTAACTCCTATGTTAATCTCGTCCAAAGAGCTTTTAATGCTACTCTGATCTTGAATTTCCCAGCCTCCGATTGGCTGCGACCTACAGTTTCCCCTGAGTAAAACCTCCCCCTTCATTACCGCGACTGTCAAGGTCCTACTGTGCAAGACACATTCCAACGTCCACCTTCCACGTATGGAATAGGGAGGGCGAGCACGAGGGATGCCGGGATCCAACCTGTCTACCCAGTTCCATGAAGCCCTCACCAGCTTTACCTAACATCACGCTCATGACCGAGAACCAAAATTCACAAGGCTACAACCGGGAATATGATGGGATATACCTGTCTGAGGGCGTATCTATCTCGGTGAACGGTAGCAACGTTGCCGCCCCGGTTCGAAGGTCTCCATGAATCGCATATCGAGCTCGTTGGTTTGGTAGTAATGCCCTTACTCCGAGCTGGACAGTCCATTGCTTCGATATGATCGGTAAGCATGGTTTCTTTGTAGTCACATCTTTGTACCACATGAGAGACACGCGGCCATGATGGTACCGTGCCGAAGTCGTGTCTTCCCTGGTCCTTCAATGATATAAATACATCGACAATTCAGTTTCTTATCCATGTTTTTAATCATCAATCCAGATCTCGACCAAGGGCAAAGCCTCAGTTCCGACTTTTCTAGTCACTTCATTCCTTCATATCTATTCGGTCCTTACCCTCAAGCTATCTCACCATGATTTCCGTCAAAGGTTTCCTTACAGCTCTGCTTCTTCAAGCATCTGCTGGATATAGTAGTCCAATTGCTGCAGTTGAGAAGCGAGCTTCTGGCTTTCTTAACAAGGTTTACTTTGTCAACTGGTTAGTTTACCAAACAAATATCTTATAGCTAACCACAGCTAACATACCTGCTACTATAGGGGTATCTATGGGCGAAACTACCAGCCAGCACAGCTCCCAGCTTCGCAAATCAACCATGTTCTCTATTCGTTCGCGAATCTAAGGTCTGATGGGACTGTATATGCGTCAGATACTTACGCCGACTTGGAAAAGCACTACGATGGCGACTGTGAGTAACTGAAACATACCATTTGTTAGCAAGGGGGATCTAACGGACTGTAGCATGGAACGATGTTGGAACCAATGCCTATGGCTGCGTAAAACAGCTGTACTTGTTGAAAAAGGCCAACAGACACCTCAAGGTGCTCCTTAGTATCGGTGGTTGGACTTACTCTTCCAACTTCGCGGGCGCAGCCAGCACGGACGCGACAAGGAAGACTTTTGCCCAGACCGCAGTGACTCTTATCAAGGACTGGGGTTTCGATGGTATTGACATCGATTGGGAATATCCCGCCGATGATACCCAGGCTAGCAACTTTGTTGAACTCCTAAAGGCCGTCCGATCTGAGCTTGACTCTTACTCAGCTCAATATGCTAACGGCTACCATTTCCTTCTCACTGCTGCAGTGCCTGCCGGCCCGGCAAACTACCAGAAACTACACCTTAAAGATATGGCACCGTTGCTTGACCAATTCAACCTTATGGCTTATGACTACGCCGGCTCTTGGGACACTACCTCTGGTCATCAGGCGAACTTATACCCCAACCCTCAAAACCCGGTCTCTACACCATTTTCAACTGATGCAGCTCTCTCTGCCTATATCAATGCCGGTGTTCCGAGTAATAAGTTGGTCCTTGGACTACCCTTGTACGGCCGCGCGGTATGTAACTGAAGCATTTCTTTTTCTTCTTCCTACTCCATTTTATGAAATAGCATTACCCCTTTTCCGCCGAAGCCTCCAGGGGTGATCAAACACTAGATGTGTGCAATTATTTGAAATAGCTTATTTACCTAAGAGCAATTTCTAATCCTTGTTTTTGAATAGTTTGACGCAACGGATGGTATTGGCAAGCCTTATAGTGGTGTTGGTCAAGGCTCGTGGGAAGCTGGTGTCTATGATTATAAGGTTCTACCCCGAGCTGGAGCGCAAGAAATTTACGACGACGCGGCTGGCGCAACTTACAGTTATGATAGTTCGGCTAGGGAGCTAATCAGCTACGACAATGTCGACATGATCAAGAAGAAGATTTCCTACGCCCAGAGCAAGAGTTTAGGTGGCTCGATGTTTTGGGAAGCTTCGGGTGATCGAACAGACAGCGGCAGTTTGATCGCAGCCGCGTACAACGCTCAAGGAGGATCGGGCGCCCTTGACAGTTCAGAGAACCTCCTCAGCTACCCCAACAGCCAGTATAACAATATCAAGAACAACCTGAACTAGGCTCATATTTAGTTCAGCCCTTCTTTGATCTGACTTACGGGCGGTCATTTGATACGAGGGCTGGTGTCCCGTTTTAGAAGATCGTCGTCACGCACTACTACCGAGAGCTCACACGCCAAGCTGCCATTCGCTTCATTCAAGATCTTGATTTATGGAATTGTATATACTTACTGTCGCTTACGGACGAATGAGCCTGCACTTGTTTTGTCAGGCTACAAATAGGCTGAGACCTATATTTCACTTCACTGTATATAGTTACAGATACACTTATTGTACATACGAACTTTTAGCGCAAATATACTTATATATAAACTACATACCCATCTTTAAAGCATAAAATATCTGTTCATAGCTCGTTGTCTTGGGTCTGTCTTGGGTCTTCCTTCCCTCCGTCTCCTTGACCCTAGATGCAGCCCAGATCTCATACCTAAGGACAATTTTTCTCCCAATCGGGCGCTGCCACCAATACAAAGAATGTGGATAAAACGGTGAGCGGTGGTATACGGATAACTCTGAAACGCAGAATAGCTATGTATATGCGTACATAGGTACATAGAAAGGATTGAAAAACAAATCAGGATATTTTTTTTGGTCCAAAAAAAGAAAAAGAAAAACAAAAGCCTTGAAAATTCCCGACTTTCACATTATATAGCAGCTCCCGGAAGGTCGGCGCTTCTTGGGCTTTTCCTGCATACTAGGAAGCGCTCCGCTCTGATCCTCCGCGGGCACCGGGATGGCGGGGAGCGGCTCAAGGGTGGCGTACGCATCTGCGTTCTCGACTTCCTGGAGCGACGTGGGCGGGGACTCGTTCTCGTCGTTAGGGGTGGCGGCGCAGGCCGACTTCTGAGAGCACAGGGTGCAAGTTCCTGCGAGAGTCTGCCCGCTGCAGCTGGCGCATGCATTGGACACGTCGTCGCTGCTCACGGCCTCGGGCACCGGGGATACGTTGTTGGTGCTTCGGCCCGCCGCGCCGACGGGTTTGGCCTGGCTGCTGTGCTGGCTGAGCTGCGCCCCGTGGACCTGGCAGGAAGCCAAGTGCTCTATATCCATGCTTGACGGGCGTGTTCCGGCCGGGCTGTTGGTAACTGATGGAAAGCGCGAGCCCGCGCGGCTCCCGGGCAAACTGTCCGGGGGCAGGAAGTGCACCATGCGGCCGAGGTGTGGGGTAGCCGGTTGAGGGTGAGGGTTTTCGCCGCCGTCGCTTACGTAGCTGTGGATGACGGCAGTATGCGATATCGCGGAGTCGAAGCGCGAGACGTTTAGTTCGGTGGTCACGCCAGTCTCGGCTTCGACTTCGGCCTCGGCCTCAGCCTCGGCTTCAGCTAAAGTCTGCGCGAACTTAGACCACCCGCGCAGACGGGGTCCGAATCGGTAAACGAGTAGGAGGCAGACGAATAGGAACGATGCTATAGATAAAAGTATCATAGTCGAATTAAATATGCCTAGCATATCGTACCTGATTTATTTGTTAAAACAATTGTTCAAGTCATTTGCTAGGTAGTTAAGGGGCGAAAGGAGGTTAAGTTAGAATTAGAGAAACGTACTAGATATAACATGTTAGCATTCGGAATGACTTCGTAGGAGGTATGTATGATGAAATACTAACCAGTGGAACTGCGTAAGGTGTAAGCACACCGGCAAGGAAATCCCTCGCCCATCCATTGCCACCCGTGGCAGATGCGGCGTATGGGCCATAAGCTCGGAGCACGTAGTCGATGGTGCCCATGTAAATAGCGTAGTTCGCGATGCCAATCAGGCAGGCACCGATCATGCTGAAGATCCAGTGGACAGGCTGGCTGGTAAAAGAGGTTCCGAAAGCAAAGATAAGTAGACCTATAGGTAACAAAGGAGCCGTCCAAAGCAGCCAAAAGAGTCGAGCCTCGTACTGCGCTCGCTCGCAGTACGGTTTTCTCAGGCGCAGGAGAATCTGGCGTTTGATGAAGTAGCGAGCTAAGCAATATCCGATTCCGTATCCGATTCCGATGGGTATGAATGCGCAGCCGATCAGTAAGGTGCCGAATCCCCATTGCTGGTAGACGAGACCGTACGATTGGACCATCACTAAAGGGAAGGGGAAGGGAAAGGTCAGCCCGAGAAATCATCCAACGAAACACAAACTATAGCCACATGGATAGAGGAAGACACTAGGAGACTATAACTGGACTTACTAAAGATAAGAGCATCGGAGAAACCTGACAGCAGCGAGGATACCAAGACGATAGGCTCCGTTAAGAACATCTTGAAAGGCCGCATCCAGATAACCATTATTTCCGACCATTTGAGGCATTTCTTCCCAGCCATCTCGGTCGGGCCGTACAATTTGCAGCTCGGGTCGGCCTTTCGCTTCTCCTTGGCGATCGTGTCCATGACGATGGTCGCTCGGGTCTCGGGGACGAGGAAGTAGTGCAGACCCTGCACGAAGACGCCGAAGAGTAGCTGTATCCAGATGACCCAGCGCCACGCGAGGTACAGCTCGACGAAGCCGCCGAAGATGGGCCCGAGCAGGGACCCGCCGACGGACGAGAGCACAATGAAGGCCGTGGCGTACTGGTGGCCTGGGGTGTGCGGGTCGTACATATCCGAGATGAGGGCAAGCGTCACGCTCCCGCCCGCGCTAGACAGCCCGCCCAGCGTGCGGCCGATGATATGTCCGTACCAAGTGGTCGAGAGGCCGGTGACCAGGGCAAAGATGTTGACAAATAGTAGCGAGGCCTGGAGGACCTCGCGGCGGCCGTACTCCTCGGACCAGGGGGCCCAGAGCTCGCAGCCGAAGGCGTAGGCGATGAGGAAAGCGGCGGCCCCTCCCCACCGGACCTGGAAGGTCGTGACTCCGAACTCCGCGGCGATGCCCTCCAGGCCGTTCGAGTACAGGGTCGTGTTCAGGTTCATCGATACCTGCACCAGGAAGATCACCCACAGCACCCTCCGCTTCACCTCCTCCGTCCACCGCGTCGGCATCCCGTCCCCGCAGTCCGAGGGCCGGATCGGCACCGGAACGTGCTCGCTCTGCGCGTTGTGGGAGCCCCGGTTGCCGGCCCGGCGCCAGCGCAGCGCGCGCATGATGCGGTTGTCATCGTTGGCGAGGGGGAGGGCGGTGGTGTTGGTGTTGATGGTTGTGTTTGTAGTGGTCAGCGGCGGCTGGACCCGAGTAGGCTGCCCATGCTGCCGAACGCTGCTTTCCAAGGTTGCGTTAGTATCAGCGGTGGCAGTGTGTTCCTGATGCTGGTGCTGCGGAATAATTTCTCGCAGCAAGGCATGGAGATCCTCAATGGGGATTGGCCGTTCAGGGGGTATATTTTGAGGCGACATCGTTTTGTCGTTCTTGTTGTTGTTGTTGTTGTTGCTAGCGACGACGCCTTTGAGTATTTGAGCGAGTGGTGTGTTGATTTATGAGAGTATCTACACGGTCTGATGGAAGCATCTCACAATGTTATTCTCTCCCTAGAACAATCAAAACGTTGATTATGTGTATCCTAGAAGAATTGGTTCTGTGTATCCTAGAAGACTTGATTTTGGGAAAGGATGGTAAAGGGAAGAGAGAAGGGGGAGGTTTGGAACACCGGGACATATTGAAGTAAAACGAGAAAGTGAAGTTGGGGTGGTCCGGAGCAGTTTAATAAGATCCATGTGGCGTGGTTCGCCCTATTCCAGACACGCACAGAGAAATTAGGGGGGACACATAACGTTGGTGAGGGGGGGATATTAAGTTGAGAGTTGGGCTATACGAGAGGTTTAATGTGAGAACCTCAAACACCATCAGGGCATGGTGACCATTAGCGGTCACGAGGACATCATCTGTAAACTATATGACGCCCAATTTTCGGATTCTAGTATGCCTGATGCAGTTACGATATATTTGGGATATACTGGTGCATTGGGAGACTTGTAGTAGTTCTATTCAGTATGGATTAATCTGTCTTGCTGAGGAACACACCGACAGACGGCTGTTAATCCTCAGCTATGGGCAGTTCCACAACGGGTCTCTTTCCAGTTGGATTCGAGCGGAGTAGAAACTCTCTTTTGTTATCTTACAATGAAACTTGTTGAAGAGAGTTCCGGTAAGGATATAGAGTTTATACCGGTGTACCCTAAAGGTCAAGGCTCGCATGTTGTCATCAGCAATCGAGTCTCAAATATCCACCTGTCTCCTCGAAAAAATAAAAAGAGGGCTTTACTTAATGGTATTTCTATACTTCCCTAGTGGTTTGATACTTGGATGTAGTTCTAGAAGGTCTTGAACCCAGGTCGGCGCGAATAAGCTCTACAGCCCTAAAGCGTGATTCGAAAAGGGGGGTTGCTGAGAGACTTGAGGTACGCATCACATGTATAACTCATGAAGGGTCTAAGATAGGTACCTATTATCTATAGGGTACTTGTTATGATCTGACGTTATTTTCAAGACGCCACACCTTGTCGGCGCGATACGCAAGCTATGGCTATCTTTCAACCGACACGAAGCCTGTTACGTGATACCAATTCAGCATTTACTAAGGTTTACCAAGTCGATGCAGATCACTACCCGCACGGACTGTTGAGCAGTACGTATAAGGCCAGGGTGACTGATCGACGTCATAATCGTGTGGCTGGTTACTTTTCAGTGTGAATTCATTAGCACTTCTCACGATACTTCAGAACTTGTCGATGATAGGGATTGGGAAATTGAACAGTGCACCGATGCTTCAATTTATCAGGTAAATACCAACCGCGCTTTCCCCTAGTAGATAAGGGGTGTTCCCGACCACAGCAATTCACGGCATGGAATTCAGAGACATGTGGGTATCTTTATCTTGAGATGAGATATTCGACCCGGAAGTGTTGAACGTTTCTATACATCCGTTCAGAGACCTAGGAGCATTAATAAGTCACGTCCCTTTTCGGGAATTCGTAAATAATTCGAGTTACGATGGGACGACGACCATTAATTATCGGTTATAATGACCCAATATCAAGGCCCTCAACCTTACCCAGAAATTCTCCCTTAGCACCACGTAGCAACTCATCCATATCCACCATACCGGTTGCGATATACTTTTCGCTGACGCCGGTATTGACTCGCTTAGATAGGAGCTCTCTTAGTTCGGCACGTAAGGCCCCCAACTCGGCCTTGGTCATAGCTCTCGCTTGGTTTTGCTTCTCCTTTCTACCGCCACCGCGTCCCCCCCACTTTCCGACCTGCTGTATCTCGTCGCTGTCGTATTCCACACCTAACTCTTCTGCTGCGTTCCGCATCCAATCATCCTCCTTATTTCCTTTCTCCTTCGCAAGCCCTGCGTCGGCAATCTTTTTGGCTATTGTGACGCGCGGCTTCAGGCGGTTGACTAGTTTCCGGTCCATGTCTAAAGTTTGCACGAAGAAATTCTTAGACCCTTTATCAGCGCTCGAATGCACCTTGGCAATGAGCCGCCGGGTCGGAACAACTTCTTCAGGTGCGCAAAGAAGTACACTCAATCCTGTTTTATGCGCACGTGCAGTACGCCCGGACCTATGCACATAAACGTCCGCAGCTCGAGGGACGTGGTAATGGACTACTAGGTCCACATTAGGAATATCTAAACCACGTGCAGCAACGTCTGTCGCAACGAGAATAGACGACTGTCCTTGCTTCGTGCCCGTGAACCGTTCAACTGAACGTAGACGCGCCTTCTGAGGCATTTGGGAGTGAAGCGGGTTGGTCTGAAGATTCAAATTTTGAAGCATAGGAGCTAATCTTCGGACTGAGCTGATGGAATTGGTGAAGACAAGCGTCCGTACGTTTGGATATAGTAGAAGAAGCGCGTATAAATAGAGATCCTATGAATAATTAGTATAAGTCTCACTTTGACTTCTTAATTGTGTAAAATTTACCTTCTCCATTGCACCACATTCCACCAACCCTTCCTTAAGCCCTTCAGCCATTTGAGATACCGGATTGACGTCGATGAACTTCGGCTTTTCTTCCCGGAAGTTTAGTTTTTTCAGCAAATACTCCATGGAGTCTTTCTCGCTCATTAGGGTGTAACGTCCTTTTCCAGCCAGCTTTTGCTGTAGGCCTTTGTGAAATGTTGCTGAAAAGACCAAGGTTTGCCTCGGCGAAGACACATTTGTCTGCTCGCCGTCCTCATCCTCTTCAACTCGGTCTAGCGCATTGAAAATCTCGGAAGCTTCTTGGAAGTGACCTTCCGTTAGAAGTCTGTCGGCCTCATCCACCACGAGGTACCGAATCTTTTTGAAATTGCCCATCAATTCTGAGCTAGAACTTAGAACCTCCCACAACCGACCAGGAGTTCCAACGACAATGTCCACCTTGGCTAGCTGACGTTGCTGCTTATGAACTGACAAACCGCCAGTCACTGAGCATACATAGGGTGAACTTGGTAAACCGGCGCAGAGATTCTTAATGTGATCTGTAAGCTGATGCGCAAGTTCTCTTGTAGGTGAGAGGATTAAGGCCAATGGGACCTTGGAGGTATCCGGAAGAGTATCGCTGCTGTCTGACAATTCTAGCCACTTTTCAACAATTGGAATACCGAAAGCCAGCGTTTTACCTGAACCTGTCGAAGCTTTACCTATGACATCGTGACCGGCTAATATTTGAGGTATCGCAGCTTTCTGGATGCGGGTAGGTTTCGGAAATTTCAATTTGGCCAGAGATTCGAGAATCCGAGGAGATAAATCCAAGGCAACCCATGCAGAGAGATCAATTTCATCCTGTGTTTCATCCATGGCGTCTATTCCTGTGAAGATGTTTGCCTCGAGCTCCGGATCTTCGATATGATTTGAATCCTTCTTCTTCTGTTTCTTTTGCGCCTTCGCGTTTTCCTTCGGGGTAGCTTTCGCCTCTGATTTTATATTTTCGTCCGCGTTCGTTACGCTTGGTGACGCGGTTTTTGAAGTATCTTGCGTGAATGGTTCATCGTCAAATCCTTCGAATTCTTCGTCGCTTTGGATCTCGCCGTCATCTTGATCTTTTTCGTTCTCGTCGTCAGTTGAGGATACCGCAGCTCTCTGTTTCTGGTTAGTATTGGAACTACCAAAATGGAACAGGCTTAAACCGTAAATACAAATTCAATGGTATTGTCGCTATTTCTAAAAACTTCGACATCATCCACCTCTTCTAAGCCATAAAAGCCTTCCGCATCGTTGAACATATCGGGTAATTTGGCTTTGCGCCATCGTAAAGAATCGGCGCTAACACGTTTCTTCTCCTTCGACTGGGCAGGCTTTCCGGTGGACTGGCGAGCCTTGATCTTCTTCTTCGCGGGAGCGCTCGGTGTTTGGCTAGGGGCCTTCCTTTTCTTTAAACCGTTCATGATGACCGAGGACTTAGGTTGTGTTGTTGAATGAGGTATTGAGGAAATGAGGAAATCCTGGGAAATTTTTGGGATCCCTGTTCACTTATTGCATTAGATAGTAATATTATCTTATCGATATAAAAAGTACCTTAATGTAAAAGCCCGATAAGCAATTGGCGCATGGACCACACCTTAATTCAGCCCTACCAATAGGTAACCCCCTAACAGCCCCGATTTTTCGCAGCAAAAATTGTAGGCCGTACGAATTGAAAGTACCTCTGATAGACTCAACTCAACATCTTTTTTTATATAATACCCTTGGAACTCATATGGACCTTACGTTGTAAAAACTAGCTCAATCCAACCAGATAATATAATACATAATGGGAAAGTCTTCCAAGGATAAGCGCGATGCATATTATAGGCTCGCTAAAGAACAAGGATGGCGCGCAAGGAGCGCATTCAAGCTCTTGCAGCTTGACGAAGGTTGATCCCTCTTCCCAAGAGACTTTTGACAAGGAAGCTAATAGGAGATTAGAATTTGACCTCTTCTCTAATGTCACCAGAGTTGTGGACTTATGCGCTGCGCCCGGAAGTTGGTCGCAAGTTTTATCTAGGGTCTTAATTAAGGGAGAAAAATTCGGCAGAGCAGCTTGGCAAGACCGTGATGCTAGATTCCGCCAGCAGATGCTAGGACTCTTCGGGTCCCAGCATACCGCAAGCAAGTCAGGACACTCGGAACCGCAACCTTCCATAACGTCAAGTCCTCGTCAAGATGTCAAGATTGTCTCAATCGATTTGCAGCCTATCAGTCCACTGCCGGGTATTGTCACCCTACGAGCTGATATTACTCACCCGGCTACTGTTCCCTTGCTTCTGAAAGCATTAGATCCGGAATACGATTCCAAAACTAACACCCAGCAGGCCGCCCACCCTGTTGACCTGGTATTGAGTGATGGTGCACCTGACGTAACTGGGTTGCATGATCTAGATATTTATGTGCAATCGCAGCTTCTCTTTGCAGCTTTGAACCTAGCGCTGTGTGTCTTGAAGCCTGGCGGGAAGTTCGTGGCAAAGATCTTTAGAGGCAAGAACGTGGATGTGCTTTATGCCCAGCTCAAAATATTTTTCGAAAAGGTTCACGTTGCGAAGCCGAGATCTTCTCGGGCTAGCAGCGTAGAAGCATTTATTGTGTGCTTGAACTTTCAACCTCCTAAAGGTTTCTCAGCAAGTCTTGAGGAACCTCTCGGCGTTGGTTTCCGCCTATCAAGAATGACGGAACAAAGCTGTGCGGCGCTGCCTATTACTGCAAACACCATCCTACAAAATCCAGAAACCGGGGCATGGAATAATACACCCGCACTCGTTGCGATACCCGATAATGATGGCATCACCGAAATACAATTAGAAGATCACCGGCCTGGGCATGGAGATGTAAGATGGATTGCACCTTTCATTGCTTGCGGTGACCTATCTGCGTTCGACTCCGATGCTTCATACCGCCTTCCGCCGGATCATGTCTCCCTTGACCCGGTTCAACCACCAACAGCACCACCATACAAACGTGCTTTAGAAATGAGAAAGGCGTTCGGAGGCGCCTACGGGAAAACAAGCAAGGACTAAACAGAGAATCGCATGAATTACGTTACGCATATTCCGGGTGCTGCGCTGCTGGTCCTTCAATCAACCCGATGGAAATGCCTCTCGTGTTACATTCACTCCAGTCCTTGGCGCCGAGGTACTGGCGGTATAGATCCAGCTTGTCGCTAGTAGAAAACATGAAACGCCGTAGATAAGGCCAGCCTTGAATAACTTCGTTGAGACACTCCAACATCCAGCGGCCAAGGCCTTTTCCCTGATATTGGGGCAAGACGTAAACGTCGGTGAGATACGCGAATGTGACATCGTCAGTCACTACCCTCACAAGCCCGATCTGCTGAGGACTGCTTTGGCCTAGATACATATACATGAGCTAGGAGTCCGCTTACAGCAGTATAGAAGAGACCTACCAGCCATCTCCGAAGTGGATTTAGGAAGCACGTATAATCCGAGACACAATGAATTATGGAGCGCCTTTTTCATCATATCCCGAGGAAGGCTCTGTGCCCACCACATGAGATCCGAGTTCATAGCTTCGTTGACCGCATCAACCTGAATAAGAAGCGGCTCGGTAGAGATCAAAAAATCATCTCTATACCAATTACGAGGAGCCGTTTCGAGGACCATTTTCGTTATATCGGATGTGATCAGTATATCTGTTTGGCTAGGTGCAATAAACAAACGCCTGGTAATATAATTCTCAGTCGTGACACTTAAATCCAAATCTAAATTACCTGTCATAAACTAAAATCCACGATCGAAGACGGCAATGTATGAATCATTGGTAACTTAGCGTCCCCCTCTCCCCCCGCCACGTAATAATTACCGTGAACGAGGAATAACCAAGTTCGACCAATAATGTACAACTATACGGAAATCCCAGCATCCAGCATCTAGTGCCCCTGATATCGGCCGATACCAGGTACAACCAATAGATGGACCTATCCAACGCCATTAGTTCCATGGATATTCCATTTACTTATACGAAAAAAAGAACAGTGAGGGAATTGTTCATGAAACTTCTTATTTAAACATTGTAGATCAAATAAGTTGAAATTACCTCTTACTGCCTGCCGGTTATAATAGAGGTAGGTGATTCATTAACTCCTACAGCGATTATCCAGTTCAAATCCCAACCGCACCTGCGTGCTTAGGTTTGGCCTGCGAGTTGAAACCTTGCCACACAGTATCTTTAGAATTCAAACCCCAGGCCGTTGAGCTATCATCGTGAACCGTCGTTCGCCTCAAGTCGCGCTTATATCTACCCTCGAAAGTCCCACCCCCTGCTCTATGCAACACGCAGCGGTTATCCCATATAACTAAATCGCTAGGATTATCCCACTGCACGCTGGTTACATACTTCTTCTGCGCGGCATGCTGATTGAGTCGTTGGACCAGATCCCAGGAATTCGGGATCGCCTTGCCGTCTTCTTCGATATGGTGCAGGTGCGCACCGATGAACAGATTCATTCGCCCGCTAGGCTCGTGGAGCTGGGCGATTCGATGACGCTGCATCGACGACTTGGTCGGGTCGACGTCCGCGAAGAAGCCGGGCGAACCGAGCTTCCGCGAATGGGCCATCGAGTGCGCACCCACGTAATCGTGCGAAAGGAGTTCCTCCCGCAGATCCCCGGGGAGCTCCTCGAAAGCCGTTCGCGAGTCGGCGAAGTCCGTGTTGCCGCCGTGTCCGGGAGGTGGGAGTTCGCAGGCGCGCAAGAGGGAGAATGACGCTCGCTGCGGGTTGAACGTCGAGTCCGCGTGGAAAAGCCCGTTGCCCCGGTTCGAGTGTGCCCGCGCGCTCTCCGGGTCGAGGATCCCTCCAGTCTCAGCGTCTATGTTCCCGGCGTCAAAGAGTTCGTACAGCTCGTATCGCGGTTTTCGTCCGCCCGTAAGATATCGCCGCATACTGTCGAGCTCGCCGAAGCGTTCGGAAAACTTCACGTGTGCCAGGTCGTCTAAGCCTGTGTTTCTGAAGACGCACACGCCATACTAACGGAGCAAATCTTTTGTTAATAGAATGAATAGGGGCTATTTAGTATTAAGGGGTAAGTAATGTCCTGTTTACCTTGGCCATGGCAGCAATTATCTCCCCGAACTGTTCATCAGATAGGTCTTGGAAATTAACACCAGCGACTTCAGCCCCAAAAGTAGGATGTAACTCTTTGACCGTAATTGTCTTGAAAGGTGACTCTTGGATAAGTCCGGGCATGTTGTCGCTACTATTCCTGGTGATCTTGTTCGTAATTAGATGGCTTATACTACGTCTACATTAAGTCCCGAGATCTTGAGCCCGGATCTGATGTCAAAAGCATACCGTCATGACGGGAAGTAGGTATTTAAGAATTAAATACCCCTAATGCTGACACTCAATCGAATCATATACCTGCCGAAGGTAGGTCACAATCGCGAACAAGGAATCGTGCGGGGTATGCAACTGGCGGAAGAACCGCGCAGTCTCATGACATTGATATCTAAAGCTAACTCCTCGGATACACGTATTGAATCCCATGGAAGGGTTCAAATGGAAGATCGCCGTCTAGGTTCAGCGTTAACTTGAAGCATGGTAATGGCCTCTATCTAGTTGGAGATCTGATCGGGATCTGATCGAGAAGTCATAGTCCTATATTCATTGTGGGCTGTGGTTGTCACACTATAGCGGCACCTTCTTAACTACTATCCATATTGCTAATCACCCTTCGAATTAGAGGCGGTGGAGTTCTCTTATGTCGTTAAGGATTTAACGCCACCTATCTTTTAATTCGAAATCTAATGTGCTACCAGTTCTAGCCAACGATGAGGTCCCAATCTACAACCAACTGGTACAAGGAGATAGTTTAGGTGCCCAGCAATAATATAGCTTCCGAACTCCCCAAGTTCATTTGACTTATACCAAACTCTACGTTGCTCTAAAAGCATAACGGCAATCTTATAGACTTCGCAAGTCTTCTTCGAGTGTTAGTCACAAAGCACGCGGAACTAGTTTTACATCATATTATTTTAATACAACCGCAGTCGTTGCTCCTACTGTTAAAGTAGTTAACCCTTAATTTACTACAGGCCATAAAAGCGGCCGTCCTAATATAGGTGTAGGCTATGTGGCTTGATATACCATGCCACTACCTAAAATAAAGCAATGCACTCATCCTCTTACGCCCCTTTAGGCATTTTTCTTTATGTCAATACCTTACTTGGTCAATTATAGGAGGTGGCTAGAGGTGGCTTCGTCGTACGGGGTACGGCTTAGACGTGAGAAGTCAAAGGTTCATATTCCCTTGCACCAAATAGAGATATAAGAAGTCTTATAACAAGATACTAGCACCTGCCGCATTCGAAGGGGGTGATTCCGCACTTACTACAGTCACGGTCTGCACGAAGTTATTATATGGTTATGTATAGGTTGCCCCGCTGACCGGGCTTTTTGATGTTGCCGGCGATATTAGACGTCGTGGCTGTCCCATTGGGCGGGAACTCCCGGGGCTCATAGAACACGGCGGGGTCATATTTGCTAGTGAGGGAATGCGCCTTACCCGGACACTGCCCGGACTGCCAGATATGTCAGGCACCTAAGGTAGTGGAATGGTCTTGAAATGACATGCCTTGTAGGTTCGGTCTTAGATACTATGCATGATTTACTACAAGCCAAAGCCGAGGTCTGTTCCTCTTGGCAACATGAGATCTTGATTTTATTCCTGAATGCCCAGAACTACATTAATCTCCAGACTTCCGCTCGCTACAAGCCATTGTCACGATTATCGATAAAGCGATGCTTACCTACCTGCCTATCTAGGTAGGCAGGTTGGCATTTAGTTACAATTGTATTTATTGCCGCAAGTTCTTTGTATTAACTATACCCTCTCGGTATCTGGAGCCCCCTTGAACTGCGGGCTGCAGCACTTGGCAATTAGTGATTCGCAATTTGCGCGTCAATCACAGCATATAATCATATAAAAGGCCCCTAAAGTAGGCCGCTTTTACGACTATGGTACCATCCTCTTCCCTACCTTCTTCCACGGGCCTTGGACTTAGATTTGAACTCATCCCCCGAGTCGCTGGTATCAATAATTAGAACATCCTGTCTAATTAACCAGCAACCAAACAATGAAGCTGGCTCCATGGCTTATCGTAGGGGCGACGCTCCTACGCTCTATACTAGCCATTGAACCAGCTCGCCAACCGCATCAACCAACCGGAAATGGCAATAAAATTCTGACATGGAACGAAACGATGGTCAATAACCAGTTCGGTGCTAAGTCCACGTCAGTGAGCTGGTTGTCTGGTGGTGAAGATGGACAATACATTTATGCTGGCGATGGTGGCGCATTGATCCTTGAGAATTTTGTCACCGGCGAAAGTTCAACCTTCGTCGGGGCCGAACTGATTCCGGACGACGTAGCCCAATACTGGATCCGTCCCGACCTCGCCAAGGTCCTCTTCGCAACTAACTATACAAAGCAGTATCGCCACTCGTATTTCGCCGACTACACCGTCCTCGATGTAGCGTCGGGCGAACTTACGCCTTTGGTTGAAGATCAGGTTGGAGATATTCAATATGCTGAGTTTGCTCCAGCGGGAGATGCGATCGCCTTTGTTCGTGGCAACAACTTATTCTTGAAGAAGAACGGTACTATTTCCCAGATTACGAACGATGGTTCTCCGGATCTTTTCAACGGTGTGCCAGATTGGGTATATGAGGAAGAAATACTTGGCGACCGCTCTGCAATTTGGTTTTCCCCCGACGGCGAGGTTCTTGCATACCTCAGCTTCAACGAAACCGGAGTTGAGACCTTTACAGTGCAGTACTTCATGGACAACCAAGACATAGCTCCCGTCTATCCCCGACTTCTGGATCTGAGATATCCCAAAGTTGGCACAACGAATCCAACAGTGTCCTTGACACTTCTGAAGATTGGCAGTGAAGAGAAATTGGCCGTTCCGGTCGATGCATTTCCTGCGGATGATTTGGTCATCGGCGAAGTTGCCTGGGTTACGTCTGAGCATAGTAGTGTTATTTACCGCGCTTTCAATCGCGTGCAGGATACCTCGAAGCACGTCCGTGTTGATGTAGGCGATACCATCACCACCAAAGTTGTTCGTGAACGAGACGGTACAGACGGCTGGCTGGATAATGACATAGGGATCCAATTCGTCGGGTCTATAAATGGTTCTGCGGGAGAATACTATATCGATATTTCTGACGAATCCGGTTGGCAACATATTTATCTGTACGCTGTCGACGGTTCAAGCGCTACCCCTCTCACTGAGGGTGAGTGGGAGGTCACAGCTGTCCTTAAGGTTGATAGCAAGCGCGAGTTGGTCTACTATACGTCTACCCAAGCCGATAGCACTGAGAGACATGTGTACTCGGTTTCATACTCTACTCTGAAATCGGAGTCGCTTGTTGACCCTAAGATACCTGCAGTCTGGAGCGCATCATTTTCTTCTGGCGGCGGGTATTATATCCTTAGCTATGCGGGGCCTGATGTACCTTACCAGGAGCTGTACGCCATCAATGACACACACACACCCCTCCGTACCATCACCTCGAACGACGCTCTTTGGAACAAAATCCAAGGATATAACCTACCGAACATTACATATTTCACACTGGAACATCCAGACGGATATAGTTTGAACGTCATGGAACGACTTCCACCTAATTTTGATCCCACCAAGAAATACCCCGTTCTCTTCACACCCTACGGTGGACCTGGCTCACAGGAAGTGTTGAAGTCGTTCGAGTCTGTCGGGTGGAATGCATACATCTCATCGGACCCGGAGCTTGAATATGTCCAGTATACGGTCGATAACCGCGGAACGGGCTACAAAGGCCGACAGTTTCGCGCTCTCGTCGCGTCTCATTTGGGTGAGTTCGAGGCGGCAGACCAAATATGGGCAGCGCAAGAATTAGCTTCCCGAAACTCCTTCATCGATGCAGAGAAGGTTGGGATCTTCGGGTGGTCTTTCGGAGGATATTTATCGGCAAAGGTAGTGGAGGCGGATTCAGGAGTCTTTACCCTAGGCTTAATCGTCGCGCCAGTCACCGACTGGCGATTCTACGACAGCATGTACACGGAACGCTATATGAAGACATCGCAAATGAACCCAGACGGATATAACAAGACGGCAATACGCAAGCCAGACGGGTTTAAGAATATTGCTGGCGGGTTTTCTATACTGCACGGGCTTGGTGACGACAACGTGCATTACCAGAACACGGCGGCTCTTCTTGACCTTCTCGTCGGGGCTGGCGTGTCGCCTGCTAAGATGCAATGGAGAGTGTTCACGGATAGCGATCATGGTATCTCGTACCATGGCGCATCAACATATCTGTACAAATTCTTAACAGAATTGCTGTTCAAGGAGAAGACACGAACGAGCCAGGGTCTCACACACCAGTGGGCAAGGAGGTCAAAGTCGCAGGTCCTAAATGGGCGATGAACTTTTGCTACAAGTCTAAAATAATTGTTTGCTTTAATTAAGGGAATACCAATAAGCATCAATAGCTACCCAACCACCTAGACAAATATAGTGCTCTCCGATATCTGTTCCGGTCCGTCGAATTGCAAGTTGAAGCCCCATATTTTCTCCTATACTCAACCTACGGCAAGGGATATGAGTTAGATATTGACAGACACACCACTGAGCCAAAAGTGCATTTCTTAATAGCACAATTGCTATTACAGTCTATCTGACATGAGTGGTATTACCACTCACAGATATGACCCATTCAACCCTTAATGTGGCGAGGAAAAGCTCTTCTGACAGTAGCGCTTTAGGATTGGAACGAGATATTTTAAAACTGCCTAGATATACTTTGGGTAGGTAGATATATACTACATATCGAGGTTGTTATAGTCAAGTTGATGATGCTAGTCTCGTTCCTCTCCTATTTTCCCGGCTATTATGTAGGTATGTATCGTGTCACAATTAATATTCGCCCCAGGAGGACAGTAAAATAGGTAATGCGATGAATAAGGGGCATGAGTTAACGATGTATTGTGGCGGTTTATATGAAAAGGCTGAGCCGGAAGTGTTAGAATCGGTAGAATAGGGGACGAAAGAAGCATGGATGAAAAAAAGTAGAGACTACACTAGAAGCACCCATAATGTTCTCAAGGTGAATTAGATTGGTAGTTTATATAGTTCATAACGTATTAGATATCCTGTTAATTATATATAAAATGCGTTGAGGACTACCTGCACCATTCCAAAAGTATGGCCCTATCAGACTTGCGATCATAGCGCATCGCTGTTCGGGGGTGTATTTTCTTGTGAAGCCCGGCCTAAGAAGCCTAGGATATTGCTAAGCCGAGTTTCGCGGTGCTCATAAACGAAATGCCACTGCTTCAGGCATAGGATTCATATACTTCGGTGATATAGTCTGTAGTTCAACTGTTCGTATTTTGTTTCTGGTATTCCAATGGTAAATCCATGCCGACCCGACGCGCCGTCAGCCTCACGCGCTCTTCCTCGTCCATGTTCATGCCGGGGTTATATCTCTCCAGAAGGGTCGTATACTGCCTCTGCGCCTTGAGATACTGTACTAGCTGATCGGCTTGGGCAACGGCATGCTCGTGAGGTGCGGGTTCGGAGAAGCTTTGTCTTAAACGTTGGTGTAGGGGCGAACGGGCTTGTGCAGAAGATGGTGACGAGGGGGAGGGGGCTGGTCTGGGAGGGAGTTCTCGAAGGAGTGATCGGTAGAGAGAGCGTAGCTGCGACGGCTTCGACATGGCGACAAGCTGGATATTTGGTAGCGCAATAAGAAAGTCTCCGCTTCTTAGAGATAAGCTTCAGTTGATGGAGGTGGTTGTTCTAGATCGTGCTAATGCGAAATGCAAAATGTGAGATGCGGGATGCTGCGGGATGATGCGGGATGAATGTTTATTGGAGGTAGCTAGCTGTAGTAGCAGGGGGACGTGGGGAACTTTTTTGTTTAAATACCTGAGGTACCTAACCTATGCTGCTTGGTTCTTCGTAGTGCGGTGCGATAAGATCGATAAGATAATGCAAAGTACCTAACCTAAGGTACCTACCCACCAAAGTAGGTACCTCTATGTACCTAACCCACTATGCACTTTGAAAGTGGGGGGTGGGGGTCTTCTTATTGCCGTCGCATTTTAAAGTATAGATTTTTTTTTTCTCGCTCTCGGAATTTTTCTGTGGATGCGCTGCCGTTGCAATCCATTGCGCTCCTACACTCCCGACATATACACGGGTTCTATTCAATGTTCAATCCCGTCGTCATGTAACTACATCCTTCTAGTCAATAGTGCTAGCATCTAGGGATTTTTCATAATGTCGTTCTCGAACCGGCTTAATACCTTTCTGACGATGCCGCCCTCCCTGCGACTTGCGATGATCGGTGCACCTGCACGAGTGCGACCAAGGCAATTGAGCCTACCCTTAAAGGTCTATAGATCAACTGCTGCTTGGAATCATGCTGAAGCCGCGGCTTTCTGCATCCCTGAGCTCCGACAGGGTTCTATCGCCAGTGTGTCGTTCGACACACTTTGTGAAGCGTCCCGCATACGATCAGCTCCCGATGAGCCTCTCCTCTCCGGATTAAGTACGCTTTTCACCAAGAACCCTGCTACGTTCCAATATGGAGAGACAGATTTCTATAAGCTGAAGAAGAATACCCTCTTACCCGAAGTCTGTGTCCTCGGCCGATCCAATGTCGGCAAGTCGTCTTTCGTCAATGCCCTTGCTGGCCGAAATCAACGAAGCCAAAATCCGCTGGCACGCATTAGCAAACACGCTGGGAAAACTAGGGAGATGAATACGTATGGATTTGGGCCCGCACCACTACCCAAAGATATTCTCGCTTGGTCTGCCGAAGTTAAAGGCCAAGAAGATATGCCGACCCGCACCTTTTACCTTGTTGATATGCCCGGATACGGACACGCATCTCTGGAAGGTTGGGGGCGTAATATCACGCTATACTTGACCAAGAGGGTAGGCGTGAAAGGAGCGATCATACTTATTGATGCCGAAGTAGGGCCCAAGGAGACAGATTTACAGTGCTTGCGATTACTGAGCTCCGCAAACATGAGAACTTGCATTGTTCTCACTAAAGCAGACAAGGTCAAAGGTGGCCTATCCGCTCTTCATGATTTGTGTGCCGAGCTACGCGACCATATAGTCCAAATCGAAAAATCGCAGCAGAATTATGATTGGAATCTGGAGAGAGAAGTATTTGTTACTGCTCTCGGGGCAAAAGACCCTACCATCGTACAAGCAACAGTATCACCTGCGAGATTAGCTGTAGCACGCCTAGCGGGCTTGGTAGAAAATAACCGACCAGAACCAGAGAAAAATAAGAAATGGTCCGGAAAGATTATCTCGTTTGAAGACCTACAGTATGCGCCAAAGGATACCACAGCCAAGCAGGTCTATCATCCTGCTCCCACTCCATCAGAATGGGCTACGCAGAAGGGGTATGAGGCTCACCATGGGATTAGACTAGGCGTCTTCGACCCTTTGCATTCCAGGATGGTCACCCAACCCCAGGTTCGGAATTTCCATAGCGATAGCCGACGTATGAAAGGCCACGGACAATCAAGTAAAAAATCTCGTTTCTATGAACAGGAGATGAATGACGTCCTAGACGACTTTATAAATGAGATGAAAGCTACGACCACAACCAGCCACTACGTCCGAAACATGCGGCGGAAGAATAATAGACGCCTACCCCAACCTCCTGAAAAGCGGAACCTCCTAGATAGGAAGGAAAACAAAATAGAAAAGGCTCTGAGGAAGCGCTTTCCCGACGATGTTGCTAGGACACTTGCAGTACGCGAGGAGAGGACATCGGGGCGGAGACAAGAGCAGGGAAGAAAGAAAAGGCAGACCGAGGAGGAGGAGGAAGAATGGCCCAGCACATCTCCTGTACGGAAGCGCGACGATAGCAACCTTCTGACCCCGGACGCATTCAAAGCTCTCGTGACGGGACCGGAGCCAACTAAAACAGGGAACCAAAATAACAAAAAGAACCCTGGCAAGAAAAATTCAAAAGGAAATAAAAAGGAAGAGCCGGTGGATGAGTTTGAAGCTAAGTTCGCGAGGGCATTTTCAAAAATCCAATAGGCAGGTGTGGCATAGTGGTGCTTATGTATAAACAAAAGCAAAAAAGCAAAATCAGGACTAGGTTTGGACTCGAGCATAGAGACATGCGGGCAATCTAGCTACGAGGTCAGCAATGTTATCACACATGATGTATTCTTATGGCCACGTGTATACATATATCCAAGGATATACTTGTATACTCAACACAATTGTTGATTGCATTCAACTAGATTTTACATTGTATCAATATGAATAGGTTTGGTTAGGTTAGGTAGTTAAGTAGCAGCAGCTACCAAATTCGATGCTCGAGAAGCCTTGGGCGGTTTCCTCGTCCGTCTCTTTCCCCTCTCCAGATCTGTCTCCGAGATATCCCCTCGTCGAAACGAGTGATTGGGAACGAAGACGTCAACTAGATTATCCCGAAAACCAAGGTCGTATAAGTTCTCAACATCCCGCAGGCGCCATACGCGTTCCCACTCGCCGACACCCGGAGGTATATTCGGATCCGGTGGCGTGCCGTCCTCGGTGCGGACGATCACTTGAACTGCATCGACGGGCCATCGTGTCCAGGCTGCTTCGTAACGCAGATTCTTAATCCGGCCGGGGGGCAGGGAGCGCTTGAATGCGCACCCATCGTCCATCTCCATTTGCCAGTCTTGCCATTTCATGCTCTCGTTAGTAGTCGTGCCGCAGTAAATAAGGTAGACGTGGTATCCAAGGAGACCCCACACCAGGGGCGTTGTCATCAGCGCTAATAGAGTCACGGATCCTACGCCTACGTCATCCTGAATGCCCGTTGTCAGAACCATCAGGTACTGGTGCCAAGACCACGTGGAGGGTTTCGGAAACAGCACGAACGACGCGTTACGCGTACGGGCCGCGTCGGCGATTACTCCGAGGCCAAGCACGCCGCCGTACAGCGTTAAAATGGCGGTCGAAAGGAGCAGAAGTATAAAGTAATGCTGGTTGCCGTAGCCGACGCAGTTGTTGATGAAGACGCAGTGGTGGTCCATCTTGTGAACGCAGCGCTTGCAGACGGAACAGTGCTTCGAGCGCGCGGGCTTCAGCAGATCGCACGTGCGGCACGTCTGGCCCGGACGGAAGAGCGCGAAGTCGTACGGATAATGCGACATGTAACGGGAGTGGTTGGCGGGGGTGATGACCCCCGGGTCGCCAGCCGCGGAGAGGTATAAGAACAGGTAGGGCAAGATAATAAATATGCTGCCCAAGGTCTTATGCAAGAAGTTCAATCGCGGCCACACCCCTGGTAAGTACATAAACTCACCCACGAACAGCAGCAACAGGAAGAAGATGAGCACCGTGGGATGCCTGTCGTACATGACATACGTGCCAAATCTACCCAGTGCCGTAGTGAGGCGGCCTGAGGTGAGCCGCTGATCAAGGCTCAAAACGGTATTTGGTATATACACCCATATCGCGCGGTGCAACCAGGTTATTGGAGTATGCCTATGCGATAATAGTTAGTAAATAGGTATAAACCGTAGTTATTAGGCGACATGTATTTAGACGACATGTATAATAATAAGCTGGTCCGTGGGCAGCGCTCATACCTCAAAGCCGGCAGCCTACCGAAAAATGCGACAAAGACCATGAAAGAAATGGCGAGAATGACCAGGGAGATCCTGGTGAGGGGTCCCATCGTCACGGACCAGAAATCAGAGAGATACTAGATAGAAAAGGGAGTGTTTCGAACTGGATCATGGCCAAGTCATCAGATACAGAAACAGGCGCAGGTGCAGACTCATTTCATAAGGCTGATATAATTCGTAAAATGCTGATGATATAAAGGTCACGAGAATTATTTAAGGCTTTTAAAACCTGCTTTTATTATAACGAAGGGAATAAATAAGATGAAGTGAAATATGTTTATATAGGTATTTGTTCTTGTCAATTTTTGGTCAGAGGCGTACACAATCGTCAGCTGGTACGAGGATGACTTCTAATAAAAAAGATGCTTGGGACGGTACTTTGGTATGTACCTGGGTGCCTAAATCGTGTAGGTACTTACCTAAGAGTAAATTCAAATTTCTATTGGACAGTTATCTGAGGCGGTGCTCTAGTCATTCAGCCGCTTCTGCCGAAACAAGCTGAGGCTGTTTATTCATTAACTCGGTAACCCCCCAAACAGGCATAAAACTTAAACCCCGCATGATTATCCCCTTTCAATAATATACCTGGGCAGCTGGGAAATCGCGATCGCATCACGCGTCTTTTGAAACTCTATTCACGGGACATTTCATAAAAACTTTGAGCCTGACCCTGTTTAACACCACAAACGAAATAACACAATAAAAAGGTCCTTCCACCAAATTTTACATCTCATCATCTCTCATTCTTTCATCCTCGTTTTGAGATTCCATTCTCTCATCAAATGCGCCTAACGTCACCTGACGAAGTTCGCTATGAGAGTCAACCCCCTGGAAGTTATCAAAATAACAAGATTACGAACTGATAGTATTTAATAATTTTCCTGGACGGATATTGATTATTTATCAAAAGCCTATTCAACTAAATCGTGTCTAAACTCGGATTTTACAGACCGTTCTGCCATAGGAGGTACCTATCTTCTATATTTTACCTGCTAAACAATTTCCGAATTTCGGAGAATTGAGTGAGAGTTAGTCGGATGTCCACCTCTATTGTTTACGAAGGGGACTTGGTCTCCAAGCTGCCATCCCAACATGGCTTATTTAAAAACATGCATTTCTGGGTAGGGCATCGTGTGCCATCGCGAGTTCGCTACATTCAAATGATTCAGGTAGGAAGATCCCCTTATCAATCGTGAAGCTACCGCTTCTTACACTAAAATCATCTAGAACAATGGAGGCAAGATTGTTCCTCTTGAGAAGAGGGCCGATTACTTGATCTCCGACCACCTAAAAAAGCATGATTGTCCACCCGGGTCATATTCATATAAGTGGATTGAGGATTCTTGTAAAGAGGGCGTTTTGAAGGACCCTGAAGAGTACTTATGTGTGCCCGCTCAACGGAGTGCAAAACAACCCTCCGGTTCGGCCGTCTCCGTCTCCGTCCCCGTGAAAAGCACAAGGACGAAATTTACTGCTGAGGATGACCGGATTTTAAGGGAATGGGTCGCTATCAATGAAAGAAAAGGTGAAAGAGTGCTTGGAAATGAAATCTATAAAGCCCTCGAAGCTGAGGTAGGCCTTTATTAAATTCACCGTCCCCTTGCATGTTAGCAGTAAGCTGAACAGATTAGTATCCACATCATACTTTCCAGTCATGGCGAGACCGGTGGGTCAAGAAGTTACAATATCAGCCTCCGCTCCACGAGCCTCGTAGAACGCCATCTCCCCCTCCAACTAGGCGAACAGCTGAGAGTTCAGTCCATGCTCCCCCAAAGACTCCTGGATCCCTTGGGAGGCGTGTGCCAGCTCGGGGTGTTGCCACCATCGAGGGGCGAGCTAAGTTTACTGAAGAGGACGACGAGCTGCTCATGCAACATATGGCGGAATACATACGCCACGGCAAGCCGACTCAAGGAATAAAGCCTTTTCGCGAGCTTGCTCATGACGTAAGTCCCGCATTATACCCACGTTACTTCCTACTAATCCGATCCAGTTCCCGCAACATACGGAACAATCATGGAGGAGCCGCTGGGTTCAGCAGCTTGAGCCAAAATGGAGGAAGCAAATTGCTCGAGAGAAGCTCGAAAGAGAACCGGAAGAAGTATCAGAAGAGGAACCAGAAGAGGGACCAGAAGAGGAACACGAAGATACATCAGAAACGGGACAGGACACCAGAATGGGAATAGAAAAGCCTCATGAAGTATCGATACCGCAGGACAGGCCGCGGATACACAGCTCGTCGCGTTCCGCTAATAAAGCATCGACAGCAGCTAATAATAACCTCGTCGGTGATAAAATCAAAGACCGCCGGGATGATGACGCCGAGTTCCAGGCAACATCACAAGCCTCTGTACAGGAACCAGCAGAAATGGCGGCCGACTCTGAACAAACGTTTCCTGATGAACCATCTATGAAGGAGCAATTCCTTCGTGACTACCAGGCATATTTGGAAAGCAAAGGACATCGATTAATACCATGGCTCACGATAAAAGGACGTACTTTTGACGTTTGGAGCTTATGGTCAGCCGTAGCCTCTCAGAACATGGATCCCAGTGAGCGCGACTGGCAGCAAATTGCAGAGGAACTCGGATTCGACTGGGTTCAACATGAAACTGTTCATGATGAGATACGAAAATGTTACGAAGAATATCTGGCCGAGTTTGAAGAAATGTGGGAGAGTTTTAATGCTGATGCAGAGAGTGGTAGCGAGGACGATGAAGATGACAATGACGATGAAGACGGAGATGAAGAAGCTGAATTAAGTACCGAAGAGCCTTTACCTTTATTGTCGATCATTCCGTCTCGGAAACGGCCATTTGATGCGCAACACTCGCTGTCAGATCATGCGTATCCCGAGCCGTCACCCAAGCGACGAAAAATTGATCGAGGCACCGAAATTCCTTCTACTCCTGATCATAAGAACCGGACATCTAATCAGCGCTCCCAAGATAGTAATGAAACACCACTTGGCGTTAGACGGTCCACCAAGCGCGCTATGGACGATAGAACGGAAAAGAACAAGTCTCGAAATGCTGACCCTGAACTTCCGGTCTTCGAAACGCAGGGGAATTTTCATTTGGAGTCACAATATAATATTACCCCGTCACAGCAGCTTCATCAAGAGTCTGATGCAATCTCTCTAGATCTTGCAGGTGCATCACCTACGCCTAAGGCTAGGACTGGAGTTGCGAATGTAGGGAACACTACACCGAAAAGATTAATCCGAAACCCTTTCCAGGAGGATTCCGACGATGACGCGGTAGGAGTCACTACCACTAACCATAACAATGATACTTTTGCGAAAGTTGCTAGCACAAAAGCTAAACGCCGTTCTTTGCCAAACTCTTACGCTCAAAAGCCTTTAGCTACTATAGGTGCTTCTACTTCAGAGGCTCCTAGAGACCGTGCTGGACCCTCACGGCCGGAGCGAGTCCGACCTTCGCGTCGCTTAACCTCGCCCAAAGAAACGCCGGAAGACGTCATTGATCGTTTCTGTTCACTAGGGTATCCGAGGGAGATAGTGCTCCAAGCTCTACGGGCCACGACGTGGCGCCTTGGCGATGCTGGTCAGGTCATGGAAATACTGAAACGAGGCGAAGAGTTGCCACAGAGAACCCGCGGGGTTTGGACAGAGCGCGATGATGACGCGTTAAAGTTGGTAACATCGGACGAGCGTCAATTGAATGATAAGGAGAAGAGGAAGCGCGCAAGGGCCAAGGAGCGACTAGAGAAGAAACACGGGCTAGAATTGATGGAGCTTCGACGCAAGTACCTATGGGAAGTTGTGTGATACAGGGCAGTTCTCGTATACGGTATACTATGTCTGCACGTACCTGAGGTGCTTGACGTCAAGGTCTAGTCTGAGCATTAATATGAATACAAATGTACATGTCCACGAACATGAACTTAATACAAACTTAAATGGTGCTTTACGCTATTGGAGGGCGAAGACTAAACTTGGGAACCGGACACCCTATAGGTATCGGATTATAGTTGAGGCAACGTCAACTGGTGTTATTAAAGGAGACTACTATAAAGTTTAATGCTTCAAGCCTTCGCCTCCTACCTCTGAAAATATAAATATCTGGTTGCTTTCTTTCCTCTTTCCCCATCTGCCTCCCGTTGCCCCTTCTGCCTCCCCTTGATTCTCTAACCCTAGGATTTAAATTGCTTTCAATACTTTCTCCTATCCAACTTCCCAACACCTCCTAGTATCATCACAAGATATTGGATATTGATTTAACATATTAGTTCCGCACGAAATTATGGCGTCAACTTCGTCCCAACTACTGGACCTCTCAGCCGATGTGGTTTATGTTAATATATGCGGACTCCTTCTACCGAAGCGATTCCCACCTTATAAGACCTTTCGAGATTATCTTGACGCGTGCGAGTCTGCAAGAGATCTCATGAACTTGGGCCTAACTTGCAAATCACTCTACAGCCTCGTGGCGCCATTGCTAGCTAGATGCAAAGGGCATCCATACGACACTGGGTTTATGTCCTACGTATATAATATGATCACCGACCCAGATCTAGCAGCGCGTGAAACAACATTTAAGCTAGGTCCGTCTGATATAAATGGTCTGGTTCAAGATGTCCATCTAGATGCCGTTGAAAGACGGGCTCGAGATCTAGCGATTGCGTTACCTTCGTGGTTTCGCAGCGATCTTCAGCGGGAAAGAATTTCCCCTCTACAAGACACAGCTACGCGTCATGATTCGCGCGCGCAGCTTACGTTTATATTGCTTATGACGTTACCTAACTTAACGTCTCTGACAACGTATGCTACTTGGCCGCCATCTATACCACGAACTCTGCCACTGCCCTCGTTTCCTTCTTTAAGGCACTTGAAGCTAGTAGGATACGACAACATTTCCCACAACAACATATCCGCTAGCACGGACATAGTACAGTTTCGACATACCATCAGCTTCGCGCCGAACCTCAATGTTTTCGAGACTGTTAACATGACTTGTTGCACTGAATCACTTCACCTACCGAAGGCTGACACCATACGAATGCTATCGTGCCGGCTCATGCGCAGGGGGTGGATCAACGGGATGATCAACGTACTCAGACACTGCTCGCCTCTCCTGAAAACCTTTATCTACCGCTCGGGGCACTACGACATCTATCTGCAACGTGCTGTGCCCGGAGTAAACGATCGGGGGCGACGAATTGGCGATATCAGCCCGCAGAACGTCGTGGACGCCCTGGTCAAGACGAGAATGTCGGCGTTCATAGAGACGCTCGAGATCGACATGCGCGAGTGGTTCATCAATGACCCCGACACCGAATACGTGCACAACTTACACGCGCACCGCAGCTACAAATTCATCGGATACCTGAGCCGCTTCACCTCCCTCCGGACCCTAACCCTCACCCAGCAGACCCTGTGGGAGAACTGGTACGACAACTATCCCGCCTTGGAGGGTTGCAAATCCTTCAACGACCCGATGCGCCTGGTCGAGCTGCTGCCCACCTTTCTCGAGACGTTCGCCCTGTACGACGTCACGGCGAGCTTCCTGGGCTGCATCATGAAGCTGGTGGAGCACGTGGGCCCCTTCAAGACCTTCCCCAACCTCAAGAAATTGATCCTGCGGCCGTCGCCCGGTCTCGTCCGAGAGTTCGCGCACGTGCGAGGACACCGGGACGGCCCGCCGCCGCCGTGCTCGAACGGCGAGCCCGACTCCTGCGGCGTCGACCGGGAGATCCTGTCGCGCTGGGCCCAGCTCATAACGGCCTTCGAGATGAAGGGGGTGGTCGTCGATTCCGAACCCGAGGCGCACCCGCTGGATACCGAGGACAAGGATGCCCTGCGCCGGCAGCGGGAGCTGCAGCATTGGTGCGAGGAGTGCCACTACGATTCGGCCGTCTGCGTGAAGCGGACGAAGTGGCATTGCGTTTACCCGGAGTAAAGCCCCCTACGACATGCAGGGTGCGATATTTGAGATTGGGCGGCTTGGATTGGTGATATGTGGGAGAGTAATTGGACGGACATCTTGAATTTGTGGGAGTGGAGGAGTTGGCCAGGCAATAATACCGAGATTGTTTTAAGTCGGTGTTGTGGATTTCGGGCAGGATCCGGTTTCGAATGGTTTTGATACCCGGTTTAAGCATCAAGGCGGATAAAAGTTTTACGATACCAATTCCATCTGGGACAGAGGTTTTGTTTTTTTGGCTTATATAGGTACCTACGGCGGACAAAACGGCACTGTTGTTTACGCGGATTACGACCTGCTGAAGGGGGTACGACATTCAAAATAGGACGGATACATTGATATGTGGAAGAGCTGGACGTATGGAAATTCCGAGATTTGTTTATGTGGATATTAGGGATTTCGAAAGGTTTATATACGGAAGAGGGCAAACGGTTCATGATATCGACTCCGTTTGGGAGGGTTTGTGGGAATGCGTTGTGATCCTATACCGGAGGTACACAATGTAATGGGACGAAGTAAATAAGGAGGAAAACCCGTTGTTGAATAGATGTACAAAGCCATGTCCTACCCGACTTCAAATGCTAAAGTTATATTGCAACATATCAGTATCACTAGAGGGTGCCTAGGAATCTGTGAATGTTGCTTTCCGGGATCTTTGCCAAGGCTGACTCTTATTACCAAGAGTGCATCAGAGTATGAGATGGGCATCAACTAGACTCGTCGTGTTTCCTTTATGATAACTTACCTTGTGTATCTTAACTATGAGTATTAAAGGCTTCCTAGAGGAACATCCTAGAAGATGTAATGAGTTAGGTATTCATTAACATCCCATATGAGGTAACCTACCCAGGCAGACTTTAAACGCCTTTGTAATGTGACAATACATCAATTCCAGTCTAGGTGTCGACAAGAATCTTCTAGTTCCAGTGCTGAGGACTGAATAGTCTATAGATGTAAGAAGCGAGATTCTATTTATCCCCCCTTACTGCAAGATTGAGTATATTTACCGGCGTAACTCATGTTATTGGAAGTTTACTTTACCCAGTCGTCAATCCGTGGGCTGCGATCTGAAAATTGCATACACAGCATCCTCCATGTCTCAATCCTTTAAGCCGTGGCCATCATGCGTGTGGGGAGACGACGATCTGAATCCCCTAGATTTACAGGATCAGGATCTGAACGACATAGCAGCGGTGCTCAAAGCCCTAGCAAAAGGTACCTACCCGCGTCTGGACGCATTACCTACCGCGCTCAATGTCTATAACTGCAACCGGAAACTTGGCGACGAGAACAAGGACCTGCCGTGGGCGTTCTTCCATCCGATTACCGTTATTCCGCCTGCCAAGCCTGGGACGAGTGACTCGCTACCAACGTACCCTGTTATCCAGCTTGATGTTAATATACTGGAGGACTTGAACAAGCGGTGGCAGCCCATACGGTACGGGAAAGAAAATGATAGTAATAACAGCAGCCAACTGTCGGATGCTGTTTCTGGTCCTTTGGGGCGGTTTCGATTCTTGTGCTTCATACACAAGCATCGGATCGATCGAAAGAACAATCCCCAGAAGGGCGTGCATACGATCAGTATCTGGGATCGTGAGGTATGATGATAGGCTCTCTCTTTATGTACCTCCTGCGAATGACTACGCCCAGCTACTAAGTACCTGGTGTTGTTTCTATGTGTCTCTTGCTGACTGGTGAGTAGTGGGATGAACTCACCTGGCACGACACGTACCACGTAGACAGGGAAGCGCGCAGGAAAGATATCAAGCAATTCTGGAAGCATACTTGGTCTTCGGGGTTCTTCAACGGAACATATTCCCAAGAGGAGTTTATGGGTCGGATTCGCTACCGGACTGTGTACCACATTTGCGAGCATATCGAAGATACGCTGAGGGGAGCTGGTGAGTGTGTTCAGATCCCTTTTCTCTTTTTTTTTTTTTTTTTTTTTTTTTCAAGAAGAACATTGCTAATGTAGCCACTCCCTACCTGGCGCAGTTCCCCCACGGCACACAATTTACGCCGTCATGAGCGTTGCGCTCTTCCACATGAACAACGCGAGGGACCCGCAGGTCTCCATCGTGCCGGACCGGCTCGAGCTATTCGGAGGGCAGTACAAGGGCCTGCTGCCGCGGTTTTTCGCGCATACCTTGTGGTTATGCCTGGATGCACAGCCGCAGTGGAACCGCGGGCGCCAGGTCCTCTTCGTAAAGCAGTTTCGTATCGTCGAGCGGCTGCGGTGGATGAGGTTGCGCGCGCGTGAGTATCTAGAGCTCTACCAGAGAGATAGCGATCATCGGGATGGAGTTGACAGTGAGGATGAGGTCGGGCGGAAGTGGATGTACGATGTTTTGAATATGTGATGGTTTGGTCGGCACATTCGGACGAGTAATAGTTGAGTAAGAGTTTGATACTATGTATGCCGATTGACATTGGGTATTACTTCACCTGCACTCATACCAGGTAAGATTAACCGATGGCCGCATTGACGCAGGAATTGTTAGCATAACCTTCTTTCTGAGGTACAAGCAATAGCCAGACCAGGAAAAGAACGTTAACACGATTTTGGGTTGGGCGCAATGATATGGCCCATGGTACAATTCATAGCCAAAACATGACTTGAGATCGCTGGCTTAACAGAATAAGAAAGACACGACAAGACGATAAAATCTGCTAGACAGCCTATATCCCGAAGTTCAAGTCCAACCCATAACAGGTACCTACCTAACCTACCTACAAAATCGTACTTCCTACCCAATCCATCCGTCCTAAAGTTTCCTTCGTGCCTCCTAGCTGCTTCGACTGCTACCGCTGCTCGAACTGCTGCTCCGGCTGTGGCTCTTGTGCTTCTTCTTGTCCTTCTTATGTTTCTTGTCCTTCTTGTGCATCTTGTTACCGGCATAGGCCAGCGCTGCAGCTGGAGCGAATGCCGAGGCCATACCTAGACCCCCGCTTCCTCCTCCGTGTCCGCCACTGTAACCCCCTCCGTGACCCCCTCCGTGCCCTTGAGAGGAACCGCCTAGGTAATGCGCGGCGGCTGCTGCGCCTATCGCTGCTAGCGGGGTGCCGCCGCCGTGTTTTCCTCCAAGTACGCCTCCTACTAACGACCCGAGTCCCCTATCGCCGGTGTTGGGGTCGTGCTGGTAGTCGCCGCCCTGTTGCCCGGGTGGGTATTGCTGATGTTGCTGGTGCGGTTGTTGTTGTTGTTGTTGTTGTTGTTGTTGTTGATGAGGAGGGTATTGGCCCGCAGTCGGGGGATACTGGTTCGGGTATCCCTGCGGCGGGTAACCTTGGCCTTGTGCCGAGCCCGAGCGATCATCGTATGGCGGTGGGCCGCCGGGGTAAGGGGAAGCGCTCCCGTGTGGCGGGGGTGCACCGTAGTGTTGTTGTTGTTGATGTTGTTGCGGCGGATACGGCGAGTACTGGCCCGGAGGTGGTGGTGACCCGTATGAATTAGGCGTATGCGACGGAGGCGGTGCGCCGTATTGTTGGCCACCGTACTGGTTGTTGTCGGGTGTCCATCCTTGAGACGGGTACTGGTTTGGAGGAGGACCTTGGCCTGGGTATTGTTGGTGTTGAGGATTGTAGCTTTGAGGAGAGTATTGGTTCTGGTGTGGTGGATAGCCACCACCACCGCTGCCGCCGCCGTAGTAGTCTTGGCTGGACATATTTGGCGCCAAGTAAGTTCTCTAGGATCTGAAATATCACACTGATGATGACACAACGACGTAGTTTTGTTCGTATTGCACAGAAGAAGACTAAGAGGATTAGAAAAAAGAATATCGGTCAGACGTCTGAGCGAATTCTTTTATATGGGCGTTTGTGAGGCCTCTTGCTGACGAGAAGGAATGAAAGGATGACGAGGGGTAAAAAAAGGAAAAAAATAATAAGGGGCAATACAAAGTACAGAACGTGATTAAGGGACTTTCAATTGGGACAAGGGGACTCTGTGTAACATTTACCTCCTAGTAATAACCCCTGTTAAATCGTGAGTTGCGACATGCCACCATCATCATAAACTAATACCCCGAAGCCCAGCCCCCTAAGCCAGTTCCTACGCCAGCCCCACGCTCCATAAATTGTGAGCTACTGTACCTAAGTAAGAGCGTATTAGTTAAAGTCGCTAGTCACCTATATATTCTTTTAAAACAGTTAATTATTATTTATTATTTTTAACTTATTACACGGCACTAAGCAATGTGAATTTTACCGTGTATCGCCATATCTCAGCCTTGTACGCGTCAGTGGTGTTGTATCGCGAATTATATTTCATCCCGAGGAAAAAAATGAGACAGTCGCGAGGTTAGTTAGAGCTAGCTACCTGTAGCCATTCCCGTTGAGACTTCGCTAATGTTTGATCTGCGCAGTTGGATGATGATGATATAGTACCAGGTACGAATATCTCAACTGATAGTGCACATGTTGAGATACCAAGGTAGGTTAACAAAGTCAAAGGAAAGAGATGATCACGATATTTGGCTACCTTTTATTTCTTTAATAACTGTCAGGGGTATCTTAAGAGGTAGGTAGGTACCTAACCTAAGGCACGGCACTTTGGTAGCCGTGTACTAGTGGTGCAGTGCGCCGGCGGCGTTCATGTTGAAAGCCAACACGATAACAGAATGAGTGTATCTGAAAAAGACAACAGCACTCTACCAGATCCTCCCATCATTAACGTAAACTCCAACATTAATAGGCCGGTATCCATGCAACTTGAAAATATCCAACGCGGCTCGAGCTTTCTTTATTTCTCTTCACGATTAAACGTCGCCTGTCTCCGCCAACTAAGAAATTCCCACACCGCAAGGATAGTAACGCCAAGCTGGATGAGGAACATCGCAATCAAGTTATACTGCCACCCCCTCATAACCCGTAGGTGGCTCTCTATATCGCCTCGCGCGTCGACTATGTCTAGCTGCAGCACAGCCGAAAACCAATTCTGCGGTGTCCAGTACGCCAACGGGTACTTGCTACCGTCTAAGCTCGTAGCCAATGCGACGTCAATGCTTTGCCCCTCGTGCGCATTCGTCACTGCAAACACGTATGCGAGCGCCCCGGTGGTCAGCATGAATGCCGGAATGTTGAGCGATACCCAGAGGTAATATACGGATCGTGCAAAGGTTCCTCGCCCGTCGTGTTTGTTCAGAGATAAATGCCGGAGCGCGAATGCCAGTATGCCGCCCAGTCCGACGATGACGAAGGCGGTTCCCGCGGCGCCGTTGCTCGTATGGCCTTGATCGGTCATGATATGTATCGGTTCGCCGGCTAGACGATATGTCGAGCCGTCATGATTGAAGGAAAATCCTTTGCTGGCTGTCCGGTGCAACCATGCGACCATGCTACTGACAAACGCCAATTCGATGGCCGAATCTACCATAAGCAACGCTATGGCGACTCTGAGAGCAAGTGTCAGTCTCGACATTTTTTATAAGCGCGCGTCTTCTCTAGCTTAGTGATGTTCCAGCTGTGAAAGGTGTTCGGGGACAACTTGGAAACGAGAAGATGGGAAACAAGGGAGAGATGAAAGAGACTAACTCGCCCTTTGAATGGGGGCGAGCCTTATCAACTTTATGATTGCTCGTCTTTCGTGAGATTAAAGCTCTCGATTAGGTACCTATGCTAGGGTTGACAAGGCCGGGGTGACCGGCAATGCGCAAGCGTTGCATACCTTTTTTTTCTATTTATGTGAGCTGAGAGTTGCTGGTCTCTTATTGGGGGCGATGAACGTATAAGATGACGATAAGAGGTTAGTCTCATCCAACACGATGGATCAACTGGTGGCTTTGTCGCATGCAGCATGCCAGCCTTGCTGCCAAGACACTACCGTCAGAATATAGCTTCGTGGTCTACGCTTTCCGGTGCGTCCTGAGGCTCTTTACTCCATGGCCGCATGGTAAGTGGATGCAAATCCCGAATCGTTGGCCCTTTTAGTATGTAGAGCCCGAAGTTCACTAGACAGTTAGGAGTACAATGCATGCGATCAACCGTTAAGAGGTTATCGACTGTTGTTCCACTACGCATTCGCCACCCATTGGACAGGACGATTGACGAGTAGACCAGGGGCATGTATGCATGTGACAAGGTTGCAGTAGTATAGCCGTATGATAGGCTATAACATATTGAATTGCATTTTATGTATGAATTATGGCACCAACACCAAGCAGGCTGTGGTGTCTTCGCATTTGAAAGCCTAAACGACGTGTCCAATCCATTCACTTCTCTTTGATAAGGATCTGTTTCTCCTTCTGTAAGTTCTCCGCTACCTCGAGCGGGATATTTAAAGCTGTAGCTACGATACCCGCCGGTGTTAACGCGAGCCACTGGGTCAAGGAGATATCCTCGACTCGGTCGCTCTTGTATATCTCAATCCAAACCAACTCATCGGTGTCTGAGGTGTTCTCGATGTAATGACCTTGGATAATTAGTTTGTCATAAAAGTCATAGGATTTAGGAATTAATCCTTACCGCTATTGTCCGGGAACACGCCGGTATCCCCTGCTCTAAAGTCAAATGTCCGAGCAGCAGCGCTGCCTATGAATACGGTCGCGCGCCCTTGGCCTTTATGGAAATAAAGCCATTCTTCAGCCTAAAGTCCGTATTAGCTAGGTGAGTAGGCACTAAACCGAAAAACCGAATATTGGGCCTACGTTTGGATGCCAGTGCAGCTCTCTTAGACCGCCGGGTTTAAGAGTGACAATACTGGCGGCTATTGTTGTCGCGATGGGAAATGTCCTCGAGTCAACAATGCGAAGCGTGCCACCCTCTCCTGGCACTTTTTCTAGGGGGTGGTCTTTCGAGTAGTAAGCGAATGAGGCATTACCAGTAAGTTCGCCATTGCCGCCAGTCACGTTGTGATTGTCAATAGTTCCGTTGACGATGTACGGGTTTGGTGACGGCACCGAACCGAAGACAGACTCAGGTAGTCCGAAGTTCTTGGCAAGAATCGATTTGGGAGTATGTGTGATCCAATCATCTACATTGAAGGTTGTCCTGGAGATTGTCAGTCTGGCTCAGTTAATCCTAGGTGCGAGGATGGCGGCTTACCCGACAGCATCGAAGTCACCGTCGTCAAATATTAAGAGGAATTCATTTTCCTCCTCAAGACCTTGGACAGTATGAGCCACACCCTTGGGGAAATACCAGACGTCTCCTTCGTCGAGCTTAGCAACTTCGAATTGACCATCTTGATTGACCCCTGAGACTAGGATCGACCCAGCGTAAACATATCCCCACTCGGCCTAAGATGGTGTTGTTAGCGAAGGGATATTTTATTTGGTGATTGTATTGCATACGACTCTATGCCAGTGAAGCTCACGGACCGAGCCCTTAGTCAAATGTTGCTGAGCAGACGAGATCTGCTTACTGCTAGGCAGATCTGTGACAACTTGCTCTCGAACCCAACCGCCCCTCAAGATTCTGGTCTTAGAGTCTGAGAAGCTCCACTTGAGGTTAGGAACAACGCCGTTGTCCGTGCTCTGCCGACCAAGATTGTCTGGGTTCTGAAGGTCAAGGGCATGATTTGTTCCGCCTAAGAATCTCATAGTTATTATAAGGGCTCAGAAAACGGGTAGGTAATGGATTGGGAGATACCTGAGAATGGAGCGCCCTTTCCATTACCATCGATAGGCTGGCCGTTTTCAAAGCCGCCCTGACTTTGACGCTCTATGACAGAGCCGCTGACACCCCATGCTGCGAGAAGTATGGAGGAAGTCTGAAGAGCCCTCATATTGGTTACCTACTAGCGCGTGGTAATAGAAATGAGAGCGCTGCAGGCCAGATGTAGCTCAGGAGATCATGCAGCGAGCATAAACTATTACTGGTTTATATACTTTTTTCTTAATATCCGGATCTCCATCCGGCAGGACATGTCGTTGCAATAGCCAAAATTTAGCTCCCTTCCTTGTCCACACCCAGCCAGGGGTATCGAGTCCATGATCATCAGGAAAACCATGCGGGCGTACCTACATCGCAGTACCAAGCGAGATAGACCCCGGAGATATTGATGAACTTGATGAGATTCCCGCGTGACGTTGCCTATTATCTATGTGCGGGGGCCTATAACCAGCCGCGTTCCTAAACGCACCATCTATATTAAAATAACGTCATGTCTTGGCAAGCTATCAATAGGGAATAAATGCTGCGTAATGTGATGAGCAATAACTCCAAGGTTACAGTATCAGGCACCGAATCTTGGACTACATATGCCCCTCGTGATCTAGTAATTGCCAGTGGCTGCTTGCGTCATTGTTTGGTTTTATTGTAGAATGGTAGTAGAAGATGACATGATGTTCATTGCTAGTAATTATATTTGACTAGCTAACTCAGGGGAAATGTAACATCTTGGTATTGAATCCGGAAAGAGGCAAGTAAGTGACATTATATGGTAGGATAAGAATTGCTGCTGTAGATATATACTTAGATAAACCAGGTAACTTCGTAGCATACCAGTTTCTCTCCCACTTTCACCTTTTGGGGACAGCATTACGTACAAAGTTAGAAGATGAAAGTAGCGTACGTGTATAGCAAGGCACCGATGGACGAAACGTATAATTCCAAATTTTGAAGACTAATTATTTGTTGTTAATAAAAGTTCCAAATAATTATACTCAAGTACACTTAGGTACCTAACCTAATCACTGGAATTATACAGCAACTAGGAGGAAAATCGAACGTGAACTGCATATATGATAGCTATTATTATTACTTGATGAAATCCACAAAGGCACCTAGACTTAGGTACCTGGTATGAGACAGTTGTCCCAGAATCCCAAATCTTAGGGCTATATGATTCTCTTTCTAACGATGAGGAACACAATATTCCGGTAGCTAATATCCAGACTATTAGAGTAGATGGCTCGGCACTGTACGAACTGAGTTTTATTAGAGCATCATAACTTTGGAAAATGCAGCTCATGACCTGGACTGGAATATACAATCCATGCAAGATTTCTCCTGTCGGTAGGTTGTTTAGCTTACCCGGGCTCTGGGAACTGCAGGTGAATAATACCGGATACCAGGTGCTTATTAGGGCTACTCAAGCTTCAGCCTTTATCATTACTGCTCGGGTGTCTGCAGGTACCTGTTATTGATTGGGATGGATGCTTCTTGTCTTCATCTCACGCTTCACTTGACAGGTCAAAAGTTTGTCGTAGCGGACATATGATATATCAGTGCTAAGCCTCTATATATGTATCCTCCCATGCGGACATATATACCCGCAGCAGATAGCTAGAGTGATATACCCCTTTAGCTCATACAGGCAATCTGTTGAGTTAATGTGAATTTAACAAAGGTACTTCAGTTAGGAGCAAAATATGTATCCAACCAAACGTTGAAGTGTAAGGCCGTTCCCGTTTATCAGACTGATATGTCTTATTTCAGTAAGAGCGAAACTTCCGATTGATCATCGCATATGAGGCCTATCAATTGCGTTGATAACAGAAGTAGGTGTCATCCGCGAGCGCATAGGTAGGCACATCTATTCTTCTCTCGATACCAGCCACTAGGCAAGCGTCCATGTAAATTAGGTTGTTCCTAACGGACCAATTTACACTTCCGTCCCTGGCCCTTGACAGATTCGCGGCATGTTGGCCTAATAACGGCTACTGGCCTCAATAAGTTCCCCGCATCTACAGCAATGATTCATTGGACATGAAAGCCTTGGAAGTAAACGGGAGGCAGCTTGTGTAGTACAACTGCTCAGATTCATTGGTGCCTGAGAGGCAACCATTTGAAGCAGGCTGAGTAGGTCGGGCCTCTTTAATGTCTTTAAGATAGCGGGGTTTTATCTCATCCTTCATCAGATCCTCAGACCCTTAGACCCCTCAGACCCTCAGATCTTCAGACCCCCAGATCTTCCTCATTCAGTTCCGCATCAAAGTCACCTAGCCCCCAATATTATATTCAACAATGTCGTCTAAAGTCGTAGCTAAGGTTTCGCTTTCGGATCTGCAGGGTCCAGATGTCCCACCCGTTGCTTCAATAACCGATGTCAAATACCTATCTTCCTACAACTGGATCGAATCACCCAAGCCTACTATCGCCGTCCCCGGCAGTCCACCGCTTTGGGCTGCTCCAAAGCTCCCTCAGAGGGTAAATAAAGATTCAGGTCTTATATACATTGCACAGAATGCGGCTCGCCACCCCGACAGTCCTCTTGAGCCCCTATTCCGTGCTATCTACGTAACGGACCCATCGTTTGACATTCGACCTATCGATATCGTGACCGACCGAAACAATATCCGCAAACTTCTGTCATTCGTTGACCCTACAGTAGCAAGAAATGGACTCGAAGAGTTCACTATCAACATCGAGGTTACCAAAAATACTGCAATATTCAGCCGCGACGAAACTGAAACTCAGGATATTATCGGCCCCAATGAGTTCAAGGGCTTCGGTCATGAATTCGAAAAGGCCTGTACAATCAACAAGATTGTCGGCAGTACTGGCCATCACAGGATTATATCGTACCGCTTTGGCGGACTAAACGTAATTGTTCGCCATGAAACAGACGGATACGTGGGTGCCACGGCGGGCCCGTCGTCTTCCGCTCGCAAGGCGCAGTCGCCTTCTGACCTGACGAGCGTATTCGATTCACTTTCTCTATCGCCGACCAATACCAATCTGGGCACAACCACCAAGGGCTCAAAGCTTATTGTTCAGCGAGACGGCCAAGCCGTGCCTCTCAGCTCGACCCTTGAAATCAAGACACGCGTGTCCCACAAGCCCCTCGAAATCCGTGAAGTTGCCGCACAGATCTGGGTGTCGCAGACCCCAAAGCTGGTGCGAGCTTACCATCAGCGCGGGGTGTTTAAAGTCCCGACGGTGGAAGATATTACCCCCCAGATCAAGAAATGGGAACAGGACAAGCAAGTGCACCTAAGAAAGCTAGCTTTGTTGATGCGCAGAATCGTCAACGTGGTGAAGAATTGTCGCGAGAGCGTGACGTTGAGGTACGACAGGCGGGAGAACAAGTTGATCCTGACGGAAGTACCGAGGAAGAAGATGCTCCCACAAGACCTGTATTTGAAGTGGGATGATGCTAGTTATACCAGAACGGCGGCTGGCGCAGGCGTCAAGCAAGAAGTGAAGGCCTAGGCGGATGGTATGTAGATGGTAGCAAGCTACACTGATCTGAAAGGATTTAGTTAGCACTCCCAACTCCGAGATCAGCAAGAGGTTAGGCGGGTATTTTTGAGAATCCTATCTGGTACCTACCTGCCTGTAATACCACATTCTCGCAGCGACATTGATGTCTTAGAATGGCTTCATGTTAGTAACGCAAGCATGGGGGCTATATAGGATCGAAATTGATGCATTTATTAAGCTATATGCAAGAACCGTGCTTCTAGACACGGTCCTTAGCCCAAGGATGTTGGCGGTCATATCCATCGCATAGAACCAGGTCGCGTTCTAAATCGCCATACTCCTCGTGTGTTTCGAAATGTGTGGTCCGTATTATGCCTCTGGGTAAAGGAGGTTGTATTGTTACATGGTCTTTAAGGTGTTCTATAGAATCGGAGTGCATCTTGCTCTGAGAGCCAATCGTCGTCAGCACCACGCCGCGATTGAAGTTGTTTATCCTTCGGTAATATGCATGCGATGAACTCGATGGTGGGTTATCCATCATACTTGGGCCTGGCCATTGTGGTATGCCGGCTCTAGAGCCTGAACGTCGAGTTATTCGATTTCCAAACAGATGCGGCGATGAAGTTAACCTTTTGAACACGGCAGTCTCCGACAGAATGCTCGCCACGCTGGGAGCGCCGAAAATAAGGAACATGCATGTCATCTCAGCTAGAGACCAGAGCATGACGGGAGCCGTACGGTATACTATATCATCCGACCTAGAGTAATTGAGTATCGCACGAAGACGCAACCCCGCTGAAGCACAACAGCTATAGTGTTTCCATGATGTTAGCATTTTCTCACCTCCTGATTCCAGAAATACCCAAAGGAAGAATATAAATGAAGAATAAGCCGAGCTTTTCATAAGGAGAAATCAAGTAAAAGTACAAATGAAAGGAGAAAAGGAGAAGTCTAGAAGAAATAACCGTCTGCACATACAAAACGCTTATGGCGAAGACGACTAAAATGCCGACTTTTCTTGTTGTTGAAATGTCTAAGCGCCAAACTACATGCAGTGGCAAAAGTAGAATCGTAATATCGGAGCAGAGACTCAACACAGCTGAGGCGATGCTGAGCGCAGTCGGGCTGACCGGACAGGTGCCACCGACGAATAATGGGTTCCAATTTTTCTCTACCGGAACGCAGGCGAGATTCATGAGAAAGAGAGTTAGGATATAGAATACGACATTCGCGCCCAGCACGACGTAACAGAACCAGAAAAAGTTATTTCGCACACCGTACGGGTTGAGCATTCGGATCCAATCCAGAAGAATGGCCGCCTTGATGGTCAGGACAGCACCGATGTAGAAGCTGCCGCTAAGGAATAGGGGGAAGAGGATACCCGACATATCCTCTAAGAAAACATCCCATTGGTGAACGAAGGCGCCAGGATCCTTTACCAAGCGATAACTTAGGTATGCGACTACGGCATAGCATCCCAAAGAGATTACCATTAATACTATAGTTAAGCGTTAGAATAGGGATGCAACGATAGTGGACTATAATTGATGCGATCCAAGGAGTAATTACATACCATCAGGAAACCCAATTCTCTTTAAGAAAAACAACTTATGACACGTCCGAATAAGTACAGCTAAAGTTGTGAAAGTCAAACATATTGGCACCACGATTTGGGCAATGTAATTCTTATTCGGCGGATTGTCAAAGTTCGATACGACACCATTCGGCGGATCGAGGGCCGGCACGTCAAGGGACGCATCCAACTCGGCCGAAGTTATCGATGAAAGGACCGCCATTAGATAAATTCTTTCCCGCCGGAAAACCCCTCCCACATCGCTCCAGTCCCGAAGCCAGAGCGAGATGAAAGCGGGAGAGATTGCTGTCGGAGCAGCAGCAAGTAGTGGTTATAAAGACGGGAATCTTTTCAAGCCGACACATGGCCGCGAACGAGTGGGTAAGAACTCTATCTATACATTAGGTTCAATCAATTCATGTACATTTTGGGCGGCAGCCCCTCAGGCAGGATGCGTGGCCGGCGGGCTGACATGCATCCGAATCAACGTGGTAAGTGGGTAAGAAAGTATCAAACGGAGCTGTTCGACTCAGCACTACAGGCCAGCTGAGAAAATAGTAGGGTGATATCAAGTGTACCCCTGTAAGCAAAGCTATGTATTTTTATAAAAGGTTACCAAGGTTTATGCTGATAGGTGTGATAGGGGTACGTGACGGTCCAACACCAACAAGCCCATCACATTGGCTAGGCCTTTTCCATAGCTCCCTGGTAGAAAACCATCTTTGGTAAGCCTAGAGGAGTTCTATCTATCGGTAAGGTCTAATTGTCTTAGCCATACCGAGGAATCGACATGGCACGGTTTGTGCTAGTAACAAAGAGGACTAGAACAAATCTCGAAGGATCTCGACTAAAGTCCTACACAGAATCGATTAGGTACCTCCTAACCTAGGTATCTATAATCTTAGATGGCATGCATAGAAGGTCGTATCGAAATAACCAACTGCCACGTTCCGTGTAACGATTATCGCCTTAAAAAAAATCAACAGCCATCTCACGCCCTCATCGAAGATTGGGTGTGTGGATGCGAGCCAATGATTAGCTCTCGCATCATAGAGCTCTCTTATGTGAGACTTATGAGGCACCGAACCACGCATCGCCCTACATGATTGATATGTCATTCTACCAGCCCACGTGTCTTGAACTACTTACCTTTTTTTTTGTTGCTTTCTAGACAGCGACTTGGTGATGTGTTTACGCATATTCGATCGACTTTCTTTTTGGTACCCCCATGAAAACATACAGTGTTTCCAGAAACATAACAGAGTTTTTTTTTTTCGTATATTGGTTCAATTATCTATGCCCAAAGGCGGGGTATATCAACTGACGCGAGCTCGACTAAGGTAAACTTCTCCAGCATCCTTCTACCAAGTCCAATCCGAAGACATATCTCGACAGGCTCTTGAATCCTAGCATTAGGTAAACAGATCCATAGTAAGAAAGACCCGCTACTTCCACCAACTCATCTAGTGTATTACCTACCTAGGTACCATTGTGTGCTTGGTATGATCTACTATGTAACAACCTTTGACGATCCTTTGCGGGGCCGAAAGCAGCGTATGCGCTCCCAACTCCCAAACCGTGGGGCCGGTGTGGCCAGGGTCCCGCCGTCATTCTAACCTGGGAAAGACTAGTGGTGATGTCTTCATAGACAAGGCGACGATGTAAAACACTTCTTGTAAGTCGTGATAGACAATATGGAGTAATAAACACCTGACAAGACTTCATTTCATGCTCAAGTATAATCCTGTACGAAGCTATCGGTTAGCATGTTTAGAGGCCTCAATTTCGCGATCAAATTTTCTTATCCAATAGACTTTTCTATGTGGTATTGTCTTATTCAAATCGTTTCTAATAATAACTTGTCTAAGCTGAAAAAAAAAAAAAGAAAAAAAAAACTCCGAATAGAACTTTAAGTGCGCGCACAACTATCAATTAACCCTCGGACCAAGCTCGAACCGTCGTCCGGCAAGTTGTCAAAGTATCGCCCTCGTCGTGGTGTCTCTGTTGTCATGCTTAACCTAATGTATAAAAGGAAAGTTAAAAGTAGGTAATGTACGAACGCGATGGTACGAGAATACTATGCTCAGTATCATACCTGATTTAAATATATATATATATATATATATAAATAAAATAGGTATTAGTACCACGGTATGATCGGGATATTATCCTTAACCGCGGGGCCAACACGTTTCAGAAGCTGCGAGATTCCAACCCTCCATGGTAAGTACCTAACCTAAGTCAGTAGAATAAGTTCCAAAGGAATGGACAATAAGCGCCTGTATTCAATGCATTAACGTTTCCCATAAAAGCCACGGTCTAGGCCGGACTATTTCATGAAGGGAATTCTAAATACATCATGTGTTTAAAGACCGTTCATGTTACATGTCAGGTGCTTACTGGGACATATGAGGCATTCATCGACTTCAGGCAAAGTAACTTAGGAGGTACCTGGGTGTCTTATTTACTTCCTTATTTTGAAGCAGCCTTATTTTCACACGAGGGATAACTGAAATATAGAACTTATTTTCATATATTCCCGACACGCCACGTCAGAGTAATACCCAACGAAGACGCTGTCGCTAGATGGGGATTGAGGATAAACATTTCAACACCATAGTCTAAACCTGTTGATTTCGAAGCTCACTAACCAATTTTAGAACCTGTTCACCGCTAGATTCCTGCTTGAGCAAGTTCGCCATAAGCATTAGATGTTAAACCGGACATGTTGCGTTGTAAGCTGACGTGGAAGGTTTCCTGCGGCTGAGATCCTCCCGGGCACTTTAGTCGAGTGACCAATGTTGCTCAAGCTTTTCTAGAACATTACTACATCTAAAACAAGGCAAATCTCAAATCTCGTCTCACGTGGCCTTTCGTAGCCAGACAGTTATCGTCCAACTTCGTTCGGGGCGATTATCTGAGTTTGGTCTTAGTTAATATCAGGATAAATACCAGCCTTGACATTGAACCATAATATAAAATTAAAGTTGAGGGAGAAATAAATGGACTAAATGCTAGTTTCGATGACTGGAACCCCTTTATGCATCATCTTTATTTCTTAACGTTCATCAACTTGTACTAGGGCTGTCTTAAACCAAGTTGTCTCAGCGTACCATCCTGAAGATACCTAAAGTAAGAAGAAGCCTTTCAGCAAATGGTATGAAATAAAGGTATGTGGCATAGGCCGAATATACCATTCGAACAGGCCCAGGCTCTTCCGTTCACAGCAGTGCTACGGGTTCTTTTCGTCCCCGTCGTGGTAAGACCGTATATCCTCGGCGCCAACCTAACTCAGGTTGCGTACTGTATCGTAGCCTATTTCCTGAGCTCCGTTATCTTAGGACCAATCCAAGACCTCCTTAGTGGCCTGATAGCTCGGAGAGGCAAAATATTCCCGAGTCCCACGGTACTTCCTTACTATATAGTTAGTATTTCTAGCACAGTGGTACATCTAGGTGTCGTGTTGTTCACGCTTCTGTCCCCGGAGCTCAGCCTATTTACGCTCTACATCCCAAATCCTAGTCTCGTACAACGCGGTAGCCCGGCTCAGATTTCGGAATCAGGTCATCACTTTATCCAGTACGGCTACCTATTTTTTAACATCACTGCGCTTATTCTCGGAAAGTACGTGCTCACCTTGGATAAGGTGTTTGCCCAAAAGGCTCGCGGCAACCATCCTCTGTCGTCGCTTGGAACTATCACCGTCATCGGGGGTCCCGGGGCTGGGATGGCTTAGATGTTCATCAAAAGGGAGAAAGAAACACTTGCTATTCAGTACTCAACCAATGAGTCTTAAAATAGAGGAATCCAGTGTGTACTTTTATCTTTCTGGTGAAGGCGGAGTATCGAAAGTTCTTCTGGAAATACTTCAGCTTTGTATTACACGTGTTAGATAGGGGAACTTGAGCAAATATACTAAAGGCCATGAAAAGGTGAATGGTATTGAAAAAAAGGTTCGTGGTCTATGGATATTTAAACTCTGCAGTCATAGCATCAATTGAGATCGCTTGTGTGGAAAGCAAATCTATCTCTTCAAAAGCAACCGTCTAATAAACCTCGAGCACATAGCGCCCGTCCTCTTTGAGCCGATCAATCTCCTTGTTTGCGTCTATCTTCTTTCCGCTTGTCTTGGCTTCGGCAGTAATAGCCTCCTTCAGCACGTCTGTGACATCCGGAACAGGCCACGTCGGACCGCACAGGTAGAAGGAGCCTTCCTGCTCAATGTACGCGTTAATGATGTCGCCCAAGGACTGGCGCATGCGGTCCTGAATGTATATCTTCTGGGGTTGGTCACGAGAGAACGCAGCGCCGAGATGGGTGATGACACCAGCATCTAGATAAGCCTCCCATTCTTCACCATAGAGATATTCCTCGCGCTGATGACGCGAACCAAGATACAGGAGAATAGCGCCGATATCCTTGCCCTGAGCCTTTTGCATTGCACGGTACTGCACGAATGCCCTAAATGGAGCCAAGCCAGTACCAAGACCAGCCATAATGAGAGGTGCATCGTCACGTACTGGTAGTTTCATGACTGAAGGCTTGACAGAGGCAGTAATAGCGGCTCCAACGGGGAGACGGCTAAGATAACGAGTAGCTTGGCCGTAACGAGTTCGGCCTTTGGAATCGACCCAATCCACAACCACAATCATGAGAGCAACTGCATTCGGGGTTACTGCTTGAGCAGAGGCAATTGAGTACTCGCGACGTTTTAGGGGTCCTATTAGCCGGACAAGTTGTGGGAAGCTAGGGTGAGCGGACTTAAACTCCTCGAGGACATCGGCATAAGTGAGGGTATCGACCTCTGTTCGCCGTTTGAACTCTTCGGCACCTTCTGGGGTACCAAGAGATGCCAATTTCTTCTTCTCGAGGTCGTCCGTAGCAAATTCCGCCAGGGACTCGTAGAATCGCTTCGGGGGCTTTCCAAAGATATCGATATTCTGTACCAGTGATTGGTAGATGGTCCTTGTCTCTAGAACGCTGGAGTCTTCCCTTGAAGGGACTTGAACCAGGTCGTCTGCATTCAATCCGTAAGACTCGATAAACTCGCGTACTAGATCAGTATCGTTGTCCGCGTGCACACCAAGGGCTTCTCCAATCTTGTAAGTGAGACCAGAGTTTCCTAGGTCGAATTCAATGTGGAAAATATTTCGATCGTAGGTTTGCGGGGTCAGTCTACGATTCTCCTTAACGTGAATTGTGTATGTTTTGACAGTCAAATCCGGGCGTAGAGCAATGTCGGTATTATATGCCTCTTTGAAAACAAGGCCCTTGGCAGCAGACTCCCAACTGCTTAGCTGTGTATCTTGCTCGGATTCCTTCTTATCAAATGTGACAAAGCTGTTTGTCTTCAGAACTTGAGGCAGAACTTGTGGTACATCATCAGCATCCGCGGCCCATGATTCTGGAATGTCTAGGTTCTTGAGAGACTTGTCCAAAGCATCAAGACACTCTTCTAGAGTAGGAGAATTAGCTTCAAGGGTAGCCAGCTTCTCCAAAATTTCATGTTTGATATCAGGCTTTACAGTCTTGATAAAAGCAAGTTCAACCAGTAGTCTAGCAGTATTGGAGTCTGTCTCGAATGCCGGAGACGAGGAGGAGTCCAGGATATAGAGTGAAATGTTCCTCCTTTTCACATCCCCGCGGATAGTAGAGGGGATTCGCTTCTCGACCTCTTCCTCCTTGAAGTTGGGCAGCTTTAGGATTAGTTTGCCATTATCCTTAACGCTTTGAGATGCGGCTATTTCCTTCAGTAGCTTCTCATCAGCGACTAGGACGGCGTCAGCTTGTTCGGCTGCGTAAGGTGCGTCGATCGTAATTTTAGACGTCCTTAAATCGGATCGAACAACACCGCCCTGAACTAAATTATCGTGGGATTCATTGAGATAGACGTTGGTAGTAGAATCTTGCGACAAGAGACTACCAATGACTGTCGGGGCATAGAGAGCTACTGAGTCATCGGTATCCCAAAATATGTATTGTTCTACAGATTCGAGCTGCGGTAGCTGGATACGAGAGACCGGGTTCTTATTCGTGCCCTGAGTTACTGCAGCGACGAAGCTCGATGGAGTAAACGAACGCGATGCCGCGTACTTTACATCGGTAATAACTGGCGTTGAGGTCCATTTGCTAGAGAACGAAATTGCAGTTAAGACATCCGTATATAAGACGGATTGGACCGAAGCGTCGGACACGGCGGGCTCATTCGAAACCTGTCCAAGGACCGCAACGTGTGTGGTAGAAGTGGGGACAGCCTTAATAAAGGCTTCTTCGATGAATGGTCTGTATATCCTGACGATAACGGCTCCTATTTTGATTCCGTCGGAGGTAAGTTTAGACACGACCTGCTTAGCAAGTTGAGCCTCAACGCTGCCAAAAACAACATAAACAGTCTCGGCGGATTCGTGACCGACGTATTCAAATGGCTCATAATCAGTACCTAGCTCATCGTTGAAAGCTTGAAGAAGCTCTAGAACCTTTCCAGCGTCATCAAGGCGTTTGTTCAAGGACTCGGCTGTCTTGGACACCTTCTTAAAGACATCGGCGACACCAACTTGACTTAAGACATCGATGACTCTTAAAGTCTCACGGGATGTGCGAACACCGTCGTAAAGGTGAATGGTAGGTAAAATCTTAGCCATCAACGTAGCAAAGAGCGAGATGTGTTGCGCTTCGTACGCGGAACCACTCGAGACAAGGCCCAATGCAAGTTCTTCAGAAAGCTGTAGAGCAGTGCCGTATTCTGCAACAAGGCCCGCGTCTGCAGCATACTCGGTAGCTGCCACATGGGCAACGAAAGGGCTCGCAACTCCATACAGTAAAGCCAACTGGTCCAGGGCAGAACGGAGGTGGCGCAAACTAAGCGATGGTGCCAATAGAGTCTGGGGAATATCCCTCTTGCTTAAGTCGAAGTCTTTAGAGAAGATGTAACCAAGCGCGAAAGCGCCAGCACCTGAACGGGTCTGAAGAGGCAAGACAGTTGTAGGATATCCATGAGCGTTCTTTTCCTCATTCTGGGCCCAATCCTTCACGGCAACATCGAGATCGAAAGTCTCGGGAGAGTACGAGAAGATCTTATCGGACAAGACGTAGGCAATCTGCTGGACGAGCAGCTGACCGGTGACATAGGTAGGGCCGGAAATAGAAGACAAGGACACGGGTTGACCGAAGGGTAATGTCGACGATTGCCGGGTGAACTCGGCGCGAGAGGTTTTAGATTCCGGCATTGTTATTTGCTCTGCTAAGGGGCCACCACTACTTTCGGATTGTTTCAATTGCATCCTATCAGGTTCTTTAGGGCTTTTTGAAAGCCAGAACTTATAAGAATAGGAACTTGCAAATCCCCCCTGGAAACAAAGGTACAGTTATATTAGACCAGTAAAACCGTTACGATTTGATTTAAGGTCGGAGAAGGTTCCAAGGGAATGAAAATGTCTATAAGAAAGAAACTTATAGATCGAAACGGGGGATCAGACAAACCACCAGGCGTGACTGATGGAAACCAGTAATAACCACTCTCCTTCTCGACGAAAGAGTATGACGAATACTTGGCACTCGGCTAAGGTAGGTTATCAAAAAGCCTCACAACTAGCACCAAGAGGGAAAAAGGAGAGACGACTTCGAAAGAGAGGTAGACGATGCGATTTTATTACTTCTAAAAAGTCACCCTTCGGATAGAATAATAATAATAATGATAATAATTGAAAAAAAAAAAAAGGCTTCAACCTACCTCCACGCCAAAGACGCTCCATACTTTTCCTGAACCCATCTTCACTTCTTCACCAACCAGCGGTTCTCGGTGGTAAACCGGGCGGCGAACAAGCGGGTGTCAAACGGGTGTCGATGGAAAAGATGGCGCGAACAATTTGTTAAATCGCATTTAGATTGCGAGGAAGCGCGATTCGTCTTTGTCGAAGTCGATCACGCAATAGCCACCTAAACTTTAATTAGCTTAGCGCACAGACGCATGTCATATTCTGCCAATAGCATGTGTTAATTGGGCCCGGCAACTAATGGTGTGCTAAACATGGCTTATCGATTACCGGTCCGACAACGCTTCTCAGTAGGGGTCTTGGGCCTTAGGTACCTCCTACTAATACTACACTATTTCCGAGGATGGGAATGGCGTTTGATCCAGAAAATTCGGATGAGTAATAATAATCAAGCATGATCTCTATGAAGAGTTATAACTTGAGTAAACATGTAAATTTAAATTTATTGTCTAAATTGCCGCATCTAGTTAGTGACTCCCAATTCAGGTACCTAACCTAACCTTCCCTTCTACAACTTGCTCCCATCTCTAATTTGTGTATATCCATAATGCCAACCTTCTCCTTTCATGTCCTCTCTAACTTTATAGTTGTCTTCCGCAATTCTAAGAACGTTCATGTCCAGGTCCACAATTGACATCCCTTCGAACCGGCCCATCTTCCCAAGACTACCGATATGGGGAACGCTGACTTGACTCAACCCCGCGAAGTTAGTCTTCTCCCCCTTTTCCGGCGGTCCCCCCGCATTCACGAACACGACCGCGCAAGTATTCTCAAATGCTCGACTAACTACGGTGCTGTTCAAAAATAGCGCCTCGCCATCGGGGTTTAAGGAGTATCCCTCGTCTGACACGTCCTTCATGCTCCAAAACGTAGGAACGCAGATGATTTGCGCGCCGTCCGAGATGAGCTCTCGGAACGCCTCCGGGAAGGCGATGTCCCAGCAGATTAACAACCCCACCCGTCCTAACGGGGTGTCGAAGGCTTCATGAGGCTGTTGAGCTGAAGATACTAGATGACGCCGTTCCGGGTGCCAAAGATTCTTCTTCTGGTATCGCCCGAGCACCTCTCCATTGGAAGATATGAAGTATGCGATGTTGTGCAAGGAGTCGCCCACCAACTCAATGATGGTACCAGGAACAATGCAGATGTTTAAATCTTTCGCCAGCTGCTGGTATTTTTTCAAATATGATGCCGACTCCGCACACGATTCCTTAAAATTTGGCTTTTCCGGGACCCAAGATGTCAGATGGTACTCGGGTAGAACAGCCAAATTGCATCCCTCCTTAGCAGCATCTCTGATGAAGGACTCAGCCTTGGCGAAGTTCTCCGCTGGAACGAGGGGCTATCGAAGAGTACCTCTAAGTAACTTGTATCATTTCAACTATGTATTTCCACAACAGGAATGACGAACCTTGGGATGAAGCTGAATAAGAGCTACCTTATGAACTGGAGCCATTTTCGGCTTTATTACTAAAGGTGGGTATTTGAGATTTCTGTTCTCCGGTACATTTCGTTCATGTTTATGAAAGTTGGAGAAGGTACCTAAAGTTATAAATTTGGTCACAGACGACAAAGGTAAGTATCGCGATCTTACGTAATCACTAACTATATTCTATAATATAACTGACCAAAATTATGCATTTAGACGTTAAAATGTAGGCGTTAGGTAGAACTCAACAACGATAAAAAGTGCCTAAGGTAATCTAGGACAAGCAGTCTTCGGCAATCGCATGTCTTGCAGTTTTAAAAATTAATTTTTACGGACTGTCTTTTAAAATATCTGGTCAGAGTTGGCTTGATTCCACTTCCAATAAGACGATATCGTGAGTAGTAAGGTGCCAAGCCTTTGTTGCAGGGCTAAAAAGTGAATACGGCGCAGCCGTTTGGATACATATCTCCTTTCGTGTTGTCGCCTCCGATTTCTGCCTAACCATACTGACTTCCATAGACGGTAAATCGAGATAGTATCGCAGAGTATTCAGTCTTATTATTGGTTAAGATACCTAACCTAAGGTACTGTGACCATACCTCTTAACCACAATGCTCTTGTCAACAACTTCTCTTTCTCTCATCATATTCCTCCGTCATACTGCGGCTATCTCTACCGGCATATGCTCGCCCGTGACATGGAAAGGCACTTATTCGGCTACCTCTAAAACGCGCTCTCCCAAACCTCAGCACACGCGTAATGTAGTCTACAACTCCCCTATACAACCTGGGGAAATCAACTGTCGCTACTGGGGTGAGACCGACGACGAAATCGATAAGGATACGTGTTCATACTTGAGCCGTAGATACCAAATAACAATAGACAAGTTTTTCAAGCTTAACCCGGACCTCGATCAGGATTGTGGAAACCTCCGCCCTTATACCGAGTATTGCGTTGATGGATGTAAGTCCTCTCCGCTTGAAGTTTTAGTAGCAATTCATATTTTATCAACTAATCGATGGCTCTTTGTTAGTTGTTGAGCCTGTACGAGCTGTGGATGGCTTCTGTGGCCCGCCGCATAACAACGCTACTTGTCTTGGGGCAAGTCAGGGGCAGTGTTGCAATTCAGAGACTTGGATGTGCGGTAATACCGAGTACGTGCATAGTAGTCTGGCGCATCGTTCATGGATACTCGAGATACCTCGTATTATTGCTAACGATTGTTGCTTCTAGGGAGGATTGTGCTCCTGGTACTTGCTACGAAGGTATCTGCTTCGGCGATAAGATATACAGCACGGATGGAAAATGTGGCTACAAGCATGGTAGCAGACTATGCGCCGGAAAGCATGGCGATTGTTGTAGCATAGATGGCAAATGCGGTACTGGCCCCGACTTTTGTGGTGAGGGTGTTTGCCAATCGGGCAAATGTACGAAGTCCCCTGAAGGTCACTTTTTTGCTGGAAACTCGTTTATGTCACAGTTTCCTTGGTTGATGGGAAATACGACCGACGGTACCTGCGGTGGTGAGAACAAATTTACTTGCAATGCAGTGTATGGAACTTGCTGTAATAAGAACGGGCGATGCGGATCTCTCCCAAAAGATTGTGGAGAGGGATGGTACGTTATTCTTCTTTATTGATATTCTTTTTCCTTTCCCTTTTAAATCTACTATACTCTCTGTAGTACACTGCTGATCATAGCCTGACACCATCTAGTCAACCTGAATTTGGGATATGCGATGGCTTAGCCCCAGCTTCTAGGGCTGCTTCGGTCACTTCACCAACACCAACGGTCACTGTAGTGGAACTTTAAGAGTCAACCGCGACTAGTGGAGATTCGAGAAAAAGAACTTGAAACTGAGTTTCAACCTGATATAAAAACAGATATCTATTATCTCCCAATTGGAAATACACGTCTTTCAAATATGCACAGTACCTCTCTAAGCTTACTGGTCTCGTCTAGGAGGTAGGTACGTGAAATACTAAGTTACTATGAGGTAAGGTACGTACAATACACCGCTGGAAACCACAGTGCCCATTGAGAATGCCTCTCTATGTGTTCTTTCCTGCTACCTTAAGTTAAGAAGTACCTAGTCTATCCCAATAACACTAGGAGAAGATAGGTATGACCTTGTTCTCATTCATACAGGATTCGGCACCACGTCTGACACATCAACAACCTACCCCTTTTTCAATCTCAGCCTTGATTTCTGTTCAAAAAACAACGCTCATGCGTACATTTATCACAGGAAAAGTATTCGAACTCGGTGTAAATGGAAACAATGCCACGCATGTACCCGTGCTGCCGTGGTAGTGCTACAGTTTAGAGTCACATGTGACGACACGAGGGCAATCTGTGTCTCGGTAAATGGAGTGCAAGGTGCACAGCTACGTAAGCGTCTCGTCAATATAAAAAGGCCCCGAGACCTCGCAGTACCTATCCTCTTCACCCAAGAAAAGAAAAACGAACTAAAAAAAAGATCGCAAGGACAATATATAATGCAAGCACTTACGACAGTATTCACAGCACCGCCATGGTGCTTGAGCAGGTTTGCGGTGCTCATTGACAACAATCCCTTTCACTCCAGCACTTTATCTCCTACAAGAGGATGGGCCGACCCATCATTCTCGAAATGCGTTCCGACACAGTATACCACTCCCTTGCAAACCCTTAGTCCCGGTGTATGTCCAAACTATATGAGCATTGTAAGATACACCTCCAACGTCGATGGGGGAAAGACCATCTGGACTGGAGGATGCTGTCAAAGGTTTAAATATCCCTGCCCTTAATTAATAACCTTTCTAACCTACCTATTATAGCGGATTTTCTGCCATGTCGAAGTACTTCTGCACCTCTACCGTCACTACGCCGATGGTCTTTTTGCTTCTTGCGAACATTTCCACGACGGATATCTACACGACGCTCTCTGATATGTGGATCGAACATGGCCAGATAAATATTGAGTGGCAAGAGGGGGATCTGAAGAATTTTCCGAGGGAGATTATCACAGACTACGAATCAATCATGGAAATTACACTTAGTACTACGACTACTCAAGAAAGTTCGGCTCTGACGACTACGACTCCTTCTGTTGGGGGAAGGACTTCGAACATAGTAGCAATGTCGACATCCAGCAGCAAAGCCCCGGGCCTTACGGTTATTCCGATAGATACGGCAGAGTCAACTAGTGGGACAACTGAGACGCTTGCCACATCCTCTACACATACATCCTCATCTACATCTTCAGGTGCCTTTTTCCCGCGTCCGGGACGAATTCTAACCTTGCTAGTTGCATTTTTAGTTTCTCTTTGGATATTTCATTAGTTAAAGAAAATTGAAGGTGGAAGAATACCTACTCATTATAAAGACTGACATGGGCGAGGATCAAGCTTGGTAGAGTGGACTAGTTGATCGAAGCGTCGCTTTCTTGGGAAAAAAAAATTATGGTACTTGGATGATTTTTTTATTTTCTTGTTCGTGCTGCTCTTGTTATGGTAGTCAATTGGTAGCATCTCACACGAATAATTCTCGCTATCAACAGATGTTTGGGGGAAAACCAAGGCATAGTGCGAAATTGTTTAAGCCGTACCTCTCCCCCCTTTTCCTCCACTAACTTGGGCCGCATTCATAAAGGCAAGTCAAGACAACTCTTATGCTTAAAACAGCGGCATGCCAATGAATTTTTTGAAAAGGATTTGTTGGAGATCATGCAACACAACAATATTTAAATTTTTACGTCCTTATGGTGTACTTCCTATGCAGTCATCATGAGCAAATGCATGTCACATGAGCACCCTCGTATCTGTTGGCAAATATCTTGTAATATAGGCTTATCAACTGCATTTATTACCACTTGTCCTTACTCAACAATCTTTACAACTCCTAATAGCGAAATACATATCGGAGGACCTCGGTGGAATCCCGAGCTAGGTCTTAAACGGTGGGCGATATCAAGCTCTAGCTCTTAACAACTACATGAATGGGGATGTCATATGCCCAGTATGGTGTAGCCAAACATGGCGACATCCTACTTCGATATAGACACTAGAGATACAAGAGGATTAATAACAACATGAGGGCATGGTATATTGTCACTATTCTTCAGAACTTCACGAAAGAACTTTAGATGCTCCGATGAAGAATAAGCTCGTAGGTTTTGTTGGGTCAGTAGGGTATATTTTTTATTTATCTTTTATGACTCGTGTGTAATCACAGGTTCCAAACGAGGTACGAGGATCGTGCACTCCCGTAAATGGCGGAGGCCATCACATCTATTTTGACCTAGTTGAATTGGAACTGGCCGTTTTCGTTGCTGATGCGCTCGCCGAGGTTGATGTCGGCGCCGACCCACTCGCCGTCGACGTTCTGCAGCTCGGCTCGGAGGACGGGCACGTTGGCACCACCCTCGATCGCGAAGGAAATGTTTCGGGCAGTCTCGGAGAAGTCTGATACGATGTTAGGATATGGATGCCTCGTCCTAGGTACAGGGTAGAGAATAGGTATGCTGGCTACTTACTGACGCCACCCCAGTCAAAGCGACCTAGTTGTTACGTATTAGCGTCTTCGTGGTCGAGAGAAGTAATATTATTAGGTACTTGAGGTTAGTACTCACCATTGTCGTTTCCGATGAACTGGTTTAGGTCAATCTCGCCGTCGTGCTCACTACCGTGCTCGGTTCGGAGGCGGGCACGGAGGATGTGGCCGTCATCCACGCGGATGTCTGTAGAGGAGATGTAAAAGTTAGACATTTTTGGTAGAGTGACTTAGAAGGTCGGCTTGAAGATGGAAGTTGGTATGAGGTTTGGTGTTTAGTGTTGATGGTTTAGATCCTTGAAGAAGAGGCGGGGGGAGGGGTCTTGTTTATATAGGGCTGTCTTCCTCTTAGGTACCTGCTCCCTGAGTGAATACGCATATGTTTGTCTGTGACCTTGTATGTACCAGTTTTGTGGTACGAACCTCCTTTCCTCAAGTCTCCAGCTTCCATGTAACTCAAACCACAATAAACCCAACTATGTTAGAAGCGTTGCAGACCCTTGTACACGTGTCACGGCAATGGGCCCCACTGGAAGCTCTCTTGTGGACTCGCGAGGGTCACCTTGAGGGGGGGGGGCACATTCACGAAGCGGATATACGGCCTTGGTGGTTTCACACCAAAGCGGACGGTACCATTATTCGGCTACGGCACGGAACGGTGAAGTCTCGATCGCTGCTCGTTCTACAATTGCACATCTTATGTACATCTGAGGGTTCCCATAGGCCCGACGCCAAGAGATTGGCACATGAACTTCATCACTACCTCCTCCATCCCAAGTCTTCCTGTTTACCCCTCGATAAGTCCATTCTTTGGCCAAACATTAGAGGTACTGTTGTTGAATTTTGTCATTTCGGTGAATAATAAGATCACACTGCCACTATTGAACAAGCGGTCTAGATCGACTAGTCGTCGTACTATAATTTTTAGGCCGATTGGGGGACTTTTTTACATTCTCTTCCCACCGCCCATTCACTAAAGAGCTCGAATCCACTCATGCTGCCACACCCATCCTATGCAGTGTCATAGTCCTCGTAATATCTCGAGGCGGGGTTTTCCCTTATGCGCTTCGCATCAACCACCACAGCTTCATAGCTTAATAGACACAACCACTATATGATACGTGTCACGTAACTTGACGGGTCTGGATCCCCAAATACCCTTGTATTAGCCTACCTTCAATTGTGATCGCTTGTCCAATCCTAGCCCTAGAAAGCATCAGCTCGCAAGATGCGGGCCGTATGATAAAAACCCTAGGCTTCGTGGCTATTCAATCTATGGGACGACATATAATCAAGGTTGGCGGCGTAGAAATGTTCGTCATACCCAGCCAACCGGGACAAGACCCTTGTGCATGTCCTAGTCACTAGCCTACCACTTACTAACACCATGAAATTAAACAGATATGAAGCGGATTTATGAATATGACGTTTAAATCCTGTAAAATGGCACTAGAATCAAGACACCATACGTGCCGACCTAACCCGAGGAATACCGGGACGTGTTATTTTTTTTTAAGGTTCATCGACTGCAATATGACAGGGCGTAGTATTTCCCTGTACTGGTAGGCACGTTTACCTACGTCGAAGCTATCGAGAATACCTAAGTCTGTCGTTTTCCTGCTAAATTCGACTAACTAAAGCCGTGAACGGTAGAAAATATAAGGTAGGGGTTATTATAAAAATGGGGTATATGTTTTTGAAGTAAACCTATAAAAATTAAATTAAACCCCTATAAGCTTTGTACTGCGCTAGAAGGGTTAGTATACTAGGCTTAGAAGGGTTAGTAGACCTTCTAATTACCAAATAAAGAAGGGGGGACTATTTAAAAATAGCTGGTTTTGAAAGAAGGTATTTGATACGAGGTGACTTTATTATTTTAGTGATAAAGATTGATAAGCTTCGATAAGCTGCGATAAGCTTTGAAAAAAGAAAGCGGTATAGATTGGCACTATTCGTATCACGAATCGTTAGAACAAAAGTTTAATCGTTAGAATAGAAATACATCGTAACCCCACCTATTTTATGTGGGACAGGTATGTATCTTTTTTCAAAATAACCCCTACCTTATATTTTCTACCGTTCACGGCTTAATTTCATGCCCTAGCGGGTTATCGAGAAGCCAAGTTTCCTGGCGACTTAATATGGAAAATATCAATATGTTGTATGCCCAACACTCATTGTTATTTAGGATACATGCCGTGGCAATGATACGTACGACGTATAACTATAGTTACCTCAAAGTACAAGGACTTATTAATCCGATGTCGTGTTTTCTGTTACTCAGTACGTCTTGGTACTTTCATACCTATCAATTAAGATATTGCTTAGGAGAGATATTAAGTACCTTTGAAGTAAAACAAATGATTATGACATACAATAGTAAATAGAACCAAGTCGAACCTACTACCTGACGAATATCTCATTATTTTTTTTATTTTTTTTTTTTAGAAAAAGAAAACAAGACCTAGAAACTGTTCAGTATTATAATTTCACACAAAATAACTAAACAATACCAAAATAAGGAGATCTTTAAACTGTATTAAGTTAGGTACCTACGGCTTTCAGGTTTGAAGACTCGTAAAGCAGACCATAGAAAAGGAAGTGTCATCAAAAAGCTTGACCAAAATCTTGGAATGGGACCCCCGAGGAAGCTCGCGCCTTGGGCACAGCATTCTTAAATTTGTCAAGAGGGACATATATGTCTCTCCCCCGTAAGCTGAGAGTGGAATTCGTTGCATCGCAAATGCATTTCAGGGGGTTGGGAAAGCTTTCTTTCAGCCAGAATTTATATAGTTCAATAAAAGACCCTTCTTCTAGTAGATCAAATAATGAATTGCGAGTTGCATCCGAGTTGATAAAGCTTTCCGTGAGAATTCTTGCTGCGTCACGTTTTATTTTCTCTTCTGGATGGTTCAACCAAGAGACGAGATCCTGAAGCATTGTTGTTGATAATACTGGTTACGACCGTAAAACTTTCAATAGGTCAGAAAGCCTGACACCAGTGCAACTTTTCACAAGTGTTATCAGCTGTCGCAAGACATTTTCTGGAAAATTAGAATTTCGCGCCGTAACGACTCTCGCAATTCCACCAATCTTTTTGTTTGTATGGTTGAGTCGTAGCACGGCTTCATGTAGAACATCATCTTGCAAGAGCGGGCTTGGGTTGTCTAAGAGAATTTCCAAAGAATATAGGATGCCATTATCTTTGTGCCGAGCATTCGGTAATTCTTCTCTAGCTTTCATCCGGTATGTTCTCCTCTACCACCAAACAATTTAATGTGGTAAGTTTGATGTAGTCACTAGGGTGATTCAACAGACGTGTTACTTATCTCCGGCATTATAAAGGCATACATTGCCAAAGTAGTTACCATGCGTTTCTTAAATAAAGGTAATCCATTATCTTCAGGTGGCTTATGATCTGCCGTTGCGTGTGATCTAGCGAAGGTATTTGTACCCGTATTGGTAGTCGCGGTTTGAAGTCATGCTTGAGACATGGGGAATACCCAAATAGTTGTTAAGAGAGCAAGTCTCGATATTCCGACAAAATTCTACAATAAATCGAAATCGGTTACCTTACACAATTACTTAGTATTTCTCAAGATATCATGTCGGTCCTATTAATATCCCATGGCAAAAGAGCCTCTCCCTACACATAGACCTTTCGGTTATATTACTTTAGGAGATAGGTACCTACATACTTGCTAAAAGCAGCTATCTCACAAGTATCTGACATAGCTGTCTAAGAGGTAGGTATCTGCTCTGAATGTCGTCGATATGAAATACTAGCAGGAAGATCTAAGTAAATGTACAATATTGAACCAATCATGTTAATTGCATATCCAGCACCTTCTAACAAATCTGCAAGCCTAACCAGTAAGTTCCCAATACAGCCATCTACCTCTACCTATAAAATGATACCCCAATATTTCGGCGAAAAAAAAGCGACCAAACTGCTGCTGTGCAACTACACCACGTAAAAGGTGAAGTGAAGGCAATTGTTCTTGCTAGCCACATCCGGGACTCCAGTTCCCCCCTTAATGTAGGCCTTGCTGTTGCCCAGCTTCTGGTACTCCCAATCGATAGCAGCCTGGTTTCCAGGACCTTTCCAGTTACCTTCGGTGCTTGCGAGGGTCTTCTCGCCGTTAGGTTTCTTGTCGAGCGCTGCTGCCGGCGCGTCCCTGATGATGTCCTCGGTGAACCCGTTAAGCACGTTGGTGCCATCCGTCGAGGCGACGGTCGCAGCGCAATCACACCCCTGCTGGATCGAGATATCGCCGTGCGCACGCCCGTCGTCGGCAGCCTTGACTTGAAACTCGCCCCATGTGGCCGGTTGCTGGTCTCCGCGCTGCACGCGGCCCTTGAAATCAAGGCCCAGGGGTACGTGCACGGTCTGGTTCGGCCCCAGTTCGACGTCTTTAAGCGGTTTGTCGAAGTTAGCGCCCGCCTCACCGTTGCCGTCCCAGTAGTTCTTGTAGAAGAAGTACTTGTTCGTCTTGCTAGAGTGATTGGTCAAGAGGATACCAGGTCCGGCAGGGCTAGGCTGCCCGGGAAACCCCCCAGGGGTTGCAGCGAGCGATAGGAAAGCAGCCGCATCAACAGACAGACTAGTAAATCCCTGGTTGGGGTCGGGAGCAGCATTCCCATCCTGTTCAATAGGTATTAGTAAGAAGATCAAAAGAGGTAGCCAAGTTAGGCAGTTTCTCTATCATAATAGAATCATACACTGTAAGTAATGAGAATGTCCTTGCTTCCATTTCCAGCTGCGCTTTGCTCATCGTCTTTAGGATTGCCACGCCCAGAGTTCCTATATAACTATTAGCGATACAAGTACCTAAGGTATGTAACTTATTATAACTATAGTGCCCAGTATAGAAATTGAACTTACCATGAACCAATACCGATATAGGTCCTGCCATTAGCAAAAGTCCTCACAAACTCTTCTAGGGGCTGGAAGTCCTTTGGCGCCCCAATGCGCTTGACGTTGCCGTTGCCATCAAGGAAGACGTGACCATTTAGCTGATTCTTCTTTTCCGCGGAGAGTTTGTGGTAGGCATTGTTGCATGCCTGCATAAAAGTCTCATGGCCCTTGAACTTCCCAGCCGGGTCTCCGACTTGCTGACAAGTCATGTTGCCACCAGCACCGCAGATGTTGCTAATGTCGATCGTATCATTTCCCATCCAGCCGCATTTGGTGATTTCACATTGCTCACCGATAACGCCTTCATGCACGGCGATGATGGCTCCAGAAGTGCCATCAGGAGCCTCGAGCCTGGCTTCTCCGTTGGCGTTAACAACCAAGTCCCTACCACCATTGTAATGGCCATTGCATTTGAACAGTTGGTCGTGGTTGGATCTATTGCGAATAGTAATGAAATGCATGATTGTTAAAGGTATTCGTTGAAAGTCTTGTGTTATATTCTTGTATCTCGGCGTGATGCTATGGGTATGTTCTCCTTTGACTGGAAGGGAGATTTCGGGCATTTTATATCCTATTGCCAACGATTGACTGCACCCATTCTCTATATATAGTAAACCCCCATAGCCGGAAATATTAAAAGACCAACAGCATTATCAACTTCTGGATATGTCCTCCCTGAGAGATCGTCTGCGTGTTGGATCAATTAGACTCGGCCCACAGCAGTCACAAGGAAAAAGGAAGTTCTATTTTCAACATTAGATCATCATATGGAAATCTATTCCTCGCAGCCATAAGATCCAATGTTACACTTGGATTAGGACTTCGAAGCTTCGCCGCAAAGCGGTGTTAGTGAGAGCTAGGTTCTTGTCATGACTTTGGCCGATATTATCATTCCAAATACTACATAGGTTAGGTTAGGTACCTCATATTATTGGGTGTTGGTTAAGAACAAAATAAGTTGCCCTTTTTTCAATCTCGTGACAATCCCACTCCCCAAGTATTTGCAGGCAGAAGCTCATTTGAACGAAGTACTAAATATTCAATAATTAATCAGCTGACAGAAAAGGGACTTTGGGCTTCTTACATTATTGAAGCTTCGTTGCCAAGTATTACGTCAACTAGACCAGCTTATATCAAGTTACCTTAGGTTAGGTTAGGTTATGTAATTATTCAATAACTATGAGTTTATTGATTGGTGAGATTTATAACTTAAGGGATACACTATTATCAAAGTCAGCAGATTATATCGAACTGATATGCTAATACAAAGCTCACAACTAAGACCAACGTTGAAACGAGTAGATATGTTTACCTCTAACCTACTAGGATAGATCATAAGTCATCCAACATATACCGAAGACGCATAGCTCTAACCAACTGACTAATAATATAGCCAACTAAGCAGCGTAGGACTATTCAATAATAGATTAAACGAGGTCATACGCTGCAAGGGCAGCTCTGATGTAACCGCCATGCCAGCATATTGTGTCTCTGTGCCTCATCTCAGCCCAGTCTAGGGGCTCATCGCAAGATGGTATGGTGGTCCTTGAAAGTAGGTGTATATAAGGACGTCCCCAAGCCGGCTGTCTTGCCTATCATAATGAGTAATATCAAGTTCAAAACTAATTGCCTCTTCTAACATTTGGAAACTCGGGTTTTACAGCAATTTTCACATTTAGCCACCCTCAAAAATGGTTATCAAGAAGCGTCAGATTCTTTGGGACTGGACTAACACGCCTGGTCCCACCAATCCAGGTATCCCCGATAAAATCAACCAGGTTCCCTTCGGTGACAACAGCCCGGTCGCCTCTCTCGTGAACTGGAACTCCTGGGTGCCACCTGAACTCAAGGATCGAGCACCGTTCCGCCCCATGGTCCGTGTCCTTGAGAATACTCGGAGCCAAGACTGGGACATGATCCAGAACTCAAAGTATCCCATCATCCTTTACTTCAACGAGCCCGAACGTGCCGGTATAAGTCCGGAGCAGGCAAGGGACATCTGGTACGGTCAGATGCTACCCCTGAGGAAGAATAAGGGAAAGAAACTTGGGTCTCCAGCTGTTGCTTCAGTATGTGCCTAACTTAACTCGTCATATTAGTGGTTAGTTAGGTAGCGATACTAATAACTCTTAGGATGATAACGGTCGGAAGTGGATCGAAAAGTTCATGTCGCTTGTGTCAAATGACCCTCCTGACTTTCTCTGCTTGCACTACTACTCAAAGAATCCCAATGATGCCATCAAGTATATCCAGGACATGCATCAAAAGTGGCCCCAACATAAAGTAGTGAGTAGATATGTGCATTTGACTTGCTGGTTCTCCCATGGCTAACTCATCCGAAGATGGTTACCGAAATCGCATGTATCGACCGCAACTATCCGACCGTCATTAACTTCACTGTCCAAATCTGCAATTGGCTGGACAGCCAGGACTGGGTTTTTGAATACGGTCTTTTTGACTTCCAGCGCCAAGTTGCCGACGGCTTCGTTAGTCCCGCTGCTCAGCTTATGGATGTGAACGGCAACTTTACGGAGCTGGGCAAGATGTATGTTCACCAGCAGCCCATGAAGGCACCTGGTGCTGCGAACGTCTTCATCTCACTTAATGCCGTTGCGGACGGTGATTTCGAGGTTGAGGCCAGTGATGACGCGAAAGCCGGAGAGCCGGTATCTCACGATGCCAGCGATGCGACTGTCGAAACCCTAGGAGCCTCCGAAGCCGCTGAAAATGGAGGGCTGGTCGAGTTTAGCATCGCCGCAGCTCTCAGCCCAGACCAGCAGAAGGCTCTCAACATCCACAATGACAAGCGGAAGGGCAAGGGTCTCAAGCCCCTTGCATGGGATAGCCAGCTTGCGAAAGACGCCGAAATTTACGCGAAGCATCTGGCTCAAATCGGCAAATTGCAGCACTCGAGCGGTGATCAACGACCGAACCAGGGTGAGAACCTCGCAGGGTAAGAGACCTAACGACATTGTATAGCATATATCGGGGAGATGCTAATGAGAATATCTCCACAGCGCTTCCAGCTCAAACACACCTCTTGCCATGTCTGCGAGCCTATGGATTGCCGAAGAGAAGAACTACCACGGTGAGCCGATCGGACAGGGCGATTTCGGATCGTACGGACACTATAGTAAGTCTACCTAGTCTAGACCTTGACGGCGCCTGGTCGATTGTCCTAACATATTTTTTTCCACCATTTAGCTCAATGTATGTGGAAATCCACTACCAAGCTCGGCATGGGCTCTGCCAAGGACGGCAAGGGTAACGTTTATATCGTCGGGAGATATTCTCCTCCCGGGAACTTTACCGGCCAGAAACCGTACTAATGACTTCGGTCGCTGCTTGGTTGGTTTTTTTTTTTCTTGGCTCGGGAGTTTCCTTATGAATCTCGGCAACTTGAACTTGGGCGGGTTCGTTGAATTTGTTTGCGCGGGGTTTTGACTGGTTACCTACCTCCTAAGGATCATGAGAAGCTTGTTTGACTAGTTACCTCCTAAGTTACCTGGTATATATGTTTAGGACCATTCGCTATGTCGATTATTTAGTTTGCTATTATCAGTACCTTATAAAGAAATGAACACGAAACCTGACAACTTCATAGACTGAGTAGAGTATGATGTCGTATACATAGTTCGCCACCTAAATTCCCAATTGTCGTTAGCAAAGACGAATCAAGCTTCATAAGCTCATATGCCTCTTTAGGTGAACAAATTCGGTACCCCAACTCTTGGCAGCCCTATTCTGCATACCTAGTACGGACCCGTACCTGGGGTAAAACTGACGATCCAAATTGCGGGGTGCATGAGGTGACTGAGCCAAGATGTCAAACGGAGCAACCTCCATTGAATGGCGATATATACGCATTTTACTATCTCAGTTGAAAGAGGTAGTTTTAGTCTTTTTTTCAGTTGTAAATTCTAAAATATAGGCAAATTATAGGTAACTGACTCAGACTTTACCCACCTCCTAAGTACCTCCTATCTAAAGGTCTTATATCATCTTAACCTCGACCGACTACTTTCTATATTAACGGACTTCTTATGGTGGCCTCGTCTCCCGTAGACAGCCAACTTAAATCAACAAAAATCTCGGATACTTTTCTTTGACATCCAAGACATTCCCCCGCATTCCCCAACTCTTCCGTCATTGACACTTCTTAGTACTTACCCCTGTTGCTTTGCTCATTCGCTCATGTAAGTTGCTATCCGGGTGCGGTAGTGCTTGCATTGCCGACCGATATTCAGGAGAAGGGCCGATTCTCTTTCTTTTTGCTTTGATAACCCCTCACGGCAAGAACGGAGTCAAAATGAATATTTCATCTTTGTGGTGTGCCACTCCTTTAGATCTAGATGATTACACCCTCTTGATATCCTATACTACATTGTCTCATGTGTACGCCATGCTGTCGACTTCTCTGTATATCTTAGCCGGCCTGGCCACTTGGGGCAGTGACATCGGCACTGCTGCTCAGTCTATTATCACGGATGACACGACGTTCTACGGCCAATCGCCTCCAGTATATCCGTCACGTATGTAAAGCGTTACCCGTTACCCTTGAGAGACTGGGTACAAACAGATACTGACAGTCATATAGCAAACGGGACCGGGCTCGGGGATTGGATAGACTCATATGCAAAAGCACGAGCCCTTGTGTCTCAATTAACTCTTGAAGAGAAGGTTAGGGGTAATTGAAAGGAGACTTGGCGAATTACCGTGTCTGACTTATGTATACAGGTTAACCTTACGGGTGGTGTTCAAGTTAATAGTTCTTGCTCTGGTATTATCCTTCCTATAGAGAGAGTCAAGTTCACTGGCCTTTGTCTCAGCGATGCTGGTAATGGAGTGCGCACCACCAACTTCGCCTCGAGTTGGGCCTCCGGCATTTCGGTTGGTGCAAGGTAAGTAAAATCATTCTACTTTTCCTATGAGACCTCTAATTAACCTTTTTGATAAGTTGGAATCGCGAATTGGCTCATAAGAGAGCTGTTGGCATGGCTGGCGAGTTCCGAGCGAAAGGTGTTCACATCGCGTTGGGTCCCGTTGTTGGTCCATTAGGTCGCATCGCATCGAGCGGACGAAATTGGGAAGGTAATTCACGCTCTCAATGACGAATAAACCATATTATTAACCCTTATCCAGGTTTCTCAAATGACCCCTATTTATGTGGCGCTCTAGCTGCCGACACTATCAAAGGTATACAGTCAGTAGGAGTCGCGACGAGCACAAAGGTAAAGAGGATAGATTGCCTACTCTTTCTTGTAGGAGTAACTAACGTATTATCCCAGCACTTCATCACAAATGAGCAGGAGACGAATCGAAATCCTGAGGGTAACGTTACGGCTGTTTCATCAAACATTGATGATAAGACCATGCATGAATTATATCTCTGGTATATATGGTGGGTATAATTGTATAGATGCTCAAGTCTAACTTTCAGTTAGGCCTTTCCAAGATGCAGTGAAGGCTGGCACGGTAAACATAATGTGTTCATATAATCGGATCAACAATAGCTATGGCTGTGCCAATAGTAAGACCCTAAACGGACTTCTGAAGACAGAGTTAGGATTCCAGGTACGATAGCCATGATCGATCTTATCATATGATACCTGTATCTAACGAGTCTTTATAGGGTTTCGTCGTCTCAGACTGGTGGGCTCAGCACTCAGGTGTCGCTACAGCATTGGCTGGTCTAGATATGACCATGCCCTTCGCCTCGCCATACTGGTCCAGTAATCTCACACAAGCTGTCAAAAATGGGTCCGTTCCCGAATCTAGACTGGACGACATGGCAACAAGGTAAGTCTATCTTGCTTTCCACTCTACTGTCAACTCATTCTGATTTTCGTAGAATTATAGCTACATGGTATAAGCTGGGTCAGGATGAGGGGTTTCCTGAAATAGGCAAAGGGATGCCGTATGATCTCTCTCAGCCCCATCAGCGAGTCATTGCAAAGTCGCCCAGCAGTAAGGGTATTTTGCTACAGGGTGCTGTCGAAAGTCATGTCTTGTTAAAAAACACCAACAATGCACTTCCCCTTAAGTCGCCCAAGCTAATCTCCTTGTTTGGATACTCTGCAAAATCATTCGACGTATATACACCCGGGGGCGGTGGCTGGAATGGAGGTTCGGAGTCGTTGGCGCCCTCTGATTTGATCCCTAATGGTGACGATGTGACCCATACCCAGATTGCCGCCAACGGTACATTGATCAGTGGCGGCGGATCTGGCGCAAATATGCCAGCCTACGTCAGTTCTCCTGCGGCAGCATTGAGTCAGCGTGCCTATGAGGACGACACAAGCCTATGGTGGGACTTCCACAGCGGGAACCCTCAAGTTGACCAATCCTCCGATGCCTGCATCGTTGTCGGCAACGCTTTCGCGTCGGAAGGTTTTGACCGGCCCGGGCTACACGATGATTTTACTGACGCTCTCATCACCAACGTCGCGTCTCAGTGCAATAACACAATTGTAGTGTTCCACAACGCAGGTGTTCGCCTTGTCGAACAATTTATCGACCACCCTAACGTAACAGCTCTTATCTTCGCGCATCTACCCGGTCAAGACTCAGGTAGGGCTTTGACTTCTATCCTCTACGGCGATGTCAATCCTTCAGGCAAACTGCCGTACTCGGTGCCGCGCAACGAATCGGATTACGGCCCGCTCCAACACGCGACTCTTCCTGATGATATATATGAGCTATTCCCACAGTCGGACTTCACGGAGGGCGTATACATCGACTACAGAGCTTTTGACGCCAAGAACATAACGCCTCGCTACGAGTTCGGCTTCGGTCTAAGTTACACCACCTTCGACTACTCTGATCTCCAGATTTCCAAAGTCGAAGACGCCGATACCTCGTCTTATCCATCAAAGCCCATCGTTGAGGGTGGTCAAGAAGACTTATGGGACGTAGTAGCGAAGGTCTCTGCGACAGTAAGTAATTCCGGTTCCATCCAGGGTGCCGAGGTCGCCCAACTCTACGTCGGCATCCCCAACGGCCCTGTAAAACAACTACGTGGATTCTCCAAGCCGGTACTTGCACCGGGGGAATCGGCGGTAGTCGATTTTGATTTGACAAGAAGAGACTTGAGCACGTGGGATGTGATCGCACAGAAATGGCTCTTACAGAAAGGCGACTATGGTGTCTTTGTTGGATCTAGTAGCCGGACGTTACCTTTGACTGGGACCTTATCGATCTAATATCATTACCTACCTTCCTACCTAAGGTAAGGTACCTCTAGGTAGATCATCCTCTAGGTTGGCTTAGTACTTTTTAAGTCAGTAACTCTATTGAGAAAGCATACCTATAAATGAAGCCAACTTAATTACTATAATTTTACCTCCTATGTTTAGCATAGCAAGTAGTTAGGCTAGGAAGTATTGGATAATCAATAATTCAAGTCAACATATTTCTAGTATACGTATGATGGCGTGATCGCTGGCTGGCCTGATTTTCGGGTTAATTTTTCATGAACAATTCTGTTCCAGCCCGCGAACTCGTATAGCCGATAGCCATCAGTTAAAGCCCCTGGAATATTATATGCTATACCTATCTAAGCGTAGGTAGTCTTGGTATGTCCGCCGAGACAGTTCTTAAGGCTCGAGAGCATGGGTTCAAAATTGCTAACCCTTTAGGTTAGGTTGGGAGGGTATTCATATCATTGGGCACTTATATCATCGGAGAAGATAAACGTGGTAAATAACCCGGCGCATTGGAAAACCCCCTGGCGCCCCTTTCGCTTTTCCATCTTAACACGTGGGATTATTATATCACTGAAGAAAACAAGGCGTCGAGATGGCCAATCAGCTCCTCCGTTACAACCCCCAGACACGTCCCTTGCCAGGAACCCAACCAATAAGAACGGACCATTTTATCGAATCCAGTAAATACCCAGCTTAGTAGGTAGGCATTTGTATAAAATATCAATGCACGCCATTGCTTAGCATCCTCGAGCTATAGAACAGATCAGGTTAGGCACGGAAACATGGTCTGATCCGCACGTACCCGGGTTCTTGGGATTTCCTAAATTCTCCTTTTGTTCCGGAAGTTCCGTGGGATGATCGATACCGCTAGAACTTTGGAAACTCTCATTCTTCTTCGATGTAGTGTATTTGCCACTGGGTGTAAACAAAAAGTAAAAGAAAAAAAAAAGGAAAAAAGATGGATTCCTTTCAGAACTTCACGAGACCACCAGAGGATACCAGGAGTCTACCGGACAAGAACTGCTGGCCATGGCACATCTTCGTGCCCACCGCCATTGCGGTCTACCTGTCGCTAGTCCAGGTGCTACGGTTTCGCGCGATCCGGGCCGTGGAGCGCAAGTACGCCGCGTACGTCGACGACCCGTACAAGCTGGACTACAGGCAGGCGGCGGAGATCATGCGGCTGTATCAGCTCTACGACACGCCGTTCCTCTTCTACTTCGGCACGCAGTGGGCCCTCGTCAAGAGCTACGGCATGTCCTCCGGCACGCCCCTCCTCGTCCGCACGCGACAGCTCTGCGACCCCGCCCGCGTCGGCCGCCGCGCCGAGGACACCGCCCTCCTGCTGATCGAGCTGCTCGTCGGCGACATCGACTCGGAAAGGGGCCGGCGCGCCATGGCCCGCTTAAACTGGATCCACGGACTGTACGCGAAGCACATCGTAGACTCGGATTACGTGCACACGTTGGGCCTCTTTGTCCTCGAGCCCGCGCGCTGGATCGACAGGTACGACTGGCGGCCGTTGACGCGGCTCGAGAAGGTGGCGTATTTCGTATACTGGCGCGAACTAGCGCGGCGCATGGGTTTCGGGGACCTTGTTCCGGAGACGCTGGAGGATCTCGTGGAGTGGCAAGAGCAGTACGAGGCCGAGCACATGCATTATATCCCGGAGAACCACATGGTAGCGGCGGCGACGGTGGACCTATTTATGCGAACGATTCCGAGCTTCTTACGTGGCTTCGTGGGGGCTCTTTTCCTGTCATTTATCGACGAGAAACCTGTCCGGGATGCGCTTGGGTTCCCGGATCCATCCTGGTGGGCGACCGCGCTAACGACGGGTTTCTTCCGGCTACGTGGGTTTGCATTGCGCCACTTCTTCCTCCCTCGCATGGCACCAATCGATCCCGTAGCGCGACCTGGAGAAGACGGCCGGTTTTACCGAAAACCGCGATGGGTTGGGTTCGAGCCGTGGTACGTTCCCGACACATGGTACAACCGGGTGGTGTTATGGCTGACGTCGGGTGGCAAGATCTCGCCCGGTGGCAAATATCAGGGTAAGGGATATGTGCCGGAAGAGCTGGGGCCGGTTGAACTGGAGAGGATGGGAAGAAAAGAAGTGTTGCGTGAGGCGGAGGCGATGAAAAAGTTTATGATAAAGAATGAGACAATAGGAGTTGGGTGCCCGTTTGCTTTTGCACGATAATTGAAATAGTTTATGTAGTATTTAGCCATACCATATCCTAGTTAAATAATGTTTAAATGTTAATTAGAATCTGTAGCCAAGGATTGAACGATCATCATAGCGCTAAATACTATGTAGAAGGTAATTTTGGTTAGTGACATCGATTATCAATAAGATCGTCAGGGGTTGGTTGTTTATAAAATTCAATAGTCAAGCTACCTTAGTTTAACTATTAGGTAGTAGTGCTCCAACTTATCCTAGGTACCTCTAAGCTACCTCCTATGCATCGTAGTCTAACATCAATTGAGCTCCTTCGTATCCCTAAACCTGTAATGCCCCAATTGCTCCGGCATCGTGGGCCCAGAAAGGGGATTCTCATCGAAGAACGCTCTAATCTCCTTCTCCTCAGCATCGCTCAGCACCACATCCTGCGAGTCCCAGTTCTGCTCTAGGTATTTGATCTTCTTAGTCCCCGGAATAGCAAAGATGTCGTCGCCCTGCTTGAGCAACCACGCTAGCCCGAGCTGCGACACAGTGCACCCTTTCTTCTTCGCGAGGGCGGTGAACTGCGCGACGACCTTGGCGTTGCGCTCGCGGTTCTCGGCCTGGAACTGCGGCAGCATCTGGGGTCGGGCGTCGCCTTCTTCGACCGAAGCTTCTCCGAAATTTTGCGTGAGGATGCCTCTGCCGAGAGGCGTAGCGGCTACGACGGCGACGCCGAGTTCTCGGCATGCGGCGAGCAGGTCAGTGCCTCCAGGTCCCTCGATAACGCGGGACAAGACCGAGTATTCGGTTTGCACGGCGGCGACGGGGGAAATCTTGACAGCGCGACGGAGGGTTGCTGAGGAGACCATAGAGAGGCCGATGTACTTGATCTTTCCCTCCCTAATGCTCGGTCAATATCAACATAGTGGGTAGGGTATCGCTCTACCATGTAGTGGCCGACGTAGGGACACTTACTCCTGCAACTCTTTCAAAGCGCGCATAGTTTCCTCGATAGGGGTCTCCGGGTTGACACTATGGATGTAATCTATCATTTACACGGGTTAGAAGAGCATTGGAATGATGATATGTATGTGGCTTATCAATCCTAAACTTGGATGTTGTAGAAACGCATCGTGTCGTATAGATACAAATATAACCTGAGAATCAAGGGAAAAGTAAAATGGGACTTACAAAGGTCAATCTGGTCAACTCCCAAAGCCTTGAGGCTCCTGTCACAAGCCTGTTTGGTATACTCATAGGAGCTGTCGGTCTCCAAATACTTACCTCCCTTGACGAACCCGTATTTAGAGGCAATGAATATTTGGTCCCGCTTTCCAGTCTTCTTGAACCATTTCCCAACATGCTCCTCGCTATCACCATATTGGCTTTCCCACCGTTAGTAAAGTAGTATTGAACTAGGGAATACAATATGTAGGTAGGTGGAACTTACTCGGAAGTGTCCCAGAAAGTCTGTCCTAGCTCGAGGGCGCGATCATAAAGTTTGAATCGCTCCTCATCCTCTAACATGTTCCCATAGAATGTGAGAGATGCGCCCATGAGACCGAGACCAAGAGCAGGGACCAAGGGACCATTCTTTCCCAAGCGACGAAGGATAGGCTTAGCAGGCATATTTAAAAAGTGTTATGAATAATAAGCTACGAAGTAGAAAGGCCGTGAAAGGTCAGTGGATTTGACTTTGCAGGCCGTCAAGTCTGTTGATTCTGATGTTGATTCTGATGTTTAAGTGCTTGTTAGGTGGGAAGAGTCCAGGTATTTATATGCCTTTCATCTCATCTGTCTTATAAGACGAATACCTAGCCCACCACCACCACCACCATCACCCGTAAGCACGAACACCAGATTTTCTCCATTATACCGCGCCCTAAATCAAGTATGCAGAATCCGCATGTCAATCACATGATAACCGCTAATAGGGATTACATCCATTAACTCCGGTTGAGACGTGAAGCTGAAAGATTGAGCCGTAAACCAACCCTAGTACGATGTTTAAAGGAGTATCCCACATTATAACAGACGCATTAGAATTGGCCAATCAGCGGGCAGAGTTTCCGAGCAGACCAATCGATCTCTTCCCCAGCATCCAATCGAATGACGTACACCAGAGCCGGTCAGACTAATTGGGCATAGCGAAGTCACCTTGTCATACCGGCCAGAACTAGAAATATAGCATAGCAAAATGAGAAGGCATCGCACTTACGCAGGGAGATGATACATATAGGATTCTAGCAATATAGCTACCTGTTATATATGATTACATACCTAACCTTAGGTACCTGTCATATAAGTTTCTAATAGAAGTTTATACTGTGCCCTCCGCCCTCCCAACTCCAAATCTTCCTTTCTCGTATTCGAGTAAATAGCATGGTAAAGCCAGTCTGTTTATAGTAGTTACAGGTGCTTCATAACCCGAGACCACGGCATATATGAGTGAAAAGCTAGACACACTACTCCTTTCGCCTCCAATTAACTTCGACTTATAGATACGGATGACGGTAATCTAGATCAGGTACCTATAGCTGTTCAGGTTGGCTAGTATTTGTGTTGAAAATTGAGCTGGATTTTTGGAATAAATTCCCCCCAGTACCTAGATGTAGCAAAGTAGAGAGCTTTATAGTCGGTGAGGACTGCATGGCCGAAATTGTGAGGCCAGCTACTTCGCCTTCCTTATGTCAGCGGTTCCTTGGTTCCAGATCACAATCAAGTACGCACCTAAGGTCAACAGTGCCAAATTCCTTATCCCAGAAGGAGGAAGTCCGTACGAGCCAAGCACTAGTGATGCGGCAGGGCACCAAATAGGCCACCATGACGAATTAGCCAATTGCTTGAGTACTGATTTGTTAATATTGACCGCTGAAGCAGCTGTGTTCTCCAGTGTTACAAGGATGGCGTTTGTTATATTGTGTGCTTGACGCAGAAGGCTCGTATGGTCGTCATACTTGATTGCTAAATTCTCTGTGATATTAATAAGCCGGTTCATGCCCTGTCCAGTTCGCATTAATAGGTAATACGAATTAAGAATGCTTCAGACTGATAATTTACCTCTTCTAGGTTGGACTGCCGTGACTCTAATTCGGCTGCTTGGAGTCGTGATAGTTCCTGTGGTTCGATATTAGATCAGTACCAGGTGTCTAAAGTGTTTGTTACGGAAACCATCCATAAACGTACCACTTGGGTTCGTAAATGCTCCGCGGATTCAACAACCAGTGCGACTGCTTGCATTGCTGTGTCCACTGTAGACGCTGCACGTTGATTGGCGAGCCGTATTGATTTTTCGTAGGAAGATGCTACCTCGGCTTGGCCCTCCAGAACGCTCTTCAATACCACTTCCAGCACCTTCTGCAGGTTGGCAGCATTCTGTGCCCCCAAGCTGACCGCGTCCGTTGTCTCCTTGGAGCTAATTAGCATAGGTGTCAATAGAAGTGTCAGGAGCCAGGAATGCCACCTTTACAGTGTGTTTGAATCGAGCAAAAAATAAGTCTTCCACAGATTCAAGACTATCCTTTAAGTGGTCTATTTTCGGCGACAATTCATCGATTCTGCCACCGGTAGTCTCAGCCCTATGCTTTAGATCGATTATACACTGTTCGGCTTGCTTCTCAATATCATTGGTGAATCTCCCCATGATCTTCGTTAGACGCTGGAAGAGACGAATGTGTTGATCTAAAAGGCGTGAGCGCATTAATCAAAGTTTAGCCATAGTTAGGGTCATTCCATACCTTTCTCATTATCAACTCTAGCAGCTTCACAAAACCTTAAGGCTTTATGGCGGTAACTGACCCAGGTGTTCTAGGCTGAGTCGGATTCGCCTAAGCCGGAGAGGCAGCTGTCGACTTCTACGGACGAGACGTGTAAGTGACCTAAGTCCTGGCGTGGTAGCTGACTCAAAACTGGCTCTCGAAATTTGGCGCATTCTCTCGGGATCTGGAAGTTCCCTCTCTCTAAGTCACATATTGCCAGACTAGCAGCATATGAGTCTACAAAATCCCTGATTTTACGACCACTTTCCGTAAGAACTGATGCTTCGTTCTTGCCCTCGAGGACTTCGCAGTTATTCACCAATAGGCGTGCGGCCGTCCTATGACATAAAGGTTCAGATTCGAGTTCTCTTAATTCTTTTAGGGTTATCTCGTAGGAGCTAGGTGACCTCCATCCGGAGTTCGAGAGTTGCTGTAACAGAATCTCCTCGGTAGCTGAGCTGGTGAGCACCGCTGCGGCTGAATGCTCGTAAACAGGTGTGCAAAAATAACTAATAAGTATTAACTTACCTGCTTCTATTTTGGGGGTATTGCGCCATGAAAATCCGTCGATGTAGTGAGCCAGTGATAGCAAAAGTACGACTACCTTTTTCGTTGAAACCATGACTCCCAAGTCGTTATTCACAGCAAGCCTTCACAGCCAACGATAGAAGTAAGTAAGAAAACCGAAGATGTAAAAAGCTGATTAAATTTGTGAAATCAACGGTATAAGGGTTATCACAGACGGGACTTCTGGCGTTGCATGGAACCGAGGCCAGGCAGAAGGGGAATGGAAGAGGAGTGATGGAATATATTAAATTTTGGGTTGGAAAATTCAACGTCGTATTAATTCAGAGAATTCTTTCTGCTCGAATAAATCTCGTATAACCTTGTCCGAAGCAGGGTCAAGATGTGTTAGATAGATGTGTGAATATATCACGGTTCATGAAGAGTTGAAAAAGTGTGCAGACGACATCTTCTGAGGGATACGAATCTTAAATTTTGTATTGGATTAAAACCGTGACATGTAAGTAAAGTCTATCAATAGTTCAATCATCTAGATGAGAGGAAAGAGCTGCCCAGTCTAGGGGTGTCAGGGTGTTCAAGGCAGTTGCGACAGGAGAAAGATCTGATACTAAGTTATAACCCGGATAATATCCAGTATTGCATAATAATATAATAGGTATGCAGAAATATTCTCTTTAACGTTTATTTTTCCCTATGCGGAACACGTGATTGACCCAATTTTTCCTAGCATGCGCCAAGCATCGCGCGCATCGAGCTCTGCAACCGAAATTCTAAGATTTCGAGTTTTGCAGTCAATTAAACGTCGGAACCGAAACCCCCAAATTTCACGATGCTGGCGCCGAGTAGGGGAAAGGTGCTCGAAAGAGCCCTTTCGAATGCCAGCGCCCCTGTTACCCTCCCGGCTTTCCTCGTACCGGCCTTTCAAACAACAGCCCCGCGGCGCCAATTCTCAAACACAGCGACTAAACAATCAAAGCTGGGCCGAACGCCGATATCGATCCCGCCGGGCGTTGAGTTAATCATTGGCGAGCCTAAGGTAAAGAAGGACCCGACTACATACCTACGGATACCGAAGCGGACAGTCACTATAGCCGGACCTTTAGGAAAGCTCGAACTGGAGATCCCTCCTTACCTTACTATCAACCATGATGAGGCTTTGAGGAGAGCAGTGCTCAGCATTGAGGATAACAAGATCAAGCAGCAGAAGGAAATGTGGGGTACGTGCGTTACTTGTCGCCGCCATACTTTTTTTTTAGATACCTATGAAGAGGATTTTGTTCATTTCGTAATGGGTGGACTAACTTGAGGACAAAACCAGGAACTACCTGGGCATATCTTAACCGACACATCATCGGCGTATCGGAAGGACACACCGCGATTTTGCGATTAGTAGGTGTTGGATACAGGGCAACAGTCGAGGAACGGCCGCGAAAAGAAGAGTACCCAGGGCAGAAGTTCGTATGCCTGAAGCTTGGTTTCACCCATCCCGTCGAAGAGCCAGTCCCCGTCGGCATGAAGGCTAGCACGCCGCAGCCCACAAGAATCCTTCTCGAAGGCATCAACAGGGAAGAAGTCATGTCTTTCGCTGCCAGGATACGTAGGTGGAGGAGGCCGGAACCATACAAGGGCAAGGGTATCTTCGTGAACGACGAGACAATCAAGCTAAAGCAAAAGAAGATCAAATAGATGATCTTAGGAATGGTATCATTCCATTTCAGACGTATATCTATGTACTATACCACGGCAGATACCCGATCAAAAAAAATGTACTTTTATGCGTCCATCTATGATGTTCCTAGATTTATTTCTTCGAGAGCACTTCTTGGACTGCTTTGAGAACTTCGGGGTGGGCAGCGGCAGGAGCAGCGACAACACCTTTGTTGTTAGCCAGTGTTCGCCCGACGCTGAAGTCTAGCCGTTTGCCGTGGATATCCGTTACGGCACCACCGGCTTCCCGGACGATAAGGTCTCCAGCAGCGTGGTCCCAGATTTTCTCCTGGTATGTCTCACTAACAGGCAGTCGCAAGTAAATGTCGCCCGCGCCTCGCGCAATAGAAGCGTACTTGGCCTGTGAGTCCATCCGCACACTGGGGTTCGTAATACCGAGCAGCTTCGCGATTTCAGCCTGATCGCCGTGGGACGAGTGTCCGGCCTCCACACTCTCACAGAACGTCGCTGATGCGATATCGGTAATAGCTCTCATAGAAATGCTCTTTTCCTTAGCCAATTCACCGGTAGTCAATGCACGGCTCGTGGCACCTTGGCCCAATACACCAGAAAATAGAACCCCCCTTCCTTCATCTGTCTGACCAGATTCCATGCTTCCCGTTAACTGAGCGGAGTCATCAATAGGGAGGTTAGGGCAACCTAGAACTCCAACCTTGACATCGCCGTCGACCATCAAAGCGAGACACACAGCGTATTGGCCGCCACGTAGAAATCCCTTGGTGCCGTCAATGGGGTCAATAGCCCATATACGGCCCTTAGCACCACCTTTGCTATTTCCATAGTCAATTAGAGTCAACATAGCTTCCTCGTCATCAATAGCCCCGCCAAGTAGGCCCTCGGCCTCCGGGTCGGAGAGCTGGGTTGTGGCAACCAAGTCCCAGATCGTATGTCTCAAGTTTTCATCCTGGCGCAACTGAGCGGCTTCTTCCTCAGCAACGATTTCGTCGTCGGGGAAGTTGGCCTTTAGGGCGCTGATAATGAGGGCTTGGGCACCGAAGTCACCGATTGTGACGGGGGACTTGTCATCTTTGGAGACGGTACCTTTGGCCTTCTCGTGGAAAACTCTCTTGGTCAAGATAGAAGCGCGCTGGACGGCTAGCTGCGCTATCTCGAGCTCTTTGGCGTATGACGACATATTTTTATTGGACGTGATAGGGCTGATGATTTGTTGGCGGGCGCCAGGAAAAAGATGCAGGGACAGCGATGTGAGGCGGGGCAAGGCACGAGACAAGAAGATAGCCAGTGTCACGATGAGAAGAGAGGATAAGATGAGGAATTTTGTAGATTTTGTATTTTTATCCCTTTTAGTCTGCATATAGCATGATTTATGTACAAACGTGATGTAAAAAGTTTAAGGTATGTAACCTAGGTAGGTAGTACCTCAGTACCTAAGGGTAAGGTACACGGCGGTACGCCTAACCCGGACCTTGTAGGCTGTCGGGCTACATACCCTGGTCCGTCACCCCTCCGACGACCGTAGCTTATGTAAAGTAAACTGTGCAGCAATTGGAAAGAGAAAGAAAACAATAAAGCTTAGGTACCTAGGTACCTAAGGTAAGTACCTACGTACTCCAACCATTACCTCTCACTGGATTTCAATACCTCTGTACGCATCTGTCCAAGAACAACGGGCCATTCAAATCTAAACAACCTCAATACAATCAATCTATTGGTAGATTCTCATACAATTAACTTCACCCAAGTCAACTTACAACTTATTATTGGATTCAATAAAAGTCAACGGTGTTTTAAAGAACTAGTTAATTAAAGAAGCAGTGAAGCCAATTTTCTTACGAGCTTGATTTACAAGCTCTGCATGGTAGAATCTTAATTCTTCAACAACTTTAATACTTGATATTATCCTACCTACTTAGCCTTTTCCTTCATTGAACCGAAGCCGCCATGAATGCTACCAAGCGAAAATTCAATGCCTTATTACAAGGAATCGGCTCGAAGCCAATGCCTCAATCGCCATCAGCAGAAGCGCAAAACAGTACTTCGGATTCGCCTCTGAACCGACCCTCGACCCCTAACTCGACCTTACTATCTACCAACAACGCCTTAACCCCGAATAAAGAAATGCCTCCCGGAAGCATACCCTCAACTCCCAGTGATCTCTTAAAGCGTCGCCGCGTACTAGAATCTACCCCAGGCAACGAAAAATCGGGTGGGACTATCGTTTCAAATGTCGTGCTGAAGAAATGGGCGCCAAACGGCAATGCTATCTCACCAGCTAAAGGAGCCAAAGATGAAGCCCCGAAATATTGCCCAGGCGATCGCGACGAGCTGATAAGGCGACTTGGAACATTCCAAGAGTTAACAGAGTGGACGCCGAAGCCGGATAAGGTCAACGAGATCGAATGGGCCAAGAGAGGTTGGGTCTGCCAGGGAAAGGAGCGCGTGAGATGTACGCTATGCCACAAAGAGCTGGTAGTCAAAATGAATAAAAAGGAAGTGGATGGTAAGGAAGGTCCGGTCATTGTTGGTTCGGACATCGAGAAGGCATTGGTCAAGAGATTTGTCGAATTAATCGTCGATGCGCATCAAGAAGATTGTCTGTGGAGGAAACGCGGATGTGATGGTGAGATTTCTACGGTCGCTACATGTTGAAGATGTCAATAAACTAACCGTCGGGTAACAGACACCCTGCTGAGGTTATCCTTAACGAGTCCCCCGAGCGCGCTGGCCTCCCTCCGCCAACGATACGACGAACTTTGCGCACGCCAATATTTCCTTCCCTACCTCTTCAACCTTCGCTTACCGGCCGGACTAGACATACAGGCAATCAAGTCACAATTAACCCCAAGCTTCTTTAACGATCCCCCACCTCCCAGCTCGAACCCATCAGTTATAAATGACGTAGCTCTTGCACTCGCTCTTACGGGTTGGCAAGGCCTGACCAACCCACGTGTTGGCGCAGTGCCTAACTCGGCAACCTGTGCTACATGTTTGCGTCGCTTGGGGTTGTGGATGTTTAAGAGCAAGGAAGTGGACGAAGAAACGAAAGAAATTCTCGTTCCGGCGCCCATGGATTACCTGGATCCTATACGCGAGCATCGGTTCTTTTGTCCGTGGCGAAATGCTGCGACCCAGCACAATCCTGGTTCCAAGAAGGTGGATAACAAAACTGCTTGGCAAGTGCTCGCGCAAACGATCAAAAACCACTCCTACCTCCGCGCGCAGGCGGAAAAAAGTAATCAGCGCAGCTTTTTTCACCGTTCTTCGGCATCCGTCCCTACGACGCCAGTAAAGGGAGGACAAGCAGCCGATGGACGCTCCCCCTTGCTAGGATCAGATGATGAAGATGAGGATATGAGCGTCAGAGACGCGAAGGATAAGGAAAGATGGGCACGCTTGAGGAAAGTAAAGAACTTATTTGATACGAAGAACGGGAAGAAAATGAGACGTTCGTTATCCCGGCCGGCAACTGCTACGAGTCGCCCAGCTACTGCGCATTCAAGGCAGGGTAGCGTGCCGCCTGAAACGGAGGGAGAAAACAAATGAGAGAAGACTTGTCATCATGAGTTGGATTTTATCAAGGCGTTTGTGGTATTGGTTTTTGTTTTAGTAAATTTTAAGTAAGATACCCATACTACTCACATCATCTTCAATGTATTCCATAATGGCATAGTCAATTCGAAATTCTGGTGTACTTTCTTCCATTAGCAATAATTTTTTTTTTCTCTTAATATCATGTTTGTCCCATAACTCATTGACAATATAACTTTATTTTCCTTTATGCTATTAGAGATTAGAAGCTGCTTTGATCTCAGGGACATATTCAATAGTCTTGTAAGTTGATATGATAAACGACATATCTTAGGTACCTTTCAGGAAGCCTAGAATATTGGTGAATAAGTAATCATTGATGCTTTATGGCTCCTTAGCTTCAAGGAAGGCGTTTAAATCGTCAGGGGATAACAAAGAGTCAAACCAGCCACATTGATTATTCAGACCACTATTATTTGTCCAGGTAAGCATGTAGCATCAAGTTGCTTCCATCATATTGATCTGACAAAAGTGGCTTCTCATAGTTGAGTATTAGGTACCTAATCCAAGAACATGAACTGAATGACTGCCCAGTAATTGGTTACCATTAAAAGTTAACAAGAGAATGCATATGCGGTTGCTCAATTCGTCAACATACCGTAACATTTTCAACCGCCTCTAATGTCTGCATTTTACGCACAAATCTCGCATCGTATCGCCACTTTGCCATTTTGGGTCCTTCATGGAGACTTGACAACTGCAGAAGGAATCACCTAATGTACAAAATATGGGGAGCCAAGTCAAATTTTGCTATTACGAAGCCACCAAGAGGTCATGCTTGATCAGCTTTTCACAGTGGATGTCTGCGTCTTTTGTGCGTGAACTAGGATCAGCTAGCTGTGCCTGTGGCCCGGCGCGTCTTTAATGCCCCATTCACAGACACCGGCCGGGATCTTACCCCTGGTGGCAATAATCCATCCGGCGCCGCTAATTCGAATTCTGCCCTAAGCAGTTCCTAGTCGGATCTGATGACCCCTGACTCAACATATAGTCACTTTATGGAAGATTCTACGCAACAGCATTATGTATTATGTCATATATAATTCACATTTCTCATTGTGACCTCTCATCCACAGTACAATGGCAGCTCGCGGTATGCCGAGCCGTGCGTCACAACCGGTCCATGGCCGGCGGCGAGGGTCTGCCGTACGCAATTCACCGCCCGGAGTTGCAATACTAGGCTAGGCTAGAATGACCTATCAAACCTCACCTCATCCCCTGGGTAGTTGTGGAGAGAAGTAGTTGCGCTGTTTGTGCGTGGGATTACTGAATATAACACACATGACACCTGCTGATATAGATCACTTACGGCCAGGTATTCAGAACACTTTATTTATTGCTATTGCAATTCCTCCATCATTCACAAATTTAAAAGCTATTGATACCCCATTTGTAATCCCATTTACTTGTTCCAGTTCTTATATTCCCGTGTAAAGTGCCAAACAGACAGGCCGTTACTTCTCTGAGGCTTCTTTTCGAAATTTCATTTGCTGGTTGAGTCGGCTCCTAAACAACCTACATATACCCCCTTCAGGCTGAATTACACATCGCCTGTGTACCGACGTCCGCATTTCCTAGAACGGATTTTATATGTTAATATATCCCATCAACCGCACTCAGTACCTTTTGAACAGTAATCCTTGTTGCTGTCCTTCTCCGCCTTGCTAAATTCGTCCGTATTCAGCAGGCCCAAAGGGATCAACATCACATACGAAGGCCGCACTCCTGAGTAGCCGTCAGAACGGCAGACAGCACCAGTTAGCCAAAAATGGATACCTCACATCAAACCATCACCACAAATTTTCTATTGGCGAACCTACACTGTCCTACATGCGTATCATCTATAAAAGATGTCTTGCAACGTCTCCCTGGTATTACTTGGGTATCGCCCAATGTTGTTACCTCGTGGGTCGCAGTCGAGCACGATCCCAAAGTATCTATAGCAGATATGGCATCAAATTTGGAGGCTTCAGGGTTTGAGGTCTCTAGTGTAGCATCGACCAATGGCGAAGAGACTCTAGCCAACTTACTGCATGGAGATCCATCTAACTTACCCGGTCCCTCACAAGCACCGACGTCACCAGATATCAGCCTACGAGACAGCCCATTAGGTCGAATATTCAAGCTACCCAACAAAGTTACGCATGGATATACAGCGATTGGAAAGTCGGAGAAGGAGAGAGAGCATCTGAACAACTGTGAGCTATGTCGAACCAAAGGTTCAAGACCTAATACCTCCAGCAGTACGTGCTGTGGCGTAATATCGGAAAAGTTGGATGATATATCAAGAGATCAGAAGATAGACGATGAGAAATCCGTTCAGGGCTTGATCACAACAACCAAATCCCTTGCAACCGAGGACGATGACAACCTACAGTCGCCTGACCAGGGACGCAGATGGAGAGCTTCCATGGCCATCACCGGAATGACGTGCGCTGCTTGTGTAAACGACATTAGTTCGCAACTAAAAGAGAAGCAATGGGTTACAAAGGCCACTATTAATCTACTTACGAACAGTGGAGTAGTCGAGTATATTGGTACGAAGGACGACGCCAATCAAATCATCGAGATAATCGAAGATACAGGAAGAGGCGCCGAGCTTGACCAAGTTGTCAATATTGACGGCGAAAATAGGCCAAAGCATCAGAGGACTGTCGAGATCCGTATTGATGGATTCTACTGCGACCATTGCGCCGACCGGGCTACGAATAGTCTTAAGGGATTCCTCCAGCACCTCGCTGTAATATCCAGCCCTAGCAGGAAACGACCGATTCTCAAGATAGCCTATACCCCCGTAGTACCCAGCTTCACTATCCGGCGAATCCTCTTAGCTATCGAAGCGAGCGACCCTGCATTCAAGGCAACAATATACCACCCGCCTACCCTAGAAGAGCGCTCGAAGAAGATACATGTGCATCACCAGAAGCAACTCTTCATTCGTGCTATCTTCACAACAATTATTGTCGTACCGACATTCATCATTGGCGTTGTGTACATGAGCCTTGTATCCAACTCCGATGCATCCAAGATGTATCTTATGGAGCCCTGGCGATCTGGGATCAGCCGAGCGCAATTTGCTCTCTGCATCATGGCGACACCGGTATACTTCTTCGGTGCCGATATTTTTCACCGGCGTGCAGTAAAGGAGATTAGGGCGTTATGGCGACCACGAAGCCAGACGCCGATTCTTCAGCGGTTTTATCGATTCGGCAGCATGAATATGCTCATATCGTTGGGTACCACAATCGCATATATTTCCTCGATCAGCCAGATGATTGCTGCAGCTGCGGATCGACCAGATATGATCAATGACGAAAACTTCTATTTCGATTCTGTTGTATTCTTGACATTTTTCTTACTCTGGGGAAGACTCATCGAGGCATACAGCAAATCGAAGACTGGTGATGCGGTGGAGGCTTTGGGCAAGCTTCGTCCAACCACTGCCGTGCTCGTCGAGGATGTCACAGATGCAAAGGAGACGGAGACAGTAGTCCATACCGATTTACTCGAATTTGGCGATCTCGTCCGTATTCCCCATGGAGGCTCTCCCCCTTGTGATGGAAGGGTCGTGCGTGGGGTGACCGAATTCAACGAATCTAGCCTAACAGGAGAATCTCGCTTGGTGAAGAAGGTTGCTAATGACGACGTTTTCGCGGGAACTATCAACGTAGGCAAGCCTATTTTGATTCAAATCACCGGAAGTGCTGGTCAGTCGATGCTGGATCAGATCGTCGATATTGTTCGAGAAGGCCAGACCAAACGTGCACCGATGGAAAAGCTAGCGGATCTGCTGACCGCTTACTTCGTCCCGTTTGTCACTCTAATTGCCATCCTCACTTGGCTTATCTGGCTATCAGTTGGCGTATCAGGCGCGATTCCTGGGCATTTCCTTGATGTATCATCAGGAGGCTGGGTTGTATTTTCGCTTCAGTTTGCCATCGCTGTCTTTGTTGTCGCGTGCCCATGCGGTCTTGCGCTTGCTGCTCCCACTGCGATATTTGTCGGCGGGGGCCTAGCTGCAAAGCATGGCATACTGGTTAAAGGCGGTGGCGAGGCCTTCGAAAAAGCGAGTCGGATTGACTGTGTTGTCTTTGATAAGACAGGCACTCTTACGATGGGCGGTGAACCGACAATTACGGATAATATGATATTCCCCGGGCAAACAGTGAGCGAGAAACAGCGGAATATTTTCTTCGCAGCGCTCCGAGCTACTGAGGAGCATAGCACTCACCCTATTGCAAAGGCCATCGTCTCATTCTGTAACTCCCAAACGTCCGAGCGTATTGAGGTCTCTGATGTCGAAGAGTTACCTGGGAAGGGTCTGGAAGCGGCTTATCACGTCGATTCGTCACTCTTCAAAATCATCGTCGGTAACGAATCGTTAATGCGCGACTTCGCAGTCACCGTCCCCCGTGATGTTGCTACCAATCTTCAGACATGGAAATCAGAGGCAAAGTCAGTCGCACTTGTTGCTATCGAGACCCCTGACAGGCCAGCTTCATACCAACTTGCAGCTGCCCTCTCAATCTCAGATCCTGTACGGCCCGAAGCTTCTGCCGTACTTCAAGCTTTAAAGTCGAGAGGTACGGACGTATGGATGCTCTCGGGCGATAACATCATTACAGCCAGGGCCGTCGCCTTGCGCATGGGCATCCCCGAATCCAACGTCATCGCCGAAGTCCTCCCCGCACAAAAGCACGAGAAGATCAAATGGCTCCAGTCAACGCTGAAAGCCCGCAGGGGAGACGTCGAGCTCACGGACCGCCGCGCTTTCATCGCCATGGTGGGCGACGGTATCAACGACGCGCCGGCGCTGACGACGGCGGACGTCGGAGTGGCAATTGGATCCGGCGCGGACGTCGCCATCTCCAGCGCCGACTTTGTACTTCTGAACAGCAATCTGGAATCCATCGTCACCCTTCTCGAGCTAAGCAGAACGGTGTTCCGCCGCATCAAGTTCAACTTCGGTTGGGCCCTCATATATAACCTGCTTGCCGTGCCTATCGCCGCCGGTTGCCTGTACCCTATCGTCTCGAATGGTCAGCACGTACGTCTGTCGCCCGTCTGGGCCAGTCTCGCGATGGCGCTGAGCAGTATCAGCGTCGTGCTGAGTAGCTTGGCGCTGAGGAGCGGGTTGCCGTGGATGGGGTTTAGGGCTAAGACATTTTCGAGTGAATCCAAGGCGGATGCTGGGGAAAGTGGTGAAGCTAGGAGCTAAGCATTTACGGCCGTTTCGAGTATCTGTCGTACCTCTGGGTACTATAAGATACCCCTTCATGGATTGTCGGGACATGGGATGAATGGATTGGAATGGGAAAGCTAGTGCAGCACATGTTTTATATACTGCGCCGTAGTATCGGACAGCAATTGAATTCTATTTTACGAACCACAGGATTTAATTATGCCCCATGACACTATACGTGATAGACGAGGTCATCTTGAGGTTCCTGGATAAAAGGCTCGATCTCGTTTATTGACTCACCTTCTAGCGCATCAAGTTGTTGGAAGACATTGGAAGAGTTCTCAATCTCTTTGTGCTAAACGACTGGTCAATAACAACATAGCCACAATTAATATTAGTCTAAGATATTGTCAATTCTTTCTAGGGCTTTTATTATCTAACTAAAATACCCGATAGCTTCAACTTACCTCTATTCCGTAACTCTAAATTTGGATCTATTCGGCCTATGTTTACTTTCAACACCATATGGTGAATCAGACTTTAAAATATAGCCCACAGATTACTACTAAGCACAATAATCTCTTTTGTTCAGCATATAAGACGATATTAACGTTTCTACAAGCTCCTATTCATTCAAATTTTCGCACCGGACTAGACTCGAACCCCCTACAAGCCTACTTCCAAGGAACTGTGTGGCGCTGTCTCATATATGTTGCCTCTGTAGCATCACGGTATATAGTGACCAGCGATTGGGTCGACGGTTGAGGGGTTGATGCTGTACAACTGCTGGGCCGTCCAAAGGTACCTAGGTGTACTGTATATACATTCATGCAAGTCAAAACAGAAAAAAAATAATCCCCCCGAAGTAAACCAGCTCGTACGGGTGCTAATGGCCATTAGACCACGAAGTTTACTTCGGTAGGATTATTTATGGTCTGTCTGTTATTCGGGTTTATATAGGAGGTACCTATTTCTAAACAATGGCTCATCTAAAGGACTGTGTTTAAACACTGTGTCAGATCCTTGAATTACTGGTATATTTCAGCAGCGGACATCTACGTTACCTCAGGTAAGTATGTCAGTTACACTTAGCCTAGTACTGGAGAAATTGTGGCTCTTTGAGGTTTAATGAAGCGGTGTTCTTGCTCGATGAATTACGTTCTCACGCGATATAAACATGATGTGTAGAGGTACCTTACCAGAGGTAATTTAAGGACTAAGTCACAGTTCAAAGTCGTGAAAAAGTCTCCTGAGATGTCCCAAAGATACCTAGGTGCCTTAGGTACCTAAGGTATGTTCTAACTTATCCTTCAATTTATCTATTACTTCCTTCCTATTCTCCCTCATATGTCAATCCAAGCTATGGCTTGCATACTTCAAATACTAAACCCTAACTTTTTGAGCCCCAATCTGAAGTCATTCCAGCTCCTACATCGCGACATAATAATCCCATTTACCAGACACGCGATCATGGCTTCCGGCTCCCCTGAGAAGTTCTGGTATAGTGCCGGAAGAACGAGTATATTACTAGACAACTGTGGCGCGAGGGCCTCGAAAGAATACCCCGCAGCTTTAACCTCTTGCTCAAGAGAGTTGACCAGACATCTCATCTTGATCTCAGCTATCGCCCTTGCTAACCAATCGTATTTCGCAGCGTAGGTAACTTCTATCGCGGTCTTCGTAACTTCATACTTTATGCACGAACACTCACGAGATGGTAAAGTGGACAGATGTACCGTCTCGAAGAACACGTCGAAATAAAATGTTCTGGCGATGTCAAGCATCACAGGGTGGTATCCACTTAGCTGGTGGTCATCGAAGATAACTTTACGGCCTCCTTGTGCTGTTTTCGGCGATACCATGGCGTGGAGCGCACTGGCATCTCCTAGCCCGAAGACTACAGGGCCGTACTGAGCCTCTCGGATGTCTTTGTAGGCTTGATCGAGCATCTCGCGCAATGACGGATACCGCTCATTGTTGATGATCCATTGCATGTCTAAAAACTCCTCAATAGAGACTGAAACTCCAGGGTGAAGCTGGATCTCATCTCCATACAGCTCCTGAAGCGCTGTCTCTCTCGCCCCAATGTTTTGGAGCAATAATCCCACAATCTCGCCGGAATCTTTCCTTTGCGCGGCAGGATCGCGGAGGGATTTCTTATAGGCATTCAGCATTATCTCAGCCTTTACCATTTCAACGTGAAGCAGTGTCTCCGCATCGTCCCAGTTGTTACAGTCGCCCTCAATGTACCGAATCCTAATCTCGGATTCAAGTTCGTATCTTACCATAGGGAAACACAGTAGGTCAGAGCCCGACATACGCGGGATCTGTACCCAGGGATAATAAGCAGAAGCTTGTACCACTCGTTCGAGTTCGCATGCTGGGAACGGGGTTTCCTTGCAGAGCATACTAACAGTCTCTCCCGTCTTTCCGACAGTCGAGATCTCCCATTTTCGTGAAAGTTCGCCCTCTACAAGTGGATCCCAGCTCTTCACCGAAACCACTGCACCGTGATAATACTTCTCGACGAAGTCCCTGGGAAGAACCTCAGCACTCCGTGAGGGATCATCATCCCAGCCCTTTTCTGACGTCAACGTATCTCCAAGCAAAGCCACCTGCTGTACTGGAGCAGGTACATCTTCTAGCCTCGAGTTCTGGAGGACGTCTCCCGTAACAGTAAACGAACTGAGCCTCTCATTTACGAAGGCGGTATAGTAAGCCGAGAATAGGCCTGAATTGGCTAGAGACTTGGCCGTTGGACGCTCCCCGGTAGTATGATGATACAAGTTCAAAATGTATCCAGCAATGTGGTCCCCATACGGGCTCTTCAATAGATTTACCCCGCCGACCAGCAGATCCGCAGTCTGTCCAAACGCTACATATGAAGGGTCGCGTCGGTATTCGTAGGGCCTGGTACAGTCCTCGTATAACCACTGGTCATATAGTATCACAAACCCATTCGGGAGACTACACGCCTGTAGGACTTGGCACTCGACTCGTCCAGGTCTGTTGCTTTTATAAACCCTCTTATCCTCATACGAGTATATATTCAGCGCTGTGGGCGATCGGGCCCGTGGCGAACTTTGTCCGAAGTATTCCAAGCTCAGTATTACCACTGACCTCGTAAACCCAAACTTGTCGGAGCCGGCAAACCTAACGGCGTCAACCTCGGACCAGTACTCGGAGTCCGGACAGGGCACTTGGAATAGCTCCTCGGGACATTCTTGCCGTACTATTCCGGCTACTCCCAGGAGATGTTGGCGGTTTTTGTTCACAAGCTTTAAAATATCAAGCTTGGTATTGACGATAATGGCAATATTCCAATATAAAGGATGGGTCCCCGCGAATATAGCTGTCTCATCTAGGTAGAGCATACTACCCCCGACGTAAACAGCCAGGATTTCGGGGCTTCGCAACCAGATATCACTCGATATATCGACAGCGAAGGAACTCAATATCCGATTGAGTTTACCTTGCTTATGGTCCATTTTCATGGGACGCTTCGATTGTTTGAATAAGGGGTTGCGGGTATTCATACCCTGGTTTATATGTCTGTTAAGCCTAGCCTATCTCGACAAATGATGCTGTTGCTCTCCAGATTGTAATTCCCAGAGCGCAAGAGATATTGGCAGCATCAATTATGCCGAAAGCACTGGAATTTATACAACACGGCCAATCAGTACCTAACGAAGAGGGCTTCAAAATTACAATCGCGACAGGCAGGTCTTGTATAATTTACAACCCACCGTGCATCGAATTTCCCTCGAGAGTAATTGGTAGGACCAATGTGCCGTTAAAGGTCAAAATCATATCTAAGGTGTTAACTCCTCCAGATAGTAAATCTTTAACTAAATCGCGATGTGTTCCGATGTATCTTTTCAGATAAACGGCTGGACCAATTCGTTCAGCTCCATGACACAAGGGTGAGTCATTAGAATGCGGAATCCCGCTCATGAAATATGAAGCTCAATGATAAGGGGTATTGTTTTAGGATTCTCGGCGCGACTCTTAGAACAAAGGACATATTCAGTATCAATATCAATAAGCTCCCATACTCATTCAAAACTGTGTCGCGAAACATGAAACTTGTTGTTCTATCGTTTGGACCCACCTTGCCACCAAAAGGTGACAGAAGAAAAAAGAAGGGGCAAATAGGGGGTTGCGAGAGAAGAGACAAAGATCTACTGGCCATGTCTCTGGCTTGGTTCGATTTTCGGAATTAAAAGCACTGAATAAGTCAAAAATCGGTGGCAAAGATCCTGTATATACTATTTTGGGAGAAACTTGTTTTTCTAGGGAAGAAACTGAGTCGCTGTCAATGTCCTCTCTGAGCTTTTCCCGTACCAACAGCTATTGACGCGCATCCAAGTTCAACAGACGATACAACTAAGACGTGGTCCCCGGATTCAACTGATAGCACTTCTCCTTTGGGATCCTCTCACCTTGGTCCCACTGGGATGATCGGTTAGCTCAATGCGCATTGCTTGTGAATAGTTCAAAGGACCTACATGTTCATGAACGCAACCATCAAGCCAAAGCCATCTGTCAGTAGTTGAGTATTGTGCGTATGACATGTTGGTACTAGCATCAAAACACCAGGCTGTGTTTGTTTCGCTTCCCAGTTTATTCCCACTGCAGAAGATGCCCCAGATGTTGTTAGGCCCAGACCCGTAACCCGGGTGGTGTTGCTGCAATGGCACATTCACTATTTAGTACTTGATCCGTTTCGCAAATTCTACCAACATATCATGGATATTTGAACAGAATGATGACTAACTTTATAAGTTGAATCTATTAAGGAGAACATCTTCCTGGGATCTCCATCGACTACAAACGCACGGTAGAAATCATAGGCTCTCTGTGCCGTCTCTTCCACGGTGACAGATGGATCCGGCTGGCAGAGAGAAGGAGGAGCTTTCAAATTGCATAGATTTTCTCTTTTGACGAGAGCCCCGTCATTTGCGACCGGTGTAGCACTGATGATGGGCGCCAAGACGCCGACGGAAAGAAGTGTCAAGAATCGCATTTTCGCTGTAGTGGGCATAACACTTCCAAGCGTGGCAGGCATGCTTCTACACTTTATGAGATGGGGAAGAATATTATATATCTAACACTGGGAGGTTCAGTAAATGATAAAATCAGGGTTTCTAGATTAACGCGGGGAAGTATCCAAGACCGAGATGCGTAATGAGACGTAGGCGTTAATTTAGCCGCCTCGACTTCAATATACGCGAATCTATATAGAGCATCCGAATGAAACCTAGACATGTTCATGGCTGTGGGTGATTGGCTGCTTCAAGTCCCTTGTTATGTGTAATGGTGGATAAAAGTATGTTGTTTGAGTACTCCAATCGGGATTGTTGTTGAAATCTTGGTGTTGTCATCCAAGCGATATGTGGGCGGGTCTATACAACAATGTGATTGAGCATTACATGACTAAGTACTCATGAGACTACCTTCTAGGGACCTTGGTATCTGTTATCGAACAATCTAGTAATTCACTTGCATGGGTGCAACATCGGTCTATTCAACTATCAGTACCAACTTATCAATAGCTCTGCTCTCGGCTATACTAGGTGGAGGATAGGATGCGGTAGTCGTAAGGCTATATAACAGAATTGACAAAAGCTGGACAATAACCAAGTCCTGCAATGACTTGATAAGTGCAACATTACGCATGCCATGGTGATACTGTATCTTCTCCCTCACCCCCTCTCTTTCTTTGCCACCAGATCAATTCAACCTAACAACTTCACTCTGAACCCATAGAAGATCTACATATACACGATCAAATGGCCATGTGAAGAAGAACCCTGATAGTTCTATCGGGACTCAAAACTCAAGGGAGCACGTTGGAGATGAACTTGAAATTGTTATACTAGTATACCAACTGTAAAACCTGTCAGGTACCTCGGTTGTTCGTTCTTTTAGCTAGCGAGTCGCTTCCCACTCCACTCCTGACCATATCAAGTACCCTTGGTATCTTACACATGCATAACACGAAACTCTAGCTATATGCCTGGTACGTTAGGTACCTGACATGACAGGAGTGACAAAAAGAGATTGGACGCGAATAAAACAGATGCGCCCGTATTTATCATGCGTCGGACGCACATTATCCTTACACAGAAACCGATTTTCGAGCTCAGTAGTATTTAAACCGCGAGGGTGAATCTTCTCCATCTCCAGCCTCATCTCAGACTTGGGCTTGCCCTCTTTGATGCGCAGCTTTTCGAAGAACACGTAGGCGCCGTAAAACACAGGACTGGTGTTCCCGGACATGGATCCTTTCTTATCTAGGAACGCCTTAAGCTGCCTGGGTGAGATCTGCTTGTGTTCAGGGAAGCTCTCCCCTATGGCGCGGCAGAAGGCGCTCCGAGTAATGTGGGGTTTCCGGAGGAAAGCCCGGATCTTCTTGCGGATCTCGTCGCATGTGTCATGGACTTTCACGCTCTGCGTGTCTTCTCCGCCCAGCTTTATATCGCCGGTATCTAGAGCTTTACTGTCGCTTTTCCGGGGTCTCTTGGGCGGGGCTGCCTTCAGACCTTGCAGCTCGCGCTTCTTGAAGAAAGCAGATGCTTTGAGATAGGTATCGCTTTCTTGGCCTTTATATGTGCCGTTCTGGTTCATAAACCGTTGGTATGCAGTCGAGGATACTCCGATGGCTTCCTGGAACTCTCCAACTTTCATATTCCCGCCCTGAATGAAGTCTTTGATCTTCCGGCGGATCTCGTTGCATGTGTCGTTTATTTCATAAAGGCGGGGGTCATCGTCGTCTACTTCAGGTGGGCCCTCGTGCTCTTCTATAGCATCCGACTTACGCTTCTTCGATGTGGTAATTCCATGTTTGGTAGAATGGGTGTTCTCGGTGCCTTCTAGATATGAGGACTGTTGATTCACCATGATCGTTAGCGTGAAATTAGGTACATTTTGATGTAAATGTACCACTTACGTCTCCTCTAGCCGTTGAGCTGCTCTTTTGTCTATTAAGGTCGGCGTCTCCTAAGGGGGTCATGATTGATAAAGCGTGAGCCGTTGATAGGCGGGCGTTTGATACTCAAATTAAAGAGAGGCTATTTTAGACTGTATTCGTTGACTGGACGGATGGAAACGTGCAAGCGGTTCTTTGGAATCAGGAGATTCTTCTGTTAATTGAGAGGCGTCCATAGTTAGTATTAATAGGAATATGGCGTTGTAGCAAACTTTCAACAATTATTCGAGTATCTTCCGGACTGATGTCGCCACTGACGTTACCCTATGATCGACAGGTGATAAAGTCAACATCAAATGTCAACAATTGACGTAACCCATCTCAGCATCTCAGGGGGTTTGCGCTGAAGGAACACGGGACATGCCCCTGTATCCATGGGGTTTAGCGGACTTGGCGTTCCCCGGGTCCCTGGATGATCTGCGATAGCGTACCTGAATTTGATGCAAAGCTGGGTGTTGATCATAGCCACGACTGGCCACGGCGGCCTCTGTGCCGAAGCCCTGAGCATCTCCCCGCTGCGTTCCGTTTCTAGCTTCAAGCTTCGTCGCCTGTCGAGATGGTCATGTCATTGGGCAATTGGTCATAAATGAACATCATTTGCCGGTGATATCATAACTTAGGTACCTACCTGGTATCAACCTTAGTAAACCCCGTGTGTTAGAATGATGTTCCGTTGAGGTTTTTTTTTTTTTTTCTTGCCCACTGGAAGACGGCGTAAGTCAAGGGCCGCTATAGATGGCTGGACTCGCGTGGATATTAGGCAGAATTGTATCTTCTATATCCATTACTATAGCTCTTAAAATTGTAGTATTTCCATGATTCTGAACCCTTCGCAATAAAATGAACTCTTTTGTGTGTAGTATTTGCTTCCTTCTAATTATTTTGGTTCATTTCATTGAACAGCTACCCGGTTGTCACATTTTTATATACCTAACCCATCGCTATATTCCCTGACCCTATTCCCATGCAGCGGCTGCACATATTGGCTGTATCACACAAAGTTCTGGCGAAATGCATTCCTTTCAAGTTTGTCTATTTGTAGTTCTCACAGGCCGTTTCTCAGTCTTGGCGCACAGTTTCGTATCCAATATCAATATCAATGGTCTCTCGTACGATGGCTTCCGCCCTACAGAGCCGGATACACATACATTTTCGATAGGGTGGTCAACAACTGCCTTCGATCAAGGCTATGTAAACCAGACCGGATATCAGACAGAAGAAATCATCTGCCATAGGGGAGCGAAAAATGCAAAAGGCCATGCTCCAGTTTCAGCCGGCGGTATCGTCCATATCCAATGGAATGGTTGGCCTCAGTCTCACAAAGGCCCGGTATTAGATTATCTCGCATCCTGCGGCAAGTCGTGCGAGACGGTTGATAAAGACGCTTTGCGATTTTTCAAAATCAATCAGGTTGGCTTGGTGGATGGTTCTGAAGCACCGGGCCTATGGGGCTCTGATCAACTCATTGCGAATAATAATTCGTGGATGGTAGAAATTCCACAGCGGATACAACCGGGCTACTACGTCTTGCGGACTGAAATCATCTCTCTGCATAATGCGTCGCGTGAAATCGGAGCGCAGAACTATCCGCAGTGTATCAACTTGCAGATCACTGGTGACGGCGCTGAAGCACCCCTCGGTACTCTCGGCAAGGAGCTCTATGACCCGGACGATCCGAGCATGCACTTAGATATATATGATGGTGTTTCGACATACAATATCCCAGGGCCGACTCTCATATCCGGTGTTGAGACAGTGACGCTGAGTCACCCTCTTCCAACTGGAAGCGGAACGCCGCTTACTGAGTTCGTTATCTCGGTCGCGCCGTCACCCACTGCGATTTAGAAAACCCTTGGATTATTGAAGTTTCCCGATTCGATCGCGTTAGAGAGAAGTCAGAAACCAACCCCGCCACTAATACATGTCAGGTGGGATACAAATCTAAATAACTTCTAGTTGTACCATACCTGCAGAAAGTTCATATCTCAGCATCCACAGATAGGATAACTCTATTACCATGTAACCAGGCAATAAAGCTAGAAGATTACCTACCTGTTGTGGAGGAATGGGCCTCAAAAAGCTGACATCGATCGCCGGGGTCTCATATGCTTGCTGAAGTAGCTCCGAAAAGAGGTGTACATATAAGCCCGAATTAGAATTGCTACAAGTCGGCTTGCCCATCTAGTCCTTAATAAGAACTGGACACCAAAGATTGATGCGAGACTATGATGGAACAGGATATCTAATCATGATTCCCATAATGCATTATTGATATATACCTACCTCTAAAGCGATACATGTGCCATCTTTCAGGCTTACCGTTCGCCATAATACTCTTCATTATTCTTCAATGCCCATCCACATCTCGTAAGCCAGAACATCACCATGGGCGGTGTGGTTAGCAGTCCCAGCACAGCTCCCTGAATGAGCTTAAAGACCTGCGGTGCCCACACCTTGTCGTAGTACCAGTCGTCGCCTTTCCATTGACCCGCCAGAACGAGGAAGCCGATGCTGGGACCCCATATAACGGGGAAGAAGGCCACGGCGATCAGCAGGGCCCGCAAGATCTGGGAGCGGAGGAAGCTCAGCCAATGGACGATGCCCCTAACTTTGTGCGTCTCTTTTGGCCGGTCCAGGAACATGAACCACCGCAGGAACCGGCCTTTGGGTTCGGGGATAAACCCGATCGGATGCACGCCGCCTTTCCTCAGGTCCCGGTTCACAATGAAGAGCTCTATGTGCCACGTAATAAGACACTGAATGATGACGGTGACCGCGGCATCTCCGGCAAGAGTGTTCGGGAATAAAAACAGCCGGATAGGCCTTGTTACGATGTCCTGGGTTGCATACATGGCTACGGTTCTGTTAGGGATTTGGCTGCGCTTCGGGTTTACAAGTTATGATTTCAAGTGTTATGAAATAAGAAAAAGAAGAAAATACCATATGCGATTGCAAAGTTGATGCCGCCAGAGAGAATCATGGCACCTATCCCATCGAGGATGAATATGTAAAAGATCTGGTGGCCACTGAACTTTTCTGTCGGCTCCTTGAATCCATCATCTGTACTTTCCGCAACGTCCGGTGGCTGACTTGAACCAGAATCAGGATCAGAGTTAGGAGCGGCAGCCTCGACATCAGCTGGGGGCCCCTCTGGTGGGGTGAAGAGAGGATTTGTCGCCCACGGCATAATCACCGTCTGGTAAAGTCGCGAGGAAGAAATGTAAGGTAGGAAGCGGGCGATATAGATAAGAAGAGAAGACTGGCTACCGAAAGCGTCATATCATGATGATAAATCATGTACTTTAATTTGCGATAAGGACAAGACTTTCTGTGAAAACCAAACGGCGATACAGAGCCGGAGAATTGGAGAGGAAACTTAAAAGGAGTCGAAAGTTAACAATGACAATAATAACGTCAATAATAACAGAAATGGTAGCGGGGCCGCTTTCCGTTGAAGGACTTATTAATATACCTTATAATAAAGATGCTTTTTTTTTGTCTCTCCTTTCCTTCTCATTCTTTGGGTAACGGCGAATTAATAAAAGGAAAAAAAAAAAAAAGAAGAGGCCGGAGGACCCTCTTAAGGGGTTCAAGGGTCCAAAGATAAACTCAACCCTTTTTTAAACCCCCCCTGTCTCCGTCTACCGTCTGGGCATTTTTGACATTTCCCGACATTCTTCATACTTATTCTCCGGACTTTTCTTTTTCTTTTTTTTTTTTTTAACATTCTTGCTGCTGTCCATGTGATTGCCCGCCATGGTTCCTACCGGAAGTCTCGGCATCCAGTCGGACAACAGCTGTGAAACACCATCGCCCGAACGAACCGGTTATTGGTGCCTGTGACTTTGATCGCGATAGGCGATAGGGCGAACGCCGTCGAACGCCTGAACTTGCTTTTCTGCACGTGGGATTGGTTCCAAATCAGGTCGAAAATTGTTGAAGGCGCAAAAGAATCGAGTAAATTTGCCAAGCCGCCAGAGCCTAGTCTAGCCTCTAAAGGGATTTAGCTTATGGTTGAGGTACAAGGGTACATCTAATAATGTGGAGCCCATTTGGAATTCAATGCTGTCACTGGATGGCCCTTTCGGCAGCTGTAGATGCCATTACAGGCCAGTCCCCGGTCAAGTGGGCACTGTAATCTGTAAGGCACAGGTACCTAGATACCTAAGAGGTAGGTACTTAGGAACGAGTACCTAACCTAAGGCGCCAAAGATGAGATTGGAATTTTCAACACATTCCCCCTCCTGAATGTGAGATACATTAGGTACATATTCCACTCAAAACCGGATAAAATACACACACATAAATATTTTGGTGAAGATGCATATCGTCCCCCGTATTGATATTTCTCGATAGCAATACTCTGCCTAGTTCTTTTAAAATTTTATACAATACGAATCCAGTTCAATGAGAATTTTCTGAGTCGTGGCGAGTTACAATAGCCGCTCGAGACCATGCTAAGCAACTGATGGTACATAATTCAAACAAGCATTTTTCAGAGCATGGGCGTTTCCGTTTAAAGAAATTTCGTCATGAGGTAAGTATTGATGACATGGGCTTATGCTGCTGATGAAATTTCCATCCATTACGAGCCGAATTTCTTGCTCAGCGCATCGTATAGAGTCTGGTTAATAGGAAGAATACTCCCGTGCCGTAGATTGCTTGGAAACCCAGATCTACTGCTTGCTGTCCATATGTTTCCCTTGGGATCCGTGCTCTCATATGGTCGGTAGCCATCCCCACCGTAAAAGTCTAGAAGGACATGAACCTTGGCATCGTCCTTATTGTCACGATATGCGGCAGGACCTTCGACACCAGATGTGATCGTGCCTTTGCTCCCCCCGGCTCTAGTCCAACTCCCAAAAAGCCCAGCGGTGGAATACTCCAGAAACACGGTCTTGGCGGTTTCGTCTTTCATAAATCGCAAGTAATTTTTGCCTTCGGTGTCCAACGGTAGAATGTCCAGGTCGATGATGTTGGTTGGCGCATAATCGATATACGTTTGAGGCTGGGTAAAGGTCTTGAAATCACTTGTGTAGGCGTACCTAATGCGAATATTGGACGGGGAACCGGTATGCTTGCTGTCCGAAGCAGGATACTAGATTTCATTATTAAAAGCACGGCCTGACCTTCCAACAGGATGACTTACAAATTTCGAAGCCCAATGCACTAAATATTGACCTACAACCGTCAATACCGTGCTGCACGTACACTTTACAAGGGCAACCAACCTTTCGAAGCGTCCCATATCGCTTCCGGGGCCCATACCATGCCGGCAGTCGAGTCCTCCACATTCACCAGCCGCTCGTTACCAAAGTTCACGAGGTCCGTGCTGTCCCAGACGAAGATACCCCTCGAGCCTGTACGCTGAGCTGCATCCCAACTTGTCTGCAAAGATGTTAGTGAGAGAGCATGGTATGCTTTATAAACGACAGTTATTAACCTTTCCGATATCAAGGTCAGTGCCGATAATATACCATTTTCTACCAGCTTCATTACCGCCGCCTTGAACAAGATACGGATCCCGGACACCACCGGTGCCTTTCGTTGGTCGCAGGATAGGCTGACCTTTGTTCAACGCCTTGAAAGACAGAGGATCATTGCCGTTGCTAAGATAAAAGTACACGTATGGGTCTGCCCCAAGGAAGATAGCACCGAGATACCCAACCAGTCCCGTATCTGCGCGGCGTTCAACCTGGAGGCCTAGTTCACGCACGTCGAGCGGGTTGGCTATGGATAGGTCGAGGCAAATGCCAATCGACAAAGCTAAGCGAAGGATTTGACGAATAAACATGGTTATAGCGATCCTTCCCCAAAAAAGAAACAAAAAGAAGCGATTTCCAAGTACCCGGTTCTCGACTTCATAAACGGAGCAGATCCTCTCATTTGTATTGTCAAGCTTCGGGATATTGGGGTCCGAACTAACCAATTCTGGGTCTTGGAATTTTTCCATCCCGGCATTTTCTTCTGGTTTTAAAATGTGCGTTTATGGCTAAATGCCCCTATAATGAACGTCGTATATGTGGAGAACCCTACCTAGACGACGATGATGAAAACGTTTATGTTTATTTGGGATATACCAGTTACTTAAACGGTAGGCTCTAAGAAGATAGCGATGGAGTGCTTTCAATGTATCAAATCACGTAATTAGAAGCCAATTTGTGTTCATTAAGTCTCATTTTGCCAGGCTATCATGTGTTATACCTTTTATCAAAATCTTATGTTACTTAGAGTGCTTCAAGGAAACGTATGAAATCAAGCGATCCAAGGCATCATTAGTTACCCTGAGCACCCAATGCAGAATTAACGAATACCATCTGACCTTGATAATTCAGTAATGCGTCGCGCGTTAACTCTTGTAGACAGCGATCCTATGCTTATGCAAGACGTAACACTCTTTCTCATAGCCTTTAGTTGGTACCCAACCTGAGCCGACTTCTTGCGATAACCCGAATAACTCCTTCAAACCCGATGCTCACCGTCGACCCAGAAACGTCTTTCTCGAAGCCTGGTGTAAATTCATAGATGCCGTTACCTAGACAGCATCGTCGTTATCGATCCACCACCTCTTCTCAGTTCCACCAACAACAACACGGTGTCTCGTAGCATTCTCGGGGTTGAGGCTCTTTAATGGCCTGGAAAAGTTGTATATGAAGAATGCGGCGAGGAGGAGCCAGCAGAGACCAATGAGTGCAAGAATACCCGCCATGGTGTTCACACTGCGGGTTGCAGAAGCTTTCATCGCAGCTGCCACCTCTGGCGATGGGTCGTAGTAAGTCGCAGCCATACCGTTATTTGGGTTGGAACGACAAGGATGCCTGTTAGGTAGTTGATAAATATATATAATTTGGTAAGGGTTATATGTGAAAGTCACTGACGATTTGATATAAGTAGAGTATGGGGATTTCACCAAGATCATTGACTGAGTATCCCCTTTACCGGCAGTATAGTGAATGAATGTAATCCAAAACGGCACGTCTTTTGGAATATGATAATGGCTCCGGTGAAGATGAACCTGTACCTCGAAGATGCTGACTCACTCTCATGCATTGCTAACTCGTCTCTTCCAATATTATGAAGACACTTGACAGATACTAGAAGACAAGATAAGTTGCCGCTGTGATTACCCCCTTTCTTAGTCGCTCGCGGGAATCCTAGTTGGAATATGGGTTGGCTAAAGGATGAATCACTCCGCTAGGAGGTATAGGGATACCTTCGTAGTAATATAGCTACAGGTAACTCACGGGTGCAATACTGAATGCCTCACTGTTTATGATGTGATTCAAACATGGATCACGGGGTGTTCTGTTTCCTTCGGCTCGGTCTCCATGCCGGGGAAATATGTTGATCTTCTGATATCGGACTAGGTAGTTGGCTGATATTTAGGTCGGCTATGGCTATGAGTGGTACTATACACCCACTTCAAGGTATAAACATGCGAGGTTCGCCTTCAGTATTACCTGTTAAGAGTATGAAGATAACCCACCATGGATACCTGGCTATCTTTTGCCGCATGGCGCTATTCCTCATATGCCTACCGTCTGAGAGCTCCGACGGATCCAAGGGGTATAGCTTCAAGTTCTTCCCGCACGACTACCACCAAGTATTATCACAGCTAATGCAAGGCGCTTAAACAGCTGCTCAAGTGACCGCGTCAAGATCCTATTCTTTTTCGAGACAGATTATTGAACAGGTCTATTCATATATCACTCATCTATTACAGCATGTTTGGTCCTACGGAAGGGAGCCATAGAGTGATCTGTTGTTTAAAGAAGCGCGTCTAATTGAAAGGGTTGGCTGTGTAATGCATGCGCTTCCCCATATTCACCAGACACACCTATGCCGCTTTAAATTAACTCTTCGTCGCGGGTATGGAGTACGGCCCGAGAAGCGCGTGGAGAAACATAAATTAAAAATAGGCGCAAGCGAAAACCCTTGCATGTCGTCAAGATGGCTTATGTTACATAGCTTGGCCAAAGTCACCATGTAAGCCGGTGCCAATGAATACCATGGAACTCCGACGGCCTACTGGCGTATAATTCATATTATTTAGCCGAGCAGACGAATTTGGGATGTGCGAAACTTCTGCGATTTTGGATTAGGTAGGACCTCATATCAGCTCCCTTTCGATGACATCGTGTAGTTGTGGAGTTAAAAATGATTTTGGCACGAGGATCATGTGTTTCAATAGGTGGCTCATGCGACAGCGGGGTCCAATGTCGGCGCTCGATACGGGAAGTTTACCAACAAGCAGTACCTAACCTAATATAAATGGCTTAAAGATCCCGATCAAGGTTGTCATACACAGAATGGATACTTGAAACGGTATCAGTGTAGTAGAGCGATCTATTAACGCTTGACCTTCCAAGCATCCACCAGTACGGTTGAGCATAGCGAGGACTCGGAAAATGACGTAAAATTGATAGGGCTACCCTTGAAAATAGTGGGGTATATTTAGATTACAGGGGTATTTAACACTGTTTTAATGAATGTTCGTGTTTAAAATAATTTAATATGCACTAAGAAAGAGAATTTCGGAAGGGTTTCTTATAAGCATGTAAGGATTAAAAGGTAAGCCATGTGTAAATTAAAAAAGGTTGTGCAGTATTGGACTTACTAATAACACCTAGCTCCCCTGTAGTTACAGTGGTAAGCTACCTATATTTTAGCGTATGAGCTACTATCTGCCCTGTAATTAGTAGCACGCTAATACAGTGCTAGTATCCTCGTAAACTTGGAACTACAGGCTTGGTAATTGTCCACCCACCTTTTGAAAAAACGTGCGCTTAATTGAATGCGCATATCGATAGCGCTTGTAATATTCTACTTGGGTAGGAACCTACCTAGGTAGGTAGGTAAGTAATTAAATCAACCTAATTTGATTTCAGAGTTTGAGGTTATCAACAAATATTACCTACCTTTTAGCAAGTAAATTGGTGGGCTGGTAGGCGGTTAAATGCTGTACGTACCTAAATACGTACGTAAAATTAAACCAATAGGAGGGCGCGCATCTTGGAGGCTTAAAAAAGAAACGTTTTTCATGCATAATGTACTATAAATCCATATTTTGGCTGATCCTTTCGCTTTATTAGCCGAGGGGTGTGTGTATTGACGTTTTCGGCCATTTTCCGAGTCCTCGCTATGCTCAACCGTACACCAGGGCGCTTCGCTGGCGCTACTCTCCAACGCGCCCGAAGCTAGTCTCCGGCGGGGCCGGCGCTATCCTACGGCGTAACCGAAGCTACCTCTCGGAGCTACTTTAGCTTCACGCTCCACTAGAGGTAGGTAGGTAGGTAGTTCTGCACATCCCTGACATCATATTAAAATGAGATTCGTGAAAATCTAGATACATGTATTCATAAGGTAGGTAGGTACCTTAGGTAGGTAGTTACCTAGAACCCTAAGAATCGAGGAAACGAAAAGATAGAATTCCAGTCAGTGTTGCCAAGTATAGGTAGATGGCAAAAACTCCCAAGTGGCGATGTAATCTCTCAAGTATAAACTGAAGTAGAACTCAATAGACATTGAATGCCTGTGAAAAGTGGTCTATTGCACCATTACATTGTTCTTCATTAATTACTACATATATTAGCGAGTTCAAAAAAGTACCCAACATAAAGCCATTGGAAGAATTCGTGATTCGCGTACATGATAGAATTTGAAGGACTGGAATGTTTACATCTTAACAAAACTCCGTGGTATCCTCTCTTGTGTATAGCATCCTTTCTTGCGTACCAATCTAAACAGGCAAAACACAGTGATTCCCCTTTTCCCGTCACATTCAAGCAGTGTCCCTTGAAAAACACATCAGAATAACTAAACGCAGGATGACAGGAATATATATAATGTGGAGAGCGATTCACGAATAGAACATGCAACGTAATGCGACGATTAAAAGAAATAGATGGCAAAATAGAGAGTTGAATAAGGAGAAGGTTTACATACAGTAACGCTAACTCTAGATCACCGTGGATCCTTGCTTTCAAGGTGACCTCAACCTCGAGGTTGAGATCTAGCCTGAGACGTAAAGTATCAGACTTTCCGCCGCCACCGCCGCCCTGGTTGAGCGCGCCTCCAGCGACGTTGCCCAGCGTTCCAGTTGCCGAGTTAGTCAGGTTGTTCGCCGTTTGACCGAGGTCGTTGACGGGGAGCATTTGGTCAACACCTCCGAGGCCACCTAAAGGCCCTCCACCTTGCTGCTGCTGCTGCTGCTGTTGCGTCTGTTGGTTACGCTGGCGCCGTCGTCGCTGTGGTTGAGGTTGAGGTGTTGCTTCGACATCTTCTGCGCTTTCCTCCTCGTCCGAATATTGCTGGTTCTGCGGCTCTGGCTGCGGGGCAGTGGCTTCTTGTCGCCGGGACTGGTTACGGCTTCGGCGACGGCCTTGACGGGACCTTGATCCAGATCCTGAGGGGCTGGGAGACGACATTTTCCAATACACTTCTGAGTTAATTTCACAGACTTTAGGTGCAATAGTTGACAAAGATAGCTGTATGAAAAGTGAGATAATTTGAGAGAATAGATTTGGATATGATTCAGTTAACAAATGGATCCTCCATGGTTAGACTTGTTGGACTAGAGTATTTACATAAGGTACGGCTAGGGAGAGGCGTCTTGGCCGTCGAAGTCTTCGCATCCATGCGGCCATGTCATACTTGGAGCAAAGACGTCACCGATGGCCTAGATCTAGATATCCTAGCTAGAACTTGATTTCGCGCATTCGTACAAGGCCTGCGTCTATCTTGCTATGGACCAAGTAACTACCAACTACCCATGCCGGCCATGACACCCGCCAACATCATCCTGTTTCCTTGATACGTGTGGTAACGTCTGGGTGGCTTGGGTGTTGACGTCAAGCCACAGGTAAGCAGTCGATCTGACAGGGGGTGGGAATATGTAACGTGTACATGGCTCTATTATTAGGCCCAAAAAGAAGGTTGGCTCGGATGATAAGTATTTTGAAGTATCCAATGCGTACTCTATTATGATTATTTCATCTAATCCATTTTATTATATATATATTTTTGTTGACTTGTCCTATTAATTAATCTAACGCTGTTGTTGACTAATCTCCTCTCGTATATCGACTGGATACTCCAAGCTGTAGCTCGCGATGTAATTTGATATCTACCACATCACAGTCCAAAGCCTCGTCCAAATTCCCGTCTTTGTCGTAGTACACATTCCATGTGCCTTCGTCGTTCTGGACGGCCACGAAATTTTGCCCGTTCTCGAGCGTTAACCACTCCTCGTCTTCTGTCCAACTCCAGGGCCCAATGGTGTGACCAACAGTCTCTGATCTTGAACCGTGACGGAGTAGGCCCGTGTCCTTGTCTGCATATATCCAGTTAAGCATCGGCGGGTCGTCCGCTATGGGGGCTACCAGGCCTTGGTGATTTTCGGGCCCCGGATAACCGAAATAGAAGCCATTAAACGGGAAACCCTCTACTGGACACGCCGGATGGCTTAGATACAGCTGCCCTGGGGTTTAGAAGAGTTCGACAAAGGATAGTGGGATCTGGCGGGTTACATCTACCTAGCCAAACATACCTTCTTGTCCTTGAAGACTACCAAAGCAGCTTGCGGAGGCGCAACGTCATCATGTGAGAAGTTTGCCGTTAACCTGAATTTTATTCTATCCTTCGCTTGTTGGTTCTGTTTTTTCTGGGCATCTATTGCTTCTGCGACACCAATAACTGTCGGAATGGCGCCGACGGTAAGTAACCCGAGCGTTGAAAGAGCCATAAGGCGAATTGATTAGGAGGTACAACAAATGAACTTCACCGAGACTTAGAAGATCCCTCGTGTTGAAAGCAGGAAAGGAGGGATGACTTGGAGCTCGGCCGACCTTAAGCATGTGGGGTGGCGAAACAGGTTTTAAGCTTCGTCTTGTAGATCTCGGAATCTTAATGGTGAAGTTAAGCCTAACCCATGGCGTACATCAGCTAGGTTTTCAGCCACAGAGACAAGGGTTACCCCAAATTCTAATCTTCACGCATGTCAGAATGCATAAGACCTTTACTATTTATGTGGAGGGGTGGTGATTGGCAATGAGCGAACAGAGAGAACGGACAGGGCCCAGAAGCCAGTCGGACCAGGGAATCTTGATTTGGATACGACTTAGTTGAACGCCCCATTGCGTCACTGCAACCGGAGCTTACCGTAGTGTAGGTATGGCTAGAATAAGTCATTCTGAAAGTGCCATATCGAACCTAGACAATAAAACAAACGGCATCACCTCAAAGTGCTAACTACCTTGATAGGTAGCTTTTCCTATGATAGTAAGATACCTCATATTGTAATATTGTAAATTAATCACAGAATCAACGGTGTCCGAATACAACATGTCATCCAACGACGATAACACATCTCAGCAACCCCGCGAAGGCGAGGAACAGCAAAATCAACAAGAGCCGTCAACTTCGCAGGCCGAAGAAGGACAGCAGCCGACGGAAGATCAGAGTAATAACCACAATCAATCACAAGAGGACGGCGATAAGGTGGATGAAGACAGCGGCGAGAAGAAGGAGGAAGCAAATGCGCAGACCCAACGCCAAGCCGAACCTGAAAAGAAAAAGCAACCTCAATCTCAACCTAAAACAGCTCGCGCCGAGTCGGAGAAGCCTAGTCGATCGCGACGACGTCGCCGTCATCAACCGGCATGGATGGATGACGATAAAGAGAACGATTACGAGAAACAGATGGCACCTCGTAGGCCGCGTCAAGCACCACTACAGTACCAGCCCCAACAGCAGATGCCGATGCAGCCAATGCAGCAAGTCCAACAGCAACCTCAGAAAAACAACAGCGGGAAAAATCCCCTGAAGCTGCGGTTAGATCTTAACCTCGAAGTCGAGGTGACATTGAAGGCCCGGATACACGGCGACCTTACTTTGTCTCTCTTGTACGTGATGATACTCTTCTTCTTCCCCTTCAATGTCTGCTGTATTGATATACTTTTTTGGGATTATCTGAGAGACACTAGCTACCCTTTTAACTGACTTTGCAAAAGTGATACTTAGTTTAAGAATAAAAGTTGACTAACAGCCTTATTCGCCAACATCAGGGAAGGGTTATAGTTTACGAGCCTGCGCCGTTTGGCTGTAACTTATGAAAGGAGAGGGGGTTTACGAAGCCGCCTTCATATAGAACATGCGATGATGTGAAGCGGAACATTTGGACATCCGTGGGGCGTTGAGGTTGAGGGTAAAAGCTTTTTTTTAAGGACGTGTTAGAGACATCAACACCCACTTACTACCTGCCTGGTAGTTACTTTTATTAGCGGTATACTTTGTAATTATCACGATAATTCTACATCTTCTGTTCTAACGTGTAACATACCAACTTTAAGTGAAAATGAAGTAATACGACGATACAGGTTAATAATGGCATATGTATCTAACCATAAGAGGTACCTAGCGTTTCAATGTGAAACTTGCATGCAAAGAGCCGGAATGATTCGAGATATCTGCTAGTTCTTGGCATGGGGTTTAGATTAGGTATAAGACTTTGCGGATGTAAGTGGTTTGGGTGCTTCGGAGAAAAAGCCACATTTAAAGGGTGAAATTGAACCTGATTCGCCAATACTTTTTCCCTCTCCTTTCAGCATTTCCCAGTTTTCCAACTTTTTTAACCCCTTCTCAAACGCCCTCCACCCTCCTTAAGCATACTCATATGACTGGTCATCTAGCCCTTCGCATAGTGTGCTAGCTAAGTCTTTAGACAGCTAGATATTTTGTCCTTTGGGTTATTAGGGGCGGTACTTTCCCGGCTTCAATGGTCGCACTACTACATAGTACACTCAGGTGCCTCGTAAGTCCCAAATTGGAGTCTGATTGTTATGAGGGAGAAAACGATGCTCCGGAATTCGACATTGATCTCATCTGTAATAGGTATCAAGTATAACGTACATCTTATCCATGGTATTCCAAGTACCTATTGGTCTCAGCCCTGTAACCATACCAGCGACATACTGCTACTAAGGTAGTGTAGAGCAGCCACACATGGAGTTAGCAAGTCAACCAAAGCAGGTTTACAAAGTTCGCTCGAATCCTTGTCAGCCTCCATGCAAGCCAGGCACGTAACATGGGTTTACGGGATTAAGATTTGATAGGGCTCCCCCTCCCCGGCTCGTAAGATTTAGCTATGATACCCTCCCCCCTGCTACCTATGACGTATATGAGACTGAAGAGGATGTCTGGGAGAGCTTGTATTGCTAACTCCTAGGCTGTCCGGACATCCCATGTCGTACCTTTCTCACTTTAGAGTTTCACGCTATCACTCTTTCACTGATTATCCTCCATATCCATGACACGGTGTATGTCATTGGTAATCTGTGAGTAAATGCCCCTCTTACCACCGCGGTTCGGGTTCGACCTCTTTTGTGATATCATCCTAGTGCTATACCTTGCCATATTCATCTTCCTCAACGCCAATCACATTCGAAATTTTGTCTTGGCCATGGCCGAAATGATGAGTCCACAGACACCACCAAGGAAGCTCTTCAAGCCGTCCAGTAAAACAAAAACACCGACTTCTGCGAAGAAGCAGAGACCAACTACTCCCGCCCATTCAAGTGTTCAATCACATGAAGTTCTGACTCCCACAGACACAGTTAGTCGAAGCACGGATACGTTTGGCGGCGCGCCAGGAGCTACGACGGACGCTGGTGATCATTCGTCAGGGGAAAAGGACGCTCCGGATCAAGCGAACAGCCTAGTTAAGAGTGTCAGTGGAAAAGCCGGAGAAGCTCACCGTTCTCCGAGTATCGATCACCCCGAACAATCGAACCCAACAGATACCTTGAATTCGCCGACGGACATTGCTAGATATTTTGCCGAACAGGGAAACTCGGAAATGAGTACTTTCGTATCGGTTCTGGCTGGTAAGAATTCACATAGCCATACAGATGTAGCTCGCGACGGAGCTGGGATGCCGAGAGCCGACACATATACGAAAGATCACAGGGACGACTTAGTAAATTCGGTGCCCGAGCCCATCAACGAATTACCTCGAGATGACGCTTCAATGGTTTCACCGAATAAGACATCCGACGATACGAGGTTAGCTGGGGGTAAAAGCAAAGATGAAAATATACTTGACAAACATGCGCCGAGTGCAGCAGAGACCGCAACAGAGACCAGCAAGTCAGGTCAGGAAAATAATAATATCGAGACAAAGCCAGGTCACTATGAACCTAGCGACGTCTCTAAGGAGCCTGAAGGAGCTACAGTTGGTTCCGAAGAGGAGGTTCCTGACACAGCAGCGATTAATGCCATCGGCGAACCTAACACGCACATTCATTCAAAGGAGGCTCATGTTGCGGTATCTAGCGCAAAACCCAAGTCGGATATTTCAGCTCAGGGTACTACGAACAACATTCAACAAAATCCAGCTCCCAGCACTTCAGAAGATTTAGACAATGATACGCGGGTCGCCGATAATATGGGCCAACCAGCGCACATTGAACGAAGAGTTGAGATCCCGCTTCCTCGCCTCGAAAAGATTATTACCAGCCCTCCAGAGCAGACAAAACCAGAAATAAATAACATGACATCTGGTTTGGGTGATCCTGGTGAGCTGCCAGACGCCCAAGATTTACCAAGTACAGACGATCTACAAGACCCCCCAGAAGAAATCCTAGACCCGTCTGTGCATTCGCCGTCCTCTAATATTACCCCCATTCCAAAAATCCCCAAAGTCACGCCTATTGGCATGGAGCCACCCCCTGATTTACTTCATCTTGCGCATGGCCTTGGTGGTGGTGTTGTCGATGATGTTGGTAATATCGTTGACGCGTCCGGAACAGTACTCGGCCATGCGACGGGCGATCTCCCTGCAATGGTGGGTCAAAAGGTTGCAGACAACGGTGAAATTTACGGGGAAAGCGGAGAGGTCATTGGATACGTGGCGGAGAACTTCACCGACCCACAACCGCCCGTTGATATCCCTGAAAATGTGCTAGGGGGGTTAAAAGTAGATCATAACGGCAACATACTAGATACGAACGGCAACATCATTGGTCGCTTCAACGAGAAGGCCGCCGAAAACGGCAATTTAGCACCTTTTATGAGACGATCTAAGTCAGGCGAATCCCAGACTAATAATGAAAAACCCGATGAAAAGAAGCCGAAAATCAATGCCCACACTGGAGGGAGCCCCTCGGATATCTTTCTGGATGTGAAGTCTACGACTGACGGTATTCAACTAACCATTCGGATCCCTACAACATTCGGAAGGCAGCCACAAGATTTATAAGTACCTAACCTAGCATGTGTATCTCATGATTTAGAATTATACGTTTCTTAATCACAACGGTGTATGAGATAAGATCTTACAACATAGGAGGATAATTGTTGATTAATGAACTTTCATCTTCGGCTCTGTTTGTCTTCCGCGGAAATCCAGTACTCTGAATGGAAATATTTCCTTCGCATCATAGAAGCTTTCAATATGGGCAATGTACTTAGTACTTAAAACATGGGTATATCTAACCTTGAGCACAATAGCTAGCAAACCGGCAAGCCGGAAAGCCACTGTCTTCATTAAGCATATGATGAGGTTTTGTCAATGTAACCCTTAGTCAACTTAGCAGAACGAATACCTACGCCACTGGATTATGCGCGTTGATGACGTCTGTCTGATGAGAGCCCATGTCTAATGTGGCTTGCTAAGCTGCAAAGAAAACAGGTTAAAGCCAATATAATGAGCGATGCTGGACTTCACTCAACCTTGATGCCTGTTGGAGAGGGGGGTTGATGTAGCGTCTATGGCTAGGTTGAAGACCAGTACTAACACATCACCATGTATGATGAGTAAATTGCCCCGTTTCGAAAGGTGCGGCCCGGGTGCGCAAAAAGTGTAGTAGCTCGGTGGCAGATTACCACGATCGAGATTCGCAAATGGGACCCCTAAATTAGGGCAGGAGAAGGAATCCTGTTTTGTTTGTCAGACGTTGGGGAATCCCAGCAATGGTGTGGACAAACCAGACAAACCAGCAAGCCACAGGCACACATCTGCTTGGGATCGACAGAGAGTCATATCAAAGAGTAGCCTCATTCGTGGCTGGTCCTCACCTCGAAGCTTGACTTTAGGACTTCATTACCTGAGGTATTCCCTACTGATGACGTTCAGAATTGCTCTTTGCAAGTTGGGAACTCTTGTAATGACGTCGAACACAATGCATGAAGGGTTTCGAGAGAGAGATGGGACCTGTGACGTAACTATCTTAACTTGGTGCCGGCTTCTCCTATAGCACTTTGTCGTCGTTATATCCCATAAAAGAACAAACTAGCCATTGCATTGCGTTGCGTTGATCCGAGAATTTCATGATCCAAATTCTAATGACGAACTCTTCTAATAATACCCAACAATCCCAATCACCACGACAAGAACAACATAGTCCTATATTAGTAACTACAAGACGATATACTATCACCGACGAGAACCCAGTAACTATTATCCACCCTGCCGCCATGTCTGGGCTCGATGAAACAGCTGGAAGGCTAGAAAGTCCTCTAGGCAAAGCCTCGCAGGGTAGTCTAGGAGAAGGAACCTACGACGACCCCCACAAAACGGCGGTATCGCAAGACTCGGTGCCTCGGTCTATCCCCGATGCATCAGAAAACGAGGGTGAGGGCGAGATGGTACCGGCAGCAGGCCGTATTAATGAAAAGGGGGAGGTGACAGACGACGACGGGAACCCTATCGGGAAAGTGATTGAAGGCGATGCCCATAAATTTGCTGGCTTCATCGTCACCCAAGAGGGCGAAGTCTTGAACGAGAACGGCAGTATTGTCGGCAAAGCTGAACCAATGGGAGATGTCCCGTCTGAGTTCAATTACACGACTAAGTCCACAAAAGGTACTGGTCCACAAGATCAAAAACTCAGCCAAGCAAACGATAATGACGGCACACTCCCTGATGCTACCGGAAGTATCGACCAAGCCACGAAGGATGTTGCTGGAGCTACCGGCAACGCGGCAAAAGGTGCTGCAGATGCTGCTGGGGAGACTACTGGGGCTGAAGGCGCCACAGATAACGTTGATAATGTGTCCAAGGGTGCTACAGAAGCCGTCGGCGATACTGCTGAAGGCGCAACGGGAGCCGCAGGAGGTACCGCTCAGAGTGTCGACGCACCGGCCAACGACGACATCGCTGAGGTCGCGGAGAAGACAGTTCAAGATGCCCCCGAGGGTGTGCAAAAGGCAGACGAAATTGGAACAGCTGATGTAAAAGATATGGCCTCCAAACCAGGCTCTAACACTGAACTTGGCCTCAAGGCTGGCGACATACCACAAGAAGGTCTTGCGCCTGTTGACATCCCATCACTTTCGCCGTCTGTGGCCAATAAAGTAGTCGACCTGTTCGAAGGCCCATTCATAGTCGCAGATGGCGGCAAGGTCACTGATCAAAATGGCAAGATCATCGGCAAGTTGGCCGACGGCGCAGATCTTCAAAGTTTGATCGGGAAAGAGATTACAGGTATAGATGGCGAAGGAAACCTCTTAGCTGATAGTGGCACTATCGTTGGGAAAATCGACATCGCGCCTGAGGGCTCAATTGTCGACCGTGTCAAGGAAGCAGTTCCTGAAGCTGCCCCTCGTCTCGACGCCTTGCAACAACAGACTCAACAGGCGGCCGCCCCGATCCAAATCCCATCATTCGCTTCTTCGGTAGCTAACAAGGTCATTGCGATGTACGAAGGCCCCTTTAACATCGGTGAAAATGGTCAAGTTACAGACCAGCAAGGCAAAGTCCTCGGTAAGCTAGCAGAGGGCCAAGACCTCGAGAACCTGGTCGGTAAAGACATCAAGGGCATTGACGGCAAGGGAAACCTCCTGGGCGATAATGAAACTGTTCTTGGAAAAGTCGACTTGGTTCCCGAAGGGTCGATCGTAGACCGCATAAAGGAAGAAGTCCCTGAGGCAGCAAGCCGACTCGAGGCCCTTGAAATGGCCAAGCAGCAGGCCGAGGAGCAGGCTAAGCTACCTGATATCTCCATCCTGGAAGGTATGAAGATTAACAAAGCCGGCAACGTTGTCGACGACAACGGCAACCCAATTGGCAAAGTAAAGAGCGGAGATATCAAGAAGATGATTGGAAAGACACCTGACAAGACTGGGAAGGTTTGGGACAGTCAAGGCAACGTCATTGGCGAAGTTGAGGTGCTCCCCGAAAAAGTCAAGAACGAAGCTGCGCCATTCGAAGACTTCCCAGGCGCGACTGTCGACAAGTTTGGCAAAGTCATATTTGACGGCCGCCAAGTGGGTGTGGTTGTTGGCGACGACTTCCAAAAATTAATCGGGAAGCAGGTCGATGCTGACGGCGACATCCTTGACAAGAACGGTAACGTCGTTGGCCAGGCCGAGCGCGCCGAATCTGAGGAGCCTGAGGAGCCTGAAGAAGAGCTTGTGGATTACTCGATGCTTCGCGACAAGAAGGTTAACAAGCTCGGAAACGTCGTAGATGACAAAGGCCAGGTTTGGGGCCGTGTCATCCAGGGTGTCCTCAAACTCCTCGTCGGCAAGAAGGTCGGTGATAATGGAGAGATCTTCAACGACGCCGGACAAGTCATCGGTAAAGCCGAACCCATCCCTGATAGCGAGCGCGAGGAGGTGAGAGAGCCTTCGCCCTTCGAGGATTTCCCCGACGCTGTCGTTGGTGACGAAGGCCGAGTTATGTTCAACGGTGAACAGGTTGGCATTCTAGTCGAGGGCGACCCCAAGAAGCTTAAAGGAAAACCGGTAGATGCCGACGGAGACATTCTAGACCAAGCAGGAAACCAATTGGGCCGCGCGGAGCGATGGGAGCCTGAAGAGCCGGAGCCGGAGCCAGAAGTCGATACATCGGCTCTGGCTGGTAAGCGCATCAACAAAGCAGGCAATGCTGTTGACAGTCACGGCGATATCTACGGTCGCGTAATCGAAGGTGACTTGAAACGCTTGATTGGCAAGATGTGCGACAAGAATGGCTTCATCCGAAATGAGGGAGGCGACATCATTGGGAAGTGTGAACTCGTCCCAGAAGCCGAGCGTGATGGCATGAAGGAGGGGCCTTTTACCGAGCTTCCTGGCTGCACTGTCAATAAAGAAGGCAAAGTTGTGACCCCTGGCGGCGACGTAGTAGGCCGGCTCGTCTCCGGCGACCCTAAAGTTCTCTTCGGACGGACAGTAGATGATGACGGTGATATTTGCGACAAGAACGGAAACGTACTAGGCCATGCTGAGCGTTGGGAAGAAGAGCCGGTTCCCAAAGATATTAACCCTATGTCCGGCCGAAAGGTTAACCGCGAAGGCAACGTTGTCGACGAGAACGGTGATCTTATGGGCAAACTTACTTCGGGTGTCCTGAGCGAGTGCGCGGGTAAGCCGATCGACGACGATGGCGACGTGGTCGACGGCAAAGGAAAGGTACTAGGTCACTGCTCATTGCTCGCTGAGCTACCCGAGGAACCCGAGGAAACGGAAGAGGAGAAAGAAGCCCGCTTGAAATTGGAGCAAGATAAAAAGATCGCAAATCAAATTGCCTTCTGTATCGAACAGTCACTCGACAAGATAAAGCCAATTTGCAAGATGATTGTTGACGTACGTATACAATTATTTTCATTTCTATCTATCTAATTCCTACATGTTCTAGTCTAAAATACTAATTCCTATTTCTACACCACAGAGAATCGACGCAGAGGAGCGCAAACCAGAAGATGAACGAGACGAGGAAGAACTCGTGAAGCAAGTGCGCCCCCTAATCGAAGAGGGCGGCAAGATTCTAACCGAAGCCAACGGAGTAATCCGTGGGCTCGATCCGGATGGCCGCATCTCCGCCAACGCCAAACATAAGACAGCTGCACGCGAAGCAACCCCTGAAGAATACCGGCTCGCAGATCTGTTGAAGGAACTTACTGGCACCGTGACTGAAACCATTGAAGGCGCCAAGCGCAAGCTGGAGAACCTCCCGCACGCCAAGAAGGCAATTAACCCGCTCTGGGGGCTGCTATCGGAGCCTCTCTTCCAGATTGTCGCGGCCGTTGGCCTCCTTCTGAGCGGTGTCTTGGGACTCGTCGGGAAGCTGCTTAATGGGCTTGGACTTGGAGGACTAGTGAATAACTTACTTGGCGGTCTTGGTCTTACCAAAGTATTGGATGGTCTCGGGTTAGGCACAGTTTTGGCACCCATCACCGGGAGCAAGAAGAAATAGTTTCGAAGTCCTCTACGAATAATGGCTGGGATATTTGGGGTGTGTCCCTAGGATGTGTTTGTATTTGGAGTTATGGGATATCTGGGGTTGGATGGTACATATAACAGCCCCTTTAATGAGTAATAAGTACATAGGATATCAGGTTAGGTGCTTTATAACAACTGTAATAGGTACAGGTACCTACCTAGGTAGCTAGCAAAAGTGTTTTCAAATATTCAAATCGTCAATTGCCAAGTACTTTAGTCAATCTTCCTCTTCTTTACGCGATATGCGCTCAGCTGTGGTTGGGAATGCCCTCGTTGCTAGTGCCTATGGAGAACGTAAGTGCTTGTCCATGTATCTGCATTAAACGTAATGACCACATCCAGACTACATCTAGACCTTGACATGGGCTATGAAGTTAATCGAGATTTCCAAGGTCTTTGTGACGTGATAGATGACGTTTTATCATAATATGGAGGGTATGACAGCTCTACAGGGGGCAAGTGGTTAGTTGACATGTGTTGAAAGGTACGTTCGTTTATATAAGATCCATATTATTATAACCTGGTCTTTGTAAATCAGGCCCAATACCAGTAAATTGATCAGTCTTATACGCTACCTATCAGTATTAGCAATATCTACTGCCTTTAACAATGCCTCGCACATTGCTACTCTGCTTCATACATGGATTCAAGGTATGGTTGAATAGACCTTCTAACAGTTCGCCCCCTAACTATTATATTAGGGAGACGATGATACATTCAAGACCTTTCCAATAGATTTACAGGATCGTATATCGAAGAAGCTTCCTGATCACAAAGTTGAGTCGATAGTATATCCGAAGTACGAGACTAGGGGAGAATTGGGACAATGCTGTGTGTCCTTTTTATCATGGTAAGCCTCGTCCGATTTATTTGCCTTATATATCACCTTATTGGTTTCGCTCTAACGAATAGTCAGGCTGAAAGAGAAAGTGATAAACGTGAGAAAGGCCTATTCCGAAACGCCATGGCCACCGCATGATAGAGATGTAGGGGTAATATTAGTTGCGCACTCAATGGGGTAAGATAACTACCTCAAATAGCAGACTGATGTGAACTATGGCTTATATTGCTTATAGAGGATTCGTTGCCTCGGATACACTTTTCCTGATATTGAAAGAGAGAAAAGAAGGATCGCTGCTATTTCCTCTAGTCCAAGGGATTCTAACCTTCGACACTCCCTTCAATGGTCTTGCGCGTTCGATGTTTGTCTATGGCGCATTCTCAAATTACCAAAAAGTGAGCACGGTCTTCAATGTCATGACTGCTCTTTCAGCTGCACCGTCAGCTCTTGGGAAATCGGCTTTGATGCAGACAACTACGAAACTACCATCTTCGAAAACTTCACGCTCAGTCTGGAAGGGATGGCAACTCGTCGCGGTACGCACAGGAACTGTCGGTGCGATAGCTGCGGGAGGTGTCGCAGCTTATATACACCGCGAGAAAATCATGGATGGTATGCGCAGTATGCGAAACCTCAATAAGGAGTCAGTGAAGGAAGGGTACCAACAAGGGATAGACACGTTAAGTCAGGGGCTAGCTTATGTCAACCGGGGAAATGTTGGACGCTCATTTGAATACCTCTCAGGCCACTTTACTTTTGTTGGCACACTCATGAAGCAACAAGAGCTAAGTCAAAGACTAGAACGTCTGGCAACTCTCAAGGGCATCGGCATCCATGACTTTTACACATCACTGGGGGAGAATGGCGTGTGGAGCGGTGGCTACTTCGTCCCAGAGCGAACATTCTGCGCCATACCAGCCAAGGATCACCAGGCATATCCCCTCTTCTCGCGGCATGTCATTAGAGAGACAGAAGACGAGGTACAGGCACACATAAGCATGTTCATCAGAGACAAGAATGAAGAGTATGAGCAGATGACGGAAGAGGCTAGTAACCTTGCCATTCGCTGGTTCAATGATGACTCCGACATATTCGATGATCCAAAATTCGCATCAGCCCCGCCTCCTGAGCCCGTGGAACAACTTGTGGCCACAACAGAAGACGGTCAAGAGGTCCCGAATTTTGAATGCATCACGGAAGACACCGACACAACCCGAGAGGAATTGGAAGAGGAGGATGATGGCGGAAACAGCATGCCTGATACGTCACCACTGGATATAACGGCTGCGGCATCTATGGTTCCACTGCCAGACGACGAAACACCACCGGAAGGTCAGGAGGAGGAAGAGGTCCAGAAAAGGACATACATGCGATACCTTATGCAAGTAGCGCAGCAAGCAGGTACCGGAGTCATATCATACGTGCCTACCAAGATGCCGGATATGCCTCAAATCCCATCGGGGTCCAGTTTCAGGTCCTATCTTCCTACTCAAATGCCGCAGATGCCAAGTATCCCGAGGCCGTCTGTCAACATGTTCGGCAAGAAACAACAGAAGTCAGCTTCGGAAACAAATGAATCTACGGCAAAGTCGGAGCCCGAAGACAACATCGAATCACTTACAGGGAGGCCGAGAGCCGACAACGGCGTGCACCTATCGTCGGGGCCGATGAAGCCAACTGGCACTGATCAAGATCAGTCCAAAGGTTGACCCTAGTACGTCTAACTAAGCTAGGGGATAATCTAGTGGGCGTCAGGTAGGTAACATAGGGATTGAGGATAAATGGACACCCTAGAAGGTGGTATGAACTAATATTAGAGGAGTGAAGTTTAATTGATAGGATGCCATGTATGCATGTTAAAATCATGAAAATCTACCTAAAGCAATTCGGGGGGCACATCCTGGTTAGTTCGTTGGTATTAACAACCTAGCTCATATATTTTTATAGAGTTGACATCTGCGCATCTATGATCCGTGCATCGCTGGGAATCGCTGTAGTGAGTCAACATAAAACTAGGTGCCGTTGAAGTAGTTATAACCTAATTCTTGTTTCTTAAGCTATGAGGACAGCGCATAGAAATTCCAATTTGCGATGCATGACTTCATATCCCGTGGCCGAAGAAGTGACTGCACGTCATGAAGCATCGCGTTGAAACTCTGTTTGTGTGAAAACCAGAGATCATTTAAGGGACAACCCAGGACCTAGAATTTGACCTGTGCACGCTCACACATACTCGTTTCTCATCAAGCATACTTCATTTCACTAATACAGCCTCAAATCTAAAGATATTCGAAAAGAAAGAAGAATTTTTCGTAACTCCCCAGACCATCCAAGCATGTCAGATAATTCAGGCAACCAAGGCGGAGGCGGCGGGCTCTTCGGCAGCGTTACTAGCGGCTTCGACAACGTCCTCACAGGCGGCGACAAGGCTAAGGGTCAGGGAGGACTTGTCGGAGGCCTGAGTGGAGCGGTTGGCAAAACGACAGAAAGTGCTGGAAACGCGCTCAACCAAACGACCGAAGGAGTTGGTAACACTGCCGGCTCGGCAACTGAGGGGGTTAAAAACGCTGGCAAAGGTGTTACCAATACGCTCGATAATACCGTCAAGGGAGTTACAGGCTCGGGACAGAAGTAATATAACGATTTATTTTGCTACTTCCTGTCCGGGATGATATTGAGTCTGAAATGATAATGAGAGCGCGAACTCTTTACGAACGTTTGGATTTATTGAGTACACGAGCAAAGGGTGTATATCGGGTCAGGAGGAACATGAAGTTTATCACCATATTTATCACCATAGTCCGATAGGCATCATAAGCTTGAATTAATTTTGCCCGTACATACTAGCGAAAACAATTCGACTGAGCAAAGCAGTGTGATGCGATTGCGTGCTTGTTAACCTATCGCGACAGTTTGTTTATGTTGTAGGTAAAACGCTATGGTAAATACTGTAATAAGACGCAGTCTGTGCCATCTGGGTCAAAAGGAGAATTGCGCTAAGGGATGAAGGGATGGGGGTCTGAGGGAAAGGTTTCCACCGGATGCGTCGGGTGTTTTGTTTGGGCAAAATACAGAGTACCTAATATCATTATATTACATAGTACCTAGCATTGCCGCGGCAGGAAATATTATAGAAACGGTTGGGGTTTGGAGTCAATGAACGATTCATGTTGTGCATTACGAGGGGTTGTTATGGGTGACATCGCGGACGAGAGTTGAGTGGGCTTGGCGATCAATTGCGGCATGTACATAGGGGATATACGGTATGATACCCAAGACATCTCTCATGGGGGTTTATTATAAGAATGAGCTATTTAGCAATGATACTACTAATCGCCTGTTAAAACTATTTAAATCATATATGACCCAACCTCCGGAGACTTTCTCGAACGAGGTAAAAGTAACCGTGCAGAATCGCGTCAAAAAAGATGCCCCCCCTAGCCAGTACCTAATATTCCAAAACATACTCTTATTTTCATTGCTAATAACGCTTTAGCAACATAACATATTAATTTAACATATTGTAAACCTGCAGAATAATACTAAAGCTATCTTATAATAATTTTTGATATTAAATTGACCTAGAATTGACTTTTTTCCATTTAATTGAAGTTATAGTAGTATAATTGTATTTGGGTTTGGGATGGGGCATCTTTTTTGACGCCATTCTGCCGTGTTATATATAGGAGGTAGTTAACAAGAAGAATTCGGGTCTAGAGCTACGGATCCGTACCGTACGATAATAATACCTGTCGACCTACCTCTTCATGCAAGACGGTGGAGTTTATCCACCCACCCCCGGATTTTACCCCAGGTTTTGAAGCTCATAGCATCGATATATATGAGACTATACCGTTTTGCGTAAGTATGATGTTACCACTCAGCGGCGGAGCCCAGCGAACCATAGCTCACGGTCACGCGATGAGCACACCACCAGTGTCTCGACAACACCTTACTGTAGTTCAACCCCGCCCAATCATTACGAAATCCATGCGCAGGAACTCGATCAGCTGGTCGCCGATCCATTATGGTTCCCTCGTACTATAGTGTAAGTGCATTATGGAACAGGAGAGCAGCCCAGCTTGGCCAAGGGCCCCCTCTCTCCTCTCCAAGCCCCTTTTTTACCCTCCCTTCAAATTGCCCATTGTTCCCCTCCTCTGATTTCTCCTCTTTCTCCTCTTTCTCTCTCGTCTCACAGGCATTAGCTCTATAGACATCGCTATTATTACTTTGTTTACTATCGTCAACAACCCCTAGCTAATAAGGTAGCTCTCCCATTATTCAATTGTGCTCCAGCTAGCACTATGGTTGGTTTGAGTCTTATGCTAATTGCAATGGCTTTTCAGTAGCTAGGATATTGCAAGCTCCAATACTATTATATTTAAACGCTTAACCAACACACCAATCCATCATGGCGGAACCACTTACAAGGGTAGACTCAGCCGTCCAAGGTCTACCTGAATCCCCGACGGAGAAGCTGGATATCACGAAACCTCTCACAAGAGTGGACTCGGCTGTCCAAGGTCTGTCCGAGTCCCCCCCGAAGGCTAAGGCCTCTCACCGAAGAGCGAGTTCAAGTATAACTGGCCTACTTGGTATAAAAGAAGCGTGTAAGTACTGAGCCTAACATCATTCGCTGCATCGGACCGTAGCTGATACTTCGTCCAAAATATAGGGGAATCAAGGACGAAGCTTCAAGTGGCCCCGGAAACCCAGAAGACGGGATGGTACGTCTTGCATCTTATATTTCCAGCCATACATACAGTCTTGTATTTCCTAACACCTTTGCCTGATATAGGAAGATCAACACGTCTCCTTCGACGGTTGAGGACAAAGAAATATTACAGAAGTCATTGGTAACACCAATAGTGAAGTCAATTGACCTGGTAACAAGGAGTGGCCTGGTGATGACAGCGCGAAATAAGTTCAAGAAGGAGAACGGCGTCACGATCAAAGACGCGTTAGACGCCATCCATAAGATAAACAAGAAGCGGGTAAGCGATATCACTACAAATCCTCTCAAACTGGACAAGATACATGTTCCACCATTGCATCAACACGGACCATGCAGCTAACGAAGGCTGTTTAATGCAGGCCGACGACGAACTTGATGAACCATATCTAGCAGGCTTCGAATGGGTTCCTGAACATACAGAATACGATGAGGAAAAGGAAAAGGATGAAATGGAAAAGGACTGGCAAAGGCTGGTAATACATCTATCGGCAACACCAGGCGTCTCGAACTTCGGCGGCAAGAAGAAGAAGAAGGCTGCAGCCGAATAGATCGTCCTCCCCGTTTGTAGATCTGCACTGCACCCAATATCTTCTTTGGATACCTTGACCCTGTTGTCTCTTTAATATCAATGCAGCCTCAGGGTACTTTTTGGATATATTGTCATCGGTAGCTTGGGTGCTATCGCGGCGTATCTTGATTCGGTATTGGCTCCATGTATCCTAGGTACCTGGCATGTAATAAGGTTAGGGTAGTCGAATGGCAACCATTCGATCTCCTAAATGATCTCTAGATCTGATTACATCCTTGCTTCATTTGACTGGTTCATTACTTTATTAGTAGCTTTACCCCATCTTGAAGGAAAGTTATAGGTACCTCATGAGGGATCGGAATACAGTGGGCTGGGGTCTTAGATGGTAAGTCTTTGTGGTAGGTAAATGATGTTTAAATAACTTCTATCGTATTTATTGGGCATTTGTCTAGTACAGGGTTTGAATCATATGACCCATGGTCTTCCAAGTCGACCTCAATGTAAATATCGGCATAACCAACTCGACGATATAAGTTGTAAGATCCGGCGACTGGTACTAGTGCTAGTCCCGCAGCCATAATCATCGACATCTCTGGATATGGGTGTGACCAGAACAACAGAAGTACGACTTCATCATATAGATCTCGTGAATCATCAAATCTAATTAACGATTTAGAACTCAGTTCACCCTCGATAGGTAACCACGTGCTAGGACAGCAAAGGGTATTGATGCAGTGAACATTGCAAACGAGGTGGGGGGGTTTTAAGGGGCGCAAATCCTTCGCGAAGCAGACAGGCCCCCTAAGCCTGCATATTGCGTCGTTTTTAGAAATTCTCTCAACTCCGAGGAGTTCAATCAAGTGGCACGTCGAATTTGAGTGTGTGCCACCCGCAGGGAGATTGAGAGGCCCATCAACGGAGGCCCAAGACCAAGAAGGCGCACGATGAACCGAAGGCCTATTACTAGCCCCTTCAACTTTCCACAACAAACTTGCAGGCATCATTATCTCCCACATTCCGGCATAGTATACGTCGTACGCTGAGCTAAGGCTTCTTAATTTAGCCCTCATGTCATTTTCTAACCCAGACAAAGCAACTAGCTTATCGGATGGGTAGGTAAGGTCGCATTTGCTATACTCCTGGACAGCTTGTGCCCATTCCGTCAGAAGATTGGCGAGGAGCGAGCTATCTTTCCTAATGGAGGTCGAGGCTGGGTTGATTAGACATTTCCATGTAAACCTCCCAAGTTTCGCGTCAGTTGCATCTAGACCCGATGCCCTATGGGTCAAATTTGCAAGCAAGGGCCCGGCCGGGATTGTCTCACAACAGTTAGTTGTACAGCATTCCCAGAAGACCTGTTTACTTCCGAAATAGAGGTTTCTAGCCGCGAGCATCCGTTCCTGTAGGACCCATCCTCTTTTAATGAGCGTTTCCTGTTGAAAATCTGATGCCCATGTGTTCGTTTCGTCCTTAAACCTGTAGTACGACGGAGGATCTTGCTTAGGACTTAGGTTGATGATTGTAGGTCCGACCCGTTCGGGATTGCGATCAAAGAAGCATCCGCCCGCGTCATCCTTTGAACCAAGCGCAGCGATGTTGAGGAAGCCGTTTCTGTACACTTTCTGCATTATCGCTGATTCTGCCCGCCAGTCGTCCTCGGAATCCTGTACGATACAGAGCCGGTCAATCCAGATATAGCGAATATTCAAACGTTGAGCAATCTCGAAAGCGTCGCGGAATGTCTTTGGCAGGCTATTAACTGGTAACCCACCGCGTAGCTTTTGATTCGTGCTGCTCACAAGAAGCAATTTGTCTTTCGTTGGCCCAGGACCCCAGCAGTGACTTAGCGATACATATCGCTCTGCCGGATCAATTTCACCTCCGGAGACGAGCCTAAAAATCTTTTCTGATTCTATTGTGACAATTTCAAGAAGGCGAGTTGGCGAGAATCCTAGCAGTGATTGGTTGCGACATAGGCTGTGGGACTCTAAACATCTTTCAAGCCAGGTTTGGACCAAGCTCCATGTTTTCACGTCTGAAGTAGAGGTCGATAACATAGAATTGACGGAATCGTTCTCTTCCCCGATTATTAGCTTGAAACTTGGATGTTGCTCTAGAATAATCTCACCATCATGGACAACCAATTCGTGGAATACTTGTTCCATCGTTCCACCTATATAAACGTACATCGCTAGTTGATCGAAGTCACACCGAGTGAAGTCGACGCAGAAAACAGAAAAGTATCCTAGCTTTGCGAGAGTGGGATTTACGTCGTCTTCGTCTTGATCAAGCTCTTTACAAGCTACGCAGCCATCCTCTTTGGATCGCCGCAGCGAATCATAATCGGCGTGATGACCAAAGACATAGTACTCTGGATCTTTTAGTTGCAAGTGAGCTATGGATGATTAGCAGTGAATGCTTGAAATATGTCAAGTTTTACTTACCCAAAAACCCGTCAAGCGCGTCGTCTTCGACATCGGGAAACCGGTGTTCTAATATCTCAGGAATATCTTTGAGCAGCCCAACTCTCTTGCTGTTCTCTGGATCCCATATGCCCCTGAGACCCTCACGGCATACATCGCACAACATCTCAAGTATTCTAAAGACAACAAAGCTCTACAGCCATACCAGTGCTCGTTGATACGTACTAATCGTGAAGGTAATCCCAGCTTCGTGCAGCGACAGAGCAAGCGGGGAACAACAACCCGCCGATGGGCATCATTATAATGGCGGGCTTCGTTTAAGCCAGGAACTCGGATTTGTGTTGTACGAACACTGCCTGGGTCCTAAGGACGTATGGGGCAGCGAGGCAGATTTGTTGGTGCGAGACAATCAGATTCGGGGCTTCTGTCAGCCGCAATAAGCCGACAGGTTTACAGGGGGTCATCATACCCACGACTGTGGTCCGTGGCGCTTATAAGCCAGGATCTGTCTGGTTGATGGCCAGTTAAGTTACCGTTCCACATCGTCGGGTTCGTGAAATTGGCACCTAAACCGCGACCTTTGCTTATCTTTGGTCAACGAGGATGAAAATAGGCATGATATAGGCATAGTACAGACATAGTATATCCAAGCATTGGGTATTCCCAATACTCCTGAAATGTTCGTCTCTCGGTCACATTGGCCAATGGGGCATCCATCAGCTTCTAAGAACGCAGCCAACTACGATTTATCATCCAATGCAAACGCAGTCAGAACCACTACTAGCTCCGTCTAGAGTCGCAGTTATAGCGCCACGTTTTCAGTGCAGTGAGTACCTAACCTACCTAGGTAGGTACTGCTGCTATTTTTGTATTCTTGTGATATATATTGTAATTGGGTGGTATTCCCCACCGCCATAGCGCGCGGTGTGTTCATCAAGAAAAGGTACTGAAAGACTAGTAGTGGTGAGCTGAAGCTTAAGAGGATATGAAAGGGACTTTTTTTTCGTTTTTTTCTCGGGCGATATGATGCCCATATAGTTGTCACTAAAAAGCTACCTGTAAAGCTCCGAGACCGCATTTCGTTAAGAACCTTGCCTTGGGAGCTCGTGACCTATATCCGACTCGAGTCTTGATAATCAACCCGTTAACATACCTGTTAGTTTATTGCCAGACTGCCGTAGTACACTACACTAACATCACGCTACTCGAACGAGTTTTCTTCGCATTGCTACCTACCTTAAGCTAAGACATGTACGATAGTAACACTTTCAGGTAACAGTTAACATATTCAAGTAACATTTCTTGCCCACTAAAAGTGTCGGTTAACTATATCCAGACCCGGCTTTTAACCCATACCCAAGCCCACTAATAATTAAAAAAAAAAATCCGTAAGTTGATACCTTCTTTCAACTTAAACCGAGGTATTTTATACGTAATAACCAATGATAGTGTGCCTTTATGTATTATACGTGCTAAAAAAAAGTCCTTCAAAGTATATGAGGTAACATCGGCGTAACAGAAAACATTATCCCTTGTAGGAGGTAGGTAGCAACCCATAACAGGATAACTTAAGGTACCCCGATCCTTTCAATAGCGGTGGGGCAGATAACTTGTTTCTTTGCAATCGTCCTCGCGCCCTGGCCTTCGCCCTTGCTTTTGCTCTCCCTGTTTTAATATCAAACCGGAGCACGATGCTTGCGACAGCGAGATGTAGGTGCAGCATCAATAACAGCAGAGCAAAGGGCAATTCGGAGGCATGGCACTATGGAATTCTTCGAAAATCAAGTTGGCGAGGTACGATACCTGACTACTCTGGGCGAGACGCCTACTTCGGTACCACCGGTGTCTCCGGGCTCTCAACAACACAATAGCGGCAGCAGTATTACCACCGGTGCAGCTGCCAAGAGGAAGAATAGCATAGATGAATCGCCTAGCTCGAAAGGTCCGGCACAGCAGAGGAGCAAGAGGAATAGATATATCTCTATCGCTTGGTAAGTTCTACTACTAATTCTTTCGTCTCTGAGCGCGCGGGCCGCACGGTAACACGCGACATGCGACATGCCACTTAGACCTTAGATTTGCTCTGTTGACCAAGTCTATGCGGACTTATTTAGCAACGAGTGTAAGCGACGCAAGATTAAGTGCAACGGCGAGACACCATGTCAACGATGCGGAAATCTCAATCTCCAATGTCTGTACGCGCCCAATTGTTGTTCGAGCTCGTTCAAGGACTCGGATGAGTTCAAGCAGATGACCAACAAGGTCAATCAATTACAAGAGCAGGTGGACGCGCTATTTGCGAACATGAACGCTCTGAGATCAGAGGCGTTGCGCCTAGCCCCCATTCAAGATCGACCGTCAACGTTACAATCCGCTTCGAGTACACCTTCGACCTCTTCAGTCCCCTCTATCACGCCTGTTCATAGGCCGGCCGATCTGTCTCAATCCCGTCACCCCGGCTTTCGCGGACCTACGAGCACGCGATTCAACCTAGATCTCGCCAAGAATACATTACACAAGATGGGCTATAGTAACTCGCCTGATGTTGGCGAGGCAGACAGTCTGGGTCAAGACAGCCCTGCGCCATCGCCAAATTTGGCGACCCAGATGGCCAGTACCTCTGGGGCACCTTCTCGGGATCCGTTATGGGAGTTTGATAAGGACGAGTTAGTACGATTATGCCGTGTACATGATGAAGAGATCGGTATCATGTATCCTGTAGTTAAAATCGAGTCGGTCATTCGTCACGCGCGGACTTTGTCTTCGTGGATGGAGGCGGCTAGGAAAAGTTTCATGGTTCCTTGGTCCGGAGAGGAAGGCGGTATTAAAGACCGCAATACTTTACTTCTCAAGATCATCATCTGCTGTGCCATGCAGGTTGAGGAACATGGAAATAGCGAGAAAGCCCATAGGCTCTTTCTCAGTGCCCGGCCCATGACAGATAGGATGTTGATGTCCGACCCAAGCGACGTGAAGAACATGCCAATACTAGCGCTTGTGGTACGTCTTACCTACCTTCATATCAGGTACCTCATTGTCTATCCCATGTTTACATGCGAGCAAAGTATATCCATAGCCTAGCCTTGCCAAAGACTAATATATCACATATAGGCAGGTTATTATTTCCTCGCGAACGACGAAATTCTTGCTTGGCGTACTATGGGACAAGTAGCTCGCCTGTGTTTTGAACTCGGACTTCATCGTCGTGATGTTATCGAACGAATCAATGATCCCGAGGAACGCAATAACGCAATTAATACGTTTTGGTCAGCTTATGTATTGGACCATCGATGGGCCTTTGGCACCGGCTTACCATTTACCGTCCCAGACGACGAAGTTGACCCTCACTTGCCATATCCCGTAAGTAGCTGATGTTCTCTAGCGAGCGTTCTTGGCCAAAAGCCTTTTCTGCCTTATATCAAGGAATTAAACAATTCTAATATTGCTGTGAAGGATTCACATCCCTATCTAGTTGCCATGATAAACTATTCGAAGCTCAGCGCAAGCGTATGGCGGCTTGTACGAAGTTTCGAGCCAAGCACAGAATTCGAAGTGCAACCAGCTGCCATCGAGGAACTTGACTGCCAAATAAAGGAATGGTATAGCAAAGTACCCCGAGAAACGCAGCTTGAATTGGCCGACTGGGAGGCGCTGCCCAGATACCTGAATCCTCCTGTAAACTCACAAAAGGAATATGATATCCAACGGTTACAAATATGGACTTACCTCCGCTTCAATCAGATTCGCACATGGCTATATACCCCTATCTTACATACTCACAGCAGCATCATGGACAACATACAATTCGCTGAGCGTGCTGTCAAACTCGCCAAAAATACAATCCGCTACTTAACACACTTGAATAATACTACGAATATTTATAGGAAGATTCAGGTCTTCTACCACCAATTCCTGTTAGCAGCTATTGCGGTACTCTTCCTCGCATCGTGCCATGCGCCAGTTAACTTCAGCGCGTCATGCCGCAACGACTTTTATATGGCCCTTGAACTAGTAAAAGACCTATCATCCAAATCGTGGGTGTCGCAACGGCTCTGGAGCACCATTAAATCGCTTCGAGAAGTCGCTCCGCGGCTCGGATTGGCCCATGATCCTCACTCCACGGCCGCTTTGACGATGGCTGGATTAGCCACCGGCCAAATGGGGGCACCTCCGACTCTGGTCTCCGGATACGGATCGCAGCCATCGCTTGTGTCGGGGGCACCGCCTTCGTTCAGCGATGTTCAGAACGGGCACCAGATATCGAGCGAGATGTCCCGGATATTCGAGGGCTATATGGGGAAAAACACTAACCCAAATGGCCCACCGAACCCGAGCGAACCGACACCCATTATCAACGAAGGCGTAGGAATACCTTACGAAATAGGCACCAGCGTGTATCAACACTTTAAAGACATGTTTTAGAGGCTATAGCTACCAGCGAGGAGTGATTCATATTTGCATAGCGTATTGGATCTATGAAAGAAACAGTTGAAGGCACATCCATACCAAGATGTCAACTAGTCACCTTTAGTACGAACAATTATAATTCTAGATATTATACGACACATAGCACATAAGTCCTTCTCATCTGAAATTCTTCAAGATCGGCGTCGTCTCTTCCATAGACTATCAGGTACTGTCAAAAGTTATCAGTTAGCGTACTGCATGATAAAACTCTAAGAGCCGAACATGACTTATAAAGACGCGGAAAAAAGACCTTCCTTATATCGTGTGTCTCTTCTTGGCCTCCAAGTTTGTTTGATATCTATATCAGAACAATATTGGTATTTCTAAACGAATTCGTTGTTGAATCTCAGCCCCCTGTATTCTCTCCTAGTGACATCACAGGAGTAGAGAGTAAATATTTGCTCGCGATGTCATCCAACTCGGGTCCAAAAAGCTGCCGAATAGTCTTGAACTCAGGCATACAGAGTTCTCTGAATATTGAAGCTGCTTTGCCACTTTTATCAAAATGCTTGGCATATTTTCCATCCATAACACCATGGAGGTAGCAATCTCCGACCATCTCCCCGGCAAAACCATAGTCCAAATACTGTGTAGATACGCCTCGAAGCACATAGGGGGTTCTCCCACCGGGCAGAACGTACACTCGATCGCTAATGTCTAAACCCTCAGGACCCCATCCAAGAATACCATTCGAAGTCATAAACAAACGTCGCTTGGTAGACATGAATTTTAGTACGTAATCGAAGCCCAGCTTTTCCTGAGACGCTTGGTTCTTGGGTGACGTCCTAGCCTCGAACCATGACCTTAATTCTATCTCATCATCATCTTCGGCCCTTTTAGACCCCCCGGAGTCAAATTTAACGTCGAAAACCAAGCCCGTTAGGCTGGCTGTGTCAATTTCATGGGTGAATTTCAAATCAGCAGGCTTCTTTCTACCTTGGAACCATTGCTATTGCACTAAGAGCGATTCGAGCGCGCTAACGTTAGTCAGGTCAAGTAATTGGTCGTTACAATATTATATCTAGTCAACAGAGGCTGCTGGGATTCTCAAATGGACAAAGGGTATTCTGTAGAAGTCAATAGTTTCACGAGTGGAGTAGATGCGATGCGTTCCAGTAATCTCTCCAGGTTAATAGGCTTTCACGTGGAGTCGGCTTTTCTCGTTGCGTAACATTTTTCTTATGTCCTGGGATTCATCTTTATCGTCCATCTTGGCGGGCTGTCTTGCATAAATGTTATCGACGGCGACCTCCCAAAAAGAATCCAAGGAAGTGTAGCAGGCAAATTGGGTATAGCCACAATCATTATACAACCCTACGATAATTTTCATACGGCGAAGTTCCTCGTTATGGATGATCGCGCTCCAGTCAGACACCCATGACGGAAGACCCCCCTGTCCCTGTTCTTTGACCAAGGTCACCGCGAAGCACGTCAAGACTTCCAGTTGCTGCTATGATGTTTCGAACAACCATGGTATAGACATGAGGGGTTGAAACATGATAATAAGGGATATGCCAAGATTAACTGGTAGGAGTCCAAGAAGGACGCATATTCTATCTCTCTTATCAGAGGCCTCGCGGTTGCTCGTTGCTCGTTGCAATGTGACCAATTGACCCGTAAAGTTTTCACTATAAATATCCCTATCTTCAATTTTGGCAGAGTCATGTAAAAGCTGACTTTCCTGACTATTGATAATACTTTCTGCAAACCAATGTAGTACTTTGGTGTTGTCGGTGGAAAGTTTGTTGTATAATGAATATTCCGCGCTGCGCAAACGAACAATTATAGGGGGGCTACTGAAAAGCTATATTGGACGAGAGTATCTCGAGATACTATAACCTCTTGAAATACCCACATGCGGTTCCACCATCGGCTCAGTAGTATCATGCGAAGACCGTCAAACAATCCCTGTAGCACACTAGTTTTGAGAGACAGCAATGCTTGTATGTGCTTCTCATGCTGTTGGGCCAATAAGAAGGTGATTGGACGTGTGAGCTCCCCCATCACCAAGGAACACTATCACATTAGCAGCATAGCTATAAATCTGTCGCATTATTTGCACTTGGGCTTCTAGCTCGTCAAGGTTAGCTTGATTAATACACTGCATATTAACTGCATCAGTCAGGGTTTCGTAGGAGTTGTATATTTACCTAAGCTATTGGACATGCATATCAATGCGTCAACTCAGAGCAGAACATCAGTATCTTCTCGTCTCAAATGTCTTGGTGATGTGTCGAGGTTTACCGTAATCGTCATATCTATATCGTTAACGGTAATTGGCCTCGTCACGGATGGAGAGCCCCAAGCATAGGACAGCGCTCTATATCCCAACGTATCTTTCAATTCCTTTGTTACTAATTCACATCTTAGAGATGAGTTCCAAATTCCTCGCTCTAGGATGACCAACCTAAAACTGTCGCCCTTAAGCGCATATTCGTATGGTCCTACGGGACGAGACAACAAGATGGACATGTTGGACTGTTGGTCGGTTCAGTTACCGGGCGGATTCGGTATGATCAAGACGACTTCCAAGTTACCTCCAAATTATCAAGTCAGAACTACGTAGGTAGGTATGGACGGGGCCTATGCACCTAAGCCAAGGAAACTCCTGAAGAGGCAATCTGACGTACCTTATTGTGGCTTAGACATTACCGCCTACCTGGGCACCTAAGGTCTACTCTCTGGCAAATCGGCTGTCCCACAGCTTCCTATGGCGATCTGCTAGGTATTCTCAGCCGCAACTCTTTCGCTTCAAGTCTATACGCAAGGTAAATGACCCCTTCCATATCGATATTCTAACTACCGAATACGGGGCGGATCAAATACGATGTGCAAGGATGTTTTAACACAATATTGGATGTAGGCACTAGGTAATGTGACGTTGTATACCAGGTACCTAATGCACCGAACGTAATAAGACTTTGGCTCAGTATAAACAAGCTGACGTTGTAGCTCTCGGCAGGTATTCAACTAACTTATAGGAGCGGGTCGCTCGGAAAAGGATGTCTTCCTCTGCCCAAATACCACATGAACGCACCGTCTTACCTATAGTTACTTCTTATACGGGATACCGGAGTAACTAGCTTCTTTTTATATCTAACCTAGGGTCTTCAATAGCCCTAAGGATGGCGCAAAGAAGGTGGTGCCCGTTAAGGGGGTCGAAAAATCAAGAAGCTTATCATGCAAGCCAGGCGGATCGCCGATGAACATGCGCTTCAGCATCCGCTCAATGACCCAGAGACGCCTTGAGTACCCAATAAAGTATGTTCCAAATTCTTTCGATCCGGGAGATCCGAACGGCATGTTATCCCGGAGGATATCGTGCTCGGTGCCATTCTCGTCCTCGATCGTGGCTAGTGACTTGTGTGACTGCTGCTGCCCTGATGCAGCGTCATCTAGCTCGACGTTATCCAGCTTTTTGCGCCCAATTACGGCTTCCTGTTGCTCGGTAGAGAGCGAATTCCACGCATTCATATCGTGCACATATTTTTGGACCACGACATAGCTCCCACCTGCGCTAGATGCGTCTTCTTCATTGACCAAGACAGAACTCGGGACGGCTGCTCCCACAGGGTTTGCCGTGCCGTCTACAAATCCTAGAAGGTCACGGACATCGAAATAGCGAAAGCCGGCCGTCTCATCCACGACAGTAATAGCATCGCCAAGGGCATCCAGTAGCTGTCTCTCAAACTCGAAACACAAATCCCGTCGTTCCGAGCGAATGTGGAATAGCAAATCTCCTGGAGTTGAGATGGCTGTATGCTTTTCGCCTTGGATAGTCGCGAAGGGACGAAGTTCCGCAGGCCGAGGTAGCCGAGTCAACAAGTCCCATGCTTCGCTGCCTATACCTACTGTGCACGCGAATACGGCGCTGAGGTCCCGTATAGCGACATTCTTAGCGAGTCCATCAATATTAGACAGAACTGAGCGTAATACACCAACAGCCCTCGGCGTATTATTAATAGTAACCACCAAAAAAGTGGCAGCCTGCGTGAGGGGAGCATCCACACATTGCGGTTCAATAGGAACACGAGCGCGGGATTGGGTGCTCATGTTGACTGGGCTGTGTACGTGAACAAACGGTCGGCGATCAAAAGTTCGCGAGAAAAAGCTGGATTTCGCTGTGAGATATCTCCTCAGCTCGTGGCTCGGAGCCGCCCGGAATATTACACTTCGAGATAATCTTGGAGTATAGGACCTCGGAGATTTTGTGTTTAGGGCCGCGTGCACATCGGCCCCCAAAGTTCTAACCGTATTCATGTCAGTTTCATTAAAGGGTTTCTCGCCTCGGTTGGCGAAGTTACAGGAAATGTGCGGATTGCGGATTGCGAGCAATCAGATTTATGAATGCCATAGCAAGGAGATGATAATTGGTCCCTTTTGGATAATTCCCCCCTCCTTTACACGCGCCCAGTGGACGCATGGCGCTTACACATGGTTCACGACTTCGAAGCCTAACGGTTATGCTTGACATCTACATTCGAATTCCAAGTATTATGAAGAGAAAGCCACCGTCCTATCTACTTCAAAGTCCGTTTCCATGAATCCCGATTGGCGCAGAAATACGTGTTACCTACCTGGTTGGTAGATAAGTTAGGTACGCAACCTCGGGACCGAAAGCTCAAAACGGAGACGTCATTCCCATCATCTCAATTTAACTCTGATGGTGTACCAGGTATATCCAGTCGGCGTTTTCCCGTCTCAGCTTTCCAATTTTGTACGTTCCGAAATCTGAGTAGGAATTCATCGCTCCCCTTTTCGTTCGCTTGTTCTAGCCGAGCCCGATATCAACGTCGTAACTTCTAGGTGTATCTCTCTATGCTTTACGGGGCCCTTTAAGGGGCACTCTGTACTGTGTATAGACTTGGTCATAGAACGTAAGAGGAAAAAGTCAGCCAGGTATGTACTGATTCAGAACTGCGCAGCAGCAATGACAACATAGCTCGTAGTATCGAAACTACCTAAATAATTCTACACTTTGTTTTTTTTTTGTTTTTTTTTCATATTCTAAAAAAGAAATAAAGAATATGGGCTAATTATAGCTTCCTCTCTCTTTTACCAACATAAATATCGCGAATTGGAAGGAAATCCCGACAAGAATAGTGTCCCACCGGTGGTGACTTGGGATTATCAGTCTGAGTCACGACGTGGATGGCCGGCGACTTCTTAAAACAATAGAGATGGTTCGGCGACTATTACGCCTCACTCGCATCGTCCACCGCCTTTGATGGTGGTGTGGTTTTGAGGGTCACAAGCACCTTTCCATCGGTATCATCGTCGGTGTAATTCCAGTTCAAAGTCCAAATATTATCTTGACCAGAGGGAACAGCGTACCACATTGACTGGAGGTCCCCGCTGGTCTCCTTATGCAGTAAGAAATCTCCATAAAACACGAAACCAGACCCTGACCTATTATCATCAGAGGTCGAGTTGGAGAATCCGACCTGATGAGAGGAAGATGTCGTGTTAGGGACACTGAACGTCAGGTTAGACCAGGTAGGGTCATTGGCTGCCGTAGTGTTCGGATTAGCCACCAGCGAATTGTCCGAATTGGCTATAACTGTCTGAGAGTTAATATGACTGCATACACGAGAGGCTTTTTTGCGAATCTTACACTCAACCTGGGCGGCTTGGCTATCATTGGAGTGAGTCGCCGTCCCGATGAAGGCACCATCTATTATAGAAATTAGAATCCCTCCATCATAGCAGAATCATGTAGAAACATACCACCAGTTGTAAACAAAGGTGCACCGCCGATGCCATCGCCGTAAGCGAATAATCCAAAGGCTGAGGTTGGGGCACGTTCTACAAGAACAGGTGACCCAGCTGCTATAGCAATGGGGATGCCAAGGATGAGGCTCTGCATTACATGCATGGCTAACGCAGTGAGGAATAATTTTTGAGAAGGAGTAAGACTTGAAAGGAGTGTCTGGTTGAGAATATAGCAGTTCAAGTGACTTGGTGTGAGTTAAACTAAGGGTTGTCCCTGATGGAATTTTTCGATGGAAGAGGTTCTCTTTTCATATCTTCCAGATTTGATTTTCTCCGACTATAGATTCGTCAGCTCTTCATGCGCAACACATGGCTTGTCTAAAGATAGAGTTGCTCCCTCTGGTCTTGGATTCTATATTCGGACTGTGGGCCGTGAGGAGGAACGGAAGGGCACGGGAACCGGAAAGGTAGCAGGGTTTCCATGCAGCAACGCGTAAGCTTTCGAATGCAACTATCTTCAAAACTTCAATGCAACTATCCCTCGGCAAATGCTAATGCCGTTAATATTGATATTGGTGCCGCCCCCGGTGATTGTAAATAGATTAGATAAAAGTATTTATCAATATAATCAGCTAGCCTTCGTAGGGCTTACCAAAAAACTCGTAATACCTACAGCTGACTATTACGCAGGCCAGGCGCAGGGCGCCTCGATGGTGCCCCGAAACCGCCGCTCAGACGCACGCTCAAGCATGGGTGGCTGCGGACGACATATCGTCGTCTCCTAATTCACAGCTTAATCATGCTGTATTAAGGGGTTCTAGATTTTCGTCGTGTCCCCGAATGACTACATCGATAACGTTGGTCCAATTCCGGTGAGCTAGCTGCCGGGTCGTCAACTCAAACCACAGGATCTACATCCACGTTCCTAGCGAGATCCCCTACCTCCCGTTACGCGTACCACTTCAATACGAGAATATCTTCGACTCATAAAACACATTCAGGTGGTCAGGGTTGACTCTGGCTTAACCTTAAAATGGTGAATTTGTGGTCTGATTGTCGGCCGTATACCTTACCTAGGTATTCAATATTGTAACGCGGTACTACACTAGGATGGGGCTTCACGATTCAGATTCTCATGGTGTTGATAACTGCAGCCGGCAGGTGGATTCAGGAGAAGATATCGTGAGCATATAACTTGCCTCAGCTGCGCTCGCAGTCGATAGAAGTTATAGAGAAATATCACCATAGTCATTCCTTGATCTTCTTCAGCTCCAACACCTGAGCCAGCCTCTTCAGCGTTTTACAAACATATAACTTAAAGACTCAGCAGTACTAGAGCCCTTTACAAAATGATCTCTTCAAAATTACCAACTTTGTTGTTGCCATTGCTTTGCGGCACGGTGGCAGCGTCCCCCTTTTTACCTTCTCCGAATTTATATCCTCGTGCAGCATGTTCAGGAAACACTGCTACCACCAGGAATGAGTGGTGTGACTTCTCCATAGACACCGACTATACCACTGAGGTTCCTGATACTGGAGTAACTAAGGAGTATTGGTTGGATATAACCGATGTGACTGTGTCACCGGATGGAGTTTCTCGCTCAGCTATGGCTGTTAATGTAAGTCGGATAGTAGGAGCTTACGGCTGAGTTTTCTCTATCCTCTGCTCTTTTCTACATTTCATAATGTTGTAACCATAATGATTAACTAACGATACCTCTTTTAGGGTTCATTTCCAGGACCAACCCTCTTTGCAGATTGGGGTGATACAGTTGTGGTTCATGTTACCAATTCCATGACTACCTCTAACAATGGCACTTGTGAGTATAATTCCGGCACAATATACCTATCTTTATTTTTCCACTTTAAACTTTAGTATCCTTTCAAACTATTCCTGTTGTGACAAAACGGAGATCTTGATGGCTAAGTATTCAAATCAGCTATCCATTTCCACGGCATTCGTCAGAATTATACAAACGAGCACGATGGTGTCGTTTCCATCACCCAATGTCCAACCGCGCCCGGAGATACGCGGACTTATACTTGGAGAGCAACCCAGTACGGAACAACTTGGTACCACTCGCACTTTGCGCTTCAAGCATGGGAAGGTGTTGCCGGAGCCATCATCATCAATGGGCCAGCTACCGCAAACTATGATGAAGATATCGGGACCATAATCCTATCCGATTGGAGTCACCAAACGGTTGATCAACTCTGGACCCAGGCACAGACCAGTGGTCCTCCGACGATGGATAATGGGCTTCTCAATGGCACTAACGTTTATAATGACACCGGTTCGAGACTTCAAGTGTCTTTCACTTCCGGGACCTCCTATCGAATCAGGCTCATCAATACCGCTATTGATACCCACTTCAAATTCTCTATTGATAACCACACAATGCAGGTCATTGCAGCTGACCTTGTTCCGATACAACCTTACGAAGCGACGGTAATCAACGTTGGTATTGGTAAGTAACCAAAGCTATAGCTGTTTATCTTCCATAACAGGTACTAACTACTTAAAGCGCAACGTTATGACGTTATTGTTACTGCAGACCAGTAAGTTTCCTCCACCTTTTATAACAACTGTCCAGGTATCGGATTTTCGAGTGGGAAGCACCTAGTCACCTCTATGTTGGCCAAGGAAGAAGGAATCTTGTATTCTTTTCTTATGCTGTAAAGATTTGGCAACTGACCTGTTACATTTTAGGGCTTCGGTCGCTGATAACTTTTGGATGCGAGCTATTCCTCAGTCTGCTTGCTCTGCAACAAATGACAACGCGGATAATATCAGGGGTATTGTATCCTACACTGATACTGCCTCGGAACCTGAAACTACTGGATATGATTACGAAGATTCTTGCGACGACGACAGCTCAAATATTGTGCCGTATATCAGCAAAACTGTGGGAAGCACCGACGCTGTTACGGACGAGGTGGCAGGCATCGCAATCACCAATGGGCTTTTTAAATGGACTCTCAACAGCACATCTATGTTGGTCGATTGGGCTAACCCTACACTGAAGCAAGTCATGGAAGAGGTGACGGATTTTGAAACCGACGACTCCGTCCTCCAGCTCCCTGATGCAAACGTGTGGGTATATTTGGTGATTGAGACGACCTTAGCTATCCCCCATCCGTAAGTTCCCAGGCAGTTTACCTTCCCAGAAAATGCTGCGAATGAGTCGCTGACGAGCTTCACACCTAGAATTCACCTTCACGGCCATGACTATTTCGTACTCGCTCAAGGCACGGGTTCATATTCCAGCAGTGTCACACTTAACCTGGATAACCCGCCTCGCCGAGACACTGCCATGTTGAACCCTAGTGGTTACCTCGTACTGGCATTCGAGACTGATAACCCTGGCGTTTGGCTCATGCATGTAAGTGTCGACGAACCTGTGACTTACAACCGAGTTCATCTCTAACTTGATATATACAGTGTCACATTGGCTGGCATACGAGCGAAGGGTTTGCATTGCAATTCGTGGAGAGATACGATGAAATAGCAGCCATTACCGACTCGGACCTGCTCACGGATACCTGTTCGAGCTGGTCGACATTCCAGTCATCGGAAGGTGTTGACCAGGATGACTCTGGGATTTAAAATCGGAATGGAGAATATCGGGTTACCTTTCTTTACTTAGAAACATCAACAATACTACTTGGGGAGAAGTTCGTCGGTACAGTTGTTTATTATGTATATTTGTATATTATTAGGTGTACTTAGGTAGGTACCTAGGTAACCTTCAATATGTATAGCAATGTCGAGTTGACAATACCTATCACATTTACTGCGAGTGATAAAAAGAAAAGAAAAAGGAATAAATGATAAGATTACGGCTAATTATATTAACACGGAATTGGAAGGCACCCAATCAAGGTATGACACGAGATACTTCTTTCGGGTGATTGATTCTTTTATTTTATTTATTGTATTCTCTTTTTATTGGAGGGTATCTTGGAGGCTATCATCAACCACCCATACCCTTCATAAACGGGGCTACACTCAGAAATCGCTAAGAGTCAGAACGAAGCAGTGTTACTGCCTGATTCCTTCAATCGTTTGCACAGAAAGCTGTGGGAGTACATAGTATGTTCCAGGCCGGTTTGGATGCCTCAGGATCGGGGAAGTGCAGTGTGATCTAGGCGGCGCCCGGGTTGTTGGCTGCCAATATGTGCTTTAAACATCTGCCCAGATTCCTATATAAATCTATAAACACTTTACCTTCTTAAATTTATTTTCTTCCCTCTCATTCTCAACTCGTCTACTTTTCCAACGAGACCCGATATACTCCTATTATATCTACCTAGTTAGTCGAGATCCTTCAAAAGGCTTCGCCTCTTTTTATGCTAACATCACACTTCACGAAGCGACGTCTTACATCACCTCGAAGCTCAGTCTTAATCTCGCTATAACTTTTTCCGTCATTTACATGCATTTCGGAAAGGTTTCCGCGGTCGTTATGGCCGTTGCGACTTGCGCGACCGCAGGGCCGTTGGCATACGCGGCTTGTCAATCTGCCTGCGCTGGCGCAACCCTTTGGGTGCCTTTCTTTGGCATTCCGGCCTATGCCGGTTGCCAAAGTTCTTGCGCCCACCTACTGCTAGCCCCTACCCCTTAGGTGGATCATGGTCCTTGAAGTACACGCAATACCTACCTATGTATTGGAGGGAAGATTAACGGGAAATCATTCGGGACATGGATTATTTGTTTGTAGTTTTGGACTGCGCGGACTACCTAAAATTGACAATTGATATTTCGACAAACAGAAAAACGACACGAAATGAAACAATCCTTTGCCATAAGAATACAACCGCGTTTACTTTCGTGTCTAACGTTCGGAGTGATATGTGATATATCATTTCTCTTCCCGCTGTGAAGTCGCAGTTGTAATAGATCAGGTTAGTGTGTACTATGTAATTGCTTCTATCCGACTTTACCTAGGTAAGAGGGATGTTGTTCGTTTTAAGGTACAACCTTAAGTTAGCGTGGGCTTGGCGTGGGTTTAGGGGATGCTTAGCGGATGTTTAGCAGGTGTTTAAGGTGCGATAGTGGGGCTTTGGAATTAGTCGCATCTCGGATCTAACATTTGAAGTGCACTATTTACATGGATGTATCCAGGTAGGTACTGTGGATATTTTATGATAAAAACGATGTTGTATTGTAAACGTTTCTAAATGTGGGGCCAAGCCCCAAGATCCCAGATATAAGCGACATGGATGCTTCAAATACGTAACCACACCACAGTATCTAGGTACTTACCTAGCCACAATCAGTAAGGAATGATACCGTGACATTATCAGATACCACTTTACGTAATGCATTGAAACGCGGAGCCGGTGTGTGTCAATAGGTACTTAGGTACTTCTCCTATTACTAGTGGATCTTGTACGGTAACCTTTACCTTTACAACGTCAATAATAATAACAATGATATCCATGACAGTGTGAGTGGTTTGAAGAGTTGTAATATACAACTACAACTTTAATCACTATAACAACCTAAGGTAACAGGTACGGTACCTAGGTACCTACCGTAAGTACCTAAATCAACTTTATACTAAGGAGTGTATCAATATCTCTGGAATCAACATCAAATCAACCTAATGTCCCAATCCATCGGCACCTCCTACACCTCTTACTCCCCGTACCATTGAGCGGTGTTTCTTAATAACTAGTGGCATGTTTTGTCGCGTTTACGCACTGCCAGTAATGTTCCACGGGCGGCAACGGGTTGCAGCGCAGAATCCGTTGCAGCAAGATCCGGTATACTGCCCGTTGGAGAAGCATGTTCCCCAAGTCGGGATACACGAGCCCTGGCAGCTCACGCTGATAATGGGCTGGGGCGGCCCGACGATAATCGACTGGAGCCCCGTGTGAGTGTCGATGCTGCCGACCAAGGTCTTTTCGCCTGCGGTGTTGAAAGTGCATTGGTAAATAGCATTGTAGTCCGGTGCGTCGATGATGCTGACTGAAATGTCGTTGTCTAAGTCCCAGTATTTCAGGTTAACAATGGCTCTCAGTTAAATGTTTCGCCCAACCTCAAATCTTGGATAACATACTTGTATTAACAACGCTGCCATCAGCAGGCACTGCAAGCTCATACGAAGCTGGGCCTCCATGGAAGGTAAGATGCGCAACTTGGACATCGCGCTCTTCAACAGGATGAGCTGAAGAGCTAGCGATGAGGCTGGCGCCGAACAAAGCAACAGCTGAGAATTTCATAATGAAGATTTCGGTGCTCGAAGGAATTAAAAATTTAAAGAGGATAATATGTTATATAGTGAAGCTGGTGTTTATTATACCAGGTATACAGGAGTGTTTGACTACAGTTGTTTGTCTGTATATTTCGTGAAGTGCCCGGGGAACTACCCTCTTATAGTCGCAAACAGCTTCATCGCTGAACGAAGGTCGTAGCAAATGAGTCTTCTAAGGTCTCTCTAAGTTGAGCCCATCTTACTAGAACACGAGATGTCAGAATACTCCAACTATGTGGCATAAGCACTCGATTCTTTCTACCAAATACGGACTCCAGCCCTTGGCGCTCTTTCTTTTGTCCGCCTCAGCTCAGCTTAAGGACTCTTAGCTGACTCTGGTTAGAGTGATCGTGATCAAACACGAGCTACAAGTAACATGCATCCAATTATGACACTGACTCCGAAGAATTAGTAGCTTATGAGGTATGTATATTCAATGGGCAGTTTCCAGATCTGACATGAGGATAACTCAAATTTCCATTACGCATTAGCTTACTTAAAAGCTTATTGGAATCTTTTAGCATATTACCTATAGACAGGTAGTTGATAGCCGGACTAATTTATAACAAAGCCTAATGACTCGATATTTTACGAGCTTTTTTGCACACACCTCGCTATATCTTCTACTATTATAGTGTCAGCTCATCAAAGATCGGTGAACACGAAGACTTTGAATGGTTAATACGCAACTATACCGACGGTGGTTAGTATAGGACAATTCGATTAGGGCCCATTCCGGTGTTAACACCTGATCCCATGATAACAAGGTGACGTTAGATGACAACATTCGAGGTCCTAGTCTTTGTCCAGCAAATTCTATCTGCTATCGGCTAGCCTAAGCTCATATAGTTCCCTTTTATGGTATTTTAGAAGTCTCTTCTGGTCTCTTATTGGCCCACACTTTGCTCCCGTAAGGCAAGATGTAATTTACTAATAACTACGCCTTTGATGTTCGTTGTACATTCATTAGGGTAATCTGGAAGCCATTATAATATTCCAAGGAGTCTCCTGTTACCGGCCATTTAAATACCTGAGAGTCAGCACTGGGAACCGCAGATTACGTTATTGAATTCGTGAATTAGCGTACTTCTAACCCTACGAAGAAAGAAAGATAGAAATGGAATGAGCCTTTACATTTTCTAGTTCTGTGGGAAACATATTGGTTGAAGTTGAGGAGTATCCGAATGGAGGTACCTATGGTAGGCGAGCTAGTCTAATTACATTAAATTTGCAATATTATAGTCGACGTCCAATTGTAACTTCCCCTGACAACTGAATCTGTCACTTGATATATCCTCATCTTCAAAACCAACACACTTCCAGCACTTCAAGAGCCCCTTTGGATCGTACTTCTTTTTAATCTGGAGCAAAGACGCATAGTTTTCGCCCCACCAAGATTGCTGCCAGTTCGGAGTAAAGGGGTTAGCTTCGTTAGGGTAAGTCCCTCCATCCGTACCTGTTAGTTCCTCCGCAAGAAGCGTTGCTCTTGTCATAGCTGTCATATTTTTCAACCTTTCGGCATAGGACGCATTCCAGACGATTTTTAGAGACGTTGAAATATCCCAAAGAGAATTATACCAGGCTGGCTGAACAGAGGTCATTGGCCTTGTGTGATTTCCCACTGCCAACTTCGTCATGGCATCTGCGACGAAAGGTGTATCTGCTGGGCAGTAAAAGTTTCGCGGATCAAATCCCAGCGCTTGTGCAGCCTTCATGAAATCCATCAACTTGGCAATTCCAGCTTCATCGCTAAATAGCTTCCGTGGTATAAGCCTCGTTGCCAGCACGCGAGTAACACCAGCTGTTGTCAGCGCCCCGGGTAAGACGTATTTATTCCACACGTCAAGAAAGTTGGGGAGAACCTCAATTACACTACTACCTCCATGAGCGAGTGCAAAGTCTGATGCGGTTCTCATGGAACCCTTGGCAGCACCTCCACCATCCGTTAAGTTGGCAATCTCTGGCGTAGGATTCATATAAGTTAAATATGTACCTGCTGCATGACCTCCCCATCCCTGTTTACCCCAAGCCAAGGACTCCCGAGCCATTAGTTCGATCCATTCTAAAGATGTCTCCGCAGTGCCATTCGGAGACAATTTGATGCTTGCGACTGCGACTGGCATCAATGGCTCGACACGGTGAGTAGCTTCTAGCACGACGCCGAACGTCCCCCCGCTACCGCCTCGCAACGCCCAGAACAGGTCTTCATGTTGGCATTGATTAGCAATACGAACAGCACCGTCGGGAGTGACGATCTTGAATTCAACCACTCGATCAGCTCCAAGACCATACACCGGTGACAAGACGCTATGTCCGCCACCTAGAACCCAACCCCCAGAAGCAACAACCGACGGGGAATAGCCTCCGATAAAAGTGCTTCCGTGTTCATGTGCGAAGTTGTAAATATCTCCTGTGCTGACACCAGTGCCTGCGGTAATAGCACGGCCAGCCCTTACGTCCGCTCCACATCCATCCGGCACAAAGTCATCATGGTATGTGAGGCCTTGCAACTTGTGTACCCAAAGAGCGATTGACCCTTTCTGGCTGTTTCTAGTCATATAATCATGACCGCTATTCTTAATAACGAGGGGAACTCCGTGGTCCTGGGTAAACTTCAGAGCTGCTGTAATATGAGAAATTTCCTCGACCTCGATATAGTACGAAGGAACACTGCCTTGGTTGCATGACGTCCCCGGTGCGGGCTCGGGTGCTGGAATTGCCGTGTTATCCAAAAGGCACTGGTCCACGGGGTCTCCTAGACACATCTCACCCTGGAGATGCATATAGCCATTTGGTCTCTCTGAACGGATTGAATTCTGAAGGTATTCCCCTCGAACGAAAGCGCAAGCTTCCTCGTCGGCCTCGACTTTTGCCCCGTTATAAAACGAGTAACACGGTAGCGCAAATGGCCGAACTGAATGGAGACGTCCGTCGACGGAAATGTTGAGTGCCTTCCATGACTCTATGCTTTGTCCCTCGCCGAATAGCACGAGTCGAGCGAGCGACCAAACCAAATATATCTTATATAGACTCATATCAGACAGGTTGGAATTTATGCACAAGTTGTTGGCTGTATCGCGGTATGGTTAGGCGACATACAGCGAATACACGAAGCCCGACTAGTATAGATGAGCTGTTATTATACTACAACGTCAAAAGGTTCGACGTCGTAAAGAAGTAGGTAGTATATAACACGGGTCATACGGCCTTGATCTAATTGGATACATCGCTCCCGGGAATATTTTATGAGGATGATGGCATGCTTAACGCATACAAATCCTACGCAGTATGAACCAATGAACAAAGCCCCCCCGGCAAGCCTACGTTCTACGTTTAGAAAAATAAAAAAACACAACATGATACTAGGTACATATGATTTATAGCCTACGGTAAGAATCGAATCTCGATATGTCTTATATTGGAATGGTTTCCTTAAGGTTGTGCACGGGGTACCTAGCCTCAGCCTCAGTTGCTAACAACGCCCGTGGTATTTCTAGTGCCCGATCCCACTCCTCCCCCAACTGTCTCATCGCTATAGTTGCAGCCCTGTTAGCCCATCCGACCATATACCATCGCTTTGGGCAGCGATTCATAATAGCACACCAGTGAACGAAAATAACAAGAGACGTTGCGTGTTTTTGCGAGAGCGCGGTGAGGTACTGCTCCGAAACAGCGGCGGGCCAGTCTATGAACTGGCGCCAGTTTCGAGGACATCCATTGACCTCGACAATCCACCGTTTCAGCGCTTTGACCGAGTGCAGACATGCGTGTTTTGTTTCATCCGTGGTATCATCAGGATATCCAAGCAAATCAAGACAGACCAACATATTTGACGTTAATTCATCCAGATGCAAATTAGGTGGACGCGAATGAGGCTGGGTGAGAAGCATTATTGAGCTGATTTGCAGGTATGGCGCCAACTCAACAGCTACTTTAGAAGAACCGCGCAGAGCGAAGAGCAGTTCAAGACTGGTGTCCAACATATCGGGCGTTTTTAGAAAGTTGGCGAATTGGAAAATTATAACACCGATGCCAAACGTTAAAACAGCCATCCAATTGGAGCTGTTGATTTTCGGCTGCGTGTGCCTGAATATCATGGAAGCTTCGATATGGTGCTGGTATGCGGAAGTGTACAAGCTCGGGCACGATGTGCTGAGAGACCATTCGTGAAGCTCGTAAAGTGCAATGAAGGATCGCTGTACATATTCAAAAGCACTTGCTAGACGAGTGAATTCTCGAGCAAACACTTGTCTTTCGATATCCGGTAGCAAGGATAGAAGAAAAGTCTCTTCCATGATCTGAATCAACGGACTTATTGTGTTGGGTTCTAGAGCACGTTGCCACGCCCCCCGTAGACTCTCGTTACCATGAAGAGCCTGCCAATTCGTGAATAATTCTATATTTCGGGTATTTTTAAGACTATTGGGACTATCGCTAGCGTTAATCTTCCCAGGAGAAATTTCCTCTTGCACCCTTGCGACTGCAAGAGGGGTTGATTCTTGAGCAGTTTGCGAAATATAAGAGCATGATTCTTTACGTCGATGACAGTTTGAGCAAACAGGAGGTTGTAAATTACACTAAGCGCACTGTCAGAGATTCGGAAGTTAGAAATATACTGGAGGAATGCCTTACTTTAACGCGACGCCTCCGGCAAGGCAGACAACTATTACGGGACTTTTTGTGAAATTTCCGGGAGCTGCTACGACGCTCCTTATTTTGCGCGGATTCCATGGAGCGAAGGAAGCTCAGGTGACGAGCTAAGCTAATTAATTCCTGAATGAAGAACAAAGAACTCGGGAGTTCTATGCGCGGAAATCAAGGCCGATGCAGTCTTTCGGGTACCCCAGAGTAATTCAACTTCTCAACTGATTGATAGATGTCTCAAGCTTTGGTAATTGGGTATCACATCCGCGTTCTAAAGAATCTGATCTCATAATTTCCAAAAAAAGACGTAAGTACAAAAATATCAGATGAAATTGTATATATGTTACGTGTGAAAACTCCGAGAACTTCGGGCTCGTCGGCACTGTGGCACTATGTTACTATTCTAGGGTTAGTGTACGAGCATCCCTGCACGATCTCAAGAATACCCCTATTTACGGTACTCCACCATGTATGGCCGCAGGTGAAGAGCTTCTGAACCAAACCCTCTAGTAGGTAGTTATTGAAATAAAGTACTTTAAACAGGTAGATAATACTATCAAGTAAATCTCCCTATTGGCGGGCCGACCCGTGCCTGTCTTACAGCAGACCATCTTCAAGTACGCTTCAAGTTTAGTGTACGAATCTATCAGTTACGTTTATAGACAGTTCATATGGAGTAAAATGAATCTATTCTCTAGTCGAGGTTATTAGCTCGCGTGTATATAAGACCAGCAACTTCGCAGTTGCTTCCATTCATACCTATCTAGTAGATCTCTGTAGCACGTTGTGAGAAGCGTTAGCTTCAACTCCTTATCAAATCTCGGTATCTTCTCAGTTGCTACAAGATGCAGCTGAGCCGCTTTACCTCCGTTTTACTTGCTTTGCTTCATAGCTCAAGTGCTTGTCTTCACAACCCTATCCATACCCCCCAACTACGAGATGTGGAAGATGCTCTCCGCAAGAGAAACGTACCGGCTGCCGTGAAGACGGCAATAACCAATGTCCGAGTCTTCGACGGCTATACGATAGGCGAGCCGGACACCGTCATCTTCGACGGCGAATACATCACCGACTGCGACGAAAATATCCAGCACACCATCGACGGCGGTAACCGCATCCTCATTCCCGGTTTAATAGACGCCCACAGCCACGTGATGACGGTCGAGGACCTCGAGAACAACACTGCGTACGGCGTCACGACCATATTCAACATGGCCTGCTCGGATATCAAGCTCTGCCTAGCGCTCAAGTCGAACCCGGGCTTAACTTCCGTTTTTACTACTCTACTTCCTGCTCTGGGCCCGTCCGGCGGAAACACTCAGCTCAACCCGGTGCTGCCCGAGCAAATCCTCCGTCCCGGGACGGACCCCAAGGCCCTCGTAGGCTATTCCTTCAGCAATGGCTCCGACTACTTCAAGATCGTAGGTGAATCGGACGGGCCGACACAGGATCAGTATGACGAAATCGTCAGCTACACGCACTCGTTAGGCCAGTTTACCGTCGCTCACGCAGCCAGCATCACTCCGTACACGCGCGCGGTATCGTCGGGGATCGACGTCGTGCAGCACATCCCCGACGACGCGCTACTCTGCTCGTCCGTCATTCAGGCGATGAAGAAGCACAATCTAGCCGCAACCCCGACGATGGAGATATTCCGCCGCGCGTACACCGTCCAGCCCGAGATAGGCCAATTCCTGCGCGGGAACAAGACGTCCAACAACACCACGACAACAACATACGAGAACGTGCTCGCGAACGTGAGGAGCTTATACGAGGCTGGCGTTACGATATTGGCGGGGACGGATGCGGTCGGTAGCACTCTGCCCATAGTGTATATTCCCTTCGGAGATACGCTCCACCAGGAGCTGGTGAACTTGGTGGATATCGGAATGACGCCGGCAAAGGCTTTACGAGCTGCTACGATTGTCCCTGCTACGGTGCATAGGTTGCACGATAGGGGTGCGATCCGGCCCGGATTGCGCGCTGACTTGGTTTTGCTAAACAGCGACCCCCTAGTGAATATCTCCAACACTAGAGACATCGCCAAGGTTTGGGTTGGCGGCATAGAATACCCCAACGTCGCAAAGTCTTGATTCTTTGAACAGGGGGTAGATAGATGTTGTTCTCTATGGAGAGGTATCCTAGAGTATTCGACTACGCGGAGATAATTGCCTCTTATAACTAAGCCTTAGGTACCTCGTTTCTAACCATCGCAGTTTTTATATTGTCTTTAGTCTTTCAACAATACGTAGTCCGAACGCGAAGCATTGGTACGCTTAGCTGCTTTACCAGAAGAGGAAATTTGGTCTGCATTGACGCTGCTATTGAATTATCAGCTTCCTCAGCTGATTCCAGTATGCTGAACGCCTCCCAGCCTCGGACTTCATGTTAGCCTGAATCTGACCAGAAATTTCAGGGGCCTGTAACAGCTTGAACACTACTAGCAGGGAGGTATTCTTACATTTCTCCATTACGATACGCTGCGCTAGCGATCAAGCCGGCCCTTCACCGTCGAAGAAATCCTCATCCAGCAAACCGAGCAGAGCCTTTTGCCCTTCCCACTGTTCCTCGGCGGTGGGCCTTATTAGCTCGGGAGGAAGCACAAATCCAAATTTGCCTGTGTCCCGGAGTTCGATAGTATAAGAAAACTCGGCGCGACCAATACTATAAACATGGTCAGGCGCCGCACCAGTCGTTGGGTATAACGTCGCCCCGCTAGGCCCGAAAGTAAATGTAGTTCCCGCGTCTGAGCTGTCCCGAATTGTCTCGCTCACGATTCCGGCCGCTTTGGTCCATTTGCCAAGCTCCGGCGCGTACAACGTTTCCTTGTACCCGAATGGCGACAGGATATATTGCCCATAGCTATGCCAGTCTATGTATAGTTTAATGCCTGCACCGTCGCGCAACTTACGCACCAGTTTGTCTAAGCCCTGATTTTCCGGTGTGTCCGATGGCGCCTCGCCTTTGTAGCTCTGGGAGCAGGGGTTTGTAGAGGCGCCTAACGGATTTGCATCCCACGCAAATTCCCAATTACGATTGATATCTCGGCCAATACAAGACTGGTTTCCATTCTCAGGCGGTGGCTGGCGGTTTTTACGCCATAAGCGATTGCTTGTTTGAGAAAACACAAAACCTTTCAACTTATCAGCCAACGATCCATCGCATGGCGTAGGTTTTGTGGCACTTACCGTCTGGATTCACAATTGGTACGATATAGAAGTCATATTTATCCAAAAAGAAACTAGTAAGCGAGTCGCCGTTTTTATAGCCAGTGACTAGTTGGAGCGTTATGTATTCAACAACCTTAAAACGTCAGCTTTAAACCACTCGTGCCAGTGCAGTGCTGCTCAAGACATACCGGTGATGTTATCCATTCTCTGGCATGAACATTCCCATGGTAAAGCACTGCCGGTTTACCGGGCCCGCTCGCACCCCATAGGTGGAGACCGTATATGTTTCTTCCCTCATAAGAGGTACCAGATGAGATGAGCTCTGAGTTGTTCGGAAAAGACTTTTGCAAATCCTCGAAATATTGGATGTGATCCTGGTAGTCATGGTACGACTCGTACCAAGAGAGATCGTCAACCTGTCTTTTCCACGCCAACTTCGAATTGGATTCGGCCGCAATTGAATCTCCCAAGTTCTCGTGCATCACTTGGTACTGAATATCAAGTGCTTCGAGCGTGGCAAATTGATCAGGGGAAACGAGAATATCTAGATGCTTGTAGATATCACGGTTCCACTGTTCGTATGCAATTCCTGAGAGTTTCTCTTTCAGAGCGGACGGGTGCCCATACGTGTTGATCCGCAAGACCTTGTATCCATCATATGATACGACATCATTGCTTGGCGGCGTTGGAACGCTTACAACGAGCGAAGCAAGAAACGGGACCAAGAGAGAAACCTTCATTATGAGCGTAAAAGAGGTAGTAAATCAAAAAACCCGGGAGGGAGGAATGGGAACTCTAATCTTTAAAGACACATCTTTCTCGTTATTTATGTACGGCGAAATGTCCTTATATATAAGTACCTACCTAGAGTGTTAGATCCTGGCTTGCTTACCGTGAACAGTAAGGCGATGTGATCTCGAGGAGCACGTTTAATTCTAGATCGTAGCATTGGCAAATGAGCCATCCTACTTTGCAGGATTCGCAATTCGTGCCAATATATAGAATTGGAGGGCGGTCTAGACATTTGCTCGATTTTGGAGAAGTCGCCAAGCTGCTCACATCTTTGGTTGCAACTCTACCTTCCAGATTCACTCTGGCGGCGTTGACTACGTGATTCTCATTACAGATTGCGCCAGTAGAAAAAAAAGGTACCTTACCTACACAGCTTAGGTAGATATATTAATGTGCGACTAATGTCCATCGTAGATTTCTTTTTCTTTTTTTTTGGCAGCTGGTGATGACGGTAGTTGATAAGGTCAGGTATGTTGTTTGTTTGTGAAGCCGGGGGAAAAGGTACTGCATTTGTTTTTTTTCTATTAGGATACCTCGATAGTTGAATAGATTGAGGGGTACTCTATGCAACTATACCTCAAGCTCTGCCTTATCAAAGCAAAGAGATAAGTAAGTGGTCCAAGCTCCAAATGAGATGCCGGATTCCGAGGTTGGACCCCATTAAATTTAATGCCTGGTAACTCGAATTTAAACTTGGAGCTTGCGCTTGTCAGAAATGTCATCATTCGCATCTTCGAAGATTCTACCTACCCATTGCACCTTAGCCGTGGCGCACGATTCGTGACGTGGTCCTCAGTCTTTGCCATCTAAGTACCTAGTCTGTTACCAATATCACCTCCAGCATATTCCAACACTAGAAGGAATTTCAAATAGACGGGAACGTGTGTGTGCCTGTGCGACTGCGAACAATCATGTCGCTGACTAGAACTGAGAGGGTCATCTCGTCTACCCTACGGCGAGGTCTCACCCACCCGACATCTCGAGCTTTGCTTGCTCCGACTTTGGCCCTAGGTGCTTTGAGAACCTTTCACAATACAACCAAATATCTAGCTCCTTCGCAACACGGTTTAACAGGTCTCGGTACCATCCCGCCCTCTTATTTCCAACGCCCCTCCCTCCCCGCCAACACTGTTATTCGTTTCGTACCCCAGCAGACAGCATGGATCGTCGAGCGCATGGGAAAGTTTAACCGCATTCTCGAGCCCGGTCTCGCTATTCTCGTCCCGTTCCTCGACCGAATCGCCTATGTCAAGAGCCTGAAGGAAGTAGCTATCGAAATACCCAGCCAGAGTGCCATCACAGCCGACAATGTGACTTTGGAGCTTGATGGTGTACTGTATACCCGAGTTTTCGACGCTTATAAGGCCAGGTACGTTTGACGGAAGCCTTTCTAGACACCCTTCTGCCTACTACCTAAGGTAGCATACCGTACTAATACCCTTGCCCTCCTCTAGTTACGGCGTAGAAGATGCCGAATACGCAATTTCGCAGCTCGCCCAGACGACCATGCGCAGCGAAATCGGCCAGCTAACCCTCGACCACGTCCTCAAGGAGCGCGCCGCCCTCAACATCAACATCACCGCAGCCATCAACGAGGCGGCGCAAGCCTGGGGCGTCACTTGTCTGCGTTACGAGATTAGGGACATCCACGCCCCGGATGCCGTCGTCGAGGCCATGCACAGGCAGGTCACAGCCGAGCGATCCAAGCGCGCCGAAATCCTAGAGTCCGAGGGCCAGCGCCAGAGCGCTATAAATATCGCAGAGGGTAAGAAGCAGAGCGTTATTCTGGCCTCCGAAGCCCTTCGCGCCGAGCAGATCAACCGCGCCTCCGGTGAGGCCGAGGCTATCCTCATGAAGGCCAAAGCAACCGCGGCTGGAATCGATGCCGTCGCCCGCAGCATCAGCAGCGGAGGCTCTTCCGCCCAGGGCGCTGTCAGCTTGAATGTTGCCGAGAAATATGTCGATGCCTTCGCCAAGCTAGCGCGCGAGAGCACCGCTGTCGTCGTACCGGGCAATGTGGGCGACATCGGTGGTATGATTGCTACAGGTCTAAGTGTCTACGGCAAGGTAGGCGAGGCCCAGAGCCGCACCATGGCCAAGCAGCTGCTAGAGAAGGGCGAGAAAGCCTCGGAGGAAGCAGCAGGACCTAAAACCAGCAAGAGCGTCGTCGACTCGATGGTGCGCGAATTCGATAACACCGCCAAGAGGTAGTAAGAGAGAGAGAGGGAAAAAAAGGCGCAGCTAAAAGATCTTGTCATGGGGAACAATTGCATTATTACGATTTATGGAGACCATGAGAAGTGACGGGAAAAGGAGGAAAGGGGACGGAAGACTTAACTGAGCTGGTAAAAAAGCTCAGCTGTACCACTAGGACGCATATCTTGTATCTCCAATTGGTATTTGAAAAGCGGCGATGGGGGGAGGGAGGTGGGGGGACTATTTGGTAGCGGTGAAGAAAAAAAAATGTTATAAAAAGAGGCAGAGCACGGCGTCGGCGAGCATTACGGGAGGGCATATACAGTCCTGCTATTCCCTTTAACCTCCTTCACTGACATACTCCATATTCCCACCTTACTCATCCAACTCATCCTATGTGCCGACTGTATTTTTTTCGGGATGTCATCGCATGGAACAAAACTCAACTCACGCCATTCCGGAGGACGAGCTGAGGAGGCGGTATATGTTATATAGATGCATACAGTTTTACATTGGAATGCCACGAATGTAAATCTACTGTCGGCTTGAAGATAAATAAATTATAGGCCCCTCCCCCGCCACAATTTCTCCATTGGGTTCGTACATGTAATAAAAGGTACCTAATGCTTGAAATTGATTATTATTATTCAAGTAACCTGATAATAAATCAGGTCTAACCAGTCAATGCAGCTGATGAATCTACATTAACTAGCCCTTTATTATCATCATGCTTCAGATACCTAGTTCCGACCCCACAACTTCCAGTGCTTTCGTTAGCAGCTTCAATATTCCCTCGTCCCCGCTCGTCCCCGTAACTTTGATTGCACTAACGAGCAGCGGGTATAGCCTAAGTAAATGTTTACGACTCTCACTCTCAACGTTGGGTGTATCTGGAATAGCTTCCGGCTCGCTCTTAAGCTCTACTAACCTTTCCAGCACCCGTGTGAGCTCCTTACGTTGGCTGAATGGCTGCGGCATATGCCCGCGCAGCGGTTGATCCGCGATATAGGCTCTCAATGTTAGGGCAGCTCTCAGAATGAGATACGGTGCTGCTGTTTTCGCTAGTCGCACGTACAGAGCATGTGGAGGTTCAAGCGTCATGTTACCTGCTGTTGATGATAAGCTAGGCGGCGGGAAGGCCGGCGTTGGCGGCTGAACAGTGATATGAGGTGTTGATAGCTCGTTCTGGTTTGACACCAGAGCGAACAACTCATCCAGGCAAATGTAACACATCTTCTCGCGTTTTGCTGGAGATGGATCCACCGTGCGACCCCTTCGTGGTTCATATAAGTTTAGGAGCCCAACTACATCACTCTCACCTTTCCCATATATGAGAGACGATTCCGCTGGGGCTGGTGTATGTATGATAGACATACGAAATAGGTTTTCTGCAAATACTTTCCTCGTCCTATCCGCTACTACCTCCGAACCTAAGGAGGGTATGATGAGCTCGCGAAGTTTCAAAAAGGAGGCTATATCGATGTTCTGATCTTCTGCAATATTGACCCGGTCCGGTGGTGCATCACAATCCGCACTAATGATTCCGTTCGCAATGGTAACAATCATTTCCCATATATCTTGTAGATTGGACCGTGAAATGTCGAGTTTCTGGAGTTGTGGGAGAGTTGCTTCGAGAATAACCAGAGCGGATGTTGTTGATTGCTTCCATGGCTGCTCCGCCTTTGTGATAATGGGGAATTGGTACTTTAGCACAATCGGCTTCGACAAAGCAGTCAACGCAATCAGAAATGCGCCATCGTTATAAATATTCACATCGGCGGCGTGATTGACTATGAGAGATTGGAGGATTGACATGCTGGCTTTCGACATGGCAACGTAAGTGCGTTTCTGTGAATTTCGTTGGTTCGACATGTCGTACTCTTCGAGAAATGCCAGAGAGATAAATTCGGATGTTTGGGATATAAGGGCGGATGGCGCCCCGGGCAAGTCGGTCCGGAGCATTTTTATCACATCCAGAACCTGTCCCTGCAAGGGCGTGACATGCTCAATATCAGCCACATATGTACCAGGAGTCGCAACTTGCATAACTTCTCGTAACAGCGTTAGCATCCGTCGAATACGATCAACAGTGAGATCGACTTGTATGAGGCGATATACATCGCGAAGAGCTGCGACATAGGCAAGAAGACAATTCTGGTTATCCGTGATTCTTCCGGTGTTGCCGGACCTTGAAACTGGGACTCCGCGGGACCACAGATCCCAGGCTAGATCAATTGTAGTTTTGTTGAAATTCTGTTTTACGCCATTCTGGCCTTGAGAAAGCATCTGGGTGAGAGCTTTGAATGTTGCCGTGCTAATTTCCAAAACTTGGAAGTCAAGTAACGAAGCAAAATGTCCTAGGAGCTGTTGCCAGTAAGAGTTAAATGTCGGGTGAACAGTCAACACATCGAGGTAACTGGCAAGAAGGCTAGATATTCCGTTGAGCACAACAACGGCCGTGTCGTACCAGTCATGCCGAGTTTTTTCATTGACTTCCGATCTTCCTACGTTCGTAAGCTCTTTCTCTATAGAGGAAAGGAGCTTGAATATAACCGATTTTATACAGACAGACCAGGCCTCTGGACTGAGCCTGTCTCCGTACGCATCAAATATGCGTAATAGCGTCTGGATAGAACCTTGGATAGCTATTAGCATAGTTGCAAATACACTCGCCTGGATACTTACTGTTTCTTAAATCAAGTCTCTCATCGGTGGTCACGGTGGTCAACCTCAATAGGAGAAGCATCCACAAGGCTGAATCAGACGATGGATCATCCGCATTTGAGGCCTTCTCGACCAGTGACACACCATCGGGATCATCAACAAGACTATCAGTAATCGGTAATGATCGACTTCTGCCTGAAAGAAAATCGGAGAGAACCCAGAAGAATGTGACAGTCTAGTAAAGAAACCCATATTAGTGCATCAAACGACAATAGAGATCAGTCCAAAACCTACCGTCAGTGCGATATTCAAATCGTCGTCTTGCGAACAAAATTTGTACAGGGTATCAACAAGAATTAAAAAGCATGACTTAGGTAGTGACCCAAGGAAATCAGAACAGATCAACTGTAAAGAATTAAACGCGGACCTAATGAGTTTTCCAGACCTTGTTAATAATATTGGTGATTGACTTTCGGCATCTCGTGTACCCTCGTCGCCAAATCTCCTCTGAATGAAAATGCTACCAAGCACCTCGAATGTAATCTCCCAGCCACTTAGAAGTGCATCCCCACAATCATCAAGGAGGCTTTTGAGGCCCTCGAGAATGATCTTATGAATATCAACATCCGTCGAATGAGTGACAACCGAAGTGACACGGTCTTCCATTTGCAAGGGCAGTAAAGAATCACGAAGCGCTTGTAGTAGACGAAGCTGAACTCTACTACGTGTCTCGTCGTCGAGATTAACGGTCGCTTTAGCAGCTTCTAATACAAGTTGAACGAGTATTTCCGCAGCGCGAGTGCGAATCTGTGCAGCCGTCGGGGCGGAACTTAACGTCTTAATAAGTTCAGACGTAATCCGGCCCCAACCAGAGACCTCGGGAGAATAGCTAAGGAGTCTCTCGATATTAATAGCGGCAACTTCACCAATCTTTGCGAGAGCAAATTGATCCTCTTGGCTAGGTCCTGTGGGTACTGTACCAGATCCGCTAACAAACCTCCGGTGTGGTCCATTTGGTGTCCGAAGACCTGGGATTGGGGGCGACGAGGAGGGCGACGACTGTGGCGGGCTCGACGGGTCCGAAGCTGGGTCAGGCTGTCGATCCAAGAGACTGCAAATTGCGTCAACAACTTCTACAAAAGCAGCATTAGGAAAATCAACTGTGCTTTCGAATAGTCTAGATGCCGCTATCTCAACAGCTCTAATTTCGGTACCAAAGTTAGCTAAGAGTGAAGTAGCTTCGTGCTCTGCTCTTGAATCAGGGCCCTTTCCGGCCAGTGGAGTCCTTCCAGGAGATTTTCCGGTTGTAAATAGAACGAGATCGGCCTGCTGAAGCGTTTCCAGGACAATCACCCACGAAGAGCTTAATGTTGGCCCCAGAGCTATCCCCAGGTTCAAGAGCGCTCTCAAACATAGGAGATTTCGAGTATTTAAAGTCTGCGGTATTTTGTTGGCGTCCATAGATGCCTGCCTTTGCCTCTCACCAGCAGCCCCAACCGGGGTTACCAGACTATCAACACTCAAGAGGCCCCTAGCATTACTTAGGATAGTGTTCGGGCCCTCAACAGCGGGGCTAATACTAGAAGATTTGGGCGTGCTTGTATTAAGACAAGCACTGAACACATTCGGTGGGACAGCCGCTTTGCCTAGCGTAGTAAGGAAAGCATCCCTCGGGGTTGCGAGATGGAGCAATCCCGCAACATGGGCGAATTTTTGAAAGGCTCTAACTAAGCCGTGGTAGTATTCTGAGTCAAGTGCAGCATATAAGAAGGTAGAACATGTCGCGAGGATGGCTGGCCAGCATTCATCGATAATAGCTGCACATATCTTGACCTCATTATACAAGGGGTGATCCTTAACAGCCAGGGGATTGAGGGGTACAGGATTCTTCTTGAATGATCCGGATCTCTCGATGGAACTTATCGTAGCAGTCCTCTCCACAGATTTGTTTTGAGCTCCATTGTCGTCTTCGTTCGGAGCTGGCGATTCTCTCCCCATCTCTTGCTGTTTAGCACTGCGTTTGCGAGCTCGACTGTCAGGAGGAACTGTAAGTGGCAAGATAAACTTAGCCAAGCCCTCAGATAAAGAAGTAATGCAGGATAAAGTCAACGCATATACGTATGACTCAGGGATCGCTGGCGGCTCAGTCTTATCTAACTGATCTATGCAGGCAACTCTAACTGTACTCCACTGAGAGCTGATTCCTGTATTGTGGCCTTCGCTGACGGATCCGCCAATAATTCCAGTGACTCCGCTGGCTTCCAGCATTGCCTGATCTGAAGAGCCGCCTAGATTTGCGTAAGGGTTCGCTACGGGAATGGTTGATTGATGGCCAAGACCGATGACCACTGGCTTTTCGGTGCTAACTCTAACAAATGTAGAGGTCAAGTTCTTAAGAATATCTCTCTCGCCCTCTTTAGAATCGTAGAAGGCAAAAATACGTCTAAGAAGAGGAGGTTCGGAGAATATACCGCGAAAGACTTCCATGCATAATGCTCTCCTCCAGGTAGCTGTGTCTTGATCTAACAACTGGGTGAGAGTATCAAGAGCTTCGCCGCCTTCCGATAAGAGAATATCTAGATGTTTTCGCAATAACGTGTATAGAATACGTACAAGTCGAACCGAAGTTGCAAAGTTCGGCTTTCCGGATATTGCCTTGATCACAAAAGGCATTACTCTTGTGCGAAGTATATGGGCTTGTTCCGGATGACGCGATTCTACAAAGATGGCAGCATGTTGGCTCAAGACTGATTCTATCAACTCCAGGCCAAATGTTTGAGGAAGGCCTGTAAACCGGAGATACTCCGGCCGTTGATTTTCGGTCATTAAGCAGATATCCCTAAAAATATGGTAAGCGTCCATAGACGCAGCCCGGAGTTGAACACTGCCATTGCTAGTAGGAGCATCGCCAACAAAATTGCCATCGGATGTAGATTCTGAGCAAAGTTAGCTTCTGCACCTAAGTTAAGAGCATTAAACTTACTGTCTTCAATTGCCACCTTTTCAAATACTGTCATAACAAGTTGCTGGAGCGTAGCAGCAGCAGTATTGTTGACGATTCCATTCTTGGTTGTCTGTAAGATGAAACAGATGTTCAGTACAGTGACTAATAGATCACCTTGGATCTCTTTCGAATAGTTCTGCAGTAAGCTAGGTAGAGCCTGCAGAATCTTAAGTTGCACATCAAGGCCTGCAGAGGTAGCCTCTCGCAGAGCTTCTAGGACAGGGCTCAGCTTGGACCACGGGAGCGCAGTAACAAGGATGAGCCGCGACAAGCAGACAATGGCTATCCCAGTAAATTTGGCATTTCTTGTCCCGCATGCGATAACGAATGGATTAACAAAATTGACCTTCTGGGAGAGTTCTGATTTCTATCATGAGCATTTTCCAATAAGAAAACTTGTCTATAACGAGGACATACCAGCAGCAAGTTGGGCTTCATTTGCGGCACGTATGCTCTTGAGCTCTTCTAGGGACTTCTCAGCTGCCTAAATGAGGTAGGTAATGAGTTAGTTAAGACCCTTATGTTAAAGGAGTAAACCTAAGGGTTCTATAAACTTAAAGGTGCAGTTGGGGAGAAGACATGCCTGTCTAAGATCGTTATGCTTCCTTTTACTCTCTTGTATGAGATTGGTTAACTCCGTGGAGAGGAGCTGAGTGGTCATCTTGGCCAATCTGGTTGAGTAGAATCCATCTGATGAAAGTTGTTCTAAATACCTAGGTATATAAAAAAGGAGATTAAAAAGCCTAGGTCAGGTTACGTCTTAAGTTAAACTTGTAGTTTCACTGCTGAGCTTCAGGGTTCTTGCCAGATTCGTCGTAACTGCCCTGCGATGCGGGATGCCGGGAAATTGCTAGGTGTACGAAGTAGGTGTAATGACTAAAAAGCTGCGCCACAAGCACACGAGTTTCAGCCATCAGACACGTGGGTGTACTGTACTAGGGTGTACGTATTGTACAGTACAACGCGACAAACACATGCTAGACCGGCCAGCTGCAAACCTGATACGTCAATACGTAATTGCCAAAAGACGTGTAAAGCACCCTTGCATGTACATAGTAGTACAAAGCGCCTGGCAAAAACCCCACCATCCCGCATGGTCCATTCCATCTTTATCATCGGCATGAGGCTGAGAGCTCTCATTCTCACACTTTGAACACATTTAAACGGCACAACCACACATAGTCAGATTAGGGCGAAAACTGCTAAAATTACTTCCGTTCAATTAGATATTATCTACTGCGGAATCTAATTTCCTCGTCAAATATGGGTGCGAAAGTCCCCCGAAATTTCCGCCTTCTGGAGGAGTTGGAAAAGGGAGAGAAGGGCCTAGGAGCTGGTATATACACTCCTCTATCTCCTCGTCAAATCACCGATTTCAGTCCTGTCGACTGTGGACTGTGGATATCCGCTAACTTATGATCTATGATATCTACAATAGAGGCGTGCTCCTATGGTTTAGACAACCCCGAAGATCTGCTCATGTCCGACTGGAACGGTACCATTCTTGGACCTCCTCACGTTAGTTGCAACCACGGCGGCCCGTTTGTTCGCGATCAAGTTTGGGAAAGCTAATCAGTTCTACCACAGAGCGTGCATGAGAACCGCATCTACTCTGTCAAGATGCACTGCGGCGAACAGTATCCTGATAAGCCACCCACGATCCAGTTCGTCAGCCAAGTCAACCTGCCTTGTGTCAACCAGAAGAACGGAATGGTGGACCCGAACCAATTACCTTGCTTGGCCCACTGGAAGAGAGAGAACACCATGGAGACCATCCTGATCGAGCTCCGAAGGTTAGTTTGATAAAGCTTCTAAAGAGTGCTATCAAGTCGGATTAGAGGTCACAGGATTTCTAACCATCATTTGACAATAGATACATGGCATCCGGCCCGTGCAAGAAGCTCCCTCAACCGCCTGAGGGATCGGTATACTCCGGCAATTAAGATGGTTTATGCATAATACCAACGGGTGGTATATCAGCATTTAATATCAACTCGATACACAGTCCTTCGCTCTCTAGTCCTTAGAACAAGACCCATGAAGGAGAGGACGGATATCACGAGTTCCTATTATTAGGTACTTTTGGACTTACGATGGCTTGTAGGTACTATGAGTACTACTGTGGGAGGCATCTACCCAAGGGGAGTTTACGAATTAGCCAGTCATAGCATTAAAAATAAGTTAAATCCTGATGTGAAAGATGCCAACCTTGAACCCTGAGAAATGGCCTTCAAAACTTCCCTATCCATCCCATATTATCCATTCTAAGTTACCTAAGGTATCATCACATATGTTCGGGTTCCTATAAATTGTAAATGAAAATACAGTAACCTTTCAGCACCTATGCCATCCCTGCTAGGTAAATGCATTGGTTGTATCCTGTACATGTTCTTAATGCCAATTTAAATGCACGTGACAGCGCGCCAGCCCAGTTGTAGCGGAACCGATTTCGTCATAAGTTTTTTTTTTTTTTTTTCTTACCAAAAGCTTTCCGAACCTCGCCCATAAAATTGATATTTCCCCGCGAACTCGGAATTGGACAAGATACCTCAGAGGTGACCAACGCAGGAGCCTCCGATGTCCACATGCCACAATTCTTGATACCTGCCCGCAATTCAAGGCATCGGACAGCATGTAATAAATGCCTCTTTCCTTTATATTATACATACAGACATAGTTACTTCTTTCCACCCACTTCTGTTCAGATACTACCTAACCTTAGCTACCTAAGACTAACAAGTAACCAACTAACAAAGAAACAGGCTTCGCTCTCTACCGCGCGCTCTTGCGCCAAGCCCCGCTCATCCCTCTACCCGATGACCTAGCCTCTTCGCGGGGCCCCGTCAACCCCGTCAAGCACCTTGTGCGACGGGCCTTCCGCCGCAACACCTCCATCACCAGTCCGCGCCTCATATACCCCGCTCTGAAGGCCGGGTACCAGATCCTCGCCCTCCTCAAATCCGCCACCTCGTCCTCCCTCGAGAGCTCTAACGCCGACCATTCTTCCATCCTGTCCTTCCTGCGCGAGCGCCTCGAGGAGCGCAGCCGCTCGCTCGCCGCCAAGGCCGCCCACGCCCCCTACAGCCGCACCCCGCGCCCGCCGTCGACGAGGCCCCGCCCGGACGCCGAGCCCCTCCTCGTAAACGTCACGCCCGCGCCCACGCCCCAGAACCCCAACCCGCGCCCCGTATACGCGACGCCGTCGCGCCCGAGGCCCCTGGAGGAGCTCGGCGGCTCCGGGCGGCGGCGCGTACCGCACATCGACCTAGCGTCGGACATCCCGTTCCTGCGAATCAAAAAGCCCCAGCCGGCGTTCCTAAGCCACATCCTGAGAAACAGGATCAAGAAGCGCGTGCAGCGCTTGGAACTTGTACAGGCGTTTCACGAATGGGATATACCCTCCGCTGAGCTCGAGGATGAGTGGGAAAAGATGATGGGCACCATGCTGTTGAAGCACGCGAGGTCGGCGCGAGAAAAGAGAAAATGGAATAGGGGTGATATGGATGACGGCCGTGGTGATGATGCTCTTTTAGACATGGAACTGGCCGAGGCGGAGGCCATACAAAGCGACTATCGAAATCACGATACGTTCCGCCAGACAGTCTACGTACAGGGTATCATGTACACGCAAGAGGCGCTAAACCGCGACCGAGAAGACCAGGTCGCGCGGGCAGAAGCCATGCGCAAGCTAATCATGGAAGAAGCGAAGCTGGCTGAGCAGGAGAAAGCAGAGAGGGATGCCAATAGGAGGAAGCGCTGGGAGGAGAAGATGCAGGAGTTGCATGGTGAAATGTGGAGGCAGCTCTTCCCTGACCTAGACAAGGAAGATGGCTTGAGTACCTAGCCGATGCACCATTGTGCTATGTACCTGTCGAGCTATCATATCCAAGGTGAAAGAAATCCGGATAATGCAAATTCCAACGCCATCTCAAACTTTGATGATACATTGCGAGAAGACGCACTGTATTTACCCTTACCTAACTCCAACTCAATCCTAAACTAACCTTGTGATCCAAATAGCCACCTAGTACCTAAGCAATTACAGCGTCCCAAAATGCGTTCACGACATCTTTTGGTCTAAAAGAAGGAGCACGGCCAAGACAAGTGACACATGATATCAAGCCTGTTTAAGCGAAGATCAGAATGACCATCAAATTATTCAAGGAATGGAGATGACCTTACCTCCAATAAATTGGTTGATATCCAGGACGACTCTCCTCGGGGTTAGAGCCTCTGGTTCAGTACCTGGAAAATAGTAGGCCGAACTATCGACGAATGCATTGGCTGTCATAGTGTCGAGGCCAGTGAAAGATGAAGCCATTCCCCCCATATGCTGTGCACCGCCATAGAAACCTGATGACGCGGGATTGGGTGCCCAGGGGTTATTTGATCCTGACGGAGGGTTGGCACTAGTGATGGTGGTAGTATCCAGGCCAGCTGTAAAAGTAGGACCTCCTAATATAGGCGGACCAGTAACAGATGTCTGTGAGGTAATCGATGCGTCAATATGCGGTATATGTATCCCATTTGGGGGAATATGTGGCATATGCTGGGCATGAGCTTGCAAATGTACATCAGAGAATGCCCCTGGATGAAGCTCAACAGTATGTATATCAGCCGCTGTTGGGATAACCACTCCGTTCTGTGCAAGGTAAGCCTCTACTTCATCTGCGTCGAACCAAGTGCCCTCCCAGCCGCTCATATTGATGTACTGGGAAACACCTAGCATGGTATCCCCTACCCTCGTTGTTCGTTCGTTGAAAGGTCCTGTGCCGAATCCCGAACTCTGGTAGGTTGATGACCCCGAAAGGCTGGGAGGGCCTTCTTGATTTGGGAAATGAGTCCCGGAGCCTCCGAGCCTATGGAAAGGGTACTTCCAATTGCTTAAGGGATCGTTCTTCTCCCGATCAAGCATAGCCAGTGTTCGCGATCTGATTTCGTCGACAGTTTCAAAAAGCATAACGAACCCAAAAACACGCCTCAGCCTAGCCGGAGGAGGATGGGGCATGCATATGAGAGCTGCAGCCCTTTCGGCAGTGTGGCGATGCAATCTTCGAGCAAATGTCCACTCGTTGAAAGACATGGTCCGCGGCCCTGTGAGCCGGTTCCATGGATGATGCGCCCAGGAAGAATAAGCTGGATTTAAAAAATTTGTATCAATAGACAAATTTGGGCCAAAACTAGCGTTTTCTAAGGTCGGCACTGTGATCACTTCGTAACTGTGGGTTTGAGTATTATTTAACATAGGGTCTAGGGCGGATATCGCAGCATATTGCGGCTGGGCTGCCGGTTCATGGGAAACTGTAATACCTCCCCATAAAGCTGGCGTCTGATCAATCTCCGGTGCAGACACAGGCGGCTCGCCATGCGTAGCGGTACCATCTGCAAGATCCTGTGCTTCCCTCTGGTCCTCGCCAGAATGTCCTTCTGGGCTTTCATTTTCGTCGTCAATTTGAGGATTTCCCTGTTCTTGAGTCTGTTTGATAAGTGTCTGAAGCTTTTGAAGCTCCTCGCCAAATTCGGGTGCCTGAGCTAGGAGTCCACGCTGAGATGCATAATTGAATAAATTTTGATATGCATTATTAATCTCGTTGTTTACACTCTGCAAGTCGTTTATCTTCGCTTGAAGATCTGTGATAGCATTTTCCTTTCTATTACGGTACGCCCGCTGCGCAAGTCGTATTTGCGTCCGTCGTCGCTAGGATGGATGTAAGTGTTAGGTAAATATTCGATAACTCCCAGAATTATACCTCTTCAAAAGCGTAGTAGTGGAATACGAGTTCATGTTTTGAAGGAGAATATACATTAAAATTGGTATAGTGAAGAAAATTTCAGATGTTCACTAACCTCGCTAGGAGTTTGGTCCTTCGTTTCAAGGCGCGGACGACCGCGGGACCGTTTTGTCTCTTCTGCCGGACCCTCCACCTCACTCTCCGTTGATTTCCTTCCCCTCTTTCTGGAGTTCGAAGCGTTACTGGTTGGGACGACAGTAATATTTGCCTTCAGATTAGCTTTAGAAGCGGGCCGTTTAGAGGACCGCCCACTGTCGTGCTGGTCGGCGTTAAGCACGGCCAAATCGACGTGAGAATACCGCATTACTGGTACCTCCGTCAATGATACCGCCGCATCATTTGTAGCTAATTGAAGATTGATATTCTCTAACTGGGGAAAAGAGTGTGCCTCGCTGCCCCAGGAACCGTCTCGAGCCAAAGCGGTATGAGAAGACTGACTAGAGTCTATATCAGGTACACTATTTGTAAGCTTTACCAAAGATGGGGATGTATGAGCATGAGTATAGACATTGGATGAGAATGACGGCATTTCTGTCGTCAGGGAGGTTTGCGATGATAAGTCATTTTGGCCCAGATGCGATCGATCAAGTTGGTTGGATTGGCCCAGCTGTCCTCTACAGTCCCGCAGACTGTTATTAACATATTCCGACTGAATGTCGTTGTCTAACCGGGGTATCAAGGACATGAGAAGACTTTAATAGGGTCAAAGACCCCATGCTGTGTACCGATTTAGAAGCTAGAAAGCCCTCGTTCTAAGTACTCCGTATCGACTCCGGGTGCTAACGCCAATTATAGTGGATAATAGCAGTATAGTGATGCCTAGTAGTATGCGCTATAATAGTAGATGTTCAGTAAATCTTGGATTAGATCCACCCTTTCCCCATGTATTCCATTAATGATAGGGACACTGGGGTTGATTCTGTACAAATGGCTGACATCCGAGGGTGAGTGAGAATTGATGATTAGTGAACATTTTTAAGAGGTACCTTAGGTCGCTTCGAGATGACAAAGAATAAATCTGATAAATCTTTAATCCGACGCTTAGACATTTAGGTCCCTTAGGTAAGGTGCCCGGAACCTTACGCGTCTCGTGTTACCTAGGTACCCAGGTACCTCTGCTACCTGTACCTTGCCTTATGAATTGAAGTTGGGAACCTCTTATTGGCCGAGTACTGATGACGGGTATTACTGATGTATTAAAAGTGGGGAACTTCGTAGACTTTTAAGGGGTACCCGGTGGGGATATTAGGTAATTCAGGTACAAGACTTGGCTTACATCAAGACCGAAACAAACGCCCGTCATATGCCGTTCCGTACAAATTCTGAAGCAATTTGGTACCTTAGGAGGTACCTACATATCTAATCTAGAACAATTTCAAGTACGGATCCAAGAAATAACAGTACATCTTAAAAAACATCCCCTTCGAATATTCTTCATTGCTCCTTCATGGCTTCAAAGATTCCATGATAGGTGCAGTTCTCGTCCATAACCTTGAATTTCTCTCCTCCCACATCACGATGCGTCCTTCTTGTATTCCTAAGAATGGCCGCAGCGCGAGGCAGTCTATATTTCTCTATTTGCCTGAGGATCGTCGGAACGTCATCGCGTCTTACGCCAGGCTCCGCTAACAGTCTGAATGCCTCTGCGTCTTCAATGCTGACATTGGCGCCCTGTCCTTGCATTGGTGTCATTGCATGTGCAGCATCGCCGATGAGGATGGCGCGGCCTGCGGTCCATCTTTCAAGGGGTTCCATGTCCTGAAGTTCCCATTCCTTTACTTGTGTCGACACCCTAAGCACTGGTTAGCCACGATTCACTCCGATTTGCCACATGTTGCATGGCACGATGACACGATGGACGTAGGTCAAACACTTACCCGATAAGCGCTTTCAAGCTTACGTCGAAATCGTCAAAGATCTCCAGTATCTTCTTGGTGTCTCCTTCCGCAAACCATGAGTATGTCGTGCCATCCTGCTCTTCCTCGGTGGTAAAGACACAGGCAATGTTCATGCAATCACCATGACGAAGGGGATATACGACCATAATGCGATCAGAGTCGTCGCGGGCCTCAAATATCAGGAGACGCTTGTCCTTGCTAATCAAGTTCTGCCACCAGTCAGGCAGCCTACCAAGGGCCTCAATGGCTTGATTGGCAGAGACAGCCACTCGACAACAAGTCATCCCATTTCTCTTGGGTTTGGGGCAGCCTGGTCCTGCAATCAGAGGCCGCAGACGAGAATGAATACCATCCGCAACTAAAGTCTCGTTAGATTGTTACCCAGCAGAACTATTCGTATAGGGCCCATACCTATGATTACATCGGCTTTAACTCTTGAACCGTCTTCTAGAGTAATCTCACCAGCTTCAGGGTCGATATCTCGAGCGCCGTTATTGAATACAATCGTGGCAGGCTCACCACCGATACCCAAATCCTGAGACGGAGCAGTAGCCAAGCGTAATAGTTCGTCTCTCAAGTCAGCCCGCATATGTGATAGGGCCGGCGCACCGTACTTTACTCTGAAGGGGAACTCGACATCAGAGATAATGTTGCCCTGCTTGTCCAAAGTCCTGAATCCCTCAACGGGAACAGAACGGGTTCGCTCCGGATCAAAGCCTAATTGGTTTATAATCTTGACGGCATTTGGGAAGTTTGTGATTCCCTGGCCTCCGGTCGCGGTCGAAAGGCTTCCTCGCTCATACACAGTAACCTGGCACTTCTCCCGCAGCACACGAGCCGCGGTCAGGCCGGCGAGCCCCGAACCGACTATTATAACGCTTAGTTGATCTTCCACAGCCATGGTCAATAGGCCTGATCGTTATTTTCGAGGATGAAGGTTGAATGTGTAAGTGACGACAACTATTGCCGCCCGTTTATGATGCGGTGTAAGGGAGATAGGAATATGCCCAGCACATGTACTCAATTAGTTTTATATGTAACAAGACCAGGCGGCCGTAAGGTAACGTACAGTACCTACTTCAACACCTGACGGTAGAAATCGTCTGCATGTTCAAGCCATGTGTTGGGCCTTTTCATCTGCACAACAGTTTTAAGCAATAAAACTACGTCAAATACGACTTTCAGCTATACTTGAACGGGATTGTCCTACAATGGGAAGGTAGATGGCGTGTAAACATTGGATACATTGAAGTATTTATGGGTAAGGGGCTTGAAGAAATATAGATCTATTGATGCAGCTAGTTACCTACCTGCCTGCCTACCTGGTGCCTATATTCACACCTTTGCTTCGGTGAGCACTCTACTTAGCCCCGGATCGGGTACCTACCTGGTAAGCTTACGTGCCTCCTAGGTAAGATATAAAGTATATACTGTATTTACCTTAGGTTGATTAGGTTAGATACCTCCTATTATACTTGCTTATAAACGGAGACTTGAAATATGTCGAGTCATGACGGTTTTAGAATGAAGTGAAAACTTGTCTAAATTAAGTCAATCAGGTTTAGACGAGTAGTGGCACCAGGTTAGGTACCTACCTCCTATGTGCTTAAGACATCACTTGCTTTTTCTGTTTTTTCCTTCAATTTCCATGCGAGCTCGTACAGCTTGCTCCCAAAAACTGGGTACCCAAAGAAGAATATTTGACGAGCCACAGACAGGTATAATCACCGGATATACCTGAGAGGTGAAGATGGCTTTTCTTTTTGTCTTCACTCCGCCACTTCGGCCCGGACCTTGCATCTGTGGATTTCCGTTTGATGTCAACTTACCAAGTAACTTACCAAGTCTTAATTACAGGCAGTTAGCTCATTGCTCTTCCTACATTGCCATAATTCGCTATAGTGAATGCTTTATTCCGATTCACAGCACCTCCGAGTGTTCTGAATTGCGAGCTAAATGCAGATGATGGGTCGGCGTAGTGCATCCTCTACTCTCGGTTACATGCATGACACCTTATTATACAAAAAGCACTGCTCGCTGTACTTGACACATGAAGTAGAGGTGAATTTCTTGAAGACCTTCCGGAAAACTAGCTAGGGAATCGGCTGCGATACTTTTCTTTTCTCTTGACTTACATCACAAAGTGATTCATCATTCGCAATGACTGTAGAGACCAGAATACTCCAAGAAACCTGGATATTCGACGTACCTAACATATTTACCTTGGGAGGTATATTAATAACTACTTTCTTACTTGTTGCCATCCCAACATGATATGTCCTCAGCCACCATCCTCGCCTACATCGTCTAGTCCCACAACCAAGAGATCATGGCCCCTGCAAACGCATCACATATCCACACTAACATGTCCGAACCGTTGGTACTTTTTAGACTAGCGGCTCCTTCACCATCACCCTCCCAAAAAACACAGGGTAACTGGCCTTTTCTAGGTCTATCTCTAGGCACTTTATATGTGCTGATGGCTGGCGCGATCGCGATCCATTTTCTCGCAGATCGAAGGAGGATCCGCCGACGTATAAGGAGGAACATAATCTAGATGCCATAGGCACCAAAGCCATGAAAGCCATGTTGAAGGTAGAATGTGGCTCCGCAAGACAGTTTCTGCTAGGGTATCTGATTCCCATACCCCACGGTTAATTACCATGGCCGAATACAAATACTGCTCTCCCAGAATACCTATATTGAGTCACACAACCTGTTTCCAGTCCATTTCTGTCTCTTCACTTCCTTGGCAGAGCTGTACAAGCGATCTGCCTCCCCGATTCTCCATTGTATATGGATGACGCTTCTCGGCTTTGGTCGATCTACTCTTTAGACCCCAAGTTTCCGTCATTACTTCAAATTAAGAGTACCAGTCCTATGGAAGCCAATACTCCAGCATGCTGGATGTGCATAGTTGATAGATGCTGGCGAGTAATAATTCATCTGAGCACAAACGCTCTCCAAACTCGAAGTCCCAACTTCCTAAGAGTTTTATATCACGCTGTAGCAGTAGCAGTATTCGTCTTTCTATATCCTAATTTTCCGAAAATATAAGGTATCTAAATAATTCTTTTTTTTTCGTTACTGAACTCTTATGATAGGTTACGTGAAGGACGACCTAAGCCATTCATGGTTGAGCTGATATTTTATTTTTGCCAATTGGCAGAGGTACAAAACGCCATCTGTTCACAGCTGTGATTTTGCCTTTCCCTTTTTCAACCAGTTGCTCTGTTCTTGCAACGGGCCGCCAAACCCATTTTCTTTTTCTCAACGTTTTCTGCAATTTCCGTTGAACATTGACCTAGAATATCGCTCACCTCGACTACACCGAATGTAATTCGGTCCGGACTTATCAAACCAGAACTTGACAATCTATTAAACCTGGAGAGGTCCTTTCTTTTCCCCTCCCCCTTCAACCTGAGGCCATATTAGAGGCTTCTTGTGTGTTCTCAGCTCGACGTCATGGGGTCCGTTGAGCAAGGGCCATCGGCTGTGGAGTCAAACAGCGACGAAGCCGTCATCAAGTCCCATATTGAGGAGCTGACCGCGACGCAACTACCCAATTCGTCCATCTACAATTTCCTTCTTTCTGATGTGCGAATCCGCTCTGCGTCGAAGGGGTCGATGACGGCGCGTTTGACGCTCACCCGGAACCATATAAACTCGGGCGGCGGCATCCATGGCGCCGTCTCCGCTGCTATCGTCGACTGGGCCGGCGGCATGGCAATCGCTACGTGGGACCTGCGTCGTCGCACCGGAGTCTCAGTTGATATCCACGTCACTTATCTATCGTCCGCCGCAGAGGGCGACGAGATAGAGATCACTGCTACGGCCGATAAGGTTGGCGGGACCCTGGCGTTCACCCGTGTTGTCATCTACAAAGTTGTCGACGGCGAAGCTGGTCCTGTTATTGCGAATGGTTCGCATACGAAGTACGCCAAACAGCGATAACAATAGTTGCGTAATGGGATCACGATTGCTATACTTCAAATATTCATATGCTCTTAGACTTAGAAGGGGGTCTACCTACCTACCCACCTATGTAATGTGTTATGCTAGCATGATGCCGGGATAGAATTATTGGCTAAGACGAAGGTTTAATTGGCTCGTTTATCTCATATAATAAAGTAAAGCCGAAAGTGTAGACGCCTACTGACTCTCAAAGCCAACCACGGCTTTTCTGAATATTGTGTATTGTGACGACGAGTCTACCCTAGAACCTCTGTGTGTGAGCTCCAGCGTTCTAGGGACAACACAACCATTGCTATAGTCAATGTTGATACCACAGAACTGCCCCTGATTCATGCTATGACCTGGTTCTAGATTATATGTCAGCAGCTGTTTAATCTTCCAGGCTATCCCAACCCTTACAATCAGGTGATATTCAGATGACCCCCTTTTCAAGTGAGTTTTATGTACCTCATATACCAGGTCAAGTAAGACATAGATAACCCTTAAAGTCGAGCGGTTTCCTCCTAGCATGACCTAGATAAGGGATATTCCTGGGATCAAAGGCCACTGCCTCATCTTGAGGCGTTTCCCACGTAGCGTAGAGGATGAGTAAAGTCACGGCCGATCAGATTGCTATCTCTCTTTCTCGTTATCATACCGAACACTTACTAAGTATATCTTGCTCTTCTAAGTTTATCTGGAATACCTTAGACTAAATTTAGGTAGGTACCTAAGGTAAATAAGCTCGCATGAAGCATCTCAAAAGCACTAGGAGGACGGTGCACATCTTGATCATTGGAAACAAAACGACATCGCTATCGCCACGTTCGTGGTAAAGCGACGTACAGGAGCGATATACTACCACCTCACCTCTCAATTCCGAGTACTCAGGCTAGGGGTTGTATATATTTCGAATACGCATCGATTAAATTTCGTTGACGAGGACGTTAGGCTAGGAGCGTTAGTGATGGTAGTCGTGACCAAACCATGTACAGGAAGTACACAAGCCCTCTCAAGAACGTATATCATTAAGACAACAGTATTTTTTTTATAGAAATCCATGTAATATCTCGTACAACTCCTTTAATCTTGGGTAGTTTCTAACACTCATAGCTGGAGTCTCTTCCACCAAAACGCAACCTCCACTGATCAAAGTCATTGCCATTCCCAGAAACTCATATTTGTCTTACATTAACTTCTTACTCTCTAGTCTATGAGGTATCTATGCTAATCTACTCCTTTACAGGACGTCCTGAAACAGTTCTATAATACTTTATTGACTTTCTTGGAAATGCTCTCCTGTACCTACCTAGTGCCCATTATAAATCCTTCTTATGCTATACATGAGAAGTACATATAGGGATTTCTTATCCTCAAATCTTTAATATAATCTAACGGTCTAGGGTCGATCCAACAAGCAGAGGCACGTGAGATTCTAACGGACGAGGTGGCTGCTTTACATTCTCAGATACCATACCGCCTTAAGGGACCTTGTTTGGATGCACCTGCATTCATTTAGGGCTAAGCTAGTTTTAGCAGCACAAATGATAGACTGTCCTGATAGGTTAGGGATCGATATTGACGGACACATATTGAATATATATAAAGTTCCTTGCCAGACTAGGAACCACTACCAGTACGCCAGGGACAGGAGCTGGCAATGTACATGAACCACACAGAGGAGAATCTGCGAAGTGGAGTTGATGGATAGGTGGGGGGCGTGATCCTTAGGATCAAGATCGCCCGGCACATATCAAGTGAACTAACAGACCAACCGCCACAAGCGTAGTTGGTTGCATAGGCCTGTTAGAACAGAGTGAATAGTGTGCCTATGGGGGTGAAATTGGTGTAGAATAGGTCTCGCATTAGGTAAATTTAACAAACTATCGAGCAACACTGGCGGTGGAGGACCCTGTTCTCCCCTCAATTCCGGGACGACTACTACGACGTGGGACGAGACACATCGAGGTAGGTGCTGCGATGATTTAGAGAAAATGTTGTTAGTTTGGGCCATTTTGCTTCTAGAACTCCCTTGCTTTAGTGAACATCTATAAAAGGTACTGATTATGATATTCTTGATGTATCAGCGATATGCATGAATAGTATCGAGCGATGCAGGTGATCATTGATAGAAGGCCAAACTGAGGAGTATTCCTCCACAGGGTGTCAATATCGTGAGCAACGCTGATACACGCCGAGGACGATTGCGATCTGGCTTCCCGTGCGCGGTAGCATCCACATCCATACACTCTAAACGGCGACGTGCTTCTTGAACATGTGAAGGAAGAAGACGTGGCTATTGACGAGACGCATCACGTACTCCTCCATCGGTACTTGACAAGCATGACTAACTTAAGAGCACACGAAAATAATACAAAGCCGTTCGATCAGAGGCCTGTTATTCTACTATAGCTGTGGGCTTCTATGTTTGCTCCTGGGTTGTTCTATTGCCTCTTCTCTTAAGTGTATTGAAGTTCGCCCGGAACTACCGGTACACATGCCCGGGAGGGACAACGCATGAGCGGAAACGACGTGATGACCCTGGTGATTAGCGGTCCTGCACCCCCTTCACTGATGGCGTGAGGTCCCAAGATCCCCGATGTAGGAATCGATGGAAAAATCTTCCCCAGATTGGACTACACGTAGCTAAGCGGGCTGTCCCCAAGATTTGGGCTCTATTGGGAGTTAACGGCTAGGCCTAGGTGCGTCTAAAAGTCCCACTCGAACGAAAGCTGCTCTCTCCTGAGCCGCTTCGTATCTTTGCAGTCTGAAGCATGCGTGTGTGCGTGTCCTTTTTTCTAGATCTTCAGAGCTGTAGGCGGTGGCAAGGGTGATCTATCCACACAGTCCCTTGTACTGTACGCGACAGGCTGAATTAAAGTGCGTTGCCAGCGACCTGTCGTAGGATGTTGTTTAGAAACTACTACTCAGAGAGGCACAAAGAAGAGGAGTCACCTTAGTGGGCGACAACAATATGCATCATCCTGGATCTTGCGGCGAATGTATCCGCTTGACGTGGGCTGTGACTGATCTTTTGGCGCCGTATGAACGGCTGTTGTTGATCCGGGGGGGACAATGGTGTAGAGGAAGCCAACTAGGCTGCTAGGGTGGATTCGAGAGAGCTGGTGGGCTTGGAAGTCTGCATTCGCTTCTGATTAGCGAATAAGCATCGGATTTCTCTGGCATATAAGGAAAATTATGACACACGTGTGTGTAACTGAATAGACCGCTGTCAAGAACGCCCCTGGTTCGTAATCGGTGTGACGGTGAGCTGGTGTGTCTCGCCATGTTGAAGAATAAGAAAGCCGTCACCGGCCACCATCCAATCGTAGGCTTTTGGGCAAGCCCACTTGCTGGTCAGCCTGACGAATTATATGTCTAGAACGCTTCTATCTAAACGCCTAAAATCGACGGTAAGTCTCCGATCAACAGACAAGTGGAAAAGCAAGGTTTCTTCTTTCGCATGTGCATGCCTAAGTGCTTTGTAGAGACCTAGTATTACAATTTTCTAACTATCATTAGAGATCCTAGCTCACGGCCGAGAAAGCGAAGCAGAACAAGCGGCGTCTATTCAGCTTGCATAGCTTATAGGTATGGCTCGAAATAGAAACAGGACAGCTGCAGACTATCAATTTAGGACAAGAATGGGATATGCCCCCCCAGCCGTGTTTTTAGAACGTAAGGCAGATACAGCCCTGAGTAATCCGTTCCTACAGTAGAACTTACAATAGAATAGCTGCGATGAACACTCCGTGCCGCAGGTGGAGTCTCCTACAGGATCGTGTTATAGGTAGACAGGCAGGCAGGTAGGTAGGTAGTATTAGCAGACGCAGGAGCACGCAGTCCTGCGGCGAGGCGAGCAAGGTGGATTACGGATAGACTGGTTAATCAAACGGGCAGACTTCGCATGCAATTTCGCTGTTCGAAACGCGAAGCAGCTGTAGCGGTATTCCCTGTAGAATATACAAAACTTTACATCAATGTGCCTGGGATCATGTTATTACAGAGGAGCAATTGTTGTTAAGTCTGTGTCTCAAGCTTGCCTACCTAGGTAGATATTAGCCATGCTGTTTTGTTGCCTACCTACCTTGTATGCGGTCGCTGCTATGTACTAGATGTGCTGAATATTACCTAGGCTATAGCTACCTGGTAAGTTTAGTTAGTGCATTGATTGTATTTGGCAGGCCTTCAAGGGTGTGTATATACTATCGTCGGAGATGATAATGTTGCTAGTGGGGAATAGAAAGCCCTTGGTATATTTGAACATGGAAAGGGATCGCGGGAGCGGGAGGTCGAGATTGCGGGTAGCGGAAACGAGATACTAGTACGAGCAGCAGGGCCAGGGAGATTCTAGTTGGCTCTTGGTTGATTGGCCCTGTATAGGTAGGCAGTCGGCGAATTAGGCATAATGTGTCCTGCGACTCCTGCCGCTTCTAGATAGGTAGGATAGGGTTCCCCGGCTCTGCTTTCAGCCAGTCTACCGGCCGAAAAGGGGAGGAAAAAACGAGTCGCGGTCAGATTCTGCATTTTACTTGAAGCATTGGCACCTATTCATGGACATATGTAGTAGTATGAAGGTGGGACAACTCAGCACATGGCACCTGCAGTAGCGACTGCATCTCAGCAGCAGGGTCTGGTCTACCGTTGTAAGGTCATGTATGTAAGTACAGTAGGTTGGTATCGTCGTATTGTAAGAGTCGGAGAGGAACACCGCATCCGCTATGTTGGAGGACCGGGTGATGGCGGACGTTGCAGCGCACGTGGATTTGGGAACAGGGTACAGCCGTGGACGAAGTGTTGTTTTGCTTTTTTTTTTTTTCTTTCTTTTTTCTTTCTCTTTCCTAGGTACATTTACCTTTTTCATCCCACACTGAATTTTGCCCAGATGCATTATATGTAAGACCAATAAAGTGTCACATATAATAACATGGCCTATATAGATTCTACATACTTGATGTACCTTAATGTACTTCTAGTAAGTTGATACGAAGCCATGGTTAACTATCTCGTGGGTTGCGGAGATCGAAAAAGAGACAGCAGGGAAAATGGGAATGACGAACATCTGATACAAATGACGTCCCTGACCTGAAATATCGCGTAGGCAATAGTATATGAAAGGTGTTAATTATAGCAAGGAACAGCTATAATTCGCTACCTTCAATGCATTAATACTAGGATTTAGTCCGAAGTCACTTTCAGACATGCGCTTGGGCTGTTCTGATTGTATTTTACCGGTGGGATGGCGTCGACATTATTTTTTGATAGTTTGTTTTTTTCTTCAGTCTTATGTTTGCCGTATTTAGAAACGGGCAGCACCTAGTCGGCAAGGAATTTCCAAAAGCGAACAATGAAAAACGCCTCTTCGTCATAAGGGTCCGGTCATAATTAGTTCGTTTGTTAAATCTGGGGTCTGGCCCATGGCGCTGGGAGCCCCGAGGGTGTTCCAGATGCTTGACCGGCCTGTGCGTTTACAATACAATATCTCGGGTTGATCGGGGCTACAACCCAAACAAAGCTCAATGCTCGCCATGGTCAGCATGTCTAGTAGGAAGCCTACAAAGGTTTATTTTATAAGACAGGTACCTAGCCTAAGGGTAAAGCGATTTCCGCTTTGGCTCCAACTTTCATGCTGGAGATAGACTTATGGACACTATAAGTATATAAATTATAACTAACCAATATATTAAAACTTACGTGGAAGCAAGCTTGATACATATATCTCGGAGAAAGAGTGTGATGTAACTGTTCGTACTGGCGACCAAGTTGTGCTATTAGCTATGGCGTTCTAACTTATTATCCGGATGAGATGTTGTACATATACACCTACACAACCTAATATATAAGGTACCTATATATATATATGTATACCTTATATGTAAGGCAAGCTATGCTAATGATCTACTCGTTAGAACCTAGTACCCTGCCACATTGCCGTGGCGCTTAGCGTCACTGATGGCGACCAGCTTACCGGGGGAGATTTTTACCGGGAACGGCCGGGGCGTTTGACCAGGACGGTGATTGGAAGTCCAGCTGGGGTTAAAAATTCATGCCATGCTGCTGGTAGCAATCTGTTACGCGGTTTGTAGAAGAATCTCGTGGGGGAATCTCCCTCGATTCCGAGGTCGACATAAAAAAGACAAGGGGGGGTTAAGTTGCCGTCTGACTTGGCATTCCTTGATCCAGGTAAAATATTCGCAGGATGCGTTGCGTCGCGGCGGGTAGCGGGCTTGATTTAAGCTAGCATATCAGAACTTGGTGCTACTATGCGGCTTATATACTATAACTCATCGTGAACCATGGTCGGGCGATCCGTGGAGTCTAATGTAGGTACGGCAACGGAGTATGCGTGTATGATCCCGCCTCAGCTTATGTGCGGTAAGTTCAAAATAACACAATGTAGATAGCTTTACATAGTACATGACCACGGTCTTTTCAACTTTGGCTGACATCGGGCTCACCATATCTCATCATCTAGCCATCTTGCCATCTGACCTTAACCTTCCCCCAACCCCGAACCCCCAACCCACAGATCGTGGATATCAATCTAAAAAGCGGGATGAGGATCTAGAATGAACCGCGAGTTTTAATCACCTGGGTGTAGGTTTCCGAAGTTACCAGGAGACGCACAGAGTTAGTAACGGGTTTCGATAATAGCAACCTGTCAGCCTGTCTGTCTAACCGGGAACTTTGAGAGATGTGGCAGGCAGGGATGATGACAAGAGTAACTACCTAACCTAAGGTACCTAAGGTAGCCTATCATATTTTTGTTGGGCTGATATTTGATTGATTGCGTATCATTGCAATAATGCGCGAGTCCATACAACTTTCCCCTACTTTTTATTGCTGGTCCCCAGTAAGGTTCGAATATTAATACGGGCACATGACGGTATATAACGCACAATGGATTTACATCTCGTATACGATTCTATATGTCTCTTTGTATACATTTGTATATACCTAGACTGTATATACCTAGACCTGAAGTGAAGGCCGATCCCCCACTTCAAGCCACTGACCTGTCATGCATGCCACATACCTACTAGCGGTGTACGCGCACAGGAGAAAGATTTTTACATCGTCTCTCGGCTACAAGCCTCCAATGCGTACATAGTAGGTACTGGATTCAATACCAAGTGCTCATTGCTACCCTTATTGAAAGCAACCTCATCATTGTACAACATCTTCCTCTCTCCTCCTTGTCATCGCCCTTTCAACCCGGTGACGAACCAACCGGTCCATTGATATCATACACTAATAAGCGAACCATCTCTCGAGTCTTAATCACTCGTGCAGTCCAACTTGCCATTCACACCGATCCGGAATACACCCCACTGGTAGGCTCTCATCTGCAATGCTCCGACGAAACCCTGGATATGCATGCACGCCAGTAGCCATCATGCATGGGCTAGACGAACAGCATAAGCGAGACAAGTGTCTAAAGCCCTATCGAATGCCTCATTATGTTACTGCGTTAGCGGGTGTGGTGTGTTTCATCGCGCAAGGTTGGTCAAGTGGCTCCCGAGTAAGTATTCGTGCGATGAGAGGAAGCGATAGGTATGGCTGTCTGGCTGTCTGGCTGGGAAGTAGCTATTATTGTATCTATTATTTTATCTCTCGCAGTATATCGCATCATCCTTCGACGATGTCCTCATCATCATCGATCAATATCACCGTTGCTGCCATGATCATCTGCGAGTGCATGAGCAACGAATCATCTTACACTGGCAGCTATATGCGTTAAGAAAATTTCTCCCTCTGGAGCTCTAGTCTCCGGCCTGATCTCCGTCTTCCCGACAAGATCAGTGTGACCGTGATGGGCCAGCAGTACATCGATACCTACCTGCCTATACTTACCTACCTAACCTAACCAACCTCACCTAACGAAGCGAAGCAGTTAGGTACTTCCATATGCGGTTCAATGTACTATGCTATGTACCATGCAGGGCCAAGTGAGAACGTGACAAGTTTGGGATGCCCGCTGCTGCTTTGACAGCTGGCCTCACATGTTACGGCCACCCGAAAGGGCTGCGCGCGGTGCAGCTCTGTTACCTTAGGTACCTCCTGTGTTATGTATACCTGATACCTGGTATGTATGCATTGTGCAGGTCAATGCCCTGGCGGCCACGAACCGCAGAGCTGAAGTATAAGCTTGCTTATTCGTTCCGGGTAGTCCTGGGCAAGTCATGGCAGTCATGGCTACGTAGGCAGGTTAGCCTTGCCGCTATCCAGGCTGTCAGGACATAATTGCCGGTTCGCGTTGCGCCAAATCTCTAGGTAACCTGGGATCTTTGGATTTGAGGGTTGCTGCCGAAGCCTATCTCGACTCCCAAGAAAAGCAAGGGAAAAGTACTGAAAGCAAGGATAATGCATCTCCTCGCCTGTTGCCCAATCCCTCCTTGTTGTACAGAGTTCCGTGGCGCTCTTACGTACATGGCTAAAATGACCGACCAAGATCTGGGCAAACGCCAGACGTCTTGCTTGTCCTTCCAGTTGTCTCTCCTGGTTCATCCCGAGTTAATCCTGTTCATCCTTACCAAGTACCAAATATATTTCCTAATCAATCGGTATCGCAGCATCTTAAAATGGAAATGGCGTTTAGGATGCGGAAGACCTCTCTTACCCACTACCGAGCTACACCTTGAAGCCTTAATACTCGCGGGTTTCCTCACGTGCTCTAGTTTCATTGAACGTGGCACATCAAATGTATTGGATCACTTGCATGATTCTATAACTAATAGTCCGTCTTATGTGCTCATTTTGTAGGCATGCATTAGGTTAGGTAGTCTAACGACCTGCACTACTCAAGACCTTAGTAGGATATTATACATCTACCTATTCTTCCTCTCCGCGACGCCCAGGCCTGTAAAAGGAACGAATGATCAAATATAACTTGAGTCTAAGCGAATCGGCGCCAGCAAAGCCTGCATTAGTCTGGTTTTGCTCTTATTCCTCCTGCTCTTTCTAGAACAATGGTGAAAGGGGTTGAGTTACGGAGACTCCATTTGGCATGTCAATTGTCGCTACCTATATACACTTATATATACTGATATAGTACATTTCGTGACAACGCGTACGGTAGGTTAACGGTTACCAGGTAGGAGACAAGTAGACCACGAACTAGGGCTTAAGGATTCAGGAACCCGAAGATTACTTCGCCACACGAACGCTACCCCTTTATTATTAGTCTAGGTAGAACCCTGAACCATGCCCAAAATCTCTTGGGGGGAAGGGGGTGGGCTTGTAGCACGACATCCCACCAACCTAATAATGTTCTTTTGACGTTCTACAGCAGGTGTCAACACTTTCAGGTAAGGGGAAGAGATGGATGCCGCGCGTGTCAACCTGGAGGTGGTGAAGGTCGGATCTTCCTACCCATTTTAGCGCTTGATGGCTTCTCTTCCATGCGCATTCTGGACATGGGCCGTAGAAGCTTCTGAAACACAGCCAGTCCAGGCCCGGCTAGAGATTCCGTCCGATCTTGGAATAACAGGACGGATAAGCCTGATCCAGTTAAGCGGAAGACCCGTAGCTAACCAGTAAACCAGCCTAAACCTTCTCTTATTCCTTATGGGTTTGGGAGCGGCATTCTTTTGCGGTTCGGGTGCTAAGCTGATTCGGCGAATTCAGATCTTCCATTCCATGACTACCTGACATGGATGTAACGGGACAGCGACCTAACGCAGTACACACTACTGAAATATTGCCCACACCTAATCAACCAAATGTGGGAAGCATGTCACGCTCGGCAGGGCATCGGCTTCTTATGATTACGAGAGAGGACAAGGGACGAAAGGAAAAGGGAAGATGACATTAATAAAAAATAATAATAAAAATAGAGTAGAATAGGATAAGTTAAAATAAAGAGTGAAGAAAACACGAAATAATTTGCTGTGGTTAATTTAATGTGAGTGGTCTTCTAATACCAATAGGCCACTTTCATAGTCACCTTTTTCTCGAAGAAACATGCCATGCCTTAACCAACCTAGACCGTAGACCCATAAGACCCATGGGCCAAGGATTAAGGACTAAGGACCATGGGGCCATGGACCATGAGCCATGGGCTATGGCAGATCTTTTTAGTACAATACATGGGGTTCCGGAAAACGTACCTGTACTTTGGATGGCGTTAATTACTAGGTGGCATCGGGCCCTCCTCGAAGCTACTTCAAAAGAGGGACGATGCCAATTCATGTACCATACTTGGCACTGCCCGCGGATTACACATTTTGATGGGTAGTGGAGCATTTTTGTCTTCACCGTTCACGTCCCTCCACTTCGCATTCGAAGGGGCGTGGTCTCTTTCGCGCATATCTGCACTTACTGTTCGGCTTTAGAAGGGGGGAGGGGGGAACGGGGGTTCTTTTGTATCTTTGTCGCCTACCACGTCTCTGATAGTCCCGACTTTACCTATTATGAATTATGATGTACCTACCTAAGGTTAGGAGGTATGTATTATATCGTCTCGTATTGTATTGCATTGTATTTTATTGTACCTAATCTGGGCTTCGTCACTTCGCTCACCTATTCGTCACTTACTACTTTCTTTTCCTCTCTCCCTCTATCCTACTGCTGCACTCTCTGTGTATTTTTGGAGGAATCGTCTTAATATACATGCATTCTAGGCCATACAGCCATACAGCCCAGCCCGTACAAACCGGGGTTTGGGTTGGTGGGCTGCACACTGTGCAAGCTTCTTCTCGCCGGTTCAAAAATCTTAGAGTCCGCATACCAACCAGGCTCCAGTTCTATTCCGAAAAGAACTCATTTGAATCCCTACTTGTTATCCGCTTTCTCCTTGTTAGTACCTACCTTCAATATATTAACCATATTATTAGCAGTATTTCTAGTAATCTTACGAGTGCTTACATTCAAATCGATATATATCCTGCCGTGCTGGACCTAAGGCACGTGGGGATGAAGAAGCGCGTAGGCGCGTTGGTAGTTCCGCGTTCGAAGAGGTCTGGTGCGGGAGTGCAAGCATCAATCCCTTCACCTGTCCGCTGCAAAGCACAGACAGATGAACGGGCGGCCCATGTAGAATACATATGTATAATATACATACATCTCCGGATGGATACAAAAGCTTGAAGGGTCGTTCCCCTGTCGCTCTTCCCTCTGCTACATATTTCGTCGTTGACAACGTTGACAGCGCCCCGTGTTGCCCATGCAGGCTTGTCGATGTACCTCGCTGCGAGGGTGTTCCTCCTGCAGCTAACCCCCTGTCGTATGAAGTATGTATGTGTACTTTTTTATAATCGAGCATGGTTTCGTCAGCATAGGCCAGCTCTTTCGGTATGAGGTGTATGAGGTACCAGCAGCCAAGGCGGAGCCTAGGAAGTGGTCATTACCTATAGCAATCATGAACTCACAGTACAACGTGGTCGAGCTTCGTGTACATCCATCAAGGGTATCTATCTCCTTAAGGTCGACCCTCGAGGGTCGAGTACTAACCGGTTGATCCCCTAGGCTTTAGGGGCCCACCATCGTCATTCCCCCGTACAATCACAGTGCTTAATGTTGGCATTTTTCTTTGGACCTTTCTGCAGTTATTGGCTAGATCACACCACTGTCGTTTGTGCTGAATATTTACTGTGCCATCTGTACATCCTTGAGCCGTACATATTTGTCTAGCCTATGCCTTTCCGTTGGTAGTATGATATACCATACCTAGGTAGTTTATTCTTCTCCACATTGTAAATCCACCCAAATACATGACAAGCTCCAGACTCGCCTTCTAAACAGTTACCACGAGGACTACAACGAGGACGTCGTTGTTGTCTTCATTACCGATTTCCTACTGGCCATATCGACGACTTTTGGAAAACCTGGCTACGGTAACGACGGTCTATATCTCCTTTGCACGACCACCCTATCGATGTTGCTGGAAGATCCCGGAAAGCGGAAAGACCCCCACGAAGCTTTCGCCCACCTCGCCGAATCAACTGTTTTTTTCTATTTTGTCTTAGGTTAGAATTTTGTCAGGATTTGTAAAACCTCGGGATTGCATCACCATACCTACGACCAGCTTCAATTCGTCTAAACTAACTTGGACGAGCATCTCATCGACAAGAGGAATCTTGGACTACTTGCGAACCTGTTCCTCTTGTAAGTTGAGATTGGTTCAAGCAACGGTAGTATTCTAGACTTACGAGCTCCCCGGTTCATACACCAAAGTCCGAGTTTAGAATTCCAACCATCAGGACAGAGCAGTCCGAACCGACCGACTTGAATAGTGACATCTTGAACGTGTCGTTTTGAAAGCGCGAGTTGGGTAACCATCTGCAGCGCCTAACATCCGCAAGAGGATTGAAACCGCCAAAAGCTTTACTTCTGCACGAGTGCAAAGTTGCGAGACCTTGGAGACTAATCTATCCGCCAGCTATTACCAAACCAATTCTTAAGGGATATCAGGTCATCCGGCTCGAGTCTTCTAAGCGAGAGAGCATCACAACAATTGAAGATCCCTGGTCGTATATTTCGTCCGCTTCTTCTACAGTCGACTTTCGGCCGGGCCATTCCTTTTTACTCAGTGTATCAAGTCGCCGCCTCTAGTAGCTCCCTCTCAACCCTACCTGGTTGCCTTCCTACGATTTGTCGAAATAGATTTTTCTTTAGCTACGCGAACGGCACGAACTAAGGTATCTTACGCCCAGCCCGGATTACCAGTTACCTGTGCAGCCGCAGTTTCGTTGTCTCGAGGCAGGTTTCAACAGTAGGAGATCGGGATCGAGACTATTCCTCACTGGTACCAACTAGTCAGTTCATTTACATAGTCATGCGCCTGTTTACAATTTTCTGGGGGTAAGGATACGTCATTACTGTTCGCCGAGAAGCAGAAGTAGGAAATTGGTATTTGAATGGCCGGAACAGTCCTTTCTGGTTAGGTTGGCTTGTGATTCGGATCGTGTGAAAGGAAGGTTACTACCAGCCAGGCTTCCACAGTAAACTTCTATTGCATAGAATTCGCCTACGAATAGTGGAAGTGGCGCTTGCTTTCGTTTAACCTGCCGTCGAAGAGTGGTTACGGAGACAGAGGGCCAGGGAAAGAGAGGGGTTCACGCCCAAAAAAGAGAAGAGGATAAAGGCAGTCTTTTGCACGAACTTGGTTCTCGAAAGTCTTGCCCTCTTTTGCAATCTGCTTGGAACCACACAAGCCTTTGGCCTGTCCCGCACTAATCACGACGTGCATGAAAGATTGCCTTGGTGGATTTTCTTGGACTTGGCTAACCATCCCCACGTCGCCGTCTCGTGAGCAAGGAACTTAGGATCCAGAGTGTTTGATTCTGGAGAGGTGATAATACGGAAATATTGGTATTGGCAAAGCAAAGCAAAACAAAACAAAACAAAACCTGGGTTTTAGCAGGACGAAGGGCATATGATACATAAGTGTTAGTTTCTTTAACCCCCATCCTTAATTTCTATGTGAGCCTTCCAGCTTTAGATCATTGGTGTGGACTACAAAAATCTGCTTCTCATCTTGTAAATTTTTAACTATTTCTATTTTGTTGGGTTTGTCTGCTAACAATGCATCAAGGGCGAAATCCATTCAAATTCTTGATTTAACTCGGAGCCAGTCAATCTACACCTTGCTGAAGTGCTTTGCGATTTGCACATGAGATATTATCCAAAGAATCTTGTAAGTTTCTGCCTGGCCTTTACGCCATCGAAACGGGAAAAAATCGAATACATTGTTGACTTGTCCAATTAGAAATGGCGTTCCATACTCACCAAGGCGGCCATTGGGTCGGACATGGACCTGGCCCAGGTTACATGCCGGCAATGAGCCCAGCAATGCCTCCTTTGTCAGGAGCTCAAGTTCATCATCAACCACACGCACAACAAAGTGGCCCTCAGCCTCAACGGTACGCAGAATAGCCGCATATGACCTTTGTGATTCTTCGCGAGACTCAGACTAAAACTTCTGTAGCCCAGAGACCTATCGCTTGGAAGTTCTACAGCAACCAGCCATGGCTAAAGCTGCCAATGGTAAAGACAAAGGTACCTACTATCTGCATATCCAGTTTTGTTTGGCTAGATGCTAACTTATGCAGACCGTAAACCTGTTGACCCGCCTCCGATTCTCCAGCTGCACGTTCCGAGCGATGAGGACCCCGATGGTGTATACCGGCAAAGTGAGTGTATAGCTTGTGTTGAAATATGCAAATCGCTAACACCATCAGGCCCTTATCTTATAGCTGTTGCGTATCTCGAATATGCCCACCCCCCTGGCCCTAATGGCCAAGCTACACCTCCAGCAAATATGATGGCAGGAACGACAGTTTCCTCCTTACATCGACTGAAGGATCCGACCAACAAGGAGGGTGCATTCTTTGTGTTTGGCGACCTAACTATTAAGAGTGAAGGAGAATACGTCATTCGCTTTGATTTGCTACAGATGACGATGGACAATCTAGAGGATGGAGAGTTCTGGATTACGATATGTTCGGTTACGAGCGATCCTTTCAAAGTCCACGCTGGCAGGGCATTCCCAGGCATGGCGGAGTCGACTTTTCTAACTCGATCTTTCAGCGACCAAGGAGTTCGCCTTCGTCTACGAAAAGATTCGAGGCAAATTGCAAACAAGAAGAAAAACCTACGCATGACGGATCAGTTGGACAAGCAAACATCGCACAGGCAGGGAAGTGCTCCGCAGAATGGGGGTATGTCGCAAATTGATGACAGATCCTATCATGACTACGGAGACGAGCCTGTAGCGAAAAGACACCGTCTAGATTACGGTACGATAAATCCGGGTACTCCCACGCAGGAGGGTGGCCCAGATATTCGTTGGAACTACGGTCCTCCCACAGGTTCAGCATATGCAACCTTAGGATCCGTGACTACGGGTCCGCCAACATCGGCAACAACAGTTTCTATGCCTCCTCCAACCGGTCGAATCGACACCCATTTCTCCCCTCTCCCCCAGGGGCCTCACGGTTTCGACCGACAGTCGCCGATGAACCACTCGCCGATCCAGTTCGGAAATGCTAATGCTCAGAGTTCTTCTCACGCGTACATATTTACAGGGGGCTCCAACACTGGAAATAATCCGCCGCTGAATCTCGCCCCCATTCCACCTCATCATCCTCAGTCCGCTCTAGCTTCTCCAATACATAGCGTTTCTCCTAGATCACACGGTCCCTTGAACGGTGCGCCACCGTCAGGAACCGCATCACCAGTGGGCCCTAACATGTATACTACGGCACCCCCGACTTCGAACGCTCATTCGACTCACCAGTCTCCATATGGGAATCAAGGGTCATATCAAAGCATACAGACTGCTTACGACCATGGCAGTCTTCGAGAACATGGTTTAGGAACACCGTTAACGGCAACAATGCCATCTGAAAGTCTGAACGGATCATATCCTATTGGCGGCGCTGATGCATTCGACCACCATCTTACTCATATGGTTAACAAGACGCAGCAAGACCACTAGGGTTGGTTAAATTGCCCAAACTGCCATACTAACTACCAAGCGGTTTACTACCCTAACGATAATGAATACTACCAACATCACAGTTCATAACACCCTTTCGCCCGGGATCGACGCAACTTATAGCGACTTAAATCATAATAATTATTGCAAATTTCTTACGCTGGCGCTTTATGACGGCATTTCTACAACTGCGCGGCCACTCAATCGTTTAATTTAATTTCCAACAAAATAATCGTCGGGCATCGTACGGAACATTGCATCAAAGTGGGATTTTTCCAGTTCACAGGCAGGCAGGCAGGCAGGCAAGGCGGCGTTGGTGTGTGCGAATATATGTGGGTGTGCGTGTGCGTGCGTGGATTGGAATTATTTGATTTTCAGGGGAATTGACTCATGGGGAGAACACATCTTTTTTTTTTCTTGACACAGTCGTATTTCCACCGGTTCGCGCCCTCTTGAGTTTGTATTGGGATACGGAATTTCAAAAGCACTTCTCTGAAAGATACCCAAACGGAGGCTATTCTGCGTCATTGGTTTTCCCACTCCTCCCACTTTCGACCCCCTCTAGTATCCCCTTTGTTCTTCTTACTACAACAACAACTACTACAACAACGACAACTACTACAACTACTACTATGGAATATTGCGGCATACGCACATCAAGGGGCTAATGGATTCGCCCCTGGAGTTTTGATATTACGATAACCCCTGCTCATGAGCAAACTCCTCAGGAATCCCCTTAATTGTTAGAGTAAAATAGAGACGAAAAGCATCACTGCAATGCTGGGCCTGAATCTGCAATGTGACTCAACTTACTACGAGCTTGGCACAAAATACAAGAATTTGTCTTCATCGATCGCGAGCCTAATTCCGAGTGACTGTTTCTAGTAGGAATAACTCTTTTATGGTTTCTCTATGCGATCCAACGTGGTATGAGATTCCATCTACAGACTCGCCGGTGTCACGGCCAAAGCATCTCCGCTTGCCAACTCAGGAGATAGGTGCAATAGAGATGCATTGTGCCGTTCTTGGAGACATGTTGCACCTATCCTTGTACATTCCAGGGCCGAATATCACTGTGTATGGTTCTGCTGCGGCCTCGGGTAGACCTGTCAATGGATATTTACGCTTCTCTGCTAGATCTAAAAGCCATTGGATCACTACGAGGTAGAGTGTGTTTGTGTCTCCTAGCAGGCACACGTCAAAATGCAACAAGGAGTTGAGATATCCTCAAAGATGTTTAAGGTACTTACCTACCTTAGGTACCTAGCAATCAAGCAAGTAGCTAACCCCCGCAAGGGGCGGAACCGGACTTGCAAACTGTTCGGAATGTACGCACCACAGTGAAAGACAGACGCAAGCAAAATCAGGATTTGTCAGGCACAGGTACAGTGCATTACTACTGTCTATCATCTAGCCCTCTCCTTGATTGCACCGCTATTGCAGGATTTTGTCTCGTTGTCAGGTTCTCCAGTATGTACCTGGTATACAAGAGGTGTGGCAGGTATTGTAAGCACGATGAAGTGTTTAGCTATCATGTACAGTTTAGCTTAGGTTAGGTAGTGACCGATATGTCACTATTAGTTGAGCACTTTACATTTGCTGTAAATCGTGTTGACCGCGTATTCTCTCATTCTAGTTAGTTCATTGCAGTCTTCGTGGTCTAGTCATGAAATTAAAGATTGTTACTGAGAATCGAACGGATAAAGCACCTGAATTAGCTATACCAAGTACACTTTTGCAAGGTATTCTCTGTGGAGCCGGCCAGCTAGGACTTTCTACCCACAGGCAGCACATGTGAATTACACTACTATCATAGTTGTGCGTTTGTATTTTGTGGCACTTTTGTCCTTGTTAGGGTTTCCACATAGCCTACCCCTTACCCCGGTATCACCAAAGTTGACTACTACATGTAGGTATACATTCAATACTCGGCACTAGAAGTGTCTTTTTGTAGGCTATGAGCCTCCCTTCCCATTCCACTTCTATCTTCTCTAGCTCTGCCTAGCTTTCTTATTTCATGTTTATTCATACGTAGTAACTGGAAATAATAACACAACTGAGCCACTCGAACTACTAGAGAAACCCCTGTTCCGGGCTGTATCCGTCATCCTATTTGGTACTATCATTCGGCACATTTTACTATTCTTTCCGCCCCCTCCTTGCCAAAAAGCTTCTACCCAAGGCACTGGGGGCCGCTAGGCTTTTTGTTAATTAAGCCTACAATTGCTAAGTGTGTTTAGTTCCATAGATGCAGGTTCTAGGCGACGGGTTCTCCCGAAAAGAATAGGGTTAGAAGACTTCGAAAACGCTCAGACCTCCTTAAAGGTTATCAAGCAGAGATCAATCACCATGTGGTAAACAACGCACTAAATACACTGAATGATTTTCCTTAGACTGCAAATGGGTTGTTCCGCATAAACACCTATAAACAGCTGCTTTCATCTACTTAATCACTCCTGCTGAGGTATTGTGCTTTGCTTATACGACAGATAGGTTAACATTATACTACACATTTAATTTGCACCCATGCATTCATAGCTCCATCTTATCCTGGCCATAGCCAAGCCAATAGTCTTACAGTGGTTCAATTTGGTCGCCACCCAAGCTTTCTCGAAGCCTCAAGCATTTTCAATATCTAGACCAAACCTCCCGTATCGCTGTTGGACCAAGAACAGAACGATACAATTACCATCCCCACGTCAGTACAAAATCTGCTGTTGTCAGTTAGGAGGTGCCTAAGCCGTCGTATTTGGACCCACAACAGCTATTGCGCGACTCGCTTCTCCAAGTTGCAGGAAATCATTGAAACGTGGAGTTCTTCGAAAGTCCACCCTCCTTACCGTCGTATCCTGCGCTCTATCCGTCCACGCGCGACTATAACCCATGTCCACTGCCTATCCATCCCGGTCCACATACAGACGTCCCTAGGAGGTAAGTTATGTACTCACCAGATACGTTTTAGTACAATACACACAAGTGCAATACAGAGAACAATGGCAGATCCCGAGGACCTAACGAGGATCATTTTTCGGCCCTAGCCTCCGAGAATATTCTCCGAGATTGCCTTGAATCACTACCCACAACGGCCGAATGCGGTATCGCCATCCTTGACGGTAGCCGGAGGCGTAGTTTAATATGCGACCAGTTCGTAGGGTTAGGTACATAAAGTACCTCATACTAAATATGTAATATATAAATGAACAAAACGTGCGGATTAGATATAACTAACAAATGACACCATCCGTAGCTACGGCATTAATTAAAAGATACAGGGAACAACCTCTTCTGCTTCCCAATTTCCGTTCACGGGATGACAGGTACCTATCTCTTAATAATCTAAGTCCGTCTTGCGCAACTTTGATTGATAGTGGGTGTATATTACTTGAGACTTGGCATCAAGATTGGACCAGGTAAGCGCTGTAGTAAATGACATCTCGCTTCAGCACCAACGGGAGCTATTTTCAGAGCAACGTACATATGCAAGTTTGCCCGCAGTCGGCGCGGGTGACTACGGTTGCAGCTCGGAAGACGCGTACGGGCAGAGAGGGTTGCAGTACTAGCACACCATCAACCCCGAAAGGGCAATACCCAATGATCACATTTCCTTGTTCTGGACATTGGGGATAAATTGAGTGCATGCGGAGTACAGGGAAATCCACCCTCAGAGGCAGCTTTTAGGTAGCGAGTTCGTTAATACTCCGATCAAACAAGGCCTACCCATTTCCCAACCTAGTTCACATGAATCATGAAGCGTAACAACGGCAGAGGAGCTTTATTGCATCTAAGCTTGATCAAGCCTACGTATAGCGTGACATAGAATGAGCAATCAACAACTAGATTAGTTGCCTGGCTATAGCCATGCTATCCGCAACGTAATATTAATAAGGTAGGTTAGGTACTTTATACTCTCGTCCCTACGTGGTATCAAATATGTACATTACTCAAAACATGTTTCTCCATTGAAGTATTGTGGTATTCATGTCACAAGTAAGAGCTTGAGCTCGGCCTGCCTACATCAGATACCCAGTTCAAGAGTGTACATAGGATCACGAAGTCTTCTCACTTGGCATCCTCATTTACCGAACGCGAGATTACATACCCTAACCCAATTGAGACGAACTACGACATGAATCTGCTAGTTACGTTAATAAGATATACGTCGTTGCTTGTAGCTGAAAAGTCCAAATGGACTCTGTTGACCGGGACAGGTCGTTCGACAGACGAGTGACATCAACTATGTAATTACCTAGGTAGGTAGGCAGGTAGTCGTTGTAGAGGATGCAATTCACTCGAACTACCCCTGTCTTGCATACATACACGGACGCTCACCCGGATACCACGTTTTTTCCCCTCACGAAGCTCGAGACCGCTCGAGAGGTCCATCAAAACTACATGATACCCCAAAAGCCTAGAGGATTAATAATGTTAATAACAAGCATTTCTCTTCCCATACCCCACCAGAACTGTCAAGACCTCTCAAGTAACGAGAAAGAAGACTACGACTACGCCCTAGCATTTTCTAAAGCTTAACGATATGAGGATTCAAAGAATTCTCCAACACCCTTGTCGCAGACGCTTTGCCCCTTTTCAAACTTATCTCCGACACTAACTATCATTTCCATTCGATCAATAACTTCCTTCTGTTATACCCCCGCATTTCAGGGATGCGCGGTACTGCACCGAGGGGGTTACAAACAGGGAATCAGGGGCCCGTTGGGATGATCCCCTCTTCAAGTTCAAGGGTACAACTTCCGCGAGCCGTCGTTACATCGCTTCTACGCCGAACTTGACCTGCAAAGACAAAGACCAATTTACGCTCAGTGTTAAAGCGAGAACCGTTAGACGCCTTCATCTCAAATGTATAGTGTAGCTTTCCAGCCACCGCTAGGGCTATCGGAAGCGCTAATTTGTTAAATGAGTCCTCAAGATACCAGACAAAGATCTACTTTAGCTTAAGCCTAGCAATGTTCATTGGTCATCGTCAGTTCAGCCCTTGCTCTCTGCGTGCCGATATCCAGGCCCAAATTCAAAGATCCGCTCATACCAGGTATCGAGGGTAGTTCGTCTTGGCGGTAGAAATATACATACAGCAATCCATCAAAACGACGATGGGGATTAACTTCACAAACCCACGTTACCCGCCAAACAATTTGCCGCCGTCACAATTGCAAGCTACCCTTTTACCTATGCCTTTCATCGTACTGCTTACTCTATGTACCGGTACGAACAGTTAATTCTGGAACCTAATCTCCCGGAATCCGTAGAGAGCAGAACCCGTCCTTCTTCCTTACCATCAGGGAGATACTTACCAGGTTTCTAGCTCCAAGCTACCTAGGAACATGAAGGTCCAGCCCTCGATACCGAGTTCCGCCGAGCTCGACTACGGTCGTCCCCGGTTCGAGCTCTTTCCCCCTCAGTACTTCGTATATCTTGGTGTTAGCTATCGTTGGTTATGTGACTGTCACCGGTTACGACTTCATGTAGGTTTGACGTGTAATAGCCTCACCGGCATACAGGAGACCTGTCACACAAATCCGTACGATGATGCACGGCCTTCGGCACCAAGATCCCCATTTTCTCGGGAAAAGGATAAACCCTGGGAGATCATATGTACAATACAGCAGCCAACCCAGCACTTGGCTCCTCGAGCCGTCAAACCCGTGGGTGTAGTAATTACAGGCAGGCTAAAGCCCGGCCTAGCCCAGCCAGCCAGCTTCTGTAACAGTGGGATCTGGAGCGGCCAGATGAGGAGGCCCCCGTTGTAGCCGCTTTTTACATCAATTCTCCGGCGCACTTGAGATATGATGCATAAGGTAAGATGGGAGAAGCTTCCGCCTGGTTGGCTCATTCACTCAATCTGCGGCAGTTGCTTGCTGGCCGCCATTATGCGGCCTTTGGTTGCCTTTTCGCGATTTAGTACACCACTGCAACATCATAGGTTGGCTATAGCGTAACATTATATAGACATTCATACGGGGTAATGACTTACCGTGTCGTAGAATGTCGTGAGCATTAAGTCCCTACCTTAGGTCAGTTACGTAGCCGCACGCGTATAGTAATACCACAGCAAATACGACCATTGGCCATTGTTGTCAACCGACTTACAGAGACAGGTTCGTAACACGAAATCTAGATCTCAGACGTGTTCGAACTCTGATTGGAGGATCCGGTGATTTTTGTCCTCGATCGCCCCCTCTATTATGCCGACAAGGCGCCTCAGGAAACCATTTACTTCTTACACTAAACTATGGGAGGGCGTATCAACTATCTAGGAGTCAAAGCCAGTCTACAATTCATGCCTTTATGCCAATCTCCAAAAGGAATTATGCGCTCTACTCCGACTATTATGATGGAGGCAAAGTTAACACCCGTTTCAGGGGCAGATGAAAAACTACAATACAAATCCCCCAGACAGTCCGTTGGTTACGAACGAATCGACGTAGCATATTCATATATAGTAATACATCCAATCAGAATGATAGCTCGTTAGGTTAGGTAGGTACGATCTAAAGACAGGATATCTCTCCTGAGTCAGGGATTTTGCTCCTCTGGACAAGTGTTGCGGCACAGCGCTCCCACATCTAAAAGAACTACGTCTAAACCGGCATCAGGGCCTCTCTATACATCAATGTTATAATATACTTGTCGTTTTTTATTATAACCGCGTCAGAAATAGAATCAGAAGCTACCACATGATTCTTCAACCGTCCGTAAATTTAGTCAATCGTGTCTCGAGGCTAAACGCGCCCGATAATTCTCATGATATCCCAAAACTGGACCCCCAGTTATATGATTATTATTTTTTTACGTTTCAGTAAACATTACTAAACCAACATCAAAGCCGTTGCGGCAATCGGGCAAGGCTGGTATATCTCGCTCCAACGCATGGTTACCACAGCCGTCGTCCGGGATGAATCGAGCAAACATCGTGAGCAAAGGGGATTGGTGATCCATCCGTAATATATCACATGTCAGTGACTATCAACACGTAAACAAACATCTTAGAAGCAACCTTTTTTTTTCTGCGAGAAGGTTAGGTAAGTTGGCTACCAGGTACCAACCTAACCTTATGCAAGCAGATGGCTATCCTTACTAGGTGATCTTTGTTATTGACGTATAACCTATCTGGAATCCGGGCAATTATTGTCTATTGGACAAGTGGGTGCCAGTTCGTAAAAGCTTGGAAAAGACTTTGACTCAAGAACTTCGATATAAAAATCTCTAAGTCAGAAGAGATATCGCTCCTAGACAGAGATGCAATATGGTTGGGTGTTGTTCTCTTGAGGCTAGATCGGTTATGGTCTTGAAGGGACATAAAAAACCAACTACCTCATGCAAAAAGAGAATCCGGGAGCCTTGAGGCAGCAGCTGGCAACACCATACGGTAAATTAACTTTTGATAATCTAATTTCCGTTTTCTATTGGTTATGTTATCTCTTTAGTCCTTCTGGTATCGCTAGCCCTCTTGTAAAGTATCGCAAATCAGGTCTGTCTGTGTATTTTGTGGTATATAACGTGAATGGTAATAAAACATCCTACTGATTTAACGCTTAAGGGTCTCAAAAATTCGAATGAGCGGGGTGTACCTGCACAACGAGATGTGTTCTAGGTTCATTCACTATTGCAAATCAAGACACGATATAGGGTGGTCTGAGTTCTATATGTGTTTAATTTAATATTTGTCTATAGCTGTTTCTTTGATGATGAGGCCTAATTGGCCCACTAGACGCTATGCGGAAATCGATAGCCTGGCGTTCCCTATCGACTCTCCGCTGCACGCCTTTTATAGCTGCGTGCTTCTTCTAATGATGCCATCGCTCGAACGCACTCGGTGTATCCTTCCACATCTATATGATATATGTATGTAAAAGTATCTACCCGGCACCCCATGCGACCTATCCTCATTTCCCTTCCAGCAGTGTTTAGTGACATACTCGATATCTCAAGAAAAGCGCTGTCTGGCTATAAATTTCTACTCCGTCTTCAGAGGAGGCATGTTTTGATACGGTTCGAAAAAACCGGGTTAAACATAAAACCCCTGGTACTTTTATGCGAAGTAACTCTTCCAAAGGACTCCTTCTAGGTCCTCAAGTTGCTCATGGGTGAAATACTATCCAATACGTTAGTAAGTTTATTGCCCCAATGGGAAAAAGACTGTTGCTTACCTTCTGATCGACCCCCCAACTATCTTGTCTTGTCTTTTTGAATTCAGAGAGTATGCTTTTTGTGGCTTTGCCGACCACACCCGGGTCATTTGCTGCGCGTCTAGCGAGTAAGGCTAAGACCTCAGGCATCCAACTTGGCGGCGGCGTCGCGTATGGGAACGCCTCGATCAGGGCACCAAGACCCAGAACCGCAGCGTGTCTTTTCGCAATTTGCTGTGTAGCATTGATCGGTGTTTCTGTACCAGGCTGCCTTTTCTTCGGCATTGGATTTCGTGCTAGCTGAGTCTCGAAACGAGACTTTAGAGTGGCGATAAAGGGGTTTCGTATCGTAGCTGGAGAACATCTGATCATCCCTGCCAGCGTCGCACCTGCAACCGTCCGAACTTCAAGCTGGGAATCAGCTAGCATGTCGCCCACAGCGTCGAAGAGCAACTCTCGATGCGATGCATCCATCAAAAATAATCGTCGGAAATAGATGACTTGCATATTTACAAGTGCCCGCAAACGCTGGTGCCAGCTTGTAGCATTTCTTCCTAGACGGACCAATGCCTCAATAAATGGCGCGTCTTCTCCAATGCGGAAGGGAATGTTTGGCAAATGGCGATAGACGTGATAGGCTAGACGCATTAGTTCTGGGTCCTCTTTGACATCCATCATGTGTAGGAGCTGGCCAATAAAAGGCTCCGGAAAAAAGGGAATAAGCTGGATACATTCTTGTGAGGAAAGCGTATTATCTAACCACACTAGAACTGTCTTTGACCCCGATGTGTAAGAAGACGGTGTTTGTTGACCAGGTGTACGCTCATGACGCCATGTTTCAAGACGGTCGAATACGTCCCTGATGGTAGCAGTGAATTCATCGCTTGGCTGGTAAGGGCGAATGCCAATGTTCGAGTCTGCCTTGTTCTGTTCCAGTAGAGCGCCGACATTCTCAAACGACTCATGATATCGTGTCCTGTAGATTGTAGCAATGACGCGGCCGATCGATTCACGCACAGCTTTGTATGGGTGATCGATATGCGCTAGGAAGTCGTCTAAAATGGGTTTCTCGTGACGATAGTGCCAACCACAATCGTTGATTAGGAACTCGAGAAGCTGCACTTTTGAGGATTCCTTGAAGGCAGCATTCGAGTTCATATCCAGGCGGAAAGAGCTTAGGCGGCTAACAAGCTCACTAGCACGACGAGGATCCTTAGTATCGATGATAAAGTGAAGGCATGTGGCCCAATATGAGAGGTTGTCAGGCGTAAGGTTATCGGCGAAGATATCGAGGATCATCGGTTGTGCAAAACCCCATACTTCTTGCTTCATAGAAAGAGGATCATACGTTGTGCCAACCATCAAGGCACCTAGGATCTCTGCTGTAGCGCGATGCTGGTGCTTATCGCTTCCGTCACCGTACACTTCAGCTACTAATTCTTTGACATCCTCAAACTTTAGCTCCGTCTGCCCGTATATCATGAGGTCAAAGACGTGCATAAGCAGGACAACATTGGATGTCCTGAATCTATCAGAGTTCGCGTCCCGCGGCTCCTGCTTTAAATAGTCGAAACATTGGGAAAGCCATTCTCTCGTGATCAATTTACCAATTTGCTGCCTAGCTGCCTTCTCTACGTCATCATAGGCGTCAAACTTCTCCGGGTTTGCTTTAAAGGCATTGAACTGTTTCCCCCAGACTAGCCAGCCAGGGTGATCTGTGTCTACATAGTACTCCGCACTTTCAGGGTGCTTGAAGCTTTCCAAGAAAGCCTCTGTGAATTCCGCATCACCCTTCGGAACCGGGATGGCAAGCTTATTGATATCTTGTTCTTTCTCGCAAAGGTAGTCACGGTAACTATGCCCATATACGGCGCGCTGATCAATCGCAGTAAATATGTTAGAAAATGCATTGAGGTAATTAGCCCTTAAGCCTGGGTGAGGATCGTTGGTTCCCTTAACGACAAGTTCGATGAATTCTGGTGGCGCGATGCTCTCGAAGCGTAGGCAGAGGTTCGTGGTAAAGATAGCACAGCGACTAGCTGTCTTCCAGTGCGATTCTTTTGCGATTTCGGTTAACTCAAGTCCTAACGCCGCCTTTTTCTGTTCGACCTTCTTTCTACGTTCGACGATGAAATCGTGTCTTGCATTGATGGCCTTCGAGCAATCTTCGTCCGGCTTGATCAAATTAACTATTTCTTCGTCGGTGATTACCATCAATTCAAACCTCTTGCCAAAGTCCATCAGCGGGTAAATAGCAGTGGCGCCGAGATTTTGAATTGACGTCTTGTCGACATTAGCTGATTGGATATATAGGCGCATCAAGTCGGGGGCAAATCTCCAGTCCCTCATCAACGTCCTAAGTAGACTTGTAAAGAGTAACGTATACATTGCCCCCTTAATCCGGTCATGGTCTACCTCTTCAAGAGCCTTGCGGAACCTTTCTAGTATTACGGGAATAACGAGCGGTCGGCCGCCTATCAGAGCCTTTAGCGAGGCGTCTTGCGCACCTTGGGCGATTCGTCTCACGTCCGCGTACGAAGAGACAGAAGATTCAGCAAGATCAAGAAGAAGACGCTTATCTAATTCGCTCTTCCTTCGGACTGATGCATTATGCTTGACTCTCTGTAACTGATATGCGTCGGCCCTCTTGATAAGAAGAGGCCTGGGATACACCTTTCGCAAACCACTGATTTTGAAAGGAGCAATATCTGCCCTGTATAATCGAACTAGGCGGTCTAACGGATGTGCCGACCTTTCGAATCCCACATCTGTAATCCAGGTGCGGTACGTGTTGTACAGAGCCGTAAAGCAAGCAACATCATCCTCCTGGTGGGAGTTTAGGAAAGAATGCGTTCGAGAGAGTAAGCGTCCTATATCTTCCCGGAGGTTATGAATGCGGTCATAAAGCGGGGTGTCAGGTGTAAGTAAGTAGCCGCTCGGATATTTAAACTGTGGCTTCGTCTCGTCGTCTTCCCCCACCTCGGCCAACGGGTTGGTGTCCTCCTCATCGTCGTCATCGCCACCATCAGCGATGATGTCGTCCTCTTGCTGGTTGGATTTTCCATTACCATTAGGATGTCTATTAACCTCCCCAGATGCTCGTTTCGGGTCAAATAGGGTTGCAAGACCAGAAATAACCAATCGCAGCTGGGTTAATTGGCGAGCGACCTCATCCGACCATTCTTTGTTCTTTCCTTTCCGACTCACAGGCGGGCTGTCGCTCATAAAAGACTCGAGCCGCTGCATAGACCCTCCAGCTTGTGATTCAAATAGTTCAACCGCAAATTGGATCTCTTCTTGCAGAGGCCGATGCCACCGAATCGTCAAGTCCGTTGGTGGGGTCGTCTTGCCCCAATCATCGACGTCGAGACCACGTTTTATGACATCAGGCTCGTAAAGCGAAGTATCTATAGGGTACGTATGCGTAAGGTTGAGGAGTAGGTGGTGTATATAATTGCTGATGTGAATAGCAGGAAGGCCTTTGCACTTTTCTTGCATATACTCTGCGATTTCGAAAAGCTCTTTTTTATACTTGAGCACCTCGCTACCCACATGAACAACGCACATGCTCAAAATACTCACGTGCCACACGAGAGCCCTATCCCGAGGAAGGACTTCGGTACCGCTGCTCCGATCGGAAGCAGCGCCGTTGTAGTCAATCTCGTTTCGTATGTTGACGATCAACATAGGAATGAATACCTTAAGCGTCTTCTCGGGGTTCACTTTGCAAAGCGCGTTGCAGATCCAAGCCATGGCGTCACGAGCCTGATGGACTACATGGCTCGAGACAAAAGCAGAAAGCTTTTCCAAAGCCATATCAAAGAGCTCGGGCGAGAGAGAAGCAAACATCGGAGTCAAAGCCGCCGGTAAAGTATTGATGATATTATCTTCAGGAGACCCGGAGCGGACCTGCGCCGCATCTGGTAGATTCTCCAGTAATGTGAAGACTTTGCCCAGCAGCGCTAGGATGAATTCACCAAAACCTGCGGTCGAGGATCGCACGATGTCCGCTTCATCCTCGTCGGTCAGTTCATTTTTATAATCGATCTTGACATCTTGGCCTTCGCGTTCCATTCTCTCCATCTCCCCTTGCACCCATTGCATAGCAAGGCTAGTATCATGAACTTGGTTATTCTCTTTTGTCAAAGTCACAAACGGGATACTGTACGCAACACTTTGTATAAAGTTCAAGGTAAACTGCGTCTTGTTAAGATCGTTAGCATCAATACCAGGTAAAGCCAATGCTAGTAGAGCAGTGATGTGACACCGGAAGCCTTTCTGACGCGACATGATATTAGCAATCATGTTCAGACCGCAAAGACTAGAGGTAGTTCGATGAACTTCAACAAGGCCCTGTAGACTTGGGTAGAACCTCTGAAGCGCACCGGGCAGCAACAGGTCAGGTTCTAGGTAGGTAAGATTTTGGAGAGCGTTGAAGTACAAGCTGGTAATAGCCGAGCTTTTGCCAAAAAGTCCCATGAATGTGACTTCTCGTAAACTCAGGACAAATCGGCTCTTCAAAGCATCGTTGATCTTTCGCTCGGCGGGGGTATCCTGCTCCTCATTTTGCTCCCTGTTCCAACGCGATACAAATAACTCGCTAAGGTAATAGGTAAGCTGTGCCAATATCTTAGACCAAGACCCGTGATTTGACGGATGGAAGAAGGTATCAATTGACTCCATGAGTCCTTCAAGGCTATTCAATATCGAGTTATCCTTGCCGAGACAATGAGGCGATAAAGAAGATACAATCCAGCGAGCTACAATATAGGGTATCGGATGTTTCTTCTTGTCTTTCTCGAGAAATATACCCATACCAACCGAGTAGTCGAGTGATGAGTATGGTGAATTCGCTTGCCCAACGGGAATTTCAGTCAAACGAAGAATGGCAGTAAATATTAGATCGGACTGCTCGCGTGTGAAGACGCCATGCTCACCAAAGGGTACATGCCGACACGTCAAGTAGTCTCTTGCTACTCTAGAGAATATGTCGATGAAGGCATTGTCTACCACCTTGGAGCGGTTCATCAGGGACCAGAGATGGAAGAACGTAGGTATAAAATCGGACGGCTGAGATTGCGGCTCCGTAGCAGGAGCTGGGGTCGTAGGCATGAGAATGTTCAACAGACCAATAACAATGTAGGCGTTCTGTATATCAGACGTGCTGAAATAAGGCAGTACCTCCTCCAGGATGGCGCGCCGTTCTTTAGGATCGAAGTATAACTGCGAATAGAGACAGAGTTTCCGAAGATGCTTGCTCCCCCGCCTTCTAGAAGAATGATGCGCAGCAGCCTCACCGGGTAGTACTAACGCCTTCAACTCCGTCCAAAGCGGTCTCCAGTCGAGGATGAGGTCCTGTTCGGGCTTAAGAGCTTGCTTTCTCCTGATTAACGTCACGACCATCTTGGAAAATCGATCGGCTGAGTTATTGTCTAAGCCAGGAGCGAGCGAGAGGTGAAAGTACAACTGTACGAGCTTGGCGCGTAACTCGCGCGGCATATCGAACTTGAGGGCAAGCCATCCTTGGAGTTGGCGCGTCCAGTGGAGAGCACCAGGAGAGAAGTCCTCGGCCTTGACAGCTATATATAGCTGCTTGAGTATTCCCTGCAAAGCGGCATCACGCGCGGCATCGTCCTCGACTGGGTAAGGTAATAATCGAAAGTATGCAAAGGTACGTGGTCGGTAGCGCTTGGCATCGTCGATATCAACTGAGAGCGGCAACCCAGGTGAGGTTGCGCGCGAAATAGTGTCGCCTACGGCATAGGTGTTGAGGAACTGCGAAACAGCAGAGAATTCAGCAGCAGCAGCCGCAACCGCAGCCGGAGGATCGAGTGCTTCATCCATGATGTGGGGGAGAGTGTGTGCGGTATTATATGATGTCTAACTAAAGCTCGGCTCGGCCCGGTCTTTGTAATTTCGTTATATCGAATCGGACTACCTAGGTATTTTTGGATTCGGGATATATGACAAAAGCCTTAGTTGTGTTTGGTTAGTCTCGAGGTCGAAACGGGGATTTAGTTATCGATATATCGGTATGTCGGTATATCGATGTTAAAATGTTGATATGTTTCTTTTTCTTCTAGTTAGACCCTAGTAAGGAAGAAGTTGATAGTTGGTGAAGTTCCTTTGTGGGAATCGACGGGTGGCGTTGGTCTCGTGCTGCAGCCAAACACTAAGGCGCACGCTGACATATCATATCGCAGCTCCCGGAGCTTGCGAGGTAGCTAGCTGTTCTGGAGTTTAGAAAGCTCTAAAGGGTCAGTGTTCTACCGGATACACCACGCCAAACGTTTAGGTGGAATAAGTTGGGATCCTAACGACTTCTTTACTTTTTGCCCCCTCCAAGCCTCGTTACCAGCACGGGATTGCACCGGATAAGGGACAATGAAAGAGAGATAAACAAATTATCAAACGGGTATTTAGGAAAAGCCAATACCCGTTGATAAATATGTGTTTAGGGAATAGTAGATGGGAAGGTTACCTTAGGTAGACAAGGCAGATAGACGGAGGGAGTGAGGGGAGAGTGGAAGATGTATGTAATGTAATAGTTTTAGATGTTGGATAACTAGGGTGCAGGTGGGCAGCTGGGTGGGTACCTAAGCTGATGTCGAAGTGGGGAATTTAGTAGTACCTAAGGTACTACCTGGTAGGGCAAGAGGTTAATTAGTAGGGAAGCAGACCAACAGAGTTGCTGGCTGCGCCTGCCTTTTTGTTACTTTTCCAACAGGCACAACTGGCACAGGAGTGATCCAAAGGCAGAAGGACGAGTACGTAATAAGGCATAAGGCAATTGCGACAACCTTACCTTCTAAGGTCTAACAGGTTAGGTACTTCCTAGTAGTTGCCTCTCACGGATTAAAGGCCGCGCGCATGACAAGTTTCTATAGCAGCCTAATAAAAGGTGGTACCTGCCTGTCAACCATAAACTGACGGAATTGATCACCTTAGGTACCTGATTCTTATCTGGTACCTTAACTTAGAGTACTTAGAGGCTAAAGTATGGAATCTCCTAAATCTTTCGAGTACGATGTCATCATCTGTTATAATATTATAAGTCGGGTAGTTCGAAAAGATATTGTTATAGTATAAAAGCATTTGAACTTTATAATCGTGGATCCATTTCCCTTTCCCCTTCTAATAATCCATTAGTCCATTCCACTCTTCTTTTGTTCTTTCGTTTATTACCGTGGTAGTGTACAACCTCATTCTGAAGCTCAAGTGCGGGCAGATATCAATGTATATAAGCCTTATCGACAAGAGAATAATACCGCTCAGTAACACCAAAATTAGGTACTATGTACAATACAACAACCAGAACAGCTCAACTATTCGCCACATATCTTATCTAGGTAGGTAAGGTACCTAAAGATATAACACAATAACACAAATACCTACGAGGGTATCATCACATAGGTATCATCTAGCAAGCAAGCCTAACAAACAATCTCTTTTCGCAAGGGGACCAACAATTCGTTAAGTCGTTGGTTTACAAAGGAACCTAGGTCAAATCATAGGTAGGCTCAGTAAATCGTACTTAGGTACCTAAGAGGTACCTAACCTAGGCCTATATTTTTTTTAGGGTGGATTGTACCTAGGTACCCTAGGTAGGCTTCTGCGCGACGTCATGCACATAATTACAGCGGATAATCCGGTTCAGGGCTTTTGGGTCTCACCCGATTTGACGGGTTAAACTAACCGCAAATCGGTCGGGTCGAATTGCTTTAATACCTAAGGTACCTACTATATGTACCTACCTAAGGTAAACAACCTAACAACCTAACATCAAGCAACGTTCACGACCTCACCAACAATCTTCTTCATTTAATCAGAACTTTAAAAAGACGTCCATAGATTTCTCTCATTTTTATATTGCTTAGTATTAATAGGAAGAGAGAAGATGCTATATCCCTCCCGCCCCGGTTGCCTACGTCTTCATGACCTAGCCGATTTACACCACCTGCGGCAGAGCGGATAAGCACATTGCTTCACATCCCCCTGCATTGCTTTTTTTTTCCTTTTTTTTTTCCGTATAAGCTCTTGCTGACAGCAGGTCGACACGGTCACATGACATATCTCCTCTTCGTTACCCGTACCTAAGGTTACCTGGTTGATAGGTTGATGCTCGTAGGGATCCTATCACTGGCAAGCATCTGCCCTTGCCGATGTTTCTGTTGCACAACAACAAAACCACAGAGGAATCTAGCTCTACAAGCTATTAACACTGGCTTACACAAGCTGACAAGGTAGGTAGGTCGCCCCCAAGTCAGAAACAAGCAAATAGCCCGATGCACGGTCATAACGTGATACCACTAAGTTTTAAGAGTTGTCGAATCAGAGATGCGTTGGCATGGCGGTGCTTAGATAGGTACTTGATATATATTTGCTTGCTTTGTCGATTATCTTACACTATTTTGAAGGTATTGGAGAAATGGATGTTGATAGAATTTTGATGATACAAATCTGTATTGAAGTAGCTTAAAAGCCGATAAAAACGTCATAGGATCTTGCTTGTTTGCTGTAAGCATGTGCACTGCTCCCCATAAGAAAGCGCTTCGGTTAGGAGAAGGAGATAGGTCCCAAAGTAGATTTGTGCTAGCCGACAAGCCCCTTAATATTCTCATATATCATCTACTCAATCTTCAATATGTACCTAAGGTAGGTACCTAAACTATGAGACCCATCACTCCTTCTTCTTCTCCATCTTTGGGAGCCCAATCCAGAGAAGACAGATGACAGCAAGCAATGCCAGAATAATAGGTTGCAGCACCTGCACGCCCTTCGCTTGCGCGATCGCCCCAACCGCAAACGGCAAGACAGCCGCTCCGCTACCACCAAACGCCGCCGCGAACCCGATAGCGCCGACATGGAGATGTCGAGGAAGCAGCTTGGACACGGCGACAATAGCGGCGGGGAACAGCGGCCCCATGAAGAACCCTTGGAGGCCCACGGCCACGGCGGACACGTAGAACTGGGGCACGAGCCAGAACAGGAGCTCGAGGCCCATCGTTAGCGGGAGGTATATCATGATGGCGAGCTTCTCGCCCAGCTTCGGCGTCACGAACCCCAGGACCACGCGCCCGATCGTCAGCCCGAGCCAGAACCCGGTCGCCGTCATGCCGCTGGCGAAGGGCTCGCCGTTCCGCACCTGGATCATGAACTCGACGATCCAGCCCCCCAGGGCGACCTCGATCCCGACGTAGCCGAGCAGGAACAGGGAGCAGAGCCACGTCACGCGAGCGGCGGGCTGCTTGAACAGGGCTTCCTTGAGACTGCCCTGAGACGAGTCCGAGTGCTTCGTTAGGGATTCCCTATACTCGCGTCCGGTCGCCTTCCAGAAGCAGCTAACTGAAGCAACTACCTCCACCGCGGCCATCCCGATCTAATTCAGTAAGTCAGTCAGCTCCTCCATGTCCTATTCTCCTGCGAAATCAACTAACTCACCATTAGGTAGTAGAAGGCGTACCAGGGCAAGTTGCCCTTCGTAATCATGGTCGTGGCAATCAGCGGGCTGAGCACGGCGCCAGCGCCATAGAGGCCGTGGAGAAAGCCGAGCATCTCGTTCGCGCGGGCCATGTTGCCGATCCACGCGTTCCAGGCGGCGTCCGCGATGCCGTTCCCGAAACCCGCCAGGACGAAGGTGATCACCAGGACCGGGTAAGGCGGGTGCACGGCGATAATGACGTAGGCCACCAGATGGCACGCCGAGGAGGTGAAAGCGACCCCCCTCTGGCCCGCCTTGAGGTGGATGACGTTGTTTAGGAACGCCGCTGCCGTGTATCCTACGAAGGGCGAGAGGAAGAGGAGTGATACGATGAGATATGTGAGATCATAATACGCTTGGATCTAAGGTTTTATGTTAGTCGTACGTTTTGTTAGGATATAAATCCATAGAACCTTGTGAGCTACCTTACATATGGAATGAGAGGCTACACCCAGGTCAATTCTTGTTAGCAATCGTTCATATCCAGTATAGTCAGATTCTAGTACGATAACTTACTCCGTAAGCAGCGTCGTTAGCGCCCATGACGATGAACGACCAAAAGCACGAAGCGACCCGCGGGATGTTTTTCCGGGGGTAGTTCCATCTCTGCACAACATCCGTAGTCGTGCTCGGCGGCGGAAGCGAGCTTGTATCCTGCCTCGAGGTAGCATCGCCGTCGTTGCAACTTGTCTTACCGCGGACTTGGGGTTCAGCAGAGCTCCGCTTCGGTAACGGAGTTGACAGATATACCGGCTCTAGCTCGACCTCTAGAACTGAGGTCGAGGAGCTGCCGTTTTGCTGCACGTGTGTCGCCATCGCTACCAGCTAGCTTGTTCGTGTCCTTGGTCTTCAAGTGCTGAGAGGTACGGCGATCATTCTACTTCCCAGGACGGAAGGAACTAGAGAAGGAATAATCGTAGGATTGAAATCTCAACCCAGAGGGGATAAGGTAAATAGGGTTTGCCTCTTATGTACGTGGCGACGGAAAAGTTTCGGTGAACGACCTGGTCTCCTATGAGCTACGAGGTCCACAAGCAATGCGGACAGCGTGGATAGGGTCGCCACGGCAGAAACAAAGCTGGGAAGCCGCACCGGTAGAACGTCGGATAACTCCATGTCGTGTTGTTGGAGCTTGTTTTATGAGCATGCTCATTTTATTACGAGGTTCTGTCGCGGGGTTGATAAATTCTAGAAAGGGAATCTCCGCCCGCCTCTCGAATCAACTCCGACATCTAGACCCAGACCGCTATCGGCTGCAAATCACGTTTTGCTTTACAGCCCGCACCTCCTCCCCTTCTCCCCTTCTAATTTCCATCGTCACTTGTCAGCTTGACTCACCGGTTAATAGTGTCAGAGCAGGAGAAGACGATGCTGGGCGGTCTTTACACGGGATACAACCATAAGTTAGATTCGTACTATACAAACTACCTACCTTAGGTAACAGGTACACATTCAAGTAGGTGCTTGATGTAACTATTGCTTTATTTGCTTTGGGAAGGCGAGGGATGATAAATATAGCGGGCTCAATTATTCTAAGGCAATTTATACAGGCACCTACCTACCTAGTACCTAGTTGTAGGTAACTTTCTAGCATACCATACAATACTCTCGACGACTGTTCAGGGTTCAACTAAGCTCGAGGAGTTTCACGTTGCATTCTATTCTGTATGGGATAAGCAATTGGTTAAGTAACGATAGTAGAAAGTAGGTACTTGGCGTATTGAAGATCTCTACGTCAGTTAAGACTGGATAATTATTTGGCGTAAGACAATTATGCTAGAAGTCTATACTACAAGTGTCAGAACTTAAGAACCCTTTAGCATAAGCTATTGTTATCTAGGGGCGCGCGGGGGGGGGGGGGGGGGTTCAGCCCTACGTGCCTAAGCTCGAGAACATATGGTAGAAGCAGACGCCGTTAGAACTCGGTTAAGGAAAATATGCAGAGCGGTTGGCTTGCGTGTATCCCGAACTAGATAGTCGAGCCTAGAAGCAAGTATGAGGTAGTTACTAAAAATGTGTTGTGAGATGTAACGTTGATGACTGTAGAGATTATATGATTTCTCGCCGGTATAATGCAACAGAAAGAAATGCCTGAGTGAAGTGCTAATTGTCTTCTTGAAAACACAACTTTCTGCTCCGTACCGCTGCCATTCCCCCTATTTGCATCGACGTCACCTACACGTTTCGAATATACTTAAAATATATATCGTAGGTAAGTAGCACCAAGTTTACTGGGTTAAGGTAGAAAATGCGCATGGTTCACATACAGATGAAGTTAACACATTCGCTAATTTCCTTGTAGCTGTATGCCTGGCTATTGAAGTTAACAGCCTCCGTTGGATACTGCATAATTCAAGCAGTTCCTTTTCTCTCCTATAGTGGATTTGCGTGTTCATGTCATGTCAAAACCTATCCTCTAATCCAAACACCATGCGGTTAAGCCTCTCGATCCTGTCTCTGGAGCTTCCCAAAATTATAGTTCCCTTTCCGAGAAATATCGTAACCAATAAAAAAGTTTTTTCTATTCAATCCGTACTTCCCAAATGCCCCCTTTTCCCCTTAACTCCGGTTGATGCTAATGCATGATATGATACAAGTTTCTCTCTTCATTCGCGCAATCATTCGCGCAACTGATCTGACACGTCTCCTACTTTTGATAGGGACTCGTTAACAACATGGCTGGCAGCCCTACCGCCCATGTAGCTTTCGAAACCAGTTTGACATATTTTTCCATTTCTGATGCTTCGCTTTTCGGTCGTGGTCATACCGGTCATCCCTATAGTTCTCCCGTACGATATTCCGAATCGATGATTTACAACGAAGGCTGGAGTTTTCGCTAAATTCTATTTCAAGGGGCTTAAGGGACAAGGGGTCGGTTGCATAAGATTCCGAGATAACCTGCTGTCTGGCAGATAAAGGAGATGACGCTGATGATGCTGAGTTGCTTTGTGGAGCAAGGTCAAGTGGAGTGAGAGAAGACGGCAAATCTAGTACGGCTGCTAACGAACTCGCCTGGCTCCGATTCGAGAGGCCTACATCCCATTCGCCGCTGAACGCCCGCTTGTTCTTTGATTCCTGTCTAGGACTACTCCTGGCTCGGTCTCTTGTTTCGATATTGAACTTTTGTGCGAAGCTAGCTCCAGTAGATGTCGCCCTCCTAGGTAACACATTCGGTGTTAGTTGGTCCCCCATCCGTAAGGCGCCTGCAAGTTTTCGTCTACTACCGGTGGCGGGGGCACTGGGTTTTGATGCCGTCTCCGAGTTTACGCTTACGGACCTACTTCGGATCGGTGTGCATGTGGCTACTGGGGTAGTGGGAGATAATGGTGTAACGGTCCCGAAATCCGTAGGTTTCCAGTTAGGCGACCACCCGTGACGAAGTATGACCCATATAGCTGATATGGTAATGAAGTTTTTCTGCCAGTCTTCAACTCGCTGAGTTGTTCGTTCCGAGGCGTTCTCTCCACTGGTGGGAGAAGCAGGAGTAGATAAATTGGGAGAAGTCGGAGGATAATAACCAGCGGACTGTGAGACGGTTGTATAAGAGTCTAGTATGTCGAGTGAGGAGTTTGTAAGCGTGGCCATGATGGGATGACGTCGGCTCTTAGGGTCGATTATGCTAAAGGTAAATTTGTAGTCTGGCACGGGCGTTGTAGGTGTAAAGCCCGGCGACGTTGGCGTGATCGGCAGAGATTTAGTCGCTATCTGCTTGCGAACCCATCTAGCTGTCGTAGTGTTTCCGTTTGAATCAACCGTGACAAATTCGTAGGAGCAGGAACCGGCACCGTTGAACCTTGGTGTTGCGGTCCAGACCGTTCCGTCGGCTAATACAATCTCGGCTTTGTCTTCTGTCAAAAACGGACTTAGTATTGCTAAGAGTTCGCGAGATTTAAGGTCGTCGTCATCGCCGTCACTGTCCAGTCCCGAAGCATGCGCATCGTAATCTTCGCTCTTGACCAGCATAATATCTTGAATACCCAGCTCCCGCTTTATGCGAGCAATGAGAGGGAAGCGCTTCAGTAAGGGTACAATCAAAGGCCCAGCTACAGCAACGGACGGAAATACATCAATAACTGGTCTTGGGCGCCTGTTAGCTGCCAATTGCTGCATCTGAAGTAGCAGCCTGGGCCGTATATGTATTAGGCGCTGCTTGCTGCGTATCTTCGGAGGTGGATGAGCGAGAAGAAAGGTAGTGCTTTTCCGGATGGCTCTTCTCCGGTTACGACGAGCCGAAGACGAGACACGGCTCGCGTCACTATCGGATATAAGTGAGCCTTCATCTTCGCTCATTGCTTCTGGCCTGGCTGTCGTGGAATCGCTTTGGGGTTCATCGAATCGAACAGTAGCTTCAGGGGTCTTAGGTATATATTCTGAAATAGGACGAGGTCGCGGTAAATTAGGCGAACTAGGTCCATCGAGCGAAGGTGATGTGCTAGGGTGATATGAGGAAGAACGTTTTATAGGTGCTGTAAAGGCAGATCGCAAGAGGGGATTTCGTCGTTGACCAGGCTGAGGGGCCGGCCGATTTGAATACTCATGGCCATGTAGGCTGGCTCCCGAATGTAGGAACATAATGAGAGAAAGTCCATCCAAGCTTCCGCTTTCTGCGGCTCAGGTGGGGAGAGAGAAAGAGAGCCTTTTTGCGACAGGCTCGAGTCGAGATATCCAGGTACCTGGTTTCCGGCGTAATTTCCAGCTAATTCCTAGGTAATTCCGATGAACGAGTAATAAGTAAGGTCTTACACTGCCATAAGACCGATCATACTATACTGTATATGCATGCTATGGTCTTATGATATACAATCCTACAAACCCCCCACAGATTTGATTTTAGGCTGACTTTTAGGGACACGATAGAGAGAGATAGAAAGAGGGGAGGATAAGTAAATTCGTGGAGGCTGAGCTCTTGAAAGGTATGCGGTAGTTCGTTAAATACCCCTAAAGATGATGATATATAGGTAGCGTTGAAACGGTAATGTTTGAAGCTCTAGGTACCTAGTTAACGCGGTAAAAAGGTTATTAGAGGGGTAGATAAGGTAGATGATTAAGTGGAGAGAGCTGAGTCGTGGCCTGACAGGCTGAACGTTGTTCTGGTAGTTCGGCTCGTCTAGAAACGGGCGTAGCATTCAATAAAGTGGTAAAGTGGTAAGGGGAAGGCTAGGGGGTGGCTGTTTAGGGGGGGTAGGGGGTAGGGGTTAAGGAGTTACCAGGTACGGGCAGTTTCGAAGGTTAGGTACCAGGTAGGTAAATGGAAAGCGAGCCAAGGATGCGTATGTACGTACCTTCTAAGCTTTATGTATTTTCATTACCTGTATACCTCTTATATAAGCACCTTTTATACAAATGCTTAGGTATATATATATATAAGGTACGATGTTAATCATATATAGGAGCTATGCGCGAACATAAAAAATGTCTTTACTTTTACTCGTGTAAGATACTTGCCTAGACTTTATATGTAATATGTACGAGTGCGGCGGTGGATCTGATCGTTGTTAGGAAAACCATGTGCATGCCCCGTCGGTTTGGTAAAGTCCCACCTGCTTGTAATGCTTCAGCTCGGGTTCGGATACTGTCCGAGATTCCTCGCTAGGACCCGCTGTCGTTTGAAAAAGAAGAGTTGCAGAAAATAATCGAATCGATTTTTTTTTTAGATCGAGCCGAGGCTGAATTCTAGTTCCTAAAGCTATTTCAACCGACATAATGTAATGTATAAATATATATGACATAACACGCGGGTAACGACTCATTAGCTTCAATGTCTTTTTTTTTTTTTCTTTTTTTTTCTTAGTAACTTGCTTTCATAAACAAATTCCGCTTCTGTTAGTAAGAAAGAAAAAGAGGATCGACAGTACTGCATTAAGAGGTACTAAGGTACTTAAAGTACCTACTTCCAGGTATATAAGCTGCCAAGTTAAATGAAAAGGAAAACATATATCGTACATCGTACTAGATAATGAAAATGGCGGGTGAGGTAGTAATGGAAACATTAGTGTGTTATTATTATTACTTGCAGTTTTTTGTTATTACATTAGGTTGTATGATAATCAAATTACAAACCGTGGTTGGAATGGAAGAAATGCATTTTGCTAATGTTCCATGTCTGCATGTATCACAACTGATGGATGCGATTACGAAAAATCGGTATAGAAAGCTCGGCGGAGGGCGGGAAAGATCCAGATGGTCTCATTGGAACCTGGTTGGCCGGCAATTAGTTATGCAGATGGCGGGCCAGTAACTCAAGTCGCTACTACACAACCTCATATCCATTTGTGATCGTTACTAAGGCAGCTACTAGCTGTATTGGAGGCTCGACAGGCCGCGCCATAGGGCAGAAACCCACCGAGCTCTTTCCGCATTCTAGGCTTCCATATTTTTTTTTCTCCCTTCGGTTGGTGCGGATCCTACATGTCCATGTATTCCTATTGGTTCGATGCAGGTGCTCGGCACTGTATAACCGGGCCTTGCTAGAGGCCGATGACACCGATACAGGTACATTCCCATTTTTTTTTTTCATTCCTGTGTCTTTTCTGCATGTACCTACCTTGAGGTAGGCATATCTGGAAGAGGTAATCTGATATGATCTATTCACGATTCTAATTCATGACAACACCATATCCATAATCTATAAAAAGTCGTAAATTTCCGAACGAAGTCACATCAAAACATCAAAGATCGACAGCGTTATTTGTCTGCCTAAAATATCAACTACCTAGCCGAGATATAAGGTAACCAACCTACTAAGGGGTATGTAAACCGTACAAGGGGAAAGAGAAAAAAAAACTAGAGCGGTGACCTCGATTTGACCCTCGTTAACCCGCTAAGACAAGATGAAAGCAAAAGTCGAGACCTAAGCTGCAAGATACGCTGTCCCATCCACATCGTTAGTTCTAGGTAGCCTGTAGGTCTTCCGCACGTGTATCCAATCAAGGTAGTATAAGAGAATCCTATTCATATGTCGGTGAGAGTATAGTAGAATTGAAGGTCTGATGATTATGAAGCCATGTGCCTTGAGTAGTAGGTAAATATACCTGTCTGGAAGTATCAGTCTGGGCTGTTGGTGTCTTCTAAAAGAGTATCGTAGAGTATCGTAGAGCTGGCAACCATCTTCGGATTTAGCCATTGTTCGTTTGAAATGGCACCACCAGGATCCACGAAACTATTCACAAGCGGCTTTTTCACTCGTGTGCCAGTTGTACTATAGTTAGTATTAGTATTAACTAAGGTAGGTATAACCTTAGTGAAGAGAATATTTTCAACGGTTCCTGCGAGCTAAAAACGGCCACTTCTATCCTTCCGAGGCCGAACACATGTGTCACAAACCCGAACCCGAACCCGAACGGACCAAAGGTACCTAGGTACATCTCTGGCATTACTAAAGACATTCTCTAGCACAATGACGACATCCCGTGATCCCCGTCTAGCTAACCTGTCGGGCGTAGGGCGTATGTGTGTCACATGACATAATGTATTTATACTTCTCCCACTAGGTAGTGGACCATGTACAGTAGGTAAGTGACCTTTACCTTTACAACATCAATAACAACTACCATAATTCCATATGACAATATGTGTAGAAAGCAGAAAGTAGATTTTCCTTACGTCTGACAAGTGGACAAGTCCCATTCCATGAATGTGCCACTTCGAAAGCCACGAAAGCCGGGATACCGAATATTATACTTCAACCTTCAAATCGTGGGCGATCAAGGGGGATGATCTATGCGAGGCTGGACACATCCAAGAGAATATCCGTCTCTGGTTTAGGATAAGCTGTATGCCTCCCACGTAAGCCAAGGTAACGATGAACATAATGACCATCATGGCGGTGCACGGAAATCATCTCATCGTCAGCAGACCATTCCTTTTTGTAATTTCCACGACTCTGGAGCTTAATCTTTCAGCTCTAACAGATAAGAACGCTGTAACGGTCGTGCGGGGCCTGCGCGGCGGGGGCCCGCACGACGCGGTGGAGGCCCGACGTCAGCGCGCCGTTACTCAACAGCTCGAGCCCCGACAGCACGATGTTGCCGATGATGTTACCGTCGCTGTAGCTAGTTAGAACATGATGTTTTGCAGGCCAGTATAGCTGGCAACTCTGACTTCTTTTTGGTTTCCCATATGTAGATTTTAGATGAATTGAAGACTTGCCATAAAGTTACTTGACAAAAGTCTCAGTAGGACTAGGATAATAATAGTTAACATATGCTAATTTACCAACTTGAACTCTTATCCGCCCTCCTGGACAGCAGTAAGTCGTGTCACGCAGCCGTGTTTCAGTTGGACCAAAGCCTTTGTTTACCACGGAACTGGCCTCATGACGCTCTCTTCGAACCCCCACTGCACGTGATCGTCATACTGGCCCTTATCATCGCCGATGATGTGAACAATAGACTCTGCGCCCTCCTGTGGCAACTTCCTCATTGGGTGAAAGTTGGCGAAAGCCGTGTTGAGGACGCCAGGATTCGAGATGAAGAAGCGAATATGCGCGTTCTCGGAGGCGAGCGTGATGACTACAACTGAAGTGATGTGCACATCTAGGAGTTCGGTAAATGTTGAGCGGATGACTATAGGCGCAGTGTTCTCGGGCATGCCCATGCCACGAAAGCAGGCCGGCATTATTGACCAAAACTGCGCCGTTATCAGATCAGGAGTGTAGAACGGGATATGTCGAGATGCGAGATGGTTAGAGCAGAGGCACAGTGCATGAGAACGGAAATTAAAAGTGCTTACCGTCGAGCCGGCCATAAGTTGTGCTCACATGCTGGACAGCGACTGCTATGTGTCCATCGTTGGTGTCTTCAAGCTGAATAACGTCAACTCGAGCCTTTACGCCTCGTTCTCACCTTCCAGTGCTGAGTGAATGCTATATGCATTCCTTGTAAATCGAAGAGGCGCTGTTAAGCCCAACACTTGCAATGGTCACCAAAGAGAGCCGGGAGGCCTCGGAGAGGCTTTGAAAAAAGGGACGGGCTATTTAATGGTTACAAGGCCTACCTCTTACAAACTCCCCTTGCATGACGCAATGCATTCAATGCAAGTAAAATAACTTGGCAAATGCAGGAACTTATAATGCGGTATTTCCTCTTGTTTCTGGGTCTCAGTAGTCCATTCATTGGCGGTGTGTCCTGTCGATCACACAACCTCACACAGCTATTCGAAAGGGGTATATCGGTCGCCAGCCTGGAGCTATCACCAGGCAGCGAGCTATATTTTCCTGGCGACCCCGAGTTCGACCAGGCTTCGGTTCGCTGGACTAACTTTAGTCGGCCTACCTTCTCGGCTGCCGTGCTACCAGCGCTAGAATCTGAGGTTCAAAAGCCGGTTGGTGGCTCCGTCGACTTGTCCACTCTCCACGGCTCTGTAGCTCGCCCTGGTACTTGAGTTTGGACGTCTCGGCGCCCTGCCGACAGCTCTATTAGGCCACTCTAGTGTGGAAATTGCTGCCGCTTATGCCGCTGGGTACATATAACTCGACTACGCAATCGCCGCCGCGTACTACCGCGGTTATGTTACCACTCACAGCACAGCTGCGCGGGTAGGAGGCAAGATGGCCGCAGTGAGGCTGGGGGTCGCGGATGTCTCGCCTTTCTTGCAGCCCGGCGAGCGTGTCATGGCGTTGGCTCCGACGAGCACGCTTTCTACGCGTCTGATTGTTCCGGCCGCGTCGGCTGTTCGTATCCCGACCAGTACCGTCACGGGCTTGGGCTTCCTACCACCATCTTGAATATCTGCCCAGTCGATGGCGCAGGGTACGTGGCAGACAACCTGACTGCACACAAGAACATGAAAGCTCAAGGCCTCTTCTTCCTGGGAGAACAGGAGTTCCTCGACTTCGTTCAGCTCAACATTTTGCATCCGAACGGAGGCCGCGAAAAAGCTATTGGCTCAGCCCGAGAACGCTACATTTCTTGCGCGGGAGATCGGGAAGAAGATTTATGAGTTTATGTTAGAGTCGGTGGAAGACAGCGAGGAAATTAACTTTAATACAGCTGCAATCACTCATGCTCAAGAGACACTCGGAAGATGTATGGTGGCTTTTAGAGCGTGTTGCAACTTACAGATATAGCCGGGAAGGTACCTAATCGCATTGTGGCTCGGACCTGCATTAGCGCTATATGAATCCCCGCACTAGCCACAATCTCTGTCGGCGGGCATGTCCCAAACAATTCGTAAGGTACCACCGTACCGCCGTAACATACCTAACCTTCCAACCCCAAATGCAACCTACAACTCATAACCATCCTTCCATCTTCAACCATGTCCTCTCTTTATTCCGAAACCCCCATTAAATCACTTATCGGTTCATTTCTCGTCTGGAAAGCACTACTCCTATGTATTGTTATCGGGAGTGGTGTCGGTCCAGCTTACGACACTTCGAGCACCTTGTTATCCCCTGAAATAACTTCATCTCATGAATCCCCATTTGACTTGGCTACAAAATTAACAAGATGGGATTCTATTTACTTTATACAAGCTTCTCGTCGAGGTTACTTGTTTGAGCAGGAATGGGCATTTGGCCTTGGGTTCCCTACCATCATCTCCTATCTTAGTCAAGGTATGATATTTAATCCTATTTCTTGATATGACATTCCCCATCGCACCAACTCCTTGTTCTATATTCTAACCCGTATCAACAGGACTTTCTATCCTGGGAATCCAAACCCATGGATCCATCGAACCACTTATTGGGATACTAGTAGCTCACATATCCCACCTGCTTTCTGTTATTGTCTTATATCAGCTCGGACTTGTTGTCCTAAAAAATCGGCGACTCTCATTCATTGCGGCACTTCTACATATTCTCTCCCCCGCTGGAGTTTTCTTGTCCGCTCCATACAATGAAAGCATATACGCCTTACTATCTTTTACAGGCTATCTCTTCTTTGCGAAGGGTCTGCTTGGGCCAAAGCGGACCTTTGCTCATGATGTAAGCTTGGTCGCTTCAGGTATGTGGTTTGGCTTTGCTACGACGTTTCGTAGCAATGGCTTGTTTAATGGGATCCCGTTTGCAATTGCGCTGGCCCACGAGGTGACAATGCCGCCCACTCTAACCAGTATACGACGACGACTATCCTTAATGTTGGGAGGTCTAATAATAGCAGTCAGCTTTGCGATCCCGCAACTTGCTGCATTTCAAATTTTCTGCTCCGTCCCTTCTGGTACCAGGTTAAGACCATGGTGTAGGAGTATGTTTCCCAGCATTTACTCATTCGTTCAGGCGCGCTACTGGTGAGTTGAAGGTCATCGCTTATGATGACGATGACAACGCTAACGCCGGAAATAGGAATGTTGGCTTTCTTCGCTACTGGACACCATCAAACATACCTCTTTTTCTACTCGCTACACCAATGATTTACCTTCTTATAACTTCAGGTGTAGAACTTATCAGATGGCCTCTGGGAGTCTCCCCTAAGCAACCTACTGCTAGCAACAGCTCCCAATTGGCAGTCCTGGTCCGCTCCATGGCTTTATCCCAGCTCATCCTGGCTGTTCTAGCCATCACAAATTATCACATCCAAATTATTACAAGGATCTCATCAGGATATCCGCTTTGGTACTGGTGGTTGGCAGGACGTATCACTGACAAAAACACTTCGACATTCGGTTCAAATGTCGTGAGATTTATGATCGTTTATGCTGCCGTCCAAGGAGCTCTCTTCGCCTCCTTCCTTCCTCCGGCTTAATTTACAACCTCCACTACTGCGTGCTCTCTTCATGAGCGCCTGATTCTAAACTATTTCTCCTGTTCCCGTAGCACATAAGGCCTCCTAGAATTATAGATAGCATAACCACACCTAATTCGAAATCTCCGAAGACTTGACAATTCTGTTTGCGCCTAAGGCTGACAGCATCTGAGCTCTACAGGCTTGCAATTGAGTCAAAATACCTGCTACAGATGTATTTTGCAGCGAGGAATTATCCAATAACATGTAAGGTACCGTATTATATCCTAAGGGACTCGCCGAAAGCAAGGCTGTCTTAGGTACCTTCTATGAATATTGGGAAATTCTTCAACAGTAGGAATTTAGGTGTCTTCTTTTTTTCTATTACTACCAAGTAAACCCTAATACCAATTGCAATATTAGCGAGGAAGACACTTGGATAGGAAGCTATGTCCTTTGTCAGAAGCATGCGAATAGTATTTCCTTTCTAATTATGCATATTCTTCTACGTTCTGAACGCGCCTAACCTACCATGTCTCTGGGGAGAGGGCTCTTGCAAACGGGGACCTTCTCACTTAACGTAACAGCAAACACGAACGCCGTCCTTTGCGCCATTCTAAATTGAGATCTCTAACGGCAAGTAGCGCCTTCTATTTACAACATAGCCAAGCCAATATTCTACGAAACGAACTCGTCGCCGTCAAAATAGAGCAAGTACCCCTTCCTCTACACCCATTACACATATAGTTAACATTCACTTGAGTCACCCCCGGTGATCTCCCAACTAGGTACGTAAAAGACCTTTCGGGGAATTTAAAGATGGCAACTACCAATATTCTATCTGTATCAATGTTGGACTCGTGGTCATTGGAGTTGAGTTGAGCAGGAAAGTGCGTCGACGACGTAGTATCCCGACCTTTTATCTAGATGCCACTTTATTTTACAAGTCCTGCGATTTACTTCCGAGGACTGAGCCGTCTTTCATCCGAGACGACTCCTCCGTTATCGAAGTTACCGTACCCGATAAACTCTCACACGCATACAACAATCAAGGTGCTAACTTCACAAACAATACAGATTTGACTTCTAGGTGCCAGGTAGCATCCACCATCCACAACACTCAATAATATATCATCACACTTGCCTACACATTACCTATTCCCTAGAACAACGATCTAGAACATCCTCTAGTACTATATCCTCTACAATAGCGACATGGAGTCGATACTTGCACCTGATCTCCGAGATTGGCTTAAGCTTACCGGCTGGCATGACATTGACTACCGTGAGAAGAAGCTAGCCGAATACCGAAGCACTGATGCTGGAGAGCAGAAGCATCAAATGGCCAAAGCCGAGCGTACTGATGCTGGGAAGAACGATCGTGGCTCTACTGTTCGTAACATTTCTCATGGCTCAACACCCGCCCGGGCGCGTCCTGCTGAACCCGACGATATAAAGGGTAGTACCGAAGCGCATCGTCACATTGGCAGCCGCGTTGGTTATCGCGACCCCGTTGTTTCCAAACCACGGGCCCGGTCAATCTCACCCTACCATCGAGACCCTGACAGATACCGTATTCGCGCTTACCCACGATTCCGCGATGATGACTATGATCGTCAAATGGCACCTAGAGGACCGCCCCTCCACTACATTACTCGTCCAACCCGTGATCCTGCACACTTTACCGACCGAATCGAGAATTATGACGGCCCAAACAGAGACCCGGTAGACGACCAACGAGATTTAACTCGAGAACTGATGAACCTCCGCTCCCCTTCGAGGCTAGTTCTCAAAGACAAAGGTGGTAAGATTTCGCCCTAGATATCCTCTTTGGAGATATTTTCTGTCTCTTCACGATAATTTACTAACAAGTACCTCGTTTTAAAGAGGTGTGCTTCTTTGTGATGAAATCATACTGCTGGTCTCACGTATACGACTCGATGGTAAATTGTATCCTTATATGCACAATGACGAATCGTGAATAACAATTTGTTAGGAGGATGGGCTATGGGCTACTCAGCATTCCAGTGCCGATGCCATCAGCAAAGCCTTCTCTAGTGGCAAGATGGTGGTGTTGTTCTTTGCTGTCAATAAATCCCACGGCATGCAGGGCTACGTGAGTATTTCTGGGGTGCATAACCATTGCGTTTCTTTTGTCTTTCCCATGTCTAATCTCCTTTTCGTCCATATCCTCTTGTTGTTTAGCTTTGACTGACTGATTCTGTGTCTTCAATAATAGGCGCTCATGAAATCTTTGCCGTCGGCTGATATTCGCCACCCTAGGTGGTGGTATGGAGTCAGATGGCAGATCTCCGAGCCCTTCCAGGTCGAGTGGATGAATACGATGCACGTTGACAGCAAACACATACTCCATATCAAGAATAATCTCAACGAGGACCTACCAGTCACACGAGCGCGAAACTGTCAAGAGATCGACGAAAATGCTGGCCGAGAGATGGTGCGTATCCTGGAGAGTCGTGGTATCGAGGAATACAAGCGAGCGAAGCAAAGTGGTTCTCTTTCTAGGCAATAAGCAGTGTCGAAGTGCCGTTGTCCTTGGCCCAAATTTCTCGCAAGGAATGCCCTTGGACTTGATTCTTATTCTCAAGCTAGCTAGGAGATGCCAACAATAGGTGTGTAACGGAGTTTTTGGAAGTTTCGAGTCATTCTTTACCTTTATCACGCCAGAAGGGGGGATAAGAGACAAGAGAGGTTCTTTTAGCCTTTGATATGACGATTCTTATCTCCTCGCTTGCTATGATACTCGTCTATCATAGAGCAATCAGGTCATTGAAGCACCGGTTACTCTATGTAGTTTAGACGATATACGCATGCCGTCATAGGTATTCTGTTCTATTCAACTACATGGAGTTCTGTGAAACTTCTCTAGACTGAGGATTTCCAACTATTGCCTACAGGACAAGGCGTTGGAATATCACGTGGGATATCCCTAATACTAGACATCTGGGGGAAACGACACCCAATTTGGCAGGTAGTTAGGGAAGATCGGATGATCACCATGATACAAGGATGATAGATCGCATCATAGTAATCGGAGATTTTTCTTACACTCTATCGGAAACTACTGATATAAAACTTCGACGTGTGTGCCACTCACGTAGTAGTAAATTGGACCATCGTAGAGCCCGCTACAGAACTGGCTAAGCTACTTCCACTATGTTCAACCTGTTGTCAATAGGTATTCTTTTGGACCACGCACTAAAAAGACGGGTATGTGCTTCCGAAATGATATTACTACCAGTCATTATGTATTTTTAGTTACGAGATGCATTACGTAGCGCATACCCGCTAAAAGAGACTAATGAAGCTGCTTGGGTCCGGACTTGACGGAAGCACGGGGGGATGATCAGCCAGCAAACATGAATCCTTTCAGCCGGTTGCCGTTATTGTACCGGGAAAAGCTTAACTACAACTCCTTTTAGTTACTTAGAATAGAGTTCATGTTTTAATGAACACCATGGAAATATCGGAAATATAATTAGGTAGGGACCAAAACAACGGGATATTGTGTAAGAAGGCGGTGTGTAAGTGGCTGACCGTTGCAACTAGGATATACCACCTTCGCACTGACATCAACATCGTCATGAGTAGTACACGGACTACTAAAGGCGCCGTGTGTTTAGGGTTAGGGAGAAGGGAAAAAGAAAAGAACAGAGTGAAAGAAAATCGAATCTAACTTTGGCATATCAACGGTTATCTGCGAGTCATGCTTGAGGACACGGACGTACTAGGCGTGGGAATGCAATCAATAGACTCTCACACCAGCCACAAACTGGTCATTCTCGCACCAAATCAAGGGAATCTATTGGTTTTTCTTATTAGTTCCTGTCGACGACGCCGTCGGGGACTATCCCATGCTAGCTAGTAAAAAAAAAAAAATTAAAAAAAAAGCCACGAGTTTTCGTTTCGTTTGTATGATGGGCAAAATGAAATGTGACTAAATGAATGATAATATACTAACTGAGGGGTCCTCGGATATATTCGCTCAAGCCGAAACTCGGACGGTTTCCTGCAGGATTCTCGTGATGCTTCTTTTTTGAAAAAAATTCCTACGGTTCCACGAATTGACGTTGAGGTCGAACGTTGTGATATATGTCGTGGTACCACTGGCGCTTCCGCCTCATATACCTACCTACATAAGGTAAGACATTCTGTAGTGGCCAGCCGCAGATATACCTAAAATATGTACCTACCTAGGTAGGTAACTAGGATATGTAAGAATATAATCTACACCTGTAACTTATTTGTCTTGGTCGGTGCGAGAACCCATGTGGCGAAAACGAGGATGCCATGTGCCAGATGCCTGTGAACTTATCTCTGAACTGCTGAAATACTATAACTGAGATTAAAAGTTTCCACCGTTCTATAATCCGTGCTCCATCCCAACAAAGTGCACGGTTCTAGAGCTGGAATCCAAAGCATTAACTCCCCAAGCGCAGCCAAACCGTTTCTAGACTTTAGCGGAGAATCTTTCGTAGCAACTTAGCAGACCGACAAGCACCATTGATAGCATAGGCCACTTTGTGGGTGCTCGGACTTCGATCCCATTTACCGGCAACTCGGATGATGTTGGTGTCGGATCTTTCTCAGCATCCCTTTTTCAAGGTTACCGTTGTCTAAGACGGCAGGGTTAAGGCTGATGAGGCTGGCGAGGCTAGTAGGGTAGGTCGCTGAAAAAGGTTTTATATACGTAATCCCGGTTCGTCCGTAAGATGGATTCGTTAACGATACTAGTTGATAATGAGGTATGGATATGAGGTATTCTTTAGGGACTTGCGCGCCACGCATGTATAAAAAAATAATAATGATGGCGGGAATAATTAAAAAAAAAAAACCTTGCACCCAATACCGGTACCTATACTAATAAAAGCCTCGCGGATTACTTCCGGACTGGACCATTCGGGATACACACTATTGAGTCTGTTGCTTTTGTTTGTATTGATGCTCTTTTGAGATCAACCTTGCTGTTTGTCCAATTTAGCGGCAGACAGCCGTTTTCTCATGACTCGGTCATCCGATCCTTTTATTTGCTTAGCTCCGACGTTGCGACTGAAAAGGCAACTTTAGACGGGCTCTAACATTTAGGTAGAGAGCTGGAATTCTGCTTCAGCCATTTCACATGATTTTACAGGAGGCGGGAACACCATAGCAATTTTGAAACCTTTCCCCGTGAATTACCTACTTTTCTTATGCCTTTTATTTATTTATTTATTTCTTGCTTTCTTGTTGTGATCGTCGTGAGACGTTTTATTATGTACGCATGGTCCACGTTGCAATCTATGCCACTTTCATCCATCCGTACCTTACATATTATTGTGGTCTAGATGTAATACGAAGTCCTGCGGAAAGAAACCTGCGACTTTGTAACAGGGGGCCCCCAAAGTCAGGGGTCTCCGAGCTCCCCTTGCCCCTCTACTCATAAACCGGTCGTGGCTTGAAGGGCTTTGCGAGGTTTTCTCTCGGTTGCCTTAGTGGGTCGACAGGGCATGACGGGCCATTTGGCATTTTTTTCCATTTTTTCTCAATCTAGTCTACCAGTCTTCTTTTGTACCAATGGTATCGTATCGGTGGCTTGTTACCACCTGGGAGCGACGTCCAAAATCCGTAGTAATATCTTTGTAGTGTATGCACACGTGTGAGTGGGTAAGGGGGATCCCTACCTACTCCCTATAACCACTCAGGGTCTAACTATTAAGGGAATACCTTAGGTAGGGAATACATATAATGAAATAAGCTGTTCCTGGTAATAACGGCATTAATGAGTTCGGGGTGGCATCAGGATGCATTGCATACCTGTACCTAATGCAGGTGTACCTACATACTTACATTCCCGTTCGCATATGCAGATGTGCAGAATGTGCCAATAAATTGCAATAAGCTGCAAATTGCCTACTGTATGGAGAAAGACGTCCTCTTAGATTCTCCAATTTTAATATCCAAGGGAAAAACGTGCCCGTGTCGTGACAGAACCATCGTTCCAGTCCCTTTTTGTTTCTGTTTTTCCTCTTTTCTACATAGTACTGATGAGTATTCCATATTTTCTACACGCACGTATGGGGTCGTGTCAACAAAGCTAAAACAAGGGCTCGGACGAGGGTCTCTTAAACTATTGGGAATAGAAAGCCGGTGGGAGGAAAGATATTGTTACCTACGACCCTTCACTCCAATTTTTTTTCCCTTTCTTTTGGGGAAGTTCATGCGGGACACTTATTCGAAGCAGTTCGTTCGACACTTCCGAGTTCAAGTCGTGGTCTTATTCCTTCGCCAATTCCGTAATTAGCTTGTCGACATCGTCTCACGATTCGTTCTCGACATATCTACCTCCTAATACACGTTCGACCGAGACATGCGATGCTAAGCATAGCCCGAATTTCTACCTACTCATGGGATAAGAGGAGGTTGTTTTTGATATGCCGACTAAAGCCTACTTGAATCTAAATCGCCGACCACCTACCGATATTGCAACAATTCGATAATAGGCACGGAATTGGTCTCTTGAATTCGGTTCGTGGTAGTAGTCCGAGTGTCTTGGCATTTGAATTTTGTAGCACATGTCCATTTCTTTGAAGACATTGTTGTGCGAAAGACAAGAAGCGGGGGATAGAGAGATTTGATATCTTAGTACCCGGTTCTTTGATCCTGTCGCTTTAAGCACAAACGACGGCAGGTTATTTCGGATCTTGACTTGTTCAACCCAGTTGTTGATCTATTGTCTGTGTGGTAACTTATTCGTCGAAAATGGGTCGTAGATCTAAATTCACGTTCCCCGTGCCTGGACGATCAGTGAAGCAGCCACCCGCGCTAGCAGTCCCGAACTCGCTCTCGAAAGCAGAGAGAATTTTGGGAACAGGTGGGCAGAATCTCGGTTCCCCTACTGGAACGAAGGATCCTAACCGAACTTGGGAAACGGAATCGACTGGCGGCATCAGTATATCAATATCTGAGAGTAGCGCCAGCCAGTCTGGTGTCTTAGACGAGGAAGAAGACGGATACGACAGGACGGCATATGGTAGAAATCGATGGGAGGAAGAATCAGAGGCGCTTCCACGGCGTTTGCGAAGCGCTACAGGCTTTTTTAGTAGGGAGGTGAAGCCTAAGAGGTCAGCCGTAACCCTTGGCGCTCGCAGCCGGGATGCTTTGACGGACGAATCCAGTTTTCACAGACCCCAAACCAGCTCTACCGTTCATTCGCACTACGAATCGGACAAGGTGCCGCTCTCTATATCGCAGCAGACTTCGAATTCGGCGATGGCCAAGGGGCTCCCGACTAAAGCCAGCGCGTTGTTGGATATTGACGGGTCGCTCTACGGCAAAGTGCAGCCACAAAAAAAGAAGCCATCCAAGTTGGACTTCGCAAAGCTTAGATTGAGGACCCGTAAGGAGCGCCATGCGGACACTAATGGAGTCGTGCCTGTATTAGGAAACAATTATGTGATGAAGTCGCCATCTGTCATGTCGCATGCATCGCATTCTGCAATCTCGCTAACACGATCGCCCACAAGTCCCGGGGAAAGTGAAAAAACCCCCAAGCCGAACTTAATATCCCAGTCCCAAGCTATAGAAACATCAACACGACCGAGCCGCTCGAAAGTGATAAGTAACGCTAGTACGCTGCACCAGCTATATGATCATTATGAGCAGATGTCGTTTCAGGATCCCGATACGTTGCATGAGGAGGACGAAGAGGAAGAAATAGGTAATAAGGGGCACGTGAACGGGGAGCATCTCCTGCCCCGGACGTACGAGACAACGGTCTCAGATGTGTCTCGTGAGGATATGATTACGCCACTGCCGAATTCATCGTTTAGAGACCCGAGCTCCAGATGGAATCATAGCCGAAATACCTCACAAGCGAGTAAAGCTACTGTAACGAGGGCTGAAACACCGAGTACCTTGCAGATACGCCCATCGTCGAGGAATGAATCTGCTGCGAGCGTGTCGAGTCGCCATACGCGGACCTCGAAAGCTACACCATCAATCATGAGCACTATAGATTCCGATAGGCAGCAGCAGAGCGTCTTGTCGCTTACGGATTCGGAATCCGAGGAAGGGGATACCGTATATTCCGGCCCGGGTTCGTCTCTGCGGTCTTACAACAATAGCTTCCGTGATGATGCCAGCGTCGCCTCGAGTCAACAACAACGAAGCAACTCACGATTATCTGTCGGCAGCCACTCGACTAACCCCAAGGGAGCATCATACGCACAACTTAACGATTACCTTGCCATCCCCCACGCCTCTCCTAAAACCAAGGCCACCCGATCACCATCAACTAATTCGTCCATAAGCACGGCGACGCGGGTTTCCTCGCCCACCCAACCTCAAGACCCTCAGCAGCAGCTAACTCGTGGGTCTGTTTCGACAATAAATACCTTAGGCTCTGTATTGTCGCCTACCTACAGCAACCACACCCATTACAGCGTACAGGAAGCGAGAGCGGTCGCCTTCACCCCGTACTCTTCCACAGCCGAAGCCGCCTTGTCAGTTTCGATGGACCAAGGACCGATCAGCTTAAACCGCGCCGCGTCACAGCAGGCAAGACAGCGCGGGTCTCAGAATTCCCACGCTTCCGACCAGCCGACGCCGCCGCTATCGCCTACTAGCTTAGAGTTCTACAGGAAATCACCGGATTCCTCCCGGCGGGAATCGACGGCAAGCAAAGCTAGCGAAACGCAGAATGGGCGGATGATGGCGGTAACGAAGCAGGAGGAAATGCTTCTGGCTGCGCTGCGGAAGAAGAGGGCTAGGATGCGGGAGAACATAATTGCTGAGCTCGAGGGGGGGAGGAATAGCCCCGGAGGCGTCAGCCTCGAAGATGCCGATGATCTGGAGCAGTTGGCGTCCGCGCATCTGAAGGATGCCGAGAGACAAGCTGCTCAGGAAGTCAGGGAAGCTCGTACCAGGATAAAACAGTCTAATAACTTTTCAACGAGATCGTCGTCACTTGTCGGGCGAAGCGGTCGGAGTTCCAGCAACGGTCGAATACGCAATCAATCTGCCGGACCGCGTCGCGTGGAAGCGTCGCCATCGGCTTATTATAGAGAGCCGATAGAGAGGGCCCCTTCGCGAATGAGAGCCTCCCCCGGACCCGAGTCGCGGCCAACCGACCGATCCCGCCATGAGCGTGTTCTGCTCTACCTGGACCGACCGAACGATAGCATCGACGTGATCGACGAGGCGGAGCCGAGCCCGGATCTGAGCGAGTTCATGGACGACGAGTTAGGGTTCCCCATAAACGAGCGTCGAAGCAGAACTAGGTCCAAACTTGGCAACGGCCGCCCGCGCCCCGAATTGAGCCCGATGAGCCGAAAGAGCAACTCGTCGAGGAACCAGCCCAAGGGCAGCCCGCGAATCAACGAGGATATCGACGCCGATAGTATAGACTTCGACGACTTCCCAATGGTCGGCGGCCGACCTAAGCTGTCTACCCTTAAGCCCGTGCCGGAGAAGGGGATCCCCAGACCGGACAGTCCTGTTTCCCCAGCGGATGGGTTCATAGAACCGTCTACTCTTGGCCACAAGAAGGGGAAGAAGAGCGCCGTGAGACTTAGCGCCGTAGGCCAAGTTAGTTCACCTATACCGTGGTGGGGAGACGACGACTGAAGAGGTAGAGGGGATATGATATAATCCACTCATTGCCGATGATCGCATTGGCGATAAATCGTCACGCTCATCCCTTCTCTAGTCAACGAGCTGGATGAATAATAACTTAAGCTACATTTTTCCTATATTTTTCGAAATCTGTAAGCATGCACGCAGGCATGCACATCAATGGTTGTTTGATTAGCGCTCGGTTATCTCTTTTATTTTATTTTAACGACTGTCAGGCGAGTGAGTTCGGGTGGGAAATCATACGGGGTTCATTCATATCGACTTATACTGGGGAGTGCGGCATCGCATCGTTCACGACTAATACATACATACCACTACTATCCATCCATCCATCCAGTCCTATTCCTCTCATTCGAAGAGGATTTGGGGGATCATAGCGACGCCATGGGACGGCGCAACAGCCAAAGAAAAAAAAAGGAATTCAATTTTTCGAAAGATTTGTTTTGTCGTTTCCAATTAGATGTTAAAGTTAAGTGCTGGCTTTTGCGGCACGGTCTGGGCTTAAAATGGGTAATGTCTAAACGGACATAATTACATATGGGAAGAGAGAGAGAGACAGAGAATCCCGCTTGCTTGCTTGCATTCTCGCGTCGGTGTACTACCACAAACTTATTTGTAATATCAGGGACATAGTAGGGAAAGAGTGGGTGTGACGGAAGGGCTGTATACGAATTTATGCGCAACTATGTCTGTTGGGTTTATGTCTGGGTGTGGTGGTGGTGTGTGTGGTATGGTGGGCATGGTACATGAAGACATTATTCGAGGAGCCCTACGATTTTGAAGTCATCGCGATGTTCACGAAAGGGTATATTAAACTCCTCTAATTACCCAAGTAGCCATTTCTCTCTGTATTAAGTAGGTACACACGGGGACCAGATAATAGAGGGAAAGAAAGATGAATAAATACGGATCCGTACCTAAGATCAAGATGATACACCATTACACCTCATCTACCAAAAATAATAATAAAATTAAATTGAATAAAAAACACCATTGTGGACTTGTTATAATGCATCTGTTGTGCTTGTGTAGGTACTTTAGGTACGTAGGACCTAATGCAAACTTGACCATCCTTAAAAGTTGGTTGGCTGGTCTAGTGTTTGTTGAGGAGGGGGAAATATAAGCGGCATTAAAGTGACGAAGAACTTCAAGGAATATGTCCGAATAGCCAGTTTGGCCGAGGTATGTTTTTACAAACATCTATTCTACACTTGTTCACACACTAACTTCAATCACAGTGGTCTAAGGCGGTGGTTTTAAGTCTCATAGATCTTGAACACCATTATCGAGAGATGCGCAGGTTCGAACCCTGCAGCTGGCAATATCTTTTTGCTATGGGTTACTTTAGGTATCTTAGGTACCTGGTATATTCTTCCATCGTACATTTTTTGCTAAGAGCACTTTGAAATTTCCTTCTTTTTTTCCTTTTCTTTTTCTTTCTTTTTTTCTCGACCCAGTTTCCCCTCATTTGGATAGCTTCCTTGGATGGATTGACTCCTTACTTAACCTGTGCACTTTCTTATACCCGGTTGGTGTTGTCCTGTGCCCCAACCACGTTGAAGGCACCGATTGGCATTCGCCTTAAGCTGTGGATCCGTAAATGATCCAAAGCCCCGCGATCCCACGATCTGACCCTACTATGTAAATTACCCGTAAATCGAAGCTATTCGGTTCTTTATCACCAAGGGTGTAGGGATAAAGATATGACTTGCAGTTGGGAGATAGGTACCTACCTACTGTAAGCTACATGACCTTTCTGGCCTGCCTGAGGTACTATGTAGTCAACCTACCTGGCATTAGGTAATCGTCTCACATATCTGGATGTTAGTGACGCACGTTACTTCGTAGAACGAGAAATATGTCGGTTTCTTTCCTGTTCACCCCGCATCCCGCATCCGCATCCTCCTTTTAGCGCGGTCTTGTTGCTCATGAAAGCTTGCTACTTTATATATTAATAATTAGATAAAAAAAATAAAATAAGAATCAGATGCTTTCGGAGCTAACACCATGCGAAACGATTTGAAACAGCCCGTTCAAACGACCGAAGGAGATGGGTAGTTCTTTTTGGGTACCCCCTACGGAAATCAGATCGCTTCGGGAATGATCTTGGAAGCCAAAAGAGGTCAAGGCGCAACCAACTAACTGACTGAACCATCATCGGAACCATATTAACCTTAACTATAAATATATAGCTAGCATTAGAGATGAAGACTACGGCAGAGTTCGGGGAACTCAGATGATTATTAGCTCTCCTCCGTGAGAAAGCCCTCAAATCAAGATGCCGCTAGTCTTATCGGTAAACTTGTTTGCTATAGCTTTATTAACGTCCAAAATATAGGCTAGATCCTAGTATTATTTGCAGAATAGTGGTGAGACGCACACCCTGTAGGTAGTGTCCAGGAGCAATACAGCTTGAGCCTTGATGATCCTTACGTATTAGGGGAAAAACTCGAGCGCCATTGATATCATCACCATGACAGCAAGTAGCGAATAAGACTTTGTGAAACCTTCTATTTCCACTTCTTGCCTTTTCATATTCCATCTTCCAACCCAATTCTCAAGTACAGCGTCTAGAGCCTGCTACCATATGTCAAGTCATCTCTATTTACAAGTTAATCTAACCCCCAGTTAACACCAAGTGTCACAATTTTTTTTTTATTCTTGCATACCACACTAATAAGTGGCGCCACATTCAGGGGTTAAAAAGAGCTTAATAGGTCCGGTCCCATTTTGGTAGTGACCTGGAGGTGCATGGTTGAAGCGTGTCCGCCTATCCGCTCAAGTCGGCAATACCTTCAATGACAGGTACCTAACACATCATTTTTAATTTATTTCGCTAGACGCGACGCATTGAGATTGTATTCAATTCAAGTTTTTGATTTCGATTTTTCGATTTTTTTTTTCTCTTTCTCTTTTTCTAACGATAACCGATACGCCATTACGAATTTTCACCACTTTTGCAGCAAAATCTTCTCAACAGGAAAAGGTTTTCGCATGAAGCATTTCGAGACACCAATCGACTGATTTCGCAATTTTTCGAATTAAAGCTTTGATGAACTAGGTGGGATTTATGTAAAGAAGGGAAGAGAGGAAAAAAACACCGACGAACGAAGCCTCCGCCAACTTCACCACCATAACGCCGTCATAACTTGCTTTCCATCATGGCTCTCCTCGATGGTGCCCCGCAACCCGTGGGAGGGCCTGTCCTCTTCGGCGTGCCCATGAAGCAGCTTTCCCTTATTACGGTACGTGCCGGAGAAGTGGGAAATGCAGTACTCTAGGGGTCGCACAATATAGCTATCAGCTAACATGTCGCCGTTCTTAGTTGACTTTCCAAAATTCGGTACTGATTATCCTCATGCACTACTCTCGAATGATGCCGCCGAGCGGCGACCACCGGTATTTCACATCAACGGCTGTGTTCTTGACCGAAGTGATAAAGCTAGCCATCTCCTTAACCTTTGCTATATACGAAGTTTCGCGAAACCTTGCTCCCTCGACGCCTGCGACTGTCATTTTCGAGCAGATCTTCAACTCCGTCTTTTCGGGCGATGGTTGGAAGGTGGCTATCGCCGCGACGCTATACACATTGCAGAACATGTTACAGTATGTCGCAGTAGGAAATCTTGACCCGGTTCATTTCCAAATCCTATATCAGCTCAGAATTCTCACGACTGCGATATTTACTGTGACGATGCTCGGCCGATCTTTGACCGTGAAGCGTTGGGTTTCTCTCATTATTTTGACGCTGGGTGTTTCGGTCGTGTGCATTCCGCCTTCGAATTCGAAAGATAGCTCGTTCATGATTCACGATATGACGGACCACTTCTTCCCTCGTTCGGTTCATGAGCTGGGCCAGGTAGCAAACGGAGTGGGCGACGTAGCGAGGGAGCTGACGAAGCGTGGTATGGAAACCATAGCCGAGGTTGGCCAAGCTCTCGCGAAACGTTCCGCAACATACGAAGGGATCGAGGAGGACCAGAACATGGCCCCCATAATGAACTATTCGATTGGACTTTCGGCGGCAGCAGCAGTTGCAGTGATCTCTGGCCTAACTGGGGTATACTTCGAAAAGGTTCTCAAGGACACGGAAAATCCAGCTTCCGTCTGGACTCGCAATATACAGCTGTCATTCTATTCGCTATTTCCGGCGCTGCTGGGAATTATATTCAAAGATGGCGAAGAGATCGCGAAGCATGGTTTATTCGACGGTTACAACTGGATTGTATGGGCGTTGATCATTCTGCAAGCGTTCGGTGGTGTGCTTACATCACTTTGCATCAACTATGCTGATAACATTGCCAAGAACTTCGCTACGAGCATCAGCATTGTTATAGGCTTCCTATTCAGCGTATGGTTCTTTAAAGTCCATGTGACATTGACGGTATGTTTTGATTTCTCGCCCGTTTTGTAAGTCGTCCACTAACAGATTATTCTCAGTTCCTTATTGGTACTGCTCTGGTACTCGTCTCGACCTTTCTGTACACAGGTCCTGATCGGAAGCGCGGCCGGCCGCCACCGATCAACATTGTCAACTATGAGAAGACGACTATTGACCCGATGAATACGCCAAGATACACAGATGACAAGCTTAGCGTTCCCAACCCACTGGAGAACATAAAGGGTATGGGTCTCTCAACCTCTCGCCCTGCTTCTCCACTACGATACCACAACCGTGTACCATCATCACAAGGAAAGAACCGGGACGAATGAGCGTATACAAAGTATGGAATAGGCAAAGAAAAAAAAACGGAGTGGCGGCGGTCCTCGAATTTTAGAATGGTACCCCTTAAAATACCGAAATGTTGAGCTGAAGTTAAAGTCAGGTTCCCTTTCGTACACAGAGGACTTTATAGATGATGCATCATAAGATCATTACTGGATATTGATCTATATTGATAGATGTGTAAGTCCGATCAGATTAAGAACAGTGACGATGACGCAATGTACCCAGAAAAATGTGTGAGCAATATTGAATGCGTAGACCACGAAGGATAGGAAGGGGGGTTATGGCGAGGAAAAGAATGAATTTTTGTGCGCACTGTATAAATACCTCCTATTCATCTTGACCTATTGTCACTTCCAGTTGGGAATCTGTTAGCATTCCTTGCAGATAGGTATTTGAACCTTATTCCAGCAGTCGAGTCATACGGCATTACTGCTTCCCCTTTGGTTGACTGTACATACCAGGTACCTGGAGGTAGGTAGGAAGGGGCGGGCAAAGATATTAGTCATAATATACCCCTTTCACTTGCCTCTCACCCTATTAACTCGGGTGTAGTTGCCATCAGGGACCAGAATGAGTAACTCGCTTAAGTTTGAAGATGTCCATGTACTTCAAATTTTCGATCTCATGTAGGGCAGGTTTAGGCACATACCTCCTCCTATCTAGTACATAAGGTTCTTTCTTCCTTCACCTTCAATCCTCCCGAAGTCCTCATCAAGTCTTGTCACAGCCCTCCGTCTTCATTCCTATTTTCACGGAAGATAGTCGGCATGTCGATATCCAGCCAGTATCAGTTGTTGTTCTTGTATCACTAGAAGTTCTCATACAATTATCTATTTCCTCTTCACCTTTGAGTACTTATCAAGCCTACAAGATATGTCATTTCTATAATCAACGCCATGTCTAGCGAAGCAGAATCAGGGGAAGGCAGCCATATATATCGCCACATGTATAGACCAGCACATGATGCGCATATCCAGAACATCATAAACCATACCAATACTCTTTTCCCGGACTACGGCTATCAATTTCCCCAGTTTCAGCCTTTACATAACGCTAACGAATACGAAGAGCGGCCTGAAGAAGATCAAGATCTAGACGAATTTGGTAAGCTAGCAAACTAAACTCGCCACTTGGAAGTATGGTCGGTTTTTAATAGTACGTAGATCGCACCCTGCTTGGTCAGTTACACCGGCCTACTCATCTCCATGACTTGGGACATCGTGATCAGCGCCTATCACTACCCCTTACAAATACCCCTAATCAAGCGAGACGGCGGGTGGTAGGAGATGCAAGCCATCATTTTACGACGCTTACTGCCCGAGATTCAGATCATGAATCGCCTTTCTCGAGCATTACAAGTAATGTAGAGAAAACAGAGCCAAAACCCAACCTGCAATCTATGTTTGGGCATGGTGGAGGATTAAGAAGAATAGGAGAATTGCAACCGGGGGCACAGATGGTGACACCTCCTTTCCACACTGGTTAGTTGAAGACTATGCTTGACTCTTTACGACATACTGACCGTCGATGAAAGCTCTAAACTCAACTGCGACATTGGAAAACTCCCTCACCAGCAGTTCTCCTACAGTTATTGGCGGATCTAGCCCTTCCACTCGCCTTAGCCTTAAACGAAATACCAGAGCAGGCGTTAGCCCTCTTGTGTCTCATAAAAAAGCAAGTCGGTTAGATTTAGGCCTTGATCATGCTCCAGATGAGCCACCGATCGTGAACTCTACTCGCCTGATAGATCCAAGACAGGCACTGCCTGATAAGTTTCGAGCCGTATTCCCTTATGAGCTCTTCAACGTTGTCCAATCCAGATGTTTTCCAATTGTCTACGGTACAAATGATAATCTTGTCGTTTCAGCTCCGACAGGGTCCGGCAAGACAGCTATTCTGGAAATGGCTATCTGCAAGCTTGTAATGAGTCCCGGCAGTGAGAACTCCAAAATTGTTTACCAAGCACCAACGAAGTCTTTATGTTCGGAACGCGCGAAGGACTGGGAAAGGAAATTCAGTCATATGGGCCTAAAATGTATCGAACTTACTGGCGATACTTCGCAAACGAAGGCGAGCCGGGTGGGCAGCGCATCAATTATCGTCACTACCCCTGAAAAGTGGGATTCCATTACTAGAAAGTGGTCAGATCATCAGAGATTACTAGAGATGGTCCGTTTGGTCCTCATTGACGAAGTTCATATCCTAAAAGACGTCCGCGGTGCTACACTGGAAGCCGTCGTTTCCCGCATGAAGACTATTGGGGCGAATATCCGGTTCGTTGCTTTGAGTGCCACTGTCCCGAACATTGAAGACATTGCGAAATGGCTTGGACGAGATCATTCAAACCAACATGATCCGGCTAAGACCCAGGCATTTGGTGAGGAGCTACGGCCAGTTAAATTACAGCGATATGTTTACGGATATGAGGGTTGCTCGAATGATTTTTCGTTCGAAAAGTCTCTTGACGGAAAGCTGGCTATGTTACTTGCCAAGCATTCAGAAAAAAAGCCAATCATGATATTCTGCTTCACTCGGAAGTCTTGTGAATTAACAGCTCGAAGGCTAGCTGAATGGTGGTCTACCTGCAGTGTGGAGGACCGAGCCTGGCCAGCACCAACAGGGCGAGTCTCAGTGGCGAACGCGGAGCTCCAGGAGATCGTACGATATGGAGTGGCTTTTCACCACGCAGGTCTTGATACGCAGGATAGATTAGCTGTGGCACAGAACTTCCTCGAGGGCCAGGTTCATGTTATATGTTGCACCTCGACCTTGGCAGTTGGGGTTAACCTTCCTTGTCACACTGTGGTCCTAAAGGGGACAGTTGCGTACTCTGACAATAAGCTTCAAGAATATTCGAACCTGGAGGTTATGCAAATGCTTGGTCGCGCTGGTCGACCACAGTTTGACGATAGTGCTGTGGCCATTATTCTGACTAGGATGGCAAACGTCGATCGCTATAAGAGTATGATATCTGGAGATGAAACTTTAGAAAGCACACTTCACCGAAATCTAGTCGAGCATCTCAACTCGGAAATTAGCCTAGGCACGATCCAGGATGTCCAGACTGCGAAAAAATGGATTGGAGGAACGTTCCTCAGTGTACGAGTGCGTCAATCTCCACTGCTCTATCAACTTGAAGATGTCCGCAATGCCGAAGACGCGGATAAGAAAATGGAAGAATGGTGCGAGCGTGATCTGAAGCTACTACAACAAAGCGGCCTAGTTACTACTCATGCGCCATTCAGATGTACGGAGTACGGGCATGCTATGTCAAGATACATGGTAAACTTCGAAACTATGAAAGACCTCCTATCAATTCCTCGTGGCGCATCACTCCAAGAAACGGTAGGCGCAATTGCCCTCAATACATACCGTCCTACCTAATACTTATTATTGACTAGTGGGGACTGCTAACCAATGTTTATAGCTTATTACACTTTGTAAGGCCGTAGAATTCAAAGACTTCCGGTTTAAACCTGAAGAACGCGCTTTATTTCGAGAGTTGAATAAGTCTCCATTCATCCTGCATCCGATTAAAGAGACTTTAGCGCAAACCTGGCACAAAATATTCGTCATGATCCAGGTCCACCTTAGGGGTGTGGAGCTGCCAAACGAAAAGGGCATTGGTTTTCTCAAACAAAAAATTGCGATGGACAAGGCTGCTATATTTGATCGAATGAACCGCCTAGTACGTTGCTTCGTGGATTGTCGTGCGTTCGATAGCGACGGTTTGGGTACCAAGATCGGCTTAGAACTTGCCCGCGCCCTCGCTGCAAATTCATGGGATTATAAACCATCGCAGCTTTCTCAGATTCCAGGATCTGGTCCCGTGATGGTTCGCAAATGGGTTAGTCATGGAGTCAACACAGTGCTAGGACTTGCCGACAGAGACTTCGGTGAGATCGAGCGTATTTCAAGCAGAAACCCTCCATACGGAATGAGATTGTTGAAGACTCTAGAAAGCTTTCCCCGCCTGGCCATGGAAGCTCATCTCACCAGTGGAACTGCACGCTCATCGCAGCCGGAATGTAATGTGATGGTGGCGGTAAAAGTTAACCTTCGCTATTGTAATACGAGGGGGGTACCGAAATGGAATGATAGGATACCAGCCGTAACACTCATGGCTTTGACAACAGACGGCAACCTTGCGTATCTTTGGCGGGGAAACCTGAATAAAATTAATAAGTCTTCCGGCATAGATCTGACCTTCCCTGTGGCCCTTAGTGGCCCTGATCAGAAGATATCCTGTTACTTCAGCTGCGAAGAGATTGTTGGAACTCAAGTCGCGAAGACGTTAGAGCCTCATATACCCGAGGGGGCATTCAAAAACAGGAAAGTCCAACCAACACATCGTCAAACAACTACCATGGAATCGTCGGAAGATGATATGGATTATGGAGACCTCCCTGACCAAGACATGCTGAACGCTGCTTTGGCTTCAATGGACCAGAATGATGAGACAGATTGGCAAGATCCCTCAGTTCTATTAGATGACGTCGAAGAAGATTTCCCATTTATCGACAACGTACTACCCCAGGAGAGAAATTCGCTGGTCTTTGAGCCTAATAAGATGGAAAATGGAAGATGGATGTGTAATCACCGTTGTCGTAACGGTCGTCTCACTGGAGCTGGAAAGCCTTGTACTCATAAATGTTGCCACGAAGGACTAGATAAACCCCGACCACCACCACGAGATAAGAAAAAGGACAAAGATTCTGCGAGGAATGATACAGTGAAAGACGGCTTCAAAATATCAGCTAAACATTCAACAACTCTCCGAACCAGTGAAACTGTCAGTGCCAGCGAAAGTAATGGGAAGAGATCAATAGGACTCACGGCCGCTACTATTTCCGAACCATACGATGTAGATTGCACGCCAACACTTGATACAAATGCTCCAACTACTGCTCTAGCAAACACGAAGAGGAAGCGCTTAGCAAAGAACGAAAAAGGAATTAGGGCTTCCAAGAAAAAAAGCAAGACCACAAGCCATGAGTTAAACATGGATGCCTCAGATGTTGAATGCATCGATCTCTCCACAATTCGGAGTAGTCATGAGACCGGTTACTCTTCTGCAAATGTGCTTGATTGCTCTGACAATACGAATTTATTAAGTTCCTATGCAATGGATCAGACGGCTGTTAATTCTCTCTCGGCAAATGATATTCTAAAACCTGGCTTTACACATGTTCCGTCCCAAAAGTCCCCCGACATGATGATGGGGGCTGCTGATAGAGGGGATGCGGTTACAGGCGGAAATGAGAGTGATATTCAGTATGGCAGCGACATATTTGAGGATGACGAGTTCCCTGATCTTCAAACCATTATCAGGCCAAAAAAATCAACTGGCGAAGAAAATTCGCAGATGATATTAAGGAAAGACGAAACTCTATATCCTGGCACTGTTCATATTCTGAAAGAAAGCATGGATTACGGTTAGGAGCCAAATCTAAGCTTCACTACAGTTAATGAGCTACAGAAGGCGTCCGAACGCCTCGATTTGCCTTCAATTCAACCTCACAGCCAAGATACGCACCTACCATCAAGCACAATAGCTCAGAAAGCACTCAGTTTTAGATCGAGCTCGCCTCAATTTAACGAAGATAAGGCCATTAGCCATTCTCCAAATCAGGGAGTCGGTGATCGGACGCCTCTTTTCTTTGACTCGGATTCCTTTCAAGAGAGTGAGAATACGAAGTGCCCTCCGGAGTCTAGTACAGGTGAACCTGCTTGGTTGTCGGAATTTGATCCCGAGCTTGTTGATAGCCTACGGGGCTGTGCTAACTTCGTGGATTAGATGCTGGAGCAGCGGGTGGGACTAGCGTATTGTATTAAGTTACATATAACGTTATTCGCTTAGCAGTTAATTGCAGATTCTTCTTAAGGGACATGGGATTTATGCGTCGAACAATACCTTTAATCAGAAAGTTACCTAATACTGGCTATTCTTTGCTACGATGTGGCCAGATTCCGAGTATCTCTCGAGGACCCAAACAAGGGCCAAAAACTAGCGCTTCAACATATAAAAGGGCAGTGTTCAATGGCCTCTCCATTAAATATGGCTTATGCTTAAGATCAACCATAAAAATAACAATAAAGTACCTAGGTAGCTGGTCAAGCTATTTTCCGAGATAGATCTGAGCAGAAATAGCTTGCAGCAAGACTTGGCTTTATGAGTCAGATTTTTGGCCCGGAAAACTGTGTAGAGGTTCAGTGCTTTAGAGTGGCCCCTACAACCGATAATGATAATAGTCAATACGGCTAGGTAGTAGATGTACCGATCTGTTTCGGTTGAATAATAGGTATGAAGCGCTATTCGCCTTCTATGATATTAGTGTTGTCTACACAAGTTCGACGTAGTACCCCTAAGTAGTAGAATTGACTATTGTCAGATAACCAATAAAGCATGTGAAGTTCCAAAATACGGTAGAAAACAGAAAATCAAATTCTATCTAGCAATGCTCCATACTCGAAAAGCTAATTCAAACATACAATAGATAGGTACCTAGGGGGACTCCTCTATAGGAGGTACCTAACGAGTGGTTTTTTCAACGTTTATTATGACCCCCGTCCTAGCGATCTTATACCCGGCACCTCGTCCAGTCTAATAGGGGGCGGGTACAATCGATCCCTCGACTTGCTTTTGGAATCCGAGTCCCGTTTAGATACTCAACGAATCATCTCATTTAGCTGGGGTCGCAGCCTCCCCCCTAGGACTTTCTGGCGACGCCCACATCATTCCAAGCCTTGCGGACAATAGCCGCAGCATCTGCCCCGAAGAGCTCTTCGGCCTTATCCACCGTGACGTCTGCGAATTGGATAAAGGTGCAGCGAGAGGGTATCTGGCCGCTGTTCATCGTCTCCCACCATATTTTGCCGGCTTTCTCCCATCTGTACGGTTCGTTAATACCTAGCTGTGAATAGTTCAATGATGATCCAGATCCCTGGAATAGATATCAATTGGGAGAGTACTTACGAGTAGCCGCCAAATGCAACGGAAGCATTATAGAAAGCCTTGTTCGGGATACCCGAATAGAGATGCACACCCCCGTTGTCCTCGAATGTGAGCCTGTAGTCTTTGAAATGAGCTGGCTGAGGATCTTTGCCCTAATAGTAACAACAGGTCAGCAGCTATGTTGCCGGATTTCATAAATCAACTAAAGAAGGAATAGAAACGGTAGGATTCTTACAAAACGGGGGTCATTGTAAGCTGTGCCAGGGGCCTTCATGCTTCGCAGAGCCACGCCCTTGACACCGGGCATAAGGCAGTACTCGCCAATCAGCCAGTCAGCCTTGTCAGCGGTTTCATCTTCAACTCTTTGCTTGATCATGATGCCAAAGACGTCCGATACGTGTTCGTTCAGGGCGCCGCTCTGGCCCATGTAGTCAAGCGGTGAGGTGTGCTCGGTAACAGCATGCTGGACAAGAGTCAATAAAGCGTGATCGGGTTTTGGTGTAACAAAAGCCTTACAGTAAGCTCGTGACCAATAACGTCTATGCAACCGGTGAAGTTGGTTAGAAAGTCGTGCCCGTCGCCGTACACCATCTGGGCGATCTCGGGATCCCAAAATGCGTTTTCGTAGTTCTGCCCGAAGTGCACCGAGCTGATGACGTGCATGTTCTTGTTGTCGATCGACTTCCAGTTGAATATGTCGGCATAGAAGGAGAGCACGAGACCGGCGTTGTCGTAGGCCTCGTTGGCGGACTCGTCATTGGACGCTTTTTGGCCTTCCACCCGCACCACTTTACCGGGAAGATTGGCCTCGTTGGAATCGTGTCCAGCATCATAGACAGCGCGGTAAGTCTTTTCGGCTGTATCGGAAGCTTTCTCAGTAGTTATACCTGCCTTCTGGTCGGACGACTCGGCATGGAGGCCCTGAGTTGCTTGGTACTTGGCATGGATACTTCTAATATGTTCTAGGTCCCTTTTGGCGCAAGCACGGGTATCATCGTCCACATCTTCGCAGCTGGCAATGTGCTCAAGCATGTGGTCAGGCACTATGGCTTGTTGTCGGTGAACATTAGCGGCTTTGCTGCCGCGAGGAGCGCTGAGGGCTGCAAAGCGCTTCTCCCGCTTCTCGCAGTAAGTCTTGTGGAGGTTGAGGGCATAGCGGGCAGACTCGCGGATACGGTCCAAGTTGTGACTGCTTTCGGCAATGGCGTTAAGCATATAAGGAGGAACTACGTAGCAGACATGGCGATGGTTGCGGGTGGCCATCTTGGAAACTTGAATAGGCAATCGGGGCATATAGGGGCTTCAAGCTAAAGGATGAGTTAGAAGACGAGGACTAGTATACTTGAGGTCTATAGGAGTATTAGGACGAAGTAATGACACAAGGTTTCTTGGACAATGACAACAGAAGTTATGTAGGTAATATGGTAATATCTAGGTGGAAATGATCTTTAAGGCTTCGGTCGTGGATATGTATAGGTTAGGTAGTCCAGGATGGAGACGAGTTTCCTTGGAAATTTAGTGCCGGGGCAAGTTCAAGTACCAGATTTATAGGCATACAAAGTCATATCCAGGGAAAGTAGACTAACACGAAAGGTCCTGCCACGATATGCTATTATTAGGTAAACTCTAGCTGCCTTCGATGATAAACAAGCATAGAGGTACCTATCACCAGATAAGGACATCTGTGAAAGCGTGACTGATAGAAAGGCACCTCTAACCTAACCTAAAACATCACCTGAACAATACCAGGGCATGACCTGGCTTACTGATATAGACGTACGAATCGTACATGTATGCCTAAAGATTAGTATATCCTATTACCGAATAAGTTCGTTCGTTTGTTGAATCGAGAATAGTGCAAACTGCCATTACCGGTTTTATAGCCCATCTCGGTCCCATACAGGTAGGTACCTAGGATTAGTATTGGAGTTGAGCTAGAGTATATATATGCACTATAAGTCGTTGCATCGTCACATCCGGAGCCAATAAGAGCTAGATCTTGCCTCGAACCTGTCCGAAAATGGTCAGAAGCCCTGGGGTAGGCGTGGGGGCTTCGTCATGCACATTTATTTCTGGAGCAGAGACAAACAAGGAAACGGTGCTGATCTATTGGGTGGGGGGTTTTTCTCTAGATAGTTTCTGCTAGACCTGGTTTTCGGTCGTATGACAAGAATTATGAACTATTTCGTTTCATGATGGACGCGGTTTGAGAAGGTTACGCGTCAACGTTAGGGACTATAAGTGGGCCATCTAGGTTCTACATAGAGGAGCTACAGCACCCTGGCCACCTACCAAATACCTACCTACCTAGGTAGGTACCTCCGACAATAAACATCATCAGTGGCTTCCTAAACTTGAAGCTCGTTACCTTACATAAGGTAAGCATTTTAATTATGTGAATTGGAAGCGACTACTGCGTCCATATCAATTTGAAAGGTATGAGATACAACCTTACGTACCTCATATACATGTGTATCTGGGTGTCTACCTAGGTAAGGCGCTTCGATGTACTCGACTGAACAGACGTTCAACACCAAAGACAAATTCGCTGACTGAGGTCGAGATCAGCTGATGTTTTTTCTTATCGTACCTGTTACATTCGCCCACCTTTACGGCTTCAACGGGCGTTGACATATATCGATTAGGCTGACAACGGCGGATATACCGCTGCATGTATTGTACATACCTAAGGTAAGGCGTAATTTGATTTTCTATCACTTACAACTTTAGATTGGGTCAAGTATCGATGGAAAGAGAGGAGCAGGGAGTTATTGCCTCCTTTTAAGTTGGGAAACCTTCCGTGGGGATAGGCTCATCGTGTATGACGTAGTATTCATATAGGAGGTACCTAGGTAGTATAAGTACGGGCATGTGCTATCCGCTCGCTTCCAATAGAAGAGAGAAGGAGCAAGCACGAAGAGATGAAGGCGCAGTCTTTGGATGAGAAGAAATGAAGGGAAAGGGCGAACGTGTCTCAAGCAGTACGTAGACGGCTGTTTCCTCTCTCACAATGTATAACATCATATAACGATGTATAACGATGTATAACGTTATACATCTTCTAGGTACGGTCTTCAAGTCCTCAACTCATTTTATTCTACACATCTCAAATTCCCTCACTTAAATCAGACTCTCGAACTGTCGGGTACCTACGGGTCCTATGTAATTGGTGCCATTGGACACGGCAAGAATCGAAAGTCATTACGATTCACCCACTCTCGTTAACAGGTTCACACCTATCTTAGGTTTCTACCAGCTGTGTTAATCATCTCACCAATAACCCCCCTTTCCTATCCTATCAAACATCTCATCTTCGTTGGGCCTTTTAAGGATAGCCGATGACATACACGATGTACTTCTTACTGCTCTTTCTCGCTTACTCTACTCTCGTCTCGGCGACCACATACTTCCTCACTGTCTTCGCACCAAACACCGAAGTTGACGGGGCTTTACTGAATGCCGCCGCTCAGGGTTTTTACGCCGGCCTTTCAGGGCCCGCGACCTACTGTCCCCAGGGCGTCAAATGCCCTGAGACGCAAACTTCCCTTGTGTACGCTGGTTTGACCGCTATGGCTGTGAGTTTACACTAAACACGCTTACTCTAAACATGCTTAAGGGGCCTTATAATATGCTACAAGTTTCGTCTTCTATTATTGCCCGATCATTGCCTCTATGACTTCTCTTTAGGTACTAATGGAAATATCCACCTATAGGTAGAAGTCCCCGGTGGTCAAGCCATTTACGTCGCACCCTCAGGTCAGATATCATACACACAGGCACACTCGTCATATGAGCCCGTAGGTTCCTTCACGGGCGGTTGGTTCAACAAGACAGTCTTATCAGATTGCGATCCAACTCGCGAAGTACTCGACTTCCTGCCAGTTGATGGCTCTAGCTCTGGTGGTGTTAAATTATGCCCCCAAGTAGAAGAATACATGGCTGGTACGGGTGCTAGCTATCGCTTGTATGCTGGAACCGCCATATTCAATCTGACCGGTTGCATTGATGCCGTCGGTCTCACACTACACGGCGTCGCTGAGGACTTTGGGTGTTGGCAGTACACCTGATCTGGGGCAGTAATCCCATTACTATCCTAACAGTGGGTTTGCTGTTCTGGAAAATAACGTCTTTACCGGGAAGACCAATCATAGGTATATGTCGGCTTGGAGCTGTATAGATTCATTTTCTGGGCTTCTGGATGCAGATACTATTGCGAAATTTTGATGGAATAGGTTATTACAATGTCCTTTTCATGGATTTATAGCTTTGGGCGGCCTTGTATGATGTTGTGGTAATGGGAAGAAATGATTTGAATTAATGGTCAAGAAAATGCGCGCGCTGGTTTAGCTTTTTACCTGTTATATACCGACAACTTGGTCGTCCCAGCCTGGGTACCTAATACAGCCAGCCAATGAATGAATACTACTTAGTCATTATATTATGATACGGCTTAATCTAGCAATACCTCGACATCGAACTCCTGATCCGTCCTCAGCTGGTATTCTCGTAGGGTGGCAGGCCCGCAACTCCCCGTGCCCAGGCCATGGTGATACCAGTCCAGCCTTACCATATGATCGTCTCTTTTTCTTCTAAAAAGCTCATATGGGTGCCTGCACTGGTCTACATCGCCCGTGCTGTACGGGCTTACGCTAAAACTAGCCCCTCCATGGTCCCCGAACCGCGCCCTCAGCAGGCGATCCGGGTACTCGCCCTCGTCGCCCCAGCGCGTCCGCAGCTCGACCCACCGCACGTCGGTCCGGTTCCCGCTGTCCTGCGGGAACTCGTAGTGGCGGAACAGCTCGTCCGCGAGCCGCCCCCACGTGTTCATCTCCTGCGCGCGCTTCTTGTCCGCGTACGACTCCCCCGGGCCCCGGCCGAACCACTGCACGACGCGCACGTCGCGCAGCCCGAAGGAGAGGCCGAAGCGCGCGAAGGTGGATGGTAACAGGGGGCCCGTGGGCTTGGCTTGAACCCGGATGCTGCAGTGCTCGGATGTTAGCGTGTAGGTGATCGTCGTGTCGACGGCCCAGGCTAGGACCGGGGGAGCTACGCGGCCTTTTACCACGACGACGGTACAGCCGCTGGATTCTGTCTCGGTGGTGGTGGTCACTTGCAAGAAGTGGTGCCGCGTCTGGTGTACCCTGCGCTCGAGCCATTCCTTGCCGTGGGGCCCGCCGCGGTCGTTGTCCGTCAGCGCGCGGTAGAAGTCGAGGGTCAGGGGCACGGTGATGAGGTTGCGGTCTGGGTTCGAGGTGTGTGTTAGCGAGGACAAGGTCCCGCTGCTGGTGTTGAAGCCGAATGTGCTGCCGGACCGGAGCGTGACGTAGAGCATCTCGTCCTTGCGCTGGACGCGTGGGCGGGAGGGCGTAGAGAGGGATTTAAGGAGAGCGAGGGATGGGGGCGGGGCTAGTGGCAACTGGCCTCGGGCTACGACTCGTCCGGGAGGTATCCATTTGCTCTCGGGGCGCGTTATGAAGTCCAAGTCGAGCCACGTTTCTGCGGAGAAAGTCTTCGGCAGGCCGCCGAGTATCAAAGTTGCCTTGGTATGCGGTTTCACTCCCGCCGGGATGACAATTTCGTCTCCGAACATTTCCTGGCGGTCGGAGACGAGGCCCCAGAAGCACTGGAGATGATCTAGGGTTAGGAAGTCGTAGCGGTTTATGATTGTGACTTCGTTGTCTTTTACGGAGAGTACTTGGACCGGCTCGATGGCTTTGCTATATTCGTCGAGCCCTGGGCCGGCGTTGTGTAGCGAATCGCAAAGCCCGTCCATTACGAAATTGCCATCGTGAGGCTCGTCGGGTTGGAAGTCTCCGCCGTAGCCGTAATACCTCTCGCCGTCTTTGGTCTGTGTGAGAAGACCCTATGGAATAGTAGGTTAGTTTCAATGGAAGAACTTTGTTAAGTTTAGGTACCTGGCAGTATGGACTTACGTGGTTTGCCCACTCCCATACGAAACCTCCCATTAACCGTGGATATTGGTAAAATGCTTCAATGTATTCTTGTATGGCACCTGGACCATTACCCACTACAGAAATAATCAATGATTGATCCTCGGAAAAACCACCTCGAGATATTTCAGACGACTTTCGAGGCGTATCCCCTTAATCGGCTTGACAAATAGGCTTTTGCTCTCGAGAGAAGTAGAAAGGGGAAAGTATAAATATTGATATTACTTACTAGCATGGGCGAATTCGCACATAACGAATGGCTTCTTCCAATCCTTCTCTTCTGCGTGTTTTATCATTTCGTCGACAGGTGTATACATTCGACTGAATACGTCCGCAGTCTGAGCTTCTTGATCGCCCTCGTAATGTATAAGACGCGTCTCATCAATGTTCTTGATGGCGTCGTACATCGCCTGGTGATTGCTGCCGTAGAACGCCTCGTTCCCAAGGGACCACATGATAATACTCGGGTGGTTTTTGTCTCGCGCCACCATTTGTACCGCGCGGTCTACATAGGCCTCTTCCCACTCGGGGTTGTTCGACGTAAAACTTGCCGGATCACCGCCGACTTCGCCAAAGCCGTGACATTCGAGGTCCGCTTCGTCCAATACCCAAAGCCCGATTTCATCCGCGATGTCGTACATGCGAGGGTCGTTCGGATAATGAGATGTGCGTACGGCATTGATATTAAATGTCTTCATTTGTAGGAGGTCATGTTTTAGATCTTCATACGGGACTGTTCTCCCCGATACTGAGTTATGTTCGTGGCGATTCACCCCACGGATCTTGATCGGCTTGCCGTTAACGCAGAAAACGCCATCGATAAGTTCGGTCATACGGAACCCTACTTTCTGAGTAACGTACGCGGCACCGACGGATAGTACTAATGTGTACAGATACGGCGTCTCCGCGGTCCATTTCTCGGGGTTTTTAATCTGATACACAAGATTTCTTCGCCGGGATCGTCCTGCACGAATATCTGCAATGACATTATAGCCTTGGCCGTCGAGAAGCTTGACATGGACTTTACTATAGGGGTCATTCAGCCTAACGTCTATCGTGAGCAATGCGTCCCTGTAGTTGTCGTCGAGGTACGTCTGAACATGGAAGTCCTCGAGATGAACAGGAGGAAACGAATGTAACCAGACGTCCCTGAAGATACCGCTAAGCCACCATTGGTCCTTGGAGAAAAGTTAGAATTGGTAAGATATAGCCCGTGAGTATTAAACATACCTGATCTTCGATATAACTTCCGTCGCATCGCTGGTAAACCTCAACGCACAGAGTGTTTTCGTTTTCGAGCTTAAGGAACGGAGATACGTCAAATTCGCTCGGGTTTCTCGAGCCCTGCGAATAGCCAACTTCCTTCCCGTTCAACCAGACGGTAAATGCCGAATCAACACCCTCGAACCAAAGCCGCCATTGGTTATCGCCATCCTTAAGTCTATCCGGCACAGTGAAGCGCTTGACGTACCGCCCGCATTCGTTGTCGTCATACGGGACATGTGGAGGATCGACTGGGAAAGGGAAGTTGACATTCGTGTACTGAGGTCCCTTGCCGAATCCTTGGAGCTGCCACATGCCAGGCACCTTAATAAGGTCCCATTTCGTATGGTCGAAATTGGATCTGTAAAAATCTCTTGAACCTTTGAACGGACTAGGTGATAATTCGAACCCCCAGGTGCCAGAGAGCGAAGCCGCCCTAGAGAGATTCTCGTTGGCACTGATGGCATCGCTCTCCATGTCGTAAAGATAGAAGTGACTTCGGGGCGGGAGAGTATTTCGATGGATGACTTTATGATTACTCCAGTCGGGAATTTGTTTCGGCTGGACCTCGCTCCTATTTACTTCATCCTGGCTAGATGCCGGAGTCGCGATATCTAACGATCCCGGGCTGGAACTGGAACTGGAACTGGGACTTAGATTGGAACTAGCGACATGTAAATCTACATGTATGCTGGTATCTTGACGGATTACCAAGTTCGCCTCATGCATAGAAGAGGAGGGCTTAGAGGTATTAGAAGAAGACATAGCGAAAGAATAATAAAATCTCAAAGATTGAATGGGAGCGCCGCGAAGTTGAGCCCGGAGAAGGTTTTACTTTATAATCTTCGTCATTGACTAGCGAATGTAAAAAGATGATAGGCAAGTATTGCGATCGCAAACGATAACTTGTAAAATCAGATCTCACAAGAAAGAGATCGCACGATAAATTGGGAAAGCAGGGGGCCGGAACAATTTTATAATTCTAGCATTTCGATAGAGGTAAGTACTTAACGAAGGTACCTATTGTTCGAGAAAGCAACCAACTCTTCCGCAGCGTCAACTCCTTCCTTGAGGGGTCGCTTTTATATATACTATGTATCGGAAGACTAAGATGGCAGGCGTGAAGTTAACTTAAAATAAGTGACGTAGACTTCCAACTTCCTAATTGGCTCGGATTGCCCCGTGCGGACGCGGAGGCTGGGGATTTGAGACCGGGGGGAGGTTGGAGGTTGGAGACGAAGCTTAATGTTCCAATAAAATACAAGCTTCATAATCTCGTTCGTTTTATCGTTATTAAAGTTGAGGGTTGTTCAAAGCCCTACAACGTAAATTGACGAAATGTCCTGCAGCATTAGGTATTTAGGTACCTAGTATAACTTGGCTGTAGGGCAAAGACTTCGAGGTAAAGATGCGACAAAGAACAAGTAGATATTCTGGAAAAATTATTATCATTTAATATCGTTATCTCTTAATCTTAAAGCACTTTTTATCATATAAAGTTCTAGTGGGGGACTGCTCGACACCCAGGCCTCTACTTTACGATTACGAACTTATGAAAATGGCCAAACAATCGCCCATGAGGGCTGATTGAATGTTTAACCAATTACGCCATTGAACCTAAGAACGCCGTGGGCCAACCATGATGCTTTCAACTATAGGATTGTTCCGAATCTTTTCCATGTTAGCTCGTATCCAAGGGTCGAATAGCATCAATTATGCAAACTTACCCGAAAGTCTTCTTGATGCTCTTCACGTAGTACTCCTCCCAGTTGCGCTTGGTCACTTCTTCCTGACCTACAGGCACGCCACTCCAAGTGACCCTCATCACAGTTACGCCGTCTACATCGTTCTGGTCGAACTCAATTACCTGTTTGGAGTAGTGACCAGCCGGCCATTGGTTTAGCCGCCACGTCTGGGCGATCTTGGTCGGCTCCTCAAGTTCTTCAAATTCACCCGAGACGTTACCGTCAAACAGCTCAAACTTGCCACCCTTTTTAGCCCCATCAAATCTCTTTGGGGGTGCTCGTGTAAAGGCAGCTAAACGTTGCGGGTCGGTGAACGTCTGGTACAACTCAGCAGCAGTAGTTCGGAATTCCTCCTGATCTGTTACTGTGGTCGTGTTGACTACGCTGCCACTGTTCTTCTGAGCGCTAGCACTAGTTTCAGGCTTCGGCGTGGTTCCGGTGGGTGCGTGATACTTGGGCGAGGTAAATCCACTCGAGGGATTCGTGCCAGCGGCGTGTTGAATATCTTTGCCGTGTTCAGCAATTAAAGCCGGTGTAAGCTTCGCGAATTCCTTCCGAAGCTGCGGCGTGATCTTGGATCGAACTAGATCTTTCACTGGTTGCTTCTCTTGCGACTCCGAGTAGACGTCTATGTCAAACTTTTTTAATATTAGCGCTAATCACGTCTTGAAAAAAAGCTAATAACTATAGGACACCTACCACAAAATCGTCTTCGTCGGTATCATGGGCAACTTCAGGTATGGTGATTGTACCTGAGACATCCTCTTCGCCAGGAGCGGCTCCTAGTCTAGGTTAGATGATTTGCTATTCATCCATACGTGTAGCAGTTAACAAGTTAGTTGACTCACCAGAGTATTCTAAGACGAGTTTCACGTCATAAATGGTGATAACCTTGCCTTTTCGTTGGCTCACGTCAACATCCCCGTCCATGCTGACAACCTTATTAATCTTGGCAGTGACCTCTCCATCTTCAGCCGAGATCTTGGTCAGATTCTCTTCGAACCATTGCCTAGTCCATTCACCGGCATTCTTGCTGACCCAATGCCAGTTGTTTGGGTTGTGGAGAACCATGGTGGACTTTGGAGAAGGATAATTCGTACGAAGGTTGGATGTGGTTGGAAAGCTGTAAGGGAACGAGGATACGTTAGCAAATTGGCAATTGGAGCTGCGGCTGATTTTTCTTCTTCTTCTTCTTCTTCTTCTTTATATATATATAAAGAAAAGTAAATGTAAAAATGTAGAGTTTGAATCAGATATGAGTCTTAAAGACTACAGCTATTGGTCATCAACGAAAGGGAGTACAAGTCGCTCTATGACTGGTGCCAGCTGGTGTATCATCAGAGAATCTACAAGAAAAAATCTACAAAGGGGGAAAAGCTTTGTAGATGTAGAAGTTGTAGAAATAAGTAAAAGAGAGGCAAGACGAAGTGAGGCTTACCGATGACAGATGGACGGGATGAGTTGACTACAGAATCAATCTGCAAGCATAACTAACGAATTGAATAGAAGAACTGGAAATATTGGCATTGGAGGGCACCTGGCCAACAATAAGAAAGACTGTTGTAAGATTCTAAAGGGCAGAAGAAAATGCAGCGGAAAGCTCTAGAATTGCAACGAAGTTCAAGGTCAAGATGAAATATTTCTGCCAATGAGAATAAAAAGTTTTTTTCTTATTCGGCGAAACATCGGTCCGCTTAATTCTGAACCTAGGTAAGCCAAGGTTCCACTTTTCAAAAATGTGCACTACCTTAGGTTAGGTAATCAAGCTCCGAGGGGTCCGTCAAGGAGAGCCCCACATAATACATCTAGGTTGGGTTAGGTACCTACTATTAGTACCTGGTACATGTACTTCGTACTCCCATACCTCTTATTTCGAAATTCAAACTTGCGATCTCTCATTCTCAAATCTCTCACTCTTACGTCTTATCACACACTAGAGGTGAATAGATAGAACAACAAACAGAACAAAATTTAATCTTTAAAAATTCCCCTAAATTGCACAGTACCTCACAAAGATGCACAAGACGATGTGAACAACACCTGTGATCATACAGATATTACCTCTTAATCCCGGATGCTACATTTAATTTAGGTACATTTCGACGAACAAGTTGAGCCTTACAAAACTAACACCAATTTATTGGAATTATTAGAAGAGCCAGGCTCTAGCCCCTAACTCTACTTCATATGCAACTCAGGTTACATCTGGACCCTCAGTCAGTGAGAGTCAACATGCTAACATATTATTATCTACCTACCTAGATATTATTGTCATACATTGCCTTATCGCCATCGACGTAAAATTGGATACCTTAGATGTTGTGTTCCGGTAGAACAGCTTCAAAGATGGATCCTTGCAGTGAAAACTAACCCCCTTTTACATATCTCGTCTTCGGATTGGCTTCTATCCATTTTTAGGGTATAGAATTGGCCAAGAAAAAAAAGGCTCATTCGTTACTGAAATTTCTACGTGCAAAAGGTACCACGGTTAGGACGGACCGTATACTATTTTATTTATATCAACCGGTCAATGCTAACCAGCAATTAGACTATCCGTACCTGGCAGGTCCTCAACCATGGACATCATCAGAGCGCGGGGTGATCTTTAATCTCGATACCGATACATTAAGTATCAGGTATAGCTATCTGACATACGAATATGAGATACCTAGCACCTACCTTAGGTCCCTATGTAAGTCTAACTGTAAGAGACCTTTTCTTTAGTTGACTCTTGAATCCTCTCAACATTCTATTATAGATCCCAGATCGTATATGTGCTTACAGCTTGCATCCTTTATGCACATCAACCATCACCTACGAATTTCGGTGTGTTACTCTGCATCGGGTAGCAGATTTCGCGGATGATCAATGCATATATAGTATGTTGAACAATCCGCACCTCATATACGTGCACGAATGATATATAGTAGGAGGGAAATCATTGGCTCTACATTATGATCTTTATTATAGTACCTATATAACCTTACTGACAAGGCCAGAATATAACTATCCCGACTTGGTGCAGGTAGTGATCCAGCACAAGGGATAAACCAATCAACTTTACCCTAAAGTGGAGAGTTCAATGAAGCTGCAACTCTTAAGCGCCCGAAGACCAAAACCACGAGAGAGAAAGAAGATCTTAACCAATGAGGTCTAACAGTGGTCTTCCGTTTCCAAATATAGATAGAACTCGACCCACACATCTAACCAATAATCTATGTCTGTTGGTGTTTACCGACTTCTAAGTACCGGAGCCCCCTAATCCCAACTTGACCTGTCGGCCCACCAGGACCGCCCTTCAGCACGTCCTCGATGCTTTGCAGCGCACTACCATATTTCTCATTCGCTCGTTCAACAGTATCTTGATTAAAAGCACCTTCAATGGTGCAGATGGGGTCCTATTAGCATGAAAGTAAGAGAACCGACTTTAGAATAGTCCTACCAAGTATAGGTACCTTGTTCAGATTTTAATGAACTACCTACCTGGTATAAGGTTTATACGGAGGATCTTCTCGCATAATCCTATAGTGGCCGATGTTCGGGTCTTATGCAGTGCTATGGGCTAGGTTGTTACAGAAGGTAGTATACGATGTTTTTGCCTGCAGTTTTGGCATCTCGATTTACCAAGATGAGACCGCAGAGAAGGTCTACCCAAACACTAAAGGGGGCAAGGGGTTGAAAAAAGACCCCCCATATATACGGCCTCTATTTACATATCTCACGCGGTCCACTAGATACGTGTAGATATATGGGGGGATAAATTGTGTAAGTGGAAAAGATCACGTCCGTTTCTCTCGGAATTTACCTGCCCATCAGCCATTAACCAAATTTATGAGCCTGTGTAGCCTATTGCAGGCATCCAGGGATCTGCCAAGAGACGCCCCATCCCCCACGTCTTTAGACCAGGGGATTTAGAATCATCACCCTATCCTGTCCCTCCATTACTTTTTATCTTTTACACCCTCTTCCTCCCACATTGCACAGCATCTTCTCAGCCGCGCCTTTAAAATATCCGTCGGTCTTTCTATATTCCTTCATCCCTATGCGATATATGGTAAGTTGGGTCATGGGAGCAATTGGCGATAATAGAGTTTCTTATATACTCGGCTGAAGGACGGGAGGTTGAAGGCAACGCAGCCAGCGTCGACTCGTCAGACCATTTAAGATATAAAACATAAAGGGCGTTTAGTAATTAACGTCCAACCCGCGTCAACGCCCCTCCCCTCGAAACTACCTGCTATCGCTCTACTTGCGCGCCTCTATTAACACGGGCTACGGCCACTATACGTGATGATGACTAGTCAGCGCGATGGCACAACCTCTCGTCTTCGCCAGGCTCTTAATCCATTAAGAACCACAGCACTTGGAGGTTATCATAATCAGCTAAACACGCCACATTCTGCTGTCTCAATTGCTTCACCACATGCTTTCGCTGGGCTCCAAACACCAGCTAGTTCAATACAGCCCTATAATCCTCAGGAATGGGCGCCCACTTCTGCGGTGGGCCCTCCCCCGCCGTTAACACTAAACCCGCAAGGTAAGTTACCACCCATCTGATATTTCGAGTCGTCGCGCCGTGGAAGTAAGCTGATGGAGTCGAATGCGCCAGTCCCGGCGCCACCTCCACCTTATTCCCCTCCTCGGAGTCAGAGGCCAACCAATACGGTCCATGAGACGCCGCCAGCAAATATCTCCGCCGCGCGGATTCCCGCTTCAAGTGTCCATCGGCCTTCGCCGGAACCGCCAAATAACCAAAGCTTTCCTCCACCACCGGGGTCAAATGGACGTGGCGGCTCTCGAGATAGGCGTTTTGGCTTATCATCATTAACAAGACGGAGAGACCGAGGTACTCCGGAATCTATATCACCTCCCGATCCTCACCCTTCTAATTCATTAACTCGACCCCAAACCCTTACGATTCAGGTTCCCAGTCCCCTCAACTCAGCAGAAAATACACCACCTTCCATACCCCCTAGTTCCCGCAGAGCAGCATCGGCGAGTGCAGTTGAGACGCCAACGTCGGCTAGGTCTAGATCTACATCGCAATCGAGATGGGAGCCCGGAATGCCCTTACCACCGCCTCCTCCAGGCCCTCCTCCAGCCCAGTCCAGATCACAAAGTCTTAATAGGACAAGTGAGCCTATTGTTTCCCCTCCTACTAGAAGACCACCTCCCAACGGAGTGACTGCACTTGGCCCTGTCCCTCCGACCCCTGCTGACTGGGTAAGCGACGAGCAACAAGTACGCAGTAGATCGCCCGATCGAATTGGGTTAACTATTGATACAGCTGCTGCCGCTGCATCTAGCCCGCCGGCTGTCCCCGATTCAGGCTCCGGATCCAGCTCTGCCGGGCTAAACCGGACGGGTGCCGTTCGTGGTGAAAAGTCCTTACGCGAAAGACGAAATGAGAGTCGGACTCGACAAAGAGCGGAGGATGGAATTCAACCTTTATCTGACATTATAGTTCCTAATGGGTCAAGTCTATCCCGCAGATTATCAGTTCACAGGGGGACGCCTCGAAGCGGTGGTAAAACAATCGCCGATACGCCAAGATCTGGAGATGACGCCAACGTGGATTCTAGAAATTTAACTCCTCGTCCCTCTACCGCATCACATCCAGAGACACCGACGCCACCCTTTTCCCCACGTCCGCAAAAGGCGTATCAGGTCGCAGAGCTGGGTCACCCGATCGCCCCAAAAGCCCTCCCTACACCACCGCCACAGAGCCGATCGGCCTCAAATTCCTCTCAAGCACGACCAGATATACGTAGCTTAATGAACGGCAACCTGTCTACTGATTCAACTTATCCCACAACTAAACAAGCCGTGGTTGGTCAGACTCCTGAGCAATTCTGCCGAGGAAGCATAGAGCGTTTCCAAGCCTTTGCCAATCAGGAGGTAGCGGCGGAGTCAGATGCTGAGCGGGTAAAATTATTTGCCGATTTCATAGTCCATGAGTCTCGATTACGTCGGGAGAGATATGCGTCAGCGATCGGAGCTATGGGGTCTGAGATTTTCGACCTCACCCGGGACTTATTCCGTCCCATGAAGATGCGCCGCGATTCAACAAATTCACAATCAGGAGAATGGACACCGCAGATGTCGGAACCAAGATCGCAACGGAACTCGATGACGTCTGTTTTCCGCGAACAGGTGCAATCCAACTCTGCACCACCGTCCGCAAATTTACCGACCTCCAGCTCGCCTGCCAATGGTCCCGTAAGTGGGAACTGGGCTTCGCAGTATATGCCGTCATTATCGCCTATTCTCAGTATGAGCGTTAGTGAACAGCTGGATGGGTCGAGCTCACGGGGTCGACCGGCAAGTCGCTGGTGGGAAACGGAATCCGGCGGTGGAGAGTCGAATAGAATGGAAAGGTCAAAACGCGAGTCAAAGTACATGGGCGTGCCAAAAGAAGCGCGAGAAGCTCTGCAATGGGAAGATGAACCAAGTACCGCGGGAAGTCATGCCGGGTCGAGCAAGCATTATTCGGAGAATGAATACCCCCCGGAAAAGGTTGGGTGGCACGAATCAAAGGAGATGAGTACGCCTCAGCCATTTCGAAATTCTCTCTTATCTCTAGGGTCATCCGCGCCGAACACTCCGAGTCCTTCGCATCTGGATGTATCACGACTAGTAACGCTACCGCCGCCTTATCCCCGACATCACCCCGCAGTAAATAATAACCACCCAGAACTATCGTCTACTCGAACAAGGGTGAGATCTTTAAGCGATATGCAAGAGGTTCAGGCGACAAAGGAACGGTTTCTACACGACAGCCAGAGGATACGTGAGGAAGCTGCTCAGGGAGCCTCTTCTAGACTAAAATCACTGCGCGCGAATCTGCACCAGGAAATCAGCGCAGGCGACATGTCATATGCTGAAGCAGCCGCAATCGAGGCCGACACACAGGCATCTGAAAATGCCAAAGCCAAGGAGATAGAAAAACAGGAGTTTGATCGGTTCCAGAACGCCGTGGTCATGCCACTTAATGAACTACTCACGGGCCGTATCGCACAAGCCACGTCACTCTTCGACGAATTACGATCGCGCCTCTTCGTCGAGACTCAGGCGCCCGATCCCAATATGCCTCAGGAAGAAGGCGATGAACAGCCAGAGCTCCTCGAGAAACTAACACTACTCAAATGGATTTTCGAGGCCCGTGAAATGCTACATCGCGAGATATATGACTTACTAAGTAATCGCAACGACCGCTATAAGGAGATGGTGCTTACCCCGTACCGACTATCCGGCAACGAAGAGAAGCTCCACACGGCAGAAGCCTTCTTCATGGATGACGCTTATAAGCGGAAGCGGGCGTTTGCGGGCGAGGTACTGCAGCGCACTTGCGAATTCCGAGACGTGGTAGAGGAGAACGTGACGCGCGGCGTCGACATGCAGCTCAACGCATTCTGGGACCTAGCGCCGCCCCTACGACGGCTCCTGGATAAGATCCCGGCATCGGTCGATGGGCACTTCCACATCCAGATCCCACCCGCCGAGTACGACGAAAACCCGAGCTACCACCGACACCCGCTGCAGTACCTGTTCAGCCTGCTGCTCCACGCCGAGAAGAGCACGTACCAGTTCATCGAGTCGCAGACGAACCTGCTGTGCCTGTTGCACGAAGTCAAGGAGGCGGTGATGAGCGCGCGCGCCAGGGTGGGCGAGGCAGAGGGCCAAGACCTCCGCGTTATCGAGGAGGAGCGTACTGCCGAGCAGACGAGGCTCACGGATGATCTAAAAGAAAAAGTGCGCGTCGTACAGGAGCAATGGGAAAGCGCGCTCGGCGAAGCTATGAAAGGGGTTAAGGAACGCGTGGGCGAGTGGCTCCTGTCGACGGGCGGATGGGACGAGAGTCTCGAAGACGGAGGTGTTGGTGGCGTCTAAGCAGAAAAAAAAACCGCCCATCCCCTTTTTTTCTTATTTACGGTTCAGAGTTGTTTTCTTGAGACTATAGACGTTGGAAAAAAAAACTTCCAAAACGAACAAAAAAGTTGCAAGGCGGGAGCGTCGGTGTAATGAAATGAATCATTTGCAGCCGAATATTAGCGCGCGCTTGCTTGCTTGCTTGCTTGTGTGATACCCCCTTTTAGTTCATGACGGATATGATGATTATACGACACGGTTATTTTTCTGTTTACCTAAGGTACCTCTCTTTGCGGTTCTCGGGCTGAGACGATGGAATCTATTCGGGATATCTTATCTTTATTAGCCAGCCGGCCTATATACGTGGTGGATACACATATTAAATATTATGACGCCGGTGAATCATGTCTTTGTGGTGATGCTTTTTGTGACTGACTCTGGTTTGGATTGGTTGGATTGCTTTACGCATCGCTATTGCTTTTTTTCCCCTCTTGTAAACGCTTTTATACTTCACTTCTAAACCAGGTCTATATTCGGCAGGCAACATAATCGGCGAGACAATGTCATGCATCTTGTTAATACAACCGTCTGCGATAGGTTCGATGTGCACATTGAAATATGTTCCACTACATTCGGTGTATGCATTGATTTATTCAATAAGCTATCAGTTAGTTCCAGCCCAGTATCCGTCTTGAAATTCGAGCTATTTCCTGTAACCTACAACGCCACCGTTTGTCGACCTTTGACGATGAACTCCGATTGGGCAGGTTGCAAAGAGGCCAAAGCAACTAACCGTTAGGTAGCTGTTACACGAATCTTTGTGTTGCTGGCTGTTTGTTTGGACAACTCTGGGAGTTATCCCACCAAAATCGACATAAAGGTCTCGATAGTCCAGTGTCATTACTTTCTCCCCATCCACATCCCTTTTCTTTTGAAATATCATGACCGCAGGTGTAAAAGACCTTTGACGCAGCAGCAATGTTTTCAACTTTCTCCCCCTTCGCTACTAAGGTGAAGAACCTCGACGATTCTTCTATGGCGCAGTTCAACACGAAAGGATCCTTTCAATTACCTCGAGCGTTGAAAAAGGTAATGAGCGGCCTCGGCAGATGGAAAAAGTCATTAGTAGCGTATATCTCACGTCGACGTAAGCATTTCCTACCTACCTACCTATCTACCTAGGTACCTATCAAGGTGGATGTAAGGCACCACGATGATTCCATGCTCACTGATGGGCATTAGGCGTATACTGGGCGATAACTGTGTGGGGAGTTACCTTTATAATCCTTGTCACATTAGGGTTTGGCCTCGGTTTCGGCCCGGCGGGTGTAATAGCAGGTGAGATGAGGCCGTTTTCATTTATATTCTCTTCAATCTTGAAATCGACGGCAGAAGTGTCGCTAAGACTTGAGAAGGCTCCCTTGCCGCTGCTTTCCAATCGGCGATGTATGGTGGATTTACGCCGGCCGGAGGGCTCTTCGCAGCGCTGACGAGTCTTGCAATGCTGGGCACCTTTGCCCCCGCCCTGGTAGGATCTGCGGCAGCTCTTGCTCTGATCCTAGCAGTGGTTACTTTCTTCCTTGTTGAAGACTGATGGGAGGAATTTCGCGATAATAGGCACCTACCTAAGTAGGTAACCTAGCCTACCTAGGTAAATACCTGAGGTAGATTTACCCCCCACCTAGCCCCTAGGGGACCAAGGCGCTGGGCTTGAGAAAGAGGTGGGGGATAAGTTGGTTGAAGAGTGGGTTAGGTAGTAGTAGTTTGGATAGATTCGAGTAATGCGAGGGTTCAGATTATGTGCAGTCATTTTTGTATGATATTGTATGCAAGTGAAATGCTAGCGGACCGTAAGAGTTATATTCTCCTCGTTGCCTTTTGATCACTCGGCGCTTTTGGTCCATAGTTTCTCCTGCTTAACTTCATCCCGACTCTCCTCGGAGCTTTCGTCCTTCTCCAACAATTCGAAGTAGCCTCTCTCGCCGGGACATACGTGATCAAGCGCAAGCTCAATAGGATCCATGCCAGACTCAGCTCCTACGGGTTTGCCACGTACCGGATCAGGAGATGGAACGATCGGGGCGTGTTTTTGTCGAATACACGGGAATCAACAAGGCCGTCCTACGTGACTTATCAACAAGATGATATTGCAGATAATTCCAACATCATGAGGGTTCATACCTTTTCAAGGTATCTGTTAATTAGATAGTTTCATCCTCAAGCATGGCTTAATATTCTACGAGCGGTGGGGGCTGATGGGATAGTAGGATCACCACCGGCATGTGGCCATGTTACCTTTCCGCCAGCCCCTGTAAACAACATCCGCATCTTCAAAGCATGTCTAAACCGGGAACAATGAAAATACCATTTCTGAGGGTTCCACCGTATGGTCGAAAATCCATATGCCCCACGATTCTGGTCTACCGGGTTCGACAGAAACTTTATTTTCATACTTATGGACAATATTAGTGGATTGGAACTGGGAGTATCTAATATCAACCTAGTTAAGGAGACACGCCCTACGTATTAATCCCTCCCAACTCGCGTAAGATATGATCAGACCATTACCGCCATCTCAGTTGCCTCATGGTGACCCTTTACAGACGAGCTGCGCCGAGTTAGTACCCACCATAACGCAAGTGTTATAACTGTAAGTCCACCTCCAATGGCTACGTATACCCAGAAGTAGAATGTCAGTATGGGTTGGCTCTCCGTAGCCCCCCAGTTGAAGACTCCCATGGAGAAGATTGACTTGATATGTCAGTCCCTCGCTAATTTTATATTGAACAGAAGACTCACAGCAACCGAGGTTAATGGTAGGTATATCATAGTGACTATGGCGATTGAACGCATTTGCGCGTTATCTCGCTTCGTTTCGATGGATATTCGAGTATTAGTGAATGTTTGATGTCTTGCGACATGTCCCGATGCCTATCCAGTAGCCAGGTTAGCTTCATTACGCCCCTTATACCAGATTCGTATTCTCGTAAAGTTCCTATCCATGCTGCTAGGTCGCCTTACCATTTGTGTGGCGAAATTCAAACCATCGAGAACCATATGGCACTCATCAAGCTTTTCATCGTACTCGGCTTCAATCTCTGACAAACGCTCGCGGATCCGAGTATTGATATTTGATGCGATGAATGGCGGGTGGAGTTTGACTCCATCCTTCTTCTTCAGGCCTGATCTCCTATAGAGGCTCCTCTTTCTTTTTATATCGGTATATGTGGTCTCAAGCTCATCAATATGCTTGCACATGTCTGAGATCTGCCGTTTAATTTTTCGAATTCCCTTCGTCAACTCACTAGCGCTGTTGTAGAGACATAACAGGTCGTCGGTTGTCTCCCCGTCTCTATTTAAGATACTTTCGGGGTCCCTAGTAGTACAACATAGTGCTTCTGCGCTAGACATAAACGACACAAACGGGTCAAGGACCGAGTCTACTCGCTCTACGAGCCGCTTGCGGTCAAGTTCAATCAAGATACCAGGTGTCAGCACCGGGTGATATATGGCATCGCCGGCGTTTGATAAGCGCCTCTCAATATCGAAGGACTGCTCATCATTGCATCCGTAGAAAACTGACAAGTTAAGTTTCCTATGGCTCAAGTATGTTGAGGAGAGGGCAACATCATCCGACCATTCTGAACTAGTTCTCGCAGTATACACTTCTGAGATTAGTAATTCTCATTTCATTCGCAGAGATTCGATAGATTACCGATGTTGTTACATCCCACTGCCCCATGGTTGAGATGCGTACGGGAAAAGTATGTAATTTCCCGGCGAATCGTCCGAACTATTGAGCGGTGTATCCGGAATAATTCGATAAGTTGACTGAATTCAGGCTTTGAAATAGGAAGATACGACGGGGTCGAAAAGTCCAAGCTGCTGTTCCGACTAAAGATGCTGTATAGTACCAGGTATGTAAGCTCTGTTCAAGCTGCGTTCCTCTCCTGAGTCAACCTACACGGCAAACGTTCCATGCTCACAAGAACCATGGATCGAGGACTGGTTCTATAACAAGTATAGAGTAAGCTTAGGGATGCGGTAGGGTGCCTGGCTCCAAACCTTCTCGATCCATTCCCTCAAGTCTTCAGAAGATTTTATATTCCAGCATACGAGTTCCTAATGGTAAGGTAAGAGAAATGATAATTAGCAATTGCGATTACATCCTGTATTCATTTATGACTCGCAAACCTTGTCTGATCGAAGTTTCCTTGTAATTTTGAATGGACTGCTGAGATACTTGAAATTCCCAAAGTCGTTATTGTCAAAACAAGTATCAACATTCGGCCAATCCATACTTGTTATCTGCAATAAGCCTGTGGCTTGAAAGTTATTTCTTATCTATCATTAGACTTGGAGACACAATGCTGATCACCCCAGCACAGGGTGGAAATGGAGGATGAAAAGACAGATTGGGGCGGGACGGTGCCTGGGTATCAATATTTTGAGGTGGGATTGCATTTGCTCAGTACCTAACTGTGAGAGGTTCTACGTAGCAGATAGCAGAGCCTCATATAATTGACTCAATTATAGTCGGCATTTGCACAATTCGTTGAATTATGCTGTGGCGATATCATTAAGCGGCAAGCTGCATCTATAAGTTTGCTGGTTGGTGTGATGTCGCGTGAAACTTCCATGCTGTCGTGGAGTAATAAACAACCGCCCAATGAACTTCATCAACATGTTCAAATCAAGCCACCTGAACAACCCCTCACCAGAATGGTGCCTGAGGAGATAAAGGCGCATCATTAGGGAGAGGGTAGTATCGAAGTACCAGCACACCCTCTAAAGTCGACTTGACGACTTGAGCCTCAACAGGGAAAATGCCTATAAAAAGGTTATTAGCTGAAATGGGGAGCCCTTTACAACCATTAAAACAAGCATACGATTGCTAGCGCTTCTTTATTTGAATTATAATAACCAGAATTATCTCAATGCCTTCTCAACTCCTATCACAAAGGTCCAAGTACCCATCAGGTTGGGTCCAATCAGTTCTCCGATGCACGTACAATGACGGTGGAGAAGTCAGAAAAGGTCTCAATGAGTTACTCGGGGAAACAGGCTACATTCTGAAGGTGCGTATAGGTACCTAACCTAACCTAAACCATGATAAAGGTGTAATATAGTAGGCACTACAACTAATCCTGAGAAGCACCGCACTGGTAGATGGGTAGTCTGGGCGCCCAGGAAGCTCACTGACGTATGCAAGTCAACACCTCATATGGGAAAAAGGTTCTAATTACTTCAAGGTGGACGAAACCGAGCTTGAAAGAATTGCACACGTGCACTACTAAACTCCCCTATCGATACTTCAGCATTCCTGAGAGGGATCTAGTGTGTCGAGACTTTACTTTGATGACCACTACACGAAGGAGAAAGATGATGAATCTCATAGGCTTGAAATACACCTGCAATATTCCATATATCTATTAGGGCATTATACTTTTGATGAAATCTATGATCGTCGTGAAACTCGTTATTCTAAGGGTACCTAGGCTAGGTGCCTCCTATTGTATCTTCTCATCCTTCGTGCTCGATAAGTTTGAAGAAGAAACTGATGAGTACAAAACCCCAACTCGTGATCGCCAAGATACAGTAATTAAACGTAGTCAACATAAGCTCCCTTTCTAACCTCTTTTTTTTCTAACCACAAACTCCAATTCATTACAATAGCCTTCCACCTTCCACTGTTTTTAAATGAATGTTATATGCTTAGGCCCATCCATGGGTACCTAACATATGGCATGACTTCCTCATTATCTCCTCCTTGATTGCTGGGCATGCCTTTCGATGATATAACCATCCCCATGGCACTTCGTAAGGATGATATCCAGCTTCACCGCAATCTCGGCCGCTGTGCACCGCTTTCCACACTCAATAAGTAGCATATGATTCTCAATCAAGTCGAGGAATTCTCGAAAATACTGGGAGCACTTCGGGTTCCTGCGAAGTTCAGAGATCCATTCTCGGACACCTGGTTTGATCTCAGCCGACTTTCCATTGCAAGTCGCTCGGTAGAATTTATCTTCGCTAACCCCTGGAAGGTTTCGGTCGTCTTCTCCTCGGCAGCTAGGGAAATCTTCTTCCACGGCCTCAAATCCCAAGATGTAGCAAGTAATGAATTCCATGTACATCCGAGGGCCCAAATATCAGATTTTCTAGATATTTTTGCCCCTGTGATGTCAAACTCTGGAGCTTGATACGTCAGTGTTTTCTTGAGTTTGCTAGCCGTCTGAGCAGATATCGATATGGCGCGGTGGAATCTCATTAAACCAAAGTCTGATAGAACTAAACACCATCCAGAAGGACCTGACGCGCCCGGTTTGGAAAACCAAAGTATGTTGCTGGCCTTTATATCACCATGGCGTCCATATATAGGATAGTCTTCGCCCTTATTTGTATCTTGGTCTTGGTGTAGCATGGACAAAGCCCTCGCAATGCCAAGACATTGCTCCGCTACCCAACGTATCATGGACACTCTGTCAGGATTCCTGACCAACTGGGTTTTCCAGAAGTGCCGGAGATCGCCGTTGGCCTTTGGGAACAGTAGGTAGTACTTCCCTGCTTCGCTCTCTTTCTCGATCGTAGCAAGCAGTGGAATTAGGTGCTCTTCGATGCTGTAGTTGTGTTTTCTGAGGGCATCAACCTCCGATTTGAAGTCTGTATAGTTCTTAGACTTCAACCGTTTAAGAGCGAACAAGTGTGAACTGTCGTTAAACTTTCTAGACTTTAGTATACAGCTTATGATAGTTTAGGTAGATCCCCTCAGCAAAACGTACAGATTGATTACGGAACTGATAATGAGACGGGTGTATTTTGACAATGAAAACATCGCCAAAACCCCCTTGTAAAACCGCTTCTTTTACATCTGGGTCTAGCGACTCCACCTCAGGCTCGAGATGATCCTTCTTTTCCGTAAAAGGTAAGACATCTGAAGCTTCAAGGACGTAGTGAGGGATGACATTGTCTGGCCGGTAGAAGAAAGGCGCGATAGTCCACCATTGGTAATTGGCAAAATTATCTAGACTCCCTTGTTTCCATTCTTTTCGGTCCTGGAAGAGGTACTGCAAATTCTCTCTGTTGATTTGACGGCCCTTATTATCTTGCGAAATCTTTATGTTGTTTTCATGTCGCTCCACCGTAGGTAGAGGGAGATAAGAGTCATCGATGTGTTGGCTGATGAACTTGCCGATGGATCTAGCCTTTTCGCATAGTACCAAAATAGCAAATATCCGAAAGAATTCACTTCCATCAGGTTGAATCGTGCAAATCGATTCTACCCATCTGGAAATCTCATCTCGTGGAGCATCATCTTCCTGGAGCGCTTGTTTGACGAGCCCGCGGTTCTTGGCTAGTTCAAGCTTGTCGAAAGGTATGAATAAGGTGCTATTATTGTTGGTGTGTATCCTGTTGTCTCGCAAGGTGGTATATAGCTGGTTGGTCTTGTACTCGCGCACTCCATTTGAAGCGCCTGCACTTGCACTGCGTTTCAAGGAGTTCTTTCGAAACTGGTGGCCGCGGTCGAGACATTTTACATGTGCATTTGCATTTTCTTTTGGGGATTGGCAACCTTGGGTCATCTACATTTGCATGTAGTGTTAGCGTTCTATAGACCAGAAAGAAAAAGACAAATGAATCTGGCAAAGTGACTACCTAAGCTTACCTTTAATAGAGTTGGTAATAGATACCGGATAGTGATCACGGATACCAAGTATATATAAAAAGCGAAAGTAAATGATGATTTAGTTATCGATTGTTTCTAAGATTTTAAACTGTCCATTACCAGACGTTAAAAGTGGGAGCTTGGTGTGATTTATGACCATGAATATTAAGAGATCTTTGCTGCTGATCTCTTGAGATACCTAACCAGTATTTATAGACACAATTTTGAGCAGGAGGCAGCCAAAGAAGTTGAAATCTAATACAAGATTTAGGCAACGTCTGCGCAGGCAACAGCACCTCAAGGTGAGGTATTGTCCGCCTTATGCAAACTACAGCTATAAGCCTCAAATCGACACTTTCATCCAGCCTTACACCCTCCCAGTCTTCTCACCGATATATCCTGTAACCTTGCGACCTTTCTTTAGGCGAGCTATAGCAGTTTGAAGCTGGGTATGTTTTAGGATATACCCCTATTCGTCTTATAAAAACATATTCTCCTACCAGTCAGAAAGGAATAGTTTTCTATCAAATCGTCCGTATAACATGGGAACCGAAAAGAGTTAAGCTTGTTGTTATCCTGTAACTTTTATCAAAGGCGTGAAGCGCTCGAATATCCACAAGGGGAATATTGATTTGTCCTACACACCAAGGTCAATATATGTGGTGAGGCATACTTTAACCGAAGTAGATATCCGATACTACGCCATGCCGCAAGGATGCTCCCACATTTACGGAAGTGAAGGGTTCTTTCGGTTCTAATGCTGAGTGAGAAATAAGCAAGGCTGGGCACGATATAGGTACCCTGATTGCTCAACACAAGATTCATACCTTAAAAAGATAGTGCCTATAGTATTGAAGAGTCTTTGACAGAATAGTGTTATCATATACCTAGACATATATACTCCGGCATCACACATATATGGTCATTAAATGTGGTGAGCTCACCGACATACCAGCAGAACACCTAAGTACAGGTAGGTTAGGTACCGGAGCCTACGTGCTTAACCGACGTGCCAAGCCCTCATTAGCTCTCAACAAAGCTGATCGTTACACGACATTAAATTGATGCAATCAAGCCATCTTGTCTTTTATGAAAATGCGAAGGCTTGTAATAATTCGCCCGATGAGTAAATAAGGCTTTGGGCGACTTTGACCACGATTCATTTCTAGGAGCCAGTAGGCTACCTAGATTGGCGGGGATAACAAAGGCTCTGTTTTACTCTATGTTAGGTTGACTCGGAAAATATATGAGGTATAGTGTAAAAATTTATTTATTTTTAGCACCGTTCGTTAGGTCCTCTGGGTGGACCAGTAAAAAATATGATTTCTGTTTACCATGGGATAGGATAGGTAGGTAGGTAGGTGTATGATATCCGCCTATGGTTGCACTAACTTCCTACTATCGGACATCAGCAGGCATACGGCGCCGCTCTACCGCACTACCTTATATATATAGGTAGGCAGGTACCTACTTGGTCTGTAGAAGTATTCAAATATTCATTCATCTTCATCAAACTCTGCATGCTTTGATCCAGAAAGAGCCCGTCTCACTTAATGTTTCCTTGTTATATCTTTCACGAAGAAAAGAAATGTCTTCTCTCTCATCTTCTTCAAGCCTTATACCTAAACCTAATTGGGAGCATACGAAAGGACTGTACGAAAGCACATTGAAAGCAACGGATCCTACATCATCATGTCCAGTGGAATATAGAATCCCCGGCTACCTTGTGAACCCAGAGCATCTCGTTAAATTATTACAAGAGAAATTCAAAGGCGACTACAAAGTTAAGGTAGCTCTCTAATGCTTTCCTATTACTTAGAACCGAGGCTAACTTGGCGAGAAGCTTCGGAATGACAACTATTTCATATCCACCCCGGAACGGCTCACAAAGGTATGAAAACATTCAGAAGTCATTTGAAAGGCAAGGATTCAATCTGACCGATTAGCACGACCTGGTCCGCTGTAACTGAGTTTCGGAACCCCTTCATACATCAGGCATGTAATTCTAAGTATGAACTTAATCTTTGTATGCGGCTGATACAGGGTCAACGATGGAAAGCGGTTTATGAAATGCTTATCAGATCTGGCTATACTAGTTAGTAGGTACCTATTGTATAACGTGTTATGGTTAATTTCAATGAGTGGCTCATATCTTCAATAACCTGTGTTGTGCCTTGTTTTTCTCTCCCCCCCCGCAGCTTTCAGTATTACTCGGCATAAGCAGCTTTATGCAGGCATTAGGGTTTATATCCTGCACGCACCTTAGGTAATGATAACCGAGATAGATTACATCTCACCTATATATCTCCCTGGGTATAGGAGGTAGGTGGGTAGGCACTTAATAAGCCCTCAATTCTTTCATTTTGATAAGCACTAATATTTATAGCTCCACGGGTCCTTACGTCTTCAATAGCGGTGGAATTAATGGAGTCGTTTTCTATATTCTTGTTCAAGGTCTCCAGGTAAATTGTCAGGGGTATGAGACACTAGGACGTATTGGGAGATGGACTCACTAGGATAGTAGTATAAGGAGGCCTTTTTGTAGTCTCTCAACTTAATTGTCTGTAGATTCCGGCGATTCCGTCGCTTTATTGTGATGAATTGCTTCGAGAGAATACTGATGAGAGATGCTATTTAGACTTGACTGACAAATTTTAGTATGAGACCCCGGGCTAATCTTAAACTACCGAGTTCTTTAAGGATGCTATCAAGGTATCCGGAGGAGCGGTTAGTGACAAACTAGAAATCCTTTAGTGCTTTTAGATTTTTCATTACTTTTTATATTTCTGATTATGCCCATGATAGATGTCGTATGCAGAGCGAGTGCCAGGGGCTAGTATGCACTCTATTGTCGATATCTAGAAACGCCTAGCCTTCCAACCTTCCTCCGGGGGCTGGCGACTCTTTATATACCTGACAGTAGAGCCCTGTACTAGCCAGTATTCCTGTTGTATCATCTGTATCTGACTTAACCTTCTTTGAACTCAGCCCTTCCCGCTTTACTATTAAGATACTCGTTTCTATAGCTCATGTTACTCTATGTATTAACATTGAACTTCCTTCGTCGCAGACATACCTCTTGTTAGCCCAATCCATAGCGTAATACGCAGCGAGGAGGGGCGGCGCCCAGTATAACACTTGAGAGGTGAACCGACGCCAGGTATTGAACACAGCGTCGTGAAAAGCACCCGCAAAGATCTTCTGGCGATTTGGGCTAATAGTATATGTGATTATGCCTTTCTGGCGTATAATACAACCTATATTTATATCAGTCAATCTGTCTAATATACCTACCTCCCGTCTAACTGCAGTGGAGCCAGATCAACCAGATGAGTGATATCATACCAAGATTACCCCATGTATCTTTGTTTAAGAAACTATACAAATTGGGAAGCAGTTAATTAGGTGTTTTCCCGTTGAAGGGTCGGGGTATAGTTGATGATATAGAGGAACGGAAGATGTTTCTTAACTTACTGGCCATATTTGCCAATAGGGATCTCGCTGCTTCGAAGTATCTGTGATGGACGCATCACGCTGGTGTTGGAATAGTCTCACGTAATGTATATCTACCTAGGCGGCCTTACAGCGAGGTCAGGTTTAAGAGATAAAATTGATGGCGTTGATGGAAAGTCTTAGGTGGGTAAACAACAGAGTTTCAACAGTTTTGCAAGTCAAAGTTGAAACGTTTAAGAGCTTCATTATCTCGACGACCGTCCCTGATGAGAAGGAGTCGGGGAGGCGGGCAAAACGTCAGTCCGAGGTTCAGATCATGTCATTGGATATTATCAACCTAGGTAGCTAGGAGGTAGGCATGTATGCAGACTGCTTACATTGCGGGGCACCCCGGGTCCTCATTTATTACTGGATCATTACGAAGTAATTACAACTTCACTTAGTAGATTGGTAGCAGCGTCTTCTGATGCTCTCCGTAGGTTAGGTATGCACCTACAATATTGCAAGGAAGACCTTGTCAAGTTAGCTATTCGTACAAAAAACCTTAGGTTCGGTTGCTCAACTGTCTTTGCATACCTAAACCAGTTGAGTATATCGTATAGTTACTACATATTAGAGACGTGGGAATGTAAGTTCTTGGCAAGTTCGTGGTGATCCGAGTAAGGTTTGGTTGAAGGAGTCTCTAACCATACTCAATTCATCATAGCTCGTTTATCTTGATAAGCCTGATGTATCAAATCTGCCTCGCAAAGCACCTAATTACGACACTTTTATGTAGGCTTAAGAAGTGCCTAATAATTCATTCCAATAACATGAGATTCCGAACCAGCCATGTATAAGCTCTACTTAAACCAGGCAGATAATAGCATGGCGCGTGGCAAAGTGATCTATTCCATCGTGCTGTATCCATACAGAGAGATTATATAAATGGCGACTGTAATCTAATTAAAGAAATATTTTATGAGCTGGTGCGTGTCATCGTCGTTGAAATGTGTAGCCGACAGACATACATGTACATAGGTACCTGTAACTGCGCCTTCACGCTATGTACACCGTTTTAATGACCTATTTATTACTGTGAGGAATACTGTGTGGTGCAGGCTGTCCATTAAAAACATGTATCTAGGTACCTGAGATACCAGGGTACCAGTAGGCTTGTATTTCGTACCCTTGAATGGAGCTGAGGTCTTTAATTAAAAAAAAAAAAAAAAAAAAAAAAAAAAAACTTTCAACTTGTCAAGAATTCCTATATATAATTATCTCCAGTTGTTAGGCCACCAACTTCGATGGAACCGGATACTGCTGGGTTCTTTGAAGAACCGGCCGATTATTATCCTCCATCACCGCCTCCAACCTCCCAGGTTTATACGCTGCAGACAGGGGAGAAAATCACACTTCACCTTGTAGGTCACAGCCCCTTGGAAGCCCACCATCTCTGGAATGGCAGTCGTATTATATCCAAGTACTTCGAGTCCCATGTATCCGAAGTTAAAGGCCGAGCTGTGCTTGAGCTCGGAGCCGGTGCCGGACTTCCTAGCATTGTGAGCGCCATCCTGGGGGCCGAAAGGGTCGTGGTCACCGACTACCCCGATCCGGATCTGGTCGTCAACATGAAGAAAAACATACTAGGCTGCGAACTTATACCTGTAGTAGACGGCCAGCCTGACAACTCTCCAATTGTTGCCGACGGCTACGTCTGGGGAGCTGATGCGACTCATCTACTCTCGCATCTAGAGCCGGTTAGGAGGGACAAATTTGATGTGCTTATCCTAGCCGATTTACTCTTCAGACATTCCGAACATGGAAATATGATATCAACAATCGAGGCGACGATGAGCCGAAAGAAGGATAGTACGGCCTTCGTCTGCTTCACAAGTTACCGGCCATGGCTGCAGCACAAAGATCTCGCATTCTTCGACCTTGCGCGAGAGAAAGGGTTTCTAGTCGAGAAGATCCTAGAGGAGAAGATGGACAAGGCTATGTTCGAAAATGACCCAGGCGACGAGGATGTTCGGAAGACGGTTACAGGATTCACTTTACGCTGGCCTGATGAAAAGTGCATATAGATTGCCCCGGGCGCAGTTTGTTTGACTTGTGCTAATTTTTCATCAATGCCCTCCCCGCACTTCTCCGGATTCAATCCAAACGATGAGAGAGAAATATGCGCAGCATCTCGTCTGACACGCAGTTGTGCGCCGCCCTTCTTCATTCGACCGCAAGTCATCGCACATACAGACAGCTACACAAACAGCTAAAATGAAATGAGGTAAACTGCACCATCCATTCTCCCAACAGCATGTGACCAGAAACGAACGAGCGCTCAATAGTGCAGATCCTACCGTGGCGGCTGTAGAACTTATATTAGGGCTATGATGCTTCCGTCTTCTATTGGGCAAAATATAGCGCGAGACACCAAAAGCCAATTGCGTCTAACAAGTACGCCTTATCTCGGGCGCTCTTCATACATATTGTTCGTGTTCCTCGTCCTTTTCCGCCTCCTTTAGAGAGGTAGTGTTGGGTGGATCTACGAGGCGGTGCATGCAAGTGTTGATTATGTCGCCCCCAAAACCTACCACATCCGATTCTTCTGGTAACGGTTCCTAGTCAGCTTTCCTACTGGCCCTAATTTTCCTTGTTATCGTTGTTATTAATTTCAATATGGCGTCTTAAATGAGTAGATACCAGCGTGATTACTACTTGCAGCTGCGATATCGCCAAGTAATGAGCCAAGTAGCCTCAAAAGGGTATTGAGGCACACTTTTGAGGAGTAAAGCTCATAAAAATGCAATCCGGAAATAACTGACGTTCAGTGACCATCAGCTAAGTATGGAAATATTGGCTGGGCTGCATGTGGTGCGGGTTGCAGTTACAGTAAGGCATAGCCTCATTCCGATTACAGACAATAATCGAACCAAAGTACCAACCAGACCTCCATATCTGGATCGGTATTTCCTCTTCTTGAAACATAACTTGGATTCGTGTCTTCCGTTCCTACGGGGAACAACTGATATTATTGGGTCCGTATTGGCCGAAAGTTTGTCGAGAACACCTAGCCCCTATCATCAACCACTATGGAATGGCCGTCTCCAAAGTGGGCACCATCGAGATGGACGATATCGAGATGGCTTCTCCTCACAAGATTATTACAAGTGTCATGCACCCTCGTAACTGCTGTGATGAACGGGTTCCTTCTAGCCTATATCCACAGGAACCGGCTCGGCGTTACGACAAGCATGTTTTGTTTAGAGATGATGGTTCGTCTTGCTACCTTGTCTATCTGCTCTCAACCTTCTGTGAACTATGAACTTACCGCTATCCAGATATGTATCGCACTCATTTATTCTGGCCTAGTACTATCAATACAACACTCTGGTAACCAACGGAGAAGATCGAGCACAATATTGGCCACCATCTTCGTTGCTGGCGATGTACTACTCACTGGGATCATGATCGCCATCATATCAGTGCTCTCTCGCACGGGGCTGCCGACGGACTGCCATGGATTGACCCGAGACGATATGGAAAAAGGCGATGCCCCTGACAACCCTCCCCCAGAATATGATACAAGATTTGGCGATGGGGATGATATAAAAGGACTGCTTGATAAATACTGTTCTCTAGAGCAGAGCTTCTATTCCATCGCCATAGCCCTAGTGTACGAGAATCATTAGTCCCCATACATGTACATCCATCTACTAATAATGTCAGATTTACTTACATGCTAACGATAACACTGGGAGCGTTGCGGATCTTTGAGCAGCGTTGGAACCAGCGCCAGAAAGATCGCCTATTTCCATCGACAGACGATATTTATCAACCTGACCATCTAGGACCAGAGATTCAAAGCACTAATGCTGAGAGAGACCCTGATGACGCCGTGCGATCTAGAGAAAGGGTCTTGACGCCAACAGCTAGGGCGAACCCTATAATACAAACTGTTAATGTCGAGTCCTCTAGCGAAATACATGGGGATCGTGCATTCAACGACCAAAGACGGACACAGCCACTCCCTGTCTCTCCTGTGTCCATTGCTTCTCGAATATCTCAAGTGTCTCCCATTTCACCCGTTATGCACCAGCATGGATTATTCCATATGGCCTCACAAGACATGCCGGACATGTCCGCGGGAAATTCAATGATGAGCCACTCTTCGGATCTCGCAGCTGAAGCTATGGTGATAGACGGGTACCGATATACAGTTCAGCCAAGGATTCCGCCACTACCCGCTTACTCACCAAGTTCGTCGGGGGGTCGGTTTATGGATGGACACGGTAATGAGTCAAACGAGATGCGTTTGAGCGACTACGTCAAAGGTGAGACGCGGGCACAAAACATGAAGGACTCGGGATTGGGCATGTAAGAGATACGTATATTAGGATGTACCTATATTTCATATCTGGCGGCATATGTTGGCGGGATGATTGATTAACCATTGGTTTCCAATTCATGAGCGACGGCGTCGGAGGTTACTCAGTTGTCAGTTTTACGAAAAGTCTTCTTGCTTTGTCGATAGATCCTCTGGTAGACTATCATCTAGTATATCTTCAATTCAATGAAAAACACCCCTCAGGAAAATATAGTAATGAACCATCCCAATTTCGTATAGTTTACCTGTTAACATCTTCGCTTCACGACGGCACATTGCCGCTATTTACATTCTATTCCCCACTTAGCTACCCCAAGCCAAGTGCCCGAGCCAGGGGAAGCTCGGAATGATGCCGATAGAGCGCAACGTTGTATGTTAGTGGAGGCAAAGGTTTCTTTGACGATTCAACCCCGCAATACCATGAGATCATCTCCACCGCCACCTGTACCTATCATCAGACCATCTATTTTCACAAGCAAAGATCAGCATCTCTACTCCAAGCTGTCGATCACGTAGCCTTATCCCGAGCAATTAACTGTAAAAGGAATTAGCTCGGCTCTATCACGGACCTTGACCATACTCTCCGTCTAACCTACCCTAAGCGGCAACAAAGACGTTACCACGAGAACATACAGAGTATTGAATTAAAGCTAAGACTACCTGTAACCTAACTTTACCTAAGGTAGTCAGACTTATTGTTACTCAAGGCGACGTTACGCAATTCAATCTAGGTCACACTTCCAGTTGCGCCCTGCTCGTACCTCGGAGTCAGTCAGGTAACAAGATCACGAGTCCACCGAGCTCCCGCATACCCGCCTCTAAGTTAGGTTAGGTACCTACAGGTATCAAGCAAGCAAGCAAGCAAGCAAGCAAATTTGCTCCTTTACCTAACCTACCTTACCTTACCAGGTACCTTACATCCCTAGGTAGCCTGTCCACAATGCCCACCTCCACACTACGCACCCAGCTAGACAGGGACGGCTTCGTGGTCCTCCGTTCGCTCCTCGCCCCGGCGCAAGTCGCGCAGCAGCGCGCGGCCGCCGAGCGCGCGCGCGCCCTCGCGCTGTCCGGGTCCTGGCCCCACGTGCGCACCGTCGGCAAGCAGTTCCCGCCCTGGACCTGGCAGCCGGGCGTCGGCATCTGGGGCGTCCAGCACCTGCTGAACCCGCGGCTGCCGGACGCGCCCACGTTCGCCGCGAGCTACTTCGGCGACGAGGTGTTGGGCGTGGCCAAGGAGCTGCTAGGTAGCGGACCTAATGGCAATGGCAATGGGGATGGGGATGGGGGTGCGGGTGCTTGTTCGGACGACGAGCTCGTCATGGAACTGTATAACCTGCTCGTCCGGCCGTCCGACGGCTCGGACTTCCAGCTGCGCTGGCACCGCGACGACATCCCCGGGGACGCGAGCGCGGCGCAGGAGCTCGCGCGCCTACGCGAGCCGGCGTGGCACGCGCAGTGGAACCTAGCGCTGTGCGACGGCGACGAGAGCCTGGTGGTGGTGCCGGGGTCGCACGCGCGGCCGCGGACCGAGCGGGAGCGCGCGGCGGACCCGTTCGACGCCGACATGCCGGGCCAGCTCGTGGTGAAGCTGGACGCCGGCGACGTCGTGTTTTATAATAATAATATACTCCACAGGGGGCGGTACGATGGGAGTCGCGAGAGGCTGAGCCTGCATGGGTCCGTGGGACATGTGGCTGGGGGGAAGTTGAGGGCTAGGAATGTGCTGCAGCATGCGGTTGGCAGCGTGAGTGTACCCTTTTTCATATTTCGTGGCCCTTTTTTGTATCGTCCTTCTTCTGTTGACTACTATGGCCATGTCTCTTTTTTTTTTTTTTTTTTTTATCCAGGCCAAATTCAAATCAACAAAACGAGGTGTAAGGTAGCTAACACAATACGGTGTAGTGGGTAGATAAATGTGACTTCAGCAATCTAGGTGAGAAGCAAAGAGCAAGAGCAGAAGGGATGCGGGCGCGATTAGTCAAGTTAGGAAGCGAAAGCGGCGACGTGGGATATTCCCTAGATGAATGATGATGTTGATGATGATGATAATGACTCAAGCTATTTATTTCCAACAAGCCTATCAAAAATGTCCTAATAAGAATAATTTAGGCTCAACTAATTCCACCTAATATATACATGAAGAAGGTATTCACAAAAATTCAAAGGATATACACTGAAACGTATGCAAGCCTGCTCATGCAACCTATGATGTATCCTGCAGGTATCAAATTGTACCTGTCAAAAGTTGGGTATCCCCGTGGGAATAATTTTCTTTCGCTCCCTGGCGAAGCCCCTCTTGCGCAAGATAGCTGTTCAGAATGTCTCGGCTTCTAACCGGTCCTGAACAACATGATGTTTGCGGGGAACACGTTCACGTTGTCTTGCCATTTGGCTAAGCTCTTACCATCCCGGTCGATCATGCTAAGAGAACCGATCGTGTTAAGAGCGTATACGTTAATGTTGCTAGTAGCGCCTTCGAGCGAGACGATTCGCGACTGGCAGTTCTCGCCTGCCTCAACTGTAGAGCAATCTATAGCAGTACCGAGTTAGTCTTCCTTCTTTCTCTTGCTGTGAAAGAGTAAAATCAAAGCTGAATCCAAACTTACCAGTGCTGTAGTTGTTGAAGAATGAGTAATGACCGGCGCCGTAGATGAAGATGTCCGTCGAATCAACGATTCGAAGACCCCATGCATTAGCACAGTTTCCTCCAACACCTGCACATGACGCTTCGAAATCGGGGTCGTGGAGAGCTGCGACTACGGGGAAGGGCTTGGTCGCATCGGGTAGAGGCTGATAGTATCTGGGAAAGTGTAAGTGTGGATCACTACCAAAATCTGGGGTTTAACTTACGGCGTCTCGGTCTGGAGCATGCTGGCAAAGATGTTCTTGGTTCCAACAAACTGGTAGTTGTAGAGGTTGTTGTGCTCGACAGCCGTGCCGAGGAGCCAGAAGTTGCCGACGGTCGACTCGATCACTACCTGCTGTTAGTCATCTGTGAAAACCGGAGAGAGTAGGTTCTGCTTACAAAGACCCCTGCCGGAGTAGATGGTGATTTGCGTGTTTTTGGAGTCCTCAATGTCATGATCGGCTGCCCACAGCCATGTGTTCTCCATGTACAGGTTGGAGGCTTTCGGTGTAACGTGCATCATCATGTACGCGCCGATACATTTGGGGTCAATGTTGGTGGAACCAGGCTGCTTAAGGCATTGTGCGACTTGGAAGTCCGAGCCAGTAAATCCGCCAACTCTCGCGTGAACATCCCACATGCCACTCGGAGTATCCCCTGAAGCCAGGTTCCACTCGATGAGGATGGCTCCAGGAGCAGGTCCTTGGTTTCCAACGACAAAGTCCGACAACTCCACTTGTCCAGCGTCGCCTGACTTAGCACCGACTTGTAGCACAGGCTTCGGGTTGCTCATGTCACCGAAAGCCTGACCATTGGCTACAATGATTGGGTAGCCTTCTCCAATGATCTTCGAGCCCGCAGGGATGCTTAGGGTTGAAGTAACCTTGTAGACACCGTGGTCAAGGAAGAGAACTTTTCCGGCGGAAGCTGCGCTGTTAATTGCAGACTGTAGTGCTGCGGTCTTGTATTTTGTTAGGCAACCAAGCATCATTATTGTCAGGACAAGGGCAAACTTACATCATCAGTCGCAGCGTCACCCTTAGCTCCGGAGCTTCGAGCGCTGACGATATCGGACGCGGAAAGATCCTCATACTGTGGCTTCGATCGGCCGTAGTAAGCACCGTTGCGAACGAGAGACTCGGGCCTCTTGTTGGGCGTTATGGTTTTTTGGAAGGCACTAGGTCCATCGGGTGTGTACTGGTGTCCCTGTCCCCATGCTTCAACCGTTAAAGAGCCTCCTTCAAGTAGAGTGCCACCCGGGCCCTTGACTGCAACAGGGACATTCTGTAGCTTGACATTCTCGAGGATGATGCTAGCGGCGGTGTCCGGCTTAGCACCAGATTCGTAAGCCGTGGTAATACCAACAGGAGTGTCCTTGAAAGTACTGTCAATGACGGTGATCGAACCAGTTGAAAGCGCCTCAGCACCACCAGCTGTGATGTCAATTCCCTTCTGGCAGTTGTTGATTTGAAGTCCAATGTAGGTCCAACCCCAGTTCCATAGTTGGATGATAGCTAGAAGGTTGATGGTCAATACATAAAGTTTCCATACCTCCTAATTGCAATACGACAACATACCTGTTTGACAGTTGTTGAACACTAGGTTCCTCATGGTGTATTGCTGGTTGCCCAGAGATGCACCCGTTGCGCCACCATTGAACGTTAAATCGCTCATGAAACCACCGGAGCCTATAAGAATTAGTCGAGGATTACTGAGGCTTGATTAGATCTATCAAGACCTACCACTCTCAATGAAAAGTCCGACGTGAACGACACTGGGGTCTGTAGGCATGTTGAATTCGACATTGATAAGACTGGTCGCTTGCGAGGTAGGCCAATGGATACCAGTGGCCGCGGTTGCTGGCGCAATGGCCGTGGTATCAAAAACAAAATTGCGGATTTGACGGTAGAACACGTTCGTTGAGACCCAGTTCAAGTTCTCTCCGTAGTATGGATTGCCATCGATTAGACCAAAACCTTGGAAGTTGGGGGTAGCTTTAATGACTGGTCGGTCCTTCGGGTCACCGACCATCTGAGTAAAGTAAGGGGGGACAATAGACTTGGAGATTATATAAGTTCCGGACGGGAAGTAAACGACTGCCGGAGTCGTTGTGGTGGAAGCCTAATGGTATCGAAACCGTCAGCAATCTCAATATACATGGGAGTAAATTTCCCAATAGAGCATCACTTACACATCCTTGTAAACACCTGTTATCGGGTGTGTTCATTGCTGCCGTAATGGCAGCAGTGTCGTCTGTTGATCCATCACCCTTCGCACCAAAGTCCTTCACGTTACGAAACACTGTATATCCAGCACCTCCAAAGGGTGCAACACCTTGATCTATCCAAACGTTAGTCGAAACTCCGTTGGCTTAGTACTAAGAACACTCTTACGTTGTATGTCTTGAAGCCAGTAAGCATTTACGCTCGCGGCGAGACCGAGAGCGGCCGAAAGAAAGGTTTGAAAGCGCATATTGCAAGCTGAGTGGTAAAGACAGGCACAGCGAAGCGAGATGCAAGATAGATAAAAGTCCCAACTTGGGGACGGGTGAGAAGGGAACTTATAAAGAGAAGGAAAAAAAAACGAGAAGGTAAAAGTTGAACCGTTGTCACAAGTGTTGAGCTACCACAGCTGGCTGGGTCATGCCTTAAAGTTAAATGGCAAGGTTGGCGCCGCAAAGGTAACGTGAACCACCCGGTTGAGTAGGATCAAGCAAAACTAAAGACATAAAATAGACAAAGCTAAGCGGACAAACCCCTGGGCCTCTTTGGCAGCCCCTTGTTGAACCAGTGAACTGGGTTGATTTGGCCAAATGCGACAGCCACGAGCAAGGTTGCAGACTACGTAGGCGAAAGGGGGTTTGGCCACTCAGATAGAGTATATTGAGCACCTACTTGTTAAACTCCACTATAGTACCAAGACATGACATTCCTGGAGGAAACGATCCAGCGAAGTAGCATTGTGGCGACGGAGGTCATAGAGATCTAAAACTACCTAGGCGCGGAGGTTATGCCTTGACCAGCACACGGAGCATAACAAGACTCTGTCCAAAGTATACCTACCTAACCTAACCTAAGGTAGGATATAAGGTTGTGGGGCCGTATGCATCTAAGGTCATCCTTTCATTGCGGCAAGCTCTCAGAACCAGCAGAACTACTAGAACGAGAATAATGCTCCTAATGCTCCTAATGATCCAGGGTCAGGCTTTGCTGCGGCTTTAAGGGCTCCTACTCAAAGTGGAATCGTCCATTCAGGTACCATGCGAGATGTGATAGGTAGGATGGAGGAGCCGACAGGAGATTGGATAGCGCTGGCCATCCTAAATTAGATGGAGTGTTCCATGTAAAGGTGGTTGTTTCAACCATGTGACGTTGGAGCCGCGAGACATTCCAGGCCACATGTAAGTCATCGACTTAGACTAGGACCTGCCAAGGGGGTATCTGGGGGCCATCTGACGCGGATTTGCGCTACAAACCCAAAGCCCTGGGATTTTAGGAATAGCCACTATCGGATGATAGTTTTTTTTTTTTTCTCCTTCCTATTTTTCCTTTGTCTTGTCGCACTGCTTGTAAAGCCCAAGCCATACCATAAGTCATAAAACTAGTTGTATACCTAGTAGTAAATGTCAGGTTACCACTGCGTTGCATTGCATTCTGTTCACGGCATAACGTTGAAATCGCTGATCCCCACCGCTAGGGTTTTTTTCATCTCATCTCGGTGACAACAAAGAGAGCTAAGCAATGCGATTAAATGCTATTAGGAAAGAAGATGACGAGAAAATAGACATATGTACCACTGTAGGTGGAAAAGCTAATCGGAATCCAGGTAAAAAATCCAGGGGACGGCCCGATTGGGTTTCGATCAATGGAAACATGTTAAAATAAATGGAAGGTGGTGAAAGGGTGAAAGGCGAAACCTGGGGGAGGCCGGGGGTTTTCCAAGGTTCTATAGATTCTATGCTTAAAAATATCCTTGGAATGTTTCAAAAACATGACTTAAAAAAGCAAGGACACGCTACCTTAGGTACCTAGGTACCTAGATGCTAGAGGGTCCAAGCGCCCTGGCGAATGCGCTCAGAGGGTTAGCCAGGGCGCTTGGACGCAGAACAGTGATCAATAATAAAACGGACTGTAGATAATGCACTGTACGTCTTTTCCTCGGTTTAATCTCTTCTCTTGTTCATCATTTTCCTTTTTAATACACCGTTGTCTATTCTACATCTTCTTCATCTCCAACACCTCGAAAGAATCATTTACCTACCTATATTAGCTCCCTTATACATATATAAAGAATATCATGCGCTTACCCCTTACGTGAGCTCACATCTATCGGATTTATGGTCAAGAGATTGGCCTGACTTACGCTAACTCGGCGAAAGCACGTCTTGTCAACTTAACTTTAACTCGACATGATCTTACAGATACTCTGATTATTTCTACCCTAACCCATGAAAAGGTCGATCACCCGCACGCCCCTCTCCTTCAAAGGGGAACTTGCTATAAACGAAGCTTTCCCCTCCTTTGAAACCTGGAATTAAGCTTCATTTTTATCCCCATCGGGGCCCATCGGGTATCTTGGCGGTAAGGCTTGAGTCTTCCGTCCCCTCAAAGACCATCTGCCGAGGCCTCATTCCGCTCACTTTCCTGATTCGCTTTCATATGACATATATAACCCAATAAACAAAGCGTAAAATGATATCTTAACAACTGGAACTTAAGCTATCGCACGAAATTTCACGAGCTATACTCCATTTTAGCCTACCTATAGGATTCGCTGATGTATTATCATGGGATCTTGTCATGAGGTGTCAGGCCCACCGAGCCCGGATGCGCCAAGAGGTGAGTAGTGATGGGAGTATCTCAGCCACTGACGACGACGATGGCTTCAGTTATGGATCTTTACGCTCTGGTACCTACATAGTACCTCAGTTCCCCCAACCTTTTCAACTTCGTCCCCGGATCTCAGTTTGTGATTATCCGTCCATGGATAATGCTTTGTGGCCCCCCATCTCTAATATCGCCGATGATTGCTGCTGTGGTGGGACCTTGGCGCTTCGGTTCTTGGTCTGCAGGTTTTGGCGAAATCCGGGGTTCGCTAAATAATGGGTGCTGCGGTATCTGAGAAAGGTATTATATGGGGTTTCCGGAACTGCGTGATCCACCACGAAAAGAGCCGTTATATCTACAAACTGGGAAAGTTGCGAAAACGAATCAATCAAGGATTATTATATCATATTCGACAAGACTGGTCTAGCTGCCGAAGTACTTTGGTAAGTCGTCAGATCTCCAGAACCTGGTATCAAGTAAATGGTATATTTTATAAGCCTAACCTTTGCTGGATAAGTTCCAATGGTCGGAAGAGTTGTATTAGACTGTAGCTCAGTAAGTACTCCGCATCTGATAATCCCGTATTCCCACCGCCTACTGTCGCTCCCCAGTTCCCCAACTTCTTAACTCCACATATTCGGGTAATATGGCAATTCCTTGATCACAATTATACCCAGTTGCGGGCGAAGACAACTTGGACCCGAAAAAAAAGATTATAAGAAACAGTCATATTTCGACCATGGATTATAAGACTCTTTGCTTCTCTACGTAAAACTTGAAGTTGATACACAGCGTCCAAGGTTGTTTCTATCGGCTATATCGTCGTTCTAACGTATTAGTTAGAACCAGTACCTGGGCATATCAGAGCTTACTGACGTGTTTTTCTTACGTGCATTTACTGTATTAGAACAACAGAGTAGAGGCTTCTCGGATCCCTTTCTTAGATCCACATAAGCACCTATCTACTCCAGTATCCGCTAGATCCATCCCTTCTATCATCGTCAATAGTTTCCCCTCTTTGCCTAGCCCGCCGGCAAAGCAATATATGGCAATGTTAGATCTTTGTTAATCACTTCTGCAAGAGGTAGTCATGGTTAAGGAGAAGATCAACAGTATTCGACTTCGAAAGATGATTAGGCTAGATTTAATATTGTGTTCTATGATCCTATTTATTGTTGAAGTAATATTCCCAACTACAATTTTCGATATTTACCTACCTGTTACCTAGCCTGTACTATACCTATCTCCAAGGTACCTTGGCTGCTTTAGTACTGGTTACCCCCGCCCCCCACACTTTCCCGCGCATGTAGAGCTACTTAGGTAGGTTAGGGAGTTTCTCCAATGCGGAGACTGCACAGAGGGGGACAGGGCACCCCGTCTCCATTCTCCGCGAATTGTTAGCAATGCTTGTTTATTTGCGTCTGGGGGCGGGGAATGCAGCTCAAGAAGATAATCTGACGCTGCATCTATACCTACCTAGGTAATCCATTGGACTTATACGCCTTACGCATACGTCTCGTCTATTCTCCTCTTTCCATGTACTTTACGACAGGCTGCAGCTCGCTTTCTATAGGCGCAGCATGCGCACCTTATGTTAGGTTAGGTTAGGTACATAAAGTGTCTTGCATTCAGACGAAATGAGGAGTAAGTACAAGTCGGTAAGTAAGACAAATTCGCTCTGAGTTCTCCTTGCAGTAATAGAACGCTTCTCCATTAGCTTACCAATCCCTGATACAGCGTTGGAGGAATGGATGGGTAGACTTTAGAATACCTACCTAAGGTAAGGTACCTAATACATATCACATACATGATGTAAGTTGGAGCCGGTGTAAGAGGTAACAATATACCGTTTCTGACCCGGCGCCACTTTTCTCTTATTCTTTTTTTTATGGCAGGTTCGGGTTTCACTCACAGGTAGACCGGCGGCTACCCCGTTACCTACTACAAGCATTTCCTTCACTAAAAAAAAAAAAAAGACTAAGTTACAACCTAATGATTTCCCCCATCTCCGCATCCTCCTCTCCGTCCCCCTCCTCATAATTCTACTCCTCCTCACTCCTCATCTACACACAACAATTTAGCACGAACCCCGAATTCAATCATCCACCCATACCGTGACTCTGCCCATCTCATCCCAGGCTCAATATACACTTCAGCTATCTCATTTGAATATTCTCTAAACCTATCCATCTTATTTTCAGTGTATTATACTGCCTCTAGGACATTAGAATCCACGTTCCAATCTCGGCCGTAGAAGTTCAGATCTAAAGAAAATACATAACAATACATATCTCCTCCTAACCCTCTCCCTCATCTCCACACGCGCTTTCATTCCTCGCACCTTCTCCGCGCCACCACTATCGAACCAATAAGCCTACCGGTAACGGTTGTCCTCCGCGTCGGTTAATTAACCCGGACTCATCAGTTTCGGCTTTCTGTGAGAAACGTATCAAATCGCGGCTTTGATCGTTACCAGGAGTTGACAGGTTACCTCAGCCCTACTAGTTTCGTACGATCATCCAAGCTCTTCTGGATCATCAAGCCTCGTTGATCACAAACGTTGGTCGCCAACTCGGCGAGCGGCCGATCACTTGGGGGAAGGTCCTGAGGACGAAGGTGGTGAGAGCTCGCGTTACGTACCGAGCATACTTAGAATCGATTGATGCTACATACATCTATCACGCTCATGAATTCATCTATCCGCTGGTCACCCCACAAGATATCCATTCCTCTTTCCGGCATAACTTCCTGGTCCTGGATCTCATCCCCTTCCGACTCAACCCCCACTTCCGAGTGTTGCGTGACTTTAATCTGCATTACACCCATAGTTTGTACAGGGACTTACCTTATACTAATTATTATCCTCTTATCCTGACCCCAAATGCGAACCATGCCTTCTATAGAAGGCTCTGGCGTCACTGGTACTGCCGAGGATGGCGTGGAAGGTCGGCAGCAGAAGCCCAAGACCCTACCGTGCAAGTTTTGCGACAAACGTTTTAGGTAAGGATCCCTAGGCTCATCTATGGACTTGTACTTCACCTATTCCCGCTGGCAATTTACTTACACCGTAATCTCCTAATTAGGCGAGTAGAACATGTTCAGCGTCACGAGAGAACTCATACCAAAGAGAAGCCATTCTCATGCGGGTGGGCTCGCTGTGGGAAGACGTTTGGACGTCGGTTAGTTAATTTGTTTCTTTATTTATCCTGCCCTTAACTACCTAAGTTGCCAATTCCTATTTGTGGTGGTCTACCTCGCCTTACCCACCGTCGTCCAACCACTTACCGTCTTTCGTGGGCGCTAAGCTACCCCCATCCCCCCTCAGGCCCTTGGGTCTCCTGCAAATAGGATACATACATGTCTTTCGACCTTAAAGCCTCTTATTTCCCTCTATAGTTTTATATACTAGCGGCCCCCTCCTTTTCAACTTCCACCTCATCTTCTTGTGAATATGCTTACATGGACATCAGGGATCTCCTCGTTCGTCACGAGAAACTCGTTCACCTCAATGAAGGGTCTAACAAGGACGGCAACCGGCCCCGGAAGCCGTCGACGGCCGGCGCTGCCCAACAGCCTCTATCGGCCGAGAGCCATGTCGATTCCGAAATGATGGGTATCCATCGGGCTCACCCACAGCACTATCATTCAGACTCTATGTCCTCTTCTGTGACTGTCCCTCCACTTGCTCCTGACCCTCGTCACTCCGCCAGGGCTGCTGCTTGCAATCTCGATCTTTTGTCTGATGCTGCCACCCAAATCGCTTCCGCGAATGAGGTTAACTCGATGCAGCCGATGATGACGGATATTGGACAACCAGGGACTGGTTTAACACGCATTAAGTCATACGACGAAGAAATACCATATACCGACCGCGGACGTGAGCCCGAAACTGTTACTATGTCACACGGGCTACCAAATGCCGCCGGGCCGTCTACCTTCGACGATTACAACCTCTTCCTAGACGAGTTTGCGACGTCATCTCACTTCCTCCCACAAGTCTTCGATGGGGATCTGGGAATGGGTATCTGGCCACGTCATCTTTCTGATATCCATCGGGGTGGGCTTTCAAAACCGTCGTCTCAGTTTCCTTCCCGTTTCCCGTCATTAGCCCCTGACCCGAGAGATCCCTCGGAAGGCGGGCCTAGGACACACGACGAATCGACGAGATCGCTGCCCATGCGAGTCTCCGTGATGGATCACACTGTTATCAAGAACCGGCTCGACGAATTCTCGTCCGTTTTACCGAATGACTTCATTTTTCCTTCTCGTCATACTCTCACCCGATTTTTGGAAGGGTATGTAAGCGGTTTCCACGAACACTTGCCGATACTGCATCTACCAACGATAACAGCTGCTGATCTGGCACCGGAACTTCTATTGGCGATTCTAGCAGTAGGCGCGCAATATAGATTCGAGAGCCATCGATCAAATGCTTTATGGTATGCAGCTAAAACCGTAGCGATTGAGCAAATTCGACGTCGTCATAGTCATGAAATTCACGGTTTGTTGCCAACTCCAGCGGCGTATAGCCCCCATTCTACGCGACCTTCTCCAAGCCATGGATTCCGCCATTCATTCAGTTCTGTTCAACAGGAACGTTCGATGACCCAAGATACGCACCGAGAGCCATAGTAAGAATACCCAACTGCATGCATTTTTACTTGGACGTTTTGACTGACTTTTTCTCTCAAGTTCTCCTAATACTCCACAATCTCGTATGGAAACCATCCAGGCTCTGCTATTATTATTTGCCGTCGGACTCTGGGGCGCCAAAGCTATTCTTCGTGAAGCCCTATCATTACAAAGCCTTCTGGCTCTTCTAGTACGCGAGGAAGGGTTTCTATCAGAATCGACGCAGACCGCCGACTGGGAGGCTTGGGTCCGAATAGAAGGAGCTAATCGTACAAAACTTATTGCGTACTGTTTCTTTAATCTCTGTAGTATCGCGTATAATATGCCGCCACTACTACTCACATCGGAACTCAACCTCACTCTCCCACATTCATCAAAACTCTGGAGAGCAGAGACTGCTTGGCAGTGGCAAGAAGCTCGTCAATCGTTCCCTAGTATGGATATACCACTCCAAGATGCGTTTGCGAGATTATTCAGTAGGCCACCACAAGGACCTCCAGCTTACATGTCCTCTCTTGGTAATTATATTCTCATCCATGCCATATTACAACATATCTTTCTCCTAAAGCAAACATCTTTTAACTCGGTGTCTCTCTTTGGTGGACTTCGCCACGATGACGTTGAGGATTGCTTTCAGGCCCTACGGATCTGGCAGATGAGTTTCGAACAGCATCAAGCGCGAATCACAGAAGGTAGCTACCAGAATGGGCAAGATTCGTTACCTGGTGGCTCTGTTACTTATAATTCGACTGCGCTCTGGCGCTTGGCTTCCATTCGGTTGTATACAGACTTGAGTCCCAGCAGGACCCTCGAAACAAGAGATGCGAATCAGATTGCGCAGGCTTTCCACGATGCACCGTATCTCGTTCGTAGCGTGCGCCTTAACCGGGCAGTTTTTCAAGCCGTCCATGCATTGTCTATGCTTGTTAAAATGGGCGTGAACTACGTAGCGAGAAGAAAGTCATCAGAATGGAGCATGCAACACTCACGTAAGCAATTACAGAAATTTATTATTAGTTCTTCCCCTTTTATTTGAAAACGCCAGTATACAAAAGAAATCCACCAGCTAACCTTTGGCGCAGTATGTAATCTGGAATGCGCTATCCTTCTTTCAAAATGGTTAATGACACTTGCTTCGATCGGCCCGACGGGTGCGCCTCCTGAGCCCGACGAACGAAACCTCCTCGAAATGCTGCGTCATATGTTGGACGAAACAGAGTTTGCGGTGCCGATCGACCCTTCGCTCTCAGGAGGCGCTCCGGGACACGGACCAGCAAACATGGATATGGCTGTGAACGACGGTTCGAAGTTGCGTCAGCTGGCCGTGGCCGTAATTCGGCTCTGGGCCGAAACATTCAAGGGGTCACATATCTTTGATATGGTAAAAGTAATTGGCGCTGGGTTAGAAGGATACGCAGACCTGATAGAGAAGCCGCGGGATAGAACGCCTCTAGGTCGGATGGGGCCTAATTCGGGGCTTGGCTGAGCGGACCGGACAACAAAGGAATTTACCTACGATGTTCTTCTCGAAGAGCTGTGCGCGGTAAACGACAAATAGGTACGACACATCCTAGCCGAACTTGGGCTCGGAATTAAATTCTCGCCTTTAATCCTGGCTATCTAACCGACGTCTTGAGAAGTTTGGGGATGGTTGTACTTTTGGCCGAATATTATTAAGTGCTAGGCCGCAATGGGGAACCATGCTGGGCGTCGCAAATCCGAAACGGGCAATAACCGCAAGTAACGCTGTCGGGTTGGGGCGTATGATGACCTCCAACAATGGCCTCTTATGGAGATAGGTAGTGGTTAGAAGGAGTAATATGTTCCGACTATTAATAACATCCTAGGAGGTTAATTACAAGCGCGGGAATGGGGGCAGTGGGATGGGGCGGGGAGCTGCCGTGGACCATCCCAAATTAGCAAAATAGCAAAGGAACATAATGATTGCAGCTAAACAATGAACGCCTACCTATCTTCTTGACCATTTCCTCTTTGGACCAACGTAAACTTATCAAATTTACCTAGGTATACTAAGTACACACTACATATATGTACGATGTACCTAAGTACAGTTAGGTAGTATGTCGTGGAAAATGGAACCGGGTAGGTAAATGTTAGGGGTGATTGATGTTCCTATTTTTAGTTGATGAGGATTTGGTACCTACAATACCGTAGGTACTTAGGACCATTGAAAATCGCTGGCTAATTCACGTGATAGCGTGTTCCCCCTTTGCCAACCCCGCGATCTCCGCAACGCGTTTCTAACTCTATCAATTGCCACTCTGCAACATACCGACGCCTTATTGTATTTGAATGTTGACCTAAGAAAATTCAATTAACAATCCCAACGCGCAAGTAAATTAACCTAATTGAAATATGGCCCCTAAGAAACGTACTGTAACCGAAGCAGCTTCGACGCCGGAGATCAATCGCAACTCTCGTCGCAGATCCAACCGCATCAGCCTCAGCAGTAAAAAAAGTACCTACTTCGAGGATAATAATGACTCCGATGAAGAGTTACCGCCTCGTAAAGCTGTTAAAGTTAGCGCCAAAGAGAGCTCTTCTAGACGAAGAAAAACCAAAGCCAACGTAGAGGATGAGGATGATGAATTACAGTATAACGACGATGAAAACACATCCGAGGATGAGGATGAGGATGGAGACGCCGCGTCTGAAGAGGACAACTCTGGAAGTGAAGCAAGTGTGCCAGTGAAACCAAAAAGGGGCCGCGGAAAACCTCCAAAACAACAGACTAAGACTACCGCGACTACGAAGAAGTCTAATAAAAAAGCGCGGGTTCCGGAAAGACCGAAGACTGTAGAAAAGTCTCGGGGTTCGACGAAGACAAAAAAGGAGGCCGATTCTGAAGAGGATAGTGATGATGACGACGATGACGATGAGAATCGTATCACCTTCATCCCAGGTAAGGATTTATTATCTATTTCCCTGGTGGCCTTTTGAAAAGCGCTGAAGCATTGAGAAAAAACGGCTTTGATTCTAATTTAGCGACCATAGCAATCCAATTAAGAGACACTGGTGGTGTGGACTATGAGGATATTCGACTCCATAAAAACACCTTCCTTTTCCTCAAAGATCTTAAAGCCAACAATCAGCGAAGCTGGCTTAAAAGTATGTGCATTTTTCTATCCGTTTCCTAGAATATCATATAGTCAAGTCAACCCTCGTGTTATCCGCATCTGCTATTTCTCTATTCTGACTCGACGTAACTATCCACAGAATACGATGAAGAATATAGAAGGTCACTCAAAGACTGGGAGTCGTTCGTGGAGACCCTTACGACTAGGATCACCGAGGCTGATGAGACCATTCCATGGTTACCGATCAAAGACGTCGTCTTCCGGATATACCGAGATATTCGGTTCAGTAAAGACCAGACACCATATAAGGTATGTCTAGGTACCTAATCCATCCATTCCGCCGTCCCGACTATTTCCCCATAAATGGGACTTTATTCTAATGGCGGGAATTCCCCATGAACAGCCTCATTACTCCGCAGCATGGTCACGAACGGGTCGAAAAGGCCCATACGCCTGCTATTACGTACACGTCGAGCCCGGCCGGTGTCTGGTAGGCGGAGGCCTATGGCACCCAGAGGCCGATTCGTTAGCCCGATTGCGCGCGAGCGTCGACGAGCGACCCCACCGTCTCATTCGAGTTCTCATGAACCCGGCGTTTCGCAAGACATTCCTACCTAACGCGAAGGCCGGCAACGAGAAGTCCGTGGTAGCCGCGTTCGCGGCGCATAACCAGACGGACGCGCTCAAGACAAAACCAAAGGTATCTCTCCCTTTTCTCCTACTAGTTCAAGGTGTTATGTATGTATAGGAAGCGTATAATACTCACCGAACTTTCGGCAGGGCTTCCACCCGGACCACAAGTATATCGAGCTTTTGAAGCTGCGCAACTACACCATCACCAAGCAGCTCGACGAGTCGGACTTTCTCGCCGACGATGCGCAGGACAAGGTGATGGGCATTATCTCGGCCATGGTTGAATTTGTGAGTTGCCTTAGGTGGACCTGCTATATATATATGGCTTTTTGACTTGGTCTGTCTACTCGGGATTATAACGCGCTAACCGAGATACGAACCAAGGTCACGTTTCTGAATAGCGTCGTCAGGCCGGATCCTGGCGCCGATAGCGATTCTGATGAGTTAGGTGGCGGGACGGAAGAGCATGAAGATGGAGAAGATGGAGAGGGTGAAGAAGATGAAGAATAGGGAATAGGTAATACTGTTTGTTTGCCTTGTGTCAGATCCGGTGACGGCTATATTACGGGAACCTGATAAATACGGTTAACGGGTTGTGAATAATGTTTGTATAATACGATATGATACTTTCTGCCGTCTTATGCAGTATCCAGATGGAAGGTGCCCTAATGTGTCTTACCTACAGCTTCTGCAGTTTCCCGTCGCATTAGGTACAAGAGGAACCCGCAGTGGTAGTTGCAATTTTTACACATAGCGCCGCCCACTTGCCATTTAGTCCAGACCCACGATGTAGGAAGCCCTTGCCCTACGTGCAAACTTAGGTACCTACCTACCTACCTAACCCTCTGGCCTCACATTTAAAATCGGTATCATCTAAAGCGCATAGCATGTCTCAGTTCGTCTAGTGGTTAGGATACGGGCTTGTCACGCCCGTGACCGGGGTTCAATTCCCCGACTGAGAGCTCTTTTTTTTTTTTTTTTTTTTTTTTTTGTATGTATTATTTTTTTTTCGTCTCCATTCGCACTCTCTCACGCTTATGATTATCCATACGTACCTTGCATATGCATTTGGCAACATAGAGTTGTGTACATTCATCTGTAAATTATTTAGGGGTGCTTCCCGAGTAGCATTCCTGCGGTGTAAATTTCCTCCCTTTAAATTCCTAAAAATTTGTGATAAGTTTTCATTGCCTCTTACTCGTGCAATCAGTCCGGCAGCCCCGTTGATAGACTAGGCGGCAGATCCTCGTTTCTCGTACCCCAATCACTTTCTGTAGGCCCTAACACGAACTCCAGCGTGCCGCCCTTCAGGAAGAAGTCGTGCTTGATCCAATTCCGGGTGTATGACTTCCCGTTCAACCTCACCCTCTGTACGTAAATGTTGCGGTATTGCGGCGCGTCAAACCCGCCGACGTTGCGCAGTATCGCCGGCTTCCCGGACGGCGTCTGGATGCTGACCTGCCGGAACATGGGTGCCGTGAGCAGGTACACGTCCTGGCCGGCGACTGGGTAGAACCCCATGAAGGCGAACGCCGTGAAGGCTCCCATTGCGCAGTCGTCGTTGCCCGGGATCCCGTTGATGCTGCTGTTGAACTGCCCCGGGATGTACTGGTGCAGCCAGTAGTTGCTGCGGCCGGGCCGTCCGGCGTAGTGGAATTGGAACGTCGTGAGGAAATTCGGCTCGTTGCCCATGTAGTTGATCCCCGACGAGTGGAAGAAGTCGAGTCGCTCGACGAAGGTCTCGTGCCCTCCTAGCGCTTCTATAAGCGCGGCCATATCTTGTGGCACGTAGAACGTATATAGCCATGGACTACCCTCGTAAGTCTCATATTGAGTGTCAAAATAACAGCTGTGCTGTTGATATATGGGACTGCACAGTCGCGTGTTCTAGTGCGCAGGTTCGAGTTAGTAACGCTCTGTCATTAATACGAAGTAGACAAGATGGGGATAATAGTTCAAGATTTCACATAAAGATGGGATGAGATGACATTCGAGGAGAGTTCTGAGAAACTAACCTGGTATCGCCAAGTACCATTGCGGAACCGCGGCTGCAAGAAGCCCTTAAACGTCGACATTTGAACGGTGCCAGCTTCATCGCGGTACCGATCCTCCTGTTCCGGGTTGAACAGATTCTTCCAGTTTCGACTGCGCTGCAAATACTTAGTCTCGTCGTTCTTATGACCGAGCCCCCTCGCCATCAACGCGATCACGAAGTCGTCGTACGCGTATTCCACCGTCCGCGAAATGCCTCGACTCATCGGGCCCGTTCCATTCTTATCTTGATCGTCGTATGGGACGTATCCCAGCGTGTGCCAGCTCACGAGGCTGCCGCGTCCGGTCGTGGACCAATCTTTCGGTTCCACCTCCGCGTCGGAGACGACGGCCTCGTAACCTAGGTTCCAGTCGATCCCGTCCGTGAGGTTTTTTATGAAGGCATCTGCGAGTACTACATCGGCATTAGAGCCTCCTTGTGTGTAGCCTTTGCTAAAACTCATGCGACAATCAGGTAGCTTTCCTTCGTGCTTGTATATGTCAATTAGGGATCGCACCATCTTCGTCTGAATTTTGGGGTCAACTATAGTAAGTAGAGGGTGTTGCGCACGGAACGAATCCCATATGCAGTAAAAGGAATCGTAGTACGGTTCATTCGACTCCCAGAGCTGGTTTTCCCCGGTGTAGTCTTGGGGTGAGATTAACGCTCGGTAAAGTCCCGACCAAAATGTGGTAAGGAATTCGTGGCTCATACCAGAGTGATCGGGCATGATCACAGACAGCTTGTCCCTCCAAGCTTTCTCAGCGGCTTTCACCACGTCATCGAAGCCAAAGTTTGGGATTTCCACCTCTGCGTTGTGGCAGGCCTGCTGTACGGATATGAACGACAGGCCCACCCGAGCCACGATCTGCTCCGAGTGCGCGAAATGTATCCAAGCACCAGCTGAGCCAGACGGAATGTAAAAATTATTTGCCACATGTCCCACAGCCTGAATTTCATCAGTAACATTGGTTTGTAGGAAAACCCCCGTCTTTCGAATATCAGCGCCCCGGAAATCTGCACAGACATGCGCGGTGTACGATCCGCGGCCAAACGACGGGCTAAACGAACCATTTCCTGTTATCCTTCCTGTTTCTGGATTTACTTGAATGTCACCCCCGGTTCGGGAATTGCCCAGATCCATCAAGTCCAAAAGAAGCAGAGGGTTAGTAGGTACCATGGCCTTATGCGATAGTACCTCTGCGGCCTTAGGGAGGCTGAATCTGTAAAGCGTGGCGTGTTCGGTTGCTGTCATCTCAGCGTGGACTGAGTTGTTGAGGCTGATAGCAAAATATCCCGGCCGTGCTGTCGCCGAATGTTTTATTCTTGGAACGCCTCTACCGATATATGTATATTTACACTGAGCGAAATCATCCTCAGGGCATCCTGGATGCACAAAAAGAGGGAAGTTTCCCAATGAAGGGCTCTGATATTACTAGTTAGATTTATTCGGGTAGGTAGTAGTGTTCATCAGACTCACCCCTCCGGTGCCTTGAGATACGTTAGCAAGTTGTACTATGCAAGTTTTCTGAGTCCCGACTTACCTGAGTCGTGTAAGTGTGAGAAGCCTTGGATGTCAGAGTCGTCCGAGACAAATCCTGCGGCTATTTCTCCACGATCGCTCGTGTCGGCTACGGCTTTCGCCATGCCTAGATGAGGTAGTTAGTATCTTGGAAGAAGTTGAGTGTTTAACCCCCGAAGAGACTCACCATACGGCAGCGTCGCGCCGGGGAAGACATGCCCTATAAGAGTAAAATGAGTTAACGGAGCGCCCCAGCGATAGGCCTCAGTTGGTATATATCATAATTACCTCCGTTCACGGTGCCTATGAGAGGGTCTACATATCGCAAGATGTCATCGCTATATTTCCATGATGAGCCTTTAATGGTTTGCAAAAGAGTATTCGGAGAATTCAACCTGTTAGGAATCGAGACCCAGACTAGTAAACCCACTATGGGTACGACGATAAGAAATCGCCGCCATCGCGGGAGGCTCTTGAGGAACAGCATCCTAGAGAATCGAGAATTACCCGCTGAAGCTTCGCTCGCGGGATCTGATTCACGTTTCGATTCTATATGACGGCGCGGATGCAAGAGCCATTGGTACCAAGTCTTGGGCCTCAATCTTTAACAAGTTCGTGGACGTGTTAGCGATCGCAATACAATAGGAGGTACCTAAGGTTAGGTAGATATGTAGGTTGTTATTGTTTTTATTTAGACCTCCTTACCTTGGATCGCTCTGGGGTGAAGACGGATCCATCAGGACTCGAACATAAAGTTCACCAGTCCAGCTAGATATTTCATAACCCGCCTCGCATAAGCCCGCCCGTCTTGAAATGAACTACAACTATGTAATTGACAAATGTGCTGAATAACAGTTCTTGGCAATAAGGGGAATCCGGCTGAATTGTAATCGGGTGACATCGGCACATACCTAAGCATCTAAGCTTTAAGAGCCACTCTGGCGCCCTCTAAAATACGGTGTAATTGGTGGCCGGAAAGGGGTAGGCCGCACTCTAGCCACTCCTAGGTTCGAAAAAGGAGCATGTTCTTCCGGCTCAGTACGTTGAAAAAGCACTAGTTATGAATTTTAATAGCTTAATTTTTTTTAAGCTTTTTCATATTCTCTTGTCACTAAATATAATATATTGATTTACTTGGCATGTTTTTTTTTTGTTAAAAAAAAAAAAGAAAGAATGGAACAAACGTTATAGGTTAAAATCAACATTGTTCGCTACAAGAAGCGCATCGCTGCCGGGGGGCGGGGGCGGGGGCGGGGCGGACTTAGCGGATCACTAACCGGAGAGACTATGGAATTACAGTAGGTTACTGTGTTATCCCTTATAGCGCAGAGCACCTATAGGTGCCTCAATAAAATGGCTCAGATCAAAGCCGGCTCAGAAGTATAAGTGATGATCACCGCTTAAGCCAATAAAAGTGCATAGACAATCAATCTTTCAGGATCTATATGTTAATTCTTATTTACCTAGATATCATTGGAAATATACAATTAAAATAAGGTATGCATATCTACAGATTTAACACAATTCCAATGTTAAGAATATAACATTGATTCCGAAAGAATAATCACCCCTCTTCTTTCAAATGATACTTTCCAGATATTTCAATTTTTGTTCCTTCGTTTCCAATGCATTAAAAATAACAGCTTCTCTTCCCTTTTCGAGGGCTTTGCAGGCGGCAGCAAATTTCCCAGGGTCTATTTCGTTAACCAAATATTTAGAAAAATACCTGATGGCCTTTTCAAGATCGTCAGCACCCTCTGCTCGCCGAACTCCAAAGCTAGATTGTATTCGGCAGCTAGATTCAAGAAAAGCCCTCTCAAATGATTCAAGATCTACCTGTTGCCCAGGCCTTTTAGCTGGTCGATTACTATAAAGAGACTTGTGTAATGGATTGTTTTCGACGGCTAAATTGCCAGAAGACTCGCGACTTTCAAAGCCATTAACACCTTCGTCGCCGTTATCTTCTTCGTCAGTCTCTTGACGATTTTCTTGACGATTTTCCCGGCGGTTCTCTGGACAAAATCGTAAAGAATTCACTGAGGTCCCTACACGATCATAATGGGTAAGCTCCTGCCCTGGCTCTACAGCATAAGCCCCTGTCGGCTTATCGGCAGGGAAGGCTCGCGCATATATCTCTTTATTTCCCAGGGGTGTTTTACGCAGCCATTTTCCTGTAGGGTATATCCGTAAAAACGATTCCCATTGTTCGTCGGACAAGATCGGACAGCCTTTTCCATCTTCGCCGTTGCCGTTAGCGAATTGGTTGACCAGGGCTTGGTATTCAAGATAGCGTCTTCGTTCGGATTTGCGCTTATGCATCATGAGTTCCCGAGACCAGGGCCTAACAGGGTCGGCCTTTTGCATGGCTTCAAGCAAACGCGGCCAAGCTGGAGCCCACATTTGGGGGCGGTGGGAGTTGAACAGACCCTCGTTCGTTAAAGCAGCCAAATTAGCCATGTAAACCGCCGTCAATTCGGTGGTCCATCTTGCACGAATAGGCGTGAATGTCGAATCGTTCGGGGACATTGTATGATATTGTGCTGCGTTCAATAATACATAGTAAGGTAAGAGGGAGAAAAAAGATAAAAATAAAAAAGGGTTAGAAGCTTGGATTAAAACGTTTAAAGAAAAATAGGCAAGGTACCGCGTTTTGAGCTTAATCTAGATTAGGTCTAGCCTTAGCAATAGTGAAAATATACCATGGGTACTTTCTATCCAACACAATTTATATGGAGCTCACTTGTATCTATTTTCTCCGATTCGTAAGCATGGCTTAAAGGTTTCTCCAAGACTTTGGGATTGTTCTAGTACTTAGATAAGTACCTAGGTACCGTTATGCTTCCATCCTTCACAGGTTCACCCGCAACGGCGGAATCCTATGAAGAAACAGGTAGTAATGGGCCAATCAGATGAAATACCTATAGGTCATACCATCTTACCTCACGCCCTTGACGGCGGAATTAATCAAATCAATCAACTTACAATAGACTTTCCATAACTCTCCGTCACCTGCGAAAATCGTCAATGACGAGCAATGGTTGACACTCCAGGCGAAGAGCCGTCTGCGGCAATAACCCCAAACACAGGTAATCACGAAACATTAACCAGACGGAGGAAAATACGCAAAGGGACGCGATCTTGTTGGGAATGTAAGCGGCGGAAAATAAGGTGCATATTTGTGTCTTCCGAACAAAATGCTTGTACTAGTTGCCAACGTCGCAGGGTATCTTGCATTACGCAGGATATGCCCGAAGATCTGTCTCCTGGAAAAACAGGCAATCGACATCTCTCCGACCGCATCTCAAGAGTTGAAGACATAGTCAAAGACTTTCTTGCTGATAAAGACGGTGGCGGGACAATCCAGGTTGGAGAAGAGATACGGCAAGACAGATGCTCAAAGAGCAACAACCCGGCACCTTCTTCATCTTTTCCAATTCCTCTCACTCCTGTAAAGGTAAGGTATCAACCGATTGCACGATAAACTTTCACTTGTCACCGTTTAAAATCTCATCCGGTCCACCCGAAGCCCCCCCTTACTCATGTCTCTGAACTTACAAAGTGCAGTATAGGGCGTACTTGATAAGCCCGAGAACGAGATAGTGCTTCATCACTTACTCAAAGCTTTTCCATCTGAAGAGGATACCAGCATTCTGCTCAGGGGGAGCGCTATACCGTCGCTTTATATCGATGTGCTTAACACCCAGCCACATAGCAAGCAGACCCTCGAGGCTCTTACAAAACCTTTATTTACAGGCGAAGTCCCTAGCTTCACGGCTCACCCCGCCGTTGTAGCTAGGTATCTGCTCGTGTTTGCAATCACTTTGCAAACCCCGTCTAGCGAAAGCTTGTTCGGCCTTTCGGAGCCACATGACGTGCTCATGCGTCGGTTGACGACAGCTGCTAGGATGTGGGTAACCACAAACGAAGAGATGCACGGAACCGTCGAGTGTTTGGTCTGTATCATTCTGGAAGGTATATTTGAGACGAATTGTGGCAATCTTCGTCGGGCTTGGGCTGTTTATCGCAGAGCAATAACGGTTGCCCAGCTAATGGGCTTCCATCGCTCACCAATACCAGCATATAAACTGATTGATCCGAAGCTCAATGTTGATCCCAAGTTCATGTGGTTCCGTATTGTATATATGGACCGCTATCTCAGCTTACTCCTCGGTTTACCTCAAGGCACATCTGATAGGAGTATAGGAGTTCCATCCGTTTTACGGCACGAGCCACCCATGGGCCACTTCGAACGTGCGCTCACGGCCATCGCATCTCGTATTTTGGAACGCAACGAAAGTACCTTCGTTGCCAGCGAAATCGCAACAACCCTGTCCATCGACTCTGACTTGTTGAGTGTGTCAAAAAGCATGCCAGCAAGCTTCTGGCGACCGGCGAATTTCCACAATATCACGCTCGGATCTCCCGAGAGCGTCCTAGAAATAACACGTTTAGCAGCTCAGGTGTATTATTATGGCCTAGTAATCCAGCTTCATTTGCCGTATATGATGCGACTAGGTGGCAACACGGAGCACGAGTATAGCAAGGTCGCTTGTGTTAATGCTAGCCGGGAGATAATGACGCGCTTTATTTCTCACCGAAGCTTTAACCCTAGATCATCCTGTTCGCGACCCGTGGACTTCTTCGCACTCTTAGCGGCAATGACTCTCCTTCTCGCCCACCTTGACGCTCATCATCGCCGAGAAGCAACCAACTTCTTGGCGCATCAACGCCTTGGCGACCGCGCCATGTTGGAGGAGGCTTTGGAAAAAATGGATGGCGTGACTAAACTGAGCAAGGACTCGATAACAGAAAAGAGCGCCGGGTTGATTCGACGGCTACTTCATATCGAGGCGGATGCAGCTAACGGAAGCAGCTATATTACTAGAAGCGAAGGAGTAGAACAAAATGCGGAAGAAGGGATGAATATAAATGAAGAACTCCGCTTGCGCATCCCGTACGTTGGCGTCATCAAGATTGGTCGTCAAGGCTACACATCCTTAACGGACCCGCGCGAATTGGGACAGATGGACACACATTTAGAAGCGCCCGAATTCGAGCAGTCGATGCCAGAAATATTCAGTCCCAATCAGGACAACAACATTCCACATCCTCATACCGGGACTTCTCCGATAATGGATGGCGTGAATGATTGGGGCTTCCAGGGAGTTGACATGGCGTTTTTCGACAATTTAATGAGAGGAACATCCTTTTTAGATGCTACGAGGTTGGAGCAGTAGCATGTCGAGGATTTGCCCGGAGCTACCGATGGTAATAAGGAATAAACATCTCCAAATTTTGAAGGGTTCTTGTTGAAACTCGCAAGTGCGCTATTGACCCTGACTTTTACCATCATAGCTAGACGTCTAATAGATACGGCTACGGCAAGGAGCTTCTAAGCTTGTCCAGATGGGTATCGCAAAGTCGTAAATAACCAGTAACTGCCTCCTACACATCAAATCAGTACTAAGAGAAGCCGGATCAACTAATATAGCTACTCCCCGTCCCCCCTAGTTAAATTAAAGACCAAGCCTCCGTATTGCCTACACGATTGGTTGAACGAAAATGACTGCAGACCTACCCAGCCTCCTTGGCAACCCTTCTAAGCTCTTATAAACGTACCTAGTAACTGCATTTCTTAATATACAATCTCGGCGAATTAAGATCAAGAGAGTGATCGCGATGCAGCTAGGAGGATAATACAACCGCATCAGTTTCGACTCATCTACCTGCTTACAACCAAGGATAGAGGTGAGACTTTCTTTTCTCCTCTGATCCCAAGTTTTGGATTATTCTATTCTAGAGGAGCCGCGTAGGGTGCGAAGAGCATGTGGATGAGGCAATTGAGGATATTTCATAAAGACAAGTCATCTCATTTAGAATTTAAATCGAGTTCGCAGACTCAAGCCACAATCCATATGCTAGAATGACATTTGTCTTCCGAAAAGAGTGGATAGGTTAGGTACTTGTTCAATACCAACCGTAGGAGAATAAGATACCAGCATCTCCCTCCACGCCTTAACCAAAGGATTGCTCCTTAAGCCAAGCCTATTTGCTTTTCTACATGTCCATGTGCCTACCAGGGAGACTAGTGAGCCCTATAGGAGAATTGATTAGCTTGAGGTACGTTCACGCATCATGTAGTGGTGGCTTACATCCGTCAATATCCTCGTTGACAGTGCTCTTGATGGTGCACTTGTTAGCCTGGTCGACGCTCTGGGTCGTGATTCCGTTGCTGAGAAGGGACTTGGAGTCCATGGCGCGCTGGAGGGCATCGCCTTTCCAGCCGAAGAGGTAGTCGCCGTGGGTGCCGTAGCCGACGCTGTCCTCGTAACTCCAGACGAACGGCTGAGAACCGTCCGCGGGCCAGAGACTCTTGTCGTTGAACGGGGTTGTGTCCCACATGGTCTCGTAGGCGACCTGGGGCATACGGACCGGGTGAGACGCCGGGCAAGGACCAGCGGGCGTGAATGCGCCCTTGTTCGTGTTGTACATGTGGTCTTGGTGGTTGGGGCTGTCGAGGTTCTTTCCGTCCCAGCATCTGCGCAAGCGTTAGGGGATTGGAATTTACATGACAAAATCATATGCTTTAGGTAAGGTAGGTAGGTTAGGTAGGTACTAACGCTGGGAAGTGGTGGATAGCCATAATACCGGCCTTGCACGGCTGTTTCGGGAAGTCGGCGGTCTCGGGGAACCTCGTCATGACGTCCTGCAGACAGGTATAACGAAGGCCGGGGTTGGAGCCGTCTTTGCTCTGCGGTGATCCAACCGTCATGCGGAAGCCCTAGGTAGGTAGGTAGAGTTGTTAGGTAAAATGTCAACACCTACTATCCGTGATGGGTGGAAGGAAAGTGTACATACAGGCTTGAAGGCTGTGATCTTCTGGTTTCCGTTCGAGTTGAATGACTCCTGGATGTAGTAGATGGTCATTCCACCCTTAATGTTGCCGAGCAAGGCGTTGGGGTACTGGGGCACACGCTTGTACGTTCCATTGCGGGCTTTGAAGTATAGAACAGCAGTCCAGTAGTTCGAGAAATCCTCGTTGAAGGTGCAGGTCGTGCAAGTAGCCCTCTGACTGACGTCCGTCTTTGGGTCCATAGTCGCGTTGAAGCCATTTCCACCGACGATCTGGTGGAGGTGGGCCGAAGGGACAACGCCGGGTTCGACGAGAGGGTCCAGGCGCTGGACACTAAGGGTAGCACATCCGAATCGGAGGTACGCCTGAGAAGGCGCTGCGAGCGCGAGCGCGAGGGAAAGAAACGATCCCTTCATTTTGGTCGTATCAATAGTCTTTTCGGTAACGATATTGTTGATGCAGTCCGGACACGGTGGGGACTCCGGAAGGCAGTCGATGGAGTCACATCTCGAGTAACATATATACAGAACAGAAGCTCATAGCCCATAGTCGCGATTCGCTTATGCCGTGTCAGTCGGCAGAATACCCGGTCTTGTATTGTTTAATCCGCATTCATCCAGAGACGTGTAATTAAGGTAATGATAGTAATGATATCTATAATTGCTAGGACCGCTCACCTGTGCTACCAGGCTATGACGACCGTGAGGCCGCATAGCATACAGACGCAGCGCCTGTCAATGAATAGCTGGACCCGTATTGGCAGCGAAATATACCACCCCTGAGAAAGCTGGCAAGCATTGAGCTATTCGAAGCATTACGAGAGCACTGTATAGAGAAGACGGCAGTTAGATGATTGGATCTCAGTCCACCACACCGCCCGGGGGCCTCCGTTCCGAGCGCCCGAATCTAGGAAGCCAGGGGCTAAATATCCCCTACCACATTTCCCGTCCCCTTCCCATGACTGACCCCGGACTCAAATACCCACCTCCACCGCACGCACGTGCCCTCCGACTGCCGGCAATGCTATCCCGTCCGGCAGACATCGCTTCGTTTTGTTGTGGACCTTTGGTTACTTCCCGAGCTGCGAGTGGGCGTAGGTTATGCTGGAAATGAATAGTCCCAGACAAGGTATGTCAGATACTTCACGATGACAAACACACACTACTTAAGTAAGTGATAGAGCTCTTTTCATAGTTTCGTAATCACTCAAGTGTGTATCTCGACACTTTCATGCGATGAGGCTTGAGAATTAGCATAGGTTAAGGTAGGTAGTTAGCATTCGGGCGTTCAACGGATAGGCGTGGACATCGATATTAATAGCGTATATAACACAAAATTTAACTATCTCTAATATGATCAAACTCACATCTAGCATTTGAACATAAGTACCTGCCTTAGGTAGACTATTATGATTTCGCGCCAGAAAATGTTTCACTCATGGTATTTTAAATGGATTCAGGTGGTTTCGTAATGTTCGTTAACTTACCGCCAGAAGAACCACGCGTAAGCTTCGTATCCTAACCTCCCTCATGAGAGTAATCCTTGTCGTGCCACATGTCTTTGTAGTAAACGACCTTCTCATTAGGCTCCTTGCCCTCAAGCCTCAACCACACTAAGCTATCCACAGACTTTGATATATAGATGCCTGCAAACGTATACTTATGTCTCTGCTTCCAACTGAGCTCGTTATGAGGTGATCTCCGTTGCCAACGATTCGAGCTTAGGAAAGAGCTTCGGAAGACCGTACCACTGGCTTGTCATCCTATACCTATATATACTCAGATTATCTTAGTAGCCAGCCATTTTCCTCTTAAACGAACTCACATTGTATCACAGTAGCTGAAAGAATCGTCGTAAATACCTACCTACCTCCAATATACCTATTTCAACAACAATCTATCATTCATTCATCTATATTTGTACTGTCAAAATGTGTTACCGATAATCCCTATAAACTTGGGGAAAAATTGGTATTTAGATCTGAGACATTGCAAGACACGATGGGTATACGTTACCGCCTATGAGGTTACCCATCATGTGTTGAGTGATGCGATTCGGATATTACCTTGCCAGCCCTTCCACGGAACGTCTTTTTCTTTTACAGGTAGACAATGCACTCGTCCTACACTATCGCGCTTATTTCTACCCGCGATAGATCTATCAATTAAGCCTTAACCGGCCTTTCTAGCATGTGGTACCAGAGCTGCCGGTATACTTTCTGAAACATGTTCAGCCAAGCTCGCCACCGTATCATTGCCTATGATTTTAAGGACAGGCACGCTAACCTCAAACCACTTGAGGATCCAGGCGCGCAGGTCGGCGGAAATGAGGGAATCTACGCCAATCTCCTTAGTGCGCATCGACATAAGATCCTCATCAGCGGTTGTCAGTTCCAAGACTCTGCGAAGTTGGGCTGCGAGTGTACCTAAGGCTTTGGTGAGTTGATTTGTTGTGGCTGAGTGTGATTTGTTCTACTTACTTTTGACCACCCCTTCAACATCATCTTCCGTTTTACACTGTTCTAGTAGGCCGCTTATAGATGGGCTCGCGGCCGCTACGCCGTTACTTCTGCCATCTTCGGTTCTATGAGTTATGAAAGCCGCAAATCTTGGGTTCGAGCACCAGATTGGGGCATCGGGCGAGTCAGCTGCCACAGGAACAAGCCCCGTCGATAGTTCCGGCCCACCAAGAGCGCCTGGTCGGCCATATATGATCGATTCTGCTATGATTTGGTGGAAGTCAACCTCGGACAGGTGCATCAGGGACATCTTAGAAACCGTGAGATCTAAAGCCTTGCTGTGTGCTCTTTCCATGTAACCCACACCGAAGATGGGACCGATATCTATAGCTGTAGCGGCTAAACCACGCTGCCGGCGCTGTGCGGCAAGAGTGCAAACGTACGCATTTGCGGCTGCGTAATTTGCTTGGCCCAAGTTACCATAGACCCAGCTGACTGAAGAGAAGAGAAGGAAGAAGTCGAGGTTCTCGTACTTGAACAGTCGATCCAGATACATACTACCATATACCTTGGGTCCGATAACATCATCCAACTGCTTGAAAGACATATTCTTGATGGACACGTCCTTCAACATAGCAGCGCCATTCATCACCCCTGCAATTGGTGGGAGGGTTACTGTGATCTTTTCTTTCACTGCTTTTAAGCTGGCTTCATCTGTAACATCTCTAATCACGCGTTAGAACGACTATCAAAGTGGGGGACAGACATGAACTTACCCTGGCAAAATAGCTATCGTAACTCCATTGCAAGAATGAGCCGAGATCCAGTCGGACTTTATTTGAGGGTTCCTGGATGTTAGAGCAATTGTCTTCGCCCCTTTACTAATCATCCAGTCGCACAGGGATGTACCGAGATTTCCAGACAATCCGACAATCCAGTAAGTCTTGTCTGCCTTGAAAAAGGAATTGACGTCTAATCTTGTGACTGGCACAGGTACCATAGCAGGGATTGTCCAGTCTACCACTGTCATTGGATCAATATGATATGCTTTTCTAATCAAGTCGGTAATAGAAACCACTTTTGCTGCCAGGGTGTCTGATTTCTGATCTTCATGCCTCGTAATACTATCAAGAGCCTGCTGGAGTGCCCTGCCCAAAACAGGAGAGTTGGCAAACCCTTCAGAACCGTGGAAAGAGAATATCGTATCTTGAGTCTCGTTGCGGCAATGGGGAGAGAGACAAGATATGATAGTCGATTGGTTGTCTGATCCCTTGCCGTCGCGGTTTGTCAGTCCCACAAAGCATGAAATTGTGGATGGCAGAACCTTTTTTAGCGCGGAACGGCTGATGTAGGGACAGAGCGTAATCCAAGAGCTAGGTGTACCTTGTTCGCTAGAGTCTGTCATGAAAACTACACTGATATTCTCCTCGGATGCTTTCATAGCAATAGCCTCGGCCACCACGATAGACGGATTGTGTACGACCACCGCGTGATTATCCCACAGAGGATCCAAAACGGCTGAGGCGACTAAATGTGAAGCCACAAGCACTAGGAGAGAGCTGTCGCTGCGTTGCGTATCTGGACAACGAATGACGGAACTCGAAGGTATTCGGAGGGTCGACGCTAGCGAGGGAACAAGAGCTAAATACTTAGCTTTGGATACGACCTCAAAACCCAGAGTGAGGAATTTATAACCCGAAGGAGTCTTGATAGCTGATATAATAGCATGTGTAGTGTTAATCTCAACCAGTGGCACAGTCTCTCCTACACTCGGCTGTTCCAGTAGCTGTTTCGCAGTCCATCCAGTTTTCTCCCATTGAATAGAGATGGTGGTGTCACTGGTATTTACCTCATGTGTAATTTCACGCCGAGTTGAGTTGTAGCGGTCGTTCAGAGCTGGTATGTATCTCAGCCGTGGGAGTAGCTCTCGCCCTTTTGAGTCAATGACTATCTCTGGTTCAATGGTCCACAGAGTATTATGGCCATTTCGGGAGGTTGTGTGTAAACGGAGAATAAAATCAATTATCTGTTGCGCATGAATGGTCCAGGGCGCCTCGGTGTCCAAGAATTGGAGGCGAAGTCCAGGTGTCTCGTTCATAGCCGTCCGCCCAAAGCCAACAGTCATGTTGAAGAAGGGCTTCTTTCCTCGGCGACCAGCCGTAATCCACAGCATGGTCTTGGGAGTTCCAAAAATTTTCTTGAGAGATAGGAACTGTTCAGGTGTAATATCTTGAAAGACTGGCTTGTCGAGGTCCGTTAGACAGACAACGATGGAACTTGGATGTATAGCACCATGCTCAACATCTCTAAGAGTTTTGAAAATATGAGGCTCTATTGCAAGAGACCTGGATATTTGGCACAGTTCTTCAGCCAAGTGAGCAGTTCGTTCTGTTTCGCCTCCAATAATGAAGAGACTTGAGATAGAAGTGTCAAGAGACAGCGTGGAACGAGGGGCTCGAAGGTAATCCACATGGCTATCAACAGCTCGAGACACAAAAAGCGTCATCCCTAGGACATTTTGGAACTCCTCTGGGGCAGTCTCATCAATACCAGAGAATCCTGTGGCTTTGAGTCGCTTGTCCCAGTCATCATCGGAAATGAAGGGCGAGAAAGTCCGTCCTTCGGGGACACCAAGCCACCACTCAGGTAAGCTTCCGAAGATGAAACCAGGAATACCTCCAGGTTGGATGTCGTTGCTACCCTCCGCGACAACAAGGAAGCCTCCGGGCCTAAGAAGCTTGCGAATATTGCGCAGGGTTTCTTCAAGCTCTGCGGTAGCATGGAGGACGGAGGAGGCAACAATTAGATCATAACCACCCTCCGTATAACCCTGTTCAACAGGATCATTCTCGGCATCAAGCACTTTGAAAATCATCCGACCCTGGTGCTGGTGCTTTGAGAATACTGCTTTAGCAGTCTCAGCGAAACTGACCGAGACGTCTGTAGAAGTATAACTGAGGAAGTCCCGCCCGACTGCTCGAAGGATGCTCTTCGTAGCAGCGCCAGTACCGGCCCCTGTACAGTCGTCAGTTCGGGACAAGTCTTAAATGAAGTTAACTGTTAGCCTACCTATCTCCAAGATATTCATATGTGGATAGCGACCAGTGATTTGGCCCACTACTCGACCAATCCATAGAGCAGATTCGCGGAGTCCAAAGCCGTTGACATAGTACTCATCCAGGAAACCGCATATACGAAGCTCCTCTGACATGTTGACTTCGCCCTTGAAAGCTCGTGATATCTTTTGACCCACGATATGCATCAAGGGCACTTCGGGTATCTCGGGTAATGTTTTACCTGCTTCTATTATATCGTCTAAAGTGTCATTCGACCACTCCTTCTGTACCCATTTGTTTTTTCCCTTGTCTAATAAAGTAGTAACATGTCGGGCGTACTGCAGGTAGTAGTTGTTTGGGTTTGGAGGCATAGCCAGATCGTCACGGGGTACGCCACGAACCAACTCCTTTAGATAGAAAGCTGCGATTCGCACCAAGGTGCTGAGAATATCTTTGTGGTGTTTCCCAACAGTAATGCCGCTTGCTGCCGACAAACCGTCTGGGCCGCTGTCCACCCAGCGTGTCTCGTAGAAGACTTTTCTGTCATCCTCATCGGATATCTGCCTCAGGGGCTTCAATACCACCCCTTGGACCTGTATTGCTGCATGTTCCTTGTCGCTAGGGTAGATGTTGATATCTGCAGAGAATCCCTTTGCGTCTGAATTCGGCATTTCCACAGTGGCGTCGACAGACGCAAAACCGTCCTTGTTTGCCATCGACTGGCAAACAAGCATATTTACTCTTACCAAGCTGCAGCTCTGTGGTAGATATAGGCATGGGAGTTGTTCGTCGCCAGGATAGCCGCGAGCGAGAAATACAGATTGAAATGCCGAGTCTAACTCTGCAGGATGAACAGACAGCGGTTTGCCGTAACTAGCCTCTTCTTGTGGTCTCATCCTTACGCAGCACGAAGACCTGCCATTTTTCCTAGTAATTGAGTGCAGGGATGCGAAACGCCGGCGGAATTGTAACCCCAGACCGTCCATGACCCGGTAGAAGAGCTCAGGTTTAACGTCGACCATGTGAGGAGGGACTGATCCACGTTTTGGAAGTAAGTCTGGAGAGGGATCGCCTTCAGTGATCTCAACGTCCGCACTGGCTGCCAAAGTTAATTCATCGGCTGTTGCGCCCAATCCCGCAGAGTACGTGAATTTGGCCCTGACACAGCCAGGTCGAGCCCTGGTGATATTTGTCAAAGAGATCAAAACTTCAACACCATTATCGCTCTGGTCAAAATCAATGGCCTGGTGTATATAGAAGTTCCTTAGCTCAACCAGTTGAATATTTCTTTCTTCTACTATAAACTTTGAAGCCTCAAGTGCTGTCGAAACATAACCTGCTGCTGGGAAGATAGTTTGCCCTTGGACCTGATGGTCTTGAAGCCAATCGATTTCACTCTCACGTAATACGTTCCTCCAGCTTAACTGGTGAGATCCAGTATCGACACACATATCCCCCAGAAGCGGATGAACTGGCTTTCTTGTACGCATTCGTCGACTGATTCGTGACTCGTTACAGTACGCCACGTCATGATTCCACTGATACGCCGGCAGGTCTTTCAAAAGGCGGAAAGAGCACTTATTTAGCGTCATGAACCTCTCGAACTTGTCGAGATCCAAAGAGGATGGGTTTAAACGCATCCACAGAAACCCTAAGACATCTGACATTGATTCGACAGCACTGACACCTCGGGTAAGGGTACCATGATAGGGTATATTTTTGGTCAGTACATCTTGGATAGTTTGGCGGGTGGGCCCCTGAAGAGCTGGATGAGGTCCAATCTCTAGAACAATATCAAAGGAAGATTCCGCGACAGCTGCTTTGACAGCATGAGAGAACAGCACGGGTTTTCTCAGGTTTTCGGCCCAATACGGCCCCTCAAGTTCCGACTCTCTATCAATAGGCCGATTATATACGCTAGAGTACCATACACAACTATGTGTTGAAGGTCGCAGTGGTTTGATACCGCAGGATGCCAACGATTCGGTATAGCCCTTTAGGCATGGAACCATATGAGAGGAATGGTAGGCTCTGTTAACGCGGAGTAGCCGATTGAATTTCTGCTGCTCTTTCAGAATGTTCTGGAGCTCTGCAATGGCGTCTTCGTCTCCAGAGATGGTGATACTTGAGGGTGAATTGCTAGCCGCAATAGAGATGCGATTAACGAACGTGTCCTCGTTGCACAACGAGACTGCGTCCTCCATCGATATGGCAGCAGCTAGCATGACGCCCTTAATATGTTCGCCCCTCGGACTGCACGCTGATTCAAGATGAATCCCACGGTAATATGCAATACAAATAGCATCGCGCGCTGTGATATACCCTGCCGCGTAAGCTGCGCCAATTTCACCACTAGAGTGTCCCACAACAGCGCTGAAGGAGATGTTAGCAGCTTGGAGAAGATCTGTTATGAGAATCTGGATCGCTGTGCATATTGGTTGTGAAATATTAGACGAGTGAATACTGGAGGTGTCGGCGAGCAGTTCAGCTTCTAGACTCCAGGTAGGACGGTCAGTCTCTGGAAGCTCAGCAAGGTACAATTCCAACTGCTGGATAATTTTGCGTGCGGCCGTGGATTTTTCAATCAGCTCAGCGCCCATACGAGCATACTGCGCACCTTGGCCAGTAAAGACGCCCAGAATACTGGCCTTCTTTTCTCCAGAAGATGGTACCCTGACACCTATATCAGGGTCTGGCTGGCTAAGTCTCTCAGATATCTTAGATTTCAGGTGTTTAATCGACTCTGCCGTAAACGCAACCCGATACTGAAGAACGGATCGACGCTTCCTTAGAGTCCAAGCAAAGTTTCGACTGCTCAGTGTTGAATGCGTGTCCAAGAACGCTGAATATGCGGATAGGATCTTCCTCAGCGACTGCCCAGAGCCTGCAGAAAAGACAAATGGAGTGAAGAGGGTATCATCTCTGAATGCTGACGACGAGGTATCTAAAACATCATCGTAGCTCTCAAGAATAGCATGGGCGTTGGTCCCTCCGATACCGAAGCTGCCGAAAACGAGTTAGCTTGGCCTAAGGAGAGGATTTATACACATTTATGCACCAACATACCTGTTCACACTAGCACGCCTAGGGCTGTCTTTATAGATCTGAGGCCACGGCTTCAAAATCTTGCTGATCTCAAATTTGTTGTAGTACGGTGCCACGGATTTGCTGAGGTTATTGAAGTGAAGATTAGGGGGGATGCAAGTATGGCGTAGGGCTAGGGATGCTTTAAGTATACTAGCAATGCCAGCTGAGCCTTCGGTGTGGCCCAGTACAGTCTTCAACGAGCCGACATACATAGGATCCTGGCTTGGTATTCTGTCATTGCAATCCTCGAAGAAGGCTCCATACATTCCAGCTGCTTCGATTGGGTCCCCGGCTGGCGTACCAGTACCATGGGCCTCGAAGTATTGCGGCTGATCTTCATGCTTCAGGGGATTAAGACCGGCCTTGCTGTAGACGCTACGGATCAACGCTTTCTGGGCAGATGAACTAGGTAGAGTAAGGCCGTCTGACGTAGCACCATCTTGGTTCACTCCGGTCTCCCTGATGATGCATTCAATATTGTCACCGTCTGCAAGAGCTTTGGTGAGGGTTTTCAGGACAACTGCCGAAACTCCATCTCCACGTGCGTAGCCGTTAGCATCTCGGTCCCACATCTTGCTTAAAGAATCTGGTGACAGCATTTTTAACTTGCTCATAGTGACGTAGTTCTCAGGTCCAAGGAGAAGATTGGCACCACAAGCCACGGCCATCTGACAGTCGCCAGCTCTCAAAGCTTGAACAGCCAAATGTACCGCGACTAGACTAGATGAGCATGCTGTATCCACTGTGATTGATGGTCCTTGCCAGCCGAAATAGTAAGAAACTCGGTTGGATATCATACTGTTGCTAGATCCAGTTGCCATATATGTTGGAATACTTTGGGTGTCCCTCAGAAGGCTGGCTTCGATATCCCTAAACATAACGCCAGCATATACGCCTGTATCGCTGCCATTGAGGCTGTCAAGGCTAAGACCAGCTGCCTCGACAGCCTCGTACACAGTTTCCAGTAGGAGCATCTGTTGAGGGTCTAGGCTTCGGGCTTCTAAAGGCTTGATGTTGAAAAACTCGGTATCAAACTGCCTCAGGTTCCGCGAGATCAAGTACGCCTGTTTGACGTTGCAGTGTCCGTGATAAGACCCGTCGGGGTGATACCATCCATCAGGGTTGAAACGATCGTCTGATATGACAGAGCGTACGTCTCGGGGCTCGCGAAGAAGTTCCCATAACTGGGAAGTTGAGTTGACATCGCCAGCAAGGTGGCACCCGCTTCCAATAATAGCAATCGGCTCTTGCAGCTTAGCGTACATTATGGGTGATGAAAGGGTAGTTGGAAGTTGGAAGTAAGAATATCTCATTGATCAACTTATTTCTAACAAGTAATAATAAGAGCTAGTTACCTACCTACCTACCTGGTACCTACCCAAGGTATTTAACCTAACCTACCTTATTCACAACGATCATCTCAGCAACTGTCAAAATCCAGAGATGGGCTAGAATTCAGCTCTTTGATAAGTTCGGGGACCAACGAAGACCCTGTAAAATCCATGGTGAGAAATAACTCGATGTCCACGATCGTAAGATTACGAAGAAATGTATGTTGGTGCTTGTGCTGGAATTGTGTCTCGAACTGTGCGGCAAAGATACCTAGATGAAGCCGGCGTTGCTGTCGATGGAGATGGAGTGTGTTATTCCTATGATATGATAGGTGATATGATAGGTGAATTATTACCTGAATGTATGACCTGCATCTGAGATATTGAAATATGGATTGCCATGCATAACGATCCTATGAAAAGATGAGCGAATCAACCAACCGCCTTGTGCAAGTTGGTAAGATTTCCAATGTTAACAGCTCGTCCGGATTAGGAGGAACCTTATTTGTGCGTAACACAACAAGCGTAAGAGAGCTATATGTAAGAAAGTTGTACGCAGGAGAGCCGCGGCTAAGGCGCGCTAATAAGTGAAAGTTCGGGCTCTTGTGCTACCCGAAAGGTGCATGCTTATGCTTATCATTGCCTACAACTCCTTCCATCTGTACGACGCTCCTACAGTACAATTTTCTAAGCGGCTTTTCGATTTAACGGAATACATCTTTGGAAACCATGTTTATTCATTTTCTACCTGTTACTGTTCAGCGAGACCAACCACATTTGACCAAACACAAAACATTTCAGATTCAGATCCCATATGCCGCATGCCACATGCCACAAAAGCAACGCTGGCCTTAATCCTTTCCATTCTAACATGTCAACTGGCATTACATCACAAGAGTATATTGGCTGGCAGGCTGAAGTTGTTGTCGGCGTTTTCACAGCTATCCAAGTGTTTGTTGTGGCTTTTCGTTTCTATGCACGATCTCTCACGGCGAGTCGGTACGGATTAGACGACTGGTTGGTGTTAGCTGCTTTACTCACCCAACTCGTGCAAGGAGGCATAATAATAAGTGAGCAGCCGTGGGAAAGACCGACAGTAGATTACTAAACGATTTAACAGATAGCGTCAGACGAGGGACCGTTGGGTATCATTCCGGGTATCTGGAGGAGACTCGTCCAGAAGCTGTTACCTTATTCTTGAAACATCTCGTGGCTATCTCAATTTTGTATTCAGCAGCAATCTGGATTTCGAAATTATCAATATGCATACTTTATAGGCGTTTGTTCCCACAGCGCCTTGTGTATATTCTATTGTGCATAATTGTCAGTATTATGATAAGCACAAGTATTGTCGCCGTCATTTTACTCTTCGTCGCCTGCAGACCTTTTTGGACAAACTGGGCCGCGCCTTCTATACAAAGCACTTATTGTATAGATAAAGAGGCGCTGTTTGTCTGGAGCTCGCTGCCCAATGTCGTTACAGACGCGGTTATGCTCGCCATACCACTTCCTATTGTGTGGAGGTTGCAGGTATCAAGGAATCTCAAGATTGCATTAACATTTACCTTCTTTATCGGTAGTATGTAAGTGCTCACCTCTTATTCTTATCCTCCTTCTGTAGCTAACACACGGAGCAGCGGCCTCGTAGCATCTATACTCCGATTAGTAGCGTTTCATAATACTAATTCTTTTACTGATGCTACGTATAATGCCGTGGAACTGGTCATCTGGACAATAGCGGAGCCTGGCATTTATCTTATCTCGGCTTGTCTGCTTGTTTACCGTCCGTTGCTAGAGAAGATCCGTATAGCCGTCTCTCTAGTTCGGAGCAAGATGATTACCCCGAGGGCAAGCGGCGCCAGATCCGATAATTATGAGCTAGGGTCAATACCGTACGAGAGACAACAGGGCAACAACCAAGGAAACAGGAACAGTGACATCGAGCAGCTCTGGGGTCAAGATAATAACAGTCAAAGTGTTCTGCATGCCGACGCCCAGGTCATCGAAGCTCAAACAAATCGGCATATGAACCCATCTCACGGCAACGAGAGCGAGACTGGTATTACACGGACTATAGCTATTCAACAAACCTGGAACACAGCTTATTGAAAGTTAGTTTGGATGGCGGTTTTAGCTAGATTACCTAAGGTAACTTATTAAATGTGCCAAAAGTTGTAGGAATTAATATTAATGAATTTACCTCAATAACAATTTATTATAACATTTAATATAAAATAATATGGGTTATTTAAATATTTAGACCAAAACGCTTAAATATTACGCCCAAATAAGCTTCCCAATCCGATCCGATTAAGTGGATATGTGGATATAATATCCCGAACAAGTTTAAGCACTTAATCCCGGGGTTTCGGTACGCTCTACGTTAGAATGCGCGGAATACAAACGGCTAGCCAAAAGGTATTTCTTTCCTCTAGCACAACATGAGTGGCATCACACCACTAGGTAGGTACTCATACAATGTGTTACAGCAGCTGGCTTGTTGGTCGTACATGTTTCCTTTTTTCCTTTCTTACCTTAGGTACACAATACCCCATATTTTGAAGCCTACAATTGGTTAATTGCTTTACCTTAACGATGTGAAGTTTAGGTACAATACCTAAGTACCCCAGGTACCTGTAGGTTAGAGGTAGGTAGGAGGTAGGTAGGCAGATAAATATCCAACGCTTTGCCCTTTGGTAACGAACAAATATTTCGCCTTTCTTTAATGGTATATAAGAACCTGCCTAAACTAAGTCAGTGTCAATAATCCAACAAGCTTCGAAACGGCAATAATGGCTGCTGCGCACTCCAATATCGCACGCTGGCAACATGACTTACTGCCACATATTGTTGACAGATTAGCACGCGAGTCACCAGATGTCGCGTACGGTCTTTGGCCTACCGCATCAGCGTCATATCATGCAGGTTTCGAAACCATTACTTATTCTCAGTTTGCCAACGCGGTCAATGGTTTGGCATGGTGGCTTGTGCAGCAGTTGGGCCCGGGTCACGGAGATGTCATTACTTGTTAGCATTATTACTTCTGTCATTAGCTACTGCTTTGTTGCTCATACCGAGCCTTTCCGGTCGTTCCAGTTAACCTGTGGCTTGTAATATCCGTTAAGGTCTCGTTTTGCTAATTTACTTTTTTATTAGATGTTGGCCCTAACGATGTCCGACTGACAGCCCTGCTGGTAGCCGCCATCAAAACACACCATGTGGTAGGTGATTCTAACTATGGGCATATAACTGGGTCTTGCTAAAGAATAACAGGTCTTCTTGACATCACCGCGAAACAGTGCGGCCGCCCATAGTGTGCTGTTTGAGACTCTAAAGTGCAAAACACTTGTCACGACTGATCCAGTACCGCCACCAGCTCTTGCCATCATTGAGGCTGTACAGCCACGCCGGCTTATTGCTCCAGACCTTGACGACCTCGTTGGTAAAACCCATCAGCACTATAACTGCGACAGGACATACGAGAAAAACTGCTGGGATCCTATTTGGGCTATGTAAGTTTCTTGTATCTTGTGCAACAACGCATCTGAACATTTGACAGACACACATCTGGGTCAACAGGTTTCCCAAAACCCATCATCTGGACGTCTGAAGCAGTTGCGCGCCACCACAATGGTTCAGATTATACGCCGCTTGAAGGAGTACCTTCTCTTGACCACTTCCTTCGTGGCAAGAGGGTATTGACAACTTTACCCTCCTTTCATGTATGTTGAGCAAGCTATACTCACGTTAGAAAACTAATGTTGTTAGGGGGCTGGCTTGGCACAGTACTTGTTCTACGCTGTTCCGTTCGGCAATACAGTAATTGCACCAACGGCAGCAGCAATCCCCACTGCGCAAGGCATTATGGCCGCACTCAAACAAACAACAGCTGATGTCGCAATATTGGTGCCATCGGTAGTGGCAGAGTTGGCACAGGACCCGGTCTGCCTTGACTACGTCGCAGCCAACCTCAAGTTGATTGTGTACATTGGGGGTGATCTCCCGCAAGCTGTTGGTGATCGCGGTAAGTATTGTTCACGTCTGAAAACTCTTTCCGGAGTCCTACTTGAGTCATCCCCTTCTGGCCCACAAGAAGCTTTGGCATCAGCGAAGATAGGTCTATTGATACCTCCTATACTATCCTATTAGTTATGCCACTTTTCATCTTCACCCCCCTCATGAATTGCACTAAATCTCAGTTCTATAGTGGCTGCTAAAATACCACTTCGTTGCCAATGGGGTGCATCTGAAGTTGGCTTACCTCACCAACTTTGGCCGTCTGAACTGGGGCCACAAGACTGGCGCTACATCCGCTTTCATCCATGCACTGGCGCCGTATTCGAAGAGTCTTTGACCGGTACATACGAGCTGGTGTTTCGGAAAAAAACATCTTTGGCCGCCACGCAACCCGTGTTCAGCATCTTGGGCCAAGATCAGCTCGAGGAGTACCGTACTCGTGATCTCTTCGAACCTCATCCAACAGTCGCCGATGCCTGGTGCTGGCGGGCTCGTGTTGATGATGTGATAGTCTTTCTCAATGGCGAGAAGACGAATCCAATCATGATGGAACAGAGTACTGTAGCCAAAAACCCCGAGTTGAGTGGCGCTATTGTTGTTGGTACCCAGAGATTCCAGGCCGCACTTCTGGTTGAACCGGTTCCCACAGTCGCCGCCATAAGCACTGCAGATCAGGCTGCTCTGATAGAACGCATTTGGCCAAGTATTGACGAGGCCAACAGCATTGCCCCTGCCCACGCACGTGTAGAGAAGTCTATGATCCTCGTTACTGTCCCAGAACGACCGATGATACGTACCGGCAAAGGTACAATCCAAAGGGATGCTAGCGTGGCTCAATATTCTAAAGAATTTGATAAGCTGTACTCAGATGCAAATGCTATCCTTGAAGACGAGATCTCCGATGAGATGCCAAACCTAACGGATACCAACATGGTCACACAACTAATTCGGGACGCTATCCTCATAACAACAGGCTGGCACGACGTAGCCGACTCTACAAACTTCTTTGATAACGGTATGGACTCACTTCAAGCACTCCGGATCACCCGCGCCCTCCGACGTGGTCTTAGAAGGAACAATATTGCTTTGTCTACAGTATATCAGAATCCTACCATTGTACAACTGAAGACCGCAATCATCACGCAAAGAAGTGGTGAAGACGATGGCGCCATTATGCAATCATTGTTGTCCACCTACCAGGGGCTTATACATCAGATCGAGTCGTCAAAGTCGTCTAACACAAATCATAGTGGAACCATAGATGTCGTACTAACTGGGTCGACTGGAACATTGGGAACATTCATACTAAGGGCCTTGCTTGATCATCGGAGCATAGGCCACATCTTTTGCTTGAACCGTAGCGCGGATGGCGGTCGTGCTGCTCAGTGGGATCGCTTTAAAGCCACAAACCTTACAGGGAAAGGGCTCGATGACAGAGTCACTTTCCTTCAGTCCAACTTAGCACTGCCATTGCTAGGACTCGAAGAAGCTACATATGAAACGTTGCGATCTCGTGTGGGACTGATCGTTCACAACGCCTGGCCGGTCAATTTTAATCTGGGTTTACTGTCCTTTCGACCGCAACTGGCTGGGATAGTGAACCTATTTGCACTCTCAAACGCCTCAACTACACAGAAGATGAAATTATTGTTTATTTCATCGGTAGGGGTTGTGACCGGAAGCTCGTCCAGTTCGGAACTTGCCCAAGAATCCTTGGTCGAGTTGCAAAGTACGCCGCACAGCAACGGTTACTCCAGAAGCAAGCTTTTAGCAGAACATCTATGTCATTATGGCGCTCGTCACCTGGGTGTCCCTGTAGCAATTGCACGAGTAGGTCAGGTTGCCGGCGCCATCCATACCAAAGGCATCTGGAATCCTTCGGAGTGGCTCCCGAGCCTTGTTATAGGCTCGCGACAGCTCGGATGCTTGCCGAACAATCTAGGACCTCAGTTTTCCGTGATTGACTGGGTACCGGTCGATGCTTTAGCCGACATAGTAGTTGACCTTGTGGCCCATCTCACTGGAGACGAAACATGGGGCTCTAAGGGGGCTGAGGTGTTCAACCTACGAAACCCATCTACAACCACCTGGGAAGGCCTCTTGCCAGTGATTAAGGAAGGTATTGAGTCTCATCTGGGTCGAGCAGTTGACGTAGTGCCGCCAGAGACGTGGCTAGCTCAACTGCAGACAACTACTGAAGTAGTGATGACTGAGAGCGAGGAGGTCATCTCCAAAGACATAGCTGGGACAAATCCAGCAATTAAGTTGCTTGAATTTTACCAGAATGGACTGTGGAGTGAAGATCAAGTTACGGCGTCAATGGCTGTTGAGCGGGCTCTAGCAATTAGCCCGACGCTGCAGGAATTATCACCTGTTCGTCACAGCTGGATGCGCAAATGGGTTGACGAGTGGCTGGCTTCGATTTCAGCAGAGAATACCGCAGCACGGGGATAAGTATATCGAACGAGATGCTAACCTAGTGAAATGGGGTAATTACCTGTGTGATGATGGATTGAAAACGTGGGTATCCGGGTCGTCTGTAAGCTCTTATTCCAACGCGTTGTTCTATTTTGCTAGCAAGCTACACGCACATTCTTTTATAACGTTTCCAACTACCTGCTAGGTACCTACATTTTATTCAATGATGGCTTTTTGATCAAGTAAACTCCTTATACAGAGTATATTGAGTATATTCCCGTCTATTAACCCGAAACCCCAAGGGGTGCGTATGGAATTAGCATATCGAGCTTCTTAATCCGGACGAGCTGGGTTGATACAATATTCCGAACAAGCTCGAACAAGTTCGGGCATTGGTCGATCGCTGTTTCGCATGTGGGTCGTTTCTTCAACTGCATTAACTCAATGTTGAAAATCATCGATACGACGTTTGGTAGATCTGTCAGAATTCTGAATAGGTTGATGCCATCAAAGTTTCGGCGCATCCATTGAATGTGGCCTATCTCAGCCGTAGTGCTACTATAGTCGCCATAACAAGCCGTAAAGAGCAGCCATGTCTAATTATAGCTCAAATTACAGCCACCGTTCAGTTTCACTAACAGTAAGCTTACCAGGAACGCACGATGACGCTCCTTAAAGAAAGGGGGCCATGAGACAAGCTATAAGAGCAAGGCTCTGAATGATTTTATACAAATAGAGCCGAGCTACTCCATTGACTTCGATGATATCTCTATATTAATTAGCCATTCATTATAAGTCAACAACATTTCATTCCATCCTCTTTATTCCCTACGTATCATAGGTACAAAATGTCTTTCAAGAGCTTCATCGGTGTTTCTCTCCTCGTGGGTGGATCTTTCGCTAGGGACGTTCCGTCAAATATTCGAAACTTCTACAATAACATCAAGAACAACGGCCGGTGCAACTCTCCTTTGGCAAGCGGATTCTACAGCCAATACGACGATGACAACTGTAATAGCCCCAGACCACCTCAAATGTCATGCCCCTAATATCAGGCTAACTCAACTGATAATAGCTTTTTCGTATTGCGGGGACCATCTTGAAGATTCTGGGGTTATCTTCATCCAAGGAAGTAATGGCCAATTCGCCAACATGGACATCGACTGCGACGGTACTCAAGGCGGCCCGGCCGATGACGGCCGTTGCGGAAACTCCGACGACACTCAATCGATCACATCCTTCGCCGATACCGTGAGAGGATACGGCAAAGGTGTCGACGACTTGGATGCTAAGATCCACCCTTACGTCGTTTTCGGAAATGTCGGCGACAAGCCCGGCTTCACGTCCTTCGACCCTCAGGCGCACGGCATCGAGCCGTTGAGCATCATGGCCGTCGTATGCGGCGATAAACTAGTAAGGAATGCCCCATCCCCGCTGACAATAAATGAGAAGGATCACAGGAAAGAAGAACGGGATAGGTACCTAGGTAGCTAATCGAGATAAGATCTACGGAGTCTGGGGTGACGAGAACGGCGACGACGGCGAGAAGTCCGTCGTGGGAGAGGCGTCGATCTCCCTCGCCACCGCTTGCTTCGGAAAGAGCATGACTGGAAACAACGGCCACGACGAGAACGACGTTTTGTATATCGCATTCACTGGCGGCGATGCAGTTCCTGGTCGGAACGGCGCGAGATGGGAGGCGCGGAGCTACAAGGAGTTCGAGTCCAGCATTAAGGGCCTTGGCGACCGACTCATCCAGCGCATCCAGGCTTGAGCGGCAAGGCAAGGCAAGGTTTGCCTGCCTAGGACGGCTTGGACTTGACGCAGTCTACTTGATATATCACTTTGTTTCAATGCATTATTCATATTCGTACCTAATATAACTTTCTCTTCCGAGTTATAGTAATTGGCCTAAATCACCTGGTCGCAAGGCCACGAGATGGTTTCTCTAGAAGCAGTCTAAAGGGCGCTTCGAAATATTAGGTACGCATCTACTGAGTACGTTTATGCCACTTGGATACTAAGAGACACTTGACTCAAGCCTGCTGAAGTCGAAGTTATCAAAACGTCGAAGGAGTATGCAAGTACCTGCATACCTAGGTACCTATCGGAGCGGTCTAATAGAAAGCAAGGAGCTTGATACGTCCCAGTATATTTTTATCTTCTACGAGTTACTTACCTTTTATCCTCTATTAAGAAGTTGGGCCCCAACTCAAACATTACACAAACTAGGACAGCAAGGTTATATAAAGTAGCAAATTGACAGATATACCTACGCGCTCAACAACTTTGGTATGTTAAGGCGTGGTTGGCTGACCTGTACGTGCCGATTGATGGCCAATTACGCCTGATCCCAACGCACTTCGTACGAAGAAGGTGGACTTTGGTCGCAAACTCCATTAGGTATCTAGGTAGACATGCGTAATACTGAATTAATCGAGAATATGAACGCAAATGCTTCCAAGATGAGCTATGATATAGACAAGACGTTGCCTTAACTGATATCTTCAACTCAACTGAAGTTGAGTAGTTCGTAAGGGAAGGGGTTTGATGCGATGACCTAATCGAAAACGCGGAGAAAGCTTCAGGAGAGTACTTCAACATGGGCCGGCAGTAAAGTTACCTAGGTACCTAGGTAGGAGATGTTGAACTTATAATACATAACGTTCTAGAAATAGAAAATGGAACCATGGACCAGTGTGCGATATCAGGTATTGAGAAAGACCCCTCAATAATTTGAGACACAAAGCGTGCGCTGACGCGGGTAATCTTGGCCCATTGAGTCGCTGGCTGTGAGGTTCATTGCAGGCGGTCCTTGGAACCCTTTTGGCCAACATCTCATCTCCGGATGAGATTAGCGATTGTATTTGAGGCGCATGATCTGGTAGGACGCCCTCGGGGTTGGCGAGTTTTCGACTCTAGCCCCCGCGCGAATGAGTTGAGAAGCATGCTAGCACCAAGGCAGGCTTTATTTTTGGGATTGGACATCGAATCTCATAAGCATGAAGCATTGGATAAGTTGAGAAATGTATAGCAGCAATGATAGAGTAGGGATGGAGAGCTAACTCGCTTTTGGTGTCAAATATTCCCACACAAAGATTTCCCGGCGGCTCGGGCAGCTCAGGTTGGATTTAAGCAATGCTTACCTTTAAGTACCTAGTAACCAAACATCTTAGGAATGAACGGGCGAAAGAAAGCAGCCAATGATACACAATAGAGTTAAATCAGTCCATTCCGGAAACGAACAGTTCAATAAAACAGAACGAGGGGAAGTTTGCTCTTCTCATTTTTAAGTTTATTACTGCGTCGAATTCGAAGATTCTGGCCCGATGTGGCTCATGTTTACTTTTTGTTCAGGGGACGCTTTACCCCAACTTTGTCCAAGAGCCTCAGGGACGGGGAAAATGCCGATCAGGACAGCTTCGTTAGCTGATTAGGAAGCTCACAAGGGAAGGATTCGGGACCTCGGAAGGGATACCTAGAAGGTAAAGCAAGTTCTTTGTTTGTCTTTCTACCAATAGAGCGTAGTGCCAACCAACAACCATCCGAACCATTCGACAAACAGTCAAATCACGACGAGTTACCGCCCCTGCGGTGTTCCCATAGAAAATGCAACAAGGACTTTTTTCCCCGCATTCTCTTTGACCTGTCCAGCCTATCTCGGCTCTACTCGTATTATTTACCACCAACTACTGCAGCATAGCTCCCCCAAATTCACGTCATATGCTCACTTGTAGCCAGGGCATCTGCAAGGGTGATAAACATGACCACTCAGGAATTCTCTGCAAACAACGCAGCGTGGTTAGGCTGGCGCCGATCTGCGGTCTAGAAACTCCAGCTGGAAAAAAAAAACAAAGAAATAGGTCAAATTGACGGGTTCAAATATCACTGGCCGCCTCGCCCTCCTTTTGCTTGGGGTAACCCCAGATTTACGTCTCTTGGTATGTCTTATCCATCACTCGTTCTTGGAGATTTCCCCAAGACTTCGAAGTCAGGTACAATGCGTCTTCTACCCTTACTATTCGCCCTCTCCGGAGGGTTCCCCTCGGTCTCAGCGCAATGTCCTGATTACTCGAAATATTCGATGGCTAAGCACGAGCCATTCTCGACAGGGAAGTATCATCTTTCTTACCAGAGGCCAATTGCCGCGTGTCGGACGGCCAATATTTCGGATGTCGAGAAGACTATCCAAGATATGAAGGCGGTGGTGAAGGACCCAGACTTATACCGACTATTTGAAAATTCCTTCCCAAATACATTGGACACTACCGTGAAATGGAAAGGCTATGCGGCAGATGACTCGACGGAAGAGGTATATCAGTCCACCTCTATGGCTCATTTGGACCAAGTTAACACTTTTCAAGCTCACGTTTCTTACGACCGGAGATATTGTAGCTATGTGGCTCCGTGATTCAGCCAACCAATTGCGTAGCTATAAGTCGCTGCTCAAGGCCGACAATTCTCCCAATTCGTTAGCATCTCTCTACCGCGGTGCGATCAACTTACAGGCGCGATACATCATTCGGAATCCGTATTGTAATGCGTTCCAAGCACCCGCCGAGTCTGGTTTACCACCGGAGAGCAACGGATTTGCGGATACCGATCAGGTGACGCCCCCTTACAACACCAGCTTTGTTTTCGAGTGCAAGTACGAGCTCGACTCCATCTCGGCTTTCCTGCAATTATCGTACGACTATTATAGCAAGACCAAGGATGTGCATTTCTTTGGCAAGTACCAATGGGTTAAGGTTGTCGAGACAATTCTCAACGTGGCGGAGGGTCTTCTAGTCGGAACGTACGCTGACGACGGATCCGTCAATGTGTCGCCGTATACTTTCCAACGAGGGAGTACCAGCGCAACGGAGACTCTTTCGAATACCGGAGCCGGGAATCCGGTGAAAAGCGGCACCGGGTTAGTTCGCAGCGCATTCCGGCCTTCGGACGACTCGACCATCTACCAGCTGTTCATTCCCGCGAACATGCAATTCTCGAGCTATCTCGGAAAATCCGCCAAGATCATGGCGGCACACAACCCCAGACTTGCAACGCGCATGAGCCTCTTCGCGCGCAGCGTGCGAGCGGGAATTGAAAGGCACGGTAAGGTGCACCACGATGTCTTCGGAGAGATATACGCGTACGAGATCGACGGGTTCGGGTCGCGAAACATGATGGACGATGCCAACGTCCCGAGCTTACTGAGCGCGCCGCTTCTAGATTATCTAGACGCATCCGACGGGACGTATCAGAGAACGCGTAAATTTGTGCTTTCGACGTGGAACCCGTATTATATGCACGGGCCTGTGCTGAATGGGTAAGTTGCTACCTAAACCTAATCTACCTAACCTAACCTTAGTACCCAAGGCTTGCCTTTTATACCTAATGTATATGAAGACACGATTTACAGTGGCGATACTAACGTGCAGCCAGTACCGGAGGTCCTCACGTGGGGCCTGGAAGGGCCTGGCCAATGTCGATCATCACGTCACTCTTGACCTCCGATGATGACGAAGAGATCATGACCGGCCTGCAGGAACTGGTATCATCGACCGACGGTCTGGGGTTGATTCACGAATCTGTAAATACGTTTAATGCGTCGGTATGGAGCCGAGAGTGGTTCTCCTGGGCCAACGGATTATTCGGTGAGATGCTGCTGGGACTGAGGGATAGGAAACCTCATTTACTTGAGACAAGCTTCCAGTAGGCGTCCATAGAACGTGGTTGAAGGGGGTAATATGCGAGTTGTCGTTACATAAAAATAGATATAATTTATATTTAATGGCCACGTCAAGTTTGTTAAGGCAACTAGTTGGTGTCAGCTGGTTATCTCGTTGGTGTTGTGCGTAAAATGGAATAAGACCGTGCTTAGGGCTACCTAGGAGGTAGAGGTAGCTATATTCCCGTATACACGCTGCATCGTGTGCCTTTTATAGAGAGAGTATGAAGTGGTCCAATCATATTTAATCCGAGTTAGCCGTCATTAAATCGCAACGTGATTGCCATGCATACGACCATAGACTTCCCAACGCAGGAACAATCTACAATCGATGGATAGGTTTCTTTCACTTATGTACCTACTATGTAGGAACGTCCTTATCAGGGGTGGTATACATCAGGTATGCTCAACCCAGCAGCCCAGTTGGTCAGATGAACCGGTGTGTCAGTGGTGGTCTACTGACACTGGCCAACAAGGTGAACGTAGCGAACGTAGCGGATGTAGCAAATAATATGAGACATGATAGGTCAGGTTTTCCCATGATCTATGTTGGTAGGTAGAGTTAGGTATACAGATCCAATACTTTAAATACCTAGGTATTGACTTTAAGGGGTCCACGATAGTTGATAGTTGGTCTCCGATGGCTTGTTTCGCCACTGCCTAATAAGGTGTTCACCCTACGGACGTACAAGAAGTTAGATAGGAGGTAGGTAGATAAGGCAGGTCTAGGTAGGTACCTGAACAACGCACATGCGTATACCTTTGACATGGTCTCCGGTTTCTGGATTGGTATTGATTGGAGACGCCGACAACGACGCTCTGCCGGCGCTGCGTGGCCCCGTGCCTGTGGCCTGGCTGGTTGCAGTATAATCCTGCATATAGCTGGGGAATAAGAGATTGTATTTCGTAGTTATTTGCATTTGTACCTACTTGAGTTTTTTTTTTTTTTTAGTTGTTCTTTTTCAGATCATTTATGGAGAGTTGATTTGTCGCGTGCAGACCCTTAATTGTATTGTTACCTGTACCCTACCTGTCTAAGGGGAGTACTTAACTTGCCTTAGGTTAGGTTAGGTATTTAAGTCACTTCTAAATCAACTTTCTCGAAGACTTATGGAAGTGATGAATGTCTCCAAGTCTTTTCTTTGACTTAGGTATAGTGTGAGACTTAATAATGTGAGACTTGCAATCAATCTCACAGTTTAATGCCCTGGTATATACCATAGTACACTGTATATCTTATGCAAGCTGTAAGATCAATGCACAAGGCACGGTACCTAGGTACCTACCTATCCATGTATTGTACAACCAGACAACTAAGGTTCTATGCACTAAAGCAGCTAAAATAGCTTAAACATCTAACAAAATCGTCATAGACAACCAATCAGAAACAATAGTTCGGTGGCCTGGATGATACCTGGACGATTAAGTCTTATCAGGCGGTCGGCTCGTCATCCTAGGTATCTTCTTTTTTCCCTCTCCTCCGTCTCTGTGCCTCAGCACCTCAGCACCACCTCAGCACCACCTCCAGCACCTCCAGCAACTCTGCTTTGCTAAACCGTACTGCTTGCTTCGGTCGGCACTCCAAACTCTCCGCCAATCTTCAACCAGTACGGTCCGGACCGATGACGGATGGCCACAAGGTCTTCTTGATATCCTTGATATTACCCTTGGGGAAAAAACCTAGGAAGTTAGAGATCACGAGGAGAGAGCCGTCTGACTCTTCTACATAGTAATTCTTCTTTTGAAGGTTGAATGATGAATCTCTTCCTCTCTCTTCCCTGCCATTGATTATTATACACATTATACATATTATACACACTGTTTACATCACTTTTCCCCATTCACATCTTTTATTTTCCAATATCGCTATTTTTATTATTGCCTATTATTCAATTGCGCCGACTTTCAGCTCTTATCTTTCTTTCTGTCTTTGTCACTTAACCTCACTTGTTATCTCCTCTAATAGGGTCGAGATATCGAAACTTGAGAGTTATAACTTGTTCATCACCTAATCCGTCCCTTGTTCTCAGAGATCTCATCCCTCATCCGTTTAGGCACACTAACGCACTTACACACGAATACAACACGAATACACGCACTCATTTCTCAGACTAGGCACCACCACACCAAAGGAGTTCTTAGCAACAATGGCACTGTCTACCTAATAAAATCTAGCTTAGCCAGCTTTAGCCAGCTCTACCCAGCTTCCCTAAAAAAAAAACCACCCCCAAAACCCCTGCAGCCACCCGCATCCAGTTAGCAGAGCCGCCCGCCACGTTCTACCGCCGGCTAACTATTACCATTGACACACCAGATCACTACTAGACAATCCAATTCAACACAATCGACGCCTTGTCTAGACCCCGTCCTTTCTTTTCTGTCGTTGTATGCCTGCTTACGTGTTTCAACAACCCGCCCGTTCAGCCTATACTCGCTGCGACTAGCTGCCTCTCTTGACTTCTGTGTATAAGCTCGCGTATAAATCACCTGTGGCTACCTTAAGTCTGCCTAGCTGCCTACCTAGCTGTCTATCTATACCTATTTCACCTTACGAACAATGGATGCTAAAGTGCGGTGGCATCGAGCTAGAACTTCTGTTTCCATCTAACAAATCCATCCGGGACTTCGTAACAACACCCTTAGTTCGTCCGCTGTATCGCTTCATCTGCGCCCGTTGGCACGAACTACTTACTACTCGAGATATTTCTCGAAATTGTGCATCGTCCGATCTGAACGACCAATCAATAATACCCCTCCGTCTTTGGCTTTGCCCATTTACTACCAGGCTTACCGTAGCTTGCGTCGCGACGACTTCAAGATGCATCAGACCCCTCGCGCCCCGCCTCGCACAGCCTCGCCCGCCTTATCCTCTCAGACGAACCCCGCAAGAACCAACAACCAGAGAGATCCAGGAAGTCCTACCAATCGCCCATCATCGAGACCAGGTTCTAGGGCCCAGGAAGGAGCGGTGGCAGGGACAGGCGGCAGCAACCGTGGTGATGGAGCCGGTCCTACTCGAGAATCCGTCAAGAAATTGGATCAGATCATTCAGGTCGGTGTTTGATTGCCCGTGCTGCTTTATTTACGAATTCTAACGTGTAGTCTACGAATATAGAATATCTACTCCAAGGCTGGTACCGTCATCTTACAAGCACGTATACAGGTAACTCCGGTTCTAGTAGGTAGGTCGTTTGAAAAGAGAACAAGTCGATGGGTAAGTATAGATCCCTAGCCGCCGTAAAGACATTGACAATGGATCTCACCATGTACTACCTGCAGTTCCAACTTGATACGGACGATATCGACGATTTCCGAGATGAATTTCGCATATGGAAACAATGCGGCGGGTTCGAAAACCGGCCTCCTCCCTTAATTATCGAGACCTACCTCGATGCGTCTTGGTTGAAGGGTGGTCAGAGTTTGGTAATTCTAGACGAAGATGGTAAACGGTGGGATGTTGTCGAAGCCCTCAATTCTTCCGACCAGTCTAGCGATAGCAGCTCAGGTCGTCAAGGCGAGCCGATCACGCAGCTTGTATTGGAACGGTGGCGTGTTGAGCTGAAGGGACCGAAGCCTGATATATCAGACGACTTTGGTTCTCTGCTTCCAACGGTATATAAGAAGGCCATCGTCTTAATGCGATCAATATATGCGACGACAGGTATCTTACCCGCTTGGAAGCTCGCTAGGAATTCCAAGACCAAAGGTAGCCATCCCGCATTGTCAACCCGCTGCCGAGTATTTTCGGGGGAACCGCCAGCGTATGGGTCTGACACCTTGAGAATGCCGCTATATGCCGGAACAGGGGATGTCTCTACGGATTTCATATTTGGTGACCTCGAAGTCCCTGTAGGACGTTTCTACGTTTCTGCCTCTTATCGCAACAACTGCAATTTCCAAGTTGTCGAAACCGAGTCTCTATTAAGTTCCCGTATTGGCATGGCCATTTCTGATGACATGTTCAGGCCATCGCTGCCTCATCGTGGTTATGGACGCCACGAATCAGACGCCCCGGAAGTTGGGTCGCTCCCGTACCACCGCCACGCACAAGACGTTACCGAGAACCAGCAACGATACGGTAGCCTATCTACGTTTCATGGCGAAGGGCCTGTTGGCACCAGTCCTATTTCCGCGTTGAGGGCCGTTAAAGCCCCAGGGTCGGATACAAGTTCGCCGCCCGAGTCTGGACCTGCTAGTGTTGAAGCTGCTCCGCACACTCTCCCTATCGCCGGTCCTGCTCGGCAGCCATCCCTTAGAGGGCTGGACCGACCGAGACGCCCGTCCATCTCCTTTCAGTCTCCTTTCAAACACGGTTCTCTTTCGAGCTCTCCTGTAACTCGATTGCAGGACCAAGATATTCCGCCGTCGCCGTATTCCCTTAGTAGAGCTTCGGGTTTAAGTGCACATATAAGGAATCGTTCTTCGTTAACCGCCGGAATGCCAGCTTCGTTGCGGGAGAGACCTCCACCAACTGTAGCAGATAATTCCGTCGCCAGCTCGCCAAGACCATCCGTCTCAAATCGATTTAGCAGCAGCTTCACACATCGCCGTAGCCGACCATCGATAGGCGGTACCAATAGAGGCGATGACGACCAAAATAGCAGCGGCAAGCAAAGCGTCTCATCTTCCATTGTTCAACCGGGTTCTGGTTTATTGAACGAACTTGGTGCGGGCGGTAGTTCTGGGTCCTTCCAAACTGATGATGATAACATCCAGGATTTCTTGAAGCTGATTGAAAGCAAGAGGACGCTGCAAAGTTTCGATCCTACCAAAAAGGGAGAGTCGGCGACGAAGAGAACGACAGCTCAACTATCGAGATTCCAACTCATGCGTGAGTCGAATAACGCCCTCACCGAATCCATGAACTCGTCTATGCAATTACAGCGTTCGTCCAGCTCGTCGAGTCGGCAGTTGGCCAACGTTCCAGGCATGTCAACATCATCATCACCAGTAAAACCATTATCACCCCATACACCCCACACACCAGCCATTCCATCGCGGCTGAGCGAGAATTCGAGTATCGACTACGCACCCACTGCAAGAGTTACATCCCGGTCACGTAATGTTGAGGATCTCGTAGAGGAGCCGGTTGGTATATCAACCACCCATGAGGGAACCACCGCGATAGACATCCCTACTTCCCCACGGCCTTATCCTCATGGAAGACGATCAAGTTCTGTGGCCCATCAAAATCGCGCGTTGGTAGATGACGACGATGTCGATGCGCATCGTAGCATAAGTCTCGGTGCAGAAGACCGCGAGCCACCCAGCCTTAGCGTTCTGCTGGGACGTAATACAGAAGCCGACAACGTAGTGGATACGCCGGGGTTACAATCTCCTGCGGACATTAGGACAACGAGTTCACCGGATATTCTCGAACAGGAATCAGAATCCGTTGAACGAGAAGTCCGTCCTCCTGGCGGCCTTTACACTGGATACTCCAATTCACCTTATACCAGACGTTACGGTAATAGTATTGGGCGGGGGATAACACCTCCCCATTCTGGAAGCGGCAGTCTAGCAGGATCCAGTGGAAGAATCGGCCGAGGTTATTCGCGCGGCGGTGCTACCGGCCTAGGCGTGGCAGGTGCCGTCGCGGACGAGACCGACGACGAGCCACTTCTTTTTGACATGTCGGAGATCACCCGCGAACAATCACGCCGCAGCCTTGAGGAGGGTAGGGGCGGCGGCAGCGTGGGTTCTACTAGCGATAGAGGAGGATTTGAAACAAGCCATAGGAGTCGCCGTTGGTAATGAATTACTATCTCCACTATATAAGCCCTTCAACCTCTTGAGTGTGTTTCATTTCGTTGTTGAGATAAATTGTTGTGTAATGTTTGTCTTGGTCGCGGATGGATAGGGGACATATGTATGGAATAGGGAACGAGTCAGAGGGACGGCGAGGTTTTTCTTATGCTGCTGGAAACGGATAGGTCCTGGTCCTCGGATATCTATTGCACCTACAGACTGCCATTGTGATTTCCTGGATGGCGTGGATGTTGTTTTGATAGGAGTTTGACTGCATTTTGGAGGGATATGACTATTCTTAATGACGGCTGGAGTCTAGAGTGGGGGTTTGTGAGGTCCATTATCATCACATCACGCTCGAGGAAGACCGTCTGGCGTTTTTTTTTTTCTTCGTCTTGGTGCATTGCAGAAGGGATGGTATTCCGGTATTCCTGCATGTGGACGACCTTGTTTGGTCTCGAGTTCAGGGTCGCAGATGGAACTGCTTTAAGACTACAAAGGTAAGCCCGGTGGCAAAGTCCCATCGGAAGAACGAACGCATCACTTGTAGATGGAATAGAAAGGATATATAGTACAAGACTACTAACATGAGACTCATTTCCCCTCTCGGAGCTATTCGTTGATTACTTTCGGGCTTTTATGTAACTACCTTGTTTTAGATATTTGGTATTTATGAACTGAATTGAAGTACATACCTACCTCCTATTAACCTAACCGAGCCGAACCTATAATTTATATATCATATTTCACAATCCGCCTTGGCATTTAGAGGCGTAAAGTATGCGTATGTCCACCTAAGCCGAGAATCGGAAAGTCGAGGCGCAGTGGAAAGATATTGATAGAAATAGTAGTGCAACTATAGTATTCCAAACGTCACCGCGTTGCTTTAAACAAGGGCGAACGCTATACTCGGTTAGCTTAGGAGGTACCTGTAATTACGATGGGGCTTCCATTGTTACGAATCCCGTGGTCAAGACCAAAATAAAGTCTTTGAACAGAACGCTAAAGAGCCTAACTTGGCTAAACGGGGGGAACCTTTCCACTACAATAAGTGCAATAATATGTACAATACCTAAGTCAGGCTAGGGTGCACGTGGTATGGCAGTGAGAAAGTGGAAAGCAAGCACAAGCCAACGTCATCAATTATGATCTACCTGTAGACACTTTAGGTACATTATGTACCATGTATCCCACCTCCAGGCTCCAGTGAAATCTGTAATACCTATGTAGATTAGGTACCTTTGTAGTTTACTCCAGGCTTTATCAATGTATTAGGTATTCTTATTAATTAACAACTACAACTTCAACTATCACTTCAACTACAACTACCACTTCAACTACTACTACTACCACTATCAATACCACTACACAACGTCACTCTCATACGTTAATAACATTCGCCCGCCGAGAAATACCTAACTTTTAATCCCATAATTATATCAAAACGAGAAAGCCGACGATTATATTAGCGACAAGCTTCAAATTATAAGGGATTACATTCTTTCTTCACCCCTCTTGCTGCCCAGCATGTTTCGGGGAACAGCAGTCGGACCTTATGACGAGTCGATCGGTACGTTCACGCGAAATGTAATCGCATATGGCCCCCCTACATATAATTGCAAATTAACATAATATTGCTCGCAGCCAAGGCGACCGACGAGAATCTCACCTCGGAGGATTGGGGTGCTATTATCGAAGTCTGCGACAAAGTGACAAGCGATCCAAATGGCCCCAATCAAGCAGTTCAGAGTTTAATCAAGCGCTTGGCGCATCGCAACGCCAATGTCCAACTTTACACTCTGGAGGTCAGTCATCTCATGCTCGGGTTCGCTTCACTTTTCTATCATGCTGACAATATCCGCTTCGAACATTAGCTCGCAAACGCGCTCTCTCAGAACTGCGGTAAGAATATGCACCGCGAGCTTGCCAGCCGCGCCTTTACCGATGCCCTCCTTAAACTTGCCAACGACCGCAATACACACCAACAAGTCAAAGTCAAGATCCTCGAAAGGATGAAGGAGTGGTCTGATATGTTTAGCAAGGATGCCGACCTCGGGATCATGTATGATGCCTACTACCGTCTTAAGCAGAGCAATCCGACATTGCAGCCACCCTCGGCCCCGCAGAAGACCGGTCTTACCGAGTTGGATCGACAAAAGGAAGAGGAAGAACTACAGATGGCGCTAAAGCTATCCTTACAAGAAGAGGACAGAAAAAAGGCACCACAACCCACTGCTTCTGTCGCAGGACCCAGCTCAAGCTCAAGCGTGGGTCCAAGTGCGGCTGCTGCTCCGGTCGAATCGATACCCTCTCACCCTACTGGCACGACAGCCGCTACGGTATCGCGAGTACGCGCCCTCTACGACTTTGTGCCATCAGAACCCGGCGAACTTGAGTTCAAGAAAGGGGATATTATAGCTGTTTTAGAGTCCGTCTATAAGGATTGGTGGCGGGGCTCATTAAAAGGCAGAACTGGCATTTTCCCCCTGAACTACATTGAAAAGCTTGCCGACCCGACTCCCGATGAGCTCCAGCGCGAAGCGCAAATGGAGGCCGAAGTATTTGCCGAAATCAAGAACGTAGAGAAGCTTCTTACACTGCTAAGCACCTCCAACGCATCGCCGAGGGAAGAAGACAATGAGGAGATATCAGTACGTTTCGAGCCGTTAGAGTTGTATATTTATAGTACAATTGATTGCTAACTGCCAGACCAGAAATTATACCACCAAACACTTGCTATCCGACCTAAGTTGATTAAGCTAATTGAGAAGTACTCTCAGAAGAAAGAAGACTTCACACAGCTCAATGAAAAATTCATCAAGGCCAGAAGAGATTACGAGTCACTTTTAGAATCTTCAATGTCCCATCCCCCTCAACCGAACTACCACCAGTATGCGCCGCGACCAATCATAACTCACGGATACGGAGTTCCGGGGGGTCCAGGGCCAGGTCCGAGCTTCGCTCCTCAGGGACCGCCGCCTGGCCAACAGGAACCCCAGAGGTTCTATACGCCTGGACCTCAAGGGCCTCCCCCACAAGGTATGTAATATTCAAACGTCTTTACACGAAGACGGCTCACATATATTCAGAGCAGAACCGGTACCAGGCTACATCACCGCCTCCTAATTTCCCACGGCCATCAGCAACACCTGCTCCATTTTATCTACAAGGAACCGAAATTCCTGCTCAACCAAGCCAGCCGCAACCTCAGCAATACCCCCCAAGAGATCAGCCCTCTCGGATAGCTGCAGGGAAGCAGCCTGTTCCTCTGCAAACGTCTTCTCCGCCGCCGCCGCAATCTTACCAAGCGTATTCTCAACCTGCTCAGCCTGAACAACGGCCTCAGAGCACTTACGGTAATCCCCAAGAATTAGCCACATCAGCCTACGACTCTCCCATCGCGGCCACCCATAATCCCAGCAGGCCTGATCCCTATTCCGCGTCAGTCTATTCTCAGGAAGACCCTTACGCCACAAGCCCAACAGCTACTGCCCCTCCCGCCTCATTGGGTCCAACACAAGGCGGCCAGCCCCCTCTTGCTATCGCACCTCACCCTTCAGGACCTGCCCAACCACAGTATTCGGCATACAATCCCAATGTCCAACGCCAGGACTCGTATGATGCTCCTTCTCAGGTACCCCCTCAGCCGACCGGGTCGGCGCCACCTATCCCGCAGGGTATCCAGCCGCCGCCCAGCGTGATGGCACCGCCATCCCTCCAACCAGGCGGGCCGGCATTCGATGCCCGGCAGTCGCTCCCGAGCCAAATTTCGCAGGGCCCACCGCAGCAGCCTCAGTACAAGGCGTACGTACCACCGGGGAACGAACCTACCGCGCCACAGGACTTCTATAGGCAAAATGCAGCGTACTAGTGTAGGTAGATAACAGATATAATCAAGTAGATGGTGATAAGGCCGCATATATAGGGGTTTAATGGGAATTCAACCTTTCGGGCCAAAATCTTCAGCCCGATTTTCTTTTACTATGGGCATCTACTGGTGGAGAGTTTTCGTAACTAGGCGAGGTTGATTCCCCCCCCGTTCGTTCTAGTGGTTCTAGAGAAGTAGCATGTTAGGTACCTAAATAATGGACGCGGTATTACATATGAGTAACGTACTTGCGGACTTGAAGTGAATATGATTATAGTAGTGGAGGGTGCTTAAGAAAGGGTGAGTAAGGAGATAAAATAAAGCGCAACAAGTTTGCTCTTAGTGATGAAGACATGGTCAAGCGTGATAGGTGTGTGCAATGGTGATTAAATGGAATTACCTAGATTCTATTTTTATGAATGGCACCCCTGATAAAATATGGAAGGAGACGTTGCTTGTAGCAAAACTGTAATACTCTTAAAATTGGTAGCCGTAAAACAAGTAATTAGTACTTCGCTTTCATGAGAGAATGTAGTATATTAATTATAAGCAAAGATTTTTAAATCAGGTAGGTATTGTCAGCCGCGGACTTGAGGGTTAAATATAGGAAAAAGAATGACGTATAACAATATAGTATAGTACAACGCATTGTTATCTCGATTCATCAGGTGTATTAATGTGACACCTCGATGGCAACATAAGGTTTGAAATAGGAGTAAAAGTACATACCTCCTAAAGGTATTGTGTAGGTAAGATGGCAACCCAGTAGTTTCTAAGGGCAGAATGCAACTGGTAAATACTACATCTTTAGTGCCTAAGGTATCCTAAGGCGACATCATGATCCCCTTGTAGACGATACGAAGTCATTTGAAAGATAAGGCTCGGATGGTTGTTAGCCGTCAGGAGGAGATTCAGACGTGGTGATTGCGTAGAAGTCTCGGGTGATAAGGATGACGGTGTTAACGCCTGCGGTTAAGGAGTATTGGATATTATGACTACCTAATGTTGGTGGCATTTGGTCTTGATGAAGGCTTAGAAGGTAAAATTTGGCTATGGGCGCTACGGGAAGTTCTCAATACACACTAGTATGTCATCCGCAAGGATATTTTTGAGTTACAATGGCTTTCACGAGAGGTAGAAGAACTTTGCTAGACGGGCTAATCAACCTACCTCTCTTTCTTGTTTTTCGTAGATGAAGGCCACGGCGTTGCAAACCTCACCCAAAATACGAATGGCATACTTGAGTTTGGTTCTTTGCTTTGGTTTACAAAGTATTTACGGGTAGGAAAGAAGACGGGGATAATAAATATCTCGAAGGGTACCTAACCTAAGCTAAAATACATAATTTCCTACTAGAAATACTTAGAAGAAAGAATCAAGTAGGAAGTCCTAGTGCTATTTGTTGCGTGGCAGTCTGCAACGTTGATAACAGCTTCGCATAAGTTAGCCGAGAATAGGTACCTTAGGTAGGTATTCAAGGCAATAGGTATTGCTAGGTAGCCAGCAGTAGCTGAAGTTGATGATGGCGAATATGAACTGTGGAGGAATAAAAAAGCAATCACCTAACCTTGTGGCCAAATAGTCACAAAGATTTGTGAGTCTAGGCTCTTCTATAGACTTGCTGTCAGGTATGCCCTGTGATGCATGCCACATACAGAGTGAGTGTCAGGGGCGGTATGTAGCCTGTTGTAGAGATCGAGTAACGCCTCTCACCTCCTTCGAGGGAGATGGCTACCCCTTTATAGACAATAAAACCCCTGTTATATCCATATATCCTCATATCCCAGACATTTGCCGTTGTGTATACCTCATCAACCTTGTTGTTACCTTAGGTGCCTAAGGTACCTACTTGTCTTCGAAATGGTTCGTTGGCTACTTACTACCCTGCCTTAGATATACGTGTCTTCATTACCAATCCACCATGTTGGTTTGGAATGCTAGAGAGGATGGGACCGAGATCGTTTGACTCGACCTCTAAATTCCCTAGATAGGTAGATAACTACCTACTAATAGATCTTATTATTTCTAGTGTGATAGTCAACCCCAGCTGTAGGTCCTATCTCCAGGTATAGTGTCTGCCTCTTTGCTGGTCCGACCGCAAAGAGGTACCTATTAGCAGGCAGGTAGGATGTTATGGGTTACTACTTGGAGACTTATCCACCAAGGCCTCTTTTATCAGGATATTGTCGTTATAACTATAGTCTTATAAAACAGCAGTTTCTTACTAGTGTTTTTTGTTATCTATGCTAACATCTGGGTGCTAGAGAAGTTATATATGAATTTGCAACCTGTTCCCCGTTATAAGTCGATATGTTTTGGTGATTAAACATTTAGAATGAGGCATATTATGATCATTTTGCTATCCAATTGACTTTCAAATTCCACAAATTAAGTAATATTTTCACAGAATTACCCGATATTGCTACTGACCTTGTGCTGATTAAGTGGAGGTGCATTATATAGTCATACGAGGACATTTGAACTTTGCAATACAGGAACAGGAGCACACAGGAGAGGGTAGTATACTACCATAAGAAGGAGTGCTGATATAAAGCCCCCTGAAGAATGATACGTAAGAAAATTGTAGCAAATAGCCAACAATTATTGTCTAGACGCATCTCACTTTATCGCTATTAGCGACAAAAGAGTTTTATATCCAATTACCGGCGTCCACGTTTACGCTTTCTGATGACCGCAAGCAACTCTATTCATCCCTTACCATCGCGTCGAATTTTAGTAGTGTTGTTGACAAAAATGACTACGTAGACGAGAGGGAGAAGGCTCATAGACTGTGAGTCCTTGAGGAAGGAAGAGAAGAGGTTGGAAGTATCGTGGCCACAAGAGAAGATGTAAAGGGGCTACGGAGAAAGGTGTGAGAACTTACAGACTCTCTCTTCCGCATCATAATCTCGTGAGCCTCCTGGTCTAGCCTCCCCTTTCCCTAAATAGCGGGGCTAGATAGTTCGTGTCCATGTTCTCTAGCGCTTGGCGATCATGGCCTAGGTTAGTGGTTTGGACACGTGGGAATAGCTACATCTTAAGATTATGTGCTAATGAACACTTTGCACGACTGTTCTGCTGTAGAAGCAGAAATGTAAAGTCCATGTCTATCGTTCTTTTTGATTCTGAAAAAAGCAAAAGCAAAAAAACAAAATGAATGTATTGTTAGTCTGTGTCATTATCTCCTTTCAGAGTATCCTCTGAGTGTTTTAATTTTTTGAGTGTAAATCATCGATACTGATCTATGTATTACCTGTGAATACTGTTAAGAGTAGAGGGACATAGTAATTAACCTCTTTGGAGCCGAATAGCCTATTCAATATGTAGCTTGACAATCTATTGACCTTAGGTACCTATATAGCATTGAAACTATACCCACAATGTTTCGGAAAGTTCCAGCAGCGAGTCTAGAAACAAGTTGAAGGATATCAGTTCTCCCATTGAGAGTATGCTACCATAAGAGGCGAGAATAGTGTATGTTTAATACTGTAAATACATGCAGCACTTTATGATAATGGTTCGTATATCTCCTTTACATGAAGCGTTTCCTTACTTCAAACATTCGCCTCAATACATAGTACGTTTATGATCAACTTTTTTTTCTCTCCTTACGCTATAATCTATAATCTCAAGGAGGTGACGCTAGGGATTCTCGGGACATCTTCTACCTTGTCTCCACACGATGCCAAAGCTAGTAGAATTCTTGGCTTTCCTAGGGGACGCACACCGATGAGATCAATCTCTTTAATTAGGCTATTACGCAGTGATCTACTATGTATGAATCCAGAGGCTCGATCAGCCATTAGGTAAACTCGAGGCAAGTAGTGGAGACGGTTAGGCCGGTAGTTGTTTAGTTACCTTAGATCAGGGTCCACAAGGCTGTCAACACGAACAACTCGAAGAGGAGACATGCTGCTTTTCAGGTAACGTTTCAGCTCAAATTGGGCCAATCATTGTACCTTAAGGAGCTCATTATGGACATCTCCTAGGACCTCTTTGGTTCTTCCTGCCCGCGTTCTATGCTGTTCCCGGTCAAGCGTCTCGTATTTTCCCCATAAGAGAATAGCTGGGATAGCTACCAGTCCAAAGGGGAAATATCCGAAACGGGAAAGGTTCATACGGGCTTGAGGGTCCATAGGGCTACGGAACTCATGCTGAATTCATGCAATGGACGTTGATCGTATCGTGACAGTTAGTATAGCTATTATCCCTTCCTGGAGATGTCATTTTCACTGGAGTCGGTTGCCGACAAAGGGTTATAAAAGAAGTAGACTCCCACGGGTCTTCAGTTTGCCCTTTCGTTCCTCATCAGACAATCCAAGCCATCAATTATCTAATCAACTCGCTCATCTGCTACACCTTCCACTTCCAAACTTCCAAACTCAACTCCAACTCCAACTCAACCATCAAGATGCGTTTCACTACTGCTGTTGCTGCCCTTTTCTTCGGCACCACCGCCATGGCTACTCCTCAGGATACCCAGCTCAACTCTGAGGATGTTTCCATCACCAACTTCTCCGTCCACAAGGCCGGTGCCAACGGCTCCTCCGCCGGTACTGTTGACGGCGTCTCCTTCAAGCTGAGCGGCAAGGACGCCAAGGATCTCAGCTGCTCGGCCACCGCCAAGGACGTCACCAACGGTCTTCCCACCGACGTCATCACCTGCGGCGACTCCAAGTACCGCTTTGAGCTCCTCGCTGGCTCTGACGCCTCGACCTTCACCCTCCGTGTCTACCACGAGCTCGGACTTGCGTAAGTGTTTTCTTCGACTTGATGAAAACCAAGGTTACAGTAAAAAGCTAACAATCTCGAAATAGTTTCGGCTTCTCCGGCCACGGGGACATCCCTACCTACTGCCACTCCGGCGGCCTCGACACCCTGGTCTGCAGCCAGGTCCAGTCCCCCGTCACCATCCACATCGACAGCCTTCCCCAGTAAAGGACGTCGTTATGATCATGTTCGGAGGATGATGTTAATAACTAGGGTACTTGAGGGGGTGGGAAGTATGAAGTATGAAGGAAAACCTTAGCGTTCGTTTATAAATAGGTTAGATAGGTACTTAATGCATTTAGAGATAGTTTAGCACAGGAATTTATGGGATTTTGCTGCAAGCTTTTTTTTTTTCCCCTCTCTTTTATACATGGCCTTGGAAGTGGTCAAATCGCCCAGAATGCTCCAACATTGTATCAGCAATTAACTTAGAGCAGCTCCCGTAAATTTATATCGTGTGTTGATTAGTCCCACGTTATACGCGAATATGAATCTGGGTTAAATAGTTCGGATACTCAACCAATTCGCTACGCGGTTATGTTAGGATCTGCTCCAGGCGTTGAAGCTTGTATTGCATATACGGCTTTCACAGACCCAGTCCATTGGCATCACAAGGGGTCGCCGCTGAGTACCTGTATAATTTCAACCAGTGCTTCTAGATCGTGGGTTAGGCTGAGTAAATGCGAAGAAGTTGAAGATGTGGTAAATTGATGTTGTATTTGGAAACGTTTTCTAGTAGTGAACCTTGCCCAGTAAAACTCAGTACCTATAGCCATGGCTTACGTAACCACCCTACAAGGTCAAGTCATTGGCGTAACCAAGGTACATAGGTACATATAGCTTGGAATGTGTGGCTAAGCGGAGTTCTAACTGTGGCTCACGATATGGCTGCCCGGGCATTTGTGGCATAAAAGAGGAGTGATAAGCCGATATGCCTCCTGGTTGGCCCGGCAAATTATGTCATTTAGTGGTGCAGAGTAAACATTGAACATCCTTAAACAACATTTCTTTAGACACCGGGGTAAATGTCGAAGCTTTGAAGCTGTTAAGCCTGGGGATCATACAATACGAAATGAAGAAACTGGCAAGCCAATAATTTCAATCATAAGTCAGTTTAATACCATTTAAGCATCATATTCTAGCTTTTCATGAGGTTAGTTAATCGTTAATTGTGCCCTTTTCACCCCACTATCCGACTCAAATACTCAACCGCAAGACAGAAAACCAGGTGATAGCTTTGGAGTTCAACCCAGAAACGACCTCAAGTCGACCGATATAGCAGACAGCAGGGATAAAAAGAAAACTGGGCATAGCATATGGGCAAAGAGTTGGAACGTAACTAGCCGCATTGGACCCTCGCAACCTTATTCGCCCGAGCCACGACATCGGTACCCGAAGCCCGACTTCCACATCAGAGAAGACGACGAGGGAACAGCAAATTGGATCAAAAACGACCGTTTAGAAACTTCTGGACATTATCATCCCACCATGGTAAAAGAACAAGCCCCGCCTAAGCCGCCTTTGCGTCCTTTAGGCTCTAGTGAAAGAAATGGAAATGCGAAAAAACAGGCTCCAGCTCAACCTGATGATAACACACCAGGGTTTGGAAACATGAGTGCTGGAGGCTTCACATCTATCAATACCTCTACAACTACGAATACAGCCCCGAGACCTGCCGTTAAATCGCGAGTGTTATCAGGAAGTATGGAAGACAAGTACGCGAACCTCTTTATTCAACCCAAGAACCGCCCAGAGCACCACCGCCCCCAACGAATTACGGGACCATTGCAGCCTACTTATAAGGATAAGAAGCCGGCGCCAGCTCCCCTGTTCAATACCCTGAAACCTGACCCGGAAGGATCGGCTAATAACCCGATATCGGTTCCGGATGGCGCCCCTGTTTCGATATACAGTCAGCCCGGCATCTTCTCCACGTATGTCGACCCTAAAAAAGCTGCTGCCGACATTAAGGCCTTACTCGAAGGCTCCATAGAAGCTGAGGAGGATAAGGGCGCAGAGGAAGAAGATAAAGAAGATAAATCACACATCGAAGGTCTCAGTGTTCGACTCCTGCCTCATCAAGTCGAAGGAGTGGAGTGGATGAAAGGTCGTGAACTTGGCCCCGTCAAAAAGGGCAAAGTCCCCAAAGGCGGTCTTCTTGCAGATGATATGGGCTTAGGAAAGACTTTGCAGTCAATAGCGCTCATTCTGACCAACAAGAAACCAGCAGATAAACATCCGGGAGTTGAAAAGACGACGTTGGTCGTTGCGCCTTTGGCTCTTATCCGCCAGTGGGAGGCTGAATTAAAAGAGAAGGTAGATGAATCTCACAAGTTGAAGGTTCTCGTACATCACGGGCCCCAGCGTACCAAGCGTTTTGAAGATCTCCGCCGCTACGATGTGGTAATCACCACCTATCAAATACTCGTATCCGAACATGGCCACACTACAGATACTGTCAAGACCGGTTGTTTCGGTCTGCATTGGTACCGTGTCATCCTGGACGAAGCACATACAATAAAAAATCGGAACGCCAAGGCCACAAAGGCCTGTTACGAACTCCGAAGCATATATCGTTGGTGCTTGTCAGGCACGCCGATGCAGAACAACTTGGATGAGCTACAGAGTTTAGTCAAGTTTCTTAGAATCAAGCCTTATGATGATCTTCGCGAGTGGAAGGATCATTTTGAAATACCTATGAAAGGCGGCAAGGGAGAAGTGGCAATGCGTCGCCTCCACAGCCTTCTGCAGTGTTTCATGAAACGAAGGACTAAAGATATCCTGAAGAAAGATGGCGCTCTGAATACAAGCGGAAAGAAAACGAAAGAAGGCGAAGAAGACGCAACATCGGACTTCAAGGTCACGGAGCGAAAAGTCGTAACAGTTGCAGCAGAGTTCACTCCAGCGGAAAGGCGATTTTACGATAGGCTGGAAAAGCGGACAGATAAGAGTATCGAGGCAATGATGAAAAGTAAGCTCAACTATGCCAGCGCCTTGGTACTGCTTTTGCGTTTACGACAGGCTTGCGATCATCCAAAATTGGTTGAGGGTAAAATTGAAAAAGACAAGGAAGCTCTATCTGAGGAAACGAAGCCAAAGAAGAATGAAGCCGATGTTGATGCTCTCGCCGACCTTCTTGGTGGACTAGACGTCGAGACGAAACATTGCGACATCTGCGGCTGGGAGCTTGATCGTGACACCCGCCAGCCTGGCTCAGATAAATGCAAAGCTTGCTATGAAGATCTAGAATACTTCAAGCATCACGAAGATGGAGGAGAATTGAAAGCACCAAAGACGAAAACGCGGAAAAAGAAGCCTAAGGTTAAGAAGGTAGAGGTTGAAAAGGTTAAGACTGAGGTAGTTAGGAAGCGCAAACCTAGAAACCGCCGCGCGATCCTCGATAGCGACGAGGAAGAAGAAGATGCTGACTGGATCGTCTCCGGGGATGAACAAGGACCGCTACGATTAGGAAAAGCGGGTGGTACGGACGACGAAAACGCCGAGGGTGAGGGCGAGACTATCAATTCAGACGATTCCGAAGAAGAGGAAACCCAAGATGGCAGTCAGTTGGGCAGTTTTATCGTGGATGATGGGAAAGATACAAGCCCCGAAGAGCTACAACGAGCTTGGGAGGAGTCAGACACCGAAGAGGACGAATCCATCTCAGTTCTTCAATCTAAGATGCGTCGAACAAAACTAGAAGACAGTGAAGATGAGAGTAAGAAAGAGGATGAAAAGGAAGGTGATGAAGAGGAGGATGCGGGCTCGGAATCACAATCCGAGTCTGAAGCCGACGACACGGGAATTTCCGAATCTGAAATCGAATCTGATTCGGAAGACGATATTGCCTATTTCCGCTCTAGGCGACTAAAGGAGAAGACTCCCCATGTGCTCGCGTCAGCCAAGATCCGCCAGCTTACCACAATCCTTCACAAAGAAGTGCATGAACACAAGTTTATCGTCTTCTCACAGTTCACCAGCATGCTTGACCTAGTAGAGCCTTTCTTCCGCAAGGAAGGCATCAAGTACACGCGATACGACGGGAGCATGAAGAACGACGCGCGCGAAGAGGCGCTTAACAGTCTACGAAATAATCCTGAGACTAGAGTGCTCCTCTGCTCGCTGCGCTGTGGCGCGCTGGGTCTCAACCTCACGGCGGCTAGCCGCGTCGTAATCCTCGAGCCCTTCTGGAACCCTTTCGTCGAGGAGCAAGCTATCGACCGAGTCCACCGCCTGACGCAGAGGGTCGACGTAGTCGTATACAAGCTGATAGTCGAGAACAGCGTCGAAGAGCGAATACTGGAACTGCAAGAAAAGAAACGACTTCTCGCCGAGGCTACCATCGAGGGCGGCGCCCGCAAGGAGAGCCTCAAGCTCGGCCTCAAGGAGATGATGGACCTGTTCGGACACGTCGGCCGCGAGAGCGTGGGAAGCGCTGTTAGCAGGGGCAGCTACGATTCCGAGGAGAGGTTCAACAGTGTTGTGCGTCAGGACGTCACGAGGACGCTTGCCGGCATGCGGAGCAAGAAGGCCGGTCCTAAGACCTCGCGCAACGACGAAAGCTCAGTCTATGGACGTCGGTGGTAGGGGAGGCATTCCCTTATAACGAGTACGCAAGGTCCTAGGCGGCGTTCTATGGGTTAGGCATCCTTTCTAGCTGGCTGGTCCAGAATGCTGTTTATCTGACTGCATGCATGATTTTTACGACTGTTAAGCTGATACGATGAGGTTGCGCGCATGGACTGGTTATGATGATTCGGATGGATTAGTTGTTACTCGTGTTTGATTAGAGTTACTGCAAATATATTTATTCTTCACCCCCCTCCCCCTCCCCCCCCCCCCTCTCTGCTTCTCCTGATAAGGGTGTAGATGGGAAGGGAGGGTTTGTTGTAAATAAATTCGCGATGGAAATGAAACGCTTCTTCTATTGACTATAATGGCCAATTGTGTTCTGAAACTTTGCATTATGATTACCTTCATCTCATCACCTTTTCGCTTCTCTGACGTATAACGCCAGGTACCACCAATTTAGTATTGACACCCTCACATGAGCCTGTCTATGCCAGGTAGGTTCAGTTAGGTACCTCCTATTTAGTCTACTTGTAATCCTTATAGCCAACTTTTTTTTTAGATCCAGTTTCATTAAGTCAGGCACTTGATTCATCAACTCTTTCTCGACGTAATCTCCCACCCAAGAAATCGCCACCGCCACCGCCATCGCCGAAGAAGCCATTTGCGCCCGATACCTCATCAGTTTAGTTCCGCTCCCTACTAAGGCCGCGGTGAACGGGCGCGTCGGCATCGGCCCGCGAGATGGACTCGTCGAGGTAGAACCTCAGCACGTGGTCGGAGATGGCGAGGTGGGTGGTCTGCTCGAACTCCTGCAGGCTCGCGAGGCGGAGCATCATCTCGAGGAGCGAGAGCGAGGTTTGGATGGCGCCGAAGGGCGACCGCTCCAGCAGGTCCTCGTCGAACTTCTTAGGGTCCGGGACCAGCGCTCCGGAGTTGCGGGAGGACGAGCGCGAGGATGTGGAGGCGATGCTCATCCGGCTGAGCTGTGTGACGAGGTTCGAGTCGGCGGATGGGCGGGTGCTGCTATTCTTTAATCGGCGGGGGTTGTTGAAATTCGGATGATGTCGGTGGTCTTTCTCTGTTCTGTATTCTCCTTCGTCCTCTTCCTCGGGCGTGTGCTCGTCTTCGTCGTCCGTCGTGTCGTTCTCCTCGTCGCTGCCCACCTCGAATACTTCGAGGGCTATCCATGCGGGATCAAGGTCCTGCGGCAGTCTCCAGGAATTGGTGGGTGCGGTTGGTGAGGATCTATTTGTTGTCCGTGCCGTAATTTTAGTTTCTAGATTAAGTTGACGGTCTAGTTCGTACTGGGTGTCGCCGTCCAAATTTCCGTCGGAGAAGTCACTCTCATCTAGGCATTCAATTAACTGTTGTTGTTGTTGTTGTTGTTGTTGTTGTTGTTCGGTCAGAGACATGTGATTTTGCTGCACTTGGTTTGGAGGTATGGCCTTCACATCCCTTTTTAGTAGTAATACGGGACTACGAGAGGCGCCATCTTCGTTATTTATGTTCAGAATCCTTCCAACGTCCGCGTAAAACATTTTCGAGATTTGGTGGACCGGGATAAATTCCCGTATACCAGCACTGGAGACACCCTCGTAAGAACTCGGCTGCGCGTTCCCATCCTCCACTGTGTGAACACGGCCGTCGTCTAGATCCTCCACAATTTGAAGTTCGTACGCGTAACTTACATACGAGGTATTATGCTCTGTGTTGCCGCTCGCGCCGGGACCGTTATCCTCGAGTGGTATCCTACGGAGCCTGACGCGGGCCTTGTGGATTACTTCCTGCCATAGCGGTTTTCGTTGGCCCTCTTCTATTCCATATGGCTCGGCCGCGTCTTCGGGAGAAGAAGCATGGGCACGAAATAGCATGTAGATAGACAGCACAAAATCCGGGCCGATCTGCATGGGTCTGCCGGGGTTGAGAATGTATTGGGTATCGCCGACATTCACAAGCATGCTAGCCTGTAGCAAACGCGAGGGGGAGAATGCCGAGTGCTGGGTTTGTATGCCCCCGATTGCCGACACCCAAAGATTTATAAGAGGTATGGAATCATCAATATCCTCGATCAATTGTTTGATGTCTGCGATAATGTTCTGGATTTCCATGCGGCGCACAGACGCAGCGGCTGCGGAGCCGTTAGGTCTCCCATTTTGGCGGGATTGGTCTGCTAAGGCAGCAGCTTCAAGGCGCTTCCCTAGGGAGTCGACATTGGCGCGTAGCTCCTGTGCTGTGTGGACTACAGCCTCTAAAGTCGAGTTTCCTCTAGCATAGCGAAACTCGATAGACTCGAGTATAGGGGAGATGAGCTACGAAAGCGGTCAGCGACGGTTGACATAGGACACATAACACACGATGAAGGATATATCGGTAAGTAGCCTACATTTGACTGGCTTCGGCTAGATGTGACTTACCTCGATCTTGCGAGCTAACCGTCGTTGTAAGTGACTCAACTCAACCCGTAGAGGGTCGTCATCAACAGTCTAGATAGCATCAGATTAGCTTGGGTTTACCTCAAAGTGGGTAATGTTATAGAAATGGTGGTCATGAGATGATGAGATGATGAGAAGTTGACGTTGAATAAATGAGTGATTGATAATAAATATATATTTTTCATACTTTAATTAATCTTGAACCTTGCTGGATAACGTAGGTGGATGTCAGAGCGAGACAAGACCTAATAGCGTAGTTGGTGGCATGGTAGGATAACTTGGCTAGGAATGCATCCATGGCAGAGTTATTAGGGACTCTGGGGTTTAAAACGACAAGTTATTAAATAGAAAATTGTCTCTGCTCCAACCAACGACCACAAAAATATGCATGCATGAAAATGAAGACTTGTTTGGCCCCATGGAGGGCAACCGGAATTGGTGTATGGTCTTGTTTTGTATTGTACAATAATACCTAACCACCAGTAGAATTCAAAAGTCAATAAGACCGCTAAGGTTCAGGTACGTACTTGCTAATGGAGGCTAGGTGTGGAGCTGAGTTATCCGTTTCTTACGTAAAGCATAATCTGAAACGGGACCTACTTAGTGTAAATACGTACCTAGGTACGGTTTAAATACGTTACATACGGTTAGGTTAGGCACGTTTCTCCGTCGTTCGCGGGGCAAAAACCTCTCTCTCACACCCCGCTAAAGCTTTGCATTCTTCGACTTCGCCGCAACTCGAAATACCTTAATCAACTCCCATATCCGAAATTTACCTAAGGCAGGGTTCCCGTCTTACGGCGTGAGTCAATAGCTACCTAGGTACCTAGACGTACCATACAAGCCAGACAAACTTAAACGCCTCGTCTTCACCCTCGAAAATTGTATAGAATTACCAAACTAGACCAGACACCATGGCTGATCTCAATTCTTGGGAAGACGATCCTGCTGCCCAGGACGACAACTTATCAAAGCAGGCTCAACAACAGCTGAACCTCAATAATCAACCTCAGAACCCTGCCGCGCCGACATTCCGACCTGGTGCTGCTTCCTTTCAACCCACCGCCCAGTCTTTCCAACCGGGTCAAGGTTATGGTGGCTACGTTCCCAACTACCAGCAGCAAGGCTATTATGGTGGTGGTCAGAACTACTACCCGCAATATGGCGGACCTCAAGGAGGTTATGGTCATTACGGTCAGGGTCAGGGATATGGGAATGTCTACGGACAAGGCGGGTATAATCAAGGATACGGTATTGTCTTTTTTTCTTCCTTTTTTTTTCTTTCGCTTTCGTCTTATACTAACTAACATTGAAAAGGACAACAACAACAATATGCCCAATACCAACAGCCGCAATCCCACCAAGCCCAGGCTGTTCCGACAATTGCTAAACGAGGTGACCAAACCGCATCTGCTGTCCCTGCCCCTGTCCCTGCCACCAAGCCTGCGCCCGCTGCCTCTTCCGACGCGCCTCAGCCTGTAGCTAAGCAAGAAGGAGGAACCAAAGTTTTAAGCGTAGGCGGAGACCCCCCGAAGCCCAAGGCCACTAAGGTTCTATCTATTGGTGTTCCCGCACCGCCGAAAGATGAGCCTAAGCCCGAAAAGGCCGAGAAGGAGGCATCTGCTGAGGAAGGCTCCAAAGTGACGGCGAGTAAGGCGATTGAGAAGACTGGCGAGGCTACTAAATCGACTAAGAGCCCGAGCGGAAAGACATCACCGACACCCTCCTCTGGGCGCTCGAGTCCCTCTAGGGCAAGCAAAGCAGCCGCTCGCGATGCCGATGCCGTTGCCAACGAACAAGCCGCCGATGTCGATGAGGAGACCCTCAAGGAAATCTACGGAAAGGAACATATTAACATCATCTTCATTGGTCACGTCGATGCTGGCAAGTCGACCCTTGGTGGATCCATTCTATACGTGACTGGCATGGTCGACGAACGTACCTTAGATAAATATAAGCGCGAAGCGAAAGAACTGGGCCGAGAAACGTGGTACTTATCTTGGGCTCTCGATTTGACTAAAGAAGAGCGTTCCAAGGGAAAGACGGTTGAAGTCGGCCGAGGATACTTTGAAACAGAGAAGCGACGATATAGTATCCTGGATGCCCCTGGCCACAAGACATATGTCCCGAGCATGATCGGAGGTGCCTCCCAAGCAGACATCGGTGTCCTCGTCATCAGTGCGCGTAAAGGAGAGTATGAGACCGGCTTCGAAAAGGGCGGACAGACCCGTGAGCACGCTATGCTTGCCAAGACCCAAGGTGTCAACAAGCTCGTTGTTGTTATCAACAAGATGGACGACCCTACAGTTAACTGGTCCGAGGAGAGATACAAGGAATGCACGACAAAGCTAGCACAGTTTTTGAAGGGTACTGGATACAACCTAAAAACAGACGTCTTCTTCATGCCCATCGCCGCTCAACAAACGATGGGTATCAAGGACCGCATTCCGCCAGGAGTTTGCCCCTGGTATGATGGACCTTCTCTACTCGAGTACCTTGATAACATGCAGGCCCTCGAACGCAAGACCAACGCGCCCTTCATGATGGCTATCAGCGGAAAGTATAGGGATATGGGTACCATGGTAGAAGGCAAGATTGAAGCCGGTGTTTGCAAGAAGGGCATGAGTTTGATCATGATGCCGAATAAAGAGAAAGTTGAAATTGCGGCTCTCTACGGCGAGACAGAAGACGAGATTTCAATTGCTCAATGTGGTGACCAAGTGCGTATACGCCTTCGGGGTATCGAGGAAGATGACATCTCGGCCGGTTTCGTGCTTTGCTCGCCGAAACGTTTGGTTCATAACGTGTCGGCTTTTGAGGCCCAAATCAAAATTCTCGAACTGAAGAGCATTCTTACTGCCGGCTTCAACTGCGTCTTACACGTTCATTCTGCGGTCGAAGAAGTAACCTTTGCCGCGTTATTACACAAACTTCAGAAAGGAACAGGCAGGAAGAGCAAGACGCCGCCGACGCATGCGAAGAAGGGTGATAGCATAATTGCCAGGATGCAAGTTACAGGCGGAGCCGGTTCGGTCTGCATAGAAAGATTCGAGGATTACCCACAGATGGGCCGTTTCACTTTGAGAGATCAAGTATGTCATCGCCTCGCGTGTTTTTTTTTTTTTTTTTTTTTTTTTTTCTAAATTGCTAATCAATCTACACAGGGTCAAACCATCGCTATTGGCAAGATCATCAAGCTCATCACGGATGATTCCGCTTAGAAATCGAAGCATCCCGATGATGGAGCCAGCGGTGCCTAAAGAGAGAGCTGCGATTTACTATGGTCGTCACAAAGTGACTAAGTAGGTAGGAAGCAGGGGGGCTTCCGTCGATATCGATATAAAGGCCCCTGAAGGGCTTGTGGATAAATGCCACGCATTCATAGTGAATTGTTTAGAAAGCATTACATGGGCATGAAGCGGTAAAGATAGACTTAACATGCTCAGTAAAAGACCTTTCCCTCGGAACAAATGTTGAAGCGCTTTGCTTTGAGTCTCATAGAGCAGTGAAGAATATTGCGACTTTTGATTACTTTTTGCTATGAGCTGGCCCTTCGGGATTTTTCTTGGTTGACATGTTTCTCTTCCTATATTTAGCGCATGCTCTACACATGCCCCTTTCTCGAGATGGATTTACTTTCTTCTGTAAGAAGGAACCTGTAATTACATGTGTGTGTGTGTGTGTGTGTGAACGTTATAGGTATTCAGAAGATATCTGCTCGCGACAATGATCTTAACTCTGATGGTAATTCCTCAGCTCTCTTGATGTCGACTTAAGTGTAAGCAAGACTAGCTACCTACCTCCTAGGTACCTACCTAAGTAACATGTATATAAGTGGCGGGTATAGTTGTGCGTGGTTATGGTTCGGCTTACTATTTCCTTGATATTACACCCGAGATATAGAAGAGAGCTGGTTATACAATATTGGAACTAGGTATTCTACGTATCTGATATTTCCCTCGGCCTCGGGGGAGCAACGATCACATCTGACGACACTAGTAACCGGTAATCCAGGGTGGTAAGTAGAAAGGGGTGGTCAGCATTTAATCGTATCCATACACTCGCTACCTAGGTGCGCTTACGAACGGGATAGGTGTTACGTGACCGTCCCTAGGGCAGATCGAAAAGGCGTGTCTTACCTGCAGCAAGATATCGTCAGAGCACATGAATCCGGTCATCGAAAATCTACCTAGGCTCGGCTCCCAGCCCAAGAGAGGAACTCGGCTATCGATCTTGCTTTGGTGTCAGGCATATGATACCTATAACCCGTGGCCCGAAAGAATATCGACCTAGGTTAGGTTAAGTTAGGTACCCGGGATTCGGTGTACTGTTCCCCTTCCACGCAAAATCTGCTGCAGGTGAGCGGATGGGGAGATCCGAGGACAGACAACGCTCGAAACGGCGGGCCCGTGGATGCTCGGGGAAGGAAACAGAACTCTACCCTTGTGCCTTGTCGAGGACTCAAAATGCCGTGCATAGACACCTGTTACCTCTCATGTACGGGCGCCTAATGGTCGATCTTATAGGGCCTGGACTCCTGTGCGGCATTGCTCGACTTTTACGTTATACAGCCCTGTGCTTGTGGTGCATTCGGCAGAGAGTGGAGGGACGGAGACGTGTCGAGATCCAACATGACGCGCCTGGGCTCGACGCAACAATACCTTATCCGGAACAGGAGGAGTGGTTTTAGTCGATGCCCTTCGACGTCTTTCGTGGTCAGTTGCGGGCGGCACGGGTGAGGTTCTCACAGAGAAAGGTACTAGAAAAAAGGTGTATATTTACAATAATATACCTAGATACCTAAAGTAAAGAACGGGCTATAAAGATTGAGTCCTATATTTTGGATTCTTGTCACATTGCCTTAAAATACCAATGTTGCGGTTTATCAATTCAGCTTCAATGACAGCTAGGTTCATATCCTGTGAGTAATAGATGACGCCGCGAGCCCGTTATAGAAAAACATTGTAATAGCAACTGCCATGATTACATGTTGCACAAATAGACCCCTTCACAGCTTACTCGGTGCTTTAGCCAATGCAAGCTTCGAAGCAAGAGTTTCTTCCGCCTCCTTCTCGATTCTGCTCAGCAGAGCATCGCAAGTCGGGATATCATTGATAAGACCAATAACCTGCCCAGCAGTCCAGACCTATTTATCCAACGTGATTAGCGATTTCATCTTGCGAAAGGGAAAATACTCCTGTACGACTTACGCCATATTCGGGGTCTCCGTTTATGAAAACCTCCCGGCCTCGTTTGCCACTCACGTACGGGGCAATTTCGGAAAATTCGCCCGTCCCACTCTCCTTTTCGATCTTGATGATCTGATCGGTGACCCTGTTGCGGTACAGGCGGGTGGTATTGGTCCACCGGCGCATGACCAAGGCTGTGTCGGTCTCCTGCGCCTTGACGATCTCCTCCTTGATCTTCTGGTGGATAGGCGCCTCGACGGTGCACATGAAGCGCGTGCCCATGTTGATGCCTGTAGCACCAAGGCATAGCGCAGCCGCGAGGCCTTGGCCGTCGGCGAAGCCCCCAGAAGCGATGAATGGCACCTTCAGGGTCTGACGCGCCTTGGTGAGCAAGATAAAGTTGGTGATGTCCGACTCGCCCACGTGTCTGCCCATCACGACGACGCGCGTTTTTAGCTATAGGTATGCAAAGATTTTGTAAATGCCGTGATAACGCGGCTTATTGGTCAGACTTACCCTGCGCATTCGAATCCATCTATGGAGAGAAAATCGACGCCGAGCTTGACAGCGCTCTGGGCGTGCCTGATCGTGGTGCATTTGTGGAGGATGATGATGCCAGAGGCCTTCAGCTTGGAGATGATGGGACCGGGGCTGTTACCAGCGGTCTCGACTATCCTGACGCCCTCGTCGATGACGACCTGAGCGTAGGCGGCGTAGTCAGGGGGTACGAGAGCAGGCAGCAGGGTGATATTGACGCCAAAGGGGTATTTGGTCATGTTCCTACACCGCCGAATCTCCTTCCTCAGGTCCTCGGGCGTCGGCTGGGTGAGGGCTGTGAGGATACCCAAGCCTCCCGCGTTCGACACGGCGGCGGCCAGCTCAGCATATCCAACGTACTGCATGCCGCCTTGTACGACGGGAATCCTGATGCCCAGGCGGCGTGTCAGCTCGGTGTTGAAAGGCATCTTCGCGTCGTGACTGGACGCCTTCCGTTAAATCACAATGACGTATATAATTTATCCTGGACGCCACAGATATGATAGACGGTAAGTAATGGGAAAAGGGGGGAGGAAAAGGGAAATGAGATGAAAATAAACTTGATTGAAGGTTAAAAAGGTTGAATGAATAGCGAAGCCTGACTTATAGTGTATTATAAGAGCTTGTTTACTTATGGAATGGCGAAGGAGGCGCACTTAGATGCCGAGGTAGGCGATTCCCCGGACCCACTTCTCGATGTAAGACCTACCCCTAAGGATGTACAGTATAACATGTACATCAATTGTACATTAATCGTACATAAAGCACCTAGTTTTTATGTATATGTAAGTAGGTACCTGTTTATCAAATGTTGTTCATGACATGAAGACTGAGAATGATGTGATGTTATAGGGAGTGTTATACTTGTTAGGTACCTCTCTTGAATCTATTCCCGAATTCAACATTTGTGTAGATTGTTTAGTAAAGCGACGACGAGAACTACAAGCAATGCCAAAAATATGCAAAGTGTTAAATCATTAGTTAGTAATAGCTAGGTACCTAGTGTGGCTAAGTAAAACAACTTATAAGTTTCAACTTCGAAAGTCTTCGTCAACTATTGATTAGAAATAATTATTTAGTATTAGCATTATGACTTCCATCATTATTCAACAACCTAAAAGACCCTCGGTAAACCCGATCATGCATGTGCTGGCGCCCACGTGCAAGGGGATTAGATACGGGATACGGAATCCGGAATCCGGGGTTTATCTGTGGCCGAACTTTAGTGTCCTAGAAGTGGGGACCTTTTTTAACCAACCCCAGAATTTAGTTCCTCTCCAATGTCTCCAATGGATGTCTTCAGAATGTTTCTAATACAACTTCGTAATTCAGCTGCATTCCATTCTTCACCATCGTCCACCTATTTAAAATTCAACAACGCAAAACATTATGACCCGTCAGCTTTACCAAATACCTACCTATTATCCAACGTCCTATCAATATTTCGGACTTTGCCATATTAAACGACATGTCGTCTTCTTACTTATCCAATTGACCACCTACTTCTATATTTAGCTTCACCACCTATCGTCTAATACAAGCACACATGGCCGGAATAATTAACGTCTTCTTTATTCTTATTCCATCGTCCCTCTTCTAAGCACTTGGACCTAACTTCCACTCAGCCATGGATGGATCTGACATTTAATCTAAAAGACAACGTGCCAGACGGGATGGGATGGATGGCAACGGGAACTATTCCTCAAATGCCGTGCCATTATCCGTCTGTCGTACTTATGGAGCGTGTTGTATATCCATGTGGGCAGACTTCCCTTCTTGGGTCTTTGCTTCAAAACACCACTCCTGTGGTCTGCTACTTTCTCGAGGATGCATCTAAAAAAGCTGCTCCTCAACACAAACGATGTCCATGCGGGTTGTCGAATTTCAACGGTTACTCGACGTAATGCTCCAACGGGACGGACGGCAGCTGCAGCATGCTCCAATCCGAATATGACAACTCCTAACATATCCTCACATGTTTCTTGCCTCCGGTTGTTGGTAACCCTCGTAGTTCGATAATGCCTAACTTGATAGTTCGAGAATCGGCGCAACGAACATTTCATTCAAATCATCAACAACTAGGAAGGATATGCCAGCTGCCATGGTAATATCCGTTATTCAACTTCACTTTTTATTTTCCGCAAGGCAGGAGAGTTATTACTCGTGCGCTGCTACGCCAGTCTTTACCACTCACGATCATGCATAAACCATAAACCATAAACCGTAAACCACTAGACATTTTCGTTAGTACTCACCAGCTTAGCCTTGAAACTAACGGTCGGTATGCGCTCAGCCTACTCTGCATACCCTTGCAGCCGAACGATACCGTGCCTGAATAAGGCGAGTGGTAGTGACGGATCTGCACAAGGATGTAGCCCTCCACTTCAGCACGGGATGATGTATGGGTCTAGGTACGCTTTGCAGACCTCACCAAGTTTCTCGGCCGAGCCTTCACTTTGGACTTGGTACATATGATACCGGGCTTCTGCATTCGTCCTAGCACAACGCTCTTCCACGTTGCCCTGTGTCCGGCGATCCATACTGGCGGGCCCGATAATCAACAGTTACACGTCTTAGGTTCCCCGACGTGCATACAAACTACTAGGTACCTAATGTAGTCGGACAAGACGGAGACGCGCAGCAAAACTGAACTACGGAAGGCTAGCGCGAGAAAAGCATACCGTAGAGCATACGCTTTTCTTATCTGATGCCACACGCATGGGAGAGCAAGAGCATCATGGTTTGTGGTTAAGTTAGTCTTTGGTGGTATCGCAAGACTATTGCTTGCGTTCGCTTGCTTGGACCCTAGATTATGTCTGTAGAGATTCGGCACTTAATCCTTGTCGTCTTGAAGCTTCGGTGAGGAACCCGGGGTGTATCTTATCTGAATGCCTTGTTTGCGGTTATCCTGCCATCTCAGAAGCGCATGGCCGAGTCGCGTGGGCGGTAAGTTACGTCTAACTACCTCCTACCTACCTAGGTACCTAACCTAACCTATTCCCGATCACAAATGTGGTCCAACCCTTCGTGATTTCCCCACGATCCGCTCCCTGTACGGAACCTAGTAAACTAGTTCTCCTTACCGCATTTGTTTTCGCCTGCCATGTTGTCAAGTATATTCATTCGACCCACTACGACATGTGCCTGACCGTAAAGGAGAAAATCAAGTCATTGATCATCGGCGTTCAGAGTCGACCCGGGAGGCTAACTACCTATTTGTCGTTCCTACTTAGATTCACTCACATTCTAAGTATACAGTTGGGGGTTTTCATAAAGATCTTGAGCGAGAACCAATAACTCGACGCATCGCCCAGCCCTGTTCGAACTTCGTGCCTAACTACCTGTGTACCTAGGTTAGGTACCTGTTATCGAATACCCGGTCCAATAGACCGTTAAGAAAAGATGGTAATCCCTCAACACGCTACCTTCTCTATACCCAACTTGGACTTCTCAGACGAGATGTTGTGTTATAACGCGGCTGTCGCTATGTCACCGGCCGTTCACTCGATTATTTGTACGTTTATGTTTAACCCGTCCAATCAAAACGACGTGTTCCGATCAATTGGGTCGAAACTTGTTACAGGGTCCCTGGCAGAAAAGGGGAAATGAGCAAACATCTCCAATAACAGCAAGCAAGAAAGAAGTAAATGTCAGCTGAATGTTGTCATGTCTGCGTCAGAGAGCCAATGCATTGATTTAGGCCGAAAACTACATGGCCGATTGAAGCACGCGCCTGTAGTCGGTCTCAGATAAGTAGTTGATGGAATTATACATCGTCGAGCCGGGGTCTGTACTCCAATAGTACAGGTACGCCTCAAGACTCGGAGAATTTTCTTTTATTGATCACAAATGTCAGAATGTCGCTGCGGCGGCAGCTGTCCGTCGTGGCGCGGCTCAACCACGTTGTTGGGTCTGAATCATCACGCAATAACCAACACTTTCCTACTCCAGGCCCGCTCCGAGCCGTACTATTCTTAACACACACGTTTAGAGGAACTTTTCATGCTATCTGATTGGTCACAAATCTGCTCTCTTAGGGCTCGGGTACCTACCTAGGTAGAGGCAGGTATACCTTAGGAGGTAGGTCAGGTTAGGTAGGTCGTCAAAAGCTGATCAGCCACCCAGCACCTCTTGATTGTCATACAGCCGCGTAATAAGATGTGCATATTACCTATCGCACTTTATGTATTATTAGTGCGACTCGTTCAACATAATATCTCCGAACTGGGAGGAGAGTGGTATGACGATTGTCCTGCTACGTCAAGTTTGACAACAATACATCAGCTATCTGCCCTGTGTTCCTTGCTCGCATATCCGCGAGGACCTCGCAGAAAAGGTTGTCACAAGCTGCGGTTCCCAAGGCCCCGCTACCCAATCTTGGTCTGACAGTGGTACGGTATTCTAACCCTTTCTTTTCCCATCTATATCGTTTCAAAACCAGGTGGACTCATTTTTTTTTAAAAAAAAAGAAGAAAAGAAACGAAAAGAAACGAAAGAAACAAATCCATCCCGTATCGTGTACAGAGTACCTAATGCCGTATTATCATCAACCCGCATCTACGTTTCACGTATTGGATGCACATACACCCTGTCTTACTTTTATCAATTTCCTCAACAACAAACCCTACTTACCTCTCAACCAGCCTAGTCAGCATAGGGCGTGTGTCAATCTTCATCGCGTTGCCTCCCAAGTTTCCTCTCTATCCCTTAACCTATGGCTACTGTTATACTCAAGAACAGCATTCAGATAGCCGAAAGTAATGGATTACTTACACAACTACACCTACCCCGAAGTATTCTGCTATAAGGTAAGATAGCTGCGTCGGTAAGGCTGATGTAGGTAGAAGCGCATCTGGATTAGTAAAGAGAAGGGGAAAAAAGCAATCCTTCGACAAAATCCACCCGGATATGTTTGCTTCCAACGTTTCCCACCCAGACTTGTTGACCCTAGTAAGCAGCCGGGAACGATTAAAAAAAAGGAATTACCTAGCATGCTCACTTGTAACTTATATCGGCGACGAGAGTTGTCGTTTATCTCCTACCTCATCCTCCTCTTCTACCACATCAACGCCTCTTTCGAGCTGAACCTGTCACCCACCCACCACGTACACACATACACGATGCATGATGCCGCCGCCTCTGCCGAATAATTTCCCTTCCATAGCCGTATAGTACCGTCGCGCAAACAGTTGGGCGGTCGCTAACTAATCCTTTCCTGCCACATCATCCACTGCCTCTTCATTACTCGTAATTCTAATTTCTACTTGTCCTTTCCTTGATGCCTACACGCGTACGTAGCTCATATACTTCGTCCCATGCTGCTGGCCGTGTCTCTCCTTTCCCAATCGAGAAAACACGAGGACGCCGGCTCTGGCTCGAATATATAAGGTATTTACGTAGCCCTACCTCCCACATAATCTCGAGCGCTAGTTTCTTCTTCGATCTATATCCTACAAGCATACCTTGGTTATAGACTTCTGTTACCGCACAAGTCCGCTACCCGAAATATTAGCTTATACCATCATTTTCTTGCGAACCTATCAAATCATCATGCCATCTTCACAGCAAGTCTCGAGCACGCCATGGCAAGACCGCCTGGCAGGTGGGCAATTATATCTTACTGTTGTTAGGGGCTTATAGGGTGTATGACTAACTCGCTCGGCTAGAGGTTTGCCGCGAATATCAGATCCAAGCTCCTCATTTTCAAATCGTATCAGATCGACGCGGTGAGCTCTCCCTCCCCTCCTTTGATTCTTCATTCTCTCGATGATCATCAACTCTTGTAGATGATAGCTAACTGGTTCATCTTGAATGGTTAGGCGGCCGTACTGCCTGGTCTAGTATAGTTACCGTCTACGGCAAGCGAATCGAAGCGCGATATTGGTACGATGGGAGAAACATCACCAATGCCAGAGAAGACGCCGCGGAGGCGGCCCTAAACTGGCTTTCGAACCAAGCGAACCTTTCATCAAATAGTTGGTGAACGGGCTCACCGGCAAGATCACCGACTACGGATTTGTTTGACTTTAGGGTCTTGGACTGATATGCGCAGCTCTTATTTCTCAATCTCCTTCCGTATTTGCGCGATTGAATTACTTCGACGCACCCTATTTCCCCAGGCAGATATATTTTATTTTTTGGGAGGAGGGGGGCTCATGCCTCTCCTCGCTTTACGACGTTGAACTTCCTTTTTCTGTATGATATTGGCAAATCGGAGTTTTGGAAAAGGATCTGGCAGCCCCACGGCAAGGACACGAGAAAGTTACGAAAAGCAAAGAAAGAGAAGGGAGAAAGCAATTACATTAGCATTTCTATGGATTCGGCGCAGGGTTTCCTACTTGGTTGATTGATTGATTGATTGGTTTCCAATGGGCACAACTTGGAAAGTTTTTACATAGCATAGCATCCATCATCTTTTGTCCGCCACGACCAATTTTCCGGTAGCGAGGGTGTGTTTTACACTACGACAGCGGGGGATCATCACCAAGGAAAGGGTTTCAAAAAGCAGGGGGTTATCTGGAGGGGCCAGGCGCAGGACTTCGTTTATTTGGGGCCCATTCTGTCGCTTCTTGAAGAAGCCAACATTTGCGAGGGATCGTGTTGGACGTTCTCCCATACATTGTCTTCGTTTCAACTGCTCCAACGCGATCCTTTTTTCTTTTTCATTCTTTTCTTATTTTATTTTTTGGGGCTTAGTTATCACCTACGGAACACACGGGAAGAGAAAGGCCAAAAAAGTAAACGTGGTCCCCGTGAAACCAACTATCGATAGACACATCGCTCGACCGATTTTGCTGTCAGAAGTCATGGAGTTATGCTACCTACGAATTACAAGGATGGGATTTTTGTTGGGCTCGTCTTAGCTACTTGGGAATAACCTGAGACATACGCGAAAGGGCGAAGGAAAAAAAGAAGAAATATTTTTTTTAAAGAAAAGAGGAATAAAAAAACATAAAAAGAAAAGTAACGGTAACAGACCGTCTGAAGAGAAAAAGAGAGAGATAGAGGTAGAGAGAGGTTGGAGGGGAAGGAGAAGGGAAATATCGGATAGGATGCGATCACTTGATCAGGAGTAATGAATGATGATGTCGATCTCCTAAGCCTTCATGCTATCGTTGCTTTTCCGTTCTTCCTTTTTTAATGGAACCGAGAAAAAAAAGGGGATAATAAATACCCGATATGTCCAAGATGCTTTTCTATCCCGATGACGTGACGCTATAATATTTTGGCTTCTCGAACCCCTGAGAGACACACAAACACACATAGAAAAAAAAAAGGCGTCGTGCGTGTTCAATGTGCCTGCTTACTGTAGCATGGGCGTATGCAATGCATGCGCTCCTGAAATTCGTTTGATGGAAAGAAACGAAAAGAACGCGCGATGCTACGTCAGCCAGGGGACGAGGCGTAAGCTAAGCCCAGCTTCAGTTGCCTTACATCGACTTAATAAATCTGCTACCCCATGAACCAACCCTATTATCGTGGAGTAGCTGTGCATACTATAATACTCTTATTAGTATGGCTTATATAGACACAATGACACACACATACATACATAATATATTATATAGTTTAGGTACCTTATGCACTTGTAGTGCCATATGCTTTAGGTACTTACATACCTCTCCTACTTGGTTAAATAGTAGTATCACGGCTTCTGTGCCGATGTTCGGGAGGAATACATATGAGGGTGTAAGCATGACAGTCCGGTTATGATGATATCCATTCTTCGATGAGTTTCGGCTGCAGATATTGTATCTACCGTCAGCTTATTTACATACCTACCTACCTAACCTAGGAGGTACCTAACATACTTGACAGACCGGTCTGTACCTAATGTTAGGTAGGTATGTATGTTAGGTACCTAGCTGTCGATGAGGAAAGATAGCACAGCATGCTCCCGGGTTTCAAGTAGAGTCAGCTGGCTCTATTTCATTACGCCATCGCGAATCTGATTTCCATTTCCAAACCCCAACAACCGGCGAGTAACCTCAGTTAGATAAGTTATGTTAAGCCTCCTCCTCCTCCGCGAAACTGCGACCCAACTCGACCGGTGTGAGCTCCACAAGCTTTATCGGCTCGCATGAGATAACTATCACCTGCGACTCGATGTAGGGACCTACATAGTATGCACGGTTGTGTACTTACCTATGTATGGTCATGCGACCAGAACTAGGATTAGCCCGCTCCGTCAACGGAAAACGACACAGCCGAAGGATGGTAGATTCTGAGACACAGTGAACTCAGAGGCGCCGAGGCGGCGCAGCCCCACAAAGCAAAGGCCCTTGGGCCCATGGTTCAAGACATGATACTTACCTTAGGTACCTTAGGAACATATGTCTGTCTTATAGGAATGTCCTACATACCTATCCCGGACCTTTCTCCGTCTCTATATCTTCCCCTTTCTAACCGACGTGGACGTGGTGGGGTCAACGTCAAAGATGCTACCCAAGGTAGGTAGGTAGGGTATATATAAGCCCTGTTTACAATCCAGCTGTTTATCACCCGCGTGGGGTGGAGCAAAGGCCGCGGAGGGAAGGGATAATCCGGAGTGTGCTTGAGTTACCTATTCCTACTGGAATGGTTCTAGATTTTGTCGAAATAACGGGAAGAACCTTGAAGCCATGTTCGGTTTAAAAGTGAGAAGAAGGAAAAGGCGAAGAAGAAGCAATATTACATAGGTTAGGTACCTGGGTACCTAAGGTAAGTTTTTTTTAAAAATAGAGAAAAGAAAAACAAAGAAAGAAGAAAATGAAGAATAATATAATATTATAGTATAGTAAAAAGCAGGATATGCGAGATCGTCCAATTGAAAGAAAAACGGTCCTGCAGAGGAAAAGTGAGATATCATAAAAGGGGACCTTTACGTATTATGCTATTATGAAAGGGTGACAGTGTGCTTCCCCCCACCAGCCAGCCAGCCCACTAACGATAAACCCCTCCATTAAATTGATAGATAAGGTTCAGAGGGGAGGGCATACCTACAAAGCTCAAGTGGTCTGTGCTCCGGATTAACTTGTACGCCAGGGTCCATCTGTTGCCGAATCGCATTAATCGCATTATCAGATACTAAACATTTCATTTCATTTCATTTTTTGCCGTTGCATCACCGATTTCACTTATACGAATACCGCATTGGGGACGACGAGGGACGAGGAAGAGGAAGAGAGAGGCATTGGAAAAGCAGTAAATAGGCTAGCAGTTCCATGCAACCTACCTATGAAATAACAACAAAAATTTACCCATCATGTCTTGCAAATTGAGTCCTTGGGGCGCCGCCGCCGCCGTCCGGAATCTGAGCGTTCGAACACGACGAATACCCACGACGCCCTTCCAAATAGCAGCCCGTCCCAAGCAACAACTAGCTCGTCACCATCAGCAGCAACACCAGATGCCGTTCTTAATAACGACGAGAGGATTTAGCAATGATACCACCTCCTCTACAGACCCGCCGTCGTCGGTACCTCCCGAAACCCCCTACGTGCCCACGCCGCCCGAACACTTCGCGCCGAACTTCCTCAACGCCGAGGCTATAGCCGCGCTGGAGAAGGCCGCCGCCGGCGAGTCCATCTATGGTGACGGTAACGACGGCCTATTGTTCGACATGCCCGATCGTGTCGATAAGGATTCCATGCTGCAGAGCAGATACCACCCCGTGGTAGAGCAGGTCACGAAGCTCATCATGAAGGACGGGAAGCTGGCCAAAGCTCAGAGGGTACGTCAGATATTCCCGTTTTTCTTTCTTTGTTTCTTTCTTTCTTCATTCCCCTCTCCTGAGAGAGAAGACAAGACGAAGACCAAGACTATATGTATGAATGTACATAATACCTAATACCTAACTTGGAATAGAACATGGCCATGATCCTCAATTACCTCCGAACTAGCCCCGCGCCCAAAGTCTCCCCCCTGCGACCCCTCCTCCCCGGCTCCCCGCCTCCCGAGCAGCTGCCCCTGAACCCGCTGCTCTACCTGACTCTCGCGATCGACTCCGTGGCGCCCCTAATCCGCATCCGCAGCATCAGCGGCGCCGCCGGTGGTGGTCGCGCCCTGGAACTACCGCAGCCGATCGCGGCGCGCGCGCGCCGCCGCATGGCCGTCATGTGGATCATGGACGTCGTGCGGCGCAAGCGGTCCGCGGGCTCCGGCCGCACCCAGTTCGCCACCCGCTTCGCGCAGGAGCTGGTGTTCGTCGTCGAGGGCAAGTCCACCGTCTGGGAGAAGCGCAACAGCATCCACAGGCTGGGCACCGCCGCCCGCGCCAACCTGTCGCATCCGGCTGTCCTGGGGAAGAAGATGAAGAGGCGCTGAAGAAAGAAAGAAATGGGAGAAAACTAAACTATCTACGGTACGATACGATATGATATTGGAAGATCGTATATATATATATTAGGTTAGGTACCTATGCCTCTGATCCTGACTTGATATAATTGTCCAAGAGGTTGGTTGAATGGGAAGGAAGATATAGGGGGAAAGGGGGACAGAGAGGAAGGGAAGGGAAAGGAAAGGGATGAAAGGGACGGCTAAGTGAAGCTAACCGCGGAAATTTCCCGATGGGATAAGATAGGTATTACACCTGTGGAAACCCATACGTACAATACCTAAGGTACCTACCTAACCTAGATGATGGGTAAGCTATGCCGGTGCAACTACCGCCTGTGTACGCGTATATGTATGATACAAATTAAAAATCCATGTACAAACACGATATCCTCCTCCGCTTGCTACCCTGCTTCTCAGCGAGAGGTCTATTACGGTGTAAACAAGGATTTAAACAATTCGTGGTTTTATCCCAAGTAGCAAAAATAGATATAATTTTCTCGCTTGATACTTCTGCCTGGACTTTGCGGGTGGGAACATACCTACCTGTAGGGATTATAGAATAAAGTACCTCCTAAGGTACCTACCAGGAGGTAGGCAATCAATTTACCTATATATACCTCCTATTTACCTCAGTGTATACGTTATATTAGGTAGTGAAGACTTATAAGATAAGGCGAGAGTACACTTGTCTGAACTTAACTTAACGTAACCTAGTATTGATTTTTATTTTTTATTTTATTTTATTTTATTTTTTTTCATATCCTCTCATCACCCCGCTAAATATACCATAGCTATCGCCAGACGAGAACATTATACATACCTAGCTCGTGCGCCTGTACCCCCCCTTTTCCACTTCACATCCACACAGTCCAGTTCATCGTACGGCAAATGAACATACTAAACTATCCCTTATAATCCTTCCAAGCAACTGCGAAATGAGTACGAAATCAGATTCGCTAAACCCTTAAGACATATATTCGAACGCGGCGGAGATAAGCTTTTGGCCTTGATGGAAACACAGATAGGTATATAAGCTCACAGTGCTAGACTTTCTGATTTTTTCTACGCACGCTTATATATGTCTACAAAAAAAAAACCTCTCCTTTTGGGACCACGGTCACTGGAGCTTATTTCAAGTTCAGCCCTCTTCCCGGTGTAAACGTCGGTGTGCCAGGCATAAGGGCGTTCGGCTTTTTAGATGGTGTCGTGGGGCCCCCGTCTACCGGAGGCGTATCCGTCCTGAACACGCTGCCCCCTGCGTTAATTTTAGATGGGGGCTTGAAATTAGAGGCAACGCCCTTTGCGTAGATCTCGTGGAGCATAGCATCGAGAATGCCAGCCTCCTTAAACTCCTGATACTTTCGGTAAAGCTTTAGTGCCGTCTTAGCATCCTCGATGGAATCGTGCGTGCTCTGTTGAATATCTTCTTTCAGGAGAGTATGTGCCAGGAACTGTAAGCTGAGTTTTCGGAGGCGCTCTTTGATAAAAAACAGGTCGCTTGTGTCGATGACTTGTGCTTTTGGCACGTGGATGTTGATGACTCGGAAATCTTGCTTTAGGCCGTGGCCTAGGAATTTACATCCGAGATTCAGGAGAATCCAAATTTTCTTATACGCAATCTTCAACGGAACAAGGTTATGTCCTTTCTGCTCCGCCATATTTATATCTAAATCATCGGCGGTGATTCCTGAATAAGAGGTAAGATAGTCGACGACTTTCTCTTTGATGGTGATATAGTCATCGATAAATGGCAATCCTTCGTCCATACCGCCACCCCGGACGATAGAAATTCTTGCCAAAGCGTGTACGGTTGGCCGGATGATTTTTGATTCACCGTCTGAATGCATTTCGACTTCCGGCTGCGAGATTTTAACAAATTCTGTGTCAATCGCAACAATTGTATCTGGTCCAGCAGGCTCAGTTTGTCGATCCAAAGTCCGGTAAGTTTTATCCGCCCGATGAGCCCTGCGAATTATTAGTACAGTTTGCGTCTCGGTGGGTTAGAGACTTACTGAAGATCTAGATACAGTAATCTGGAATCCAGATTCTGCTTCCAACTATGATCGAGCTGATTGTTGGCGGATTTAATTTGATAAGTAATCACAGACGGCGTCTTCCATGACGTATTGAATGTAAGTGCCTCCTGAGAGGGGATTGGCTTGACATAGAAGTCGTTGAAGAGGTACCACTGACTTTGGCCCGGGGCTGTCGGCGCAGAATGTGCGACTAGATTTGCGCGTTAGATTTTTCTCCAATAATTTGATAGGTAAAAACTTACTATTCGCCATCGCTACGAGGTGCGATCTCTGCTGTTGACCGCCCTCGATATTGACAGCAAGGCCTGTTAAAGAATACACCGTAATATTGTGAATTCCCCTCAGTAAATGCAGCTTCAAGTCTTCGCCCTCGTAGCAGAAGAATTGGCCATTGTCCACTATGACACCAATCTCTTCTGGTAGCCACCCAGGCGTAGCCCAAAGTCGCCGGTGCTCGTTGTTATTAATTGCGGTTGTAAGCATCAAAACGTTGGGTATTCTGTGTATCGTCTTTCGCGTAGCTAACGTCTGGTACCTGTGGCAGCTGTTGCACCAGCCTTTGTTCATAGTCTCCCTCTCCACACTCATCTTCAATACTTGAGAAAATGTTGTCCCTCGTACTCTGGGATTTCTATGCCCGGATTTCTAAATAACAAAAGAAATAAGCTTATGCGGTTTGCTTTTTTTTTTGGAGACAAACTGCACTCACATTCTGAGGGTACATTAACTCATTCACCATAGTATGGTCGGCTTTCGTTGTTTCGCTGCGACAGTTTACACATCTGATGGAGCTGGTCGCGAAGGTTTGAAATAGCTGGAGTCGGCAATTAGCATCAGTTACATGTTAGACGGCATCACTGAGATTTACCTCTTCAAGCGCATTAGGGCGCGGCGACTCTGCGCTATCTGAATGAGGATTTGGGGCCATCAGACTATAGTTCTGGATCATTTGTCGAAGTAGAAATCGAGCTAGCTGTTGAAGCATGACAGTCCGTGACGCATGAGGTTCTTCCTCGAGCAAACCCAGTTTGCCCGCTAATGTAATTGGTTAGCAAGTCGTCAGCAGATATATAAACAATGACCACTTGCCTTCAGGATGGTAGCTAAGGGTTTTAGTGAAATTAGATGCTTGACAGGCTTCTCCTTCTGCCTTATAGAGCATATCAAAGAGAAATCCTAACTCGCAGAGAAGACATAATTCATCTACGCAAGCCGTCGCTGCGTGTTGAAGGGCAATATTTCGGATCAATGGGGTATAATGCATCACTTGTAGTAATGGGTTGGCGTAGGCGTTAACAATATGATTTTGTAAACCCGAATATTGCGTCTTGTTGAAATAGCTTGTCTTTGAATCAGTATATGTGTCCCACAGGGGTAGTCTGGGTCAACTCACCCAAAATCGAAATCGTCGATTCCGAATTTACTATACTTTATTTCGATATTTTGGTATAACTCGGGCACCTCAATCTTTAGGCTTTCGAGCTTATTATCTTGCAAAGTCTGCGGAATCTCGGGTACGACCTCTTCAGGGGCCGGTGTTCCCGCCGGAGACTTCGCCGCTTCTCTGGCCTTCTCGCTCAGGAATTTTGGTGGCTTTAGAGAACTTTGACCGTTCTCTGTGTTTCGAGTATCTTCGACTTGATTTCTTCGCAGAGGCCGAGTATTTTTACCAAAGTAACCCCAGTCTCTCTCCTGGAGCGTTGCCAAGAACTGCGCGTCGATTTTAACAGGAGGGGCACCGACTTCCGTTACCATGTTGCTTGGCCATGCCGACAGCAATACTTCCCTATAGTAGGGCATGCCGACAGTGCTCAAAGGGCTAGTATTCTGTTAATAGATGAAACTTAGGTTGATCCAGGTACACTTACGTTTCAAGAGAATCAAACTCGATCCGGGGTCCCGTTCCAGAGTCGACAGTTTCTATCGGGGTAGCAAATTCGGCGAAGTGAATCTTATTGGGCGAGCCCCAGAGGTGGATGTAGAACTCATTATCCGCAAGAGCAATCGCCTCTCCAGATGGGGCGATTTCTATCATTAAAAAGTAACCAAGATTATTTGCTTGTCGAACATTGCTGGTGTTAGGATTCATGAGGTCGACCACGTGCATCTGTCCGATCTGAGACATAACAATACTGGTTGTTAACATTCGAGGGTGCATCCGTACATAAGCGGCTCCAGCCGGAAATGGGATTGGTGACATGGATACCATGTTCTTTAGGTCGAAAACGTTGACGAATGGGTCGGGCATGTAGTTACCACCGTGCCTCAAGGAATATCCGCAAGTAACGATAAAGTCATGCTGCGCATCCATGTCGTTAATTGCGGCCGTGTGAGCGTTCCATATTTTGATGACCTGGAAGCTGACGGGATCGATTATATGAACGGCGCCATTAGAAGTCGCTGCACATATATAGCGACTTCGTCTCATGATCGTATACTTATGTTCCGTTGATAACTAGTAAAACTGTTAGAAGGAGCGCAATTTTAACTTATATCAACTAATAGACCGTACTTGTTTGGTTATCTCCCCTTTATTCACATCAATTACAAACATTTTTTCTTGCTCGCCGGCGACCAGTATCTCGGCGGTCCCCTTTGATGTGAAGCTCATACACCGTAAATCCTGCATGTCTTCGTGTCTGGGTCGCCTATGATTAGCATTGACAGAGACGTCTTCTAGAACAGAGGCGACGGGAGGGGCGTATGGGGGAACACACCTAATTGACCACAGGGGTGGACCTCTTCGCGACGCCATATGTACGCCACGGGAACCCAGGGCTATAACGCCCTTGTCGTTAAAGAGTATCTGTCGAACAGGCCCATCTTGAGAGGTGTGGGCTTTGAAGGAGGTGTATGGCTGTAGTTTCGTACCATAAAATGACGATACACGACCCTACAAGAGACTATCAGCTCTGTCACATCAGATAGTATATACGAGGGGGCGTTGGAGGGGCTCTCGATCGTACATATTCGTTGCCAGTCCATAAGAGTTCCTGGCTCGTGTCGAAAGCTAAGACGGTAACTGGTGTTGGCATGGCCCGGAGACCGGGTGGTGGGAAAGGTATGCGGTTAACCTAGGGCCATGAAATAAAGTCAGCCTTGTGTGTCCTCATCGTGCAATGCAAATCGTTGAATTCGAACCAGTTCAAATCATTGATAAGAAGAAATACTTGCCTCGTCCCAATCTCCGTCCATTTTGGCGGATATGTCATCGTCGGACGAATCGCATTAGAATAGGAGGTATTTATTATTCAACCGTCACGTCAACAAATGTAAGCGCGTCGTCGAGTTAACGTATAAAATATGAGAGAGAGAGGAAGTCGTGTTAAGCCTAGGCCTCGTTGTCAAGGTTCAAGCATCCCACTTTTGAAATTGCTGGGGTTAAACCGTAGAGATTATTTGGTCTAAACCGTTTAAGCCACTGTCCTACCTAGCCCCGCCTACCGTAAGTTCTCCACTGACTAATGCATATAAGCGTCAAGTACGTATAAATCTACCGTTTACCTGAAGCAACCACCTACACCTACCTCTTCGTACTGGGCTTCTAACGTTTGGAACTCTTCAACCAAACCCAAAATATTGGTCATTCACCTCACCTTTAAGACCATTGATGTATATATAGGTACTTACCTCTTAAGGTACCTAACTATAAAAAACTCTAAGCCATTAACCAATTATTACAAGTTCACTTATAAAATCAAATAATGTAGATATAATTCCTTTAAATTCCTGTATCCTAATTCTTTTATAAGAAGAAAATAAATATCTAGGAGGTAGTTAATTGAACTCCTCAATAATGAATCGTGCACCACAACGCGCTTTTATGCCGCGTGCAATTACTCGGTATCCTCGCGCTCACTTTATACAGCCAGCCCTTTTTTCGTCTGGTTTCGCGTATCGTCTCGGCTTTCGCATCCGATATATTTGTGCAGACAAACCGTGTTTATTCATCCCGCGGATTCGTCATTCCCTTGAAAAGAAGAAATCATGCCAGATGCTCAACTCCAAGCTGATGAATAAAAAAAAAAGTTGCCAAAAGAAAAAAAGAAAAGGAGATGCCGCGATGCGCCTTGCTTTTAAATAGTTGGTCCAGCCGCCTTAACGTCATCTGTAGCTTCTGAATCGTACTTCTTGAAGTTCGCGATGAACAATGCACCGAGCTTCTTAACTTCGTCGTTGAAGCTGTCGATTCCTGCAGTCCAGGCAGTTTTGGGATTGAGTAGTTCGGAAGGAACTCCGGGGCATGTCTTGGGTACCTGGAGGTTGAAGACGTCGTATGTCTCGTACTCAACCTTGGCCAGTTCGCCGGAGTGAATGGCGTCTAGGATTGCACGAGTGTACTTGAGTGGGCATCGCTTACCACCGTGCACGTACCCGGCACCAACCCAGCCGGTGTTCAGAAGCCAGGCGTTTGCGGAGTGCTTTTCTATCTTGTCTGCTAGCATCTTCGCGTACCTCATAGGATGCAGAGCGAGGAAGGGCTGAGCAAAGCATGATGAGAAAGTAGCTTGGGGTTCTGTTACGCCATCCTCAGTACCAGCCATCTTGGAGGTATAACCGGAGATGAAGTGGAACATAGTCTGCGCGCTGTTGAGCTTCGATATCGGCGGCAGTACGCCACGAGCGTCGCAGGTTAACAGAACAATATTGCTGGGGTGGTTTTCCGACAGGCAGGGAATCTTGGCGTTGTTGATGTACTCGATGGGATAGGCACTGCGAAACTGTTAGTCTTAACTCGATTATATCGCATACTAACCGACTCACCATCTCGTGTTTTCGGTGAGGGTAGCGTCGTCAAAGTCAACCTCTCTGGTCACCTGGTCAAAAACAACATTCTCGAGGACGGAGCCGAATCGGATGGCGTTGAAAATATCAGGCTCCTTTTCGGCCGAGAGACCGATACACTTCGCGTAGCAACCACCCTCGATGTTGAAAACGCCGCGCTCACTCCAGCAGTGCTCGTCGTCACCGATTAAAGCTCGGTTAGGATCGGCAGACAAGGTAGTCTTGCCGGTTCCAGAAAGACCGAAGAAAAGCGTGACATCGCCATTCTTGCCTTCATTTGCGGATGAATGAAGGGTAAGCACATTGTGCTTGATGGGCATTTCGTAGAACAAGACGGTGAAGATACCCTTCTTCATCTCACCGGCATACTCCGTACCGAGGATGACCATCTCCTTCTCGGCAAAGTTAATGGCCACTGAAGTTCCCGAGGTCATCCCTTCGGTATATCTATTAGCCGGGAAACTTCCCGCGTTGTAAATCGTGTAGTCGGGGTGGAAGTGCTCTAGCTCCTCCCGCGAAGGGCGGATGAGCATGTTGCGCATAAACAGAGCATGGTAGGCACGAGCACAGATGACCCGAACTCGGATTCGATACTTCTCATCCCAACCAGCGTAGCCGTCGACGACATAAATTCGCGTTCGCGTGTTCAGGTAGTCAACAGCACGCTCGCGGTTAATTTTCCAAACCTATATGTTGCGTGGGAATTACCCCTAATGTTAGCCCCATTGAAAAGTCGTATTAGGTCCACAACAACGGTGAGAATAAATATGACACGTGAATATCTTGTGGGGCTGAAAGCATCCCGGCTTTGTGGAAGTGCGGATAGGCGGGGTGCAGGCTATTGCCGGATCTGGGCCGAACTACCCGGGGTATGGAGGCTTAGATGACGCCAATGACAGGGGTTATATCCAGCCCAACGGTCTAGGCCAGGCGGCACGAGACTTCTCGGCGGGTGTGTAATTCGAAAATAAAACTAGGCAATTGTGGTAACAACCAACCAAAAACATCAATCTCATAGTTACTGAGCTTGAGTTGGGGAATATGTGACGCAAGAGGTCGTCATAATAAAATCAGGCAAAAAGGTAAAGATCATAAACCTCAACGTTGCAAGTATTTGCTTCTGTGTGAAGCGGGGGCCGTTGATGTAGAGGAACACGATAGGGGGATAAACATGTGTTTGATGATGATATTTCAACGTATAATGACGATGGATATTTCTTACCTCAGGGCCCATTGGCTTATTAACAGGTCCCCACCTGGAAAGAAGGTTAGTTATCATCTCATAATGCATATGGTAGACACGGCTATCCTTACCAAATATCATTTTCTGACGACGGCTCTTTTACAATTCTCTTATCCGAAGGTGACCGACCGGTCTTTGCGCCAGAGTAGGCCGTTAACGCGCCGCTAGACGCAATAGCGGAGCCCATCTCATAAACCTTTAATACCATATTAGTATATGTTGAATATTGGTCGCGTGACCGGGTTGAAGGGGTGATCTTACAAGCGCATCTTCATAGAGGGCAGCAACAGAAGGGTTAGGAATCTATTCATCTTCTTAGTTAAGGGACTTCTAGCAGACTTTCACCCTGGAGATGACTTACAATGGCAACTCTATCGTAGTCGATGTGTGCCTTCTCGTGCAGCTCCTCCTCTAGATTTGATGTTAATGGACCAGTGAACAAAACGGTGAGCGTTGTAATGCCGGATATTGAATTTAAACGACTTGACTCGTACCTAGTTCCGTGTGCTCCCTTTCATGGTGGGGTCTATAGAAGGCAGGTTAGAAAAAAGCTCCCTATCCATCTTGTACTCCTGAAAAGGAACAAAGGGCTACTCACTCAACACCACTAGGGTGAAGGGCAGTCTTGTTGACTTTGTTGTTGGGAATCACTGGGATAGCGCTGTTAGTCTTCTAGGCTGTATAATAGACTTGGAAACAGCATGTCTTCTGCTCGTTTTCTGCTTGTGATCTGCTCGTGATTATGGTGGATAACTCACTCTTGTTGTGCTGAAGAAGAGAATGGCTATGACCATGAGTGAGCTGCTGAGATTTAGGACCCTTTACTGCTGGATCGGTGTAAGGAGAAGCGGTTCTGACAACTGGGTCGTTCATGGTTCTTAAACTGGACGAATTTCGGGATAGGAGACAATGATAGTAGTTGAGTCCCTTGTAACCGAGAACAAACGGGGAATATCGATATCCAATTTGATTAAATGGGGTAGTGGGCGAGAGGCCGGCAATGCTTGTAGACTGAAGGTAACTTTTCGGTCTACTAGTCATGGCACGGACCCGAGGATATATAGGAGAGAAGGAAGATGTGGAGATGGCGAAGTGTAAGCGAGACATTCCACTGGCCAGCAGTTTCGTTGTCATTGATTAGGCACTGAGGCACGAATTCAAACCGGAGCGGTCCACCCTGCATCATCGGGAAAGCGAGCTGAACCGGACTGCTCTTTGTTCCTTGTCTCGGTAACCCTAGCATGGATCTTGTGGGGTGGAGTTGGCGTAGCGCGTGTTCACTACCTAGGTCTAGGTAGGCAGGGGGATGAAAGGGTCAAGCCGTCAAAGATCTTGAACTCGAACTGAACTAAACCGTAGGCGGATCGGCTACCTTAGGTTAGGTAGGTACCAAGGTTAGGATGTTAGGATGATAGGAGGTTAGGAGGCGAGAGTTTGCGGTTGTAGTTGGGTCTGTACCTAGGTAGTGGTCGCATATGCCTATTCCGTTTTTTCCCTCAGCCTCTCCCTGATCCTTGTAATGTCCTGTAATGTTCCTGCAACCTTCCTGCAAGCTATTGCACCTATCAGAATCCCGACAAGGATTATAGCCTGTCGGCTTCGAGTTTACCCATCATTTTCGTCGCTTGTGCATCAAGATCTACATAAAACGATACACTAGCATTGGTGTATTTACCTATTTGTCCCGAGTAAACTGAGACTCAACCGATCATTCCAGAAAATTATCTTGTCCATATTATTGTTACTTGCAGACTTGTAAAACATATGCACGAGAGGAAACAAAAAGTTGAATCAGGGGGGAGGGGGAGAAATGGAAGTTGGAGAAATCGGCAAAGGGTAGCGGGGTACTAGGAGGTAGTACGCCTACTACTAGTACCTAACGTTAGGTTTAGGTACTTCCCCGTCTTTTCAACAGCCCCGCAATAGGGCTAACAGCCTGCCCAGCCTGCCCAGGCCGTCAGGAGAGCTAAGAGGATAGACCCGGGTACATGGGGCGAAGGAGACCGGATGGATACAATTACAATGTACATGACTACCTGTTTTAACAACCTCGGAAATCTAAAGAAAGCAATAAATCCAAGAACTAGATGAAGTTAAGCCGGAACTAATGGCTCTTAATATAAAAAATGACGTCGGTATTCAATTTAGGTAATTATACATGTATGCGCACATAAGGAAGAAAAGAAATGCATGAAGCTTTTCCTATCATATAATTCGAATTGTTCCATATCAGTAAATGTTTTTCCTATATCAAGTTGGGTACGTAACGCGGTGTAGCTATCACATGTCTTATCGGAAAATCTGCCGTAAAAAGCCCTTAACTTTCCGACGGTTTCGTCCTTGGGACTGATGAAATTCTTTACAAACTTTACAAACTTGTAAACTCATATTCAACTACTTAATTGCACCTTGCTTATTGGTTGAAATCCTCTGAACGTCGTTGATAACGGCCCCTGCATAGAGATAAACATAGTACATATAACCAACTACCTAACCTAACACAAACAGCAATCCGATTTTTTCCATTCCGTTCAACCCTGCATGGGGAATCATTCGGGACTTGGGTAAGGTCTTTTTTTTTTCTTTTTTTTCTTTTCGAGCCTCTAGGATCGGCGGTGTGACCAATCAGCGGACTGGGGCTCGACTTACACTGCGTAATCGTCCTTGCATCGCATATCCGCATCCAACGTGCGCTTTACGCATCTAGGCTCGTCCAAGGGCCTGTTTAAGATCCTGACAGGTTTGATAGGTGCTATGTAGTTAGGTACTATCATGCCCCTTTCGTCCATCGTCCTTTACCGAAGTTCAACCCGTAATTGGGCTACCTACCTAGGTAGTTAAATTACGACGTATTCCGATATCTTCCGCCTTTCTGGGGTATTCTGGGTCCCTTCTAGGACCAAGGATTGATATAGATCAGATGAACATTCTGACATTCTAGATTCGCTTCGTTACGTAAACCGGTCGAGCATCTCAGCCACGATGATTAAAAGTTAGAAGCAGGATCAAAATAATGTCTTTAGTTGGTTTGTCCTACGTAATGGATTACACTTTCATCTCCGGATCACGAGAAAATTCAAACTGTCATGTGAGCTTTGAGTATAGGGTATAGGTGTGCACGGTTCAGCATATCCAAATGCGATCATCGATTTAGGGGCACCTGAGCTCCTGGGGCTGTTGGGCAATTAGATGAACTAGGTGCCTAGGTGAAAATAATAATGTACCCCCAAATCAGCGTTTAGACGTTATAAATTGCTTGTCGTGAGGTCATCGAGCGCTAACGATCGCTAACAATTAGCGTCAAGGTACCCAATCCGTCCCGTTGCAGCAGTAAAACATCATCGGACAGAACCGGGTAAAAATATGATAACCAGATAACATTAGGTACTATGTAATATAACATAATACACTTAGGTAGGACAGGACCCTGCTTTCGACCGTGGTCCAGATTTCCCCGGGAAATCAGTGGAGCTCCGTTCGGCCGGTTAAAAATATCAATACCAAACAACGCACGGATCCGGTCCGACCCGCAACTCAAACGTCATTTCCACCCGAGGAGCGCCGATCTTCCATATTTCATCTCATCTCGCCGTCCTATCCTGTGATAGTGGCCAACTTAATTGCGTACAGTTGTTGTAAGAATAAGCAAGAAAGATGAAGAAAAAGAGAAAAAAACCTTGTAGTTTATGTTTGACATCAGAGATAGACTGGAGGAGTACGTGGTTTAATACAGAGACATGGTTCTTTATAGGAACCTACCTGAAGGTGCTACTGACTGAGCTTGTTTACGATTAAGGCTAGGAAGAACATCAACATAAAAACGAAGAAGGCCTCATGGCTTGGGGAAAAGCTAGATGGATTGATATCACTTATCAAAACTGGTGCATCGGATGGCTCAGCCGTCACATCTCCTCTGCCCCCGGCCTCGATGGTCATCTCTCCGCCTAATTGCAATAGGATATATTGGGTAATGAGAGTGAAGGGGTTCTAGGTGGAGTATGTCTCACTCCTTTATAGATGTCCAAATACACTTGATAGGTGATATATATATATGATCTAATTGTCTACCTACCTAAGTACCTAGGTAGACGGAAAGCAAATGGTTTATATGCGTTGGGTCGTTACTAGATGAATTACTAGCAGTTAATATGAGTGTCGAGTAATTCCAAAGCAAAGAGATAGGGCAAAAGCGACGTTTGAATGGGTAAGGGGAGAGCTTATGATAGCTGAGATATAGCTATTCGTTTGAGCTTCCGAGAAATTGCTATGTAAAGGTGATTCTGCTAAATTGCATTATGGGCTGGGATGACGCCCTGTCTGTTTGTCCCCATTCCGACTCTTGGTTATATGACAGCTCTAGCGACCGGGACTTTAGCAAGCCCAGTCGACCCAAAGCCCACGAGATAGCATCGGCCCATTCCATAGCCAGACTAGGGTGCTTCGTCCTTAGGAAATCTGCAATGTCTTGGCCAAGTGGCGCGGCTATTGACTGCAACCACCAGAACCGGCTGTTGAGTTCGTTCAACAATATCGTCCAGTGCAGTACGATGAGCAATGCGAACGGATCGCGTCTTCCAACAAGCGATGAGAATTTTTTCCCTGTATGTCCGGGGAATCCGGATCCGAATCCCTCAAGCTGTCCTGCCGCTTCCTCGGCGTAGCATAATTCTAGACTTTGGATCGCTGCTTGGTACAGCTCGTGGTCGTGGATTATAAGGATAGTACCCTCCTCTTCGATGCTGTCTATCGGCTTGGGCGTACTTGCGTGGCGCTGATCGTTGAGCGCGTTCAGCCTGTCCAAGGCGGCTCGAGCATCTGGATCTATCAGATCTTTCGATGCGCCCATGCGGCTTAACATTATGCGTAAGGGAAATGCACTACTGAGAAGCCACGGCAGCCCTAGAATGCTAATGCTGGTACTCCCGTTGACTAGGTCGAAAGCTACTGCTGCGAGATCGAGCATGCTCGTAGATTGCTGAGGTATGGAGAGATGAACAGCGATGGATATTGCAGAGAACATATATAGAACGTCGCAATTCTCGGCGTTCATATTCCCAAGGTGAAAGCGAAATGACGTGCTACCTCTATTGTAGTATTCAAGTGCCGCATGGACGTACTTCCTGGAATTGGCTTCCCCAACAGTCCTCGCTATCTGCAACGATGACATAGCAAATAGGCAGTTCAGCATGAAGTCGTAGTTGAGGGCCGACCGTGGTAAGGTAGCTTGTAAGTAATCCACGTCCTCCTGCATGCTACAGAATGACTTATATGTGTGCGTTGACCACTGGTTCATCAACTCGAGCTCTAGTAGTCTGGTAGGGCCACCGTAAGCCGCACATAGTGCCCCTAGATCACCGCGCGGACGCTCGATACTATTAGGATATTTTGTTAAAGCGCTAGATCTGGGCCGCGTGGGTAGAAAGTTTCCGTCATTGGAAGCTTCGGCTCTAGGCCGGGAGTAGACGCAATTGGCCTTCCGGAGTATGCAGTTATTGCAAGGTGGGCCTTGCTCGTCGCATTTTGTATGCCATTTCTTGCAATTCTGGCAACCGTTACGGGATTTCTTATGAGATCTTCGCTTCTGCATGAGAATAATATTTCCGTGAGGATTGTTTTTTGTTTTTTCTCTCTCTTTTTCTTTCCCTCCTTTCCTTAGGATAACTGGTCGTTACCATGCGATGAGCACGTATTGCTCCGGTGTTCACGTTATCAGGTTGATTAGGTCTTTATGTATAATTGGGATGAGTTCCCCTGATTGCGGCTGTGCTTCTGCGTCACTCATATAAATGTCTAGGCGCGATGCGCTGCGCCACTAATACAACCTCATAACCCCATGCAAGCTGAAAAGCAGTGTGGCTCGGTTGGAGAGGCTCGAGATAAAAGATTAAGATGTATTGGCTCCTGGCGCCCAGGCCTAGAGTACCTAAGGTAGCAACAAAAACGTCCTGCAGATCGGCTTAGGAAATCCCAGCTCTGGGTAAGATAAAGCAAACGCAACTTGAGAGGATAACTCAATCATGACATAACAGGTATTAGTGTGTTGTCTTACGATCCCAATTTCTCAATGCTCAACAACAAATACTAATATTTATTGGGCTAAGAGTGGAGAGGTTTTTAACGTGAGTGGACGGCCAAGAAAGAAAAATAAGCATAACAAGTAAGAAACTTTCGAGGGATGTTATTTGATGGGGTCGGAATGAAGAGTTGGTCTATTTTAATATCTAGTCGAGCCCCCAGGCTATAGGACACCTAGATTCTACTTGTGCGACCCAAAATAAATAAACAACAAGCACTTCCTGCTTTCTAAAGAGATGTTATAAGTGCCATCGGCAAGTGATACCATGCATCTATTTCTAACAGCCAACCGATATAAAGCAACGTCCAGAGTAAAAGCTGAACACAATGGAAATCACCTTGGAGGTTAAGTGGCATAAGAGAAGAAATGTACCTAAGGTATGGAAGGTGTCTAATCTGCGAAAGTCAGAACGGATTGGCCTCATAAACCTTATCAGCTTCCACCATAGCATCGTAGCTATATAGCCACGGCTGGACTGTGGGACAGGTCCTAAATGCAAGTGATTCGTTAGTTCCATATATTTGATTCTGGAAATAGATCCTCGTTTGGCTCTTACCAGCGGCTCGGGAAGTTTGGTGTTGGTTCCTTGCCCATACTTGCGAGGAAGATAGCGTCTCGTTGCTCCTGAGCAGGACCGTCAGGCAGATGAAATGAATCCCTCTAATTGCGTACAGGTAGGTAGGTTAGCATATTTCGCGTCGATACTTCGAATGACTAGAATTCGACCGACCTGTCCTAATGCTTCCTTTGCGATTGCCTCTCCTCGCGTCTTTCGTAGCTGCTGATACAGCTCGAGCGCAGGAGCCAGCTTGTCGCGGCTAGTTACATATTTAAGCAACCGACCGAGGACAGCTCCGTCTTCTAGCGAGGAATTGGCACCCTGCGCGAGGTATGGGAGCATTGGGTGACATGCATCGCCCCTAAATTGAGCGATGTTAGCAGTGTGTCGAAAATACCTTAGGTTAGGTAGGAATAGAAGATGTACAACTCACGCAAGTAGGAATGTGGCATCATCGTTCACCCAAGTATCCAAGGGTGAGACTAAGTGACACCGCTTATGTTAGACTTATATTTCACTTAAGTATCGTTTATAAACATATAGGGGGGTTTACTATGCATTAGCCTCCATTTATCCACCCGATCCACACATGCTAGTAGTTTGTTCAAGCTGTTGCGTAACTTGATGAGCAACGGCGAGTAGGTAAATTCTTCGTTAGAAGGTAACTCACATTGGGTCCCACGGCTCGAATAGTTTCCGCATCTCATCCACGTCAGCAGCCAGGCGGCTTACGTGTTCCGGCAGATCATCAGGACGTAATAAAACGAGATTGTACATGCGGCCTTGTCTGAGCGAATAGCCTACAACATGAGACTCTGGACCAATCCAGAAGTTGACGGACGGGTTAGACACTAAGTCTCGTAGCTCGGGATCATTTATGTCTTCTAGATTTAGTACAATTCGATATGCCAGATCTCCAGTTGGCGTCGGTGTTAGCTGTTGTTGCAGTAAAGAGCTTCTCGTTCGCGACCACAAACCATCCGCACCGAGGACTAGATCACCTTGGATCACTTGGCCGTCTTGCGTAATTACTGCAGCGCGTTTGAAGTCAACGTGTTGAACATCAACACCGAGCTGAATTTCGGCCCCAAGCGAGCGGGCACGACGCACCAACGCTTCTTGCAAGTCTGCACGATGGAGGTCCCAGAACGGGGCGCCGTATCGTTCCAGTATTTTCTTTTGATAATCATCTTCGCGAGCTAGGACGCGGGTGCCGTCATATCTCCGTACAGCTAAGTATGAAGGAATAGCGGCCTTATAACTTAGCTCGTCGAAAACTCCCCAGTGATGAAACAGACGGCTTGCGTTGGGGGTAACTTGGAGCCCGGCACCGATTTCTGTTAACTTGGTAGTTTTCTCTAGCACAGTAACTCTGTGACCCTCAAGGCGCGTGCTGATGGCAGCGGCAAGGCCGGCGAGTCCTGCACCCACGATAATTAGATGAAGTTGAAAATTGTTAAGGTTGTTGTTACACTGGGTTTCGTTGCCAGACATTGTGGGAGAATGGGGCTAGGTATCACGAAAAAGAAATGGCCTATGCATTCTAATCCTTCGTTAATGGGTATTAGTATTTTTATGTGAGGGGTTTCGGGAATGCCGCATTTACGGACACACCTTCGCTTCCGGATCACAACTTCGGTACCTGTAAGAATTGGGGGGACCCCGTTATGTGCATATTTACTCACGCTCTTATTTACCTATTTATATTGCTACCTAACCTAATATATGAATGTCGCTGAAGTATAGTTGCAGGTATGTATAACAATAGAGGGAATGACTTCATCAATTCCTAAAGAACTAATCGTTGGAAGATCATTAAATAAGTACCGGGTAGATATTTTGCGAAAATTGTCCTATTCGTAGCTAAACTGTAAACTTGAACAGATATGGTATGCGTAAACGTATTGATAAACGAGAAGGTCACAGTAAAGTATTTAAACGCTTGCCTGGAATGCTACCTTTCAAATGCCTCATGTCAGGGGCCAAGAGGTTAAGCGAACTAGATACCTCTTACCTTGAGGGCCTCCAACTCGAAGAGCTCCAGCCGTGCATATCTACCAACGTAGGAATATCAGCCCACGTGGCAAAGGAAAAGATGCTACTGTTAATTCATATGTCAATTAATATCGAGGTCCCAGACTACTGGATATCCTATACGTTACACCAATCTATTCAAGTTAAAACTTCCGATTGGCTTGATTTTCAGTAGGCATGGGAGAATTCATTGGATGATAATGAGGCTCAAGCGATAATAAGAGTGTAAGCACTAAGATACCTCCTACATGGCAGGTTTATTGAATTGATAGTAAGTACCTAACCTACCTAGGTACTATGAGCATTATAAGCAAGACTGAATAATGCATAGTAGTACTCTTCTTTTTTACTGTCACGAAATATTGGGGAAGCAAATGGCGACTTCCGAACGCTGTCTATCCAAATCACACCTGGAATTCTGCTTAGTATATTCGTGCTAAACGCTTGCCCGCCACAGGATCGAGATCGTGGTATTCTATGCAGAGGATGATCAGGCGTATACAAGCTAGAAGAGCTCATTGGGCAATCCTTTGGATATGCCGATCAGTAGATTTTGTATACTGCAGTCGTGTGGTGTTGGATATGATGTATACACCCATCCCTATTAAACATAGATGAGTTAAGTTACATGTAAGGTAAAGCCCCATTACCTGGGGCCCATGGTGAACACCAAGAGATTCGACATGTTTGTTGAACACGTCGAATTTGCTGAGCGGCAATTATTCAGGTGCTTCTTTTCTTTTTATGAGCAATAAATATAATAATTATTCGTCTACTGTTCATATTTAGTTTAATGAATTTAATGTCCTCCTGTCCCTACCAAAGTAAGGTACCTTATAGGGGGCATGTATTTCTGGTATGTCTTACAAGCACAGCGATCTTCTGTGCGTCCCGGTGCGTCGCACAACAGCGTAGATCGTAGAATTTAACCTATAATTGTTACTCAAAGTCTCATAAATATTATCGAATATTACTACAAACATAGCTCACGCTTTCTACCTATAGTCTCTCTTCCTCTCTCATTTGGAAGAAGAGTAGCGAGGCAAACGTTAATATATCACTTCTACAACATAGATATTATTCACTTTACGCACGACACTTGTGTAGGCCCTAATAAAAACCTCTTATTAGGCAGTCTCTAGGAGGCTTTTCTTGGTCGAAATAATCATGGGCTTGCATTGGATGTACTCACATGTTTTAAACACCTGCAGAAAATAAAATGTAGCTAACATATAAGGTAGCTACATCCTATATGTTAGTTAAGTACATTGGCAAATATTGACACCTAGCTTGAAATACGATTATGCTTGCAAAAGAAGAGTCAAACACAACTAAGACTAGGCAGGTTGCGACTATAAGAGATATGATTCTTGATTTACCGTATACCGTAGATCAGTGATGATATGCGGACAATTCACCGCAGATGCCATATAGCACAACTAAGGAGTGAGATAGATACAGGTATACACTAGGTGCTCGTACTATTGCGGAAAACAATACATGCGCCAATTTAAGACAAGTAGTAAAGATTTATCTCCGAGTCTTCCGATAGTTACATCCGAGTTAACATAAAAGATGGCTATGTTAGAGGTAGGTATGTCTTCAGTAAGGTACTATGCGATAGGCGGCTATTGATATTCTACTTCCAGTTTAATTTTTTTTCTTGCTGTATACCTTTCACTGAAAGTCTGGACGCCTGATTTAGAATCCTGAAGTTCCACACGAGTCTAGTTAACTCGAAATAACTTCTATCAGACGGTACATATTTCACCATAGCCCGGGGGGTATGATTTTATAAATACCTAGGTAGGAACCTAACCTCTTATACATACACCACTAGGTAGGTAGTTGATTTCCTCGGTTACAGGGTACCCGTCTGTATAAGCATGTGATATAGTTAGTAGTAGGTGCACCTAACCTAAGAAATCGATCGGATAAGACGACCGTACGTATATCAGAGTAACTCCGGCCGAAGCGGTGAGCAAGGAGTTGATTGTTACCTTATACAGGCATCATGGTTAGATAAGTGGCTTCTTTTAGTCTACATCGGAGACATAGGTGAGCCCGAGGGACGTAAATTATAGACTATTTTGGATTCTCTCTTACTGGAAGTTTTCACTTTACCACGAAAGCAATCACAAGCTTATGACATTGCATTGCCGGCGGCTATCTCGCGATGTCGCGATCTTCCTATCAAGTTAGTCTTATATGCATGGGCGGCTCTAAGATTGGGAGGAGATCTGGAAATTATCCAAGAAAAGTAGGTGCAAACGTTTGCCATGCAGGGCGTCCCGAATTCGAGGCTGTCTTGGCATTTGCGTGGGGGTACTTCACTCCTATAACCTGGTTCTGGCCGCTTGATCTCGCCGTAATCCCGCACAGAGTTCAGATATAATTCTTCGGTGCTGCGTTTCTCCACATCCCAGATTACAGCGCATAGAGGTAGTTATATGGAATGCATGCTTCCCTGGTCTTATTTTCCATCACCGTGATCAACAGAGTGCAGGATCAAAGGGTAACAAGTAGTCAGTGTCTTGGATTCTATCAGATAGTCACCCTATGTCAGGGAAATGTAGATACGACAGGGGTCTGCTGGCTATATAAAGGGCAGCTAGCCCTGATATTCATTCTGGTTGTGGCATCCATCGAGGGCACCCAACCTCATCAGACACCTCGACAGGACCGCTATATCATCTCAAAGGGCAGATCCAAGGGCACTTCAACTTGACAGAGATTTTTGCCATTCCTCCGAGGAACTAATCCGATCTTCGTAATAGCCATGTCTTCCATCGAGGACCTAGCATCATCCATTACAGAGCAAGTCTCGAGGCTCTCTTCCCTTCTTCAAGAAGCGGGCTTGCCATCCCCAACGTTAGACGAGTCAGGCTCTAGTGATTTCACCCATGAGACAGACACTCCAGCGGGAAGGTCTTTACGAGAAGCGCGCCATAGAATAATGGATTCAGCTAAAGACCTCGTACGATTGGTACAAGGTCCTACTGAACATCTTCTGACGTTAACGTGGGCGGTGAGTATTCCACAGCTCCCATTGCTTTGTTAATTCCCACTCATACCTCTTGGAATCGCCTATAGTATGCGGATGCGGTAAATATAAACCTAATTGCGGAATTACGAATCCACGAACATGTACCCCTAGGCTCCTCTATATCAATCCAGGAACTCGCTGCCGCCGTACGTATTCCCGAACAGTTGTTGGCTCGGATAGTACGATATGGCATCGCCAATGGTGTGTTTGTTGAGGAGCGGTCTAATGTCATCCGACACTCTGCATCATCGGCCTTGCTAGTGCAGAACCCGCACTTGCCTGATATTATACGCTTCGCAGCCGGATTCCTAGGGAATATCGTGAAGAAAATACCGGAAGCAGTTCTGCTGAAGCGTGATGATCCAGCTCATGCGCCCGATAGTGCGTTCAACCTGGCATACGGGACTGATGAGTCGTTATTTAGCTACCTTCATAGAAATGAGGCCGTGACTAAGGAATACCACGATTACTTGACGGGAAGAACACACACACCTATGTGGTCTATTGATCGGCTACGTGCGGCGTGGCCGTGGGGGTCCTTGGGGAAGGTTAAAGTCGTTGATGTAAGTCCTTGCTTTCTTGAAAGAATGCTTGCTCTTCTTCGCCTTTACCTAACTCTGTCTCACAAACTGACGGAGCTTAGGTTGGCGGCTCCAACGGCCACACAGTCCTGGCATTAGCACCACTGATGCCGGACGCAACATTCGTTGTCCAGGATAGTAATCTCGGCGCGCTAGAGATGGGGCGACGTGCCGTTGCCGAAGATTCGTCTCTGGAATCTCGAATCAGTTTTGAAGAGTATAACTTCTTCGAACCACAACCGGTTCAAGCCGAAATTTATATCTTCCGCCATATTCTACACGATTGGGATGATGAGGATGCTGTAAAAATCTTATCGTCGCTGCTCCCTGCCCTGAGACCGGGAGCCAAGGTCTTTATTAGCGAAGGCATTCCCCCAGAGCCACCTGCAAAACGATTAAATACATTACCAAGTAAAATGGCCCGGTTAGTTTCTATATTACTCTCCATTCACTTCGCAGCAAATGCGCCCCTTCTAGATACCGATTATTTGCTGATAGGTTGTACCAATATAGGTTGGAAGATGTGCTTATGCTAGGAGTGCATAACTCGCGTGAACGCACCGTCTCCGAATTTGAGTCACTGTTACATCGAGTCACTCCTGGGGGGTTTCGGCTCGCGGGCGTCACGTCCGGTGCCGAAGTAGGGGCTTTCCAATCATTGCTGGAATTTGAATTCGTTGGGTTGGCAAACTAGGACACCGACGATGGTAAACTACCTCCTACCAACCTGGTACTGTACCCTATTCTGAACATGAACGCGCCCTGTCCCAGAATAGGTCTCGAGGGTAAGACAGGTACCTAAAGCCAGCATATTCCTAAAGTCGGGCTTTTATGGCCCCCCTTAGGAACCCGAGAGATCGGGATAACAAAGGGCTGGGTAAGCGGAGGGGCCATAGCTTAGATCAAACTATAATGTTACTCGAAAATGCATAGAATGCTGCCCTTTAAAAGGCAAGAAATATAACATGTGCGGTGGGCTTTGGTGGTGAAATTGACACTTTCTAAGATCTGTAGTGGGGTGAGGTGGGAGAAGTATAAGGGCACATAATAATACATAATAGGGGATACATAATAAGGGATATATACCTACCTCATAATAATCATTTCATCATGTTCACAATAGCGCCTCGACATCTTTCAGCTCATTATTCGTCCATTCCCAAAGCTTTTCGGCCAAAGCCTCGTCTCCAGCTAGCTTCGATGGTCCCGCTTTCTTCCCCACGGGCTCGTAATATTGCCCGTTCTCCAGCTTTGGGAGCGGAGCGGTAGCCGCCCATAGCGGACTATACGCTAACTCGGCGGCGTCCTTGTGCAGGAAGCTGGTTGCTGAGAAAAAACTCTTTATCAAAGACTGCTTGGCATTCTTTAGCAGGCCCGTCCTGCCGACGCCTGGGTGGACGGCGACGCTGGTTATCTGCGGGTAGCGCTTCACCATAGCTTTGCAGTACAAGATCTGCGCGAGCTTGCTCTGTCCGTACCGCGCAAATTCGCCGACCGCGTCGGGCTTTCGTAGGTTTTCGAATTGGATACCCCCGGACGGCGCATAGTTATGGCCGTGCGATGTGACTTGAACATGTCTTACGTCCGCGCCGCTCTCGGCAGTTCGCAGCAAGACAGGTCGCAAAAGCTGTAGTATCACAGCATGGCTAAGATAGTTGGTACCCCATTGCAGCTCGAATCCCTCTTCCGTCAAGCCGGGAGGCGTTGCCATTATACCGGCATTGGCGATAAATATGTCAAGGCGATCCGACTTGAAGCTTTCGGCGATAGCTTGCCGGATCTTAGCGCGGGAAGAGCAGAGATCACACTTGATGAAAGTAACCTCAACGTTCGGGCCCTTAGCTTTAGCAGCGGCGACAACTGTAGCGCCAGCTTCTTCATTTCGACCCGTGAAGTAGATGTGAGCAGGATTGTGCGAGGCTAGGAACAGAATGATTTCTCTTCCAATACCCGAGGTGCCTGATTGTTGTTAATCAAAACCTTAGGTACCTAAAGGTTAAATCAGGGATATGTTAAGGGCCAAAGATAAACGCACCTCCTGTAATAAATGCTACTTTCCCTGATAGATCAGGTATATCCTTATCTGGGTTGAAAGGAGGCATGTTGTGTTATGTGGCTTATTCCTAAAATGAGAGGTAACTAACAGAAGATATGGTATAATGCCCAGGTTTTAGATATATCGGATTATTGAAAGTTACCTCCTACCTGTAGGTATTATATGAATTGATTTCGGATTCGGACAACGCAATCTTCCCGAAGTCATTAATGCGTAGATTGGGTGGAATACGAATCAAATGGAACTATGGGTGTTTAGGTCTAGTATGCTTATGTTAGGTAATAACATGATCTGGCATAGCCTCCATTGCAACTCCCCCAATCCCCCCTCTCCCCTCCCCGGTTGTAGTCCTTGAGTCCTAACCTACCTAAGGTACCTAGGTAGATACTGACCAGGTAGGTAGTAACGGGACGGCTATTTCTCCGAGTCGGAGCTATTCCACCCCCCGACATTACAAATGCTTGGGTCCGGAGTCCCAAGATGCCACAGCCAACGATCGGGCATAAAGGTACCTGATATACTTCATGATTTCTGCCAGTCAAACTCCCAGTCCTTGGTGAACTGGCTATACTCAACACCGGAATTGCCTTTGAAGATATCCTCGTACTTCTCAATCCTACTTAACGGATTTTCAGCTTGTCGGAAGTACTCTCGGGCCTGGCTTTTCATGACTGGATCGTTCCACATCTTCGCCATCCATTTTAAGCCGTCTTCGCTAATGCCAGTCAGTGGTAACTGGTAGCTGCGGAAACGCTGCATCAAAGATAAGTAACACTATAGGTATAGGTATAGGGATAAGTATGGCCTCGAGTATTCTAATAACTCACCCATAAAACAGGCCAGAAGAAGGCATCAGCGATGCTGAACCCGCCGAATAGAAATCCTTCATCCTCTTCACCAAGCTCGTGCAGCCTCTTCTTAGTATCTGCTCGCGCCTTGTTCCACAGCTCAAGCATTTCCCTAATCTCCTTTGCGACAGACTCTGTTGAGGGAATGTTGCCGGTGTATTTCCCGAGGAAGTTGGCCCCGTATGTATTGCGGAGCTCACCAAACCCGGAATGCATCTGCGCTGCTGCGGTTCTTGCCAGCGCCCTCAGCTTGCGGTCCTTCGGCCATAGGTGAAGTTCTGGGTGTTGCTCTGCCAAAAATTCGCTTATCGCAAGAGAATCCTCAACCACGAAATCATCGTCTTCCGTGCCTACCTGTAAGGCGGGGAGGAGGCCTTTTGCGAAGCGCGACGGAGGTGCACCGGTTGGATGGCCCATGCTATAAAACTTGACGTCGCAGGGGATGTTGAAGTATGAAAGGATAAGTTGAACTCGCGATCCCCAACCTAATCTTGGTAGTTAGCTTTTATCTCCAATAATCATATTCGGCCCTGCATCGCCGTTGACGCACTTGAGTACCGCGTAAAGTACACATGAAGAGTGTAGTTGATATTTGCCTTGTTATCTCCCATGGTAGCGACAAGATATAAAATTAATTAACGCGATGATACTAAAAAAGAAAATATTGATTGCATTGCAGGGAAATCAGCATATTTAAACAGGTAGGTAACCTAACCTAAGGTAAACAAAGTTCCCTGACGCTAGAGGGAATGTCGCCGTAGTCCGCATCATAAGCCTTCAATACGCTACTATACCCGACCGATCGCGGAAAATAATGAAGCTCTAGATTGACTCATAAATTAGTGATCGGAGCGTTTGTTATCTTAAACCCTTAACTCCAACCCTCTCGTCGAGGTGGACCGCAGGCTAATGATAATTGGTCCCCTTCTAGTTTATACTATTATACTAGGTACCTAGCGCCAACCACATATAACAATCTAAAGCCGTAAGAACATTCTCAATGAAATATGGTTATGACGCATTCCACGGTATAGGACCGACGATATCTGTTTCGTCTCCCCATCTTCGTTCCGTGTTGACCTCAAACCTGAAGAGCTCCGGACGCTTATAATGGCCCGCTCCATCCACATACACCTTCACCATGCTTAACTGAGATAGGTCAATCTCTGCAGTAACGATTGTGTCAACCGGGCCCCTAAATGGCCCTCCGATAACTGGGCAAAAGGGGTGAATGATAGCAGTCCAACCACCTCCAGCCTTCACCTTGTCCTGAGGACCTAGATTCTGCTCCATCCACCGAAGACATGTATCGTCAACATAGCTGCTTGGGCAAAGCACGAATACCTGCGCGGTCAACGCGTGCGCCTTCATCAACGCCTCAATTTGCGAACATGCGACATCCTCGAAGCCTTTGAGAATATCGAGAGCCGGCCAACAACCAACGTGGATGTGCTCTCCCTGGTCGATAAGGGCTTGTCGAGCTCCATTCATGGTATGCTCCCAGCACGCAAGCGCACCAATTCTATATCCCGTGCCCTTAGGCTCGTAAGTCTTGAGCGTATAGCCGGACCCCTGGCCCCAGACAAGCCGCTCGGCCCATGTAGGTTGGACCTTGCGATGAACTCCCAGAATGGTGCCATCCGCGTCGAATGTGACGATGCTATTGAACAGCGTGTACCCATCGCGCATGCGCTCCGAAATGCCCAAGACTACCACCATGTTGTGCTCCGCACAGGCAGCTTGCACGTCGACGAGGTCGTCCGGAACCACGACGCTCTGCGCGGCGTAGAGCGCCACGGTCGAAGCGTCGGGCGCGTAACAGTTGGTAAAGTAGGGAAATCCGGGTACGAACACTTCGGGGAAAGCGAGAAGCTCAACCGACTCGGCTGCTGCATCGGAGATGATGGTGATTACTTTGCGTAAGGTGGCAGTCTTGTCCATGTATACCGGCGCAGCATGTACAGCACCGGCGTTAACCTTCTTGTCCAGCATTTTGGAGTCTTCCTAGGTGCCCGGAACTTAAATTGTACCTAGGCAATTTGTATAAACTCAGCATAGCAAGTGAGGGGTTCCCGAACGACTTGATAATCCGTCTAGACATCAGTGTGGCGGGGTATTGTACAACATTCGAATGGCAACTCACATGCTAATAATCTTGCAATTACGGAGAGCAAAGTCCCTAGCAAGTTGAGCGAGACCTACTATCCTGTGTTTGGTCGAAAGGGGTCAGAATAAGTCGTATACAGCGGATTGCTAATGCCTGAGCGTAACATACCAGAACGACAATCTAATAAATATATCCAAGGTAATAGATAATTATATATACTGTTCATTCATTGAAAATAGAAGGAAATTTGCTGTTTGAAACTTCCCTCTAGGTTACTTATAATGTAATAGAAGCAAACCCATAATAGACATTTACCCCCTCACTCTCTCAGCTACTCTCAATTCACTCATTTATAAGCTTTAGTATCCTGGCAACAATGCAAGCACAATGGTCAACGGTTAGAACTTGTGTATGAGTAGGATACTTCGTATACCCCCCAAGGTGGAAATGTCCTTATGAGCCAATTACGTAGGTACCTAGGAAGAGAGTGATATGTCCAACGTTAACCCACCTGTGTATAGGGGTCGAAAACTATTATCGCGAACACCTAGCAACGTATGCGATCCTAGAGATAGGCGATCGTATAGATCATGACCAAGCCACATGCCAAACAACTAACGCGTATCCAACATTCAGTAGACTTGAGGTTAATGACTAGGAGTAGACCTTCTACGTATAATAAATTACTGTAAGGAACTCATCCTATTTTTTCTTAGTTCTCTTCTAGCGAGCCAGAACATTACGAGTCAAATACTTTAGGCGCCTCGTTACCGGTACCCGGGTAACGGACACCTCTCGACTTTACCGTCCTCATCTGCCAGCGCGACTTACGCGTACTTGCTTCCCTTAGTTACAAATTCTTCCTGCTTTAGGTAGTGACTCAAGCAGAATGAAACTACACAGTACGATTCTAGCGTACCTGCCCAGATATCTTACGTTGGGCAGTTACGTTATCATGGAAAACATATAATGTGCGTACCTACCCTAGTTCTAGTTCGTAATTTTTTCATATAAAATCATCTCCATGTTCCTAGCATTTCTCCTTCTACTTATTACCTATTTCTTCCCTACCAAGTTAGATACGAGATATCCAATCCTCGCCGAGTTACATAGCTATTGACTTTGACCGACATCTCCCAAAAGACAATACCTATTCCGGTGCACTATAGTTCAATGTGAGTTCAGTTTTTAAGAGGGAAAGGGGAAATTTTATATTAACTTAGGTACTTTCAAAAGATCAATACGCAATGGGTTCAACAATAGACGGAGAGTTTCCTAGTTCCCTCAGAGCTCTCTTCCCAAGCCGTGTAGACCCGACGGAGTTCCATCTCGGCACGCATGCGCACGATTTGCGATTTGCGGTGGTTATGGACGCAATATCCAGGAAGAGGTCCCTTTTTGTCCTGTATGACGGGTCTACCGATAATGGCAGTGTCTTGGTAAAGGTTGGCAAGACGCATAATCACCTCACGACTTACAACACCGGAGTCAAGGCTGGTGATACCACAACAACCTTGACCTACCGCACAGACGACGCGCGAGTATATAGGTTCTCATTGGACCTGAGAGGGTCACGCCCGGAGAAGTTTGAGTGGCGACCCACTGAAGGCAACGAGGTGCACGCCATGTTCGACCATGCGAAGGGGTTTAAGTTAGTACGGCTTCGAAGTAAGGGCCCTGGAAACGGGAAGGGAGGAAAGCGAGCTGAAAGACACATTGATGAAACCAGCGACGGAAAAGAAGTGGTGGCTGTCTGGGCAACTCAAAGGAACATCTTGATGAGATTCGTGCCAACTCTCAAGCCGTTCAAGTTTGAGTTGCGCGCAAGCGGCAAGACTGGAGAGTTGGGAGATGATTTTGCCTATGTAGCGCTCGCAACCGCCCTCAAGATTTGGTCATTCGAGGCGCAAGGCATCTCAGGCCTTCCGTTGATGGAGTCGCTCGTTAGTTGATGGCTGATTATTTGGTTTCGGGAAACAGGATAGGGGCTCTAGGAGGAAATACCATCATGATGACGTTCTAATTCTACGAGTGAACTTTCAAGAGGTTCCATATCGCAAACCGAGGGCGTCAGGGGGTATGTATAGAAACCGGGAATAGGGGGGATTCCATCAACTTCCCGTCCATATCTATTTGTTTACATACGACCTTCTCCCTCTTCAAGCTCTTTCTTTACTTACGTCTCTACGCTTCAAGTCACTTTTCAACCCCCACTGAGTTATTGACGAGGCCAATGACCTCAACTACCACCTCCTTTAAAGCAACTTCTAATCACGTACAACCTCGCTGTACCCGTAAGTCCTAATTGATATCCAAGACAATGTTGAATTTACTAAATAACTATTCAGATACTTCTCCCTCGCATCAGCTCTAAATATTTGGGCTTTGCAATGTCTAGGGATATCGGGTTTCAAATATATAGGGTAGTGCGTCCCCATCTGGTTGAGGTACTTTCGGAAGGATGAGAGAGATTTGGCGCGGAACTTCACACAAGCTCATATAATATAACGGAAATTGACTGAGTCTCCCAACTTCATGAAAACGTATTTGTAACCTCTGTATTTGGTTTTGTTGAATGCGCAAGGCCGATTTTGGGCGATGACCAGCTGCCAACCTCGTTATACGACTCATCCCATACAAACTTGGGTACTTTGCGTACATCAGACGAGTTCCAGATTTTTTTTTAAGAATACAAGTACGGTTGCTAGGCTACATCTTATTTACGCCTTTCGTTAAACTAGAAGTCTAACATTTTAGTATTTGGACGTACCTCTTACCCCTTCGAAGTTCCCGATTCAATCTCTACTTTTTTTTACGCACTTCTTCTACCTAACCTTTGAGTCGACTATCTTACACTTAGACAAATTCAAGGTAATTTCCTATTCGCCAGGAAGGACTAATTCCAATTATAAAGTTAATACACGATCCTGTCTCCAACATAGCTGTTCCAATTTGAGACTTTCCAGCACTACCTATCGTTTGCAGTCATACATCCTACCATTGGTAGATAATAGTGAGATTATAAAACAATGGCAAAAGTGTCAATATAAACTAACCCTCTTTAAGCAGATTTCAAGATGGCCGAGAAATGTCCACACTTTCTGAAGGTGTTCTATGCCAACTCCTACCAGACGACCTTCCACCTGGGCGAACACGCCGATGACCTTCGCTTTACCGTATCAATACGCCCTGCAGAATCAGAGAAACTCCTTGTGCTTCATGATGGGCCAACAGAAGACGGCCAGGTCTTAGCTGTCGGGAAGAAAGGGGGCGGGTTTCAGCAGGGATACCAAATGGTGAACGATATCAGTCTTCCTCCTCTCATCGGAGGATGGCCTGATACTGCTACTACGACGATGGATCCCAAGCAAGAGTTTGCTCGCCGCTGGTACCAATTCTCTATGAAAGTAGGCGAGGGTGAGAGAGCGCACGAGGAGAAGTTTGAATGGCGACTCACTCAAGGCAACGAGATCCGAGCCATGTTCAAACACGCTAAGGGGTTTAAGCTTGTACGAGTGGAGGCTGAAGGGCCCGGGGGAGGACGGGGCGGGAAGAGACGTTCGAGAGAGCCGGGCGAGACTAGCGACGGAAAGGAGGTAGTTGCCGTCTGGGCCACTAAAAGAACTCTTATACCCATGACCCGCAGTCCACTTAAGTTCAAGCTACTCGGGAGCGGTAAGACAGGCGAATTAGGACGACACTTTGGGTACATGGCTCTGGTCACGGCACTGGAGACTTGGTCTTTTCAGATTCTGAAAATACATGATAACTCCTCCTCCTCCTTATGTCCCTATCATTGATATTCCAAGGAGAGTGAATGCTGGAAAAGCAAGTTCTTATTTCTTACAAGAATTTAAGATACTTGTTTCTTCTCTATAAACCTTGGCTCCAAAAACATTCTATAGTCTTTACTGTAGTAACTTCCAGGGGAAAAAAAGGGGAAGTCTTGGCAAAACTCACTAAGGTATAATTTTAGTTATATCTTCGAGTTGCAAACTATAGGTTAGGTACCTAAATACATTGCCCCTTTACATTTAAATTTCATTGGTTTAGCTCTCTCCTACTTTTACTAGAATAGTATGCCTTAGATCCGTTTCGAAGTTTCCGTTTGTTGATAGAAGTGGAGTATCCAGGTACCTTACTTATGCTCAGTTTGCACTTGAGGACATGCAAACATTTTACAATAGTTACCTAGCAGAATACCAAACAAAGTCTTATTCAATGCTTTAATGGGTCTTTTCTCTTCTCTTATCACTCGTAGCTTTAATACTTTAAACTTGACCGTTTCACTATTGTTAGTCTGTTTTAAAACCATGTTCGATCAAATAAAGTTAAAGTGATTTGCTTGAAGAACAGAACTGCTTCGTTCTTTAAAGATCTAACGGGTGCTTAGCCTAAACCTAAATTTTTAGTATTACTTCATAGACTTCGTATACGGATTAGTTACCTAATGACGTAACATCGCGAACCCGTACGAACCCCACTACTACATAGTATAAAACGTGGTACCTGGTCTAGACCACTTTGAGACATTCGGTAGGTAGGTACCTACCTGTAGGGCAGCTATACATCGTCATATAATTCTACATACTTACAAATTCTCCCTTACAAATAAGCCACTTCTATTTCTATTCGTTTCAGGGACTTCTGAAGTTCTAGGTTATCAAATTCTCATCCTATAAGAGGTACTTACAAGACTCAGGGCCTAGACGGAGTTCTAATGAATGCTAAGTCCTACGCCAATCCGTCTTCTTAATACTCTTTCTAAGCATAAAATGTCATCGTCACCAAAAGAAATCACGATAATAGGAGGCGGCATCATTGGATGCTGCACCGCCTACTTCCTCACCCGACATCCCTCCTATTCCCCCGAAACGCATCGCATAACTCTCCTCGAAGCCTCCACTAGCAATGCCGGAGGACGTACCTCGGATAGCATCACAGACCCAGCTACGTTAGCTGACCCTGAAACCGCATCGAAGAGAAACCCCGCCCACGATGGAATTGCCGGAGGCGCAAGCGGGAAAGCAGGAGGTCTGCTTGCGCTGTGGGCTTTTCCTAAGAGTATCGTACCTTTAAGTTTTAAGCTACACGATGAGCTCGCGAAAGAATATGGTGGAGATAAGAGATGGGGATATAGACGATGTTATGCAAGCCAGATTGATTGCCTGGCCCGTCTACCGCCTGGCTTCAGCAATAGCAGGACGGACGAAAATAATACAGACGATATGACATCCGTCAGCAGTGAGACAGAGCCTCGTTCGAAGGGGTTACATAAGAACCACAAAAAGGAAATCAAAACATTAGAGAAACTTGGCGCCCCTGAAGACCTAGACTGGCTAGATACCAACGAGGCTCTGACCGCTTACGAGGGGATGGGCACCCCGGAAGACACAGCTCAGGTCCATCCCGAATTATTTACCAGAAGCATGGCCCAATTAGCCGAAGAAAAAGGAGTCAAGATCGTGACCGGCGCGAGGGTCACGAGCATTAACAAGACGGCAGACGGCAAGAGCGTAGAGAGCGTGACGTACGAGAAAGACGGAAAGGAGGAACGGTTACCCACCACGGATTGCGTAGTAGCCGCCGGCCCATGGACACGACGTCTTCTTCCCGAAATACCCATTACCGCAGCCCGAGCTCACAGCGTCGTCATCAAGACGCCGAAGCCCGTGTCCGCATACGCCCTCTTCACTTCGATCAGGCTCCCCGTCGGCTTTCCCACCCCGACACCTAGAGACTCCAGAGGAGCGCCGGGCGCGCAGCGGCCGCTGATGGGACAGCGAATTGTCGAACCTGAAATCTACGCGCGACCTGACGGCACCGCTTACGCCTGTGGGCCTACAGATGATATAGTCGACTTACCAGAAACGACGGCCGAAGTCGAAGTCGACGTAGCCCGATGCGAGGACATCATATATCAAGTCAGCGCCATTAGTGATGAGTTAGGGAAGGACGGCCAGGTTCTCGCGAAGCAGGCATGTTACTTACCCCAAGGAGGACCCTATATTGGCGCCATCAGCCACACGAAAGGGCTCGTAGTTGCCGCAGGGCACACATGCTGGGGTATACAAAACGCGCCTGCGACGGGGAAGCTCGTTAGTGAGATTATCCTAGATGGCAAGCCGAAGAGCGCGAAGCTGGGGGGTTGCGATCCCTCGTTAGTCTTATGACCGGAATGGATGGGTACGATATGGGATGGCCTTAGTACAGGAGGTATATAGAGAAACGGCATACATAGTAGATTATAGACGGGAAGCCAAGAGCTTCGTGAACTAATATATCTAATCTCGGACAAGGAGCCAACATATTAAATCTCTTTCACATAGATGACCGGTATTTCTTAAAACATGTAGCGACATGATCGATAGGGATTAAATAGGTCGAGCTAGGTAGGTAAGGACCTATCTTATAAATCTGCCCTTGCTTCTTCCCCCGCCCAAGCTCGTCGTATCAGCTCTCTTATTATGTCCCTTTCGATAGGGATAGGCCGAGGGTTCCAGTAAGGATTGCTCACTGCTATATCTGTTGCCTTATCTATGTTACTCTCCTGCGTACACACGGCCTTTAGCCCCCTTTTCACTGTCAACTTCTGCAAGAGCTTTAACCCCTTCTTGAGCAAAGAGGTTAATAATGGGGTTAATATTGCGAGCGTATAACGCTTCGACCGGAGTATGCATTGTGGCTTCGGCAAACACCCCGGAAACAGCATCGCCGAGAACGCCCTTCAGTAAGTCGATATGGCTCACATGCTGAGGCGGGCTAAGGAGGAAAGGTTTAGATACATTTGCCCGCGAAAGTTCTTCTGGAATCTTTTTGGTGGTGCCGCTACTGAAAGCGACGCGAGAGGGACTTGAGTTGTACTCGAACCTATCCATATTAGACAGCAAATACTTATAATTACCTATTCATATAAAGCTCTCATTTGCTGCCATTATAGTTAAGTAGAAATAATAATAACTCTCGATGATCAGGACAGATGCCTAGCTAGGTATATTCATTAATTTCACGTCCAGCCGAAGCTCGCTACCTGCTCTACCGGGCTAATAGCTCCCGCACGGGGACGATGAGGATTAAAGCCGTGAATAGGGCCTGAGTAGCTCATCCAAGAGAAGAAAGATTAATATAAAGTCTAATAGTTACCTAATTGGTCAGACGTCTATCTAAGGTAAAGAAACTTCTCAATGCGCATTAACAGGTAGAGCTATAATCATAAAAGTGAGAAACACACCCCGAGTAATGACGAGCTTAACAATGAACTCCATAGTACCTAGTTCAATGAAGAATTTATCGAGTAACTAATACAATATTCAACTTCTTGGATTTCTGATAGTAGCTTAAGTAATTTTTGTAGAAAAGAATATAAAAAGCTTAGTTATAAGAAAAAGACTTGAGAAACAATATTTTGATACTATAAAAGATAAGGCCAATTAGCAGGCAAGGTCTAGAAATATACCCCTGCAGCTACTTCGTAAACCCTGTAACCAAGATAATCCATTAAGTTTAGCGCTGTGATGTGTCAATAGGCTTCTTACCCCACAATTTACTTGTTCAGCGGCCAGCCAAGTCAGCTAGCAACATTGCAACTTTCCCAACTTCCCAGTTTCAAGCCACTGCATAACCCCATCTCTAGGGCAACGACGTTACCGCTTGTAAACAAATTCCTGCAGGTCTGCAACCACTAACTTTGAAATCGTGTGGCACGAATTTTAAACTTCAACGTCGACATTCCAACGGGCCCTAATACTAACAATTGACTTTCTGCTTCTTGTGTTGTTGTTTTTTTGGTTTCTTGTGGCAGAACCGCGTTCTTGCCGATCTCTGATAATTTAATTTCGAGACATTTTGAAAGCGGTTAATCATCGCATCGATCCAAGCAAAACGCAAATCAGGGTTCACCGACATTTCCGCCCGAAAAAAAAAAAATTTAGAAAGTATCGTCGCTTCTTTTTGGGAGGGAATCGGGGAGGATGCCTGCGGCCACAGATGGCCCGACAGTTTCTCTGTCGTGTACGAAATCTATTTGTAAAGCTGAATCACAACTCGAAAATACTAACATGGCTTTATAAACAGTTGCCAATAATTTTTGGGGTAAAGATGACGCCGGAGTTGGGCCATTGCTTGATCGCATGGCTTCTGCGAAGCAGACCAGCGATGAGCTTAGATCTTTTTACAGTGGTAAGTTTTCTTGGACCAATTTTTACCCCTCCATTTGGCTAATTGGTCTGTGTGTGTTCCTAGCCCGTGCCTCCATCGAAGATGAATATGCTCGCAAGCTTATGTCGCTAAGCAAGAAATCGTTGGGTACCCACGAAATGGGAAGCCTAAAAGTTTCACTCGATACCGTACGAGGAGAAGTCGAATCCATGGCGAAGCAACATGCCAGTATCGCTGCCCAGATGAAGACCGAGTTAGAGGAGCCGTTGGCTGCGTTTGCTGGAGGAATGAAAGAGAGGCGCAAGATTGTCCAAAATACGGTAGAGAAACTCCTCAAGGTCAAGATTCAACAAACGAACATGGTGAATAAGGTCAGTCCCGCCCATACATATACATCCTAAAAAGGATCCCCTCGACGATTAACAACCCCGCCTAGACTCGTGATCGATATGAGCAGGACTGTTTAAAAATTAAAGGTTACCTTGCCCAGGGTCACATGGTTATGGGACAAGAAGAAAGGAAAAACAAGGCCAGGCTAGAAAAGACACAGATCAGCCTTGCCACGACTAACGCCGAATATGAGAATGCTGTTAAGGTTCTCGAAGAGACGACTGCTAGGTGGAATAGGGAGTGGAAAGCCGCCGCCGACAAATTCCAAGATCTCGAAGAGGAGAGATTAGACTTCACCAAGAGCAGTCTATGGACTTTCGCCAATATCGCCTCCACAGTATGTGTTAGCGATGACGCCTCGTGCGAAAAGATCCGCTTGTCTCTCGAAAAGATGGATGTAGAAAATGATATCATCCACTTCATTAGCGAGAAGGGAACCGGTCAAGAAATCCCAGACCCGCCAAAGTATATCAACTTCTGCCGCGGGGACGTGGAAGACACTCACTCCGAAGCCTCCGAAGATGAGCATTACTCGGTAGCACAATTTCCACGGAGCATCAATCCTGCATTCCGTACATCTTCTCCCCAACCATCTACCTTCGAATCTCATCATGACCCTAATTCTGCCCTCGCTCGAGATCTAGCACATCATGAGCCACCCGCGCCCTCGAATAGGGATTTAATCATGCCTCCACAAAAGGCTCAAACCTATGCCATAGCTCAGCGTGACAGGCGGCGAGGAAGTGTTATACAGCCACAGCAGTATCCTCAAAGCATCAACCCTGGCTTCCGTGCTCCTTCGCCTCAGCCATCGACGTATGAATCTCATCATGATCCCAACTCGGCACTTGCTCGAGATCTTCAACGCCGCGACCCTATTCCTCCTGCTGCGCGGGAGGTACAGCGGAATGAGCCTCCACCTTCGTTCCCCCGAGACACGCAACGTCGTGAGCCCGAACTCTCTCTAAGTAGAGAGGTTCAGCGCCATGAACCCATTCCTTCGTACCCTCGGGAAATACAACGTCGTGAACCTGATCTCTCTTTGACAAGAGAGATTCAACGCCGCGATCCTAACCCTCCCATGCCCCGAGACATGCCACGGGAAGTACCCCGAGAAATGCCTCGAGAGGTTCCTCGGGAGATGCCTCGTGAGATAGCTCGTGAGATTCCTCAAGAAGCTCCCCGAGAAGCACCTCGCGAAATACAGCGCCACGAACCCGAGCTTGCTCTCACAAGAGAGATTCAACGTCGTGACCCTAATCCCCCTGCTCCTCGAGACGTGCAACGCAATGATCCTAGTCCCGCATTCCTTCGAGATGTACAACGTCAGGAACCAAGTCCCTCCTTCAGTAGAGAACTTCAGCGTCGCGATACCAACCCTCCTTCTTCCCAGGATCCACCACAGAATGAGCCTCCGCCACCTTCTAGCAGAGAGTCGGTCGTAGCACCACAGGCCACCTCAGGGGCTATCATGGCTCCACAAGATCGTCTGAAAGGAAATAATGGGGGACAGCCGTATGATGCCTCCCAATTTGCACCGGTGCCCCACGACCCTTACCCTATGGATGGTATGACAATGCTGTGCCGAACGGATGGCATGAATTCGGCTACAAGTTCGAATGTGTCAGCACGGCCATCAAGTGGTGATGACAATAGCGATTTCTCGAACCCGACATCTCTCTCTAGTCAAGAACCTCCAAGCGGCAAAGTGTCACCAGTTAAGCAGGAACCCGCAGCGGTAGCACAACCAGAAAAGCAGATGCAAAAGAAGAAGAGTGGATTCTTCCAGAACCACAGCCCATTCCGCAGGAAGAGTATTAAAGATGTGAGACCGCCCAATAGAAATACTTGGGGACCTACAACTTCCCAGGGTACTCTAAGCACACAAGGGACTGTCAGTTCTCGACGCAATCAAGCCTTTAAACCACCAGAGCCCCAACCTCCGGTATCTCAGAACCCGATTACAGATATGGTAGACAAGACAGCGAGTCCCGAACCGATTGAAGCGAATGCAAGCTTGGCTCTGAACATTGGACAGAACGTATTCCCTGTGGCCAACACCGATAAGAGGAAGCAAACTAGCGATACCAATCCACCTCCGCAAGAGGAGCTGGATCCGATTGCTCAAGCTCTAGCGGAGCTAAAGGGTGTTGCTAGTAATAAACAGGCAGTTGGACGAATCTCAGCAGATCACTATCATGGCCTCGCCACACCTGTACCCGACAGGTCCCAAGCACCGTCTCGTTCCGTGCCTGCGCCCAGAGAAAACAGCGATGCGGCCGCTGGTATGAGAGGTACTCCACCGCCATCATATGATATGCAGATTCAAAGGCTTGGTGTTCCGCCTCCGGCTGTTACGTCTAAAGCAATGCAGGAGGCGTCACGAAAATATGTGGAGCAAACCAGAGACATGTTTAGTGCGAAGCGTCCTGGATCTGGAGCATATAGTGGGACGCAATCTTTTAGCAATACTCCTTCTCGGCCGCCGACTAGAGGTAGCGAGATGCCCCGTGCAGCATCGCCAGCGCCTACTAGAAGCGCTTCTCCTCGATCTGGGATGTACTCCGAAGCACGTCGGTCGGAGACTCGTCAGAGCCAACGATCAGTGTCGCCAAATCCTTATAGTAGCAGCCGACACCGTAACTCAGCTTCGCCTAGTATGTATGGCGGTAACCAGCCGCGGAACTCACCACAGGCAGCATCCCCAATCTCATATAGCGGAACTCAGCGGCGGGGAAATTCACCACAGCCAGCATCATCAATTTCTTATAGCTCAACCCAAAGACGGGGCAACTCGCCACAACCGTCGCCTATTTCATACAGTGGAACCCAACGGCGAGGAAATTCGCCGCAGCCGGCATCTCCAATTACCTATAGTGCAACTCAGCGACGAGGAAACTCGCCTCAGCCAGCGTCCCCAATCTCGTATGGTGGTTCTCAGCAACGAAACTCTCCGCAACCCAGCATGTCGATAAAGCGCGGCTCGGAGCAAGGATACTACGGGCATCAGTCGCCGAGCAATTCTATGAGGGCAAGGTCCCCATCCATTTACAATAGCGATTACAATCGGCCAACTAGTAGGGCTGAAGAGATGGCTATGCAACTTGCACCAGTTGGGGACGGGTCCGTGTACGGATCGATGCGTAGCAGAGGAAACGGTAGACCCGGTACAAGTTCCAGCTCGCGCGCCATGACATTCTACGACGGACGGGATCCCGTGGCAGAGAGTTCGAGACAGCGGAGCCAGAGCGTGGCAGATCCGAGCCGGCAGTACACACCAGAAGGCCGCGCCATTTTACATTACGGTATGTTTTTCTTTCTTTTTCTTTTCTCCGTGATAACTTGAAAGTGGACGCTAACGGTCATATAGCTCGAGCATTGTATATGTACCAGGCAGCAATTCCGGAGGAGCTTGGATTTGCCAAGGGAGACATCCTCGCTGTCCTCCGACACCAGGACGACGGATGGTGGGAAGCTGAAATTCATTCAGGAGCAGGTGTTGGCAGGGGTGGATTGGTACCTAGTAATTATCTGCAGCCTTGTTAAGGGCCAAGGGCCAGCATTTTACGAAGCCCTTAGTTCTGCTCTTTGGTTGATGAGATAAAAGAGTGACGAGGCTCATGAAAGTTGGTATTTAGATACCCGTTGTTTTGATGTGATTACGTACCTAACCTAATGTTGTTATCTGGGGTTGTGATGAGCACATATGAGGGGGTTCAGCAAGCAAGCAAGCAGGCGACTTATTTGGATGGGTTGAAATTTATCGGTCGTCTGTTCTTTGGGGGGAGAGCAGGCTTTTCGCGCGTTAAGGGGAGGGAAAACGTTCGATGTAAGCTATTCTTCATTCTTCATTGCCAGACAGGCTATATAGGGTTCATTAAAGAATTGGGGAGTTAATACGAGTTTGCATTTTGACTTTTTTTTTTTTTTTGATTTGATTGATAGATATTCTGGTTTGAGTTTGCTTGTGAATTGTATAAAATAAAACACAATATTCTTATTCTTGAATAACCTAGGAGGTAGTGATACTTTCACAGCTCTTAAAGATTGCCCGTTTCTTTATCTGAACATGAGATTAGTCATCAGCATGACGTCGATACCAGGTACCTAACCTAAGGTGTAGGTAACGGAGGGGCAGCTACCTAACTCAACTTAAATTAGCATTTCGGCTGGCCTGGGTTGTCGAGTTTGGTCAAGCTCGATGTACCACTACAAACCCAAACATTACATGCCTTAACTTTGTTCATTTTAGGATCTATTATGATCCCGACCTTCTTCCACAACTTGTCTACTGTTTTAATTTCTTGTACTACTCATCTCAACGACGCGTATTCAAGAGTATCGTGAGGTTCAGCGCCGAAAGGCGCTTCTACTTTCGTTTAGGAAAATGGTCAGTCACATGCCTCAAGCTACCTACATACATGACAAGCTTCAAAGCTTCCAATAGACAAATGTTTATATATGTTCATTTCGCTGACTCTATAGCATAGGAATACGTAAAAGCCTCGTATAGAGCTGCAACATCTCCAACCGCCAAAAGGACATATCTCGGCGCTGTATTGTTCTTCTCGGCGTCCCTAATACTCTTATGCATTGCTGCTTTAGCCTATCCCATTTTCTACTACAGCTACGTGCCTAAGAAGGTTATATCTCTTCCTCTGCACCTACAATATGAGTAAGGGCCTTTCTTGTTTCCTTGCCAATGTATGAATTAATTAGTGGTATTATTGCAACAGCTCTGGCCTAAACCCCTATGGCGTCACCTCAGTCTCCTCGAATCTCATGCTCGAACAGGCCTACGATATATCAGTTGAATTAACCCTGCCGCGATCGCCTGTCAACCTAGAAAGGGGCAATTTCATGGTCACTCTGTTCGGCATGAAAACGCAGCCAGAAAACCCGGCATTCACTTACTATTTCTCGGGGGAACACCCCTTCTCGCATGTGAAAGAAGATACGGTGGTCTTCATGAGCCGCCGGCCCGCCCTGATCCCGTACACAGACCCGCTCGTGAAAACAGCGTCGCGAATCCTATTTCTGCCTTACTACTTACTATATCCCAGCGCGTCGGAGATGACAACGCTTAGAATTCCGATGGGCGAGTTCGTCGAGTTCAGCAAAATCCTCCCGCTGAGCATCCTGGTGGAAGTTCAAGCCGGCCAGGAACTCCAGGTGTATTCGGCTACAGTCACTCTCGTCGCCCGCCTAACGGGTATTCGCTGGGCCATGTATAATCACCGCATCATCTCGTTTCTGGTCTCCACGGCAGTTTTCTGGATAGCCGAGATGCTATCTACAGGACTGGCGTGGCTTATCTTGAGCTCCTTCGTATTTAGCCAAGAACCCGAGGGGCCTGGAGATAAGCAGAATGCCAGACCTGGAGGTGATCGTTGGATGGGACCACCGCCTGGCCGCGCCGCAATATTCGACGGCGGAGCGGGAGACTCTCAAAGCGAGGAAGAGGTAGTAATTAAGAAAGAGGAGGACGATGATGACGATGACGATGTGGATATCAAAGAGGAAACGCCGGGACGAGAAACATTGGTAGATCAACCAGCAGACGACGAGGAAGATGGGGAGGATGTCTGGAGGGGTGCAGGTGCGGGAACTAGTTCGGGTTATGAGAAAGGGCGTAGTGGTATTCGAAGACGATTATCGCGAGGAAGTCGATCTTGAAAAAAAAAGGCAGGAAGAATTATTGTTAGTTGAGAAGGGATATGCCAAATGCCTAAATGCCCGAATGCCCCTCCCCAAGCCTATTTACCTACTTAATATTATACGAGCATGTTCGCCACGTATCATGATGTGTTATCCAGTTTTCAATTATAGAAGAGCCGAATTTGCTGCTTCACTAGTCCGAGGAGCCACATGATATGTAAGTCAGTCGGATTTGGGCAAGTTTCTCAACGATGCCGAATCCGTGTGCTGTGCTTGAAATACGTGTATTGCATTTACGATTTCATTTTTGGTCCAGCATTGAAGTTGCTCTCTTCTCCACACTCTCCAATGCTCTAGTGCTAAGTGTAAGCACCTACATCTCGGTCATGTGTTCGACGGCGCAAATGAATACGTTTGGTACCTAAGGTTAGATAGATAAGGCAAATATTAGGTATATATTAGGTTAGGTATATAGGTAGGTTAGGTATATATATATTAAATAGGGCGGTGGCTGAATGTACGTATGGAAGTGAAGTGAAGTATGCCTTGTCCATAGTAGAAGCGATTCGAAATCACGGTTGGGTACATGAACATAACTCGTAATTGTATTGTACAAAACTCGAAACTCGACCTCATAGGCAAGTCCATTGGCACACAGTGAATAGGAGGTAGGTAGGTAGGTAGGAGGTGCCTAACCTAATCTAACCTAAGGTATTATATTACTTATAAGCAGCTGGTAAGTAGCTGGTAGTTAGGGCATAATACATAAAACAAGTATTGTACATGCATGAATTATACCCTGAAAGGTATTGTAGGTATTGTACAATACCTAAGATAAGGTTTGCAGCGGACTGATACATTACATGTAGCTAGCTACCTAAAGCTAAACGGATAGATGGATGTTCGGGCATATGTGTGTTACATGTAAGGCCAGCTTAAGACAGCGTAGCGTTTAGCTGCGTAGCAGCTTTGACGTGTTCAGGTGACGAGGGTGGTCCCAGAATCGTGGTCAACCAATCAATCAATTGCTAGTCTCCCCCGCCATGGCAGTCATTCCCAGCGTGGGTCAACAAACCGAAACCAAGGAGACTCGATCTGAACCTTTCAACATCGCTTTTCCGTCACTACTACTATTATTTCTACCTACGTCTACCTACGTCTAACCTATGTCTGCCTACATCTACAAATCAATAAATAATACCTGATAAGGTACCTTAAAACCTAAAGTAAATTGCCCTCCAGATTTCAATTGCCAGAAAAAAACAGGGTGGATTAGGTAGGCCTAGGCCGTTTATTATTGCTTCTACTTATTGCTTTTTGACTTGAATCTAATCCAATCTGATTCAATCCAGAAACTTACCCTACCCTTTTTGGGGGCCCACGATAGCTTTATAACAGCATTTAAATTTACCATTTCTACGATATCTAACCTAAAGTACATACCTAGGTACCTAAGCGTATAAATATATGCAGCTTTTTTTTAAAAAAAAAAAAAAAAAAGCTACAAGACTTGGGACCTATAACACAATTTCTCATCATCCACACTATTATCCATCCCATTTACCAAGACCAAACCCTTTTTTTGACTCAAACCTCGGTACTGCATTGTACATAATTGGGAAGTCTTGGTTCTCCGGTTTATACAGTGAACCTCTTTTTCCGGCTCACTCGCGTTGCTTGTCCTCATTGGCCATTGACGATTGAAACCATTAACCAAAATAACTCGAGATAGGGTTCGATTAAAAAAATAAAGCATTTACACATATTAGCGAAAAAGAAGAAAAAAAAGAAAGGAGGGAAACAACTTGTCGTCAGAAATATATTGCTTTGCGGCTCGCAGGCTTGCAGTTTTGCAGTTTGCAGTTTAATACGTTGCTCTCTCTTATAGCTTCGTGCTCAGAGCAACAACTCGCACACCGCCGGGGACGACCTGCAAATTGTTCCAGTTCTAGTTCCTCTTCCTACCTAACCCAAGCAACTCGCAAAAGTAACCCCTTCTCGCTTTCTCTTAGCCTCCATTTATTCTACCCCTACCAATTTTTTTACTTTTATTTTTATTTTTATTATTTTTTTTTCTTCTTTCCACTACAGCTCAGTTTTCTCTATCAAGCCCTAGACCGACAGTTACAAACTGGCGCTCGAACGATTCCTTGAGCTCGTACAGTATCTTATCGAGTCTTTGTCTACAAACAATTCTCAGAACTTTTTTTTTTCCTCTCCTCTTGCTAGGCCTCTATCTATATTCTTCGCCACCCCTCAACCTACCCTACCCTCCCTTAGTGCACGACGAGCGAACAACCCTCGCGTCCCTTCTTAAACCCCTCTATTACTTCGTCCGATATTACAGTCTATATCCGGTAACGATGCCCTGCTTTAAGGGCATCGCTGTGAGCATCCATGCGAATTCTGCCCCGCTCCCAGAATATGGAATGCAAAAGCAGTCTCGTCTATCTCGCATCAGCACATACATACCTGTTCCTCAACCTCAGCTAAACCCGGAAACTTCTAAACATGAGGCAGCAAAGTTCGCCATTTCGATAACGCTTTTAACCCCCGGTCATCCCATTCCTTATACCGCTCCGAAACCAACTGCGGCCAATCCTTACCCGAAACCTCTCTACGCTGGACCTCTAATACCCTCAGGCTCTGATCCTTCGAAGCATGCCAACACCGTTACACCCTATATTCCTATGACGAATTCGGAGAACGAAACCATTGCTGCATATATTTACTTCGACGGGCGAGCTAAGGAGGAGGTCGCTACTCTGCTACGACCCGGTGAAGAGACTTGGGTTAATAGTCGTTGGGTTCAAGTTCCTGAGAGTGAGGGTGGCGGTCTTGCCGAACGTGAATTTTTATTCCGAGAGGTTGGTTTAGAAAGATGGCTTAACGGCTTAGACCTCAAGGGCCATGATGCCGCAGAAAAAGTCGAGAAACGAAGACAGAAGTTTGAGCGACGTCATCGCCGCCACAGGTCCACCCCTCACGGCGGCGACGCGAACACGGAAAAGGTTCCCCGCCCCCGCGATACCCTAGCCTACGGTGGGGAGGACCAATCGCCCGTGGCAACCCCTGATGACTCGGACGACTCCTCTATGTCTGATGACGACGAGCCTCCTGAGGCTACCGGACAGATCAAGGTGGCTATGTTCCGTGTGATCGCTTCTGGCGAGATCAAGAAGGGGGAGTATTCGCCGCAGTTCGATGCCCACGATGACGACGACGAGAGCGATAGTGGAAGTAAGGGAGGCAATAACGGCGCCATCGATGCTGATGTCGAGCATACCACTAGTTTTGCTAAGCCCAAAACGCTCGATCCTAAGACAATCAGCACTCAGACAGTAACTGGTATAGACGGTCCAGATAAGCCTTACGCAGTATTTACCTTCTTCTATCGTGGCCAACGTAAGCAACTATTTGTTGAAGCCCTAGTATTAATTCATTGCTAACAAATTATTAGGCCAACTCGCCAAGATGGGTTTAGTTCCTGGGTCAAAGGGGGACCAGAAGGCGTCGGGCACTAAGCGGCGATCGACCCAACTTGACTTTTCTGGGCTTGGGCCTCTTAAACCTACCGGTACCGTAGGATTTTCGGCCTTCAGAGATCAAGAAGCCGAAGCCGCAAAGAGGAGGAAGGCCAGAAGGAAGAGTAGCGGCGCGAACGGCCACCTTATGGACGAAGATAGCGACGATGACGATGACAACGACGATGATCCCCTGGCTAAGATGGTAGATTCTGACGATAAGGACGTCAAGACTACCCTTGCACCAGAGGATGCCAGGGTCACCGGTGAGCTACAAGCCGGTATTGACCGCATTCGCGTGAGTTTGCCCCTTTTTTTCAGTTCATGCATAGTGTCACTAACAGACACCCGGTAGCTTAAGCGACAGCACTCTACAGAACCAGACGCTGCAGGCGCGTCGGGTTCTCAAAAGTCACCCAGCGCAGGTCTTACAGGCGGAGAGTCAACACCTACGGATTCTACGGCAAGCAATCAAGCCATTCCCAATTCAGTCGCAAATCTGCTTGCGAATGCTTTTAATGGCGAAACGAGTATCGGAAGCCCTTTAAAGAAGCAGCGTGCAGATGACGAGACATTAGATCGTTCCGTGAATTTTCCCTCCGCTTTAGGCGATGTACTGGCCAGGGCTACTGCGGATCAGGAGAAGAGGGCGAATGAGGAGCAGATTCAAGTACAGACCTCTTTCGGCGAAGACGAAGAGCTTTAGAAGGGCGGCCACCCCCTGGCGACTTATTTTGAGGTTTTTCTAAAGAATCTCGCCAGCCACATGGCCAGTTAACTTTCTTCGTTAGTCGAACCATTTACCAGGGCCGAGAGACAAGTCGAGTTATAAGCGCTCTCAGCGACAGGTGGTCTCAGCGCTATCAAACAGCCGAAAGTATAGGATTATTACATACACGGAGAGAGATGGGTGGAACTTGGGATGACAGTGAATTATGTAGGGAGGTTTTGAATTCCGTAGATACGTCAACTATATTCATTGTCGTGTCAAGGAGAGAGAGCCTCAATAGTCTACATCCAAGAGCTAGCCACCAAGACGATTCAGCCAGTGTACAAAAGTGGAGCGTGTTCGGGTTGCATATAGCAAGCCTTTCTCCACGAAAGGGTTCTATTTGAACATAAGCGAAGTTTGGGTTCGTTGGCTGCGTGTGCAACGGCCTATGTTTTTGACGTGGAAATGATGATGATGAATAAAGCGGAAAGGATTGGCGGCGTGCGCTGGTTGGTAGTGCCTGTGGCCTTCATCTCTAGGTGCGGTTCCTTTTTTTATAGAGAAAATACCCCGAACTACGAAAGAGTTCAGAGGACAACTGCAAGGTTGCATGGGGCCTTTTCTCTTGTTTCGACCGATGAGTTGCGCGGTTATGTGTGTATGCGTACTGCGGCCTTGGTGTCATACCTAACAGTGCCCATAGGCCCCTGATGAGCTATCGTCTTTTGCGTAGTTCTAGGTTTCTTGCCGCCGGTGTCTCCTGTAAAAGACGTATTGGACTGATTGTCAACGTGAGGGACCTGAGTTGTGTTGTACTAAACGAGCTCTTCGATATTCATGTATTGTCATGTATAAGTTATTAGGAGTTAAGGGTAAATGATCAACACCCTGCAAATGCATGGGGGACTCGATATCATTCATAAGGCGGGGTTTCCAATCAGACTGATAAGTACTTGCTAGCTTTTACTTCGCAACTGTAAACATAAGTTGAACATGTTTGGACTTGTATGATTCGTACATTGGATTAGCTTACGGCCAAGGATTGAAAAAAATTCATCCTTCAAATACTTAGAATTTATCGATACCTCGTGCACATGTTAGCCAAAGTAAATAAAGGTACCTGATCATCTCAACCTCATCCCCCCACCAACGCAACATAACAAAAACGTAAAAGCCTCGACCTGAGATGAGGTTCGGACTTCTTATACCGGCGGCAACAGCCGCGCTAGCTCTGCTGGAGCAACAGAATGAGCAGGAGGTCCTATCTGCGGGAGAGAAGAATGGAGAGGAGCAGAGGGGAGCGGATAGAAGCCCATTGGACTCCGACTTTAAGGCCTTCACGCAAGCGGCGCTCGACCGGTGGAAAGTCCCGGGGGTGTCGGTTTCTGTTGTTGACGGGGATGACATATGGGCCGAGGTTTGTGTCTATTTAGATCTTATTGCCCCTTTTTTCATTCCTGGTTATGCCCGATAGTAAGACGAAAGACGATCGTTTCCTGGGAATTAGGCTCTTCAGGGGGTTATACACTACCTGGTATTCAAGGTACCTCACCTTACATAGGTATCACTACTACATTATTATTCGATTATATTGATTAATACCTTAGGTTAGGCACCTAGGTACATATTTCCAACTAACAGCACCCACAGGGTTACGGCATCGCGAGTTTCCCCTCGACGCGCGCGACGCCGTCGACGCTGTACTACACCGGCAGCACGACCAAGGCGTTCACGGCAGCCGTGCTATCGCTTCTCATCGCATCGGGGAACTTCACTTCTTTCGCCTCCTCTTCTTCCTCTTCTTCCTCTGGTGTGAAGATCGCCTCCTCCTCCCCGCTCGGCTGGCAGACCCCCATCTCGCATCTGATCCGCGACGACTTCGTCCTGCCGCCCGGGCACGAGTGGGAGGCCGCGCACCTGACGCTCGAGGACGCGCTGTCGCACCGCACGGGGTTCCCGCGGCACGACAAGGCGCTCGCGCGGCGGTACGGGCCGGAGCCCGATCACTCGCACTCGCACTCGCACCCCCACTCCCACCGGGGCACCCCGCGCGACGTCGCCCGCAGCCTGCGGCACCTGCCCGCGGTGTCGGAGCCGCGCGTGGGGTGGCGGTACTGCAACCTCATGTACATGGTGGCCGCGCACGTGATACAGACGCTGACGGGGCGGTGGCTAGGCGACGAGATGAGGGAGCGGATCTGGGAGCCGCTGGGTATGCACGGGACGTATTTGAGCGTGGAGGAGGCGCTGGGGGCGGGCAGGGAGGTGGCGAGGGGGTATTATTGGGATTATCAGGGGGAGGGGAAGGGGAGCAGCAGTGATAAGGATAGGGGTAAGGATAGGGATGGTGAGCAAGGAAAGGGGTGGTTCATCCCAGTCCCATACGCAAACCTCGACCTCGCGAGCGGCGCCGGGGGTATCGTCAGCAACGTGCTAGACTACGCGCGGTGGATCCGGTGTCTGATCCGCGGCGACGGCAGCGACGAGACCGAAAACGGCTGTCCGGTATTACCTCCCTCGGCACACCGCGAGCTGAAGCTAGCGCGCATCGCGCTGCCGCCCGAGACGCGGCTGAGCTTCGACGCGCCGCTCGCGTACGCGCTCGGCTGGGAGCTCGGCACGTGTAAGGGGCGGCGGATATTCACGCACGGCGGGGGCATGGAGGCGTACGGTGCGGAGGTGTACTTCCTGCCGGATCTGGGGTTCGGGGTGGTCACGCTTGCGAACACGGCTGTGACGAGTAATTTGCTGGGTATGGAGCTTGCGTGGAAGCTGATCGATGACAAGTTGGGTGTTCCGGAAGAGGAGCGGTTCGACTGGGTTAGTCGGTAAGTTTTTCATCCTCCTTTTACTTCCCCTGGGACCAGACATCATCATCGTGTTGCTGCTATCTCCGTCTTTCTGGACAGAACGAGGATGCCCGGGCTGATTTGTCTATGAATATAGCGGAAAGAAAGTCCTCGAAACCCAGCTCAGACTCGCTGAGACGGCTATTCAAGACTTATATCCGGAACGCGCAGACCCTCCGTTACCTCACGCGCTTCCCCTTGAAAAATACGTCGGGGTCTACTCTCATCCAGCATATCAAAACATCACGCTACAGTTGACTAGCGAGGACTCGGCAGAGAAGAAAGGAGAGCAGCTTAGAGCAATCCGGGACGACATGGAATGGCAGATGACGTTTGATTTCCACCACGTCTCCGGAGAGTTCTGGGCCGTGGTTATCGATTTCCTTAACACGCCCAACATGCTCAACGGTCAGCGGGCTCGGGCTCAGTTCGAAATCAGCGTGAAGGGGACGGTAGATAAGCTGAAAATGGAGTTCTTGGAGGACGGAAGCGAGGGTATTATAGTGTTTGATAGAGTTGCCTGATAATATAATTTCTTGGTATATGGTAGTTAGGTAACTATATCCGTCTCAACAGTCATGAATGGAGCGTGAAGGATATTCCGTGAGGCGACCTTGGAGATAATGATTGACTCATAGTCATTGACAGTGGTAAAGCGATCTCGATTACCCTTTCTATAACATGAGTCGATCTTCTAGGTGTATTTTCAGTGTCGTACGATTAGAATATTCACATTTCCTTAGATAGTAAATAATATAAAATAGATCCAGGCTTGCATTATCTATCTGCTTGACTACCTAGGTTAGGTATCCAACGAATAAATCGACTACCAATGTAGAGAAGCGATCCAATAGCTCCATATACTATTCTTGGACACTACTATACCTGCTAGAACCATGCTAGTAACGAGGAATCTAGATAGCTTTAGAAGCTTTCAGTTCTCATGGATGTCTCTGGCAGATGTAAACACGTCTATCCAATGACGTCCAGAAAATTCCTGTCAATACAGGTGGCAATCTATACAATCTATACGAGTTAGCAACACTAGAACAAAGCTAGAAGACGGCTAACAAGTAATTTGAAGGCGTTTAATGAATCAGACTGTTGAGCTTGATGAATTTTAATCCACATGGATGTTTTCAGTTGGCTGTTCTTAGAAGATTGGATCATCATACCAAAAAACGAGATGGGGAAATGTAATAAAAGCAAATAGAATTTAAATAGAATTTAACTTACACTTGCTGCTAACCAGAAGGGGTTGACTTGAGAAGCCGTTGAAACTTTGTTTTTGATAATAAAGAATGAAAAGAGAAAAATTCGGGTGCAACTTGGGAATAAAACCTTAAACCTTATAAATAGCCCTTAGTTACATCGGACTATTCAGCCGAAAGACTAGAAAGGGTTTTCCCGGGTGTCCGGTTACCTGAGATCACGTGAGAGATTGTGTGACCCATTTGACCCCATTCGACCCATTCGACTCGTCTTGATTGGTTAAATCGATTGGCTACAAGCTCGGCTGCTAAGTCGCTCAAACTGCTCAAACCGCTAACTGACTTCACCGATCGAATCTCAACAAGAGAACAAGACCAATCTCCACTCTAACCACGACGTCCTTAACAATACCTCATACGCCACACCACTACCACCTACTCACCTATCCCGCCTACGATTATTCTCGGGGAAATATTACAAACATCGCATAGGGAAAGAGAGAAGAAGAAAGAAAGAAGAAAAAGGGAGCAAAAGGTTCCAAACAAACAAGAAACGGGACCTATTTCGAGTCACATCAAAAAGCACCCAAGCCAACATACCTATCATGCCCGCCGTCCGACCGAACGCCGCCGCCGTGCGGGCTACACGCGCCCTGCAGCAAAACTCCAAGACCACAGCCAGACCTTTCTCGGCCACCCCGCGCGCTCCAGCCTCTCACGGCCCTCAATACGACCCCCCGACCGGCTGGCTGTTCGGCGTCAAGCCCGGCGAGAAGTACCAGAAGGAAGGATGGGAGACCCCGTTCTTCTACGGTTTCTGCGGTAGCTTGGCTCTCGCTGCTGTCGCCTACGGATTCAAGCCTGATACCTCGTGAGTTTTTTTTTTTTTTCTTTTTTTTTTACGCTTTCAAAGTCCTTTGGGTGGTTACGGGATAAAGAAGGAAGAAGAAGAAGGTGGCTAAGGCGATTATTATATTGCCCCGTTGCTTGTGCAATACATATATATATATATATTTGTATATCTCTTTCATAACTCGTCCTTTTCAAAGCTTTCCCTACCTATACTATAACCCAATAACAGCAGGCAGCAGCTAACATAATCGCAGAATACAAACATGGGCTCTAGAAGAGGCGCGACGGAGATTAGAAGCCGAGGGCATCCTCGAGGACCCCGAGAAGAAGTGATGGGCCCTTCCCCAAACCATATAGAGTGCGATAAACGGGACAAAGAAAAAAGAAAGAACTGTGGTACACTACTAGTTCGAGAAACTCTATTTGTATATGAAATCCCGATTTTCCCTTTTTTGTTTTTTTCCTTTTTCTCCTTGCCCTCTCGTGTCGCCTCGCCCTCCTGGCGACGGTGACGGCTTCTATTAGAGAAATCTCATCATAGACGGATCACCTCCCAAGCTGGTGAAAAGGGGTGGGGGGGAGGCGCTTGCTACCTACAAGCTACAATTAAAATGTCTTCTGCCGTGTAATTCCCCGTCTACATTAGCATTCATCAATGCACCGGAATGTTTTTGAACAGTTATCCGCTCTGATCAAATCGGATTTAAATTTAAACATAATGGTTCTTTCGTTAAGAGGCCAGGTAAGTACGCCGTTTGCGCCGGATCTATCACCATCTATGCGGATATAGAACACTATGGTGAACAGGACCAAAATAAACCGCTGAACTCGCTTTTTTTTTTCTCTCTTCTCTCTAACATATGTGACTCCATTCATGCTCCTCGTCTCCGTATTGCCTAGCTTCTATCCAGCTCTTCATCTTATTAGCGACCTCGCCCGACTCCTCGTTATCGGCCAGCCCGCAGTCCACCAGCTTGCCCTTCCAGCTGATCTTCCGCACGGGGCTGACGACGGCGGCGGTGCCGGAGCCGAAAACCTCAATCAGGCGGCCCTCGAGCGAGGCCTCGTACAGCTGCGGCATGGTGATCTTGCGCTCGGAGATCAGCCAGCCCTCGGGCGCGAGCTTCTCGCGGGCGAGGCTCAGGATGGAGTCGCGGGTGATGCCGCCGAGGATGGTGCCGTCGAGGGGCGCGGTGATGAGCTCCTTCTGGTTGGTCTCCTTGTTGCGGATGGCGACGAAGAGGTTCATGGTGCCGACCTCGGTCACGTACTCCTCGGGGCCGAACAGCCAGAGGTTCTGCTGGAAGCCGCGGGAGGCGGCCTCCATCTGGGGCACGATGCAGGGGGCGTAGTTGGCGCCGAGCTTCTTGTCGCCGACGCCGCCGGGCCAGGCGCGGACGGCATAGTCGGTGGCCTCGAGGGACACGGCCTTGAAGCCGGTGGGGTAGTAAGGGCCGACGGGGGAGGCGATGACGAAGAGCAGGGCGGATCCCGGGGCGCCGATGCCGAGGGTCTTCTGGGTGCCGATGAGGGTCGGGCGCAGGTATAGCGAGTAGCCGCGGCCGTCGGGGATGAAGCGCTCCTCGAGCTTGACGAACTTGGCGATCAGGTCGATCAGGCTAGTAGACGAGAAGGTGGGCAGGGCAATGCGGGCGGCGGACTTGTTTAAGCGCTCCATATTCTTGTCCGGGCGGAACAGCCGTATCTGGCCCTTGTTATCCCGGTACGCTTTCATACCCTCGAAGCACTCGAAGGCGTAGTGGAAGACGCATGTGGCGGGGTCGAGCGAGAGGTTCTGGTAAGGTTGTATCGTGGGTGCAAACCACCCGTCGTTCTTAGTCCATTCGATCGTTAACATATGATCTGGCAACAAGACACAAGTTAGCGTACTGCCCGTCTATTCAAGCCCGTAGTATATGGCAGTATATGCCAAGTGTATATATAGAGAGATCGTACCTGTGAATTCCCTTCCAAAGACAAGTTCGGCGGGGTCCTTAGGTGTCTTAGGGGATTGAGTCTTGGTGATAGATAACTTGGTAGGATCTATATCTAGCGGTTTCGCCACGGATGCTGCCGCTGGTTGTATGCTGTACCACCTGGATGCTCGTTGCAGCGCTGGTAAAGCGTAGGAAGAATGCGAGGCGGGGGCTCTTAGAGCTCTCCCGCATCGCGGAAGAAGTTGTCGAAGCATTGGCGGAAAGAGTGTAATATACAGCAATCCAGATTTACTTTTTTTCTTTCTTTTTCCTTTTGTTTTTCGAATCGAATTTCTAAATCAGATTTCGATTATGCCACGAGAAAACAGAGAGGAAACAAGAAGAGGCAAAAGAAAGATGGCTTTAAAAATGGGAGAGCAATTGGGACCGGATTGTATATATAACCCGCTCTCTTTGACTCAATTGCTCTATGGACGGAACCAAATGATTAGGTCTAGGTAGTTACTAATATAAAATAGCCCCAATTTCCCTTTATAACCTCAAGTGAGCTAACACGAAACGAAACCCCTACCCGACCCGACTCAATGGAAGGGGGAGAAAAAAAAGAGGGCAAAGGCAGAAAAAAAAAACACCACGCGGTAAGAAATGCAAAGCGATCTCGGAGGGGCCTAGCGTAGGTACAAGTACGCCCTGACGGGAATATGCACTAACGGGCCTTACGGAACCGAACAAACCAATCGTAGATAAGCTTTTTGTCGTACTTCCAGCTGTGGCTAGTGTACTTACTTGTAGCATACATACGTACCTATGTACCTTTATCAGCAACATTCAAGAATCTAGAAGCAAACACACCGCCACCTGAGGTAAGCAAGGGGAGACCCCTGACTCCTGAGAGTTACCTAGCTGCTTAGATAGAAACAAAGCGGATAAGAGCTTAGGCTTGACATTTTGAATTTGTATTGTACAATGGTACCTGGTAAATTGTGGTTACCTACCTATTTGTAGATTTGTAGATTCACACATGCAGATATCTTACCTTAGGTAAACATCCAACTCGAAAAGTACCTAAGGTAGCCTCGTGCTTACAACCGTCCGTACGTCATTTTATTTCAAAGTGCATCCGTCAAAACCACAGACCATACTTATCACCCAAATAAGTAAACGAAAGGATAAGATAATCATATACGACCCGTCGTCGACCCCATTGCCGATTACCCGGACGTACAACACGACCGTCATCCGAGAGTAGATCCGGGAGGGATCGGGTTTATTGAGGTATTGAGGTCCTTACCAGGTATTGGGAAACGCGGGATCGCAAACGAATGTTTATCTTCCATCGCGCAACGTTACGATATGATGGTCGCTAGCCCTTGCATAACATCTCGTCGCCAATCATGTTCTCCTCGCTGAAGAGCTTCACCTCTCACATCAACTCTAACTATGCTATTTCGCAATCCGTAACCTGTACGGCCGGTCCGTGGAAGATATACGATGCGAAGAAGAAATCAACAGGCAAGACGTATTCCGTCTTCGTCTTCGAGAGGAAGTCCATAGAGTCGCATGGGAATTCTCTCGGCCGGTCGGGCGCCGCAGCTTTCAAGCGCTCCGTTGATGAGGTTGTTGAGCGTTTAAAGAAAGAAGCGTCGTCGCTCGCTAGACTACGACATCCGAGCATTCTGGAATTGGTCGAGCCCGTAGAGGAAACTAGAGGAGGTCTTCAGTTTGTCACCGAGCCCGTAACTACCTCGCTAGCAAACCTCTTACAAGAAAAGGATGATCAGGAGAGGTCCGGCGGCGTCGGGGGCCGGTCGAGTCGATATGTCACCGAAGACTCGGACGGCACCAGACGGAGGCGGGATATAGAGATCGACGAGCTTGAGATACAAAAGGGGTTGCTTCAGATTAGCAAGGCTTTGGAATTCCTACACGAGAATGCTGGACTGGTGCACGCCAATCTCACCCCGGATGCTGTGCTAATTAATGCCAAGGTTAGTACCTAAGTCAGTCAGTCTTGACACTTTTCATTGGGTTTCGAGGATAGCCCTTTTCAAAACACGCCTTACTAACCAGATGACAGTCCGATTGGAAAGTCAGTGGCCTATCTTTCTGTAGTCCACCAGAGGGCTCGTCAAAGCCAACTTCGGTTCAGCCTATCAGCCTTTCGGAAGTTCTCAACTTAGACCCCAGGCTACCAAAATATGTCCAAATCAATCTTGATTATACTTCCCCTGATTTTGTCCTCGATAATAACCTCACCACCTCAGCTGACATGTTCTCGTTGGGCCTTTTATGTGTCGCGCTATATAATTCACCTCATCGATCTCCCATAGAAAGCAGCGGGAGTATCTCTGCATATAAGAGGTTGTTCACATCATCTTCAACCGTACCTTCATCTGGGAATGGCTACCTGTCCAAAAGGCCCATACCAAGGGACCTTTCGGCTCATGTACTACCCCGATTAATTACGCGGCGTCCCGCGCAGCGCATGACAGCCCGAGAGTTTCAAGAGAGCGAGTATTTTGACAACATTCTTGTTTCTACCATCCGCTTCCTCGACGCATTCCCGGCCAAGACTCCAAATGAGAAAGCTCAATTCATGAGGGGTCTCAATAAGGTTCTACCGTCCTTCCCCAAGTCGGTCATGGAGAAGAAAGTCCTGCCAGCATTGTTGGAAGAACTCAAAGACAAGGACTTGCTATCCCTCATCCTTCAGAATGTCTTCAAGATTATGGATCTGTTGCCATCGTCGAGGCGAGCGTTCTCGGAGCGGATACGACCGAGGATTAAAGAGATCTTCGTCGTCAATGCGAAACAATTACAAGAAAAAGATGCACCTAGGGACGCAGGGTTGATGGTTGTCTTGGAAAATTTACGTCAGATAGCTGAGAACTCTTCTGGTAAAGAGTTCAAAGATGGTAAGTTTCATATTCCTATAACAATTGTTATACTTGGTCAATATAGGCCGATCTTTTACATGGCATCGATGCTTAAGTCACCAAGCATGGACTGCGTCTTAACGTTGTACTTTCAAGTCCAAGCTAATATGTCACCCAGATGTCCTACCAATTGTTTTAGTGGCCATTGAGTCTCCAACGCCTTCACTTGTCGATGCTGCTCTACGTGGCTTGCCAGTTATATTACCAGTTTTAGACTTCAGTACTATCAAGAATGAGCTATTTCCCATCGTCGCTGCTGTCTTCAGCAAAACCAACAGCTTAGCGATCAAAGTTCGCGGGTGCCGAGCCTTCGTCATCCTTTGCGGTGGCTCGAACGAATCGTCATCAGCGGACGATGGGCTTGACGGGATAAGCCGTGAGAAGAAAAAGGCATCTTCATCCAGTGCTCTAGACAAGTATACAATGCAGGAAAAGATCGTCCCTCTCATCAAAGCCATCAAAACCAAGGAGCCTGCAGTCATGATGGCCGCCTTGGATGTGTTGCGCGTTGTGGGCGATAACGCAGATGCCGATTTTGTAGCCATGGACATTTTACCTATCCTATGGAACATGAGTTTAGGACCCCTTCTAGATCTCAAGCAATTTCGGTCCTTTATGGACTTAATCAAGTCGCTTTCGAGAAAGGTCGAAGATGAGCAAATAAAGAAGTTACAGGAGCTTTCCGTTGTGAATGGAGGTGGGAGAGCAGCGACTCCCACCGATGATTTCGTAGGATTCGGAGGTGTTAGCGGGACAACGTTTGATTCAAGTAATGGAGCAACGGAAGACGATTTTGAACGGCTAGTGAAAGGGAAATCGGGGCCGAGCATAAACACAAGCGACCCGATGGACGCAGGCTGGGACACCACCCCAGCGACAGCATCAGTTATCTCGCCACCGATCAAATCGCCGCAATTTTCCTGGTCGACACCAAGTCCTACCTCTAGTACTGGTACTGGATCAGGCTATTTCGGAGCCACCAAACCTCAACCTCCTTTCCGAACAGTTACTCCGGACCTCAATTCATTCGGTACTCTAACCCCTTCATCTACCCAATATTCCCAACCCCTACAACCAAGTATGGGTAACGCAAGCAAGCCTACATCTGCTGTACCACAGAATCCTCCCAACACGGTCAACTGGTCTACCTCGGCGGCAGCGGCGCCCAATCCTTGGGCTTCGAGTTCAACCAACCCCATATCTCCATCAGCTTCATCTTTCGGCAATATTGCTACAGGGATGTCCAATTTAAACCTTGGCCAATCCAAACCCACTCTAAACCAGTCGTCTTCGTTTTCTCTCCCTCCGCCGCCGTCTAGTGGAAGCAGCACTCCCTCCGGGTTCAGCTTACCTCCTCCCCCAGGAGGCGCTCAGAGACAGAGCTCAACATTGTCATCGTTCGGTCAACCATCCAGCGGATTCGGAAGCATATCTCCACCGCCCGGAAGCATGAACAGCATGGTGAACTCGGGAATCGGAGGCACGAATAGGAGTATGAACAGCATGGGCAGCATGATGGGCAGCATAAAACCTATGGCGCCAAGCCAATCCATACCGCAACCGCAGCAGCAACAGCAACAGCAAACCCAAGGGTCAGGCTTGGATAAGTACGAGAGTCTCTTATAGGCGAGTGAGGAAGGAGATGTAACTGGTGTCACCCGTGCAGCTTTCATGAGCGTATAGCAATTTGTGTTGAGTTAGTTATATCGGTATGTACCATACCTAACATACTAGGTACTAGGTGGCATTCGGACGTATATATATGTAAACCCCGTAATTAGATATGTCGGCGCGGATACCCGGATAATTGATCTCTTTTGGGGGCTTTGATGCAGCAGGACTTGGTTCATGCGATTGGGAATTGGTCTTGAAGCTTTGTTTGATATAAGCACTGTAGTAACGTCGTCCTCCTGAAACATTATTACTATCGTATCCTCTCTTGTAAAGACTACATGGTTAACCTAATTGCTTCCTATGCCCCTCATGCGTTGTCGCTTCACACCTCTTCGGTGTTAGCTTATATGGTAACTACAGGGTGTACAATACCTATCTATCTCAGGTAAGTGGCCGAGCTAGCTTTCTTCTACTGGCCGCCTCATTCCAGTTTCTTAGAAATGCAGGGTTGAGCCACGCGTCGTCGATGCTTCTTATAACGTAAGTTACATCCTCTACAGTGGTCCTATCCGGCATTGAAGACTGGTAGGGTAAATATACCGACCGAAGATAGTGGAGAAGAGGATTTTTCCTAGGTACCTAGGTAGGTTAGGTGACAAAAGGGTACTGTTTACTAACCTGGTGCTAATACGGACCGGTCAGTTGAGCGCGACAGACCTAAGCATGGCGTGCCATGGTATGGGCGAAAAAGACTTGCAGCGCGCTCCTTATGGAAGTTTTATGCGCACGTTTCTACGGTGAGTATGTCTCTACTTTTCTCTCTCCAGATGGTCTCCTGGAAGAGTTCTACATTGGTCATTCCACTTATTGCGAATGTTATACAAGATTCGGTGCGTTCAAGACGAGCGATCGTGCAGGTAGCGTAATACAAAGCAAATAGGAAGGAGAAAAAAACGGTAGAACCGGTAGAACCGGTCTGGGTTATTTACAGTAAGGGAGAAAGCTATTAGAATTGCCAAGTTACTATTCGGTAATACCTAGTAGAAAGTGGTTCAATGGAGGTAGGTAGGGGAACTAAACTTGAAAACAGATGAGAGGTAAGTAGCGGGTTAAAATGTCGCAGATCCACGAAGGGTTATGTTTCAGCAAATCATCATGGCGAATTGGAGCAGACGTCCGTGACTGTTGTTGACGTGGCTTGGTTTACTCGCTAACATCTGTGAGAAGGAAAAGGGAAAAGAGGAAAAAGAAAAGGCGGCTTGGTCTAGAGTCGGCAATAGCTGAATAGATGGATTACCTGTTGAGACAATTGGCATCGAATAGGGATAGACTATAGTAATAGTCTTAGGTAGTCATTCAACGGTTATAGTTTGAGCTGTTATTTACCTGTAGGTAGGTAAGAGGTAAGTAGGTTAAGTAGGTACGTAAAGGTAGTACTATGAGGAACATGTATCAGTGTAAAGTGTATGTGAATCATCATAAATTTTATTACCTAGAAGCCATCGCAATGCTATGGACAGACATGCCAACCACCCGTCCTGTCTACCTAACCCTCCATACCTTAGGTACTTCCTATCTAAGCAGGTTATGAAATCCCCCTCCCTTGTCCCCCCTTATCACCGACGGGTAAATACATTAGGTTCAGTTAGGTTAGGTAGTTTCTCTCTCATCGACTTTCTCCTCGTCAAGGTAAACAAACGCGTATCGTAAACCGATGGTAGCATTATTGGAAGTAAGAAAAAAAAGAACAAGAAAAGGCTATCCTCTCAATAGCGAAATTTGCACAAATTAAACTTCGGCCATCCCCGAGGTATAAAACTCGATAATGCCACCCTCCCCTCTTCCGGAAGATCTGCATAATGCTGTGAGACCGTAAGTTTTAAGTGCTCCATGCGATCTCTCCCCCCCCCTCGTCGTTCTAACTTTGCATCTACTGCCGTTTCGCGAGGATTTCGGTGTTGCATATTATGCCTGTTGCGATCCACCAGGCCCGCGCTGGAAGTATCGTTCGTCGCTGTGACAGATTGAACGAACAGAAACCTTAGAAGCCAAGTACATTCCAGGGGAGCGGGAGAAAAAAAAGAGAGGGGGGGAGAATCCCGTTTGTAAGGGTGAAAATTCCATAACGCCTTGCTGCTAAAGAATAGATGCCGCCCCCGTAATATGCCATCCTCGTGCCGCGAATTCGGTCGGTATAACCAAGCTGTTAAGTAGTCGTAATTGTGTTTATCGAAGAAGGCGAATAAATTGCTTCGCAGCAGTCTAAAAGACGGTCACGTCATGACTCCGGCTCCGCTTTCGCTTTTGCTTTCGCTTTCGCTTTTGCTTTTGCTTTCGCTTCTGGTTTTGGCGATTTCTCTGGCTCGGCCGCCGTAAAAATGTGCCGGCTCTTGTAGCCCTCTTCCAGCCTGACGCTGATCTCCTGATCGGGCTTCACCATCGGGTGGTCGAGCTGCCAGCCCGCGCGACGGCACAGTTCCGCGACGATAACGTCGCAGTCGCCGAGCAGGTCGATGTCAAAGTTAACATGGCTCACGGGCGTGCGCGAGATGTATATCTGCGGAATATGGGGCGGCAGGTAAGGCACGACTTCGGAGACGGGAGCGACTTTGAGCGAGGTGCCGATCACGATGACCAGATCTACGAGGTCACGATCGTGGTGCACTAAGCGTTGGCCAAACTCGTGCGGAAGCTCCTCGCCGAAGAAAGTGATGTCGGGTTTCATGACGCCGGCGTCGGGAATATCGTATTGACCGTCGTCATCGTCATCGTCCGTGCTCCTGCGCCGAGTCTTCTTGCTGGTAGACTTATTGCAAGAGCGCTTGCGCTTCATTGTGCCGTTGCCGCGGAGCTCGGCGATGCACTTCACGCATCGCGGTATATTCCCAGCTTTGATGTCGGCGAAGAGGGCGTCGCCTTCGACTTTATAACCGCATTTCTGACACGTGGCAGTTGCAAAGGAGCCGTGACATTGGACAAGTTTGTCAGGTCTGATGCCCGCGTTTGCTTCGATATTGTCAATATTTTGCGAGTAATTTGTTAGAAGCTTGCCTTCGTCCTGAAGTTTGGCGATGAAAGCGTGGGTTGGCGAATATAATCCCTTAGTGTCGGGAAGGATGTCCTTTGCCACCGAGTAGAAGATGGTTGGGTCTTCCCGGAAAATGTCTATGTTAAAAACTTCTTGAGGGTCGCTAATCCCCAACCCGAGCTTCTCGAGTTGTGAATAGAGGCCGGTTTCTTTAGAACGGAAATCGGGAATCCCAAGAGAAGTAGAAATTCCAGCTCCGGTCAAGACGACGATATTGCGAGATGATTTTAGCAGTGCCACAGCATCGTCAATTGTGTTATAATTGGGAAGCTTGGCGCGCTTAGCGAGCTCTCGCGTCATGGCTAGAGTGAGTAAACCAAAGTAAGCGTGATCTGGGAGACCCTCGAGGAAGGCAGGCGGCCGTATTCCAAAGGCCGTCAGTAACCTCTTGACTGTAATCGTACCAGAATCAACTGTACGTTTGCAGAATTCTTGAGGACCAATTGCTCGTAACAGCTGGCGGTAGCGCACAGCTTCTTCAGGCGTGACAGCGTCAACTTAAAAACATGTTAGAAATAAATTGCGCAGGTAACCTAGAGGGGACAGGTAAAGAGATAGCTAGCTAGTAGGACGGGGACGGGGATGGGGAATCAAAGAAAATCGAGTAAAGTTAGTTACCATCGTCGATGAATTTATGGTCAGAGATGTCTTCAATAACATCCTCGAAAAGTGACTCGGTTTCCCAAGAATCGCTCAGGTCGTTGATTCGCTCTTCGAGCTCGTTCCGTGCATGGCCGTGCGGTTTCACATTAAGATGTCCGACGACTTGGTCATCAGTAACTTCAACTCTAACTTTAGAAGGCTCCGACTCCTTCAAGGGCAAGTTCTTACGAGGCCGGCCGACAGGACGTTTTGATTTCATCGTGGTTGCTTAGTTGATGAAGTATGTATTGATGAGCGATGAAATAGAAGAAGAAGAAGAAGAAGAAGAAAACAAGGCAACAACTCAGAACAAGAGTAAATTGCGTATGATGAAAGGTAGGTACCTAGATAGGCGAATCGGAATCCGGGTATCTCTAATGAGACAGAACGGTTTAATAAAATTAGGCGGGCCTAGTTGATCGACTGGTACCTAAAAAAATTAAATCAATTAACAGGAATTTTGTACGGTTGAATGACGAAGTGAATTTTTGGTTCCGTAAATTCTCTTTGGGGTGAGGGAACAAGAAAAAAAAATATTAATTAGTGGGAAGGGATGAGGTTAAAGAGAAAAGAAAGAAACGAGATAAGTTTGACCTTTGGAGAAAATATGGGTTGAGAAAAACTACCTTAGGTTAGAGGTAGGTACTTACTTATCCTACCTACCCAGAGAGGTAAAATAGGTGTCGGGGATGGTCAACGCGTCTTGTGTGTATTATGTGTAAGTTGGTATTATGTATGTGTGTTACGTGTAATTGTATGGTGGTGTTAGGTATTTAGAAATTCGGGTAGCGGGAGGGATTTGGGATAGGTAGCAGAGGTAGTATTTCGTCGTAATAGTAATAATGATAATACCTATAATAATATAATACCTTAGGCAGGTATGATAATGACAATAATAGTGACAATAATGGAAATCACATACGTACCTCCTACCAAAGGTGTAGGTAATAACACTATGGAGGATTGGGCGATGCTTGGAATTTCCGAATCTCGTAAGAGAATTATTTGGTATGAATTTATTTACAAGTAGAACCCGCAATAAGTTTAGGGAAATTTTGGAAGTGGTCTTTTTTTTTTTTTTTTTTTCAAAACGTTCAGGAAGGTTCCTCTTATAATTAGGTATGAATGCAGTAAGTAGGCTGAATATGTAAAAGGTGGAGAGTCACGCTTAAAAATAAACAAGTAAAGAGAAAAAGATGCGACCAGATGAATAGTGACTATGAGTAAGAAATAGAAGGAAGGGAAAAAATAATGAGTTTGAAACTTCAAGTATGATAAAAGTCGAAATACCTAAGCGAAGATGCTGATAGGTTAGTGTGACACCCATATTTAATTGTAAGAGTATGATAGGGGAGACGAGGGGAAGGGGGGGCTATTTCTATCTCTCTGTCTGTCTGCCTGTCTGTTTCTATTCTCCAGTCCAGAGCGTCTTTTCGCTCTCTCTTAATAAAATAGAGAAAAGAGTGATAATAATTAAATATTTTTTTATTATATCGATCATATATGTTAGATACCTATACCTTTCCTCTTACTTACATCATACTCAAACCTCCATCTATTTATTCTCGCTTTATTGCCGCATCCATTTTCCCAAGATGCCCACAACGTCGAAACTTATGCTAATGTTTGCCCTGGGCAAACTCTGCCCTGTCTTTCTCTCTCTCGGCCGCTAAGTCCACCGACTACCATCATCCGATCCTGGTATTGTACAATACGTTAAATCGTACCTCTCATAATTCCAAAAGTGACAACCCTTTAGGAGTCATAACCTATGTTAGTCACTTAAAGACGCAGGCTCTATATTCATCCGATTCGTTCCTACGGCCCGGCAAGATGAGGGAACACTACAACATCACCTCTGGATAACGGTTGACCAAGTAATTCCCAAGTAATTCCCAAATAATTTCCAAGTCCTTCGATAAAAGCCCGAGGCATGCCAAGACTTCAAAAGTTCCCGCAACTCCGGATACCTAACTCTCACCTAAGGTCGCCACAAAGAGGGTTCTGGACCATACCTATTTGAAGAAAAACCCCGCGGTCACAACATGCAAAAGTTACCTACTTACCTTTAAATTTAGTCTTTATTGCGATCCATCTGTATTTGCCAAGTAATTCTTGCTGTTAGCTGTAACTCAACGCTTACCCAAAAAGAATTCGCAGATTTCTACGAGTTGCCTAATTAGGAAGTTTGTTTAACTGGCCGTCATCTAAGAGCAATCTTAAGAAGAGAGGACTCGAGAGAAGATAATTCTTTGAACACGAAGAAAAATAAAATAGCAGTACTAATGTTCATAATAAAATAAACCACAACAATAATATAAAACGATAGAGGAACAAACGAGCGCCACGTGGTAGGGGAATCAGCAGATTATGCTACCCCACAGTCTCAATTTACCTCATGAAGTTAGTCGTGAACATGCCGTCGCTTCGAACCTAACCCGGGATAAATTAATAACATTCCTTGATTCAGAACGAGCGGAAGAACTTGTCACCTCATATTCATAGTCGCTTAACGTGATTCCTATCCGAAAATTCATCGTTAACCTATCGGTACGGCAGGTACCTAGGTTAACTGTGTCTTTTCCCTAAAACTCCAGAGTCTAAAGTTCCCAAGAAACCATGATATCGTCATGGTCTATCCGTATCTACCTAAGGCCTGACTCAGTCTGACACCACCGGGGAAAATCGACGGTTGGTGCCTAATCACAGCTCGCATTTTTAAGTTGTTATTGAACATATCGCCTCGTTTTTGGTTCCCTGCCCGACTTAGCTGATAGGTAATCAGTCAATACGACGATATGTTCAGTCAACTAGCATGTAACAAAATAGGTATATTATCTAAAAGGTACGCATCTCATAACTGCTAGTTACTACCTAAGCTCGTATCAACTTATCTCCATCAAAGGATAAAGAATATAAGGAAGCCATCGTCCAACGGTTGACATACGCCTTGAATACATATAAGAGCCTGCTCGCCGTCACACAGCGCAGAGGCTGTGCCCAGCCCCCTAATTGACCAATATATTATATTATATAACACCTGATCTATCTATGCACGTCGCGCCTCATTGGTTCCCTAGCAGTCCGTATTCTCCGAAACCCAAACACCCATCTAGGCACCGATATCAGCTACCTAGGCATATATATCTCTGCCCTCTCGTATCTCAAGTACAGTATCACAACGAGATGGTAGCTCTAATCCTTCGGAGACAGTCAAATTCGTTCGGTAGAACCTTGACAACGCTTTCTTCAAAGAAGTTAAGCCCTACAGCTAGGTAGGTAGGTACCTAGGCACCTCTCTGCGCTCTCGTGCTTAAAGACAACCTGGGTCGGATTTCCGCACGACGGCCAACGAGAACGAAGCTCTACCCAGATCAACCGTGACAGCTGCGTCGTGACTCATGTCGTGCGACGGTAGCACATACGCATCTAACGCATCTACCTGGGAATCCACCCCCTCAGCCCCTAACCCCCCCTTCTTTTTCTCTCCGATTCTTCAGCAGCAACGATGGAAATTACTGCAAGCGCATTTGTCAGAGCCGGGCCTGGCACCAAGGCTACATACCAACAATCCAGGTTGTTTACAAGGTACAGAAATCGTAGCTCGGTGAATCAAAGGCAGAAAAATGCGTGTGCGTGTGCCCTGCAACTGCAACTCTTCCATACCTATTCAAAGACCCTTATTCGCCACAACCACCACAACAATACATACCCTGTAGTTATCTCATCTCATAGCAGTACCTAATATACATATACCTATATACCTATATATCAAAAGGGCGTAGTGCCCTAACTCCGGGCGAATAAGGCCCCCTCCCAAACAACCAGGCTACAGAAAAAGCTAAGTTGAAATCCAGCCCCCACTCTCAATATCAATCACCCTAGGTAGACAAGGAAGCAATTCGGTGTAAAGAGCTCTAGGTACCTCATACCCAAATTAGATAGGTAAGCAAGTACTTGCCTGTTAGTTGATTATACGTACCACGGTCTCGCTTACATGCTTAACAGCCTGCCTAGGACAAGGCTGGAAGGCTGCCTGTCTATCTATCATATGCTTGGCGCGAAAGAAGGCTCTGGACACTACATACCTAGGTATATACAAATGTCAGCTAAAGAGGAAGAAGTTGGAGAACAGGAGGCTAGATATTTTATCCATATATCAGGTACCAACTTACATGGGGTCTGTCGGCAGCAGCAGCAAGTACCTAGGTACCTGCGTAGCTATGCGGATCTACGTACGTACAATACGTCCGTATTAGAAGCTCTACAAATCTCGGAGGTTCTTGGTGTAAACGATGCGACCGATGGAGTTGTCAGTTTCAGGTATCTTCAAGGTAGGTAGGAGGTAGGTACTTGGGTCGCATTTAATTACTTCTTTAACTGAAAGCCAGCATCGTTAATAAACACCTTCTAGTTCATATTCATATAATTTCTACCATGTATAAAGTATTTTTGTTGCTACTTCTTCGCCGACGTCTTTGATATCTCTATGGGCTCGATCTTATTCCCAACCAACACGCAAAGAAACACGCGCTCTACCAATCGCACTTGACACCCAAAACGCCGACGTTTATCTAGAATGTTTGATATTTGTGTAGCCCTGGCCTAGAAGCTCAATACTGCAATCAAGGACATCAACGTGATATGCCGAACTCCTTTCCAAGACCCATTTTACCCTGGCACTCATCATTCTGATTCACTCAACCATAACATCCGTACCCTCTCGTCCCAGTAGCACACAAGCCGGGAATCGCGAACCACTAAATTACGCATTCCAGCAAGGAGCGCTTATTGACGTCTGTGGTTCGCCCGTAGCCATACTTGACACAGTAATCCCCGGTATAGAGTCTTCTCCGTGGGCCCTGTCGGGGTTGAAGTAATAGATCAGACCAACAACCCGTGTTGACCTCGGCCACGGGGCGTAGATTAACATTATTATACGAGTTGTATTCTAATATACTTGACTCGTCGTCTGCGTGCACTGCATGTTCTCGTTACCTCCAGATATCATAGTATCGGGCGAGATCGACATAATAGGGTAGTCTAAACCAAAACTTCATTCATGCCGCCTAAGAAATAGATTTTTGCTTTTGAGGTGGTTGCGGGACGCTAAGCTGAGGAACATGTGAAGGGCCAGAGTCCTCGATCGACATCGGTTCCTCCGTCAGGACAGGCGCTGGCTCCAATTCGCTGTGTTCGCGACTAGATAGTGGCGAAGGTGTCGGACGACTTGGTGGAAAATCGCGATCTCCAGTCCTTTCTATCGGTGACCATCCAGCGGCTACGCTACCAGCAATAATGCCAGCCATAACCGTAGGAGCCCCCAGAGCTGAATTAGATCGTGACCTTATCGACCTAGACCGCTTCCGGGAATCAGGAGTGGGTGCTGGGGACGATGCGCTGAAACTATCTTCGCGAGTCGGAGTTTGCGGCGCCCTCATCGAATTAGATCGGGAATGAGATGGGCTCCTCGTCTTCGAAATTAAATTGTCTCGAGTTTGTCGGACGGCAAATTTCAGGTTGTTCAGGCGACCACCCTTGAGCTTCTTCAAGAATGCAAGCTCATCTCTAACATCAGCAAGAACCTCGGGGTATTCGTTAAACCGCTCTTCGTCCGAAATCATCAATCCGGGGATGCGGCGCTTCTTCTTGAGGATATTAGGGACACATTTGCTGACCAGCTCATCCGGAATCAGACGAATGACCATGCCAATGGGGATGGAAAGGACACCAAGAACTATCGCACATGCCCATTCAGGACCGGTCTGTGATGGCTTGGACCCGGAAATACTAAAGGCAGCTCCACCAACAAAGATCAGGAGGACTTGTATACCAGACACAACTAGATTGATTATAGTGAAGTACCAATTCTGCGATAAGCCTTCGAAAATATTGAAGCGATTGTCCAGGCGACGATTGCTTTTCATACTGTTAGCATAGTTTCAAGAGTTGTGACTTTACGCATTTGTACTTACTTCCATTGGTTAAAGATCTGCATCCATACGAAGGTGTTGAAAACAAGGGTGTCGCGTTGTGGGTATGCCCATTCGCCTTCTTCGACTACGCCAATAGAGATCGCACCGTAGTAAAGTATGAAAGTAATTGCTAATTGGTAAAAAGCTTGGCCTAGAATCATCTTCCACATCGTTATCGAGATGATACTGGCGCCTCGGGGCTCTGGTTTCCGGTCCAAGCAACTGTCCTGAGGAGGGTCAGTAGCAAGGGCAAGAGCTGCGAGAGTGTCCATAATCAAGTTGACCCAGAGAAGCTGAACTGCTGTTAGCACGGAGCCTTCATCGCTACTGGAAACAGCCGTGACAAAGGTCAATACAACGGCGGTAACGTTGACGGTAAGTTGGAACTGGAGGAAACGTTTGACGGCGTCGTTTACGGCTCGACCCCACTTCAAGGCCTTCACAATACTGTTGAAGTTATCATCCATAAGGATGATAGCAGACGCCTCTTTGGCCACTTCAGTACCAGCAATACCCATGGAAAATCCAACGTCAGCAAGCTTCAAGGCAGGCGCATCGTTTGTACCATCTCCAGTGACAGCGACAGTTTCGCCCATGTCTTTCAGACGACGCACGAGAATACGTTTATCTTCGGGACTAGAGCGCGCAAGCACACGGAGGCGGGGGATGATCTCGTTTTGCTGATATTTGCTTAGGTTTCGGAATTCTGGTCCTTCCATTACCAACCCGTCGTCTGCCTGCAATATGCCACACTCCTTTGCGATAGCCTGAGCCGTAAGTTTGTTGTCACCGGTAACCATGCGAACAACTACACCAGCCCTCTGACATTGCTTAACCGCCTCGGGAACTCCTTCGCGGAGAGGGTCTTGGATACCGACCATACCAACGAATGTCATGTTCTTGAAAACGTCCTCGAATATCACCTCGTTCTGGCCGCCTTCGGCGCGTCTGGCATTTCGTGGAGGCCACCTCTCAAAATCGCGGTAAACAATTCCGATAGTTCGCAGAGACCTAGACGCATAGTCTTCAATGAGGGCCTTGACAGTTTCGACATCGTCCATGGTAATCGGGGCACTGGATGCTTCCTGGGTAGGGTTACGAAGAATTGACGAACACTTCTGAAGCACGATTTCCGACGCACCCTTGACGTATAAACGAACACCGCCATTCTCAAGCTGAATAACCACACCCATACACTTTCGGCCAGAATCGAACGGAATAATCTGTAGCATCTTGGCGTTCGATCGTTCCTCACTTACCGGTCCCATGCCGAGATAAGCCTTAGCGTATTCCAATAGCGCCGTCTCGGTCTTGGATCCGATGAACGTTTTCACACCCTCCACCTCGCCTTCAAAAGCTGTCGAGTTGAGCGAGATAGACTTGAGCAGAATTTCTTGAGCTTCCTTGCTGAGAGTGCTACCAAATTCCTTCTCTGATAGCTCTTGTCCTTTCTCAGATGGCCCGCTTCCGAATCGATGCGACGTCCCGATCGTCCCAGCAACAACCGTCATCTTGTTTTGGGTTAAGGTACCAGTCTTGTCGGAGCAGATCGTTGTCGCATTTCCCATAACCTCGCAGGCTTTCAAATGACGCACCAGGTTGTTGTCCTTGATCATGCGGTTTGTAGCAAAGGCCAGTGCTAATGTCACAGCAAGAGGCAAACCTTCTGGCACCGCAACAACGATGATAGTAACCACGACGATGAAAATCTCGATGAATTCTTGACCTTTCTGAGACGGTGTCATATTATTGTTTGACGGGACGCGAACCAGGAACAAGATGAATAACACAATGAACAAGAGCAGACCAGCGGCGCCTCCGAGCTTCGCAATGTATTCGGCAATAACGTTGAGCTTCGACTGGAGGGGTGTAATCTCGGGATCTTCGCTTAGGGACATCATCGTTTTGCCGTAGCTCGAGTAGATACCAGTAGACGTAGCCAAAAATGTTCCCATACCTTCCATCACTCTGCCTCCAGACTGAATGAAAGGGTCCAGCTTCCTTGTATCCTCTCCATTCTCGATAGCGGCAAATACCTCATCGGCCGGCCTTTTGCGTATGACATCCGACTCACCGGTTGCTTGCGATTCGTCGCACTTGACATTAAAGCCTTGGATGAGAATACCATCAACAGGAATAAGATCGCCAGGTTCCAAGTGAACGACGTCGCCAGCCAGGAGATCGAAAATAGATATCTCCATAGTTTTACCTGCTCTGACGACCTTAACCAGTCGGTCTTGCTTCTTCCTGTTTAGTTTCGCGAATTGCCTTTCCTTTTGCCAATCGTTCAAAGATCCAACCAATACCACGATAACAATGGCCACAATGATAGCTACGCCTTCGACCCATTCGACGGACGGCTGCCCATCATCGTGCTCACCGCCAAATGTCTGGTATAGACCAATGGCAAGAGACACTACGGCGGCGACGGAAAGCAGAATCAAGACCTTGTCGTTATAAGTAATCCACACCAACTCCAAAAAGCTTTTGCCTTTCTTCTCGGGGATTCGGTTGTCTCCGTAAACTCGTTTCCTATCGATGAAGTGGTCGTCGGATCCATGCTCATGTCCATGGGGGTGGACGGCCGGTGCCTGCGAACTTTCCATGCCATCTTTAGCCGGCTTAGAGGAACGGCTTGTTGCCTCTTCGAACGAGACTGTCCCTTCTAAGTACTTTTCGTCGGGGCTTAACCCAGTATCGCGGTTAGTACGAAGTCCCTTTTCCATTCCGGCTAGGCCTCCGAGCTTATAAAAAGCTGATAAACTTTTCGGGTTAAACATTTTGGTGAGTTGACCAGGACTATACGCAAAAGGGTTGTTCGCCACTTCGAAATCGGCCTCCCTGCCTTGATCGGGTTTCAATGCATCCTCGTCCTTCATAATCTTCTCGTTGTCGAACGAGTGCTTCGATGCCGTGACCGTCTCACCCTGGGAGGAAGTAAATGATCGCGCACCATCCTCGCTATCAACGGAATTTTGCCTCGAGCGGTGGTGACTCTCCGGAACAGAGAGGAAAGCCTGGCCCTTCTCGTTGGCTCTCGCGGTAACAGGACTAGAAACGTTATGTGGGCTAGTCGGTCTACTATCCCTAACACTGTCAAACGAATGCGTTTGCCGCGCTTCTCCCTTAGAGCTCACGGTTGACGGCTGCGGCGTTAAAGGAGCAGTAGTCCTTTCAGGTGTCCAACTCGCCGTCAATGCAGTCGGGCTTACAGAATCATCATGAGGAGAAACGGGCGATTGATGAGAGGCGGCAACCGTGGGCTCAGTATCATTCGTCGTGTCAATCGTAATAGTAGGCCTAGAGGACGGAGTTAGGATGACCACGAAAACATGTAAACAAAAGCAACCTGCTATTCCATCTATCCAAGTTGACTTACGCTCTCGGTCTACGGGGAGTCCCCTGGGTAGTATCCTTGTTAGGGTCCGCCATGTCGCATATGTTGATAGAGGAGTTGTGTGAAAGAAGTCGTTAAACCTGAACAGCCTTGCGACAAGAGGCTAAGATCCAAGTGTAGGGCCAAAATGTTCGCACACTGGCCATCGATCGAATGTGAGATCGGCGATACAGAAAGACTTGAGGAAAGGGATAACCAAGACAATTGGATACCCCTAAGTTCCAAGGGCTAGAGGTATCTATGGTATCTATCGAGTTCGTAACCTGGGAGAGAGCACGGTCGGTACGTCTCCGCTGAAACTGAGGCGCAGCGAGGTATTTGGTATAGCGCACGTATCCGTCGTCTGTTTATCTATTCCGTCGGGTTTGGTGATAGCCGAGTGGCCAACCAAACAAGACTATTCCTGGTAGGGGAATCAGTTGAGGCGAAATAATGGGATGCCTCCAGACTGCCTGGTACTTCGGAACCACTAGAAGAATTGATCGGTACCTAGTGGCCAATACACTAATCGACGGGCGAGGTCCAAAAGTCGAATTGGTTTGAGGCGGACCACTGGGGAATATGGATGTCTCGCAAAAATAATAATAATAAGGGTTAGGTATTATAAACAATGCGGTCTTTAGTACGAATCTATTCGTAGCAGGCAAACGAGACCCCAGATATCTTGACGACGGGTAGCACCTTAAGGACGTCCGAAAGACGCAGTATATACCTAACCTTGTGAGTAGGTTTAGAATTGAGGCTGTGTAAACTATCTGTACTTGTTTTAGAGTTGTACCTTCGTCGATGGCAAGAAGCAAGGTGTATTAGAGTCTAGGCAATATATCCAATACTGAAGAGTGATCGTAGAGATACGACGTCGAAGGAGGCCAATTCTGTTTGTAACACGCGGTCCCAAGGGCGCAACCCTTTCGTACACCGGGGCGAGGCTCCGGGGAATTAAAAAATAACAGTAACAAAGAAGAAGAAAAAAAACAAAAACAGTATTAAGATGGCGGTAGAGTTGGTCAGGATCTTTAACAATCCAACCTACCAAAAAGGAGAGTAGAAAGTTGGATAGAAGGAGGGAGAGGAAGCAATAAAATGCAAGTGCATTTTGAATTAATGGAGAGAGAGAAATGTACCTACATACATACATCTTTGCCTGCATCGTAATCGCATTGCCTTTGCATGCCTGGTACGAATATACGCATACATGTACTACATGTACGTACCTAGATAGCTAGTACCTAACCTAGACTTCCAAAAAATAAAAAAATAAAAAAATAAAAAATAAAGCTAGGATCTAATCAAGCTAAGGTTTCTAGGTAGGTACCTGGCAAGCGCAAAGAAGTGTCACAATACAATTCAAGGGTCCCATAGGTACATGATCACGACTTAGGTCCCAGGGTCGAAACGCGCTAATTAAGAAGTCTTTACAAGTTTCCTATGCCACGCATGCAAGTTCCCTCCTAGGTACTAAGTTAGGTTACCTAATGTATGTAAACGTGTAAGTTCGCTGTAAGCTCGAGTCAAAAATCACATCTAATCAATTTCTCGACAGGAGTAGCAAATTACCTCTTTCACCGTCAATCAATAATTGCCTTAGGTAGATACATCACCAAAAATGACAGGTACGTACTGATAAGTACATTGTACCGATTATTGAATAAGGTATTAAAAGGTGTATCTTGCTACCTAAGATCTCACATCCCGCTAAAGTTTCTTTGAGCATTACTTACTTACCTGTAGCATTAACATGATAGATTTCCATTGCATTGTGAATTATGAATTGTCACTTGGCACAACAAAACCCAAACAGCGTGGCCGGTCTTGGTAAAAAAGCCTTGGTAAATTATAAGAAAACAAAAGATAAAAAAAAAAAAAGGCCTGATCGTCGTATCATACCCGCTCGTTTTTTTCAATAAAAAGGTATATAGTACGTGCATATGCAAATGGACCGTGGCACCGTGGTACCGTCGGTTATTACTCGTCAGGGTAAGTCGATGCAGCATTCGGCGAATTAGAGGGATCAGAGATAAAGCTTGGCAAGGAGGCTGTGCTGCTCTTGGGAGCGACCTCAACAGTACCTACCTAGCAACAACGATCGTAGGGCCCGTCTCTTTTTTTTTTTTTTTTTTTTTTCGGATCCATCTTGATCCCAGCTGAATTGGTACGGTAGAAACAGGTTGTTTGTTTGTTTTGTTTTTTGCCTCACTCAGGAGAGAATTGGGGTCTGGAATTCAAGAAATGGGAACTAGTTGAGCTTTATATACAGTCGAGATATCCATAAGGTTCAGGTTCCCGTCGTGTAACATAGTAATAATAAAGTAAATAAACATTATAAAATAAGACGTCATACCCATATACCGTAGGTAACCTTGAACCTTTTAGGGGGTCAAGTATTTTCTTATTTTGTACAAGTCAGTTCTCTCACTACCTACTTACATCTGCTGACCAACAAACACTGAAAACGTCGACATCAATAAACACCGCAAACACTCTTGTTTTCCCTGTTCCTTTATTACCTAGCTTATTCTTGGCTTTAATAACCTGTTTGTCCTTATCCTGAGCCTCGAGCAAAAGTCGTGATGTGATCTCTCCACGTCCCATCATATATTGTCCATCATGTATTTCATTGTCTGGTCTTGGCTTAGGGCCTTCATTTTATTACACTAGGTATGTCCAGACTATCGACTTTACCCCATAGACCCAACTCAAAACTTAAACGTACTCCATACTTGGCAATATGCCTCGTGTGTTTAGCCAAGATGCCCCAAAACCAGCTCTTCTTAGGGACGGCGGCATATGCACTTTTTCGCGGGTATAGTAGCATAGCATATTTCCCCCCTTATCGTTCGTCATTATCACCGGTTTCCCTCTCCCCCCTCCCCCCCAAAAAACTGAGACTTACCAACCTGGTAAGCAATATGTAAGTGTGTATTATGTCTCCAAGTCTCAACTAAACTAAACTAGAAGTAAACGTCACCGGCAGCAATCAGCCTAGCCAGTCATATCAGATCAGCCTCGTCGTCCCGGGAGGAAAAGGGGGAAAAAAGCCCTAAAAAGACCAATCACCAATGATATGTTAAATAAGGCGCGCGGCACATATCTCGAAAAGTCACATATCATCAAACAGCGCAAAGTTGCATGTCCCGTCCACGTGGGACGTCGGGGTCCTCTCTCATTGGGGAAACCTGTCTGTCTTGATTCCTTTTTCTGACTGTGTAGGTAGTAGTACCTAGAACGAAACTAAGAATGCTACCCTGGCGTTTTGTCTGGTGTCAAAGCCTCATTTGTCCAATGTCCCTAGGTGAGAGACGAGGAGAGGATGATGATGAGTGAGTGGCTTGCAGTCAGCCATGATGCGGGCTCTTAGTAACGTCGTCGTGTAACTGGTTACTGCTCTCTCCTATAATTGACTTTTTTTTTTCTTCTTTTTTTTTTTTTTTTTTTTTTTCAAAAATTCTCAATTTGGATATGTACAGAAGGGTGGATCATCGGCTCTACCGTACACTATCATAAGGGGGTAAAAAAAAACTTAAAGACTCCTAAACTAGCATTAACAGCATTGATTTGGGGAACGGAGAGGGTGCGTGATTCGTAGGCTATCGACGCGTTCCCGCTAGTCCGCTCCCCGGCGCTCTAATTTTTTATTGCACTTATCGTAGCATCAATGCTAATAAAATGCGCCTTTAACTTACATCATGCTGTCCGCCTCTCCACCTCTCCCCCCCGTACGGCATAAGAGTAGGTACCTTACCTACAACGTAAGAGCTTCGGCTGTCATAAGCGATCCTCGGGAGGCTATCTTCCTAAGATTTCTCCTAAGATTTCAAATAGAAAAACTACCTACCTACCCTAACATAATAGCATCTTCGATATCCACCTCATTCCGAATGAGGGGGCCGTTGTCAAGGCAGATTCTCCGACGTGGATTGTTTATCGTAGACCGTAACTTCGGATGAAAAAAAGAAAAAAAAATGTTTCGGTAAAAAAAAAGCCCGAGCATCCTAACGATCCTCTTATGTTCCCCCTATTAACAAGGAATATTTTGTCGGTGTGTGTGTGTACCAGTAAGCTCTACATGGGAATTAACATGGAGTTATTCTACCTAGATATTCACGTAACCTCTCTTCTTCAGCCTATGCAATTTTTTTTATCCCTTTAACGTACAGGACATACATACCATGGGAAAGGCTGTCGGTCTCATAGACCCCTGGGCGTAGAAGTGCGGCTTAGCTACGAACTTTTCCTTCCTCGTGTCATCAACATATGATTCGTTTCAGCTCCGTAAACCATGTGGCAAATAGATACGATAGATACGATGCTAAATATTTAATATTTTGCTGGGTTTGAGGAGCAGTGTCTCTGCTTCTCGATGTGTTGTTCCGTAGTTATATTAAATCACCGTATTTAGAATAGTTCGCGATATATCACTACATAAAGAGGATCAATATAAATTCATACGAATGCCGCATTCAATACGCAAACCAGAGGCACAGTGATTAACCCAAGGTCCTGGAAGTACGAATCGTACATGCAGTACCAAGGCCGGGGTTTCTTCGTCCATCGTCGCCGTCGTTTAGCTTCAAGCGCCTCTTTTCGCTATATACTAATGAGTGGCACTTTCACTTCCATCAATATCGCTAGCCAGACCCAGAAGTGTGTCTTGAAACGCGCTACGGAGCGCACTCCTAACAGGTGAGGAGGAAGAGTGCCGACATGAAGCATACATCCGTGGGGCTGTGCGTGCCACCGTACACAATCGCACAAGATAGCATTAATGTGTTCCCATCAGGCATCTTGAAAAAAAAATCCAACTCGAAATCTCCCTGGCTCTTCACCATGGCGTCGGGGTCGAAGCTGCACCTAGCCTGTCTACCTACCTACCTACCTAGGTAGATACGTTATTATCGCGTGGCAGTGCTCGATAGTGTCGAGTCAGGTGTCTTTGCTACGTCGTGCGCTCATTAAACTAGTTGCTTGTCTATCGTCATCCATCGAAAAGCCGCTCGATAACGGCTAAGGACTACCTACCTACCTAAGCTACATTAACCCCGGGGGAAAAAAAAGGTCAATATACTACACCAATCTCGGAAGCACGCAACCACCTAGCCATACTACTAGTAAGTAAAGTGTAATATATCGATATTTCAACGAGACGAAGACACAGGCGTCAAATTATTGATAGAGGAACCTTGGTACAAGTTCTGACGAACGAAGAAGACCAAGTATAAAAGGAACAAACAAAACTTGTATATGATACATCTTGGCTTCGTACCTAGCCTCATACTAGGTTGTTTCTCGGCAGTGCCTTTAGGTAGGTAGGTAGCTAGGCATTAGGAGTAAGCTCACCGCTTAGCCTGCTTTACGGGGAGAGAAAGCATTAGGTACAGACGGCTGAACAAGAGAAGAAGACAGAACCACCTACCATACGGACTTAGCCAAGATCTATTCGGTGGTCAGAACCATTAACCGCCCATGAGATCAGCAGCATAGCCCACATGCACAGAGACTCTCTCATCTCCCCGTGCCCCCCCTTACTACAAGCCTACGGTGAACAAGTCCCCCAGACATGGAGGGACAAACATGTCGATAATTATACTGCCGTCCCCTCCTCATCATGTTCGCCGTAGTAGCAGAGTGTATGACTACTAGTAGGTGTTGTTCATACGTTCCACCACAGGGTGAACTACCGTAGCACTTCCATCCCTAGGCCAGCACAGATCAAGCTTTCTGCGTCGTGCTGCGTGAGCGAGCATATCCATACCTACCTACCTAGGTACCTCATATGGATGTGACATAACTACAAAATAGAGTCATGTAGTTTGTGCTACTTGGACTCGGCAGCTAGCTCAGGGTTCCCGCTTCTCGTAACACGATACCGATACCCGCTCTGACGATGTCCGCTTGTGGTGGGAAAAATAGATCTACGATTACACGAAGAAATATAAACTCTAGGTACCTAACCTAACCTAACCTAACCTATCTACTTGAGGGCTGGACAACTACTAAGCTATAGATAAAAAGTGACGATATATCGGGTGACATCGGTAGCAAACAATAACTGTGTCCGAAATTCATAACACATTATGTACCTTAGGTAGAGCCTTCTATCTATCCATTCATCTCTATTCTTATCATAACTCTACGATACATTGCTTTCCCTATCTCCCCAAATCCACCCTCCTAACAAGCACCAACCTCTTCCCCTCAGTTTCTTCCTCCTCGCCCCTATCCGCGCCCGCGCCCGCGCCATCCTCATCCCCGACCCCCAAAAACGGCAACGCCGCGCGCCTTAACACCTCCTCCCAGAGGCCCTGAACCAACCCCCGCAGCTCGTCGCCCGTCTGCCGGAAGTCCGGGAACGCGTTGACCTCGAGCAGCCAGGGGGTCCCCCGGGCGTCGACCAGGAAGTCGAGGCCGAACACCTCGAACGCGTTGCCCAGCGGCCGGAAGTGCATCTGCATGGCGCGCGCGGCCGCCTCGAACACCTCGCCCGTGACGTCGCAGATCTGCGCGAACACGTCCGCCTTCGTGCGCGGCGGGAGCGGCAGCTCCCAGAACCGCCGGACCGTGCCGTCGTCGACCGAGCGCTGCAGGCACGTGTTGGTCAGATGGGCCTCAAGGTCGGGAGCGGCAGCGGCAGACGATGTGTTGGTAGTGGGCGCAGTGTAAGGTTTGCCCGCGAACAACGCCAGCATGTCCCTGTACACGTAGACGTCCAGCCTACCAACGCACGCGACGTATGTTCTGATGTGGAACTTGCGGTTATCGCCGGGCAGTAGTAGTGGTGGATGTATGTACGGCTGAGCCACGAAGTGACGAAGATGCGAGGTGGTGATATCGTTGCGCCTCTCGGAATCAGCATCGGGATTTGAGGCCGCGTCATCATCGCCTTCTTCATCCTCATCCTCGCTATCCGGTAGGTTCTCTTCCCACTCGTCAAAAATTCCCTGTAGGTCTTCCATCGTGCTAAATAACCGGATACCCTGCCCCCTATCACTCATACTGGGCTTGAGAATCCACCATTCGACTTCGTGGCCCGGTTCATTCGCTGCGTTCTTCTCCAGGCTTGCACGTAAATCGAAGGCCTCAATGAGGGCGTCGTCTAGAAATTCGGCGTAGTCTAGCTCGAATGCCTCGCTCCTTTTCACGTGGGTCTTTAATACCGACTCAGGGCGCTTGGCTACCCATTGCTCAACAGTTGCTGATAGGTAATGCTTTCTTATGAGCGCCTTGCGCAGCATATAGCTATTTACCATACATGTCTCCGCATGTGAGTCTACATAGTCCCAGTCGATGGCTTCGTAGGGTGTGATCTGTAGGACAGGGCTACTGCTGTTTTCTGGCAACAGCTTGCTTAATGGTACGGGTTCACCCTGAGCCACTGAATCAGGAGTCGAGAGTAAAGTGTATGACTCAGGGGGGAAGAACTTTTCCAGGGCAGACAGTATAAGTGGTTGGACATAGGGGTCTTCGTAGGCAACTAAGGCGTAGAAGTGGTGCTTTGGTTGGTATATCAAAGTCGACGCAGGCACTGCCATTCCTAAGGAATCCGATTTATCCCTGGAGAAGACAACATGAGAACGGCGATCAAGGAAGCACGCAAATCGTAAGCATTCGACATCTGCAGAATACTCGACAGCCCCCTTCACCGCGGCTCACCTCTTTCATGTGGTCTAGAAGATGATGAGGTTTTGTCTATCTGACGGACCGGTTACGGTTACGCGGCTATGCAAGCTCTAGCTGTCTATGACGCTGCCACCCCCCGTCTAAAACCAAAGATATGATGTGGTAGGCTCAACTCACAATTTCAACTCCTCTCCGTATAAGTGCGTTGCCGTGTGATAGAAATTTGCCTTCATTGGTGTTACACTGCATCATTTGTTAGGCTTGTTTGCAGGTAGGTACCTATGACAATTGACGCCGTCGACGTAAAAGGGGATCCGGGTTCAACTTACCTTGTGAAACCCTCCTTCACCGCCCACCCGTCGTTCCCTGGCGGCGACTCCTCAACACTCTTATAAACATCCGCAAACTTCGGGGCCCACTTGAAATGTCTGTGTGGATACCGGGTCTGCTCTGTCTCACCACTATTGCCGTTTGCTTTCGAATCGACGGCGCCGGATGATATTGCTTCTTCTCCCTCCCTGATCCTCTCTTCTTCCTCTTCCTCGTCGCCAACGCTTCCCTCGACTTCTTCGAAACAGACAGATGATTCGCCCCAATAATTTTGCAACATTTCGGTCCATAGGGTTTTTCGTTCGTCAACGCCCTCGACGAGCGGTACGTTGACCGAGTATAGGTCAACGCTCTTGTCCGTCGGCCATTGGGCATACAGCTTTTCGATAACACGCACACTGTGCCGGGTAGCGGCATCGATAATGACGGGGTCGTGGTTACGGCTGAAAAACGCGTAGCTCAAAGCGATAGCCTTCTTTTTACATACGGCGGCTTCGAGCGCGCCACCCAGCGTACCGGAGCTGAGCGCGAAGACTGCCGTTGTATTCCGGCCGTAATTGGGACCGGATACTACAAGGTCAATTGGACCTTTCTCTTTGAAGAAGTGGTGTAGACCAATCTGGGCGCAGCTAGCCGGTGTTCCATCCACAAGAACCCATTCTTCTTCTTTTCTGTCTGTGCCGGGTCGTGTATATACAGTTCCTTGAGGTTGGGAGGCAGCGCTGGGTGAAGGGTCGAAGGTGGCAGAAGGGCGGTAGTAGAGAGGTTTCACGGTCTGACCGATCATATGGGCCTTTCCAATCCAGGAACGTTGGGCGTGGGGTAAGCAGACGGAGACGGTATGTCCTCGTTTTTGAAGCTCGCGGACTAGACTATGTACGTAGGGCGACGAGGTCGGGGACGGAGGACCATCGTCGTTGGTCACTAATATATGCATGGTGATGGTGTAAAGTACCTAACCTAACCTGTCTTATAATTGTTTTTATGGCCAATTGGAATTGGTTGTCAATACTACAATACGGATGTCTTGTTGTAACTTGTAAACGAATAAAACCTTTTCTATAATTTAAAAGAATGGTTGATTCAAAAATGATATGTAGTAGTTGGAAGTTGGGATGAAAGGTGCACAAGTGAAATGTGAAATGTGAAATTTAGGTGGGGGCGGGGCATATGAATTACACCCTTAAACTCGTTTATACCGCGAATATACTAGTAATGTTATTTCATACATGACGTGATACCTACTAGTAATTCTCTTCTCCTAGTACAACTTCCATTACGACTTCCCTTACCTTAGGTAAATAGACTAGATTAGAGAATCTCACCTGGACACTCATACCTTTATACAGTATAACTATTATGTACATGTAATTAAGTATGTTTATACCTAAGGTAATATATTGACATGATGAAATTAGTAGCAAATAACAGGTACTATTACAGGTCTTCCCCCCAACATAGTAAACTTGTAGACATAGCAACCTCTAGGTAGGTAGGTAATATTTACCCTGTATTCTGTTTACCTTACGTACTTTGTACGCACAAAGTAAATAACCATGGTACAAACCTGTCACTCCTCTAGCACATAACTATTCGTATATTCGTATATTCGTACTACTCTCCAAGATAGAATTTAGTCACAGTCGTATTTACCGACACCTCATCTACGGCAAATTTAATACTTTCTGATACCGGCGATGTTATAGATTGATTATCTAGCAGCAGTTCCTAAAGTACCTAAGGTAACTAGCTAAACTGCTAAAGAATCAAGCCATAGCTTAAAGCAAGCTAGGTTAGCAAAAATACGCTTGTCAGGCTATCGGCGACGTGAATCTATAAAATACCGCAATACACAAAGCTTGATCCTCCATTCACAAAACTAAACTTCCCCTGTCCAATACACCTAATGTAATAATAATCCTCATCCTTGCTAGAAAACAATCGATTCATTCTGACGCAAAGCTAACTATCCGAGCCCATCACCTGTAACAATTAACGTGGCTGGATTCTGAGTCCAAACAAGAACGCATTTACCTAGCCATAGCAACAACCCCTTGATATGGCTTTCTCTTTTTTGACCAAGTCAACCTTTGCCGCAGAGTAATACAACGCCCAACACCGCTTGGTATAATATAACCAAGGCTTCCGTTTCAGTCCTTTACTGCACCGAAAATGTTGTACCGAAATGTACTGAAATGTACCGAAATGTACCGAATTCCTGCCGTCCGAAACCGCAAATGGGAAATGAGAAATGAGAAATACGAATAGAATAAGCTCAATCAGAAGACTTTCGCGGCTTAATCTGAAGACGAGTCAAAGTATCACTCAAAGCAGCCGACTAGGCACGCTGGCGTTTTGGCTCGTTCGGTCTGGCCAGCTCATCGCCCTCTCGCTTCTGTCCTTGTGCCGTAGCTCGGCTCTTAGAGCGGCGCCAGCCATCGAAAGGACTGCTACGCGATTTGGTGACTTTCAGGGGTGATACGTCGGCCTTCGCGTGGAATGTAGTACGTCGGGTTCGAACAGTGCTGGGAGGAGAGACAGGGGTACCGGGCTTCTTGGTGACCTTCGTAGTAGGGGTTGCCGGAACCTCAATCTCCTTCTCCTCTTCCTCAACATCCTTGTCAACATCCTTGAACACGTGATCCTCAATATCCGTAGCAGCCTCCTCATCATCTGTGGTCGGCTTGGCGACATTCTTGCCCTTAGTAGGGAAGAGGAGACGCGGTTTGATAGAGGAGCGAGTCAAGGGGCGTAGTCGCTCACGACTCTCAGCGCCGTTCAGCTCCGCTTCTCCGCTCTCACTTTCAGCTTCATCCGAATCCAGATCCTCAATGGCTGAAAACTTGCGGAAAATCCTCTTTCCTCGGCTATATATGAATATTTATTAGCTCATGTCAACTACAATGCGGGCAGGTTTGGGTTGATAATAGTATGATAACTTACAAGACGTAAATTATACCATCTTCTCGTTGGAGCACTTCGTCGAGTGGCTGTTTGCCCTCACCGGGGACGGAGATCAGTTTGCCTTGGCCTCGCTTCTTAGGAGACTTGGGGGGTTCAGCAGTAGCCGGTGCGGGGTGCTTCTCGTAGAAGGGATTGGCGGCAGTATCATCTGCCTCAGGAATGCGATCGCGCGTATCGGTGAAAATCTCGATGGGTTCGTTGACGTCTTCGGCAGTAAAGCTATCCAAGGTTAGGCCGGTATATTTCTTGGCCTTTCTTTTCTTAGGAGTTGCAATTGCATCAGTCTCCGAGAATAGACTGCGCGCAATCGCACGAACATTAGCCTTAGACTTCTCGTCCGGCTGTTTCTTGGGCGTCTTGGCCGGAGTAGGAAACATGGCTGCGGCTCGAGAAGTACTAGTGCTGGCCTTGGTTTTGTGCTGCGAAGAAATTCCAAGGGAATCGGCGGCGTTAGTGGCGCCTTCGAGAGTTAAAGCGCTAGAGGCGCGTCGTACAGAGTCCATGGCCGGCTGACGTTTCTTGAGAGACGAGTTGACAGGAGTAGTTGAAGCATCCGACGAAGTTTTTGTGGATGCGCGGGTACGGTGCTGAGGAGCGCGGGGAGAGGGAGTGCGCTGAGTTGAGCGCTGAGCCGAAATGCGAGCTGACTTTCGAGGAGAAAAAGGCTCCCAGGAATCATTGTAACCAAACTTGGGAGTGCCTGGAGTGTGCACGCGGCCGGGCGGTGAGGGTGTTGAGACGGAATAGGACGCCATTGTTGTTTGCTTTCTAGGCAGCGTCCTTTGAGCCTCAGTCAAATGATTAGAAGAAGTGCGCACAATAGGTGCGGGTTAGATATTGGGACTTGAAATATCGCAAAATCCTTTGACACATGGAGCGTCGGTATTCTCCAAGCCTTTTTTACGCGTTTGCTCAATTGAACAATGATTTAATTAAATGAAAAAGTGGGAGTCTGACTTTTAGTGCGAAGGGGGTAAAAGAAAACAGGGCCAAGGATGGGAGGAGTGAAGATTGTTAAAACAAGGGGCGATCGCGTCCTCTTTGCTTTTTTTCTTTTTTGGCTTGGCTGGGCTTGTAATCTTCGTTCTTGAACTTGCACTTGTTTTTGCAAAGCTGAATTAAAGTAAGATGTTGATTATGATGTTTTAGTAGCGATGAGTTACTGTGGCGGTAGACGGGGTAACAAGCCAAATAGACTCATAAGTCTAACGTCGCAGAGCGTAGAGAAACGCTGGTGCTGGTGGCTTGATGCCGTCAGAACGAAGTTGTAGTGGAATTTTGATCAAATTAGGGATATGGGTGGGTGGTGGTAGGTAGGATGTGAAAGAGGTATGAAAGTGGCTGGGCAGCTGAGAACTTTTTGGGGGGATACGGAATACCTAACCTCGAACTAGGTCTCAATCCGTGCGGCACCTACCTTACCTAAGGTACGAATCGTAGTTGCTGCCAAATTACAGTACGTGGGTACCTAACCCTTAGCTAAAGACCCATTTATTACCTAATGACATTCTACCAATAGGTAACCCCCCAGGTTGTTGATTTGGCACTAATTGTTACGAAGTACCTAATTCTACCGCTTAATTTATGCGTAACAACATGTACCTTTTACTGTCTGTACTGCAAATAGCACTGTACAAAACAAGGTAAAAGGTATGTACCTATGTACATAATCAGGTTTACCTTATCCGCGTTCCTTCTACGGTTGGTTTACCTAACGACGCGTTATGCGCACCTCACAACGCGTTGTAAAGTTTAGCATTAGCCCCACCACGAATTAGATGGTTAATACTAGTAGAGGTAGTATATCGATAAATGAGGCATCTAAGGGCAATTGGCCAATTTCAAGACCAACACACCTTACACCTCCACACTTTAAAACGCAAAACACTGCTGCACGACAACGCATGTCAACAAGAATTGTCGTTGTCTTGAGATACCTTAGACACCAACCGGGGGGTTAGCCTCAAGAAAATACCTAGGTACCTAGGTATTGCAAGCTACGTCACAGTTACCGAGTCAAGTCTGTATGTAAAGCACCATTGAAACCGATTTTGGAAAATTAATTGATAAAATTATTTTATTGGCGGCGCGTTTACCCCCCTGGATTTGCCTAGCTTAGCTCATTTACGACGGGATTTAGCTACCCCTCCACTCCGCCTAATCACCAATCGCAGTCATTGCGTTATCGTGTTGCAGTTTATCCTGTATCTTCATTATCTAAACATCACCTGCCTACATATTCTTTCTTTTTCAGCCATGTCTGACCACGAATCCGACTCTGAGGACCTCTTCGACTCGCCCTCTGCAAAGCCTATTTCCAGAGAACAACCGAGCCGACCTAAAACGCCTTCGAACCCTTCGAGTAATCGTTATGACGACCCGGACGAGGGCCGAGAGGCTAACCTGCGACGGGAATTAGAAGGTGTGAGAAATATCAATGAGTTGATCGAGGGCGTAATTGGAACCCTAGAACGGGCGAAGGGCAACATGCACGTATGATTTACCTATATTTATTTTTTTGCTCCTTACTTTATTCTTCATCCCTACCTTATTTATGCTTCAATATGACGACCGTGGCCACTACTACACCATCCCTAGCTACATCTAGCCTATCTACCTTCGCTATCTCTCTCTTCTCCCCCGCATGACGCAACTTAGCTAACTTAACCGTCCTATGCCCTTTAGACCGTCTCTAATACCGTCAACACCGCGTCCACGCTTCTCAACACCTGGACGCGCATCCTGTCCCAGACCGAGCACAACCAGCGCCTGATTCTAAACCCCTCCTGGAAAGGCGCGAGCCAGGACCTAGCTGAGGCGGAAGCTGAGGCCCAGCAGAAGGCGCGCGAGGCCGAGCGCCGCGCTGCCGAGGACGAGCGTCGTCGCGCGGAGGCTAGACGCCGCCAGGAAGAGGAGCAGCGCCAGCGCGAATCCGGCGCTAGTGCACGCAGCTCTACTACTAGCACCAGGGGAACAGTGCGCGGGACGAGAAGCAGTAGGGTTGGTAGTATCAGAGGCAGAACAACGACCACGGGGCGGAGCGCGTACTCCTCCGTATCGAGCCGGCCTACGTCCGCAGCAGACACGAGCTCGACGAGTACGGCTAGAGGTACGTCGGGGATTGGTCGAGGGTTCTTGAGAGGTAGATCAAGAGGGACGCGAGGCTATTAAAAGGGGGGTTGTATGGATGGATGGATGGATGGATGGACGGATATGATTGTAGGGCCTTCAAATGGGCTTGATTTGATGATTATGCCAACTGTCTACCTAACTTCAGGTATACATGAATGATGATGAACGGGGCACATATACATATATCCCAAAAACTACGCCTAGCAACCCAAATACCATACTATACACACGTTTTCATGCCATGCATACCGTTCCCGAACGCCAATTATTATTTCTTGTGTCCGGTAGGTAGTCTACTTTTTCTTGAAGAAATCGCTCATCTTCTTCATCCCCGCCGTATTTACCTTCTTGAGATCTCTGACGCCCTTGCTCTCGCCGGCCTTCTTCCGCTTCTCCTCCTCTTCCTTGCGCCGCTTCTTCTCGGCGCGGTCGGCCAGCTCCTCCTCGTCCAGCACGCGCTTTCTCGAGTAATCGCCCACGCTGCGCGCCGCGGCTAGTTCCTGCCGCAGCTTGCTGACCTCCTCGAGGTAATCGTCTAAGGGCGCGAAGTCGACCGGCGGGGGTTTTTGCTCCGTGAGCTTCGCCTGGAGCTGTGCGGCTTGTGGCGGGGCGAGGTAGCACGAGCAGATGAAGTGGAAGGCTGTGCGCAGGCGTTGTAGGGCTATGATTTCTGGAGAGGCGCCGAGTGAGGGCTTAAGTTCTGCTGTGGTGGTAGTTACCGACTCTTCGACGACCGAGGTAGCGGCCGTAGATACTTCCGATACGAGACTTGGAGCTGTCCCTGTAGATGTGGTGGAAGACTGGCTTTCAACAGACTCAGGTTTAGGGGTCGATGCCGTTGAAGTGGATGCAGGGGTCTCGGACTGTGTTTGTGTTTCCGTCTGGGAGACAGACAGTGTCGTCGTATTCTCTCTCTTCACACCCACAACTGGTGCTTCCAAAGCTTTAGTCACGAACTTCTCCTCCATGCTCTTCGGCAACGGTTGTTCGCTCATCTTTTGTGCTTTGCTCAGGACTTCAGTTAAGAGCTTATCTTCGTTAAAGCGGAACATGGTTTCGTCGCCTGCTTCCGCCGTGTCGCATATCGCGGCCATCCGCGACTCTAGCAACGTCCGGACGTTTCCCCATCGTAATATTTCAGATAGATGTGGAGACTTGTCGCGTATAGAATCGAGATGGTCGTCGCTAGATACGAACATTCGCTTTCCATCTTTGGTATTGGCAGATTGGTCGGCGAACGCGGGTAGAAGAAGGAACATCGGGTCGATAAGGGTTGCGACATATAGGTCAGCCCCTTTAGTGATATAAGCACCGAGTTCAGCACTATCTTCGCTATCTTCTCTTGTCTTCTCTTCCACTTTGCCCGTATTCCCGCATTCTATTAACCAACTTCTGGGCGTTGCCTTGGGCGCAGCGATTCTGGTGAATTCGTAGATACCGGTTTCGGGACATACTAGATACCTCGTCGGCTTCGCGTATCTTGGGTTTAATAGTGAGACTATTTTCGCGTCTTTTGTAGCGCTAGTAGGAAGTATGAAAAGCTTAGGTGGATTTGTAGATTCTGTAGGTAATGTGTATTTCGACTTGGTGTTGTTAGACGGTGTTGACTTTGAATCTGATGTCGTAGCGGTTGATGCGCTCGCCTTTGACCTTGTCGTCCTTGCCATGGCGCCGGTTTGTAAAATGTTCTTTTATAACTGGTGTTTTTAGAGCAATAATACCTAGCGTAATAAATTCTAAATTATCCAATTGGTCAAGCTTAATGGTCTTGGGTTAGGTAATTACCTACGGTAAGGTAGGTAAATTATGCTATCCAACCTATCTACGGGATATCAAGGGTATTTTCTTATGTAAGGTACCTGGATATATGTAACAATTGAAGGCTTTATTAAAGTACCGTGACAGTTTAGATAACCCCTGCTCGACGCGCTCCAATGCAAGAGTCGCGTGTTACTAAAGGGGAAAGAAAACGCGTCTCCACTATGCCAATCATCCGTTGTCATTTACGCTACCTAGATCTAGCCCACGCAGCCACGGTTGCCCGTCAGCCCTTGTACTTTAACAACTTTTAGTCACTTATCGATATTCAGGTACATCCATAACTTTCCCGCACTTGTAGCATGTATTTTGTATTCTTGTAATACTGAAACCCATTTTGCGAAACATCATCACCTATCCAATACGGACTTTTTTATTTTATTTTTTGCTTTTACAAAATAAAAAAAAGATCACTTCAAGTTTCAACTTCAACGAACGTATTGATTTTCGCGGCGGTGTAGAATTGCATTCTTAGCTCGACGTACAACGAAAAAAACAACTTGCTTTCATCCCGAACGATTGGCCAACGCATCTCTTCTAGGTATTATTTGTTCCTTGATAAGAACTAGGTAACGCCAGCAAAGACGAACGGACCCCTGCAGATTTCGAGTGGAGGGGACGCAACTTCATAACTTCTACCGCTACTGGGCAAACACGGTTGGCTGGAAAAAGGGCGAATTATGATTACGATGTTTTGCTAGTATAATAAACTGATGGCGCCGACATCATCGTATTATTCTTGCAAACCACGTTAAAACTGTATAGCACAAAATGGCAGGACCCGGCTTAGACTCCGAGACTCAATGGCCCCCGCGGTCCCCACACGATGTTCTTCTTAGCACACCAAAGGGACGCGAAAAGCTTCGTCGCATGGCCGAGAGATCACCACCCTCACCAACTTCGGGCAAGACGAACCGACGGGCACCCGCGCTGACTGCTCGGTCAGGAAACTCTTTCCGCAACGGTACACAAGATCTCGGAATAGATCTGGAGGGAAATGAAGACGACGAAGATGAGGAGGACGAGGAGATGCTACAATTGAAACTACAAGCGATTCAGGCGAAACTCAAGTTGAAGAAATTACAAAGCGCTAAGGCGAAGAAGGCCCTGGGAGAAAGCACAACAACGCGGCCTGAATCCGCAGCTATACCAGATGTTCCCATTGCTAGTAGAGCCCGCTCCCGAGCGGATTCCTTGCGCTCTGTCACAAACACACGGCCACAGTCGCAAATGGAAATACAAGTTCCTGCGTCTCCGGTTAGGAGAGCACAAACGGCGCAAAACGATAACTCCCCTAGCAGGGTACGTCTTGGCATCGACAAGGGGATCAAGGCGAAGGATATATCGCTGAAAAGAGCCCCAAGCTTTAAGAGGACTACTGAGAACCAGAGTGGAACGCAGGGGGTTTATTTTCGAAGAACGAATACACCTGCTCCCGGCGGTGCCGAGTCATCCACGAGACAGGAGCGGCCAATGACTTTCAGCGAGAGACTAGCTGCGGCTAGGTCAGAAGAGTCAAGCCGACAAGAGAGGCGAGAGAGGATACAACAGTCAAGGACTAGCGCCTTTGAACTGGGCAGGCAAGAGATGGAACAGTTAAAAAGCAATGCGAGGGAGATACCCGACATTCCATTACAGCCCGAACAGTTTAGTCGTGAGGAAGTCCTAGCCGGTGGTCGAATTAGACGTAGTAATACAGTGTCGAGCCTGAGACGACCGACGCTAGATGAGAATCGCCCTGGGACCAGCTCAGGGGCGGCAGCGGAATTTCAAGCATACCCTGAAGAAGTACCGGAAGAGGATGCCTCTGGATTTGAGCCATACTCAAGCGTCCACCTATCGAAGCGGGTAATACCACATACCACTCTTACGCGGAATCTATCGGGCAAGAAGACGTACGGCATAAAAGACATATTAAAACACGTGAAGGCGCCAGACTTTCAGCTTCCGGAGATCGAACAGGACATAGTAGTCTTCGGTATCCTAGCTTCCAAGTCCGACCCCCGTTCGCATAAAACGCCAAACAATAACTTGAAAGAAAAAGTAGAATCTGACCCGGCGAGGGGGAAGTACATGGTTCTACAACTTGTGGATCTACAATGGGAACTTGAGCTCTTCCTCTTTAATTCTGGCTTTGATCGATATTGGAAATTGGTTCCGGGTACCCTTCTCGCCATCTTGAACCCAAACATCATGCCGCCGCCGCCAGGCCGCACCGACACAGGGCGCTTCAGTCTGGTAATCAACAGTGGTGAAGATACGATTTTGGAGATAGGCATAGCACGAGATCTTGGGTTCTGCAAGAGTATTAAGAAGGATGGGGAATATTGTAATAGTTGGGTTAACCGAAAGCGCACCGAATTCTGCGACTTTCACATGAACATGGGCTTAGCCAAGTACAGACAAGCCCGACAAGATGTGAACGCATTCAACACTGGACTGGGCCCCCAAAAAGATGATGGAGATGGTAGAAGATATCGAAAATCGTACCGCCTCCAGGACTGGGAGCAGCACTCCAACGACCCCAGGCAAAGGACGAGGGGTAATTTCGACAGAAGCACCCAAAGCCAGTGGTTTATCTCTAAGCCGAGCGCTGCCAGTATGCTCGATAACGAGATATTAGGCGGGCAAGTCGCCGATCGTGCGGAGCGCAGCGAAGCCTTGAGAAGACGCCTCGCTACCCAGGAAAAAGAGCGGGACATCATGAAGAAGCTAGGCAAGGTAGGGTCCGGCGCCGGTAAAGAGTACATGCAAAGAGGCGGCGGCACCCAACGCTCTGTTTCAGGTTCAGGCATATTATTCGCAACCTCGTCGACACAAGGTATGGGAGACGAGCCCAGGCAGGACCTCGACGCCAGGTCTCTCGGCCTAGTCCGGGAGAAGGGACAAGAACCCAAGATGCACCTAAGCCCCGTAAAGCGCAAGCGCAGCGAGGGCGTACGACCGTCCTCCAGCTCCGCGGCGCTCGCCGCCAGCAGCAAGTCCGGACTCGGCTGGGGCGGTGGCCTGAAGGAGAAACTTACCCGGATGAGGGAGGGCGAGAAGCTACGGCCCGCGCTAAACCTCAACTCGAGCAACGAGGGCATCGGGAATGCAGGCGACGACGTTAGTAGCGTCAGCGCCGGTCCCAGCAGCTCTGCCTCTGCCTCCGCCTCCGCCTCCCGGTCTCCGGCTCGGAAGAAGACGCGCTTCGTCACCGAAAAGGGTATTCGCGAGGCGGGCCGCGAGAGCCTCGGCGCGGAACTTGCGCCGGGATCTTCTGCTGCTGCTGCGGCCGCCGCCGCTGCAGGCGTGTTTAACACGCGCGCTGCTACGCCCGCGTATAGGTCTAGGGATTTTGCTACTAGTAGTAGGAGTAGTAGAGCGCGGCCCGGGAAGATGGTCATCCTAGATGACGACGACGATGATGACGAGCTGGAAATTCTGCGGTAGCGAGAGGAGAAGAAGGGGACGTGGGGCACTAGGTACTACATAGTATGGGAAAGCGAGGACAGGATATTTGCATACCCATACCCACGAGAGATGAGAGAAAAATCGGCAAGGCATAAATTATTTCGTCATTACCTTAGGTACCTTAGATACCTACCTACCTACGTAGTTCATTTTCCTCTGCATCGGGCGTGATAACATCGGGGCAAACAAACCAAAAAAGCAAGCAGAATCGGCATATCTCTAGAGACCTAACGAAGACGGCGCGTTTACGGATGGGAGTACCTAAGTGGACACATGGGGTAAAACCGGACACGGGATGCATTTATATTTGGGTTGAATCGAACCGAATCGAATTGGATGACGATTGTTATTATTATTATTATTATTGTAGCGAAGGGCGAATTGGGTGTGGTGGTTTGGTTATTTGGTTATTGGACGAAGCTTGTTTATATTTGGATTGGACTCTTCTCTACTACCAAAGCATGAGACTTGGTTCGGGTTCATTCGATTAAAAATCGTATATATTTGTTATGTCATGTGTTTTCTTCCTTCTTCATGGTTCTATTGATTGCCCAGCTATTATTGTTTCCCCAAATGTCCTCTTGGGGAAATGAACCCCTGAATAGGTACCTTACCAAACAAGAGTCTATAAGTTAAAGTCAAACAGGTAGTGAGAGATCAGCCGCCTCGGATTCCCCTTGCTAACGAGGTACCTAGTGAGATTCCCAGCACTGGCATCAACACACCTCAAGGTACATCTCCTATGGGAGCAAGTCCGTCCGCAAGCCATCTCACCACGACGAACACCAAAACTTGATTAGACAGACATCAAGCTCCCATCTTCGTTTATTTCCTACCTACTCAAAAATACGTACGTATACCTTAGGTACCTGTTATATATAGGTATATATACTCGAACCAAGCGAACAGCAACGGTCCAAAGTAAACGTCTACTACCATGCATGTAGAAACAATCAATCATAAGACTCGAAAAGTCTCGTGTGGATGTTGTGGGTACCTAAGTAAATCTTATGTACTAAGTCTACAACGAATCGAAGCAACAAATTTGATTCGAAGCGGTGAAGACGAGGCCAGAAAGGAACGGACCGGAAAGAAGAACCATAAGAAACCGACTTGGGACATATCTTCAAAGGGGAAAGATTTGTCGCATTCTACGATTTTTCTGAAAATTTCCGCACCTCCTTTCCTTCTTTTTTTTTTCTTGTTACTGCTGCTTTTTTATCATTCTTTTTTTACGTTGCTGTAGTATCCCCTCTTGTTCCAACTTTACTCCGCACCGCCTCTCCTCAGCTGAAAAGGAAATGTGGACCGAATTGGAAAAGAACGAAATACGACAGGCTCGCATACTGTCTCACTGGAAATGTTTGAGCGATACTAACATTCTGTCACCTCATCTCTGGTTTCTTCGACCTTTTGAACTTGGTCCCCTGACGGTTCCTTCTCGATGGTCTCTTCTAATATGGATTCGCCAGCGGTGTTAGTAGCGAGAGTCTTGGTCTCTTCTGTAGTTTCTGTTGTCTTCGATTCGTTCTTGGATTCATCCTTCGGCTCGTTCTTTGGTTCACTTTCTGTTTCGCTCGGCTTCAAATCTGCAGGCTTGTCTTCCGCAGCAGGCTTGTCTTCCGTCTTGGCTTCCGGTTCGTCTTGTTTGTCCTGCTCCGAAGGCGCCTGTGGTTGAGCCTCTTTGGGCTCTTCATTTTCGGCCCCGTTAAGGCTGCTTTTTGTTTCTGAAAGCTCTCCTAAGCCGTCCACTATCATGGTACCTTCCTCGTCTATACTCCATAGGGTACGAGTAATAGAAAAGCTAAGAGTGGGTTGATTGTTAGAGACAGGTGGAGGGCCAGATTCTACACCATTCGCGGTGGCAGCTTTGGTTGGAGCTCGTCGTTGGGGACCCCTGGCGCGACCCTTTCTCGCGTCAGATAACGGTACCTTCTCCTTCTCCTCGGCTGGTTCTTGCGTAGCAGGATCTTCCTTCTTGGGTGCTTGCGGACCTAATCGTAAACGGTTGTTAAGATCAGACATAAATCCTGCCTGCAGAGCAGCGATTTTCCCTCCAGCTGGTCTCGCAGGTATCGTAGGTTTGGGCTTTGCTGTTGGCTCCGGTCCCTTAGACTCTGAGGCGGGTTTCGAAGGCCGAGCGGGGATTTGAGGTTTCGGGCGATCAGGAATTGTAGGCTTTGAGGTAGAATCGTCACCCGATTCTTGCCTCTTAGGGCGCGAAGGTATTGTAGGCTTCTGAGTTTGTTCGACAGGAGACTTCTCTACGTCGTCATCCCGTGACTCCTCTGTAGTCTCAGGAGTGGAAACAGTTGCAGTGTATTGCAAAGAATCAGGTGTGTCCTCCCAGACATCCCTACTGGGAAACCTGTGAGTGGACACATTTGGACGGCTGTGGATCTCCTTGTTCAAGTGCGGCTGGCTTCCGACCCATGATGGGGGCTTCTGTTGGCGGTACAAAAAGCTGTCGGGGGTGACGGCTTCTTTTTCAGCTAGCTCCTCTTGTCTTCGTGCAAAGGCTTGAGCGGGAGTTTCACCATCCCGTAGAGGCACGTCTAAGCCTGAGGTTTGCTCTTTCTGGGCCTCTAATAACTCTGGCGTTGAAACTTCCGCGGTAGAATGGACACTGTTAGGTGCATCTTCCCAGATATCAGCGCTAGGGAATCTATGATGGTGCTCCCTTAGCTTCTCGGCCTGGGTCTTGGGTTTCTTGCCGCTCTTTTCATCTTCCGGGAACAATGGCTCATACTCTTCGACGTCCTCTAGAGGGGTCAAATGAATCTCTGGCAGCGGCGGGCTATAAATGCTTGCAGGTCTACTTGTAGGGCGACTCTTCGGCTCCTCCATCTCATATGCACTGCCGTGTCGCTCCGACGGGGGCTCTACAGCGGGTTGCAATTGATAAGGAGAGGGATCCTTAGCTACTTCGTCAGGTGCTAAAATTGGCTGGGTGCGCATTTCCTCGGCACCTTCGCCCTCGGCGGACTTTTCATCGCCGAATTTAACATAGCCCCTATATCGATCTGGCTCATCTACGTGAATAATGTCGTCATTGCCAGCAGTACCATTGTTCTCTTCTTTCAAGACCGATGCGAGGTTCGAATCGTGCTTGGGAGCTGTAGATGGCGGTCGAGGGGACGACATTCGCGACGTATATTCATCTGCTGCTCGATAACCTACTTGCTCACTAGGAGTTCCAACATATTCGGTAGATGTACCTATAATAAACGGTTAGAATTACTCCCAAGTTTGTTTGGCGGTATAAATTACCAAAACCAGCTCCACGGCTAGCTGTATCCCGAACGATCTTGTTAAGATCCTCACTGCTCATTGAGTAGTCGTGGACACGGTCGTGAAGATGGTTATAGCGCTCCTTCTGCAGGACGTCGGGATGCTTCTCATAGTATGCTTTCTCGAGCTTGTCATTTGATGCCACGCCATGTCCGTGGAGACCATAGACATCGGACGGAAGGTCACCGAAACCACCTCGGGAGCTCGTCTTCCTTGAATGGTTTCGAGCAGGTCTTATTCCGTCGGTACTCGCCGTTCTCGGGGCTGGAGTAGGCGAAGGTGCCTGAACATCGCCTGCATGAGCTAACATGGGAACACGCTGTCCAATTTCAGGAATGCCACCATTCTCATCCTCGACAAAAATTTCACTCTGATGGGAAAGCTGACTTGTAGTGCTCGCCTTCTTCTTCAGGCTACGTCCCGAATGAGCCTGGTCCTCGAATGAAGGACGACCGATACCAAAAGCTGCAGCTCTGTCGGAGTCGGTACGAGTTACGGCAGCAACCCGCTGTTTAGCGCTCTGGGCGGGCATCGTCGGCTTCGGTGCGTGCAGTTTGATATCGGCGCCAACAGTGCGTGTCTGTTCAGGAGAAGTAGACGAACGGCGGCTCTCCTCAGGAGAAGAGCTTAACTCCTCAAGAGCTGCGGCGTATTCCCGACCCTCCTCACCAATATTGGGCATCTCAACGCTTACGGGACGCTCCAGTTGCTCACCAAGATGAGTCTGGCTATGTCGAGTGGCACCGTTGCCCTTCGGTGGGAAGGGGCTCTCGTTTAAGGGTGAGGGTGCGAACCGGTCCGGGTTGGGAGAAACCGAACGATTGAAACGTCGAGTAGGACGCGGGGGGATCGCAGGCACAGTTGGAGCATTGTCTTTATCTTGGGTCCTCGCAGGGCGAGGGGGGATAGCTGGAGCTGACTGCATCGTGGCAGCAGACATAACTTATAGGGGAGGGAAAGCACAGTGGTTAGCTTATATGCTCGAAGCAGTTCAAATTCGATTGCGGTCGACAATAAAAAGACCTAAGAGAATACGAATAAAAAGAAAAATCAGCAAAATCAACAAATTAAGCAAAGAGGAAGGAATGAGTGAGTAAGTGAGTGATATTTGATTTTGCAATGCCTGAAATTCTGTGAGGAACAAACGAGAATCGAGACTCGAGGATAGCCCATGAATGAATGACATGTTAAAGTATCCACAATCCACTCAATTCTTTAGGAGGTAGGTATCCGAGAATCCACCACTCACCACGGCTCACCACCGAATGGTTTCTTGTGGGTTTAGGGGCTGTAGAGTCCTAATTAATACGTACCGCATATATACCAATAGGGTTTTTTCTAATGCTGTGGTATTGTGGTATGGGACCCTCAAGCTAATATCGCAAGCGATTTACCACTTGTTTTTAAAACGGAACAGTTCGAGGAAAGCTCGCAAAGAACGGGTAACTATCGGTCAGGTACACACTAAGGGCGAGACCAAATTCCAATTTTTACGCTTGCCTAATCGTTTACGCGTTAGATCCAGTTTCCCTGACGTATCATGCGGTGAAGAGATAAAAAAAGATATTTGTTTAAGTGAAGATAAGAGGCTCTAGTGATAAGCTAAGGGTAAGGTAGGATATGTATCTGTTGTATATATGTGGAGGTACGTAGAATAGAGTTAGGTTTAGGTATTTTTAGGTATGTTAGATGGTATGTAAGAGAGAGGAGAACGGAAACGGACCAGGCAATGCTGCCACGTTTTTTTTCTCTCTTCCTGTTAGAGTGCCATTGGAATGTAAATCTCGAGTTTTTAGTCTCCTCTGGACTTGAAAATTGGGCAATGTGTGTTTTAAGATGGCTTGTTAATTACAGCCACCCCTTTCTCGACGAGACCAGTTGGGGAAGAAGGAGGGCCTTAAAAAAAAGGGCTCCTGTCGCCAACAAAGAAGGTGGGATAAGATTCCAAGACGATGGAGGGGCTAAAAAAGCTCGGTACAGGGTCACTTACAAAGTTTGCAGGTTGATTGGTGGGCAAGCGATGTATGTCAGACTTGGCCAGGTCAGCAACGTTAAATCGATCTCGATTGGTATTGACAATTACTTTAATGTCGATTGGTACGTCTAGCGCTTGTTTGCTGTCAGGTGGTTATGCTCGTTACAGTCGTTGGTGATGAAGCCTTTGCGCTTCTAAGACGTTAAAAAAACAGGAGACGTCGCTTTTTGGGGGGGGAGGGGAGAGTTCGAATAAAAGTAAAAACTTTTTCAAAACCGATGATGTAAAAGGTCGATCGGATTTTAGCCGTGATCAGAATTATAGCACGCGGTTACTGATTGCGTAAAGAAGTAACTTAAGAGAAATAGGTAATAGTAATAGTAATTGAAATATGTAGTATGTAGTTTCGTTCTTCGTAGAAGACAAAGAGGTTTTCTGTTTTTGAATAGTGAATAGTTGATACCTCTGGTAGTACCTAAGCCTAGGTGGTTTGTATGCAGTATGTGTAAGTCAACATAAACGAGTCTCAAATTCGTAACTAGGATCACGATCATAAAACCGGAGAGGAACTCGTATGACTTTTTATACTCGCCCACCCTTGACAACCCTGGAAAAGGTTAAGACGGCAGTTCTCATACGGTTAATTAGTAACATCAGCTTGCATCAGACAGTACCTGAATCCGAAGAACTTGTTGGCGATGTCATCGTTCTCGAACAAGGATTTCGGTTGTTAAGAGAGAAAAAAATAATACTAACAAATCCAGTAAATTTGAATTCGAATGCGGGCACCTTCCCTTGAGTCTACCTCTGTCCGATGTACCCCGCATGTACTACGTTTTCTTACGAGTCACAAGCTCTTTACGGGCAACAACGAATCGGCAATGAGGGGTACGGTTGGGGTACGGTTTAACACACAGCTGCGACTTGCTTCACCACCCATCCCCTTTGCGCCTGCAGGCGGTCTGAAGCTTCCATCCGACCAATCGCAACCGCGTAATAGGCTCTTCAATGGGTATTGTACAACTATAACCCCTCAAGTTTCAACGAATTCATTTAGCGCGGATGGGCTGATGGGTCAGGATGGGGTTTGATGCAAGTGATACACAAAATGCAGCCATACATAGTACAGTATAAAGATACAACCTTTTCACATCCATAAGTGTAAGTCAGGTCTCCCCCCCCTTTTTTTCGAAGATCGTATATGTAATCAGACCAGATGTTATCAAAGTTGTAGAACTTCATTGCTTAGGTACCTTAGTATATACATGTATTAATTATAGACTTTCCTTCGGTGCATTTTTATGACTTGTAAATTCGGGTGGAAGTTTACCTAATACATGTACCGCTCTGTACATAATTACATAGTACACGCAGCAGGCCCAGTATACTATGGAATCAGCCTCACTGTTGCAAACTTGATAAGTCATCTGATTATGGGGTAAAAGTACGTAGGGCGTCAGAGTTTTTACGGTGAATCGAGCATACCTAAGCTAGTAGCCAGCCAGAACCACCCGGAGGGGTCTAGAAGGCTAGGCCGGTCCCTGATCTACATAGGTAGTGTATTGTATTGTACAATACCTATTAATACAGGTATGTATAGGTAGGTATTTATGGTAACAGGTATCTAAGGTACATACGTGTAACACATCCGACTCGGCAGCAGTTCGGTCTATCGAGAGCTGCTTCATGTCTTACACGGAGGGCCACCTGTTATAGAATGGCACTCGCAGCAATTGTATTATACTCGGCGTGTAGTGTAAGGCTAAGACCTGCTTTAATAGGAGGATAATCGGCAGCAGGGCAGACCGGCCAGACCGGGTACATCATCGTGGTCACGCCCTCCATACTCGTCCCCCGCTTCGTGGGCTATGAGGTGTAGGCATTATGTAAACTTGTAAAGCCGGTGTAGACGCCTCGAGGTAGTTAGCATGGCCAAGACAACCACGATAATTCACAGCCAACTAATGAAAATGACAATCTTTATAAAGATAATTAAGATCAGTTCCTTTCTCATTTCGGAAAGACAAGGCATTTTTAAAATTCTAATATAAATATCTATCTTCAAACAATTCCTCAGAAAGTGCAGTGTCTTAAACATCTTTTACGGGTACCTACCTAGGTATCGTGAGAATCCACTGGCTAACAGGTAAGTACCTCATAGATAAGTTGTAACAATTCTTACCTATGACGGCATGAGCAGCCATATATTTCCCCACGGGTCTTGGCTTTTCACTTACAGGTACCTACCTAACCTTACATTGTACGTTAGATACTTTCTTACATAAGATAGACGCATCACAACTCTACCTCTACGTCAGGTACCTACCTCATCTCTTCTAAAGTAATCCAATCTAACCTTAAGACGAATAGCCCAAACTTTCTCGTCTTCCAGAGTTCCCGAAGGGGACCTAAAGCCTAACCGAGAGTACGGAACGTCCAATCTCGGAATTGAGTTTTCACTATGTATTGTACCAGAGGTACATGTAGTTGATCCATTGATCCAATTTACTTGATCCTTGATACTTGACTACTTGGATACGCGATTAATCCATATGTGCAATTTTGAAACTCTTTTTTCTTTTTCTTTTTCTCTTGAAGATTCTAGATTTGTCGGATCAGCAGTCCAATATGAACTCATCGATCGGTTAATGGTGATTATTTAGTAGTGGGGGCTTTTACGTGGGGGGCTCGAACTGCTATGTACATACGAAGTAGCAGTGTAAAAATTAACACCTTCATGACGCTTTGGATAGTTTAGATTACCCTTTAGAATAATAATTAACTATTAGTTCTAGGATTATGGCAGCAGTTCAACGCCACTTTACTACTACGGTTCTGCTATGATCTCTTGAGTACGATACTTGCATAACATAATACCTGCATAGTGGCTACCAATGAGACGTGGCCAAGGACATATCATGATAGACAGTACAGGAATACAGGAGGAATAGGTAACAAGATAACACGAAGGCTGCATACATACGTTGAGTAGATACTTACCTTAGGTTGGGAGGAAAGTAGCTATAGCTCTAGAATTAGACGGACATCAAGCAGCACAGAGGGACAACAAGGAACTTCAAAGACATATCCGATTCAAAAACACCAGCACCAGACTGGGGTATCTCTTTCCATTCTGGATGCAGTAACGAGTCCGGGAAAACAAGAACATTCCGCAGCCGTCTTGCTTGCATCGTATTCCGTTGCGCCGTTTCCTCTTAAGATCAAAAGTCAATGCAAACCCTCCCTTTTTGACCCCATCTGCGTTAAAAAAGAACAAGACCCAAAAGCTCTTAACCCTCTCCACATGACACAACTCCTTTTCTTTTTTTCTTTTTTTGTTACCGAGGTTCCCCTGAAGTTCGTCGATCACGTCGATCATGTTGATAGGAATATTTCCTCGTCAACCGTTCCTATACAAGCTAGGGGTAGTAGGTAGTAGTGCGGCACCCTAGCTTTCGGGATAGTTAACTTTGTCCACATCGTGACCCGATCATACGATCATCTGTGCAACACCAGCACCGCCTAGTGTCTTGCTTCCGACGAAGGCCTGGCCCTTGATACCAGCAAAGGCGTAGCAAAGAGCTGTGAATGTCAGGACGACGGCAGCGGCGACCAAAGACGTTGCGGCAACGGCAAGGCTGACCCATTGGATGACGGCCATGACGCCGTAAGTACCGGCGCGCATGTAGTTAGTCGAAACCTTGCGGATAGCAGCATCGAACGAAGCCGAGGTAGGGCAGATTCGGAGTAGGAGGGGCACTTCAATGAAGAGAATGATGAAGCAGAAAACACTAATGATAACCAGTCAGCTTCTTGGTCGTCCCCCTATGTAGCCGTTTGGAAAAGTTAGGGGACTTACAGAGCGAAAATCGCAAAAATAATGATGAGAGGATGGAATAATAAGGAGAAGAAGTTCGAGATACCGAGCGCGAAGCATAGAATCATAGACAGGATTCCGAGCCTATCCGAAGAGAAATAAGTTAGTCACCAGTTAACCAGCATCCCACAGGTAAAATCGAATGCGAGGCATAGGAACCCGGATTTTTCAACAAGTCGAATAGATCGAACGATAAAGGTAGGCGTAGAGAGGTAGGTATGAGTATCGTATTTTAAAGGGGGGGATGTCGCATGAGCCCGAACTTCGCAATATCGCACAGAGCGTCCCAGAAGGAAAATGAATGGTAGTTATCATTTTGAGGCTTACCATTGTCCGTAGATACCTTTTCACACTGTTGTTAGCTTCTAATTAATCTAATCAGGGATAGATGACTTACTGAAGTTTCTCGTCGCAAACTCGTCCTTGAGAGACATCTTGAAGATTTATAGTCGTCGGTGGACTAACTGTACTGATAATATCAAGGGCAAAAGGTTGAGAGCTTCAAGTGGAATCGCAGGCTGACGACGACTGGATAAATCGGAATTGATGGGGGTCTCGTTTGCGATTCGATGGTAAAGGGTCTGCCTTGTCTTGTAGAAAAAAAAACAATGAACAACGGGATAGCCGACTACGCTCTTGATCGTTTTACTCGTAATAAATGTTTCGTGATAGAGGCCGTGATCATAAAAAATTGTATATGGGAGTTATGTTAGAATCACAGACGAAATGATGGACAACACAGTTGTTGATGTTTAAATGTTTTTGAGAGGTTGAACTTTTTGAAGGTGGCTGACTGTGTCTTGATTGTGTTTTGTCTGCATCTGTCTACGAAGTACGAAGTACGAAGCACGTCTGCATCGTATTGTACAGATGTACAAATTCACATAGGAACCAATTAGGAGCTGAGGTGGACCCTAATGTACAGGACCTACCCTTGGCTTCCGGGCTTTCTAACCGCTAACCGATAGTCTACCAGAACTGACGTGGGCCCGTCGCACCAGCCACACCGGCAACGTCAGCCGGTTCGAACCAATCATTAATCATTTTAATCGCCTACCTTGCCCACCTCGGCAACCGCAGCGACTTCTATCTTAGGTACCTAAGTAGCTAGTAGTTAATCGTATAGGTAATAGGTTATACTTACAGGTATTTATCTTCATTACTTATCAGAATAAGGGGTCTTGATTGATTTGTTGACATACTTCAACCGGCCAAGAACACCAGTTGCCGATCGGAAAAGGATACAAACCGTACAAGTAATATTCAATTCCGAGTAAACTCCTCGTGTGAGAATCACTTATATTAAATGATTACACTATATACGCTGTAAATATAAATCTGTGTTTATTTGATTGAATATCTCGGTTGAAAACAGTCTTTACTGTTACGATGGTCTCTTAATAGTTATTCGATCTTCGTTTCATTTTCTTATACGTTAGGTACCTCTAGGGAGGTAGGTGATGACGGCATGTACTGAAGTTATCCCACAACTGTAAGTGCCTACCTAAAGTAAAGAAACAAAGAAACAAAGAAAGAGAAAACCCATACATACCTCCTATTATTTACCTCGAGAAGCAAGTCTTGGTTAGGCTTTTTAGGAAGATTGGCTTATACAACTCCCAAGTAGCTCCCATGTTGTTATTACGCATACTTTTTAAGCTTACTATGACTACATCAATTATACTATGCTGACTTGTAGAGCATAATATAATGCCTCTTATAATTCCTTTATAGCCGGTAAACTACCTCCGTAAAGTGTAACCATGTCTATAAATGTCGATATCAACTCGGAGGTAATGTACATTAGTAGGTACAGTACCTCTTACATACCTTAGGGATGTACTTATTCCATTACAAGCACATATGCTCCAATGGGGTATCATTCAGGGGTTCTCGTTCGGCAAGGGGTAATAACAAAAGTTTCCTCCAGCTTCACCAACCCGATTGCGGGGGACCCTTGTCGATGTCACGTTATGATGGAAAGACGAAAATCGATACCTGCACCAGATACTTATCAAATTTATTTCGCCGCGTGGAATCTCATAGTCGGATCTTTTAAGAGTAACGAAGAAGACTTAGTTAGGCGACCCCTTATTCTTTCTTGTGCTGTTAAGGGGTTGCGCTGCGATAATCGATCTAAAGCCCCAGGTGTCACCTACCTCTTAAGGTATACTTTAAAAGAAAGACGATTTCAAGATACAGTTTAGGCAGAGCAGCATCTTAGGGACTTTGACAGACTTTTAAAAAAAGTCCATAGCGTTGCTCGTAGGTTTAGTCGTTAATTCGCCCCTTACTCGCCACAAAGATACCGTACATGCTAGCTAACAAGAAGTTTATAGATGACTATCTCTTCATCATAAGAAGATACCACCATGCCTTAAAGAATTGGAACGAAACTCACTGGAATTAAATGCTATCTAGATTCAACTCATATTCGTAAATGAGAAAAGGAGGGAGAAAGAATGGCAGCATTCAGCGAAACCGCCTCAGAATGGTGGCCCTTCTCAGCCAGCACAACGGCCGTCGTCGCCGGCATCACCATCTTCTTCCTCGCGCACCACATCTCGTCGCGGAAGCTCGACCCGCGCGAACCGCCCGTCCTCGCGCCCGCCGTTCCCCTAATCGGCCACCTCCTGGGCATGGCGCTCCTGGGCGGGCGGTACGTCAAGAACCTCGGTATCCGCCACCAGCGGCGGCTTTCCGTGTTTACCCTGCCGGTGCCCGGGTCCCGCATCTACGTCGTCACGGACCCGGCCCTCGCCGCCGCCGTCCAGCGCGCGTCCAGGGCCTTGTCCTTCAACCCGATCGTGCCCGAGCTCACCCAGCGCGTGCTCGGCCTCGACCACGCTACCGTCCAGATCACGCGCAGGAACGTCGATCCTCGGCCGGGCGAGGAGCGCGGCTTCCTGCCCGACATCCAGGACATGGTTTCCGCCTGGCTGGGTCCGGGGGAGTACTTGAGCACGCTGAGCTTGGACGCCGCTGCGGAGATGAAGAACGAGATCGCGGCGTACGCCTCCTCTGTTGCTGCCACTACCTCGAGCCGTGGCGCCGCTACTACGGGCTTACTTTCCTGGGTGCGCCACCTCGTCACCGTATCGACAGCCAAGTACCTCTACGGGCCTCAGAACCCCATCGCGCTAGACCCGGCGCTAGAAGCTTCCTTCTGGGACTTCGACCACGGCCTCGGCTCGCTGCTGATCAACGTGTTCCCGTCGATCACCGCGCGCCGCGCCCACGCGGGGCGGGAGAAGCTCGCGGCGGCGCTGCTCGCGTATCTCGAGGCCGGGCGGCACGCGACGTCCGGGTCCGGGATCGTCCGGAGGCGCGTGGAGATCGCGCTCGAGCACGGCTGGGCCATGCCGGCCGTTGCGCGGGAGGAGCTCTCGTTTCTGTTCGCGGGGATCGTCAACGCGACCACTTCCACGTTCTGGATCCTGCTGCACTTATACGCCGACCCGGGTTTGCTCGCCACCGTACGCCGGGAAATCGAGTCCGTCCTCTCGTCCCGCAGCGACGAGAACGAGCCGGCAGCAAGCTCCGCGACGCCGAAGCCGAAGCCGCTGCTGTTACGCATCGCCGACCTCCGGGACAAGTGTCCGGTCCTCGTGGCCGTGTACCGGGAGTGTCTGCGCCTAGGATCGGACACGTACTCGACGCGGGTCGTCAAGGAAGACCACCTTCTCGCGAACCGGTACTTCCTGAAGAAGAACGCAATCGTGCAGATCGCGGGCGGCGTGATCCACGCGGACCCGCGGATCTGGGGCGCGGACGTCTCCTCCTTCAACCCGCAGCGGTTCCTCGACAAGACGAACAGCCGGTCCGACGCCGAGGCGCTGAGCCCCGACAACGACGGCGGCGCCAAACCCCGGCCGAAGCAGCAGCAGCTGCAGCTGCAGCAGGGCAACGCGTTCCATCCGGCGGCGTTCAGGGCCTTCGGCGGGGGGAAGACGCTGTGTCCTGGTCGCCACTTCGCTATGAATGAGATATTGGTGTTTGTCGCGCTGGTCGTGCTGCAGTTTGATATGAAGCCCGCTCGGGGTGATAAGATCGATGTGCCGCCGAAGAATGACGGGGTTTTACCTGTGCATATCCTGGAGCCGGTACGCCCTGTTGAGGTTGTGATTTCGAAGCGAGAAGATGGATTTGCGCGGGATGGATTGGACGTTGAGTTTGCTATGTGATGTTGGGGACAATTTAGCCCTTCGCACAAGGGAATATTGTTTCTTTTGATGTTTATAAGATACCTATGGTCATGAATGTATATGAATTACGCGGGGAATCATTCTATTGGGAGCAGGGGCACATTGGCAACGAGTTAATACGAAGGAAATGTCTATAACCGACCTATGTATCATCTACCCATAGGAGTCGTTTCTATGTATGTACCTATGTATGTACATCATGATCCTCGTTATCCCAAGCGGGAGAAAAGAACCCCGTTTCTATAATCTATGATTGTTTCCATTTCACTATATCAGGCGCAACGCTGCAACCACTCATCCAGACGATGCCGCTTCCGCCAGATGGCGCGCTCTGGGTGTCCGCGGTCGCGTTCGGTCAGATCCCTGAAGAACTGGCGGTACATCGGGGGTACGCGTTGCGACTGCGAGACATCGTCCACCGCGTACCCGGAGCCGGTCTCGATGAAAGCCACGCTGTCGACTTGTCGCACGTATGCCAGGTCCTTCGCGGGTCCGAAGTTGGGCCGTGTTGTTGGCCGCGTGCTGCTCTTGGGTGTGATTTCCACTAGCATCCCCGAGAGTCCGGCGAATAGTGTTGGCGAGTCGTCTGAAGGTGACGCGAGCGTATAGATGGGGGATGTATCGCTGGCCGAGGCCGGGAGCCACATGTTGAAATTCGGCCTGTAGAAATCGTGTCTTGACAGTTCGTGCCAGCGGCAACGTTTGCCGGCCATGTAGTCACATGCAACGCGATCGTCTGAGTAAGACGGCTCGGGTACAATAGTTGGAGGTCGAGGTGCGGGATACGGCTCATCGTTACCGCAGGGGAGGGCTTCAGTGTGATAGTAGCCTTTTGGCCAGCGGTAGTCGAATACCTTCAGCACAGGGGAATAAGCGCTGCCGGCAACGAAACGCTCGAGACCTCGCGAGAGTAGCGCGTTGATGGGAGTTGAGAGGTCGAAATTGTCTTGGAATATTTGGTCTGCCGCAGATGGTGTGCGGAGGTCTTGGAGACGAATCGTACCATCGTCCCACGAGCTGAGCACTCCGTTTCCGCCGCCGTGAGCGAGGGAGTTTGTACCTATGGGTAAGAGTGCCCTGACTGTTCTGAGTTTATAATCGCGTACAGAATCATGACTATTGCTTGCCTTGGCCGCATAAGATACGTCAACCCCAGTTGGCGTATATTTCAAGTACTGCAGTGGATTATAGCCCTTGTTGAGGCCTACCGCTAGAGTGTCTCCATTGACAAACTTGATGGATCGGATGTACTCGAAAGCTCCTGATTGTGCATTGTCCTTTAACGCCAGAGAATCGTCAGCCCATACGTGGGGTGTGGCACCTGTTTCCAAGCTGTCCTCGCTATTAGTGCTATGAACGGCTTGCCCGTCATGATTAAGAGAGTAAGTTAAGATACCCAGTTTGGTTGCTGCTGCGAGAGTGCCCTGCTTGTAGTTGACGTCGAGGGACTGGATTTCTGTCTGACGGATGGCTTCATTATCAGGTCCCGAAGCTGGTCCACGAGAAGGCCGGAAATTCAGAACCGCGTTACCAAAATTTGAGGCACCCATCGACAACAAGTGGAGGTGGCCACTGGCTCTTCCCACCAGGACTTGAGATTCGTCTTCTTGGCCATAATTGTATTTGCTATCCTTCAGGATAGATACGCAAGTGACGTCGTCTTTTCCGGAACGATAACCAGCTGTAGCGCCTCTACTACTCAACCACTCATCATTGGAAGCTTTAGACCCGCGGGTATGACGCAGCAAACCGAAGATATCCTCGCCAGCGCCCCAGAATACGAGATCATGAGCATCATTTCCTTGTCTTTGGTGGTGAGCATCAACTATGATATTGCTGGGGATAGATTGAGAGGGACTAAAGTGGCTGAAGGCGCGTCCACGATGCTTAACCACGGGCTTCAGAGCACTGACGGCAAAGGCACGCCTGTCCCAATCTCTCGACTGGGAAGTTAAGGAGAAGGCACGTTCACTCCATTCCTCAGTGGAAGACACTTGGGATAACTTGAAAGTGCTGAAGCGTGATGTAACGAATATACGCCAGCCACTCTCGGTAATAAGGTGATGCAAGCCTTTGCAAGAAGCAGCCAAATTAGCAACACTCTTTGCCGTATCCAAGTAGGTGAGTACGATGTAGAGGATATCGGCAGGCAAAGTTGTGAGAATTGGTAGCTCGTCGGAAATACTAAGAGATTCCATGAGAATCGAAGTCCATGTAGTTATAGTTTATAAACGGTTATAGAATGTTATAGAATTGAAAGTTATAAAGTGTTATGTTATGTTTAAGTTGAGCACCAGGTCTGGTGTATAAGTTATAAGTGGAATATATCGAATAATACGTGGGTACCTAAGGTTAGGTAGGTAGTTAGGTGTTTATTCGTGTTAGTTATCGATAAAAAGCTTGTGAGATGTGATTAAGTCCGTTGGTTATCATATCGAGTATGACGTAGCTTTGTGGCAACTCTCGTTTATACGAGATATACAAATATACAGATGAAATAAGAAACAACTGTGAGTGATGCAGAGGATGTAGAGACTAGGTAAATAAATAGTACTTTCGAGATGTTTATTTTAAGAAAGGTTTAGGCAATAAATGAGTCAGACTTCTCGACTTATCAGTAAAAAAGCCAACCTTCTATTATAACAGCCAATCATTTATACCTGTCGTCATCTTCTATCCCTGTAATCCCGTTAGATACAATTAAAATCGGATAAATTCAAAATATTGCTTTACGCACTGCCGATGCAACGGGCGAGGATCGGCTTCCACTGCGTCGGTCTTCGTAAGTTAGAAATTCAAACCCACGATCTAGACCTGTAATAAGATAATATTGTACATATGTTGAATTTTGAATTATATACCTACCTAGGTACCTATATACTACACTCTCCATTTTGGATGCTTGGTAATTATTATAAAAAAAATACTGTTATGCTACATTTGCCCATTAAATACAACTCGCCTAGGTATGATAGGGGGCTGCTGCATCTAATATGTCCGACTCCTATCTATCAGCTACACTCACAGCTACACTCACACTCGCAGCTATTTTAATCTACAAATATATCATATATCCTACCGTCTTCTCGCCTCTCTCCAGAATCCCAACTCCTCACTGGTCGTGTTCCATCTCGCCGGCATGGATCCTATGGACCCGGTTCAACAGCCGCGAAAACCGCACTCTGCACGCCGCCCACCAGCAATATGGCCCAATCGTGCGCCTCGGCCCCAATGAGCTGAGCGTCAACAGCGTCGATGCCGTCAAGACTATTTACCAAGGCGGCTTTGACAAGCACGAGTGGTACTCGCTCTTCGACAACTACGGGTACGCTACCTACCTACCTACCTACCTAGCTCTATCAAAGCTGGGGGGGGGGGGGGGGGGGGGGGGGGGGGGGGGGGGGGGGGGGGGGGGGGGGGGGGGGGGGGGGGGGGGGGGGGGGGGGGGGGGGGGGGGGGGA